GATGCTACATATCCATCAAATCTGTCTCAATCATTGCCTGGTGCCCCCGCACCTGGGCCATTCCCGGGCCCAACGCGAGCAAGCTTCCAAGGATCGTCCTTGTTCTCGGATCCTCTAGGATCCCCGCAGAATAACTTGCCAGCTGTTTCTCCCATGGGCAACCCCATGGGCAACAGTACATGGGGGGCGGCGCCCTTCGGAGGCTCTGCCTTCCCTTCCACATGGAGACCCGCCCCTGCCGGAACTGGCTGGCCTCCCAATAATGCCTTCGCAGCGGGTGGTCATCATCGGCCCCACACTTCTCGGCCCGTTACAATCCGCCTGTTGGTCATCCAAGCATGCAAGCACCTGAACTCAATGACCAGCCCGCAGAAGGGTGCTGGGAGCTTCCATGATGTGAACCTTGTTCTCGGTCAGGTGGAACAGCTGCGCAACTCAGGCGAGCCGTCGATCTCTCTGGATGAAATGCTTGATATCTGCGATACAGAAGGCAGTCCGCAGAATGGCGGCGGATCATTCTCTATCAAGGAAGGCCCGAGTGGCAAGTCCGTCCGGTTCGAGCCCGATCCCAACAGCGCGGCCTCCGGTCATCGGGGTAGCATTGTGCCTGGCGATATCGGCAGCCCGGTCCCTAGTAACAGTCACCCAGCCCCCTTCAGCGGATTCGGTGGACCCTCCGTGCTGCGACAGTATGCTTCGCCTCCGACTGGCTTATTTGGCGGGACTTCTCTATCCTGATCACGACTTGATGCCAACTGGGCCTTGGGATGAATCTTCTTCTCGGCCTCCTTTCCCGCACTCTTGCTGGAACGACTTTGAAATGCCCTCATCTATTTCTTTTTCATTTCCTTTTTTTATTGAAGCGTCATGGATTAACGTCATACTCACACATCTGTCTACATCTTTCTACCCGAAAGAGTCACTGCTATTGATATGGGTTGTTTATTTGCTTGGTATTTTTCCAATTGTTTGAATGCTTTACTTTTAAGTATGGCATCCGGGTTTGTTTATGTACGGTATGAGTCTCTGGCCTTTCTACATTATGCAGCGATATCCGTGGAGATAGGGTTAGTCTCCCACTCCGTTCATCGTCTTGACCAATTGCATGATCGAAGGTTTCTTCGGCTTTCGCTTGCTGGCTTTTTTCGCGTAGAACGTAAGTATATAGGATACATAGGTAGTAGCGTAGAGCTGCGTCTTTGGTATTACGTGCTATGCAGATAGGGTTTATATATATACCCCAGATGTTAGGTAGTGGCTGGCTCCTTATGGATGAGATCATATTTTCCATTACCTGACCCCTCGGGGCTGCCCAGGTGCTTAGTTGTTCTACAAATGGGGAAAAGAAAGAGGTTGTTCATGGCCGATACAAATCACGTTGAAAGGGTATGGTGTTATACGGAGACAATGATACACTTGTATATACTAGGGATGAAAGAAGACCGAGGAGCAGTAAGAGGAAAAAAAGCAGGCTTCCAGGAACAAAAGAAAGACAAAAGAGACCAAGGAAATAGAGTAGAGCAGAAAACAAGCCCTGCCAGGGGATGAACACAGGAATCCCACGTGGCACATCACATACGTACACTGCTCCTTGAAGATAACCGGAAGATGTGTGTCCTGACTAAGATGGCCTAGACATTCATCTTGACAATTACTTTGGTGGATCCGTAACAATGCCTTCGTATTCGCGAGAGCGAATATACTCCAGCGTGCGTTCAAAGTGGCGCTTCGGGGCGTCAAGATTAGCATTTTGCTCATCTTCGGTCGTCTGCAGGTTGGAGTGGATGAGTTCGATGAGACCGTTCAGATACTTGGTAGTTACGGTCTCGTTCTGCTGGTCGAAATAGTAGACGTAGCGGTTGAGGATTTCCACAAATAGCTCGACGGAGACAGCAGTGTCCATGCAGGCGTCGGCCACACGGAGGGCGCGCTGGAGGCACTCGAGTACTCGTTTGCCGTCACGGTAGAGCTGCAAAGTTGACGTCAGCTAAGAGATAGTAAGACATTGGAATTGGAGATAAACTTACATCTTTGGGATCTTCTTCTCCACGTTGAGGGTTCTCGACTACCCACCAGAGGTGGCTTGCGAGGTACACCGCGCGGCATTGATCGGGCTTCTTGAGGAGTTTGCTTCCATGCAGCGCAGCTTTGGTAATGAGTGTGTCGTAGTTCTCCTTAGAGAATCCACGACTCCCATGTAGGGCGCCTGAAATGATGCATACGGCCTGGAACTGGGCGCGCGAGTCACTGATGGCATCTTCATAGATGGTGAAAGCCTGCGCGAAGAACTCGTAGCTGACTTCCTCAAATCCTGTCTGATCGGCAATCTCACCACACATGACAAACAGTCGGAGTGCGAGATCCGCGCAACCTGGATTTACGCGCTGGTACAAATTGTTGACGCTCTGGTGCATGAACCGGTATAGAGCTGACGACTGTGATTGCCAATTGTCGTCGTAATGCTCGCGCGACTTCAGTTTGCGGGCCAATCGGATCGAGGCCGTTATGATTGCAGGAGTGGTATAGCGGATTCGTTCGTTACCATCGGCGAATGCCTTGCGCGTTGCTTGGAGAAGCTATCACAGACTGTTAGTTATAGGTATAAAGCATATGGCAAATGACCCTACCTTGAGCTGAGTGTCATTGTCCGATGCCTGAATCAAGTGCACGAGTCTCGCAAGCCACCCTTGCTCTTCTACCGTCTCGTCAGTTTCTCCTCCCCGCCGTTGTGACTGTGACCCAGGATAGCCAGCAGACTGCTGCATGCCTTCCTTGATCAATACTCTTGCCGTCTGGAGCACACGATCGAGATTTTCCGTTGTGGATACCAAGATCTTGTTCTTCAAGAGACTGCGAATGACCTCGCCAGCAACAGCCCTCCTTGTGGGGTATGACTGTGAGGTCAGCAGTGGCAGGTAATGTGGCAATGCCAAGGCTGTGAAGATCGAGATGTAAGATTTGAGAGGAGCATTGAGAAGGTGGAGGATGTGTTGTTGGGTTGGCGCCGAATGCAAATGGGCATGATCAGTGTATTCGGCAGTCTTTTGCGTCGCGAAGTCCAGGACTTGGTCAACATACTCTAACCGGTCTGGATAAGTATTCAATGCCAGATTGACAAGTGATACCAACAGCGCCATGGTGTCTTGAATCGGCAGTGCGCGGGTTCTGATCAAATTGACCACTTGATCGTAGAAGATATCGTACAGCTTGATTTCTGCTGGAATACCAGGCTTAGCGTCGTCCCCATTCTCAATCTGCTTTTCTTCCGTTGGCGGTTCAGCAGCCTCGGCCCTTTCTTTGGGTGTTTCTGCTTCGCCGTTCTCGGTACCATTTTCCTTGGAAATTTCATCGGCACCGGCGTCCTTTGCTTGTTCGGCTTTGGTCTCTTTGGCAAGCTCGAGCTTCTGCAATAGCTTAGTGACAGCTTCTTCCTCACTTTGTTTCCGTGCCTCTGGTTCTACTGCCGAATCCGCTTCCCTTGCCGCATAAGAAGACAAACGGTCCATAAGACCAATGACGATTTTCTTCAGATCCACGTGCGGGTTAAGTCTGGCGATGGCAGATAATAGAAGGTCCAAGGTGTGCAGGTGGAACTCATCTGGGAAGACCTTTGTGATAACTGTTGATCAGATTAGCAAATGGACCAAGCAAGAGTATCTTCCGAGAGAAAGGAGATCAGAGAGCCGTACCTTCCAAGAGATATTCTTGCGCAAGGACATCTCGGCATTGTACAACCTGTTCCAGAAGAGCTTGCAAAATACCAGATTTGTACCCTTCAAGATCAACCAACTGGCTGAGTCGAACAATGTTGCTACCGACGAGCAGCTCCAATTCGCGTCGTTCTTGTATGCGCCTATCCCGCTCTCGTGAGGGGCCCTGGTGCTGAAGTCGAACCCAGAGCTTGTTCATTTCCACGAAATTCGTCAAAACAAAGCTGATCGAATCCTGCATATTACCCTCTGGGCCATCACCGGTTCCCGAGGGCAAATAATCCCGTGCTTGACCGGAGAGGTAGTATCGCAAGAACAGGCCACGGATTGGGTGCTGAACACCTCGGCTCATCTCCATCATATCCTTCATGATCTCCTTGACCGGCGCATCTTCGACGGACATGTAAACCGTACCCACAGTTATCATCAAGTACAATCGGGGGACGATGTTGCCGGCATACTGAACGAGCTCATATAGGTCGGCAAGGTGGTTGACGGGGTGGTTCTCCTTTAGGTAGACGGAAAGGTGTCGCAGCGCATCAAAGACAGCCATGTACAATTCGTAATACTGCTTCGGGCCGAGACTGGGGGTTCGTAGTTCGGAGACAAGAGTCGATCTGCAGAGGTAGATTTCAAGCTGTTAGCATATGGACTCAATGCGCACGCTCCGAGGTCGCTGCCTGGGCAGTTTCAATGGGAGCTCACCCGCATTTCAGCGCGTCCATGAGCTTTCCAGGAGTCTCTAGACATTTGCGCATCAGACTCGACTGCTGCCTCACCACCCCCAATGCCTCCTCGAGGAGGCGGTTCTGGTCCTCGGTGACGGGTGGTGGGCTAGCCATCATTGAACGGGTGAGGGGCGGAAGCTAGGAGGAGAGCAGGGGTGAGCACATGCAACGCAAAGACAATGAGCTAGCGAGAAATGGTCAATTCATAAGACAAGAACCAAGGTGGGAATAATGGTGGAGGGGGGGAAGAGCGGAAGGAGGTTGAGTGGAGGATAAGCTTGGGCGTGACACCTTGAGACTCCCCGAGACGTCACCCGTGGACTTCCTACGACAGTCGATAGCGACTCCTCATAACATCTCACCCCTTATATTGCCACGGCTTTCATTTATACAGCTTCAAATGTTTTTACTTCTATATCTCTGTGATATTTTAAAGGCCATCGAGGCAGAAGAATTCAACCTATTTTTTTATTACCTGCCGTACGGCAGCAAATTGGGTTGCCTGGTCACAAAGAATGAGCGCAAAGTCTTCTCTCTCCCTTCTCTCCCCCTTCTCTCTCCCCTAAAGATTCAGTCTCTCCCTATCCTGATCCCAGTCCTGCGCCAGTGTAACTCCCTCCGCCAATTGAGAATCCTCGCCTCCCACCGGGGAATCGCACTCGGGGCAGCGGCTCGTCTCCCTAGCTAGACCACAGTCCCCAATGGTAAAGGGATGTCCGTTGCGACAGTAGTACCAATGCCCAGTTCCTCTAAACTCTTGAGCCATTGCCGAAATGACTGCCATGCGTTCCTCGTTGGTGATAATTGTGTAGAATGTGCCTCCACGCAACATTTTCTCGACGCTGTGAACTTCATCTGCTAGTCCTTGTGTCTGACCCGGGTGCGCATCGCAAAGACCTTTAGCTTCCTGAATGGCAGCCTGGCCTTGCTTCAAGATAGAGTTCCTCTTCTCTGGTGTCAAGCAATGTGCCCGTTCGAGGGCATAGAGCTGCGCTAGGAAAATATGACCTTCTGCCTGCTGCAGAAGTCGATGGTGAGTGATCGCTTGCTGGATGAGGGTCTGGCAATCATCCTTGATTTTCTGTTGATCAAGCTCGAATCGAGGTGTTACCTCGCTTGGGCGTCCTTGGGAAACAAGACTCAAAAGGTCAACGAGCAAAGCAATGTCCAGACGGATTAAGAGGGCGGTGCCCTGTAGGAAGCCTTTGGTCTGAAGCACACTTTCGACATAATCAGTGTTCATTCTGAGTCCTTGGCGTTGTCGGGCGTTATCGATCATTCTCCGAACTCTTTCGAACGGTTGCTCCTCGGGTCTCACGCGACGCCTATAGAGATCGACGCGCTTTCGCAGGTCAAGGATGGAATCCCACCGACCTGGGTTTGTGCTCTGGATTATTTCTCCCATGCTCTGAATTTGATGGCTTCGCGGACCGGAAATCTCAATCAACGCTGGCCACGGATACTTTCTTCGACCCTTGGTTGCATGTAATTCATGGACAAGCTGGGGAAGTTCCTGTGCAAGAGGGACATATTCCTGGTTGAGTAAGACGATCAATTTTTTTCGTCGACTCGTCGAGGATAGCTCGACGAACCAGCCGGCCATATCGGGCAATATCTCTCAATGGGCCACGACAGGTGGCGCATGTTTTGATGTCTTGAATAGAGAACGGTTTCAATGATACCCAGATAGAGACTGGCTTGCCACTGGCATCGATCTCGTAGTAGCTAGCCATGTCCATTTGTGCATCCATGTTTTCAATTGTCAAGAAATGTCCGCATTTGGGGAATACGCATGGGTTCTCGTCCAGGTTGATTTCTTTGTACGTTTGACCCATGATGAAGTCGACTTGATGATTTCGGATGTCCTCGTTTCCGCAGGTTTGGCAGAAGGAGGACGAAGGACATTTCTCTCCACATACGGATGGGCACTGGTGTCCACAAGCCAGCTTCTTCTTGCACCGCTTGGAACATGGAACATGATCACAAGGGGCTGCACATGGCATTGAGCAGACGCTGTGAGGGCACGCTGAAAGGCATTTTTCTTCTGCGCAGGGAGTACACGGCTCGTAGCATTTTCGCGGGCACTTGGAATGGCCGCAGTGCACTTCACAAGAAGCTTTGCAAGGAGGACAGGGCTTCTCACCGTGGCAGGGAAGGCTGCATGTGTGAGCGCAAGTAGATTGGTTCCGGTCACACCGTTGTTCGCAATTTCCATGATCGGCTACAACGCTCTCAGGTCCTCTAGTGACGCAGCGGTAACACATCTTCTTGCACAAGTGTCCACAGGGCAAGGGGCTGCGACATTGAGCTAGGCAGCGATAGTATTTTGTTTCCACATCGACGTGGCATGGCAGTGAGACGACATGGTTGCAGCCTGGGACCGTCTTGTCCACACGTACCAGGCAGCAAACTGTCGAGACATCTTGATGTTGCCAGCAAGGAAGGTTTGGCATTGGATGGCCACATGGAAGTTTTCTGTGCTTTTGATATACGTTGACCATGCACCTTTCCGGGCAAGGGTCCCCGCATCGCCTAGAGCACGAATGATTGCAGCCACTAAGCGGTCGAGGGCAGCACTCTAGGCAAAAGACAGCGTTGTGAAGAATATCCGAATGGCATTTTTGAGCGCAGGCATGTCCACAGCTAAGCCGGTTGACGCAGCGCAAGTTGCAGCCTCCTTCGGGAGAGAACTTTGGAAAATCTTCTGGCGTCGAAACCGCAATTGGTGTATCTGGATGGCGAGGGCATTGCAGCTCCAGGGCCTTTCCGATATTTTGATCTTGCTTCAAAATATTTACGACTTGAGCCCACATGGGAACATGGATCGAGGTCTCCGAATTGCCGATGATGTACATACCGTGTTGTGCTCGCGACAACAGAACATTGATTCGATTGGAAGTGCGTAAAAAGCCGCATTTGTTCTGTGGGTTGCTTCGGACTAGAGATATCACAACAACCTTTGCTTCTTCGCCTTGGAAGTTATCCACGGTAGCGACGCGAAGAGTCTGTGACAAGGCTGCTTTAATCATGGGTTTGTGCTTCACTTCATAATCCCCATAACCCGCCTGCTTGAGGTCTTCTTGATCACGGTCGCCTACTACAATGGCAAAGAGTTCATCTAACCTTTTCCGTAGTCGGTGGAGTTGGCCCAGATATGGAGTCAACACTGCAATGTCTCCGTGCTTGTATTCACCTTGTTGAATAAGATGGTTGACCAGCAAAACGGTCATGTCGATCTCATGACTGTTCCAGTGAGAGGTTGATATGGCATCGGGGTCGGACGCTCCCTCTCGCTGTCGGTGATCCAACCAGAATAATCTTTTCCGCATCCCCATAATATCTGGGTACTCCAAAACAGATGGAGCATCCTTCAACTTCGGATACAGGGTTTCGCGGATCAGCCGAGCGATAGATGGATGCATTCGCCGCTGTGTTTCCAATGTGCTGAAAGGAGCTCCACAGTCCATGGGGCTTTTGTTCGAGCTCACCAGTCTTTCAAACAAGGAGATATCGAGTGAGTACTGCGTACCACCCTGAGGATTCTCGCTAGAGAGATCGTAATTTTGGACCTGAGGGCGGAGTTGTTGCTGATCGCCGATGAGGATTGCATGGTCAACAGATGGTAGGAACGCCGTGAGCAGATGTGATTCAAGAACTTCTCCAGCCTCCTCGCACAGCATAAACTTGCATGGAAGTCTTCGGAACATATCCAGTCTACGGGCAAGCCCCGCTGTAGTGGCGCCAATGACATCTGCTTGAGCCAGGCAGCGAAGGTGCATCTCATCCTGGACGCTATCGTACCCCTGTTTGGCAGCACTGTGAGATGAAACGATTCGCCTAACTTGTTCGTCAACTTCTGCCCGGTAGTCACGACACCAATGGTCGTAAAGATGCTGTCGTTCTTTTCGAGACATTTCGAAGACACTGACGTCCTTGAGTCGGTCCACAGGCCGTGCACGAGCATTGTCTTTAGCTGCTGAATCAAGCCAGGACTTGATCGTAATCTGGGGATTGTCGGTTTTCACTCCCAAGAACCCATCTTCTTGGACCAGCGAAAATAGCTGATCGTGATGGCCAGGGTCTGTCCGCTGGATATAGGACTTGAGACGAGCAATGGGGATTTCCCGTTTCAGGTCAAGGGCACGAAAATCATCCTCACACAGCGAGAGTCTCTCAGCTGTGCTCCATCTTTCTTTCTTCTCCATCTTTGTTCTTGTCGTATCTTTCGCAACAGTCTGAAGGTTGAATTTTTCCAACCTTTCCGACTTGGACTGGGATCCAATACGAACAATTTGCGATGTCACATTGTTGTCCAGTAAGGCCTCAAGAAGCTGGTCGAGAGCATGGTTGGTATATGTGACACATAATATGGGCCCTAATCTTCCCCTGGTAGCTTCTTTGTTTGCCAACAAGACTTTGACAAGAGCCACACCAGTGTAGCTCTTGCCGGTACCAGGTGGCCCTTGGATTAAACCGAGCTTTCGCTTCAAACAACTGATCAATGCGTGAGCCTGCGCACCATCCAAGGTTGAATGATCCTGTACGTATTTCACGTCAGATGGTTGATCAACGCGGACGTAGAAATTAGTATCATTCTTCATGAGGCAGCGGAGATTGAATGCAAAGCCAGGCTGGGAAGCATACAATGGAGGAGCCATGTCGGATATGTTGAAATCATCAAAGACCCATGGAACAAACAGCTCTGAGAAAGGTAGGTTTTGGGCCAACTTCATTGATTGGAGTGCTTGAAGCGCCGGTTCAAATGCTGGAAGAATGACTCCTGGGAACTCCACCAGAGACATAGCGGTCTTTTTAGGACCAAAAAGGTCCAGAACGACTTGCGTATTGGTGTACCGAGAATCAACCGGCATCAACATAACAGAGCCTCTCGTGGAACTCTTCCACAACGTTTTTGGCTCTGCCTTGTTCTGTGAGGGGACCTGATCCTGTGGGAGGGCATTATCCTTTTTGCGCCTGGGTGACATGTCACGATGTGTCACAGTGCAAAACAACACCACGTCCTTTTGAACGATCAGACACACAAGCGCACCGGGCTGTAGACGCTTCGAGTTCTGCCACCACATCTCTCGGGCCATGGGTGAGTAGTTTGTTACTCCGGCAGGCTGAGGGAAGTCGACTTCGAAGTAAAGACCCGAAAGCCAATTGAACTCAAGGTTGGCCACCAAGCACTTAGGATATACGAATTTGCGCAATTGTGACTGCTGGGCACGCGGACTCAGTTCGTGGTGGATTGCATCTCGAAGTTGACCGACGGTGTCTTCTCGTAACAACCGAAAGTTTCGATCTAGCAATCCGTCGATACCATCAATATGCCATTGAACTGGGTTATTGACGGGCAAGTACTCCCCTCGAGGGCTGCAGATTTCTTCGAAGCTAGGCATGATCTTAATCTGGCAGATGTCGTCAAAGTCATTGTTGTGTCTGCCCCGGGAGTCTCCCGATTGGCGACAAAAGCGGCTTTGCTTTCTTTCTTCACTTCCTTCTCTGGTGTACCCGTTGAGAGCGACTTTCCAGTCTCCATACGCTGAAGAAGACGACCAAGGTGAAGCCGAGATTGATAAAGTCGACAGCTCATGCCATTCTTGTCATTCATCGAGGCGATCACAGTTTCAAATCTGTGTGCCACGTCATGCAGACAGTCCTGGATAGGGGCCGTAGAATTCAGGTCTGCGATGCGGGAGAAAGTGTGTAGAGATGCCTCCAGTAACATGGCGCTGCCTGCGTTGGTGGTGTCCGTTTCGAGAACACCACAGATGAAATTGAGCCATCGCGCTGCTCTAGATCCGTCGATCCCAAACAAGACATTGTAGATTGTGCCCACTGCCTGCTCCAGTACCAGAGAGGATACAACCTCGGGATTTGTGACTGTCTCTAGAAATGGTAGCACCTGAGTCTTGAAAATCAGATCTCTCGTTGTGGCATCCATGCCTTCGAAATTTTCCTGAACAAGGTCCAAGATTAGGCGCAAGCCATCTTCACTCGCCAGTGTCCGGATGACTTCTTGTCGGATGCTGGCATCAGATTCAATCAGTTCCCTCGCTTTCCGGAAGATAGTCGTTTTCTTCCCAGAGGACGGACGAATGACCGCTGTGCGTAGAGGAATGCTGCCTTGCCATGCTCGAAACGCTTTTTCTGTATTTGGCAAGCCACGATCTCGTCGGGGCAAGGGCCCAGGACGTTGAATCTGGCTGGTTGAAATTTTTGGACTGCGGCTTTGGCCATTGCTCACATGAGCAAATTTGCAGTTTTTCCATTGGCAATTGCCTCTGGCGAAGTCACGGCACATCCTTTTATAGGTTAAGTTGGTTAGCATCTTCCGCATATTACTCAGAAGGCTTTCCAAATGTGTTCAGGTATCTCTCAAATCGATTGTCATATGTTGCGGAAGTAAGAGAGATCTAAATCATACCTTTGGGAGTCCATGATCTGGTATCATTTCCTGGTCAAGTGCTTGGTAGAAACAAGATGCTGGAGAGGAAGATCTCTAGCTGGTTGATATCACAAGAAGATGTGATTTATGGAGGTCAAGGAGGTTGAAAGGAATGCAACGTCCTGCTTTCCAATTGTTGTTTGCTGTGGGATATGGAAGCCCTAGAACGTATGAAAGAATATGATAGAAAGCAAGAGGGTGAAGGAGAAGGAAAGCAAAGAGATATAATTTTCAAACTTGTCAGGTGCCCAGGTGCTAATCACCCATTTACATAATTTTCCAAGGTTGCCCCGGCATTTGCGTAAGCTTCTAGATATACGTGTATTGGACTGGTATCTTCGTTTTTGACTACCTATATGATATGCTCGATTGCACCGGGCAAAGAAGCGATAGCGAGAAATTAAGCAGCTCACTTTACTTTCTATCTGTATGTGGCTAACCCTGGGCCCTGGCTACTTACCTCTTTAGGTAGGTGATCTCACATTTAGATTAGGAGAGAAGACTCCAGGGCCGGAGTTGGGTACATTGTTAGCCAACAAAAGCAAAAGCCATCTAGCGTGATGAAGATACGAGGAAGTGCTTATGAACATGTAATAAACCAGAGATAAATGCTTTCAATGACTAACTGCTCCTATTTAACGGAACGCGAACATATCAATTCCCCAATCCCCATCGTGGAACCGGAGACGTCAATGATTATATACAAGAGGAGCAACCTGGCAAGAGAAAAGGCCAACATCAATCAAAGGCCATGGTGAAGCACGTGTTTCATGCAATTCCCCATTCTTGTTTCAGGGATATGGCGAAGGCCAAAGCTCAGCAGGCATATAGAACCCGCGAGCACCAAACTTCTCTGCCAATAGACCTCCAAGGGCAATCTGGTTAACGGATTTGTTGTTTATCTTTAGACAGATATTGCCTCAATCGCTTTTGGTGAACCAGCCAAGAAACGCCATGGATATCAAAGTACAGAAATATGATTGTCGAGGTGACATTGGCTAGTCACCTATTCTTTCCGGACACTGAAGTCCACATTACGCTCGCGCATCAGCTCCTTGCGCTCCAGATCCTTGGCTGTAATGAATGAGTTAATTGTGTTTCCAGTCAATCCACTAGCCAGGGGTTTGCATACCTTCATCGTAGACCAAGAACTCGTGCAGACCACGGCCAGAAGGCACCATGGGAAGGACAGGGACCTTGCGATCAGTGATGACCTCCAGGAGGGCAGGGCCATCGTGCTCAATCAGCCACTTCAGCTTCTCCTCAAGTTCAGAGGGCTTGAAGCACGTATCGGCGCCGACGCGCATAGCCTTAGCAAGGGGAACGAAGTCGGGGTTCTGCTGGTGAGTGTGCGAGTACCGATCCTCGTAGAAAAGGTTTTGCCTGGAACAGAAAAAGTAAGTCAAATATACCCGGAAGATCAGAGACGACAGCTTACCATTGAGTGACCATACCCTGCTCCTCATTGTTGATCAGGAGCACCTTGACACCAATGTTAAACTGAGCAGCGGTGGAAAGCTCAGTGAGAGTCATGTTGAAAGAAGCATCACCATCGATATCGATGACGAGGCAGTCGGGACGGGCCACCTTGGCTCCAAGAGCGGCGGGGAGACCGAAACCCATAGTACCGAGACCACCGGAGGTGATCATGGTACGAGGGTGACGCCAGCGGAAGTGCTGGGCAGTCCACATCTGGTGCTGTCCGACACCGGTGGTGATGATAGTCTTTTCCTTCCGGTCAGCGGTGAGCTCGCTAAGCTTCTCGATAACAGCCTGGGGCTTGATAGGACCGTCCTCGGTCTGGCGGTCGTAGAGAGACAGGGGGAAACGCTGCTTCCAGTCGTTGATCTGTTCGAACCACTCGGGACGCTCAGACACAGCCTTGACATGGGGCAAAAGAAGACGGAGGTTGTCGGCACAGTCACCCTCCACGGCCTCGTTGGCCTGGACAACCTTGTTGATGTTCTTGGGCATGATCTCGAAGTGCACGATACCACCGCGGCCTTCAGTAGCGGCAAGCTTGGCTTGAGGTGCGAACTTGGGGATGCTGAGAGTCACACGGTCATCGAAACGGGCACCAACAGCAATGATCAGATCGGCCTCCTGCATAGCCATGTTGGCGTAAGCGGATCCGTGCATACCCAGCATGTGGAGAGCCTTAGGATCCAGCTCGTCGAATCCACCAAGACCCTGCAGGGTGGTGGTGACCGGGATGCATGCCTTATCGGCAAACTCCTTAAGGATCTCAGGGCCATCGGGACGAGCAAGGAGACCCTGTCCGACGTAGAGGATGGGCTTCTTAGCAACGTTAACGAGGTTAGCAACACGGTTAATGGTGCTCTCGAGCTGCTTCCGGCTCATTTCGCGGGCTGCCACGGTAGCTGCGCTGGGGAGAGAAGGGATGGTGCTGTGCATGGGAATGGGGTTGCGGAGAATGCCAGCAGTGACATCCTTGGGCAGGTCAACCAGGACGGGACCGGGACGACCACTCGTGGCGATCTCGAAAGCTTCCTGGATGCGGCGAGGCAGCTCGCCAACGGACTTGACCATCACATTCCACTTGGTGCAGGCACGCGAGATACCGATCACATCGGCTTCCTGGAAGGAATCGGTTCCAATAGCGCTGGTGGGGACCTGACCACAGAAAACAACCATCGGGGTACCATCAGACATAGCATCTTGCATAGGAGTGATAACGTTGGTAGCACCAGGGCCAGAAGTAACGAGGACGACACCGGGCTTGCCAGAGGCACGGGCGTAACCCTCCGCCATGTGACCAGCACCCTGTTCGTGCTTGGGAAGGATGAATTCGAAGTGCTTGGAGTTGTAGATAGCATCGAAAACGGGGAGAATGGCACCACCGGGGTAACCGACTGCAAATGTCAAGTATTAGAATTGGCAAATTGAGCGATATCAAGCATGATATACTCACAGACGTGCTTAACACCCTGGCGAAGCATCATCTCGTGGAAGATCTCTCCACCACTCATTCCAACCATCCTTTGTACCAGCTAATTAGTTTGGTGTGTACAAGCTGCCATGAGGGTTAACATACGAGTCATCGAGCTCGGGGAGCTGGCGGTGTTGCAAGGGAGAAATCTCATTGCGATGGGGTTCCTGGTTGAACGCCGGACTGGGCACGGGTCTGGATTCCCTGACGATTAAACAAATTAGAACTAGACTACGATTGCATTGTGATCATAGGGGGAAATAACTCACGGATTTGAAGCCGTAGCTGTGCTCTGGGTACGCTTCTGGACGGAGGAGCAGTGGGGCGAAGCGGCCGAAGCCACAAACGAGGTTGAAAAAGGTCGACGTCCAGCAAGCTGCTTCTGGAGGTGGAAAGCGCGCAGAGCGCTTTTTGAAGGTCTTAATGGCATCATTGTGAATGACGGCCAAGCCAGGAAGACTGAGGGGAGAGTGGTTTAGAAAGTAAAGAAAAATGAGTCCCAATTGACCGCTGAAGATTGCCAGTGACTCGTCTCTGGGGATTCCGAGAAAACGCTTAACCCAAAATGTCCGACCGCTCTGAGTCAAGAAATTCGGGGCTTTTGATTGGTTGGACGCCCCTTCGCGCCCTCCGACCTCGGCCGTTGCTAGATCACCTGATTTGGTGTTTTCGTATGTCCTCGGCAACAATATGGTCTAGCTGTACCCTAACGAACTACTAACGAATCAGATATATACGTGGGACTATCATGTCTGCCACGGATATCGGGACAAGAACATAAATGTCACGATAGTCAAGCATTTTATATCTTTTACGGGGTTTTCTACACCAAGCTCACCGGAGTCTTGCCTGATCCCCCGAACTTTTTCGGTCATGTGGGTCCAGATCGGTCCGGGCATCTGGGCCAACCTTGGAAGCTACTGGACAAGGAACATTGTAAGGACGTTATACCTCGCCCTTGTTAGACGCGCAGTATTATTGATCCCTTACTGCATGATCTGCGAGTGCCCAAGCCTCCAAGGACTGTTGCTGGGCTACACTCCTGTTCTTTTTACGCAACTTGGCATACAAATCAACCGTACTTCCGCTATTTCGGAATCGTCGATCTTCTATACTACTATTCCGCACCTTTGGCTTGAATTATTTCCTAGAGGTAAATTAAAATGCTCTATGTCCTTGGATTAGCAAGTCATCGTAATTTGATCGAGTAGAACGTAGAACGGGAAACAAAACAAACAACACTTTATATAGATCGGGTTGTAAACCTTGGTAAATATTAACCCTACACGCATGCACTTATCCCCACATCCCTGTCGATCTCACCGTGATAGCTAACCTGGGAGACTTATCTGCATCGTATCATTCGGCCCAGGGCCGATGCAGTCTAGTCGACCCCCGCATGTATATTACTAGCACAGCCATCCATGTGCATTACCTAGGTAGGTCTATGTATGTGCCGTAGCTCTTTGGATACGTCGAGTGAGTGCATATATCACACTTACTTTCGAGGCTAATGTTCGATTAAAGATTTTGAGACTAGCCGGGTGAAAAATCTGTACCTAAGAATACCATCGTCCTGCGCTCATCGATCCATTTCCTACCACAATTTTCTTCTTCAAAATCCCCACAAATGTCCTGTGACAATGGGAAACATGGTCACAAGACCAAACTTGCTTGTTACCATTTGATCTCGGCTTAGGCGACATCTCTCCCTATGGAGAGATTGAGGCTTCGTCACTTGCAAGATTGGCGAAGGAGGGCATCCGAATGAACTTCCACGCTGCTTGATAGCGGCTTTACCAGGGATCTACACAGAAATCATGCAATTATGTCCGGAAAATGGGGACCCCTCGACCCCAAATCTTGGTTCCACATCGGTTGTATATCAACCCGCATTTAGTGGCTAGGCGGACATGGCATCTTGGTGGATGAAAATGTAGAACATGCCCCTCTGATTAGCGTCCTTGGAAAAGACTAGAATCAGATGCCATCGGAAATATCTCCGCACGGGAAGATGTTAAACCACGTGCTTGTTGGGCATGTACCATAACCGCAACCCCCGCCATTGCGATGTTTTAAAGGGCAAGAGACAAGAAGCGGGACCCGCTACTATTGTGTGACGAATAATTTCCAGGCCAGTCCGGAGGCCAATCGAGGCTATTACGGAGTATGAACTCCTTCACTGCAGTTATGGATATTCTCCTGACTATTTTGCTTATCAAAGTATCCCAGCATCGATCCATGCGAGTTTTCTCGCCCGTGGGGTCAGCCATGGGTCTCACCTGGGCACACTTGGCTTCGAGTGACTATATATAAAACACTGGTCTCCATAGGTCCTTATGAATGCGATTGTACTCCGTAGTATCCCCCGCGGCTATGTATCGAGAGAAGCCATAAAGCAGGCTTCCCCCATTGAAAAATCGGCTATGCATATATGTAGCCACGTTGTATTCTCCCTATTTTCCCGGTTCTATCGGCCCGTATATGGCATCCCGATTTTTCTCAGGCCCACTCTCGGGAACCCTCCATCCGATACGCTCGGCTCGAGACTCCACAGGCCAGGAACACACCCTACGTGCATCGTAGAGAAAGGCCATGATGTAGATATAAAGGGGAAGACTGTAGGAATTAATTAGACGCAATTAAAGAGTCCCAACAAGGAGTAGAGAGGAGAGAGACTTCATCATGAAAATACTTCAACATATCTCTAACTATATAGCATATAGCAGAACATGTCGTCATAGCCAAATCGGGTAGAAAACCCCCCGCGAGAGAAAAGCGAACCAACCAATAAGAAACTGTGGAGTTACTGATGAATGGAGACCCTGGGGAGAGTCCCATAGCACCTCCCCGCAAAGCAGCGACACGCAGGTCACCGAAGTTCCCGAAACGGGAAAAATGGCCCTGCTGTAACCTCACGTGCCTGGTACTTTACCGGGGGAATATGGGGACATTATTTAGTTTGAAGAGAAATTACACACAAATTACCACTCTAGCGTTTCTACTTCTTATACTTCTTCTCCCTCTTCTGATCCTTCTTTTCCCCTTTCCTATTCTCAATTCCTCCCCTCAATTCCCCGCCTTCTCCCCTGCCCCGCCATGTCACCCCAACAAGAGCTTGTGCCGCAAACAGAATCTATCGCGGAAGTCTACGCAACAGATGAGGCCTCTCTGACTTCCGTGGCACCAGAGCACCAGCAGCGATGGACCAATCTCATTACTCAGTTCAATAAGACGTATAACTACCGCCCAGACTTTGTGGCGCGCAGTCCCGGCCGCGTGAACATTATCGGCGAGCACATTGACTACTCACTGTACGATGTCCTGCCGACCGCTGTCAGCGTCGATGTGATTATGGCTGTCAAGGTGGTCCCCGCTAGTGCGGAGGGCACCACTATCACGATCGCCAACGTCTCGCCGGAGAAGTTCCCCGCGCGCGAGTTCAGCGTGCCCCACGATAAGGACGTCAAGATCGACCCCAAGAAGCACGAGTGGGTGAACTATTTCCGCGCCGGCCTATCTGGCGCCCTCAAGTTCCTGCGTAAGGAGAAGACGGATGGCTCGCTCGTTCCTGCTAGCATGCAGATCTTGGTCGACGGCAATGTGCCACCCGGTGGTGGTATCTCCAGCAGTGCTGCTTTCGTGTGCGCTAGTGCCCTGGCCGTTATGAAGGCCAACAACCACGACGTCTCCAAGCAGGATCTGTTGGATCTGGCTGTTGTCTCGGAGCGCGCTGTCGGCGTCTACTCCGGCGGGTGAGTTATCCCCCTCAACAGACGACAGCAACCAACAGAAAACTAACCTCAGTGCGTAAACACAGCATGGATCAAGCAGCATCCATTTTCTCCAAGCGCGGCTACTTGCTCTACACCCAATTCTTCCCTAAATTCAACGCGCACCACGTCCCAATCCCCACATCCTCCGACGAAATCACCTTCCTGATGGCCCAGAGTTTCGTAACCTCCAACAAGGCCGACACAGCCCCGCGCCACTACAACCTGCGCGTAGCAGAGTGCACACTTGCCGCCGTGATCCTCGCCAAGCACCACGGCGTAACACTACCCAAGGACAACAGCTCCCTCGGGTACAGCCTGCGCAACTTCCACAACGAGCTAATGACCAAAGAAGGCCGTCTCCAAGATCCACTGGAGTACCAAATCGACTCCGTGATCCAAGCGACGATGGACCTGTTCACACAAGAAGAGGGGTACACGCGCGAGGAGATGGCGCAGCTGCTGGGCATCACCGTAGCCGATCTAGAGTCGACCTTCCTCTCCGCATTCCCCGTGCAAGCGGAACGATTCCAGCTCCGCCAGCGTGCGCTGCACTGCTTCAAGGAGGCGCGCCGTGTGCTTGATTTCAAGGCTTGTCTCAGCAAGGCTACTCAGCTGGACGAGAAGCGCATCCACTATCTCGGTCAATTGCTTAATGAGTCGCAGGAATCGTGCGCTACGGCTTATGACTGCAGTGCGCCTGAGGTTGACGAGATCTGTGCTATTGCGCGTCGTGCGGGTACTTGGGGTAGTCGCTTGACTGGTGCTGGATGGGGTGGTTGCACTGTTCACATGTTGCCCCAGGGTAAGGTGGAGGCTGTTACTACTGCGCTGAGGGATGAATACTATCTTAAGAAGTTCCCCGATATCAGTAAGGAGAAGCTGGAGCAGGCTATGGTTATTAGCAAGCCGTCCAATGGGTCGTTCTTGTACGTTGTTCCTTTCACCCCTTTTGATCGCTGGCATATATTGGATGATGGCTAACATTTTTGTTATAGGGTTACGGGGGCTGCTATTGACCAGATCCCTCTTTGAATGTTGTATGGCAGATTGAAGCAAAGCCCACTCGAATAGGGCTATCGATTATATTATAGTGAAGTTCAAAATATAACATCACTTCATCTTTACATGGATTATTCAATAAATAGTATACATTGAAGCTGACAAGGATGCGCCGGATTGGAGAAAGATATCCCAGATCTCCTGGGCATCGGTTCTTTCAGACAGCTACAGTGCTTTCCAAGCAATCGCGCAGATTGGCTGGGATTGTGGAACGAGTCGAGCGTCTCAACTCGCCCTCACTTGCTCAGGGAGTGCCTTTTGGTGGCTCTGTCTGGGCAGGAGGGTTTGGCCTCCAGGCCCATAGACAGAATCTCTCAACCATAGAACTTGCTGGTTGGATTTCTCTGAAGCCAGGCAATAAGTTACCTGCATAACGCACGGCTATGTTTTTGTTCAGTTGCTTGTATCCGGAAACTTCAAGTCTTCTTCTTGGGGGCAGCCTTGGCGAAGAAAGCGCTCATTTTCTGCATCCCGCTTGTGTTGACCTTCTTCAGGTTCTTAACTGCTTGGGATTGCGAAGCCTTGGCTTTTTTCTCCTCCTCTTCCTTGCGGCGTTTCTTCTCGCCCCGTACATCCTCTTCCTCATCGTCAAGGCCTCGCTTCCGACTGAAGTTGGACATGTCTCGTGATGCGAGAGCTTGAGCACGAAGGTCCGCAATCTCCTTGAGACGGTCATTCAGCGGCTTGAAATCGATCGGGCTCTCTGCGGAAGCGAGGATCTCATCCAGTCTCGAAGCCATGGTGGCGGGCAGATATGACTCCTTCATGAAGGACAGTGCAGTGGAAATTCGGAGGAGTCGAGTAATGTGATCCGAAGCTGGCGACTCTTCACTCGGTGGCTGTGGCACGGGTGTCGATTCCCCTGCAGGTGTCGCAACAGATGGAGTCGCAGTTGTGGCCACAGTCGAGGGCGAATCATCCCTCTCCTCTGATTTCGAGGCCGATTCCTGGCTCCTCGTTTGATGGCTCCTGGCTAGTCGCGACATCTTCTCGTTTTACCGCCATCAAGGGCGTGGCTAGCGTCTGGCGAACAAAGCGTTCTTCAAGACTCGCAGGAAGACCCCGATCCGCCATGCGTTCTGCCTTTGTGATCAACTCCTGAACAAGCTTCGTCTCATTGAATCGGAACATCTTCTCATCGCCAGCCTCGACCACTTCACAGATAGCTTCCGCCCGCGCTAGGATGGAGCCTCGGAATTCATCATCGTAAAGAACTTGGCGCAGATGCTTGGGCATATCGTCTTGGGAGTCGATTATATCGTCGAACGGCTGGAAAAGAGAACGGCCTGATTTCGCAGAAGGTGCTAACAATGGGACCATAAAAAAACAGCGCATCCACTGGAGTTGCCACTAAGAACTCTGCTTTCTTCGTGATCGAGCCCTGCACCGAGGGCTCGGATTCCTTTTCCTCTCCTTCCGACGGACTGTGAGTTTCGCGCGTGCGTGGCGTGAACAGAATACTACGCCCCATATGCGCTGTCGGCGCAACAACCGTAAATTCGTATATACCGCGATTCGGGCAAAAGAAATAACGTGTTAGCTCCCCCGATTGGGGATCTGGCAGGGAGAGGAGTCGCGCATTGTCGCTGGTAGCGGATGGGAGGATGAACGTTTTGCTCGGTTTCTCTGCCGCAACGAGAGTTTTAGTTTTAGTCTCGTTTTCAGAGTTCTCAGATTTTGTCGGGGCTGATCGAGTCTTCATTGTGTGATATAGGTGGGAGCGAAGGTGAAGACCAGAAGATCGGGAAACGGAAGGGGCTAAAATGAAAACGCGCCGAACGCGCCTGACCCAATCAGCCCTTGTACGCGATCCGTCACTTTCCCTTTGCATTAGCGAGTTTCAACCCGATTGTGTTATTGTATCCCTGTTCTCTCTCTGTTGTCATTTTGAGTATCCCTTCCCATACATTCTACATTCTACATTCTACATTCTGTACTCTGCACTCTGCGCAAGGGCAAAGGGCGTGGGCCGCAAATGACGCTCCATGGTATCTTCAGTCACTGATTACGTTTGAATCCTCTCATTAATCGCTAGTAAGGGACCTATAATCACTTGGGCTAATTTCATGGCTAACTATTCACCCCTGTCAAAGTGGTCGAACCCGCGTGGCCGCCCCAATCGCCCCGCGCGGCTCTCTTGAGTTCGCCGGCTGGACGACGAAAGTATCAAGACATGCAACGCAATCGGGAGAATCTGACATCGCCATTGAAGCGCTCAAATACCACACCCAATATCCGATCAAAAGCGAGTCAAATTGTGGATGAAGATGATGGGGAAGAGGAGGATGAAGAGACCCTGCAGCTTCAGCTAGCAGAGATCAAAGCGCGCTTGAAGTTGAAGAAACTCCAGCAAAAGAATCGCGGAAGATCTAGTTCGAATCTCGATGACGAAGATTCTCGACCAAATTCCGCAATTAGCGCTCTACGAACAGAAGACCGCGGTGCAACACCAAGAATCACCAATGGAGGGAGGCAAAGAACGAGCAGCGATGGAATCCAGGTTCCGGCATCACCTACCAAGCGAGAAGTTCCTGTCGCCGACCCTATATCGCCTCGGAGATATGTCATGGGTATTGATAAGGGCTGGAAGGCCAATGATGTATCCTTGAAACGACCTCCAAGCTCAAGGCCCGGCCCTCGACCAAGTAGTCACATGGGATTTCGAGACGGTGCTACACCGCGCTCCAACGACATATTCTCCTCACGCCCCCAGACTTCTCCTTCATCAACAGGAGGGATCAACCGAATAAAAAGTTTCAGCGAGAGAATGGCGGAAGGCAGAGCGGCTGAGAAATCTCGGCTGGAGAGAGCAGAAAGGGTCCAGGCCAACCGCAGTTCGGCCTTTCAAATTGACAAGTCGGAGCTAGAGGCCTTCAAAGCTGCAGCTTCGGATGAAAAGCATTCCCCGCCACCGTCGTTGTCTCGAGAGCGGCCTACGGAAAGCTTCAGTCGCGAGGATATCCTTCGATCTGTGGGACAATCCCGCCCATCCGGTCTACAACGCAGTAATACAACTCCGAACGTTCGAAGAACTGAGGGCAGTGGTCTCAAAGAGAGACAATCTCACCTACATAGGCGAACTCATACGGCAGAAGAAGAACTAAGTTCCTCTCACAAACTAGGCCAAACTGACGATACTATGGTGAAGGCCCCAGATTCTTCAAAATTTGAGTCCTACTCGTCGCTACATCTATCAAGCCGAGTTCTCCCGCATTCTTTCTTGAGCCGCACACTCGCAGAAAAGAGAATTCTTCGCATTCCCGATCTACTCAAAACCGTCAAGGCACCCGCATTCGAGCTCCCAGAGGACATTGATGGGGACTTCGTGGTATTTGGGATCGTCGCTTCCAAGTCCGACCCCAAGGACAAGAAAGTTTCGGGAAACGCCTCGGCTAAAGATATGGACCCTTACGATGATGGGCTTAACAACACGAACAGATATATGGCCATTACCCTAACCGACCTAAAATGGACTATTGACCTCTTCCTTTTTGACACTGCTTTCCCCCGTTATTACAAAATCTCGGAAGGGACTCTAGTCGCAATTCTGAATCCCACAATCATGCCTCCACCAAAACACAAGCTGGATACAAACAGATTCAGCTTGTCCTTGTCCTCATCAGATGACAAGGTCCTCGAAATTGGCAAGGCACGGGATATCGGGTTCTGCAAATCCGTGAGAGAAAAGACGGAAAGACCTGCCAATCCTGGATAGATGGTCGGAAAACCGAGTTCTGTGACTTCCACGTTGATATCCAGATCCGACGCACTCAAGGCCAACGCTCGGGGGTCAATGCTGACACCGGTATGCTTGGTCCTGGTGGTAAATCCGGCTCGCGGACCGGATTGTTTGGGGAAGGAGTGAGGCGAGGAGCTGCTTTCAAGCAAGGCTTGAAACACGATGGCCCTCATTATGACATGGGATCTCAATCTCTCTACTACGTGGCGCCCTCCAGAAACCGCGGCGCCGGTCGTTCGTCCTTCAACCCCATGGGAGGCTCTGCGGCAAACCTTATTGATGCGCATGACGATCCCTTCATCGCCTCAGGTATGATGGGGCGCGGTATGGACAGCAAGGAGGAGCGAATGCGCCGGCGTCTTGCGACCCAACAGCGCGAGCGTGACATCACCCAAAAGCTAGTTTCCGGCCGCGTAGGTGGCGTGGGCGCCGAGTACCTTCGCACAAGGACCGGCAACGAGAGCCCAAACAAGGAAACAGCACAAGGCACTCCCCTGCCCAAGAGCCCCACGACAACCAACGGCATGGATATGACCACCTTTGGCAAAGCCAAGAATGTCCGTTTAAGTCCAATGAAGCGTGCCCATGACAAGCCCCACGGCAGCGGGGTCAAGAAGACGCGATTCATCACTTCAAGGGGCATCAAGGAGGCTGGCCGGGAGAGCCTGGGTGCGCCTGCTGAAATCACGCCCAGTGGGAAACAGGTACTCTTGGATGATGACGACGATGATGATGATTTGGAGTTCATTTGACGCATTCAAATGCCATATCCATCCTGTTCCCTCCCAAACCTTTGAGTCTCCGTTGAGGGTAGGAATACCAATAACGCTATAACGAATACAAAGCATGTCCTGGTTGCATTGGGCGGATTTCCTTTTTTGATTGGATTTGTCGAGGAGTAAAGGTAGATACAACCCTTGTCATAAATCGATGTCTCAATTAATGTATTTGTACTTCCATCATGAAAGCTTCCTCTCCTTGTCTACATGCACAAGTACCTAGGTAGTTCCAAGGTTTCTGAGCGGACTTGTACCGGTGATTAGCCCGGCTACTGCCGAAAGCTTGTTTTGACTACACCTCCGAGCAGGGAGCTTCTATCGGGACTGGATATCAGCCATGTACAGGGAAGGATTTTGCAAATATCATGAATTTCCATTGGGCTGTTCCGATTTACCATGATTCCTCCCGTGATGACCACCGACCCGCTTCCCGCGATGAAAAGTAAAAAGCAAAATAAAAAAGAAAGTGCGCCGGAACGAAAAGAAAAATCAAGGGAAAAGTCAAAAGAAAGAAAGAAACAAAAGTGCAGATGAAAAGACAAGAAAAAACGCCGCTATTCCGGCCGAATATGTTTTCCTGAGGTATCCTTAGAATTTGCGATTCCCAAACCCACGCGCGCCATTGGAAGAAAAAAGAGAAAGAAACGAGACGAACCCCTGCGGCCTGCGCAAAATACAAGACGGCCATCATGGGGACAAAAAAAGGGCATTATGAGAAGAAAGAAGGAAACACCAGCAAAAAAGGGTGCGCCCAGGCGCAACGAAGAGAAGATTGACACAATTAACGCCAATTCCGGCCAACGCACAAATGAAAGAAAGTGAAATTTTCAAAGCGCTGGGAGAATGCAAATTGGACGTGAGAAAATGTGATGACTGAATGAGACCTAGGAATCGGACGTAGATGGCTCGGCGGTCGACGCCTCTCGAGAAGCTTCCGCGCGTAGGGCCTTGCGGGTGCGTGGAGCAGGGCTACCGCGGGCCTCGCGGAGGCGCTTCGCACGGTCAGCGCGGGATTCGGGCTCCCGCGTCTTCCTGCTCACAGGCGGCCAGTACTTCAGGAGGCTGCTGCCACTGCTGGTAGAAAGACCCCGGGACCGGATTCGTTCCTCGCGGGAAGCGCCGGGAGCGAGGTCCTCGGAGAAAGAAGTGGGCAGGGCAGGAGTCACATCCAGGCTAGAGCGTGGGAAGCGGAGGCCTCTATGCGCAACGGGGGCTGATTGAGCGACAGGTGTGCCCACTTCGAAGGGATCCGGCAAGAGGGGAGGAGTCACACGTTCCCGGTCTTGGCGAATGTCATAAGGCAGAGTTGGAGACGTTGGCTCGTGATCCTCGACATCGGTGACATCCTCCTCGTCACCATCGGTAGGCTTAGCGGGGTTGGGAAATAGGAGACGAGGTTTGATGTCGCCACGTCTCAAAGGTTTCACGCTCTTGAGAATGTCAGGGTTATCAGCCAACAGGTCGGGACGGTTGGCGAAAAGGCCAAGGTCATCCTCATCCTCGCCCTCATCTTCCATGTCATCAAAGCGCTTGAATATCTTTTTCCCACGGCTAAAATACAAGTTAGAATATGTGGGAATAGTTAATAAATGAGGGTTGACTTACTGGACAAACCAGGCTCCTTCGTTGGGATTGGTGGTTGAGCGAGTGGCAGGTCGCCCGACCGGTCTTCCAGGATTGTAAATGAACGAATCAGTCGAGAGAGGACCGATCGCCGGGATGCGATCACGGGAGTCCTCGTGGATGGGGATACCCAATTCTTGCTCTGCAGCTTGAATAGTGTACCCTCTCAAAGGCTCATCGACAAAGATTGCTGGGGGTTCTGCAGAATACTGAGGGGTCTCCATTTTCCTGCGTTTGGTGGAAGTGGAAGGGAAAAGAGAACGAGATGTGGAAGAATCAGAATTGATTATCTTCTTCTTCGAAGGGGTTTTAGCTGGGGTAGGTAAAGCCTGTTCTGCAGAGGATTGGGAGGTGTGGTGTGCAGAAGTGCGGGGAAGTGAAGGTTCAGAACCGAAGGGAGAAATACGGGAGGCAGCATTTCTGTGAGAGCGTGCAGCCTTTTTGGGCGAGGGTTTGGCGGTGCCAGGCGAAGAGGGCGAAAGCGTTCTTTTGGATGCTCCAGGTTTGCCAGATACGGTTGCGTGACGTGGGGGCGGCGTCGTTTGGACAACCCTTGACCCTCGTTGACCTGCTAGTCTAGCGGAATAACGTGTGGGATAAGGTTCATAGTTGTCGTGCTTTGCCCCATGTCGCGGCGCCCTTGGTACGCGAAGCGCGGACGGTGATGGCGGCGGTGGTGTTGACGCCATGTTGACTTGAATAACGATTGAACAGCCGCTCGATGGTTTGCGATCTTTTGAATAAAGATATAAATAGTCTATTAGTCACAGTTTATGCCCGGGCTTTTTCTGAAGTTCTCGGTTTTGACGAAGTGTCGAGAGGGAGCGTTGATATAATCAAGGGCGTACCACGTCCGACTTGTAAGAAGTCCGGCCAAAACCAGAGAGGCACTCGGAGATATTAAAGCTCAAAAACGATATCAGATGTAAACTTGAAGATAGCCAATTGTCCGAGGCGACGAGAACAAAAAACGATCAGTTGGTGGTGAATGAAGGGTGAAGTTGTTGTGAAAGGCCGATTGTCGCCCAGCCACCCGGGTATCTTCACCGCCTCGATAATTACGGTGGCTGAAAACCCCGCGTCAACAATGTTGATTTTCCTATTTCGATCTACCCCAATTCCCTATTTGATCATCTTTCAGCCGTCGATCTGTCACTCATCAGTTGTCAATTGACCTTCGAATACTTTATAAGTCCAATTATTGAAGGACTGAACCCGTCGGGCGCTTAGTTTGTCAATATTGCTTGTACATACTTCGGCTCCTACTCCGCAAATTCAACATCATGGCTTTCCGCACCACGGCAGAAGAAATGGAGAGACTTCAACTATCCGATGACGACACAGAGGACCTCTGGAACTCCCCATCCAAGAGGGCGACCCACAAAAATATCAACCCAAGAACCTCTGACGAGAAGACTACACCAGAACCTCGAGCTTCCCATGATGGCGAGGATCCTCTCTTTGATGACCAGGAGGCCCGGGAGGCTGCTCTCCGGATGGAGTTACAAGGTGTGCGGAATATCAACGAAGTGATAGAAGGACTTCTGGGAAGTTTGGACTCCGCCAAGGGAAACATGGAGGTAATGCGTCTTTCTCATAATTCATGGTTGATACTCTGGCTAATTATATTTATAGACAGTTTCACAAACTGTTACTTCGGCCTCGACACTCCTCAACACGTGGACTCGCATCCTTTCCCAAACCGAGCATAATCAGCGATTGATCCTCAATCCTAACTGGCAAGGCGCTACTCAGGATGTGATTGACATCGAGAACCAAGCGATTCAGAGACAGCAAGCGGCAGAAAGACGTGAACAGGCACTCCAGCAACAAAGAGAAGCAGCAGCGCGAAAAGCTGAGGAAATTGAAAAGCGACGCGCACAGGTCACTCGGGGTGCACGAGGCACCCGCGGAACTACGAGGGGCACAGTTCGAAGCACTGGCTTAGGAAGAACGCCGAGTGTCAGCACTACCCGCACGGCAACACGGGGGGTCTACGACAACTCAACGGCCAGTCAGTGGGATAGCACGAGGAAGTGGAATTTCTCGCGGTCGGGGGAAGGTCTAGGTGGAATGGACTAGTTTATGTACAATAAATCTTTGACTATGAAGATAAAACAGAATGATAACTATGATACCCTTATTTTGATGTATTGTTGCCTGAGGCCACTTACACGCGTCGCGATCTGATAACGATAAGGAGCTACCCCAAATTATTCCCCTGATCCTTGGAGATCATTCCGTCATTCACCTTTTCAGGTACGACGACATTATGAATTTCGCCCCATATCAAGATCAATCACCAGAGATTGAGCGTGCCCTATCCCCTCCCCACCCGGATAGTCACCGAATATCCCCCATCCTCCGCTCACCGCGAGCCTCGGCCGACCTACCCTCCCCTAGTCACTTTGCTGGCGGCGGACATGGCAACACAGGCTTTGGTCGAGACGTCGAGGGGGGCCACGTGAGCTTAGGGGCTTTTGAAACAAGTCTTCCCATTCGCATGGATATCGAAGCAGCACTGGCGTATCTGCTTCTGCCTCCTGCGGGGGGTGTATTCCTGCTACTGGCTGAACACAAGAGCGACTATGTGCGGTATGTAATGGACTTTTGGATAACTATAGGGTTCCTTGAAACCAAACTTTACTAACTATTCACTATAGATTTCATGCTTGGCAATCAAGTATGTTATTTGCTACCATGTTTGTGTGTATTCCATCTTTCCTATTGTCCTGAGGTCGCATACGCTGATATGCCAAACATAGATCATCCACCTTCTTTTCTGCTGGTCGAGCTTTCTCTCCTGGACATTGTTTATTATCGATATTGCTTTAATTGGCTTCCTCAGCATGCATGCTTACCAAGATGGTGAGTCTTCCAAGATTACTCTACGCGAGCTGCCAATACGGCTGGGCTGTCCGTCGGCACCTGATACTGATCACGTTATCTCTAGTTGATACTTTGGACCACTTTGAGGTCCCATTTTTTGGCCGTCTGGCTAACTCCTTTGTTGATGATGAGTGAACATGAACCAATTTCACGTACTTGAATTATTACTGCGAGGAAGGATGTCTTTTTTCATATACCCCTGTCGCTTCTTTCTTTGGTTCCGGACAGGCTATGCGTGGATGAATAATTCTCTTTTTGTTTACTAGGTTTGTAAATTTAGAATCTCAAATCATCTTATCCAGCTGAAGCCAATATTTGCAAAATACCAATGGCGATGAACATAGTAACTATACTACTCATTAGCAGTTACATCAGAGTAACCCATCATCTCCAAAGAGATTGTGTACCATTTGTCCCGCTCCAGGTAATCGTATAGCCATTTCTTCCCCTAAGATTTGTGTGCCAGATCAATCACCTATTGGACATAAGGAGGAACAGGCGGTTGGACTTTGAGAGTCGTGAGTCGGTTTAGGGGAAGGGACCATGTACTGCAGCCTCACAGTGGGAGTATCTTGCGGCTCTGTATAGTCACGGCATGTTAGTTTAATATCATAACATCTTGTGGTTTTAAATGCTGGCATAGGTCTTACCACGGCCTTCTGTTTTGGCTTTCTTCAGGCTTAATCGGCTGAGACCTGCTCTTACCCGCGTGTAGCAGTTCTTGATCCAGCAGCCGACTACATCAAATACGCCAGACCTAGCAGGATAATGATACTTTTAGCATCATATTCTTACGATCATCCTGTTCATATTGTTCAGTGGTCATACATACTTCTTCAAGATAGCGCATGTCAACATGAACAACAGTATAACAATGAGTGATAGAAAAGTTATCAATAAATATCCGGCAGCCACCTCTGATGTTGAATCAGACTTGTCATTAGGAGCAGGAGCCATTCTTGGCAAATATAAAAATATCAGTGAAAGTGAGGTAGAGTGTGTCTTGAGGGCAGCCAAATCTATACATACTCTACGCCAGGTTTGCGTCAGCATGACCCATAGACCTATGTACATAATATCGGTAGTCCGGCCAGATTGATTCTAATTGAAACATGTTAGGGGTCATCATTGAAATACTGGTCTAACAATAACCTGGAAAGAGTGCTGGTTGACAAACCATTCAAATCTACCTAGGTAGTTGGGGACGTAGGTAGCTTCATGTGACTTTGATCACCGGGGTACTGGTACTGTTATGGAGCTGATTTTAGCACTCATTTCCCAGTTAAAGACACCTACTAGTCTACTCTTAACGCTGCTTTCAAAAGTGAGCTAGACGATTTAGCCTGAGTTTTCGTGTCTATAGAGCCATCACGGTAGCATCACATTCAGTATAACATCAAACTAGGAAAGCTAAGATAGAATGACCAAGCCAAGCAATATAGAAACGCCATTCCATTGTTTCTTGGTCCATTCTTATTCCTTCCCATTCTTCCAGACCAAATAACAGTCTTGTTATTCTTTATAGACGGGCAAGGGCTCCTCGAGATTGCTGTCGTCATAGCCTGGCGGACCTTCTCGGCGACCAGGTCTCATATATTCCATCCTGATAGCTCGCATCTCAATAGACTCTGAGCAAAGAAATTGCTAATTAGTGACTTGAAAGTACTTTGTCTAGATGGGGCTTACCAGGTGTGGTTTGCTGCTCGTCGGTGCCTTGAGGCGGTGTTTTTCGAACAAAAATGAAGCGGTATAACTTTCTAAACTCACTTATTATTAGACGGGGAGTCCCACAAATAGGATTGACAAGACTGGATTCCAAGGCCTGGTTAGTGTCTCTCCTTAATAGGAACTGGGAAACACGTTATCATCATCGCCCACGACTTACCAAGAATTTCCTCATCCGAACAAATACCCCAACACATACAGCGCCCGCATTTTGCAACAAGGACCATTATTAGGAACGGTATTGCGAGAAATACGGGAGGGCCGAAAAGTATGGATATTGTCACCCAAAAAAAGATCATGCTTTCTGAGGGAGCATCTGAGCGAGTGCGCAAAACAGCGCCTCCATTGCTCTGTGGCGTCTGTGTAATCAGGTGGGCAATAGAAGGCATTTTTGGCACTGTCCTTCTGTTCTTGTGATAAAAGTAGTTGAAAATATGTGACACATCAGTGGCAGCGGGCGTAATTATCTGTAATTATCTTTTGTCCTCCGTCGCCCGAAAAGGTTCGGAGGTACATAGTTTAGAGCTACACTTCTAAGTTCACATCAACCAAGAACTCGATATTTACTCTTCGGTATTAAAGAAAACAACTTGCACAGTGATATCGTCCCGTATCCTTCGAGAGAAAGGAGGGTCAAAGGCAAGCCGGCCTGCTATCAACTCGTGGTGATTTCCACCAAGGGAGTTGCGCATCAGATGTACTGCAGCATTATCATCTTGGGTTGTTGTTCTCTCTTCCTCAAACTTCCAGTTCACATCTGTCCAGAATCTGCCAAAGTCAAATTCTCGGTCTGTTGGCTCTGGTTTGCTCTTTTTCTCCGTAGTTTGTGGTTCCAACCAGTTCCCAACCAAATCAACACCCTGTTTACTGGAGAGGTAATCCCATAGTCCATCCGTTGCCATAATCAAGAACGATGGTTTGTTAGGATCGATCTTAGTGCTTGTCACAACCGGCTCGGCAGTCAAGTATGGGGGTGTGCGGACATCGTAACGTGGCGTCAGCGGTGACGGACCATTGAATTTCTGCTTCATTTCCTTTTGGAAATCCAGAGACCACTTCAAGAGACTGTCACCAAATGCTCGTGAGACCATGAGTCCAAGCACCCGTCCTCCTTTGGCTATGTTTTCCTCGCCAGGGTGCTCCTTGGAAATGCGGGTGATCTCTTCTTTGTTACTACCAGTTTGGTCGACTGACAAGGGAATGGCTTCCCACTTGCCGTCTGGGCCTTTTTGCCCCAGAACCGCTCTCGAGTCGCCAGTACACGCAACGTGGAGAGTGCTTGTGATAGGGTCATACAGAGATAACAACGCGCACGAACCAGCGTAAGCAGGAGCCAGTTTCTTAACCTTGTCTTGGAAGGATTCTTTGCTCTTAGATGTGTCCGGTGCAGTCTTGATGATGGAGTTGTCGAGGTCCACGAATCCTTTCATTATAGCTCGCTGGATCGACTCATTTGGCACCAGTTCGTCGTTTGAGGCTGGTTTAGCTTCGGACAATCTGCGTCGCACGAAAGGCAGCAGTTGCTTGGTCAACAGGTCCGCTGTCTGCCAACCTGAATGTCCATCGAAAACAGCCCAGGAAATCCATTGATCATCCTCATTCCACGGCGAAGAAAGTTGGCCATGAATAAACCGGTCCTCGCAGGGGCTATTGGATGCCAATTGAGCGCCATCGTATCTCTTGACGCCCGTAATATTCCTAACATGGAAAGAGTATGCCTCTTTCGATATCATATGCGTGACATCCTCTTTGGAGGGGCCCGGCTCAGGGACCAAGTGCTCCGCTGGCGGACTCTCGAGGCGGGGCACTTCATCCCTTGTAGCGGTCAACCACCACATGCCGGGTGCGCTGATCAAACCAGCAGTCGCGATGTAAATTTTCCAGTTTGAAGACAAGTTCTTTGTTGAAATGGGACGTTTGCTATGTGCCCGTACGATGGACGTGGTCACGCGCCCCAGACGCGGTCGCGCGAGACATGATAACATGGTGGCTAGTGGCGTAGAAGAAGGTAAAGCCAGAGAGGACTTTGAAGTCACTTGAAGTTTGCGCCAGCTTTCGTCAAGGCGGTAAGATTACGAGACTCTTTGCTGTACTCAGAGTGGAATAGGGGTAAGCCGAGCACTCCAAGGCACCTAGCCGGCTCTGTCTGAAATAGCCACATAGTCACCAAACCCCTGATTAACTCTTGGTTTGCTTGAACGGAACGTATTTAATTAGGTAAAGAGAGAATCGAGTGTTGCAATGTTTTCAGAAAAGAATAAATGGATTCACGGAGTTAACACTATATATATCCTCTAGTCCCACCCTACTCAATGTTTTCATCCCTATTTTGAGATTTGAGAATAACCTCATCGTCTCTCTGCAAGAAAAAACAGAAAAGATGCCCATAACTCATACAGGATAACTCATACAGGATATGAGTATTTTGCATGTTCCTTTCTTTCAATTGTTCTTCCTCACCGCACAATACCAAATTCAACGTTGCTAACCGATAACATTCCATATATCTTCAGGTCGAGTACAACACCAGAACTTCAATGCTGCAACACACTGATTCCACAATTCGTGTAGATTTTGGATTTTCGACAGGCACCTATACTGTTGAAAAGCCCTATGTATCGGACACGGGATTTACCAAAAATGCAGCCCTCGCTATAAGAGCCTTATTTTCCGACTCTTCAATTTCTAGAGTTGTATCACAAGGACATCCAGTGGTCCACTGTTTTGGGACAGTGCCCATTGAAACACCTTACTTTTAGCTGGACTAGAGTGGTCAAGTTTTTTCCGCCATAGGCGGTTGCCCGTCGGAGGTCATTAGCCGCTCTCCTGTCACGTCACCGCGCGGCATATTGCTTTCTGTTTCTGTTTCCGGCTTCTTCTTGATGTTGATATTCGAGATGAAGAGTGCGAATGCCAGCGAGAGAACGTTCGCTGGAACGCCGATGATGTAGACAACCGAGAGGGACTTGCTACAGGCAGGCGTTAGATCATAATCCACGGCGAGGAGCGCGGGCAGACTCACACATACGCACGCACGACTTTAGGGACCAGTGCCTCTGGAACCGCGGTATAGATCGATAGCGGGGACTGCTCTATTACTGCAAAAGGCGCGTCTGGCGCGTACTCGCGCAGATTTCGCGCGAGTTCGGACGAGAAAGTGGCTTCGGCGATGGCGAGACCAATCGTGCCACCGAGGAACTGCAAGATAAAGATCAATTATGAGCAGCAGGAATAAGCTATACGTGTGATACGTACCTGGCAGAAGTTCACCATACCGGTAGCCTGACTGATCAGCTTTGGTGTGTCATCGAACTCAGCCTGCATGGCAAACAGGATGTTCTGCAGAGTAGTGCCGATGCAGATCTGGTATATGGCTAGCATCAGAAGGACTATATGACATACGAGAAAGTGCTTACGCCGACGAGGATCTGGTAGCCGATCACAGCCTCATTTGAGGGCAACGCGGTCACAGTGTACATTAGTCCAGAACCGATGGCGCCAATCACCGGCCCGCCGACCAAGAACTGCCAATAGCGGCCGTAGCGACCTGTTGTCAAGAAAATCTATTAGTTGTCCGGCACCAACGGAAAACATGACACATACCGACGAGTTGTCCAGACACCACAATCGAGATGACGACTGAGAGCATGAGCGGGAGTAGGTCCACGCCACTTTTCGTCGCCGAATGGTGTCGGCCTGCCTGATAGTAGATCGCTGTGTACTGTGGTCAGCCGATAATATATGGGGACGGTGAAGTTAGAACCCGACGCACGAATATACTATAGAGGATGTCAGTGGTTGTAACACAAGAGATGTATATGAAACGCACGTATGTGAAGATCAAGTAGATGAAGCGGTTGAAGATCGCAAAGGAGCAGATTGAGTAAATAGACAGGCTCTTGAAGATTGCCAACGGAACCATAGCCCCATCCCCCATATATCGCTCCCAAAAGATGAACACAACTGTCAGCACAGGTGCAAGAACAAGGCACTAGTGCAAGTCAATTAGCAGTCCTTCCACAAATGCGGTATGCTTCGGAATACGTACTGCAATAACTTCTGCACTTCTCCATGCCTTTTCGTTTCCGCCCCACTGGAGGCCTAGAACAAGACTTGTGACGGCACCCAGACTGAGTATAGCGCCAATCCAGTCCAAGGCAGCCGTGCGCCACAACATGGTCTTAAATGAGCGATCATAGCCTTCGGATCCGAGCGGTGGTGGAGCGTCAAGGAGCAATATAATCGCTACAATAGACACGCCGCCCTGGGAGGAATTAGCAAGTGGCAAATAGCAACTGTGGCTGACGTACAATGGGTAAGTTAATATAGAAACACCACCGCCAGGTAACATGGTCCGTGAGAGCACCACCTACAAGGGGCCTGATAACGTTAGTTCAGTTGCGATGTGAACGAAGAAACATTTTCTCTTACCCAATGATTGAGGCACTGAAATACGATTAGCAGTCTATATATCAGGTTTCAAAAGCCGCAACGTACAATGCAAATACTGATTCGAAAAGGCTGAACAACATGGGTCGATCCTCTAATCGGGTAGCCTGAGCCATCACTTGGAGGATACCAGTGAGAATGCCGCCGGCACCGACACCAGAGAGCGCACGTCCGCCGATAAGTGTGTTGACATCCTGGGCGGCACCACACAAGGCTGATCCAACCTCAAAAATTACCACAGCTGCTAGAAGCACATATTTGGCTGGGTAGAGGCGAAGGACTTGGGCGAAGAAGAGGATGAAAGTGGTCTGCGTGAGGACGAACGAGGCGGCGACCCAGCCTTGTTGTGAGAACTACCGAGCGTCGTATATAAGTCCACGAACATGTGTCTTTCCTACATAACTAACCGCATTGAAGTCTGACGCTATGCGCGGTAGAGCAGTTGATAAAATAGTCTGGTCCAGCGCGATTACTACAATATTCAGTCGCGCGCCCGAAGATCAGGTTTAGTAAACGTACATAACAGGGCCAGTAGCATTGCTCCAAATGCAATGGACAATTTCTTGCCTGTCAACAGATGGCTATCGCCCACGCTCGGTAATACCACAATAGGTGCATCGTTTGTGTCGAGCTTAGAGGGGTGGGAACGCGTAGCATCATCGCCAGCCATGGTGGCTTACAAGTTGGCGTACTTATGGGAGAGATGGAAGGTGGGAACCTTGGGAAGGCCAGAAACGTGAAAAGTGACGAGGTTCGAGAAGCGAAGTGTGAGCACATGATAGGGACGTGAGCCTCCAGCCCAGGTGGAGCACCGACGGGCTCGCGAAACCCACAATGCGGAGAGACCCGTTTGAGTGGGTCCCTGCCAAGAACCTTGGAAGGAGCGAACCGCGGTCAGAAGAGCCCTGAGACCTCACATAGCCAGGGACCGGGATTACCATCTTGGAACTGATAAGCAGGTTCAGCCATATAGATGGATCAAAATAATACTGTATGTAATGTACCTGCCCCGTAATGTATGTAGTGTCGCCAAGATCTCACTACATACATTATGTAGCTCATCTCGGCCAAGCCGACACGGGAAAACAAAGAAAGTCCACAGGTACTTCGTACTTGCTAATCCCGGCCAATCTCACTCTGCAGGCTGCCTATAATGGTAGGCAAAGATGTAACAGTAACATAGTTGGCTATGCTTCGCCTAGAGTCATCGTACCCCACAAAAGGCTACAAGGTGGTAAAGAGTTAGGGCGGAGCGGTTTCGTTGTGTCCAAAAGTACATACGTGTATGTGTATCATGTTGTAAGAACCCTGTGAGAATGCTTGTTGCCTCCGGCGTTATAACGGGATGGATACCACACTGTCCTCGCAAGATCCCACAAACAAGCACTACCTAATACCAGATGTTGCCCCTTCGCACGACTGCAATGCCTCTAAAAAGGCTAAGCCACAAGATTGGTCCTCGTCTAATACACAGTAAGTAAGAAACCCCGATTCATGTATTATCGCGCTCACGCTGGCTTGTAGCTCAGCGACACAGGTCACCACTGGCCTTTGCCTTCGACATCGTTCGTGGCCCGCTCCGCCGTGGCAGCAAATATCACTGACCATAAACAGGATGGCGTGTTAATCCACGGACCCTCCGTACTTCCGGAGGCAAAGCGCGCCCTTGCAATACTAAACGGTGACAATAAGCAAGGAATGTAAGTTAAAAGTCATACGAAACGTGAACGAATACTGAGCATCGCGACAGCAAGATTCCATACATCATGGTGCAGTGGTACAGTCCTCTTGATTTACGTTTACTAAGACTGACGCTAGATGACGAACGGAGGGGGGTCGACCGAAGCAGACCGTGTTGCGAGGTTGAGCGCAGAGTTGGGCACCCAAGTGAGCGTCATTCCCGCACTTGTAGCCGAAGTGGGTATTTAATTGTCTTTCAGGTGCATCCAAACCAGATGGTCCAGTCACATACCGTACTCCGCTCGCTTGCACACAAGTACGCTGAAGAGCCAGTGCTCGTCCTGGGTGGTATCAACGAGGCAGTCCGTAAGGTGGCGGAAGGGTGAGTTCGTCCAGTCATACACATAATACAGTCACACTAAGCCTGCACTAGGTACGGCTTTAAGAAGAGTTATAGTGCTCTCGACGTTCTCGCGTCGAATCCGAGGTACGATGACCCGAGTAATAAACTGCAGACACCAATAACCGAGCATGTAGTGTATTCCCGTTCCATCGGATAACACCCGAAGAGCTCATGGCTGCTAAGGTTGGTTTCTGATTCTCTACCTGGAAGTCCAACTTACAGCTTTGTCAGCCCTTCGACCTCCCGAATACGGCCTTCCGCGCCGTCTTTGTCTTCTGCGACTCCCGCAACTGGGGTCTTGACATTCAAGTCATGATCGACGTGCTTCGTGCGCGAGGTGGGGTTATTGGGGCGCCTTACCGTGTCAAAGGAGACCCTCCCGTGGTCGAACTTGTATTCTGTAACCCAGACCTGCTCTGGCGAAATGACTTTCCGCAACATCGCTTCGCGCAAGGTGTCTTCAAGGAGTCATTCCAATCTGTGCACAAAGTGGGTGTCTTAACTTTGACACCATAGCGCACGTCTGACTATGTGTAGTTGATGACGGGGGAGACATACCCATACAAACAATTTGGCAAGCCAACTCCAGAGACGTACGACTTTGCAAAAGAGCTGTTGCTAGCCCATGCTACTGAGCTAGGTGGGCCCAAAGTACCTGGAGCGCCCGAGACGAGCGTGTAAGTTCCCGTCCAAGCATCATCTTGATCTCTGATACTAAAGTCCCTTCTCAGCTATATGGTCGGCGGTGAGTTAGCTGATGACTGACACGCCTTGTACTTCACTCACATCGCTTTTCCTTCTGCCAGATAATCCCGAGTCAGGTTAGTGATCCCGTTCCCTTTTTAGTGCTATCCTAACTTGAACACAGACATAGCTGGTAAGACCGCCAAAAATACCTGATCTATCGCCGTCTTACTTATTAACAGGTGCCAACGCCGCAAACTGGTCGTCGATCCTAGTGCACACTGGCGTGTACGACCCTTCACTCGGCCTTCCGCCTACTAGTAAACCTACGATCGAGCTTCAGAATGTGGAAGAAGCGGTTAAATGGGCTATGCAGCGTGAAGGGATGGAGATCTAGACCAAGGCAAAGTTGCGCAAGGATCGCGATTACATAGGCACTTATCATGGCATATATTTGAGCTTTCGTCAATTGGACGACACATATAACATCATTCTCTATGAAATATATCTTCAAAGTGTCTCACTCCTGTGGAGCAAACGACTACCGAGAGACTAAAGAGGCCTAATTAGGTACTAACTAAGATCCTTCATATACTGCTCTGCATCATGCCCCATCGCATTAATGACCACACGTGCGGAGTCGAAGGCGCGCTGTTTCGCATTGCGAAGGTCACGGTCGGGGAACATACCATGCGCGACGTCGAAGTCGTAAGGCTTGATAGCGGATATGATACCAGCAATGGCATTAGGAGTAAGAGGAATCTATGAAAGTGGTCAACGACACCCTTTTTTTTTAGTGATTTTCTAGTACTAACTGTATTGACATGCGACCATAGGAAGGCGTAATATGCCGTTCCAGGCTTGCGGTTGATATCCCAGAGGGCCGACTGCATTTAAGGAGTCAGATGTCAAGTTGAGTAGGACCGAAGAAAAAGACACTTACGCGCGTCACATGCAAGCTATCAGACACGAACATGCTCTTTTTGTAATGTAAGACAGAGCTGCCCGGAAAGTGGCCACCAGTCTTGATGCGCATGGCACCCGAGCCAGGTAGAAGCTCAAACTCCTTCTCCCTAACGAACCGCCTCACTCCGTGCACGTCCGGCCGAGACACGAGCTCTGCCTCCTCAGCAGAGAGGAAGACAGGTGCATTATTGAAGGCTCGGGACCAGGTAAGGTGAGTCGTCCAGAAGTGGGGGTGCGAGATGGAGATGGCATCCACACCACCCAGCGCGTTGATCTATTCGAAGTTATTGACAAAGCACATATTCACAAGAAAAGGTTAGCTTACCTCCTTCACTGTGGCGTCATCGATATAGGCAAGACAGTCCCAGAGAATGTTGCCCTTTGGTGTCCTAATCAAGAAGCATCGCTGGCCAATGCCAAGGATCGACTGGGTCTGGATAGTATAGATGTGCGGTTCATTTGGGTATTGCTGGCGAATGATGTTTTTGAACTTGCCGCTTGTTTGAGCCTGACCGAGCGTCGTCCATGCCTGGCCCGTTGCGGGGACAGACTCCCGAGGATCCTAGTACATGCATTAGGATGTGCTAGGCCTGTATCTCGTATGTAGCTCACGTTGCAAATGTGGCATTCATTCAGTCCGTCAGCTGCCTTCGCATCGTGCTGTGTACCGCACTGATTACAGACGAGAAGCTCGTCATCTTCATGCAGCCGCGTCAGACTGCAGCAAAGGTCATTAGTTTATTAAATGTAAGTAGGGGTGAATGTGCTCACGCCTTATCTATTACATCTTGACGCGATGCAGCAGTGTTGTGATTGCGAGTGATTGCGGCTGAGCCGCGACGAACCGTAAGAGTGCGGGTTCGAGGGATTGCTACTGTGCTCAGCGTTGCAATTCGTGCCACCGGCCTGCATATGGTCAACTGTCTAGAAAGCTGGAGAACAATTGTTAAAGTCCGCATCTTGCTTCCAAGTAGACAAAGGCGTGGAGAGTATAACAAGTAGTGGAGATCTTCTCTTCAGCCGAACGATTAGGGCAGTGCTCCTAATAGTGCAGAGATATTTAGAGTTTTAGGCCAGACTAGATCCACAACGATTTATCAATTCAATTTGTTCAAGGCAAAAGCGCTTACTAGCGCAAGTCCACCAAGGCCCCTCGGCGAAGTCCCTACAATATGTGTTTCAGGCCCCCCCGTTTCAACCCCACACTTCAGACTGCATACAATGGCGCATAAAGATGTAACAGTAATAGTATCCTTGATTATGCAAATACTTTACTGTTAATTTATCTAGCCAGGGCTAAACTTCGCATGTAAGACAAGTAGTAAAGACATTTCTTGTCAGCTAATACATTAAAGCGGTTTCTATTTCCTTGATAACTGTAGTCAATTCCCATCATTTATCACACATAGAATCTATATTGTTGTAATGCCGGGCGTAAGATTCGTGCCAAGACTGTTGATCTCGCTCACGCAGGGTACTTCACACAATCTTCACGTGTTGCATTGCAGGCTGGCCCTGTAAGCTGACCTACTTGTACCGTAAACCTGACCTGCCTATAAGCCGACGGAATCCGGTACATGGCTTAAAAACTAGTGAGGATGGAGTAGTGGGATAGATTTATGAGGTAGAGATCAACATAGATATGGAGCTAATCTCAAGAGATAAGGAAGCGAGACAAAACCACATCATCATTACTCTTAATACAGGGAAGAGTTACTATGCCACCCTTTAAGAACTCCCAGCTTTCAAATTTGAGATCCGGCCCTTTATTAGTCGAGAAATCCGGTCGTAATGCCCACTGACTACCTAGGTGCCTAGGGCTATGGTGTATCACGTGGGATCCCCAAAAATAAACTTCCAATGTTCCAAGGTTGCTCCCGAGGTCAGCCTCGGGGCCCCGCAAAATGCGGCTTGCGAGTTTAACGCTAACCCTAATTGGGGTTTCCGGGTTATCCATGGATCTCGCTGATATAAAGTACTTCAAACGATCTCTATCACGTTACTCGCAGCCCCGCTTTGCAAATCTGACTTGTATATCTGACCTGCATATCACCCTAGACTGGATTCGACGCAGCATCGTTTCTATAGGGTTCCAAAGTAGTGTGGTATTTTATGGGCGGAAATAATTTCATTGCTAAAGGATTCATCTGCAAGTGACCAGAAATTGCAATTCCATATGCCTAGTATAGCCATTTTGTTCAAACAATGTCACATATTATAATAAGTCAGATCCCCAATGAGTCAGTTAGTGCATAGAACAACTGGAGCCCTGCACTCTCAAGTCAATATACTCGCCATGCTCGCACAACGCTGCCTAAAAGCACCTACCTTGACAGCCCGCACCATTACCAAAGCCAGATGCTCAGCGCCTAAGCTAAGCCTTTGCTGTGTGTCCACCACTCGCGAGGCTATTCCGTGAGCTCACTGATAACCCGTGGATTGGCACCTACTGACATCTTGACAGACGCTCGTTGCTAGGGAGCAATGTCAAGAATGATAGGCGAGCCTATACCAGCATCAGCCCTCCCAAATCTGCTGCGGCCATAGATCCCTCCTCTCAACTTGACCCTACTACACAACCCGAAGTCCACGTCAAGTGTGTCGCGCGTGCCCGTATCCCCACACCCCATGGCCCGGCCTTCCTGCATCTTTACCACAACAACCGCGATGCAAAGGAGCACTTGGCCATAGTGATTGACTCTGCTCAGTTCTCCGATGGGCCGATGATCGCTCCCGCCATCCGCAGTGCCTCTTTAGACTCGGCGTGGGAAGAAGAGACCGCTATGGAACGGCTTATCCGTGGTGCATACACCGGCCGCCTCACGGAGAATGTGCGTACGCCCTCTGCCCCACAGTCAGACGTCTCCAGCACGATCGCCGCTGCCATTCCTCCTCCACTCGTGCGCATTCACTCCGAATGCTACACTGGCGAAACAATTGGCAGCATGCGCTGTGATTGCGGCGAACAGCTCGACGAAGCCATGAGGCAAATAGCTCAGCCAATTACTATCTCAACCGCTCCAGGTGTCTCACAGACCATACCCGGTCGCGGCGCGGTCATCTACCTACGCCAGGAGGGCCGTGGCATCGGTCTTGCGGCCAAGCTGCGCGCGTACAACCTCCAAGACATGGGGCACGACACGCTTTCGGCAAATTTGATGCTCGGTCATGGTGCTGACGAGCGCAGCTACGAGGTTGCTGCGGCCATCCTGGGTGACTTAGGCGTGACTGGGCCTCTCGGCAGCACTGCGAACAATAGCCAAGGTAAGTTGTCTTATGACATACAATGTTAGACTCTCATGGATTTTTGTAGCAAAAGGCATCCGTCTCCTGACGAATAATCCGGCGAAAGTGCAAGCCATGTCTGCTGCGGGAATCAACATCCTCGAGCGCGTTGAGATGGTCCCACGGAGCTGGAAATGCGATCACGACCATGACCACTCCAAATCGAATGCGCTGCATAGCACGCGCGAGGCGGCTGCTACTATGATTGGCGCCGGCGCGGCGCGCGGCGCAGACCTCGACAAGTATATCAAGGCCAAGGTTGAAAAGATGGGTCACATGCTGTCCGTGCCTCCAAGCGCTAAATCTATTCGAAACCCACTGCAGAGACGAGGGTGACCAGATGCACATTGGACTGCATAAGGACTGAGAGAAGAGTGTAATTAGAGACTGTCGTCATATGTCTGTTCTATTATCGGAACAGCTTCCATCACATTGATCCCAAGACCCTTCTTGTATCTCTCGGATATCTGCCACCGTACGTAATTGACCACGTCGTTCTTCTGCGGCAGATCTTCATAGGAGAATTCCGACAGAGAAAATTTATCCCTCTCCGCCGCCAGAACAAAGTCTGCTCTAGCTGGAAGTACACCCTTTGCTAGCAGAAGTTTCGCAATTTCGAAGTGGTCAAAGAATAAGGCAAACCCTATGGTTCCGTAAAATGACGAGTCTAACCCAGGATATATCATTTGCCATGATAGATGCGGGTTCGCTCCCTTGTCAATTAGCGATTCGACCATCTCATAATTCCCGTGGATGATCGCCATGAACAATGCCTGAGAGCCGAAAACATCTACCTCTAAGGCATTATATTTGACCAAAAGTTCATAGAGGTCCTTGTCATTTCGGCGGACTATATCGCACAGGGCCCCGTCAGAAACAAGCCGGATGCCGTGCTTCAGTAGAAGCTCGACGACTTGTCGCTGATTGGTATAGATGGCGTTCGCGATTGGGCACGGGTTTTCCCAATAGCCTGGTTGCGCCCCCTCCTTGAGAAGACGGGGGATTATAGAGTCGTAACCCGAGGCAACAGCAGCACCTAAGGCGGAGAACGGCCCATATCCAGCTGGGTCTAAGGGGGCCTTATAATCGATCATCAGCTCGACAAGCTCGTGATCACGAGAGTGGATAGCCCAGTGAAGGGCTGTACGTCGCTGAGCTGGTGAACAGGCCTGGCCAGGTCGTGTTTCCGAAAGCATAGTTTTGAGGGTGAGTATATGTCTTCCCTGAGCGGCAAATAGCAAAGGGTTTTGGGGGTCTTTTGAGAGACCAATTGTCTCTGCTGTAGTCTCAAATCCAGCTATATTTCCACCGGCATTGAGTAGTATTGCCGCCAGATTAGTATAGCCATTCCTCGCGGCCCAAAGTAAAGCTGAGGTTTGATGATACTTAATATTGCGTTGGCATAAGAAAACCTGAAGGCGGCGGTATAAACTGCGGTTGGTTTGCGTAAGAGAGTTGATATCTTTCTCGTTCGGCAAGTCCTCTGCAACGAGAAAAAGCAATTCGGAAAGCAGCTGGTCTAAACGCGCCATAGTGCGTTGTTGAATATTTAGCTGAAGCCGAAGAGAGTGGAAGAGATGGCAATCTTGATTTAACGCAGAATTTGCAAGATATCGGAAGATCGGTGCAAACACCTGGGTCTGTCTAGGGTACAGGGCTCAGAGGTGATAAGAGAGAAGAGCAGTGTGAACACGGAAAGAACGTAGATGAGAGAGAGCCCTGGAGAGCGATAGTGGATTAAGACATCTCTCAACTGTGCACCGATTCCAAAAGCGGCCATGGTACCCCTGGGACGTACCTGCACTATAAAGCTAAACTTAGAGTTTATCACATTCAATAGGAGGGTACGTCAGATATAGAGCCCACATACCTAGATACATGTACTATAAGAGCTCATCGTCAAACACACATACGAGACTGTCTTCAAGTCATTCAAGCTACTGCTGTTGTGATCCATATGGCTACTGCTTACATATATCATGGGAAATACATCGTAGAAACGAGAGCATCAATTAGAACAAAGCAAGTCGTATCCTGCATAACAGTTGAACGAGCGTCCAAAGATAGACCAAAAGAAACCACGAAGAACGGGGCAAGGGAAGGGGGAATAAGGAAATGAAAAGACCGCGGGATGCTAAGGTCTTCATGGGCCGAGATTGCCCATCATACAATTTCGTTCGAACAGATCTCTGTTGAGAGAAGGGGAGGGAAAAAGAAAAGAAAAGAATCCAACAAATTCACACGAAGCACATAGTAGAAATTCCCAGGACACACACGCTAAACTTTCCAAAAACATCCGCAAGAACAGAATAATAAGATTAAACAGGCTGTTCGATCATGTCAAGATGGGACTGTAGCATCATGTCGAGAATGAAAGAAAAATAGAAGTAGAGTTAGAAAGAAATCGTCAATGTGCAAAGAAAGTAGACGAAAGGCATGGTATCTACGTGAGAACATGAGGAAGAGCATCACCGTCAGGACGAAGGTTCTGAGGGTCGTGACGGGTCGTGAGATCAATGGGGTATTAGATGATTTGCAGATAGTTGCTTGGCACGAGACCAGGGTGGCCACGGCCGTTGGTGACTTCGGCCTCCCACCACCCGTCATCCTGCAGGCGGATAACAGAAAGGACATCGCCCTTGCCAAAGCTGAGCTCTTCGGGAATGGCGGCATTGTAGGTGTACATGGCACGAGCTGTGGGGTTGAAATCGGGTTAGATACTAAGAACGTATTGTCGGGAGGGGATATAAATGCTTACCGAAATGCAAGATTGGTCGTCCATCACGGCTAAATTTGCGTCCAGGCTCTGCAACAGCCATAGTACGGCTCCGCGATCGGCCAATAGGCGGTCCGTCACCATAAGTCGATGAGGGACGGCTGCTTCCTCGAACTGAGCCAGCGTACCCACCGGGACTGCTGGAACCGTACATATCGTGGGTTCCAGACAACTGCAGCTCCATGCCTCCAGCGCTAGAAGGACGAGCTTGCTGCCTGAACTGGGGCTGCGGGGATACAGCACGGTGGCTCATAGCAGGCGACGCCCTCCGAGCAAAGTCGTTTGGAGAGTAGGGTGGATCTTGTGTACGACGCGGAGTAGGCGATTGGCTGTATTGACTTCGCATGCTGTTAGACTGATAACTACTCGGACTAGGGCTCGGGCCCCTGCCACTGTTCTGGCTCATCCGGGTATCCACACGGGGAGAAGCGACCTGAGGGCTGACGCTCCGTCTCGGCGCTGGTGCTGGTGATCTAGCTCGGGGGGGCTTCTTGGGTTTGACCGCTATGTCTGGACCCCATGCTGTTGTTTTGTCCTCGAAGCATGCTCTGGGTTTGACCAGTATACTGCTGAGTTGTCTTGTTCATTTGCTTTGCTGTGAAGGCCGGTTGAGGTGCGCCAAGTCGCTTGACTGTGGGATCATTGTATGCTGGTGGCGGAGCAGCGACGCTGGCATTGCTGCCACCATAGGTGGAAGAATGTGCCGATGGAGTGGGTGTAGAGATGCCATGATATCTATCTGCTGACACCCGTGTCGCGGACTGCTTCCCGCTTGTCTTGAGATCTGCTAGAGCCCGCGCAATAGGATCCAAGTCATCTTCAGATGCCTGGTTTGTCTGTGATCCCTTCTGGGGTGAGCTCTTTTCTGGGGATGCAACGTCAAAGACATTGTTGCCGACATTGAGCTGGAAATTGGCTCGAGGATCGACAGGCTCCGGGCTATCGGAGACACGGCCCGAGGGGCCTGCCGGAGGCCTGACTGGGCTGACTTGTTTGGTCGGGCTACCCTGGTTGGGCGGACTCACTTGCTTGGTAGGGCTCACTTGCTTTGGCGGGCTCATTTGCTTGGGTGGGCTCACTTGCTTAGGCGGGCTCACTTGCTTGGCCGGGCTATTAACTTGTTTGGGCGGACTCATTTGTTTCGTCGGACTGATTTGCTTTGTTGGCGAATCCCAACCACGGCGAGAGACGGATTGGGGTGAAACAGCGGGCTGTGAGGAGATGGCTTGCTGCGAAGAAATAACCGGCCTTTCTTTGTCATGGCGACTCTTGCGCCGGAAGGGGCTGTTGCTAAAGAAAGCGCTCTTCTTTTTTGGTGACTTGTCATCTCCGGAACTTGGCACCGGGGCGCTGCTTGGTGGCTTTACTACAGACTTCTTGGTAGGGGTTTCCTCAACACTGGAGATAGACGTTGGGTTCGAAACTTCACTCTGAGAGTCACGGCTAGACGGACGATATGCGCTGGTCGCTGAGCTTCGCTCTGAGGGTGGCCCGGCCCGACAGAACATGGTCATACCATCTGTGGGGTACGCGTTGTGCGGAACCGCGCCAATCTCTCCATGTTGTTCAGGATCATAGTTCGGGGGCGGTGCGCCACCACGGCGGAAATCTAGAGGCGCGGGTTGCTCAGGTTGTGGCTGAAGCGGCGGTTGCTGTTGCAGGGGAGGCTGTTGACGTGTGAGAGGCTGCTGCTGCATGAGAGGCTGCTGTTGCATAAGAGGCTGCTGTTGCATAGGAGGCTGCTGCCGCATGATGGGCTGCTGCTGCATGACAGGCTGATGCTGGGTAGGAAGCTGCTGATGCATGAACTGCTGCTGTTGAGGGTGTGGCTGCTGTTGTGAGGGCAGCGGTTGTTGCTGAGGCGGCGGCGCGTTGTTAACGGCAGGAGGAGAAGGATGTCCCATTTGAGCCGCGAGGTCCGAGTGTGGGTCATGATGTGAATCGAATGTTGAGGGTTGAGGGGAGGATGTGCGGAATGCAGGGTTCATGGTGCGCTGGAACTGGGCCACCGAATAGCCGTCGGCTTCGTCTATATCAGAGCTCGAGTCATCATCCTTGGCGAAGTTGATGAATCGGGGAGGGTCTGGGATCTCCTGGCCAGTTCCTTGCTCCTTAATGAAATAGATAATATCCTTCTCCACTTCACAGTTCTCCAAAGAGAGACGGACTTTCTCGCACGACTATATATCGAATTAGTATTGAAATTAAGACCGGGCAGGATAAACATACGGCATCATCGCTGACACAAACAGTTGAAGCAATGTTCGCGTAGGTCCACAGACTGCTCTTTGTGAAGTCCAGACGCTCTTCTTCCAAATCTTGAAATTTATCGCATGCTGACTTCCACTCCTTATTCCAACGTCCAGTTGTCTCCTCGAGCTGTTTGACGGCCGCTTCATATTCCTGGCTATTTGATGCCAACTGGATCTGGGTCTTCTCCAGCTTTTGCTTGTTCTTGCGCTCCTCCTGGCCCATGACCATGTGGCCCTGCGCGAGGTATCCCTTGATGCGGAGACAGTCCTGTTCATAGCGATCACGCGTCTGTAGAATCAGTATTTTACCTCTTGCCATTCCATGAGTTTACTCACTTTGTTGACAAGCTGTGTCTGTTGCATTTTGGTCTTGTGTAAGCGCTCAATACACTGTTGAATAATTTTTCGTCGCTCCTTAATGCCACTAGCAAAAGCAGCAAGTGGCTCCTCCAATTCGGTCTTCATTTGTGCTGCAATGGCGGCGTGTGCCTTAGCAATGGCTTCAGTTTCGCCGCGAACCACGTCGAGTGAGGCTCGGAGTGACCCTATCTCGCGTGATCCCAGCGACTTGCGACATAGAGCTTGGAGTTTCCGTGCGTATTCATCTTCGATAGAGGCTCGAACTATAAAGGTGTTAGAATTTGATTTTATCGCGGTCGCATGCACGCCACGTACTGCTGTAGAAAACCTTCAGTTCGTCATTTGTGACCTTTGAACCATGCACGCGGTCCAACATTGGTTGAAGTCCTGCGTCATCTTTGCCCCAAAAATTGTTCGCAACTAGAATAATTGTCAGCGTGTGCAAGGATAATTAGTGTGGTACCACATACAAGACATGGAGACCGTAGGTCCATCTGCCACTGTCCCCGGCATTGTTATCGATGTCAAGCCTCGGCCAGCCTTTGCGCATGCGATTGAAGTGTGTTGAAATCAGAGGTACAAAGAAAAGAATAAGAACAATAATACTAAAGAATTGACAAAAGAAAAGATCATTGGAGGTCATGAAGTGTCCGAGTTGAATGTGAGAGGGATGATGCGCTGTTTACGGCCGCGTCTCTCGGGGCAACCACCGCGCGGCCCCCGATGCACCTGCCTTACATAAGCTCTTTATCTGCATGCCTACCTAGGTAGGTATCGAAAAAGGCCTAGCATTGTCAATATGATCATGGATCCTGATAATCTGGCTGTTATTAATTGTGCTATAATACAAACAGCGTTACAAGAAATGCTGCCATCTGCTCGATTCCACTATCTAGACTTCGTCTTTTTCCATTCCATGAACCATTCTGCAAATCGAGGGTAACCACGATCTTGGAGTTTCATTCTGAGTCGCTTTCTCCATTCGATCTCATCAATACCTGGGATTGGCGGACAAAAGTTTAGTCCCCGAGATACAGAAGGTTTCGTCGAGATCCAGAAACGCGGGTTCCAGCGCACTCCCAGTCAATAATTGCCGCGAGTCTCTGATTGTAAATAAGTATATTCCCTGGCCCTAGATCGGGGTGATATAGGTGGAACCTCTCTTCAATCTCCGGGTTCGGGTGGAGATCCTCCCGAAAAGAAGTATTCCTTGCTTTCACACACACTTAGCGGCTCTAGTGAATCCTTCCCCGAGTGAGCAAGGTAAGGTTATAATACTGGACCCCCAGATACATTTTGGAGTCGCTCCGAGGTGATAGAAGCGAGTCTCTCGCATGAATAAACAACCTCATTCAAAATTGAGTCTTGCTGGGTAGCGGACATAGTCCCCCAAGCATCCCTTAACGTTATACCCGGAACTCTTTTTAACACTAAGAAAGATCGCTCCCTATCCACCCAAGAATTGATGACTTCAGGTATAGGTACCTGGGGTGCCATTTTTTGAACGAATTTGATAGTTTCACTTTCTGAAGTGGTATCGGAGCTCCAGTGATGGACTTTGCAGATATCATTATTTCCAATAGCCCATACTGCCGACAGGGTGTCTCCCGTATGGATTAAACGGACCTCGTGCGAATCTGCAGGCGTAGCGTCGGGTGACTGCTCAGATGGTGCGGGTTGCTCAGATGCGGGTTGAAGAATATACCAGTTCTCTCCGTCTCTCCAGGCAGATGTGCATGTGTCGTCTGGTTCTGCAACTCGATGGCAATGGACTGTGCAGCCAAGACGCCAAGTGGAAGGAGATATTTGCACAACAGAATCCTGAATAGGCACTAATGCTGACATAAGAGCGGATAAGTATTTTTTATTGACCGGATTTGAAGTGTTGTAACAAATAAAAGTGGAAGCACTTGAGGTTGGATTCTGAAGGGAGACGTGTTAGACCATGAAATACTGCATTGCTTGTTCGACTGACATAGCGCTCTGGCCCCGCATTTCCCCACAATGTGATGAGTGATGAGACTAGTGGTGTGGGTAAGCGAACTTCGAGGCCTCTTCGAGGCTTACAGGACCCAAAAACTGCCGCGGAAGGGTGCAGATATCCAATCATTACTGGGTACGGAGTACACTCTGCCATCCTATCCACCGTGGACCGAGTGCTCAATAGATGCATCTGATCAGTCTCTGAGTGATCCAACCTCAATCAGTGAGCATTGGCCCTCACTGATGCATCACGTAATGACTCTGAACGCCATCATAAAAGCGGTGGCAGCTCAGATAGGAAAGCTCCGGCAGAGGAAATATGGTACTTATAGGTACCTAGGTAACCTTCCAAGTTGCGGAAAAGATATATTCTTGAAGGACTAAGTACGATACGAGAAATACTGTCATAAATGTATCCATTTCATTTTGTTATTCTCGGTGCATCGTGCAACCATTCTATGTAATTTGGGGACCCATCAAATATTGAAATCCAGTCTATGTAGGCCAAGCCAACGCGAAAACAACCCAGTCCCATATCCACAAAAAGTAAAAGACACATGAAGAAGTGTAGCAATTTCAAAATCGCTTCCGGTAAAAACGCCAGTCAAATATGCATCCCCAAAGCCGTAATGGGGATAAATCAAGTCATTCGCAATCGTTTCCTTTTCGTTGTTGCGATCATATCGTGCCATAAATCAAGGATTTCATCAGTTCATGGAAGGCTTGCTCGTGCTCCATTGTAAGCAGCTAAATCCGTCACCTGATGTTATCTTAGTAGGCCACGGGAGTGGCCGACGCCGAGAAGGTGCTGGAGACAGGCGAAGAGACACTGGAAGAGCCCCAGCTGCGGACACCACGGGCCACAAGAGTGGAAGATACAGAAGGTGTGGCAACAGAGGAGGCACTAGGGACGGAAGAGTACCAGCCATATTGTCCGCGGGCAGCTAAGAGGAGCAGCCGAAGTAGGGACGCTCGAGCTGGAGGGAGTGCCGGAGGGAGACACATAGAAGCCGCGAGCCACAAGGGGAGTCGCCGAGACAGAGGGGGTAGCAACAGAGGAGTACCAGCCACGAGCAACAAGGGGAGTCGCCGAGGAAGATGGGGTGGCGACAGAAGAGTACCAGCCACGAGCGACGAGAGGAGTGGCAGTGACGGAAGCGCTCAAGCTGGAAGAGGGTGAGACCGAAACAGAAGAGTACATATCAACGAAACCGCGAGCCACGAGCGAAGTAGGCGAAGCGGTAGGGGTGGCGACAGAGGGAGTACCAGAAGCAGAAGAGTACCAGCCACGAGCATAGAGAGACTCAGCGGCAGACGCGGTGGGGTACACCCTGGCATACAGCGAAGCAGAGGAGCTAGAGTACTCGCGAGCAAAGAGAGCGGGCTGACCAGCGGCTCTCAGGCCCCGGCGGAAGAAAGAGGAAGAGCCCGGGGTTGGAAGAAGACTAAGGATCTCCAAGCATGGAGTAGAGCTAGCCACAGCAGTCGAGGAGGGGGCCACGCTCGAAGGGGTAGCAGTCACAGTGACAGTGACAGGCACTGGGTTGGAACCGGGAGCAGTGACAGTGGAGGTTTCGAAGACAGTGTCGACTTCACGTGCAACAGAGCTGGAAGAGGTGTCTTCATCAGCATTGACCACGGAGTAGGTTGCGCGGCGAGCGAGGTCCTCGTTCTCGGGATTGGTGAAAGGCGCCGCGAAGGTCACGCTAATAGAGCAAAGGGCGAGGAGTGCAGCAGAAGAGAAATACATGATGACAGGAGGCAATTGAAGCCTGCAATAATAATTGAAAAGAGAAAGGCGCTTGAAATTGAAGACCGAAATGTAAACAAAGGAATGGAGATATGAGTGGTATAGATTTAGATGGGAGATGGAGAATTAAGAATGAGAACAGAAGGACCCAAGTCCAGGTTTAAAAGTCATACGAAAAATATCTACTATCACGGCGAAGTGTACTTCTATTGGGCCAAAAATAGGCGGCTGGGATCGACGGTGGCTGGGTTAGCGGCAGTCCAGCCAGGCTTTTATGTTTTTAATTTATTTTTAATTGGATTCTGCGGATGTTGATTGGGTGGATACAGATCTGATTGAACCCACATGGCCCATCTGCCAACCACGATGTTGTGGTGGGGTTTCCACGGCGACATTAAGTAAGCAATTGGTGTGGCTGGGGGCTGGGGGTCCACTGTGACACGGTATATTTCGTTTCACTGTCGCCTAGTTTCTTTTCATAGATCAACTATGATGTCTCCATGACCCTGATCGACAGGACGATCTAGGCAGATGTCCCGTCATCAACAATCCTGTCCTGACTGCCGCCAACTAGATGGCAAGATCTTCGACTCTCACCAGCCCACATCCCAGCGCAGCGCTGGCCCACGCTGCACACGGGCGGTTGGGGTTCCACCCGAGGGCTGTGACATGGGTGTTTTCTTCGAAGATCGTCGAGGTCCCCATACCATTGACGGGGTTGGTCTCGAACAGCTTGTTCTTTGCCAGCTTCTGGTTCTCTGCCCTGTATCCGTCATGAAACCGACTGGTTCCCATAGTGTCCGTCTTGGAAGTGGGAATCCATTCATGTGTGAACCATATCTGCTGCCAGATTTGCTCCTTGTTGTAAACCACTCGTCGGAAGGGATTTGTTCCTACGACCTCACCAGCGGCACTGCCAAACAGCGCACAGGGGTGATGATTGCTACATTGCGCCATGGCTGAGATGGTGCTGCTGAGCCGCGCAATGGTGGTGGTGGTAAAAAATCGTCGGATTGGAATTACGCGAGCGAATTCGTTTTCATCGCCGGCAACAACGGACTGGCAGATGGGAGAATAGCTGATGAAGGGGGAGGCCCCTCGCATGCGGCCCGTCGAGGCCATTTCACTGGTGGGATCGAGAACCGACCACATCCGCGTTTCACCGTCCATAGAAATAGTGATGACCAGTTGGGGATGGGCTGGGTATGCCGATGTGATATCGAGTACGTAGGTCGCGTGGAGTGGCCGATAGAAATAAGGTAGAGTTTCAGACGCAGAGGAAGGTTCGATGTTCCAGATAGCCACAAAGCCGTTACCACATCCCACTGCAAGGTCACTAGGGGATAGCCAAGTGACACATGTGCAAACCGTTGATGGCGGTCTTGCCTCAAATGCAGGCGATTCGATTTTCACTATATCTTGCACATTAGCGGGACTCGTGAAAATCACTCCAAAGGGAGACTCACGAAATTCTGTTTCCTGTGACCCTCTATCTGCTTTTATATCCAAAACTCTGACACATCCATCTCCCCAAACTGTCGCGAGTAAACCGATAGATTCTTTTTTTCTTCTTCTTTGTCCTCCGCTCGTTCGGTCCGGGGCAAAGTACACCATACCATGCGTCTCAGGTCTCCCCAGTCTGCACACAACACTTGTCGAAGCCGGGGTTTGGAATCCATATCGAGGGTCATTGTAGGTGTCTCGCTCGGTTTGCCTTTGAACTCCCAAATCTGCAGAGCGCTAGGGAAAGGCTCTGAGGGTTGAAATGATGAGATAGGCTCACTATCTTCGGATTTGTACTGGTTTTTCTGGTCTTCTGTGATCGGCGCCGCGATAGCAAGATACTGTGTCAGACCATTCTGGTTTGGAGCCCAAGCCATGCAATGTGCCTTGTGACCGATGTTTAACATCCAACCTTCTCGAATCCTTTTGGTCCCAGTTCCTGATCCGTCTGTTTTGGAAGCTGGTTCTTCCCAGGCTTTTCCAAAGTCGAAAGTCTCATGATAGCCCAGTTCGAAGAGTTGTTGATTATCATGCGGTCCCAATAAAACCCCGTGCTTTCGCGTATTGGGCTGAGGCAGGTAATTTTGGAAAGCCATTGACTCCTCAATCGTCTCAATGCGCTGCCTTTTCCGGAATCTTTCGCCAATGTCCCGGTCATAGTACCAGTCCCACCCACGGGTGCTTTCTTTCATAACATCATCTGGGTGAACACCAAATGTGGGCCCATATAGATATTCAGGCTTCTTATCCCTCTCCTCCAAGGTGAAGCGAGAGGGGAAAACAGCATCTATGCCCTTGTTCCATCGCATTCGGAAGTGGACGGCTGGCATCAGATCTCGATTGTCGGAACCGAAAGTGAGAGTGTAATAGGTGATTTTAGACAAATGATCTCTGGGTTCAATAATACCACGGATGTGCGTCTCTTCAGCGGATGGTACAACTGTACCATCAGCTCTTCGCTTCCTGGAGCTTGCGTCGTGTTGGTACGACGTAGAGCGCCCTTGTCTTGGAGTATTCTCGATGTCGTCGATCTCCATTTCGTCAAAGTCGGAGACATTGGCTTCTGATCCTACATCCTCTTCTAGTTCATCTTCTGGCTCCTCTTCCTCGATTCCCTCATCGGGTTCTTCGCCTGAGCCAGCAACAAATTCATTATCTGAGGCTGAATCTTCTGTCGGGGTGCGCTTCTTCTTCCCCTTGCCGGAGCTTTCCATTTTGATGGAGTCCTCATCATCACTGATCCCAGCTGCCTTAAATGGATCATCAACGTAGACTGCCCTTGGACCTTTCAAGCGGCCAGATCTGCGGCCGGAAGGCATGTTGCTTAGATAGGTCGCGTTCGTTAACGGCAGCCAATAACAGTAGTGTACAAGCGTAAAGTGTGTCAGGTTGCCCAAAGCTCAGTAATATAGTTTTTACTGAGCAAGCAATGCAGCAGCGATCTTGTGTATTGGAACGTCCACTATTTGATTTGAGAAATAGAGAAGCTTCAGCAATACACGAAGGTCAAGGGCGGTGGCGCTAGCCCCAACATGGCTAGCCTTATTGCCTTGTATTTCAGGCACCAACGGACCAAACCCTCATCTTAAATCACTCATCTTAACTCGACATCATTTTACTATCAAAAGGAAGAGATATTGTAATTCAGAATGACTTCCGGTCTATCTATTCAGGTTTACTAGCCATTTGTCGTGAAGTTGCCCAAGATCGAGGCTCACCAACAGTTCGCTTGATCAAAATGCCTTCCTAGGTACGGGGTAGTGTGGCACTAGTCCCTTCTCTTGTGTCTTTGCAGAAACTGAGACTATATTAACATCTCACAGCAGTAAACGAGTCCAGAGACTGCTTTTCCTATAGTTTGACAATATTGGAGTGATATCGCTGTCTGACCGCCAGTACCATCAGTCACTCTGTGATTGCAACAGAGACTGTCCGGGATGCTACAGCATCGCTGTCCCCGAACGAAACGCGATTCATAGACAATGGATTGAGTGGAGCAAAGGACATCGTATGATATTATACAACAGAATAGTGGAGTAGGGACGCCCTTTGTCCTAAATCAATGGCGCATCTAGGCTCTTTCCATCACGCTATGAGCTCTCAGGAATCAGTTCTGAGAGGATCTCGTCCAGATGCCTATGGACCGTGAAATGTGTATCGCCTTCGAAGACCCTGAAGGATGGCTTGTTAGAAAGAAGTTTGACATAGTATTCGGTCATAGGCAGCGGCGAATTCCAATCTTTCTCTGCATGCCAGATGTGGAGGTTGTTGTAAGTAATGTCGCCAAACTTAATGCCCCAGTCTTGTGACAATAGCTTCGCCTCGTACGCAGCGGGGCCAGTGCCCTGTGCAAACGGCTCAAATATTATGCGCAGCAATTGAGCTCTTCGTTCCTCGACCGATTCGTCATGTTGGTCCCTGTCCTTTAGCAGGTAGTCATTTATTCTCCGAGTTGCCATTTGTGTGTTCAGCCCATTTCTAAGAATCCACACCACAAAGGCCAACGAACCACGTAGTCCAGCCGGCCAGTGTTCCGCCGCTAGCATTGACACACGATAGATCCAAGGCATATGGTGGGCACCAGCCCTCCAGTCGCCCGCTCCGGCAAGTATACCGACTGCGGACATCATGTCTTCGGGAAGCATCCGCGCGCACGCTAATGCATAGGGCCCACCACCAGAGCCGCCCATGATTGCAAAACGCGAGAGGCTGAGATGGTGAGCGAGTGCTTGAACATCGGCGGGCCAGTCCATGATGCGCCGGTTGGGTTGGACTGTGGAGAGACCAAAGCCTGGGCGCTCTGGGGCAATCACACGAATTTTGCGTTGGCGAAAGATATGGTCTAGAGCAGAGGCCTCAAGGCGACATTGGGGATAGCCATGCATGAACATCAGTGGATAGCCTGTTTCACAGCCATATTCGGCATAGCCTAGGGTCCTCCCGTCCGATAACCGCATGGTTTGATCGATCCGCGAGCTTGTAGTTCCGATGTGTCGGCATTTTGTAGATCGCTGGATGCTTCTCATAGAAAAGCGCGTTTTTGCGGTCGGATTCATGGCTGAAAAATGAGTGAAAACCCACTTTACTAGGCAGAGGGGTTTTGAATGTCAGACAGTCAGACATCCGAGGTACATCGTATAGGGTTCACGCAGATCGTCCTTGGCGACATTGTGAACGTGGCTAAGCCTAAAACGTGTAGTATGAGCCGCTTTACGGAGTATTTCGAAGGTCGCAGAGCAAACTTAATTGGCATACTGTAAGCAAAAATATAAATACATATGTAAAGTGGTCAAGTTCGTGAGATCAGAGAGGGCCAATGTAGGGCAAATATGGCCGACCCCGCCTGCAAATGATAACGTCAACTACTGATCACCCACATTCACCCTTACCTTGTCAACAACCACCACGATTCAATCATGTCCTCACACGCTAGTCGCGGGCCGTCCCACGGTGGTGTCCTCCACGAATATGTATACACTACGCTATTCATTCTCTATGCCAAGCTAACCCCCCGCAGGCTCCCAAACTTGTGGCTTTTGAGTTCACCCCACCAACTGATGGGATCAACAAGATAAACAGCCTTATCTTCGTGGGCGGACTGACAGATGGATTGTGCACTGTTCCCTATGTCTCTAAGCTAGCCAACGCTCTGGAAAACACCGAATGGTCAGTCTTCTCTGTCCTCCTCTCGTCCTCCTATTCCGGATGGGGAGTCGGAAGCCTTGATCGCGATGTAGAAGAAATCGGACAATGCGTGCGGTTCATTCGCGATCTCAAGGCGTCGCGTCAACCGGGCGCAATGACAAAGGCCGGAAAGATTGCGATCATGGGACACTCAACTGGAAGTCAGGACGTGCTCCACTATCTTTATTCGCCCAACCCCGTGCCGCAAAAGGAGTTTGATTTTGGCCTTCAGCATATGGTCCGCCCAGAGCTCGATGGTGCAATTCTCCAGGCGCCTGTCTCTGATAGAGAGAGTCTGCTGGCTATTATCGAATCTTCTTCACAGCCCGATGAGCTTAGAAAGATCTACGATCAGCTTGTGAGCTCTGCCCAGGAGCAACCATACACAGCAGACAAGAAGGACTCAATTCTCCCAATGAATCTGACTGCGAAGCTTTCTTATCCGGCCGATGCACCTCTCAGTGCCAGGAGATTCTTGAGTCTAGTGAGCCCACATAGCCCCGACAACCCATCTGATGACGACCTGTTCAGCTCCGACTTGAGCGATAAGCGTTTGCAAGAGACATTTGGGATGGTGGGCACCCAGGGCATGGTCAAATCAAAGCTATTGGCCTTGTATTCTGGTAAAGATGAGTATTGCCCGCATTGGGTGGACAAGGAAAAGCTACTGCAGAGATGGCAGCAAGCCACCGAAGCAGGAGGCGCCAAGTGGGATGCGGAAAACAGCGGGGTCGTTCCTGGAGCCAGCCACAACGTTCGCGACGAGGGCCAGCAGGACCTGATTGATCGAGTTCTACGATACCTCCAGACCCTCTGAGCTCTGGAGGTTGATGATATTGAAGCATAGAGATATGAAACCAGAAGACAAGAGAACGTTGAATTGATATCGACAATAAATAGATCATTCAAACACCACCCAGAAGTGCACGGATTCGGCATAACAGAGGTCAGAAAAGGGTATATCACAGCACGGGCAGTAGGCAAGTCCACACATGGTACCATGTTGGATTTGAGGCAAAGATGAATCGAAGCATTGGGGCACCCAAGTTCAATGGAAAGACCCGATTAGACCTTAACCCACAAACTCAACACGCCCTTGAGGTAGTCGACAATCTCCGATCCACCTAGCTTGCTCTCGCCATATACACGGTCGACGAAGGTAATCGGACACTCAGACACCTTGTAGCCCATTGCCTTAGCACGGACCATCATTTCCATCTGGAAGCTGTAGCCCTTGCTCTCGGTATTGAGGATAACCTTCTCCAGCACTGACTTCTTGTACAGCCGGAAGCTACCAGTCAAGTCACTCACACCGGGCATCAACATGACGTCCGCGATGAGATTGGCAGTGCGCGAAGTGAACTTGCGGAACAGATCCCAGCCGTAGACACCACCCTTGATATCTCCACGGCTCGCATATCTGGTTCCGGTCACAATGTCGGCGTCGCTCTCTTTTTGAATTCGGATCATCTCAGGGATGAACTTGGGGTGGTGGCTGAAGTCAGCGTCCATGATGATGACAAAGTTGCCGGTGGTGTGTTTCAAGCCATGGACGTAAGCTGTACCCAGACCGAGTTTGCCCTGGCGGGGCTTAAGGACGATGTGTTCGGGGCCATAGAGTTTCTGGAGCTGCTTCGCGATCTCGAGGGTGCCATCAGGGGATCCGTCGTCGACGATAATAACCTCCCAATCCAACTTCCTATAATTGAAAAAAAAAAGATGTTAGCCCCCACTGCGCTTGGATTATACCAGTATAAGCGCATACTCCTGGTTGAAGGTCCTCTGGATCAGCCAGACGATGATAGGGAGGTTCCTCCGCTCATTGTAGGTGGGAAGAATGACCGAGTACTTGTTCTTGGCCGCCGCCATTGTGATAACCCACAAGTCAATTAATAAAGTATGGAGTGTTAAAAGATCGGAGCGAAGATCATATAAAAAGAAAAAGCGAAAAAAAGAAAAGTAGGGAACGTATGGCTGACAGCTTGTTGCATTCGGCAACGCCAGATCGCGGCCAAGTCGCCAGATCCGGAAGCCACCGCCCTGGCAGAATCCGATAGCTTATCGGGTGTTTTGCTTCGACTTCAATGGTAGAATACTTACATACTCTGCTTTTCATTCTAATTGCACTCAGAAACAGCTAAAAGCTATAGAGATGGATTCAGTACCAGACAAGCACATTCGGAACATCTCCAGGTGTAAGCGCTCACTCCATTCCCATTACATTTCGACCGTCCCTTACTGATTGCCTATGCAGCTTCTCGGCCCCGCAGCTCAACAAGAGGTCCTTTAGATGCATCAGATGAGTGAGCATGGTACCTTGGTTTCCACCTCTATATCTTTTCTCTTACATGATCCAGCCCTCTCGCTCTCCCCGAAACACCCATCTCGCCTATCAAACGCAAATCAATGCTTGCTGCCGACGACACCTTTTCTGGGGCATCCTTCTACGAGTTGGATCCGCTTGCGCCAGATGACCTACCTGAAACTCTAGAAAAAGACCTCTCGTTTCTACTCCACCATGGCAACTTCCATACACTCTCTCATCTTGACATCCCTCCGCCATTGCGATCCGAATTCCTTATCCTCAATCCAGGGGAACCCTTATCAACTTCTCTAGGCACCCTCGAAAAGCTATTAGCTGAAGGTCGATTTCTCATTGCCGCTCATTTTTCTGCTTCGATCTTGACCTCGTCATTGATATCTCCAACGGATATAAAGATCATATTCTCCCTTTTCTACACACGCTTAGCCTGCTTGGATCTGTCGGGCAATACAGTTCTCGCAGCGCAGGAATCGAAAGCCCTGGAGGATCTGAGTTCGACATTCTATTACATCGACCTGAAGCTTGAATCAGCTGCAGCTGATAATGATAAAGACCCAGAACATGAACAAGATCCTCGTCATATTGTTCCATGGCCGCTTCGCGTGCTGGCCGTGAGACTCCAAAGTATAGGGTTTGGTGATTCTCGCCGAAGCATTGGTGGCTTGTACGAGATCGGTCTGGAAGCACGCCGAGAGATCATGAGAAGTGAAGCTACTGAAGCTGAGCGAGAATTATGGAAGCAGCGATTGGCAGATCTTGGAGTTAGGAGCGTGAATGCGCTTATAGAGATGGGTGATTTTGATGCAGCCAGGAGATCACTTGATAGCCTCCGGGTGTCTGGGGCAGAGTCAAACATCACAAAGTTGAGGAAAGCGCTTTTGCTTTTGCGGATTGGCGATCTGGACGCAGCAAGCCAGGTATTTGGTGACGCTAATGAGACGAAAGAGGCTGCGTTATTGAAGCCTCTGATAAGCATGTCAGATGGTCGCTTTGCCGATGCAGCGGCTGAGTGGCGCATTCTCGGGGGAGGATAAGACAAGGACGGATGGGGCTCTGGTAGCTCAAAATCTGGCTGTGTGTCTTCTGTACATTGGACAACTGGATGAGGTATTTGATCCCTATATTCCATATACCTACTTGAAAGGTCATCTGAACCTTTAACTGATTGTTTGTTTCTAGTCTCGTCAGCTCCTTGAGGCCCAGGTCTCATCCAACCATTCGTTTGGTAGTTTGATTTTCAACCTGTCGACGGTCTACGAGCTTTGTACCGACAGTGCAACTCGCATGAAGGGTCAGCTGGCTGATACACTATCAAAACAGCCTATCGTCGGACAGACGAATTTAGACCGGCCAAACTCAGACCTGAAGTTATAACGCTTGAATTGAAAAATCACCCCTCCCTGGGGGGCATTGAATTCAACCTGTCTGCACACGATCTAAATAATAATTAATACTCCGTGAATGATATCCGTCTGCTAATGATACGACGTTTTTCCAACCAACGCCATGCAATGAAACGAACGCCATGAATGCTCTTGTCCAAAGAAAGTCTAGCCCGGGATGTACTCAGGCATTCGATGCGCTTGGCTCAGGCTTGGGAGGGGCCCTCTGCTTCAGTCGTTTGATGATAATCCTATCACCTTCCCGTTCCCAGCGGAGCTTCTCTTGCTCAACCAATTTCTCCCATGTCCAACTCTGTTCGTCTCCTGTGCAGCCACCCAAAATCCAGCTGATATGCACGCTGAGATAGGCACTACCCACAGCCTTGAGCGCATGCCTGCGAACTCGGTCTGCGGCCCAATTCATCACTGCGCGGATGTGAGAATCCACACTGTTGTGTAATTGCCAGAACACGACCCAATTATCGTGCATCAAGGCAGCCAAAACCTTATCCACTGTCTGTGACTGATAGGAATGCTCCTTCCGCGCCCGAGCACGCAGTTCAAACGCCGCTCTCATATCTCCCTGGCGACAGGCATAATCAAGAATCAAGTATGTGACCAGCTCACTGGCTTCAGCGCCGGGTAGTGGGTGAGATGTGGAGTGTAGTTTATCCAGAACGTATCGTAGGGAGGGGAAGTATGACGGTGGGTGATGCGCGAGAATGGACAGGCGAATAGAGAAGACATGGACTCGCTGTGAGAATTCTGCGGGTGTAGTCGTAGCTGTTGCCAGAACGGCTTCGCGCAGCTTCCGAAGGGAGAGAAGGAGTGTGGATAGCTCTGTTGATGGTGGCGGGACACCCTTCTGTGCGGGGTTTAATTTCAAGGGCGACCGGGAAGCGGGCGGGTTTGAAGTCGCATCGTTTGAAGGACTTGTTGGAAGGGAGCCTAATGCTGCATCGAGGTCTTTGGAGTGATTGGCACAAAATCGCATATATCGATCGACTATTTTGTCGAAGTACTGCGTCTGAGTCTTATAGTCCAACAGTCTGCGAATGTTAGCATGTTAGCCTGATTAGCATTACTTCGGAGGAGCATCTCAAGCGCACTTCTTATCCCCCTTTGACACAAATCCAACATTTTCCAGAGAGTCGGATACTGGGCGTAAGCGACTCATCTTTTCCATGTGTCGACATGCGTTGACATGGTGTGTATGTATGATATCAACCGTCATTTGGACCTGGGGAGGGTTGATATGATGTTTGTCTTGTTTGTTTCCTCTTCCCCCAACGGCGATTTCCCTCAACTGCCCAACGGCTGGGAATTCCTCTCATTCTTTTCTATATCTTTTCTGTATTTACTTCTACTTTATCTACTTTTATTGTCTTTTTCTTTTTGTATGCATTCTATCTGCTGACTTGTCTTACTTGGTCTATTGCGTTGGTCAACTCCAAAACTGGTTTCTGTAACTCATTGCATACTTGCATATCACATGTGATTATGCCTCGCCAGCGTCGCCCTATTGAGCACCAGAAAGTGCCCTCAGGTGGTCAGAGTCAGACTACAGAGATGGCTGCTGTCGGGGAGGAGGCTCAGATATTGGTAAAACAACTCCTGCATTGGGACGATTTACCCCACTGGCAACGCGACAACCATCACATCCATACTGGATATCGGCCAGCCTCGTCGTCATTTTTAAGTTCATTTCAATCGCTGGGTTACGTTCACAATGAGACGGTCAATATCTACACCCACCTCTTGCCAGCTGTGATTGCCGCCCCCGCTGCATATTGGCTCTACCACTTGCTTTCTCCGCGTTACCGGGATGCAGCCGATTCTGATATCCTCGCTTTTTCCTGTTTCTTCGCGGGGGCTGCCTTCTGTCTTGGCATGTCCGCAACCTATCACACCATTTCAAACCATTCACCTGTGGTTGCACGCATTGGAAATGCACTCGACTATATCGGTATCGTGGGACTTATTGTGGGGAGCTTTGTACCTAGTGTCTTCTACGGATTTTACTGTGTACCCGAACTCCAGCACAGATACTGGACCATGATCTGTACCATTGGGCTAGGTTGCGTGATTGTATCCGCTTCTCTCCCGGTTCCGCACACCTCGCTGGCGGCCGTTCCGCGCTACCATGTTCGTTGGGATGGGCTTGTCTGCTGTCTTTCCCGTACTCCATGGAGTTTCCGTCTTTGGGCTCGATCGCATGCAACAGCAGATCGGTTTGAACTGGCTCGTTTTCCAGGGTTTCTTGTATATACTTGGGGCCGGGATCTATGCGGCCCGGGTACCTGAGCGACTTATGCCCGGGAAATTCGACATTGTGGGGAGTTCGCATCAAATCTTCCACGTGCTAGTGGTCTGCGCAGCAGTAGCTCACCTGACAGGGTTGTTGAAGGCTTTCGATTATCGGCACAGCGGAGCTGCCGAGACCTGTCAGATTCCACGCGGCTGAGTTGGGGTCTGGCGCAACACAAGTTCGAGGTTGGACAACATGCTCATGGCATTTTTTTTTGAGGTAGCATGGAATGAAATGTTCACTTGTAGCGTAAGTGGCGCGGCTTATCAAGGATCTCTCTCAAGGGTCAAAGGTCCCCCTGCTGACGATGACTCGAATTAGTATGTGCAACAATGACACAATGACGAAGAAATGAATGAAGCGGTGAGCGCATACTTCACTTACAGGGACTAGACCCGGTCAGCCGATTGAAAAAAGGAGCCCTTTTTTTTGCTTCTATTTCACATGGTGCCTAGCGTTGTCCATTTGAGACTATTGTACTTGTGTTCCATTGAGGAAAGCAAGGCACCAGTGGCATAAGAGACCAACAGCCCTTGTTAGTAAAAGGTTTATTGGGTTTCCAATAACCACGAAACTTAACCCCGAAATTGGCGTTTACGATGTTGCATCAGGGTGTGACGACTAACAAAAGAACCCCTAGCCAGTTTCTCTTGGGGGACCCTGTTTTCTCCTATCACGAGCAGTGTTCGAAAATAGCGAACGCTTTCAATCAACATTCCTTTTGCCAGATCAGGTTGGATCAGATTGATGGATTTTGAGGGAAGATGCTTCTTTTTAACCTCGGAATACCGGTGCCAGTTGGCGTCCCATGCGTGGTGGATCAGATGGAAGCATCTGGGGTTTCACAGCGGCTGACCTCTATATGCGGCTGCCGTCGGTACTGAGTTTGAATGCCAGAGTGACATTCTTACTCCCTGAAGCTTGAGCTTGTTTATATATCATAGGAGTGGGTGTAGAGGGGGGGTGGTGAAGCGTCTACATCATTGGACATGGTATTATTGTATTGAACCTGGATTTCTATTTCTAATTTCCCCTTTTCTTTTCCTTTTTCCCCTTTTTCCTTTCCATCTATATCCATATATCACCGAACCCCGGGGCTATAGGTAGCCGTCATTGATATCGTGTTGGGAGATCCTACTAGCTTCTTTCGTATTTCCCATTCCCCAACTCCCCCCGTCCACGATCAGCACCAAACAGACAATGCTTGCAGAGTCCAATGGTAGTCCATATGCCGGCGGAGATACACCTAAACTCCGAACTGCGTGCGAAAACTGCAGGCAATCCAAGGTGAAATGCAACCTGTCTGGCAAGAGTGTCTGTACTCGTTGCCTGCGCCACGGCCTACAGTGCCAATACGGATTTGCAAATCGATCAGGCAAACCAAAGGGTAGCAAAAACAGAGCTACTCTCCGCAAACTAGGTCAGTTACAAGAAGAGAAGCCTACGATGCGTGGATTCCGCGGTAGTCGGCTTGTTGCTTCTGTGGCCGACATGGAACCTCTAGTTGGGAATAGCTACGGCAATCATATTCCTGACCCAGCAATTGACAACGACGTAAGTTTTACCTTCCACTTAACGATTCGGCACATTTATAATAATGTGCCGTTCTACAGGTCTGCTTGATATCAAATCAGCCGGGCTTCTGGGAAAGTCCCCGAAGCTTCGGCAACGCAACAACCCTAGAGTCATCCGTCTGCCCTGGGCAGTTGACGACAGTTGAGAGCTCTCCATTCACAGATCTCGTGGACCCGTGTCCTGCTCTCCCAGCTGGTCTGGGATATCCACATACACCCGTGACGCCGACATTTCTGTCCGGGGAACTCGCTGACGGGATGACCAGTCCATGTCTAGCCGGTTCCGTGGCTTCGCCGTATCCAATTCCACCATGCGAGTGTGTGGATATGCAGCTATTCCACATGAACCGGCTAAACCATCTACTCGCTGGATCAATGCCCCTGAGGCTCGATCACAGTCTGCAGACCATCAAATGCACATTTTGCGCCTGTCAGATGTTCCTGCAGTGCACTAAATGCGCAAAAGACAGCGCAAATCTACTGCTGACTATCTCGGTACTCAATCTCACCCTCCAGCTCTTTGAGTACTGGGTTTCGCGGGAGACGTCTCGCGCACCGCGGCCAGAACACGGGGTCGATATCCGCTACGGATACTATGAGATCTGCCACGAGGAAAACAGGCAGATACGCAATTTTCTACTCCGTGGCCTGTTGTTACAGTGCCGGGATGTGTTGCTGGCTCTGAAAAGCACCGCTAATGCTACCGAAGTTCAGATTCCCAAATTGGGCGACCATGAAGGTCCAGGTCCATCAGAACCGAAACTATCAGATGAGCACAGCAGCCAGCACTGGGCTCCTTCGGAGCATGTCGGCTTACTTCCTGACTTGGATACCGATATTCAGAGTGGTACACCCAGAAGTGAAGGGCTGCTTCCCATCATCGCAGGTTACGAAGCTACTGTGTCGGCGTTCTTACAATCGACTTCATGGGGTGAGTGTATCTGTGGATCTGGACTTGTGACGCATGACGAGTCTCTTTGAATTATACCCACATATGGGAGGTCAACTGTTTTTCTGTCGCTACTGTACGTTAGGGAGTGAATGTAGAGAGCGGAGAAGCCAGAATTGGATTCAGCTGGACAGTAAACGCAGATCGGCTATATTAACAGAAAATTGAAAAACATATCGCCTATATACGATATAATACTAAGAAAAGGAACTATGTATATGAAAATAAATTGGACTCATAAATCCCCATCCCTCGACTGTCACATCGATGTATACCCCACACAATCTCGGTCCGCGGTGAGCCTCGGCGATCCAAGAGCCGAGAGATCTGTTGTATAAGACCTCCCCCTCTTACAAAGCCCAACAACATTCACCCTTGTTTTATTCCATCATTTTAAAAATGGCTCCCTCTGACCGTCTCACTCAGGTGAATGAGCACCTTAACTACCCAGCCGGTCTGCTGGCAGGCCAAGTAGCCATCATTACCGGCGCAGGCCAAGGCATCGGCGCCGAAGCAGCACGACTATTCGCAAACGAAGGCGCAAAGGTCGTAGTCGCTGATATCGACGCCAGTACGAGACCCATAATTACACATTGACATCGTGTCCCTTTACAGTACCCACATATCTAACAAACAAACAGAAAAGGCCAACGCCGTCGCTGACGCGATCAACTCCGCAAAGGCCGGCCGCGCCCTCGCCGTCGTCGGCGATGTCCTCGATAGCAACTACATCACCGAGCTGGTAAAGAAAACTGCCGAGTTCGGCAATGGCAAAATCCACATTATCGTGAACAATGCCGGGTTCACATGGGATGGTGTTATTCACAAGGTGAGACGGTCTCGGCTTTAACATATACCAGCTAGCAGTGCACTAACAATCCAAATTCCCCACAGATGACAGACAAGCAATGGGAGACCATGCTAGCAGTTCACAACACCGCACCTTTCCAGCTCGTGCGCGCCGCAGCGCCCTACTTCCGGGTGAAAGACCAAGAGCCGCGCGTAGTGATCAACATCAGCAGCACGAGCGGAGTCCACGGCAATGCGTAAGTACCCGAAGTCCCAGCCCCAGTCCCCACTCTTTATCTTTGTCTACGCCCAACACTAAGTATCAAATTCTAATACATATGTACTAACCGGGCAAAACAGAGGCCAGGCCAATTACGCAGTAGCGAAGGCCGGTGTTGTCGGCCTGACCCGTACAATCGCCAAAGAATGGGGTCCATCCTTTGGCGTGCGGTCGAATACTATCGCCTTCGGCTTCGTGACGACCCGTCTGACGGCCGCGAAGGAAGAGGGCGCTTTCATCACTACGCCTGACGGTACGAAGGTCGCACTGGGAATTCCAGGCAAGCAGCTTGCGACTAAGAAGGGCTCCGACAACCAGGAGAAGAAGGCTGCTCCTACTTACCCTGATATTCCGCTGGGCAGACCTGCGACTCCGGAGGAGGCTGCGCGGGCAATTCTGGGTGTTGCGTCGCCGTGGTTCTCTTACGTTAATGGAGAGACGATTCGGGTTACTGGTGGGCGGAATATGTAGATCCTGTAGTAGCGGTGTGTATATATCCGGGTCCGGAGCTGAATATATACGAAATGAATGTATTGAATGGTACAGATCCGCTCTATTGAAGTCCGTGTATATATATCGTCGTTTTGACCTCGGGACGTTGGGATGTTCTATGTCACCCTATTGCATATATATGTCCGTGGACCACGAGCTGCACAGGGTTGATACTGTAAAACCTCATCCAACTCACCGCAGACCCATCTACCGTCGACTCGGAATGGATCTGTCCCGTCTAGCGTGCCACTTGGGCAGCCAGCGGTTTCACGGTGGCGCGGGCCCATCACACACAACGAAACACAAAACATCATCCCATGCCCAATCGAGTCTCGGCCGTTGTCGGACGGCGCAACGTTGCACGACAGTATACAAGAGGTTCCGGTTGGATCTTTTTGAAGCTGGTTAACTTTACAACGTTCGCAGGTGGAATGTGGAAATAGGCAGTAGAATGCAGTGGTGTAGATTGTAAAATGTCTCATGCCACACCGAGGTATCATATCGTAAGAATCAATGAAAGGGAACAAGACGTCCCGAAATGTTCCGCCAATGCGAACGAAAAAGTCTATGCACATATGAGTTGAAGAGAACTGAGATCACCCTTAGGTCGTCAAACAAAAAGCCTCCCCCCCAAAAAAATAAACAGAGAAGAATCAAAAAGCGTCAACGCCGTGTAAAAATGTCCAAATACACCAATCCAAAAAGATATAAGACCCCGTATTTCATCAGCCCTCCCAGGGGCGTATCTTCAAATCATGCTTCCCAGTGTAGTATCACGCCAGAAAAATGGAAACGTAAAAGGAAACCTCCAGGTATGTGTGGGAATATTAAAACAATAAGAAAGGAGACCCGATCGCAAGGGAGACACAGGACTGTGGTCAAACGGTCCATGCAAGGTCACAGTCGCTAAGCCAGGGAAGTGCCGTGGTCCAGACGGGGAAAAAAAAAATCAGTAAAGAAATATGTCCAAAGGAAAAAGAAAGCTGGTGGCCGAGTCCAGTGGATCATGATCAACGCGATCAACTTTTTTTGTGTTCGGCAGCTTCTAGGGAGTCCGCTTGGTGGAGGGAGGAGAGAAGAGAGTAAGGGACCCGAGATGTGTGAAAGGAGACACCCACAGAGCATTCGATCGAGGTATGGTGTAAAGAGAAGAGCGTCAAGTCATGCAGCTGCGAGGCAAGGAGCAATTAGACAGGAACCTCGAAGCCCTGTAGGTTGGGGTGAATGAGGCCATAAGCAAAGGGATCCGCGGGAAAGAAGGGCTCCGCGCAGACAGAAGGGAAGACCGGCTTGCAATCGGGGACCTGCTGGGAGACTGCAGGCGACATGGTATCGAAATCCGAGTAGTCCTCGGTGATAGCCGAACCGTCCGAAGCAGCAGACTGGGAGAAAGCCGAGTATTGCGCAGAGTCCAACGACGAGCCAGAGGTCTGGGCATACAGGGGTTCCATGGGGCCCATAAACATTGGCATCTGGGGCTGGGGAATGTAGTCGATCTGCTCCGGCACCCAGGGGGTTTGGACCATGGGATTCTCCGTGAAGCGGGGACACTCCAGAATGAGCTGGCGCAGCTCTGGGATGGAGATCCGCTTGATTGGGTCAAGCTCAAAGACGCGGCTCAATATACTAACCATCTCGGAAGAGAGGGGCAGAATAGTCTTCAAGAAGAATGGGTCCTTGAGGTAGGCCTGGAATGTGGAATCCTCGACCGAGGCACGTTTCCATGGGTTGCGACCGCAGGTTAGATTGACAAGAATCACGCCCAGACTCCAGACGTCGTTGGCCGCGGACATGTAGCAGGACAAGGGTCGGGCGTTGGATTGTTGGCATTCTATAAACATATCAAGTTAGCCACCAAGCCATAACAGAAAGAGGATAGTTGAGCGCTTACCAGGTGACATATAGAATGTGGAACCGCATCCAAAGTCCGTCGTATAATAATCTGTCGTCGCCAGGCCAAAGTCGGCAAGCTTGACGGTCATTCCATTTTCGGTAACAAGGACATTCTCAGGCTTGAGGTCCCGGTGGTAGATCCCAAGAGAATGGCAAAATTGTACAGCGTCCAGGATCTGGAGGAACACACTCTTGGCCAGGAAGTCATTGCCGACAAAGTTTCCCTTATCGGTAATGTTAGAGAACAGGTCTCCTTCTGGGCAATACTCCATAACGACGTAGGTACAATCCACGGAATCCATGATGCGGACTAAGCGAACCACGTTGCAGTGTTGGCTGGCCAGGTGATGAAGTTTAATCTCGCGCTGTTGGTACCTGAGTTGGCGGGCATCCAGACCGTCCTTGCAGAGAACCTTGACGGCATAGACTTCGTTGGTGTGAATGTCCACGGCAGTGTAAACGACGCCGTAGGCTCCGACACCCAGGACTCTGGTGAGTTCCAGCCGGTTGGCTAATACTAGTCCTAGGCGATCCTCGGGAGCATAGCGGCGGGGAGCCGGTGATGGTGGCGGCGTTGGTAGCATGGCCGGGTACATTATCCTTGGGGGTTGTATAGAGGGGATCCAATGGTCCTCTCCCGGGATGAGACGAGGAAAGAGTGAGAGAAGGAGGGCGCAAAGGGAGTCTGATCCAGGGAGATTATAACAAGAAGCCTAAATCCACGGATATTCAAAAGGCATCCATTCCAATCCAATGGGGGTTTCAAGATGGTCCGATCTAGGTCCGTTTGGTCCGGTCTGGTTGTGTTTGATAGAGTCGAGAAGGAGAGTTGTTGCACAAGGAACCAGAAGCAAGAACAACAAATTAATAAATAAAGAAAAACAAATTAAAAACAAAACAAAACAAAAAGAGGCAAGACCGTGGATATATAGAAGGAGATGTGAAATATACAAAGTCGTCAAAGTAGAGAGAGAAGGAAGATTATTATAGAAGGGATATCAGGCAGATGGCCGCCTCGTGGTTCGAGAGACAATAATAAAACAAAAGGGAAAGCGCGCTAGTCAAAAAGGAAATTATGTTAAATCCCGAAAGGGGAAGGATCGAATGGAATCTAAAAAAGAAATGAATAAATTAAAAATATATAAAATATATATAAAAAAACAAAAATAATCTATGATGCGTACAATATGGAGTGGCACTAGAAGAAATTATTAGAAAACAAAATAATTATAGGCCATGTGTACGAAGCGGTGTGCATGCCCGAGTGTGGTTAGACCAATTATAATGACTCGGTGTGTCTTTCCTGCAGCCGCCACAACCGATGATTGGACCATGGGTCATAACGATCGACTAGAACCTTGGAAACTGCAGAGTCTCCTATTTCCCTTTTTTTTCCCCCACTGCAACTGCCACTCTAAGGTTTCTTCCGTTCTAGGCCTAGTGTGGCAATGCACTCTGTCCACGTATCCTAACCCCTGTTCTCCCCAACGGTGTTTCTGCCTTGAAACCTCCTGACACACATTTGCCAACGCACCCGCCACTCGCATTCTGCCAATAAGCTCATGGCCCAGCCCCGCAAAGCGATGGCATTCTGAATCTGATCTTCCAAGGTTGGTGCCATATTATTTTATTATTTTTTTTACCATGGATCGAGGATGTTTGAATGCAGCGTGGCTGTCCTTTTTCCGTCGATGATAATGTATGATTATAATCTTATATGACAACCTAGGTATTAAGATATATACGACCCTCTCGAAACATCTCTTGACTTCCTACACCGTCCTTTGCACAGACGCCCAACTTTATCCCGAACCCCACCTGGCCCCCTCCCACCCCCGTTCTAGGCTGACTCGGGTTTAGACAGGACACTAAGGAAGTCAAGAGTGAGGCGATGATGGAGGGGCGCTATGGCCAACCATTTGTTCGAACTGTTCGTTTTTCGAGAAACTCCCCTAAGAGCAGCTGAGTGGGGGGGTTGGCGCTTCCCTGCTGACTAGTTCTGCACGGGCCATACACTTCATCCTTCTTCTCCTGGCGCTAATGTACCTTGACTATCTGGGACATCTACAATGAAAACTCGTATTATTATTGGCGTTGCCGTGGACTTACTATTCCTGTTGCCGTGTTTCCTTCTTGACGTTGGTCGTCTGTTGGTGGCTGGGCTAGTCTTTTTTGTCTGTCAGCACATAGCAAATACAACGTAGGTACTCCGTATGTTGTAGTTGGTGCACTCCATACAGCCCAGAGGCGAAAATAGCCCCTGCAAACATAAAGTTGCCTTGCCGAGTCTTCAATCTCACTACTTTTCCTTTGTCTGTATCTCACCACTTGCGTCATAGACAGGCAAGGGCCATGTACTGATCCGAGTCTGACTTATTCGAACTGTATTCCCGCCCCCAATCATCCTGGGCAAACTATGTTGTATGTTGTATAGCCAAGGTGTGAAGTGTGCCAGTACTCTGGTACGGAGTCATTACAACTCTCTCTACTGGTACTATATTGCGGTGAGCAAGACAAGAATGCAACTCAAATCAATATCCTACCCCAAAGCTCCCTAGATCGACCCTGCAAACCCGCAGTCAGTCCAATCACCTGATAGAGATTGGGGTTACGATTCATCACATCCGTTGTCGGTTCTCAGGACCCGAAACCTGTCCATGCATAGGTGCTGTACAAGAGCTACTAGTCCCATGTACATCTATGTACTCCGTACTCTGTATGTCGTACAAGGTGTAGAATATCCTGACTTGTGTGATATGATATGTGCCATATGTGATAGACGCCCGTTCCCCTTTGTGTACCGTGCCTTGCCTCCGAGCACAACGATGAATGTACCCCAGGATTGGCAATGCAGCTGGCTCGTCCAAAGATCAACAAATTTTCTCGTTTCTCGCTCGGAACCGGGCCGTTACTTTTTGCTTTTTTGCTTTTTCTTATGGTTCTGCGACCGGCAGATGTTGTGTTCAGTGTGAACTGTTGTATCGCTTTTGGTTTCGGCCTTTTGTTTCGGGGTCTACACCGCTAGTGATCTCAGGTCTGTGAGTAACTATATTGTATGTACAATATTATATTGTATACTTCATACTGTACTCCATACTACTGTGTGAGAGAATATTGTACAGAGTACGGATAGAAGCATGTATCTTTACATTGTAAAGCGGCCAACTTATTGGAAACAGATTACTCTATCCACAACGCAATGAGATTCAGCTGCGACCGCCACAGATCATCCATATCCCGTGCCCAAAAACCACATTTCCCTTTACAAACTATCATCTCCTTTACGGAGTATCCTTCCAAGGATTGTTTATCTTTGCCTCTGAACGCCGGACTCCTGTAGATGAATCGGTGCCCTGCAGGTGGCGGGACCCACAATATAAACACAACTCGACATCATGATTACTTGGTCTTAGTATGGCGCGAACATCCATGTCTAGTCCCGATCAATAGACCAATAGATCAACAAACCTGACGAAAGGAGGTCGGAGATTAAACGCCCGCTCTAGTCCTGATTTTTGCGGTCGCGGATTCTTTTGCCACGGGGCAATGCTCGTCTTGGATTTCGTGTACAAGCATATATGGCATTTTGACTCGTTCGGCCAGTGGATGTGGATTTCATACCCAGGCTCGTGGCAAGGGGCTCCTTTCTTCCGTTGATCGCCGTCGCCTTCTGGAACACTCCACTTCAACTCAATGATCCGATGGACCACACGTAATTGTATGAATGTGATCATAATTATGATGACGGTCGAAAAGTGAATGTGCTTCATATCATGGATTGATATGATGATGACTATGGTGTACATCGTATATCGAGTACGTGGGCTTGAAAGCAAACTAAACCATAAATCGACCGTAACAAACGCTAGAAAAACAATATCTTCTACTAGTTCATAACTAGCCAGCCCAAAAGCAAATCCAAGACAAAAAGAAAAAGAAAAAACGATCCTATCGGCACCTATCGGCACCCCAAGCCCAAGAAGCCAGCCGCACCATCCTCCCATTTGCCAACAATGAGCTCGATATGTCTTTCATCAATAGCCACCAACAGCCACCGACAGCCACCGGGAAACACGAGCGCAATCGAGGACTCCCGCCTTTGCCGCCCCTAGGAGAACAGACCCGCGGAAGGAGGCAATAATCCAGTCTAGTGTCCTGTGCTCCGTACTCCATACTTCAACATGCATGGCAGCAAAAGCATCGTGCCAATCGGATATTCTAGCATTTACCATCTGCCATCCCTCTACTCCGTACTCCCGTGGTCGAGGTAAGATAGACTTAGTCTCTTTCCCGAATCCAAGGCTCCCTTTCTACCCCCACAACCCAAAAATGAGAACCGAGCCCAAGAAGACTCGAAGGTTCCGGCTATTTATTACTGAACCGCGGATGTGGGCGGAACTAAGACTGAGTTTGGCAAAGAGGCGATCTAGAACTCTTCGTACAGAACACGGGGTCTTTGGTTCCATGGGTTTTGTCCGGTTTTGAGTTGAGTGTTGCCGTCTTTGGACTGGGGCTGGGCTTGAAGGTTTGGGGTTCTTTGTTTATGGGATATTGGGATCATACGATATTGTGGAGTTGTAGCTCGATTAGTTCCAGATCTATGTTACCAGGGTCTTGGGTTCGATAGGGGGCTAAAGCCGAAGGGGGCCGGGGCCGGGGGCCGGGGGCTGGGGCTTGTGTGTTTGTTTCTTTGTTCGTGATAGTGATGAATTAGATTCAGGATCGAGTTATCGCGCGCTACCGATGTGCTGGGTGTTGCAATTGGCGGCCAGGGGTTTGTTTTTGGCAAGAGCTGGTGGTCAATGTGGGACTACGGGATGATGCACGGAGTAACTCCGGATGGGTTTCTTTGTTGGCTACACTGAGCTATGTCTATGCTCTAATAAAAGGTTGGACAAATCCCAAGCCACCCCCAGTTTCGGTAGGAGCTTTGGGCGAGGATGGACAGGGGTTGATGAGTTGTAGGAATGTTACATACAACAAACATATGAACTTGATTTGAAAAGTTAAATGCTAAGTGACTGTCGCAGTCTGCATATTGACATTCGAAAAAACCACATAGATGAACTCTCCCCGGTAGCGCCGACCTTCCCAGCCGAGCTATGCCATTCCAGGACCAGGGTTGGACACCCTGGTAGACTCAGAGAAATCAAGATGAAATCCATGCAGTACAAACCCTTCATCACGCAACTTAGTTACACCCTAGGCGCCAGGAAGGGGTGTTTCAAAGCCTCTGCTGGCGTGATCCGTTTCTCAGGATTAAGACTCAAACACCGGTCGAGTAAGTCCAAGAACATTGTCAGCTCTTTGACCTCAGCATCGGGCATTCCGCGTGTTCCTTGTGGCATGAGGCGTGTTTTCAAGTCGCGCGTCGGTTTCTTGAAGTCCACAATCTTGGTGTGAAGACGGCCGGTGATCTTGTCTTCCTCCACGCTGTGGAAGTTTAGCATTTCATCAAAGTGATGAGGGGCCAGGGATCCGCGGCGAAGAAGCTTCGGCGGGTATTTGCCCCTGCACTCCATGATGGAGCGAAGCATCTGGTTGTTGTTTCGGCCAGTGAAAAGAATTTTGCCCGTGTACAGCTCAAAGAGGGTACAGCCAATGGACCAGACATCGATGGCGTAGTCGAAGGGGATACCTAGGATGATCTCCGGTGCACGGTAGAAACGACTGACGAGGTAAGGCGTAATCTCATTATCAGAGGCCGGCGACGCCGAACCCAGGTCACAAACTTTCAGAATGTTGCGTTGCTCGTTCACAAGAAGATTATCCGGTTTGAGATCTGCATGCAGGATGTTACACCGGCGAAGGAGACACAGCCCAAGGAAAATCTGTTGGCCATAGGCCCGAACAGCGCGCAGGTTCAAGCCAACATCCCTGCCGAACTTTTTCAGGATCTCACGCAGGTCCATACTAAGGTTCTCAAACACCATGCACAAGTGGCCCTTGTGATCGAAGTAGCGGTCGAACTTGATGAGGTGCATTTTATTTTGCGGGTCAGCTTCGTGTAGTTGTTCCAGGATGCCAATCTCCTTCATGCCGGCCTTGCGCATGATGGCGTTCTGGCGAATTATCTTGATTGCAACCAGACTTCCTGTCTGGGTGTCAGTTGCACGTACGACAGACGAGAACATTCCCTTGCCAAGGTTTTGATGGACATGGTATCGTCCGTTGATCAGCTCTCCGAGTCGAACGGCGTAATAGCCTTCCGAATCATCCCAGTTATCCATCATGCTGACGTCTAGTTCCTTGCCCTGCGGTACAGCTGTGGCCGAAGCATGCGCCGGCTTGACGTCAGGTGCTTCCTCGGCGAACATGTCATCGTCGTCTTCTGCAAACATGTCGAACACCTCGGTCTTTGGCGGTGGCGCTGGGGCAGCATCGGGGAGGAGAATATCCTGCTTGGCAGCCTTGGTTTCGTCGTATGCTGCAGAGGAAACGTCGTCCTTTCCATTCTGTACATCGCCATGTTTCTGTCTTTCTTTCTTCGTATCAAGAGTTGGATCGTAATCAGCAGCAGAGGGAGCATCCTTATCAGTATCGATAACAGGCGCATTGAAGACCATGTCCATGTCTTTTCCAATACTAAAACCAGCGAATGCCTCCCCGGGTTGCTCGAAGGGGGATGCCCGTGGAGAATCTGTTGAGTTCACAGGCGTCAGTTTCGTTAATACCAAGCTAAGCTTTTCTGAGCGAAACCCACCAGATGTCTCCTTTGCACTAGTTGGCTCAGTGCTAGGCGTGGATGAATCCGTTTCAACGTCACCGACATTTAGTGCTTTGAGATGCAGTGGGGTCGCCTGGCTTCGGTGTTTCGCCCGAATGGCTTCACGGCGTTTCCGGCGAGCTTCAAGTGCGTCAATTTCGTTAACGGGCTCAGCGAGCTCCGGCTCTTGCGCAACCTCTGGGTTAGGGGTGGATTCTCTGGGACAGAGGTCAGTCACGAATTCTTCCTCGTCAGTAACAGAACAAACATACTCGTCAGCCACATGGGCTTGAAGATTAGAAGAAGCCTGCACCTGATTCTTTCGTGTTTCAGCACCAAGCTTCACGTCCGGAGCGACGACCGAAGCCTTTCCTCGTTCCCTCACCAACTGTTCAGAGGACAAGGGCCTTCCAGTATCCACCGAAGGCCCGGGATTAACCACGTTTGAATCAAGTTCATCGCCTGAATACTGCTTGGGTTTTCTCGATTCACGGTAAGGGGATCGGCTGCGACTGCGGGTGCGTTGCCGCTTGTCCTTGTGTCGGTCATGTCGGTCGTAATCATCAGTGTATCTTAGCGGTTCTCCATGGGACTCTTCGCGATCATAATCGTAGTATGAGTTCGGGCGCCTGTTAGGAGCGGGTCTGTCACGGCGTCTGTCGTCGTACCTAGACCTGTAGCGTCTCGGGGGCTCATGGCGGGGTCGCCGGTCGTAACCACCATCATAGGACTCGGGAAGGTCGTCGTAACCGCGTTTTTGGGTCTTATTCTCTCTGTACGGGGAGCGAGAGCGGGATCTCGATAGGGACCTGGTCCGCGACCTCAGCCGGAGTGGCGATCGAGTGCCTTTCAACGACGCGGGAGATCTGGGGGCAGAGGATGGGCTATCTCTGGTGGGACGGTCAACGCTGGTGCCATTAAGAGGAGGTTTTGACGCAGTTGCCTTCGTCTCTGGGCCTGATTCGATGATCTCACCCTCAGAGGGGACCGATGGGGACCTCGACCTGGGATGCGACATGGTCGCTAACGCTCGAGGGATTCAAACAAGACGCGGGGACAATGCTCGTCTCTTGGGTTCACTTCTCTCGGCTATTGGAGGAAGCTTCAAGAATAAGGCTCAGTTAGCAAAAGCTCCAGCGACAATAAGTCTGCTCAGGGTTTGTGAAGTCCAACCGGCTGTAAAAGGCCTGCCTTCACACCAAAGCCTTGGAAAAGTGATTAAAATCCCAGGCACATTGCTTGCTGAGGAAACAGGCTTGATAAAAGCACGTGCACAGGATATCGATGACAACAGGAGATGGAAGAGAACATTCGAAGCCATAGCGGATGCGATGGTCGAGATAAGGCAGAATCGGCGCTTGTCCGGTTGTAGTAGGCGGTCGGTCTAAATTCTGCCGGTTTCCTGCGCTTGGCGGAGAACATTTTCTTTCGGGACTCCACTCGTAACCATTTACAGTATAGCCCCAAGTATTTCGAATACCAAGCCCATAAATAGCCTGATTCCTACATATGTATGTAGCATAATGAGTGTGTATGTGCCTGAAATAATACAAAATACTGTACCGCTAGTAACGTTCCCGAGAAATTGCCCCTACTTTGCCCCAGCCCAGGCCATAGTGGTGGCCAATAAGCACCACTCATGTAATATTTTTTTCCTCGTCGTCAACGCCGTCAAGTCACCCCGCCATACATATTAAACTCCTCTCAAACCCCTCTCCTAGTTACTTTATTCAGACAAAATGGGTGGTATCGGCAGAGAAGGTTCGGGTTACCTCGAATTCCAGTATTCTCGAAACCCAGTTACTAAAATTTCATGATTTACAGGTGGAAAGGCCAAGCCCTTGAAGGCTGCCAAGAAGGAGAAGAAGGAGCTCGATGAGGATGAGATCGCTCACCAGGCCAAGCTCAAGGCTGGTATGGCTTTTTGAACACCCTATTCAGAGCGCCACTAACTGATGAACTTCTTTAGATGCCAAGGCCCGCAAGGAGTTGCAGGAGGCGGCCAAGGGCAAGAAGGGTCCTCTCAACACCGGCCAGCAAGGCATCAAGAAGTCCGGCAAGAAATAAGCGGATCGAATACTCCTCGACGGATCACTTGCCGACAATCCCCACAACGAGCCTTGACACCAGGTTTCTTGAGTCCACATTCACGACCTACACGAGCCATGTTCAATGAGAGCGGAGGATGGGTGGCTTCGAATGTGTGATCGCGACAGCATCACTGCACTCATGGTTCGTTCCTATGGGTCTTTTGTATATGTTTAGCCACCAATACCATTTCGCGCTTGATCGCATTTTCATACATACGAGTTTCCTAGTATGATCGATTTCGTTGGGGAAAAAAACATTATGAGATTAATCGAACCAAAATACATCAACATAAACCGCCATATTCCGAATAATGTGGGTATCATCCTGCGATGCAGGGGAATCAAACGCTCAAAACACAACCATCATGCCCCAAATTCGGAAAAAGAAGAAGCAAACAGGAAACTATCAAGTCCACAGTAGCATTAGAGATGAGATCAAGATCAGCCGCGCATAGAGCATAGACCAAATCGCAATCCAACAGCCATCAAACCGCCACTAACTAGTGACTCGCTTCACCCAGAGATTATTGCCATCGCCAGAATTCTCCTTCTCGTCCAGGCGGCGCCACGCTCGAGAAATCTTCATACCAAGATCGTGCTCCTCCTTCTTGATATCTGCAATCTCGTCTTCTATGCTCTTGATGCTCTTCTGGGCCTCGGCTTTAGCAGCCAGATCATACACAGCCGATGTAGGCTGAATGACCTTATTCAATTCGAGAACCAACGCCTCCAGACTAAATCTGCGCTGAGTCAGGTCATCCTTCTTGGCCTCCATTGCTTCAATGCGGCCCTTCGCATCTAGTGGCACCTCAGGTGGAGGCGAAGGCGACTGCACGGCCGTCTGCGCGGCCTGCGCGACCTGGGATGGAGTGGGCTTTCGCACGGGTTTGGTCGAGTCGGGCTGCTTTTTCGATGTCGGCACCCCAGTTGGGACTGGGCGACGTCGGGCCATGATAGAGGATGTGGATACGTCGTCTGTAGACCGAGTTTCGAGGTGCATGCTCTCTCGCGGGCTTGCGTCTTGGCTGCCGGGTTCAGTGGCTGTGTGTGTAGTTGCACTGAAACGGCTCCTGGGCTCATGGCTGAGCATCATGTCGCCGAAATCGTCGTCGAACTTGAGTATTGGTTTGTCGTCCTTGGGCAGGCGGCTTGGAGCGTTCTCTGTTGCCGGTCTCCGGGGTAATGATACTGGACCACCGGCGGTGATAGTGGTTACAGTTGTAGGAGCGAAGCTAAAGTTATCGAGTTGAGGACTCGCCTTTCGCGCGTCGTTGCCGTTGCGCTTGCTGGAATGCTCTTCCACTGGGAACCCACGTGACGACGATCTACTTCTGGGTTCCTTTTTCGAAACATCTTCGGGCTTTGAGAAACTGCTGATCCGGTGTCGAGCTGCATTGAGGGTCTTCTTAGGATTGAATCCCTGGCCCCAGTTTAGTAGATTGGACGCATGGGCCCCGGAGGGTTTGAGGAAAGACGTGTTACGGGGATCAACCTGGCTAGCTCTACCAACATCACTCGAGGTCGGCTCGCCCGAAAAGTTATCCCAGCGTGTCGGTTTGCCGGAGATAAATCGCCTAGAGTCCTGGTCATGCTGGGGAGGCTGGACGGGTTGGACAGGCTGAACACGGGAATGAGAAGGTGTGTCAACATCTATCTTGGGAATAGGAGATGGCGATGATAAGGTCCCTGTCTCCTGTCGCGCATAATCAGAGAATTGGTCTCCGTCGCCAATGGGCGAGACACAGAAACTACTTTGGCTTGCCCGCCTCTGAGCTTCAAGCATTGGCGAAACAGCAGGCGAGACTTTGGAGTGTTTGTTATTGAGATCACCACACGGGACGGGATCGGGTTGCAATGGTGAATGCAATTCGCTGATTCTCATTAGTTATGTTATTCAACACGTAACAAACATAAGACTTACTCAGGCAGAGCGGGCAATGTTGCGACCATATCATGCACAGGGTCTGATGTGGTGGGTGGATTGCCGCTCAATATGGGGCCGCTGATCGAAGGCCGTTTGGGCTTGTGGAATGGTCTTTTAGACCACATATCGATTTTCTCACGTTCTAGACGTGACAGAAGGTTGGTTTTGGTCGGAAATGAAAGCGCTGAATCCACGCAAAACGATGAGCAAATTTAAGTCACAAAAGAAGGGATGGAAGGAACGAAAAGAGGCAAAGGAGTGTAAAATCTGGAAGGGGCTCTGTTTTCTAGGCCACGGTGTACAGCCTAACACGGAAGCCTGTGGAATATACAGAATAAGAACGCGAAAATTATACAAATAGAAATGGTTCGAACAGCTAAGCAGAAGCAAAGAAAGGAGAACTAAATAAGGAACTCAATGATTAAAAATAACATAAAATAACATGGCATCCGCTAATAGAAGTGGGCAGATTAAAACGGGGGCGATAGTCCAGTGGAGTTGAAACATTTCAGGGACTGCTTGGGCGTTTTACGTTTTATTTTTGAAGTCCGAGAGCCTAGTCTTTAATTAATTCACACGTGAGAGAAATAGGTAGGTAGATAAATTCCTAAATATAACCTGAAGAAGAAGAATGAAAGAGAAATGTCCATGTAATGGCCAATCACGTGGAGCGGGGGGGATATGTTGATGGTCGATGTCATCCCGAGATTCCGGACTTTCCACCTGCTCTCTCCAAGATAATTACAATCTGCCACAATGGGTATACGCATACTTGTCCCACGTTGCTCATGGTCTGAACATCCGCTAATCTAGAAAATACAGATTCCGCCCCACAGGCTGAAGTGTTCGTGTCCCCGGATCTCAACCGACCTCATACGCACGGATGATGAGACACCAACCCAACTAACCCCTCACTACCCAACAGGATGTCTATCGCCTCACCCATCAACCTGATCTTAGTCTCCCTCTTTGGAGTCTTGGTGTACTGGCACTTCCGTCCCAAGGCGCCAATCACTCTTCCCCGTGCTCCACCGCCAACCGTCTTCAAGACCTACACCCCCAAAACACTTATTGAGTTTAACGGCGAGGAAGGCCGTCCCGTTTACCTGTCCGTCCGTGGCCGCGTCTTCGATGTCAGCCCTGGCCGGAATTTCTATGGGCCGGTATGTTCTTGTACTTGGAATTGGGGAAACGCTAGTAAAGCCCCGTTGGAACCGAAGCTGACGATACAATTGGAATAGGGCGGACCTTACGAGAACTTTGCTGGCCGGGACGCCTCGCGTGGCTTGGCTTTCCAGAGCTTCGACGAAGAGATGCTGACCAAAGACCTGTCAGCGCCGTTGGATGATCTGAAGGATTTGGATGCGGAGCAGCTGGAGAACCTACAGTCGTGGGAAGACCGCTTTTCGGAGAAGTACCTGGTCGTTGGCAAGTTGGTGGCTGAGGGTGACCCTGAGGCTCCTAAATCGTGACCGCGCAGCAAAAGCATCTAGGGGATACATATTAAGAAGGGTGTGTACGACAATGACCGATATCTCACCTACAATGACCAGCGTGAGCTTCGAAAACACAAGGGATATGTGATTTATTTCTTCTTTTAGCATCAATTCAAAAGCGCCGCTGCCGAATCTCGGGTTTATTTGGAATATTATCTTTGGTCCGCGAATTGTGACCCAGCTGGCCAAGTTCTGCTACTAGCATTGACACTCGATATTACTACAGCTAAAACAGTGATCTTCCTAGTATTGGCCAAGATTTATATATATCCTAGAAGTAAATCATCATACATCATCGCCAGGATCAAATGCCCCGAAAGAAGTGGGAACACACGGATTCCAAGGTGTACAACTGGTGAACTTGGAAGTGATTTGATTGGATGAGACGGGGATCTGGGGAGGACGGGAGGCTGTAGATCATCAAATCACGTGCTTATAGGTAGGTATACATCCATTTGTTCACTGGATTATACAGTCTGCTGCTCATTACATATGTAACTTTTCAGGATACTAATAGTTGATATAGACACTCCAAGGATACTAACACCCCCTGTTTGAAAATTTTCAGTATTGCCTTTCTAATTAGGATTCTTCCAGCGGTTCTGCCACTCCATTGATTCTAGTTTGCATAGTAAACAATTGCGTGTTTGGTTGATTCCAGTGCTGATCTACTGAAATCCCCACTCTCCCAGCTCTGGCACATAGGACCAGAGAGCCGCTGGTCCTCTTTCAACCGACCCTGTTGGATCTTCGTGTCTTCATGTCTTCATGTCTTCATGGTACTTCATCACTTTAAGGAATGTGCCGAGTGTGGAACAGCTCTCACCACTATTGCAATTTCTCTTACTGAATGACGAGGGTCAGCCCTATTTGAAAAGTGTAGGAATGGTAGATTGATTACTCGAAACTATGTACATAAGATGGATATATACTAATTCCTTAACAACGCCCCTCAGCGGTATTAGCTTACCATCGCCGAGTTTGGCGGAATTCTCCGCTGAACAAAGATAGAAGATAGCCTCATATTTGCGGATAGTCGTTGTGAAGCCATGGATCCTGCAGTAGCTCCTTCGCCGTACTTCGCTCTTCGGGTTTCCATTTGATCATCCGGTTGACGAAGCTAATAAACATCCTCTTTTCTTTCCCCATTAAACTTGGAGAGGGTGCTTTCAAAGCTAAAGTTACTAGGGACAAGGTCTTCCCTTTTGAGTGTTCCTGAAATGCAGTGTTAGTTATATATAAGATATTTAATTGACTCACTTACCAGCAGGCGTATAGAACATCGATGTCCTCTTGCCGCGGCGAATAAAGTCTTTAGGGGCAGGACCTAAAAGTGACGTTATATACGAAAGATGCGTTTCGTCATCATAGTCTTCAACGGTACGTGGATCAACTGATTCAAACAGTGTTCGTCCTTCTAGAAAATCCCATAGCTTCATTCAATAGTTAGTTGTCTGCGCTAGCATATCGGAGGGGGACACTGTGTACCATAACTCCTAGGCTCCATATATCAGCACTATACGTGTACCCTCTATCAAGGATGACCTCTAGCGCACGATATACCTCCGCCTGGATACAGCCATCCTGAAGAATATTACCTTTGACTGCTAGGTCAAAGTCGACGACTTCAATCAGTCCGATATTGTCCTTCAGCGGTCCATAGTTCTTACGAGACTGATAGATGATACGTCCATCATTGCAATGCTTCTAAAGTAATGGGTTTTCAAACTCATCTCGAGCATCCCGGGATAAGAGTTCACGATCTTCCAGTCGTACCATGATGTTATCCGGCTTTAAGTCTGTTGCTTCTGAATGAGAACCATATTATTGACTAATACAAAAAAATATAAAATATAAAAAATAAATAAGAATTCTTACCGGTATGAATGATGTGACATTCAGTGTGGAGATAATCAAGCGCTTGGAGTATTTCTTAGAGGATTATTTTGAAAATCTCCGGTGGCATCACGCCATCTTGCCATCGTTAGCAGTATTTTCCTAGTGACTCACGTAAAGGTTCGAAGACGAGACATATATGACTCCCTGAGGTCCCCTGGACAGAAAAAGAGTCAAGTAATTTTCGAACGAAACCCCAGCCCTCGTGGTGACGGTTCGCTTTCGTAATATGTCGTAGAACCTCTAGCTCAATACCACTAGCAGTTTTCCGGGCGTGGGAATTATTAGAGTTAATTTTAAGAGCCATATATCGCTCGTTCGACCAACGCCACCTAAACTGTTTATATACCTTAAAATGTGATTAGACTAATACGAACTAGTGAAGGTCCCTTGCAAGCCATACACTCGATCTGCTTCCGTGGCCAAGCTTGGTCGCGATTTAATACCGGTCATTAAGGATTTCACCAATCCGCGGATAAAAATAGGCTGGTTCGTAGTAGGGAGAGTTCTCCTCTTCAACCAGTAAGGACGCGTCAATTCGGGATGGAAGGGCGGACGAAAATGCCCAGGGCGACTGGCGAAACGCCTTGAAGGGATGAATGAAGAAGGTATTAGGAAGATTCCGCGTCATTATTCTGCACAAAGCCAAAAAGATTGGTGCTGGTTCATATGGCCTTTATGGGGAGAAGGGTGTAGTCCGAACTTCGAGCTTTGAATATGGCTTCATGTTTATAGAGGCAGATCAGGTGATAAAAGGGGATCAACATAGGGCCGATCATAGAAATCATAGAAGGTACTCTAGGGCTGAGGTGGTTCGGGGGCTACCTAGGTATGTCTTTTACTATTGAAAACTGACTGCCAAGAGTGGCTCTTCCCAATTAGGTTAGACAACTGTGACAATAGGGTTTACCGTTTTTATTAGACTAAGAGTACTAGGCTGCTATATATACGCTAGTACGGGGACGTAGACTGTCCACTATAGTAGTATCACTATATACAGGTCTCTATAGTGACCGAGTACGTATACCTATATGATCTTATAAAGGTCTACGTATATGACAGGGCATAAAAAACACTTCCACTGCAGCATCCAATTGCATCATATGTAAACTTACTAGGAATATTGGAAGGCATGAGCGTCGTGGTAAAAGAAACTAGTATATATTGTACTATGGTTCTGAGACACATACTCCGTAATAAGGGCCTAACAGTACTATACTTCTCTGCTCTATTTCTCTGCGTCCCTCATCCATTACACGTACTTGTTCTACTTGCCTACAGTACCTACGTAGTCTACAAGAATCCATCTCAAGCTTTTCCATCTTGGAAATAGAAGACTATTGATAATCTACAATAGAAACCATGTAACTAAAAATGTTACAATCCAAATGTCATAATCTTCGTAGCTTAAAAGATATCACAAAACCAATGGTGCATTCCCACTTTGTTGCAGAAGAAAACAGGAAAGGTCTGAATATGAAAAGAGTACTTCAAAGTTCTCCACGCAGTCTCTCTGTGTGCTCGGAGACCTTCTTCTGGACCTTTTCAGCAGCTTCAGTGCCTTGGGCGCGGCCACTAGCAGCGCCGATCTTCAACTGATCCAAAACCCACTGCAAAGTATCCATGATCCTGGCATAGATGGTAGCTTGCGGACTTGCGGTGCCGTACTTAAAGTACTGGGCGTTGCGTCGGGCCGCAGCGCGGAGCTCGTTGATGCTCGAACCCTGATAGGTAGGAACGCCGTAGCTGTCCAGGTAACTCTTGAGTTCGGATTGCGACCATTGGTCGAAAGTGGTATCCTTGGCTCTGCCAGTCGCCTGCGCGAGGGCAGCAGTCGCAGAAGCGTACTGTTCGCCGCCAGCCTTGGAAGCCTTGGCGTAGGAGTCCTGGGCATTCTTAACAAGTTCTTCGCGTGAGGCATCAGCCTGCTGGGCCGCCTTGTGGTTCACGGCGGACAAGTAGTTCCTGGGAACGAAAGGTAAGCTAGTGAGATCATAATCAAAAGACAGATATGTACTTACACCAGATGTTCCCTATCCCAAGTATCGAAGTTGTACTGATTCCATCCACTGGCAGCCTTGTGCGCGTTGGCGCGGACCTTAGCAACAAGTTCATCGCGCTTGGTGTTCTGAGGGACGGGGATTCCTCGGGCATCAAGGAAGGCCTTCAGGCGAGAGTCAGACCAGCCATTCAACGCAGTCTCGAAAGCATCCTCGATCTTCAGCTTGGCATAATCGGTAGCGCGCGCATATTCGTTCCCAGCCTTGGTGGTAGCAGCGCCAAACGCATCCTCCACAGCGGAGGAGGCACTCGAGACCTGGCCAGAAAGATAGTTACGGTTCTTCCGTGCTAGAGCAATGAGTTCATTGCGCTTCGAGCCCTGAGGCACCTTGACATTGTGCGCGTCAAGGAATTCCTTCAGCTTCGAATCGGACCAGGCGTTGAAAAGCTGATCACTCAGAGTCTCCTTGGCAGCCTCGGCCTCAGCGGATGCAGATGCAGCAATGCTCTGGGACTGCAAACTGATAATGCGCGAGTTGCGGCGAACAGATGCAATGAGCTTGTCACGTTCGGACGGCTGGGGAACCGGCCATCCACGCTCGTCGAGCCATTGCTTGAGATCCGAGTCCGACCACTCCTCATACAGCCAGTCTCCGGGATAGGAAGCCGTTTGGCCAACCTTGGTGGCGATCTTCTCATAGTTCTCACGCGCGGTCTTGATCAAGAGGTCTCGCCTGCGGGGCTGGGGGGCAGGAATGCCATGGCGATCGAGGAATGCCTTCAACTGAGAGTCAGACCATCTATATCGGTCAGCTTTCATTCAAAATAGGGAAATGCGATCACCCTACGTATCAAAGACCCATTCTCTGGCATGGTGGAGCTCGTGATTGATGTCATCGGCAGCTTGTCCAAGGGGCTTCTGCACTTTGCTATCCCAGTTGGTCTTGACCAGGTTCTCCAGGTCGCGGCGGTCAGCAGGGCTGGGGTAGGGGATATCTGCATGAAGTGTGAGTATACGAGGTTGTTAGAAGGAGAAGTCCTACATACTATGGTCCGAGAGCCATCGCTCGAGCTCAGATTCATGCCACCTGTTGTAGACTGTTGATGGTATTAGCTTGCGAAAGGGAATTTCTGTACCCAAGACAACATACTAGCCTTGCTCCACCAACTGGAAGCTGCCACTACTTCAGTGGAAGCGAGCAAGCAGATGAGGCCAGTGGCCAAATTCAACTTCATCGTGTGTTGTGTTGGACAAAATGATAAAAGTATTTTGGGGTCTAGCAAGAATGAAGTATGAATGTACTAGTGAAGAGAGTATGAATGGAAGATTTTAAAGAGAGCTGTGAAAGCAAGGAAGGGCGGATGATTGCGCAGTGACGTAGTTGGGGAATTTGCCTTGGATTGAGCTGGAGTGCATGAATCATCAGTCCATTCTATTCCGCCCTGCTCTGGAACATTTGCCAAGATAGTCTCTGTGATTATTCAATAGAATATGGATACATAGATATTTATATTATGCCACTTTGTATCTATAATGCTCTCCTGCTCTATATCGTACCTAATCTATATGGATTACCTGATATGGTTTAGTGTGTCATTTTGGGTTTAGCGTGTTTGTTCCCTTTGCCATCCCTGCGCCTATAAAGTCACCTCTCGCGACTTCTTCCCTTTTACTTGCACTTATACGCTATTCGGGGGCATTTTCAACACCCCATATTGCAGAGCTCTGCTTCAGCTTACAAATTACTACATAATATGCACCAGAATATATACCTGACCTGCAAAGAAGCAACTTGGTATAAGAGACTCCCATCTAACTTCATTCACAAGACCACTAAGGACAGAATTTTATAAACAAAACCCTTCCTGATCCATACCCAAGCACAAGGACATTGCCATGGATCGTGAAGCAGCTGGGTCGGTACTCCAGAGGCAGCCATAATACCTTTAGGCGGTTGAAGGTCACCCAGCTTGACTTTAATATGGAAATCTCCACAGCATTCTCAGGGGAAATGGAAGTGTCCCAATACTCAGGATGAATGTCCACATACCCAAAACTAGTCTTTAAATATGAGCCATCTCCAGAGAACCTTACTCTGCGGGTATATCCCACAGACCTCCAAACCTGTTTTTGGTCTTCCGTGGCAATATCCAGGAGTGAGAGGTCCCGTCTATCCTCACCGATCAAGCAAGCGGCGATGAAACGGCCATTTGGAGAGAACGCCATATCGAAAGCTTCCATTGGACGGCATTGAAATGTTTTCTCCAAAGAGCCAGTTGTGGTGTTCCAAAGAGTGAGGGTGTGATCCCTTGAAGAAGTAGCTAGAAGCTGGCTGTTTGGCGAAAATGATAGAGGCCCCCAAAGGTGATCTGGATGTCCATCCAGAGTATGTCTCAGGCGCAGAGAGCCTGTCTCCGTGTCTACGTCCCAAAGCTGAATAGTGTCCCCCGAATGGGAGGCTAAAAAGCGGCTACAGGGAGAGAAGGTCAACTCGCGAACCTTACACGGCTTGTCTGTAGAATTCGGGCCCTGAAAGATGGGAATGGGCTCAATTGCAGACTTCGAAATTCTCCATAGTTTGATCTTGTCGATTGAAATAGAGGCGAGAACTTTGCCACTGGGCGCCAACGCAGCACATGGTCGACGTACACTAAGCGCCAATGGTTGCTTTTGGGATATACTGCCTATCTTCGGGTTCCATAGTGCAGCTGTTCCATCATCCGAGCAACTGACCAAGATCTCACCATCAGCAGAGAATGTTAATGAAGAAACCCTGCTTGAATGACCGTCAGAATACTGTTCCGGTTTTGGTACACCTGCACCAACATGCCAAATCTTAACTATTTTGTCAGCCGAGGCAGACGCAAGGAATTGACCGTTCGGGGAGAAAACCATAGATACAACACTGCCAGCGTGTGCACCAAAAGGAGCATGCGCAATACCCGTGGACATGTCCAACATCATGACTTGTGATTGGTCCCTTGCAAGGGCCAAGAATTTGCCATCAGGAGAGAATGCTTGATCATAATTGCGATATCTGCCTTCGAAGTCCTTCGTGAGAAGACCTGTGTCAGGATCCCAGAATGCTAATGAAAGTCCAGGTAACACAGTCACGAGAACGTTCTCAGTGGGTGAGAAGATTCCGCCAATTATCCGATGCGGAAGAATCTTCTCTGCATCGGTCGCGATATTCCAGATCCTGAATGTGAAATCCTTGCACTGTATCCCAAGAAACTGGCCAGTGTGAGAGAACGAGAGATGTGTTATTCTCTTTGTGTGGCCTTCCAGAGTCTTCTGAATACTTCCGGAAGCAATGTCCCACAACTTCAGTGAGCCATTCACTGATGCAAACGCTAAAAGCTGACTATTAGGGGAGAATGCTACACAATCAACATCTCCTAAGTTGTCGGCTGTTTCCTGCACAAAGCGATCTCCGATCAAGTCCCAGAGGAAGATTGCAGGGTGACCAGGCTCACAGGCAGGAGAAACCAAGAAGCGGCCGTCAGGAGAGAAAATCGGACGGCAAGGGGAGCACCGTGGATGGCTAAGCGTCCGCTGCAATGTACCTGCGGCGGGATCCCAAAGCTTAATAGTGCGATCAAAAGCGACGGACGCGAGGAGTTGGCCGTTTGGTGAAAAAGAAACCAAAGAAACGTCCTCTATATCCTGTGGATGCCGTTCCAAAGACTGCTTCAAGACTCCCGTCATGGCGTCCCGAAGCTTGATACTGCCATCATGGGCACCATATGCTAAGGTCCGGCTATCCGGAGAGAAGGATATTGGGAAAACCCGCCCTGAGAAGTCATCAAAAGACTGAACGTCTGCGCTCCAATTCGCTTCAACGCCTGAGACATCGGAAATCCACGTAGGAAGATACTTAGCGAAGGCCTTTCGTATAATCGAGTCTCTCGGAGCAAAGAGAAGACCCGAGCAATAAAGCTGGAGAGGGGCTTCATTTGCTATGACGGCATTCCTGGACGCAAATCGTCTGGCATCCTGTAAATACTCAGAAAGCTCACGGGAAATGTGGCTCTGCCTTGGTCAGTTTCGTCATGGATACATATCGAATAGCCAGGAAACTCACATCCACCCAAGAGTTTAGGAGGTCAATGATTCCTACCACTTCATGTGCAAGACCCAAGATCCCCATTGCCTCCATCCAGTGGAGGAAATGTGTCTTCAAGAAGGCAAAAATGTCCCGCAATGACTCCGGGTCGTCACCATGCGTGGAATGGTAGGCCCAGAAACGACACGAGTACTGAACCTCAGGAGGAAGGCAACGGCTGATAAGTGAAGTGTCAATCTCAGATCTTTGGGTCCCATCATGTTCAAGTCCACAGATGTTCTTTCGTAAACTTGAACAGGCCAAAAGGCACCTTATCGCCAATTTAGAGTGTGACGCCTTGCCATCTATCGCGAATGGAGTCTTCTCACACGTCTGTGGATCAAGGAGAAAATCTCTGAATGATAGGTGGAAAAGTCTCACCGGCATGTTTTCATTTTGCGGGATGCTCAGCACCGAGTTCAACGCGCTCAACCTCAGTTTGACGACACGTTCGGAAATACCAAGAAGCGCAGAAATCGAGATAACAGACAGAGGACTTTCAAGGATGATGATTGTACCGACCACGTCCTTAAACTCTTGTATAAGCTGCTTCTTTTGTTTGTCATTTTGGTTGAGAAGAAGTCGACTGAACACAGGGAGGTATGTTCCATCGAGACTAGCGGTCTCCCCTTGGCTAGCAAGGATCTCTTCGAGGCTGTCTATAGGGTCCCATTGGAGATCATCAAGTATACGACACATAGTAGCAGCAAAAATGAAGAGCGGAACAGATATTTTCCAAAGCTGTTGTGTTTTGATGTCTCCAGGCCAGTCATCAGATAATAAGCGCTCCTTTCGAATTTGGGCTAGTCGATGCTTCAGAAACAACAATATATCGTGTGCGATGACATCTTCCGGTAACTCATGGAGGATGAGGTTCTTGTAGTCCTCATTACCTATATTGGAAAACCCAACACGAATTGGCAGCTCCGGTCTACTGGTCAAGAAGACTCGAATCTGCACCGTTTTCGGCTCTCGAAGCTGTGGTATCAATTGAAGAATTGTCCGTATATCATTCTCTGATTCACACTCGTCTAGAGCATCAATCACGATCACCAATATCCGGTCTTCACTCGAGCTCTCGAGTCCTAGTAATGGTTCAAGCAGAAGCTTGTTGAATTGTTGCTTGAGCCCTCTCGTCGCAATAACAGGGTCTTCCTGGACTGCTTTTCGAATCGCGGGAGTCAATTCCGGAAGCATGTTCATGATTTGTTGCGTCAATGTCGTAAATAACATCGTCGCATTTCCTCGGTCCCCTTCACCTCTTTTGAAGAAGAAGCTTGCGCCCAGCTGCTTATTTTGTTTGAAAGACCGGGCTACTGTACGGGATATGGTCGATTTTCCAGTTCCAGCCATTCCGCTCAACCAGAAGATGCAATTGCCTTGTGGCGATGCTGCCCATGTTGCGATTTGTTGTCGGAGATCTGTTCTGGTCCCTTCAAGACACTCGTCTTCGTGTTGATCCATATAAGAATCAAATTCAGCCCCATGGGCGACGGGCAGCTTTTTTAGATCCATGTTTTTATCAATCAAGCTAGTCGTTCCAGCCATATCAGTAATGATTACCCTGGTAGATGAACGAGGTCAGCTTCATCATAAGAAACACTCAACGCAGCTAACACCCACATCTGATCGGCCTGCAGCGACAAAGAAAATGACGACTTATATCTCTCAATATGACCCATCACTTTTTCGACTTCTGAGCGCTTCAACGGCCATTTCAAGGCTCGAAACCCCAGCTTCCTCATCGCCTTTTTGCCCTTTCCCATATTAATTTTTCCTTCAAGGGCTTCTAGTGTCGAAAGACAAGTGCGGATCTCATCTTTCAACGCTGATGTTATAGACAACCTTGAATTCGGATTATCAAGCGCGTCCGCAAGCTTCTCGAGAACACTGACGAGACCCTGGATCGTCTGTTGGAGAGCAATGATGTCGGACCTAGCATCCTTCACATCTTGGATATAACCTCCACATAGCTTGGAAATAGCTCCAGCCAGCTGAATAATTCCAATAATACTGGCTGCCACTGAGAGGCCGTCCATTATGCGTTATGGAGGAGAGACCAATCTAGTGCATTATTGACCTGAGGCGGGGTAGTTATGGCCCCAATAATAAATATCATGAAGAATTACTTTCCACGCGCTAACCCAATCAGTATCAGCTCACTGTTCCTGAGAACACCTTGGAAGAGATAGTTATGTGTAACAAAAAGCTCAGCAACTCTTCGAACGGATTAAGGTTGGGAGAAGTCTTTACTATCTTTCTGCTATATATATCCGCCGGCCGCTCGCAGCGACTCCCAGACTCTGCGTTTTCAACTTTTAACATGTATACATTTTATAACCTTGTGTCTAGTTAATATATAGCCTTTGTCTGCTTTATTCCTTTCCACTCCACCTAGAGCACTATGTTTAAGAAGCAAGGATGCAACCTTGGAATATATTTCAAACAGTATCACCTCTCTTGGTTGGAAGGCAGATTTTCCACTACTCTTCAGTTAAACAGGAAACTTATTGGCAGCTTATTATGAAGACATTATTTATATGGAGCGCCTTCTAGAAAAGCTGATAGATAAGTCTATATATGTAGAGCTAAGATATCCTCGGTTACATCATGATATTATAAGCAAAAAAGCAATAAATAACACTTCCAAGGTTCTATATATGCACATGCCATGCTCATGTTCTTATCTACATACATATTTACATATTCTTGTATGTATCTACTAGTACGATGCACATGAGGCCCTTATGTACTAGTATAGTTCCAACCTTGGAAGGTATTTGACGCTAATCCGAACTAGGGATAGTGCATAATATTGACACCCTCTATCCAGACAGGGAGGGGTGCCCAACGAGGTACTCAAGTTTACAATACCTTGGGAATGCCTTCTTTTGTCTTTGGAAATAACAATCTCCCTCTCATGTTGATGAAGTAGAGAGAGAAACATCCGGTGTGACGACCTGGTGATCAGCTGTTGTCACGACCTCGGGAGCTCCCGCCCCCGACCTCCTCATCTGAGCTTCATACAATTTGTAAAGACACAACAATGGTCCCATTAACACCCTACTGCCGCGAGCTGGCCTCGCCAGGCATCTTCCAAACTGTGCTATCTGTGTACGTGTTCCTCAGAACTAAAACCAATAATCCCCAATCACTGACGTACCATAGCCTGATTATCCTCGGCATCCTCTGCTCATACCTCCCCCAACACATCCGCATCATCGCACGACGAAGCTCCTTCGGCATCTCCCCATACTTCATCCTCCTAGGAGTAACATCAGGGACATCGGCATTTGCCAATATCCTGGTATTCCCGTCCACCGCGCAAGATGTCGCCTGCTGCCAGGAGATCAGCGGGATTGCATGCTTCGCAGGACTACTGGGCGTCTTCCAGGTGGCCATGCAATGGCTCTGTTTCTTTTCCATGTGAGTCGAACGAAGCGCTCAAATGATTTCCGAGTCGATTCCGAATTCCCGACCGAACACCCCACACCCACACCCAGGCTTGTCTAACCATATCTAGTCTTTTGCTGTTCGTGATCTACTTCCCGCGCGCCACTTCCCCCACAGACCCAGTGAGCCCTGTGTCTTCCACCAATGGACCGACGTACCGCACCGCGCTCGCCATAACGGGGGCATGTGTACTGCACGCGCTCGTCACGATCATCATTTCCGTAGCGTTCAAGCTGCGCCAGCCGGCTGCTGTGGCGGCCTGGGCGAACTTCCTCGGTGTCCTTGCTGCGATCCTCGCGTCGATCCAGTACTTCCCGCAGATCTACACTACGTTCCGGCTGCGTTGTGTGGGGAGCTTGAGTATCCCCATGATGTGCATCCAGACGCCGGGAAGTCTTATCTGGGCTGGTAGCCTAGCTGCCCGCAAGGGTTGGAGTGGCTGGAGTATTTGGGGCGTGCTGGTTGTCACGGCCTGCTTGCAGGGTACCTTGTTGGCGATGGCAATCTATTTTGAGTACTTTGGACCCAACAACAAGCGAGAAGTTGGGCAGCTGGCTGGTCAGAATGGGGTGCTCAATGGATCGGCCTCTGCTGGTGAGAGCGCCCATCAAGAACCTGGCCATGAGGAGCGACCATCTGAAGAGACACCACTGCTTCAGAGCTAGTGAAGTGCGCTTAACAGATTTGCTGCGTGTTGCTTTTATATAGTGCTATTTCGTAGTTTGATGGAAACGAAATCCTATACAGTTCTAGAATGATCGGTGATCCAAAAAAATAAATTCTTAATAAATCGTTCCATGGGCATATCGCAAGTCGAGGGGTGTCACTTGCGACAAAACGACAGATATTTAACCCGGTCGCCTCCAAGGCATATCCTCTTCATGAGAAACACATCCTCCTGTCATGGCGTCGTGGTATTTGTTTCGGGGCCCATAATTTACTGGGCGCTGTAGATCAGACGGAAGACGTCGTTGAGCACGAAGTAGCTTCCGGCACCATCGGGCTGCAGCTTGAAGCACTGGGTGTAGTTCATGGGCTTCTGCTCCTCGTCGACCTGTTGATAGAGAAATTGTCGTTAGCTAAGAAAAGAGAAGAAGCTATGGGCATTCAACATACCAGGAGGGCGCCGGTAACAAGCACAACGATGCCATCTCCACTGGAGGGCTGGGCGTCGAAGGTGGCAATCTGGTGCTGAACCTTCTGGAAGGGCAGGCCCTAGAGTCACAAAATCAGTATTGGAATATTTCTTTCATATTGACCCCCATGGGCCAGGATTTGGGGCTGACGAACGCCGAGCTTCTCAGTGATGGCACCGACACCCTGGACCGAGCTGGTCTCGAAGGTAAGCATAGACTGGTCACGCTATTGGTTGATAATTGCTGTTAGTACACAATCACATATCGTTGGCCTGTAAGAATATCTCGGGAGCGGGGCTTACGTAGAGACCAGCCAGGCCAGCGCGGTTTGTGTCAAAGGTCTGGTAGTAGAACTGCACAAACTGTTCTGTGCAGGTTGATCACAAGTTAGAACACGACTCTTTGTGTATAATATGACACCCATCTAATGGAGAATCATTTCCACCCAGGATGACAGGTTTGTTGAGAACAGGCGCATTTCTAGATCCGAACTAGGAAAGTATGGGGATAACGTACGAGCGACGGTGTTGAAGTCTGTATAAATTGCCAAGGTGGTTAGTCAATTTCTCATCTTTATTCACATTGTTTCCTTCGTTTCCCATCGCATTGCGCAACATAGTCACAACTGCTGTCTGAGATCCAAACGATCAGGCCCCTCCATCGTATTTGAGAGGAGCATATATGAGCCAAGGAGAGAAAGACATACCAGCCATTTTGACTAAGTTGTAGAATTTGGAATAAAAGAAAGAAAAAGGTGATGCGATTGTGTTTGAAGGGTACAGAGAGTTGAGCGCGAAGGGAGAAAGGTATTTGTTGATGAGGGGTTGTGGGGCAGGAAATGTTCTGCCGATGATGCCTGGCTGCCTTATGTTGTTATTGAAGAGCCTCCCCTTGACAGGTCTTTTAACTACTACAACTGTCTCTATTTATACAAGAGAAAACATATTAAATAATCATTCATGGTTCATTCCTATTCATTACAAGTATCATTCAGGTATCGTTCCGATGCTATCCATAATTGGTACAATTACAATCATGCCCAACCTTACTCCGAATCCGAGGCGAACATGTCTTCAGCTTTGGGCCGTGGCTTCCGGCGCCGTGTTTCTGGCTCCTGCTGCCCAGCTGATTGTTCAGATTTGTCAGATGGAGTTGGGTGCTGAGGTGGGTGCTGAGCTAGCTGCTGGGTGACCTCGGTTTGGGTATCTTCAACGCCCGATGACGGCGCCTTGAGCATGGGCTCCCCGTCAACATTCTTCAAATCACAGATTTCCATTGCGGTCCCATCCTTTCCATTCACTGATTCGTCCACTGCGTAGACAGAGGTAGATGACTTGTTCTCATTCGCAGGGTGAGTAGGGTCAACCTTTCCACCACGCTCGTCATCAACTGTCTTCCATCGACTCTTGCTTTTGGCAAATGCAACAGCATTTTGCTCTGCCTGGGTCTTCTCCGTCTCCTTTTGCTTCTGTAATTCTGCCTCTGTAAGCGGTGGCCTTTCAAACACTTGGGTGAAATGTTCCTGGTTTGATTGCGTAAAACAACACCACCCTTCCCACTGATGTAAAAGGGTGCCAACACTGCGCTTCCACTTTTCTGCTTTCATTCGTCCCCATTTCATGTCCTTATCGAGTCGGCCAAGGTGTTCAAACACCTTGCGTGAGCGGAGGGCGTTTTCGAACAGCTGGCGGTATCGCCATGCATGGCGGACGCCACTAGTTGCCGACGCCGAGAGAATATCGGAGATGATGTAGAGACCGACCAGCTTGGCCGAGGACATATCCAGTTGTTCGTCGGATGGGGTTGCATTGTCGGTATCTGTAATCGCTAGTCTAGCAGCACTTGTTTCCAAGTCCAGATTTGGGTTGGCGCCGGTGTAAGCTAGTGGGCGAAAAACGTTGCGAATAGCCATGTCGACAACCTCAGGCGCCCCAATTGCCGCGTGATTGATGGCGAAGGCTGTGACTCGCGAGATATCTCCACGTCGGAGCTTCGCATGGGTCGTCGGAAGTCGTGCAAAAAGATGAGTAAGCTTGGCCATCTTCAAGGGGTTCAAGAAGTTAGGTTCATCGCTGTGGGAGTTGGATCCGTCCGGAGGTGCTCCACCAAGGTTGCGCCTTTCATGTTCTCCATCTGAATCTTCTTCGTCAGACGAGTCGTAGTCGGGGTGTGAGACAAGTTGGTCCATGCGAGTGGCGTTCTCAAACTTAAGATGCTGTTTGGGGGGTAACCAGAGCGGAGCACCTTCAAATATCATCGCCGGCTTATCGATGTTCTTTTTCTTGGGGTCTGTGATGATCTGCCACAGTTTCCACCGGTAGTAGACACCACCTGGCGACCTCGGATCAAACAGCCAGGCCCACTTTTCGTCCATCTGGACTTCTGGCCGACTCATCAACAATGCCTCAAATCCAGGACCTTGTTTCACGAGTTGCTCAATAGTCATGTGTATCTGTCTTAACTGTCTTATGTCTGTCGGTAGCTCCACCTGCACCTGCATGGTTGGGCCACTTCTACCAACGCTTGGTCCATACGAGCTTGGGGGTGCAAATCCCCCGCGATGTGGCCCTGGGGGTGGAGCTCGGCTCAAGCTTGTGCCGGAACTTTGTGGAATTTCTTTGGCGCCAAACGGATGAGAAGTAGTAGTCGACGAGAGGCCGGAGGGCAGATGCATGTTTGAATTCATTGCGGTAGAGGAAAGATGTCGGCAGAGGGTCAGATAGTAACCCCAGCCAAGATATTTGTTTTGCAGCGTGCTGACAGCTGTTTCGATATTAGAGGCGGGCGAGTCGCTTGCGAGGGTAACGAGCGCAGAAGAGGACTCCCGATGGGTTGGCAATTGTCCGGGTGGGGTGATAATCTTGACATTGTCCACAGTCAGGTTCGAGGGGATCAATGCCTTGATCACAGATGGAGATGTCCCCGGAGGAAGCGATGCGAGGTACAAGGTGGGTTTGGGAGCTGCCCTCTCCTCCTCCTCAAGTGCTCTGTCGGCTTCAGATGAAGTAAGCATGTTTTCAAATTTGAGATGGTCGCGACGGGGAGGGGGGGAAAGTTTCGTGAGAACGTTTGTGTGAGAGTGAAGGCGGCGGGGGCCCTAAGGGTCCATGGCCACTGCCGCGTGAAGAGGAAGCTGCGAAATGACGCCTGGGAGGACCACCCCCCCGGCCTCTAAATGTATTTGATCCTCCATCCAATGACTGGGGCACGACTGAATCATCCTCTTCGAACGACTTCACAAATTCTTCATAGACTGCAGCTGTCTCTGCTTTTTCCCGGGCGCGTTTGGCCTCCGCTTCGGCCTTCTGACGCTCAAAAAGTGATTTCTTTGGAAGCGCGGAGAGTTTCGCCGAGACGTCGGGGAAGCTCTTCCCCTTCGACTCGTCTGGCATGATGAGAATCAGCGGTAACTGCAATGAAACTAGCCAGTCTCAAATACAAGCAGGACGAAGTTATTTGAGAAAAATCAGACGGATAGTAGTTCTAGAAGAGCTGTAAGAGTAAACCTCTTGATCTCCGGATAACTTAACTAGGCTATAGTAGGCGGTCGGGCTTCATCCAATCACCGGGCGTTGTCTATTGGCACGTGCACGGCAGTATACTTCGCGCTAGTGTAGGCGGTGTGAGCTTAGGAGGTCATATAAACCGGGTTTATAGTCACTATGGGCACCCCTAAGTACCCCTAAGTACCCGGGTACAGTTCATCTGGCATGATGAGAATCAGCTGTAACTGCATGGAACTAGTCTGTCTCGAATACAAGCAGGATGAAGGTATTCGGGGAAAATCTGACCGATAGTGGTTCTAGAAGAGCTATAAGAGTAAACCTCTTGATCCCCGGATAACTCAATTTCGCTATAGCAGACGGTTAGGCTTCAGTAATCACGAGGCTAGTAGCATATGATTTATCGCTAGAATAGGCGGTGGATACCCTTATAGTCGAGTGAGATATGTAGGGCTTACAAGGACGTAGGACCTACGTTCATAGTCACTATAGGCACCAGTATGTACCTATAGGTACTATATTAGTGTATTTGGTATCAGCCTGCATATAGCACTTGCTCTATCATGGAGTACTCTGCTCCGACAAGATTCTCCGATGATGCTGAATACGGCAGACCCTGCGGTACTGGAAGTTCAAGAACAGTTCGCAGAAAGTCCATAGTAGCCGCCTCGCTGGCGGTTACACAGTGTAATGAGGAGGCCTGGCAATAGGAATAGGAATCCGCGCGATCACTTCACGGCTATTATTTACTCGTGGGAGAAACACTTTGTTAGTTAAAGCCTCACTCTACAAACTTAAAAATACCAGGGCAATAGCCTTGTGGTACTACTTAGCTGGCGATCCGTTGGAGTTTTGTTGGTCGTATCGACATATCGTTCAAATAAACGATCGGTCTCGTTGAATCTAGCTGCCGTTTGATAATTGTGATTAAATTAATAATAGACCTAACTAGGTACATCCATCGTCGTAATGTGTTTTGAAAGAATTCCTCGCGGAGTGTTGGGTTGGTGGATAAGTGATGGGAGGAATAGACCCATGGAATAGATGATATGCTTCTAGCAACAGCGAGTGTCTGGAGAAACTTTACCATTGGGAAATCAAAATATGCTTCCTGTGGGTTTACTTATGAGTCGACCGAAGGTGGGAATAGATGAGGTTCGCTCCATGCATGCCAGATAGCGCCGAAGACTGCCAAGCCCATAACCGGTACCTATAGGTCCTCTTGGAATCGTGGTTCCTATGTCAAATCAAGGAATTTGTGTTCTGTGCTAATACAGGAATGGCTGGGTATACAGACAGAATCGAGATGTTTGAGTCTCAATTTACACCGAGTCACAGGTTTTACATTCTTCTAGAACAAGGAATATGCGTAAGTACATTTGGAGAATTCTTACGCTGATAATAGATTGACAGAGTAGCCTAACATTTCCTTGATTCTTCAATTTGTCTCATCGCGCATTCGGCCTCGTCTCCTCAACTGTCTCGATTGTTGCAGTTGTAGACTTACTTTGAGCACGCTCCTCTAGCACAACATCCTTCCCCACGGAAATTATGACATTAAGCTCAGTGTTCCGGTGGCTATCCATGGCATCTTTATTAGAGACGTTCACGTAAACGGGAAAAGCCAATGCGAGAACAAAGCCTATCATTCGGATTCCATGGCAATGTGAGCATTCTTGTTTGTCTGCAGAGTGCACAACGTTAGTACTTGAAACTTGGAAACCCTAAAATCCAGGATGCGCAAACAAACCACAATAGCCATCATAGGAGGAAAGACCATGCCACCTGAGATGGCTGCAACAAGTAGAGAGCCACCGCGCATCGTGTGGCGACCAAGGCCACGAAGAGCTAGAGAGAGAATGGTTGCAAAGCAGCACTGTTGATAAATCTCGTTAACGACAGGGCTCAGTTTACTGATTCATCATGTACTCACCGACTTAAAACATAGAACAAGGATAACCATCGCCACTGAAGTATAGCCCCTTGTGGTCATGGCGGCCACCGAGAAGACTGCACAGAGAATTAAGTATACTGTCAGCATATACCGAGGCTTGAATGCTTTCGTCATCATCAATCCAGTAGCCACGAACTGTTGAACGCATAGAAGCCCTGCGCAATGGCAAGCAAGTCGGCTAGGAAAGCATAGTTAGCCTTCATTATATAGACATAGCCTTCTCTGTGTCACCTACGATGGGCTCCTTGGATTATCAACGAAAATAGAGGTCGGAAACAAGGTAGTCTTTATATCTAAACCCCGGATTTTCCCCAGCTTTGCAAGGAGCTGTTTGAAATATCCGGTCGACTATGGCTCATGCGGTAGGGTCAATTATTGGTCAAATATTAGATCGCCCGATGGATGGCCGTTAAGACTATGGACGGAGGTTCTAGAGGGAAATCAAGAAAGCGAAATTTCTTTTGCGTCCTTGCAGACACTCGAGTAAAGTGGAAGACCTTCTATACATCTGATATCTAGTACAACATATGTGTTGCGCGATAGAGTTGGATCTACATCGGATCATCGCCCCTACTCCACAAACTGGGGCCCTTGGTGGACCAGCTCGAATGTCTCACGGAATGCAGCAATGGGCTCCGCGACGCAGTGTGTCATGCTGATCGACCGGTCTGGATGCCCAGAAGAGCGTATAAACGCGATTATTGATAATATGGAATGCCTTATTAGCGTGTATATATTGACTTTGTAGATCTATAAATCATATTTCATCTTCTTATATCCTATCACAACATTTGGGTCAGATTCCTTTTTTTTCAGGAATAGCTGATTTGGGCTTCACCTTCCTCGCTGCATATGTTATGTAATTCTTTGATGGAGGAACCTTGATTGATTTAGGCGTGATTAAGGCTTGTATAATCTACCTAGGTACGACGTATTTAGTAGGTAGGGCACCAATAATCGTTCCGGTATTTACGCAATATCAAGTCTACATCTATGGAGTTCTATGATATTTGCTGATATAAAGAAAGGAGAATATGGAGAACTCTTTGGCAACGAGTAATTGGCCCAGTTGCAAGTGAGTTGCATAAAACATAAAATATTGACATTCTACAACAACGATCTATGTTGTAGATGCAAGTCATGAACTGAAATGCCCGTACATAAGGGCAAAGCGGAAACTAAAACCGTGTCAGATGGAGCCAGAGGCCCGTTACGCAACTCCGAGAGGGGCTGGACCTTGAAACGGTTGATCCTTACGGCCATTCCTCGGGCGAACGCCTGTGTCGAGACCGGAATATCATACTCTTCTCGGTAGGAGAGAGAGGCCTTCCATGGATATGATAGTCTCCAAGCCCTACAACCAAGGTACCAGTGGACGAATCAATTTTTGAGATCAAGAAATAGGTCCATCATCTATTCAAACGTGCAACATACTTTCCAGCAACATCTGTGAATAGTGTCCTAGGCGACCATCAGCTCGCATTCAAGTCACCATCATAGGTGAACAATTTTGCATTTTTTCGGATTACGATTATTCAAGATATTGGGTTCGAGATATCCGCTCTGGTGTCTGAACGCCCGGATTCACTTGAAATTGTTTTTTTTTTTTCCTCGCGAACCCGGCCTCGAGGTCACAGTTGTCCAGTTCGTGGATTTCAGCTCCAAAGACATAAAGAGGTTTGATATTCTCGCGTTGCGTGGCGAGACAAAGGAAACGTCGCAAATTCGATGCTGAAGCAAATAACATTGGAAAGTCTAGAATTAGAAGCTGGAATCTGTATTCGGTAAATGAGTGACGGAGAGAGCAGAGAATATCAAAATAGCACAATATTGCATGAGGAGAGTGGCGAAGCCAATTCAGGCCCACCGCAGACGGGATGGGCTCGCTAGTTGGTCGCCCTAGTCGTAGTAGCGTAGAGGAGTCGCAGACATGGAGTAGATCATAGTACATTATATGAAGAGTACGGAGTAACCAAGAGGATATTTTAAAGAAAGAAAGGGGAAAAAACAGAAAGTAAAGAAAGCAAAGAAAGCAAAGGAAAAGTGCAAATCAGAAAAAAGCCAAGAATTTCAGTTGGTCCGAGTGGTTGACTTCTCTTCCCCCCGACTCCCCTCAGTAAACTCGTCACACTAAAGTCTCAAACTCCTCCCTTCCCTTCCCCAACTTGACTTTCTCATCCATCTCTCTCAACTGTAATCAACTCCATCCTTCCAAGGTTACTCCTTAATATCTCGAAACTCTACTATATCTGCTTCCCCATTCCTCGCCCTATCTTCGCCGGGTAGCGAAACGGATTGATCAAACAACAAGGTGGCCCGACAGGGCTGCCAGACCGATAGGAAATGTCTGGTCATATCTCATCGGAGCATTCTCGCTCTAATTCACGATCCTCTCACACTCCACGACCCTCGGGGGAATCGACCCCTCGCCACTCCTTCGGTCGCACCTCCACCCCCAATCCAAATGTCTTCGCCGACGAATACTCACTAGAAACCATTGACTCCGACCGCATCGAACGCCCCAACAGCCCTTCTTCCATCGCATCCTCCTCTACTCTTCGTGAAAACAACCAGTCAAGGACCACTAGCACGGCCCCGACCGAGAATGAGAACCCTTTTGGCGATGACGCTCGGGTGTCCTTCGATGAACCTCATCGGTCAAGTCTGCCCCAAAAGGGGTACGCTTTCGCCAACAACCGTAATTCTACTTCCTCCCTCAACTCGACGCCTTCTATGATCCAGCGAAATCAAAGTGTTTCTTCTCGTTTCTCGATTCCCCGTGCTCTCAGCCCCTACACCGGAGCGACTGGACCCAGCCATCCATATGGTATGTATCCACAAGTTGGGGTTAGCCGGTCGCCCAGCGTAGGTAGTACTTCGACGATACGCCCAATCGAACGTCCTCTTGAAGAATCAACTGGTCCACAGCACCCCTACGCGATGTACTCGCAGAATGTGGTCGAGGAAGGAATGGATGATGATATCATCCCAGTCGGATTTCCAGGCCACAACCCACCATATCAACCGCCCGCTGGTCGCCCGGCTGATGATGTGGGTGATATCATTGGACCGGATGGTCACGCAGAGCCGCTACCACCTTATTCGCGATATCCAACTGGTGTCGTACCCAAACCTCCAGGGGCCGAGACGGCTGCCGATCTCAACACACCGCCGGAAGAACAGCGACTCAACAATGAAAGCCCAAGAGTGCCACCGGTTTCAGAAACCTCATCAAGGGCTTTGGTGGCTGACCATTCCGGCGATGCGAACGATGGTGGGAACGAGGAGGAAAGAGTCGCTGCGACCACAGGCATCATGGCCTTCGAAGAGAAGCTCAAACGCAAGGGGAAAAAGACCGCATGCTGTGGCCTGCCAGTGTGGACGTTGGTCCTCATTGCAACTGTTATGCTCATTGGAGGGTGTATTGGAGGTGTCATTGGTGGTGTTCTGGGAAACCAAGAAAGCTGCAGACGCCGCAAAGAAAGAAGACCAAGAAGCTCAAAAATCAAGTGGCTTGCCGATTATAACGGTCACTGCAACTCCCCAGATGGATGCGTCCTTGATATCTACCCCCACAAATATCAAAGAAATCCCAACCGGCCACTTTATGGTCCCTTCCGGTTATCAGAATGGATCGGGACTTTGTGTGGACGAGTCGAACTACGGCAAAGCCTGGAAATGCTTGCAAGCGCCTAGCAAAGTTGGCATTTCTATCGGCGAATCCCAAGGTCACCATTCCATTGTTTTCGACCACGGTACTCCAACCCCGACGTTTACATATGGTGCCCAGGCGCCATATTGGTCTGCTTCACCTACACAAGCTTTGAGTATGGCCATTGATACCACTGATATTGGCATGGGCCCTGCTCTGTTCTTCCTTTCGCCGTTCGACAAGCTGGTTATTGTCCCAGACGATACATTCTCTAACACCATTTCCAAGCGCGCGTGGGTGGAAGACGGGTGGGCAAATGCAAACGCCTACAAGAATCTAAAGCAGACTGCAGAAGTCGGGGACAAGCCGTGGTTCTGTTGGTGGAATAACACGATGATGGAGTTCTTCTTGTACGTTAACCAGTCGACGTCATATTCCTTGAGCGCCACCGCTTCCACCAACAGCAACATGCCAGCGAGCACAGCTGGCTCAACCCTTGACTCCAAACGCGACGACTCCATCCCCGATTACCCACGGAGGATCAAGATGGAGGAGCGCCGAGACGACCCATCACGCGAACCTCCCTACTGTCAGCAAATGCAAATTCGCAAAAACGGGGGTTTGGCGCTTCTCTCGGGCAACATCATCAACATCAAAGAGAATGAGCCCACACCGACCACTACCTACACCAATTATAAAGGTGGCACTGCCCAGACATACACTGCCCAGGCATCTTACGCCAGCCCGTGCTACTGTGTGTCTCTGACAGACTAGCCGGGCTCAACCTGAAACAATATCATTTATTCATTGTGGTCCCTCCTGCCGTGGACCTAGGCGTTGGCGTTGGACTGGCCAGCGAATTGGTCTCAAACTCATGTGCACATGATCGTCTTCCTTCTTGACTGTGTGATTTTATCTTTCTTTCGTCCCCGCAAGTTATTGGCCTTGTGGCATGTTTCATTTCTTGCATTATCCGTGACCATGCGTCCCCCTTCTTATTTTGCCCACTGTCATTGCGGTATGACATGATCCTCATTACTTTGCGAGTTATTCTTTCCATCTTTTCTGGGTTATATTTGCTCTATCTGTTGATCGGCCCTTCTTCTGGTTTCAACTGGCGTTCATAGGATTGGTGTGGTTCAGGTACTGCGATATGCTTGATCATATATCGTTCTCATCTACTATCTTCTTAGGATGTTACGTTGAATTTTATCCTGTCTTAGCACTTGATGGAGAACAGTTCTATCATCATCTCCCCCAATCATATTGCAAGATAGATGATATATCTTGGTTACGTACGTACATATTTAGGTACCCTATGTAAGATGACATAGCGTATTGGATATCAATGGGAATTTCCGCCCATGAATCTCTGAACAAGGACCTTTATGTATATGAGAGTGGAAGCCGATATACACCATACTCTAATATAGCCAGGATATTCTCAGACTACCTTCCGTATCGTAGGTTTTTTTTCATTAGGGTAGGTAGACATAGCCTTCACGGACCCGTGCAGCGACGTGTGGGTGGACCCCCGGGCCGCCAAATTAGATGACTCAGCTGCGCATCACGTGCCCATAAAGGCGTCACACGTGACCATCTTGCAACACCAGCATGCAGGTTGGAAAACGGTGGGCAATGACTAGTAAGGGAAGCAAAAACCGCACGATCATCAAGCCTAAAACGGTGTAAAGCTCAAGCAACCCTTTGATAATTGAAATACGGCAGGGTGTGTCTTGTATCGCACCCTGGTGCCTGATTGGGAGCTCCCACTCGACACCTGAGGCAGGCACACTTCCGACAACTCGCACCTTGCACCCCATTCCTCTTGTAACCTCTCCATCTCATCGTTCCCCCATCCATTCCTCTCCCACAGTGTCATCTTCTTTTTCCCGATACCCTCCTTCTCTCGATATCGCATGATCTCGCGTCTATTTCATTGATCTGCTTTATCGATTTCCCCCCGTTTATTGCGCCTGTGTCTCTTAAAAATCTGTCTTTGGACCTCCAGATCAAATGATCGCGTCTCCTAGATGACCTTCCCTCCCCCTCACCCTTCCGCCCAATCGTCGATTGCTTCTGGCACCGATAAATCTTCTTCGACCAGGACCGATATTGGTGCCTGGGGTCGGTCCGTGTCGCAGTCCGGCGCACGTCGTGGGTTGACTCCACTCGCGACCAACATATCCTCCGCCGCTCCCCCCACGGCTTCCCGGGGCTTGGACGCAGGCCTTGGGGTTTCGACACCGTCTTCTTTCTCCGCCGTGCTGAGCTCTGCCAGGGGTCTCTCCGGTGGAAGTCCCAAACACACATCTTCGCCCTTCACATCATTGCAATCTGGCTCGCAACAGCACGCAACAACCCTCTCATCTCCTAAATTCCGAGCTCACACCCCTTCCATAGGGTCCCATTTGGCCTCTGCTACAGGCTCCACCCCGGGTGGAGGAGGTACTGGGGGAGGAGGTGGTGGGCCGGGATCTTCCAGAGGCGTCTTCTCGCCGCTCTCGTCCGGAACAACCGTGAATTCTCCCACAGGCTTCGCTTCTGACAAGCCGGGCTCCACAGCTGCCCACTCGAGTCAATCGTCGCTCACCAAAATCTCCATTGCCCAGGTATTCCTGTTGCTGGATTCCATTACAGAGAAAGAAGGAAAAGAGAAGTGGGAGACAAAGGCTGCCCAAATACACAAGGTTGGTGGTGCTGCCACATATCTTCATCTACTCGATTCTAACAACCGCAGCTTGTGACATCGAACGGAATGGAGGTTTTTTCCAAATACTTTCGCCGCCTCCTAACAGGAAATGCGCCCCAAATCTTCCCGGGCGTCAACAAGTCCGTTGAGAATGCGGGCAACTACCCTCTCCTTGTCCAGGAGCTGCAGAAAGTGTCCTCGGACATGGAGCAGTCTCAGAAAATCGCAGAGACAGTAGATACTTCTGAAGGAGATATCTTCCGCGACTTCGACCTGTCTACTTTCTTGGATCATTTCCGACTCGACCCAGTCGTCAAGGTTGCACTTGCCTTGGCCTTTAAGCTAACTAGCAAGTCAGACCTTCGTGCTAAAGGTATGTTTGCTTCTTTCTGTCTCTGGATTAGTTCTAACCACACCCGTTAGCCGATGCCATCCTCTCGAATTCCATTGCCCCTTTCTTGCAGAGCTTGGCGAGTCCTACCGAAGTGACCAAGGATTACTCTAACTCCTTCCTTGGCATGACGATTGAACGTTTCATCTTATACCCTCCCCGCAACTTTACCGACGATGTCAAGGCGAAGCTGGTTTACGCCGCCAATCTGCGATACCAAAAACTTGGCTTGGATATGCCATTCGAAGTTTCCTCTGCCCTACAGATGTTCAATTTTGTCAACCCTCAATATGTCCTGGTGCGACAACTTCACGCCAAGGGACCTCGTGCTACTGCAAATATCGAGACGATAAGTGAAGTGCTTAATTCAGACCCGAAGAACTGGAGTGAAGAACATCTAGCCAGCGCCCTTCTCTTCATGATCTTGTCGCAATATTGGGAACAATTCTCGCTAGAGACATTCTTAAGTGCATATAACGACAAGCCAATCAATTGGCCCCTAGTGTTCCGCCACTTCGATCGTGAGGGCCTCCGAGTGGATCCGAAGCAATTCACCAAATTGTACAGCGTTCTTTCCGCCATGTCGGTCGACGACTCGTCTTTGGATGTTCAAAAGCTTTGGGGTGGAGACTGGGAGCATCGTGATACACAGATGTCATTCCTGACAGCTTTTGTGGCCTCTCGGATCGACCCATTGCAGATCACCAATCTTCGCGCAACCTTCCCCGCTGACTTCTTCGAGGACGCACCTGATATCGTCAAATTGCAAGGCGAGCGTGCGGCAAAGTCACCTCTTCGGTCCATGGACGCTATGAAGGCAATTTTCGACCTTGCCTTGTTCTCCCAGGCTTCGTGGGCTGCGACAGAAAGCCAGCTCCTTATAAAAGCGGTTGTTCAATATGATCTGCCTGTTTTCCTCGTTTCTGCTCTAGCTATTCCGCAGCCGTGGTCCAGTGTCCAGCAGAGCTTCGTGCTGCGCACATTCATTGTCTTCATCTCAAAGCAAGAGGATGGGTATCAGCTTGCTCTCCACGGCGCCTGGCGACAAGATCGACAGTGGGTAGCAGAGCAGCTTTTCACCACTTTCACTCAGGATCCCACGTCCACCGCTGTGATCTACGAGCACGCCGCTGCGTACGGGTGGCTCGATTATCTCCTTGGGTTCACCAACGGTCTTGCCCTCGATCTCGCCTGTTACTCCCACCGCAAGAGTCCCTTTGACCTTGAGCAGTGGGTTCGGAATGCCGCTCAGAAAGGCGCCATTGATATGGGTGGTCTGCTTTCTAAGTTCCTGCGAATCAAGGCTGAGGACGAATTGCACGTCCAGCGGAAGGAACAGTCTGCTCACCAAATGGTCAGCCTCGCGGTCAAAACTGTTTATACGCTTTTGTCTGTGTTGGAGGAATACGTCGGGGACCGCGAAAATCTCACACCTGTCCAGCGCATTTGCATTCAGACATACCCTCGCCTGATCAACTACGGTGAAGGATTCGATGATATCATCGACGCCAATGGCGAGAACGGTAACACGTTGCCCGACTCAATTGACAAGCAGATGCAAGAGCTCTTTGGTAAAATGTACCACGAGGAACTCTCGCTGCGTGAGATGCTGGAGTTGATGCGAAAATACAAGTCTTCGCGCGATCCCACAGAACAAGATCTGTTCGCCTGTATGGTGCACGGCCTGGTCGACGAATATCATTGCTACCACGAGTACCCGCTAGAGGCTCTGACCAAGACCGCGGTCATGTTTGGTGGCATCATCAACTTCCGTCTTGTTGACGGCATCACTCTGAAGGTCGGCCTCGGTATGATCCTCGAGGCTGTCCGCGAGCATGAACCCCACGACCCGATGTACAAGTTCGGCGTGGAAGCGATTGAGCAGTTGATCAACCGTCTTCCCGAGTGGGCTGGTTTCTGCCACCTGCTCTTCCAAATCCCCTCTCTTCAAGGCACCCCCATCTACCAAAAGGCAGAGGAGGTGCTCCGTGAACAAGGAAACCAGATCGGCGAGGCGGAGACAGGACCCTTCGATGGACTCGCTTCTGTACCTCTCACTAATGGCAATTCTGTCGGCTCCCCCATCGGCGATGGCTCCGTGCGCAAGTTCCGTTCTATTCAACTTGATCCACCTCTTCGATCTGAACTCTACGAAGACCCGGATGAAGACATTCAAGACAAGATTCTTTTCGTTCTTAACAATGTTTCCGAACAGAACATTGACGAGAAACTTGAGGATCTGCGAGAAGTTTTGCGTGACCAACACCACCAGTGGTTCGCCGCATACCTGGTGGAAGAACGTGCCAAGTTGCAGCCCAATTTCCAGCAGCTCTATCTTGACCTTCTTGGGCGCATTGGCGACAAGATCCTCTGGGCCGAGGTCCTGCGGGGAGACCTATGTCAGCGTCGCTAAGTTGATTAACTCAGAAGGCACCTTAAGCTCGTCTACCGATCGCGGCCACTTGAAGAACCTCGGTGCTTGGCTTGGTTCGCTGACTATTGCTAAAGACAAACCTATTAAGCACAAGAACATCTACTTCAAGGGCCTACTTCTGGAAGGCTATGACACCCAACGCCTCATGGTTACGATCCCCTTCACCTGTAAAGTTCTTGTGCAGGCTACCAAATCCACGGTCTTCAAGCCCCCCAACCCCTGGCTGATGGATATTTTGGGCCTGTTGTTGGAGCTTTATCATTTCGCCGAATTGAAGCTCAATCTCAAGTTCGAGATCGAAGTCCTCTGTAAGGACCTTGATCTTGACCACAAGACAATTGAGCCTGCAATCGTCATTCGCGATCGCGCTGCTCATGTCGAGGAACCGCTGCCTACTGTTAACGCCCCAGAGGGTCTTACTGAGCCATTTGAGGACTTGTCCCTCGGCGCTATCAACCCAGCCATCCGGAACGAGAGGTTGTCTCCGGCAGCCATCATGTCAACACTGCCGAGCCTTGACAAGATTCTTGTTCTGCCCTCCTCGGCCAGCAGCATGGTCGATCCCAGCATTCTCAAACAGATTGTGCACACCGCTGTCGAGCGGGCCATTGCCGAGATCATTACTCCTGTCGTTGAGCGCTCTGTTACCATTGCGTCCATTTCCACCGTACAGCTTGTCTCCAAGGACTTTGCTATGGAACCTGATGAAGAACGCGTGCGCCATGCCGCGGGCATTATGGTCCGACAACTTGCCGGTAGCTTGGCACTCGTCACCTGCAAAGAGCCTCTGAAGGTTAGCATGACTAACTACATCCGCATGATTCAGCAAGACTACTCCGAGCAACCTATGCCCGAGGGCTTGATTCTTATGTGTGTGAACGATAACCTGGATGCTGCCTGTGGCATTGTCGAGAAAGCTGCAGAAGAAAAGTCGTTGCCTGAGATCGAGAAGGTGATTGAGCCTCAATTGGAGGCTCGTCGTCGCCATCAGGCCAGCCGCTCTAACGACCCCTTCATTGATCCTTCAATGAACCGCTGGGGATTGTTCATTCCGGAACCTTACCGGCAAGCGCCTGGTGGTCTAAACAAGGAGCAACTCGCCATCTACGAAGAGTTTGCCCGTCAATCTCGCGGGCCGGCGCCATCCACTGATGCATCGGCCGGTCGTCAACTCCCCGACGTGCTTGGGGAATCCTACCCTGCTATTCCAAACCTTTCCACCCCGGCTGAACAGCCCGCCATTCCTCACAGAACTCCCCAGGCGCAGCCTGCTATCTCTCAAATGCCCCCCGTTCAGACCAACGGGTTCCTCGACGCCCAAAGCCCCCGGGAAGAGTGGAAAGCCTTGTCTCCGACCTCCAGCAGTCTGCTCGCAGCGCTCCTGAAGAACACGTCAAGGATCTTGGCAGAGACAGTGCGGTTCTTCAAGAATACAACCAGGCACTGCGTACCATCCTCCACTCAACGAATGGAGAGGAGCTGGCACGACTGACCTCTTTGAAAGTTTGCACCCTTCTGTATTCCCAGCCCCATGGTTCTCTTGAGATTGAAGTTCTCGTGCACCTTCTTGCCAAGCTGTGCGATATGTCCAGTCTCATTGCTCGGTACACGTGGGCACTGCTCTCCGAAGTTGATGATGAGCACATGTTCAATGTGCCGGTCACCGTTGCTCTCATTGACGCAGGCCTCCTGGACATCCGCCGGGTCGATACGAACCTGACCCGACTCATTCTATCCAGGAATGTTCCCGCTTTGGAGTTGCTGGGCAGCCTGATGGACCGCGTTCTCTTCAATGAAGAACCCTCTGCCCTTCGATCAGACTTCTCCGGCAGTCTAGATGCCATGAGCCAATGGCTTGCTGAGGATGCAAGCGTTGCTCCCGGTCTCGAAATCGTGCGAAAGCTGCGCGAGTCTGGTATTCCCGAGGTCGTCAACTCTCTCCTTGGCGACCAAGCCAGGTCCAAGCGAGACCAAATGGAGTACATCTTCAGCGAGTGGATCGGTATCTACAAGGCCCCCGGTGCGACTGACCGCACATTCCACTCTTTCCTTCAGGACCTCCACAACCGCCAAGTGATGAACAACCAGGAGGACTCCGCACTATTCTTCCGTCTCAGCATCGACATTTGCGTCGCCATGTTTGAGCATGAGTCTCAGAACCCCAACGGCAGCCTTGACGAGGCCTTCCTCTACATCGATGCCCTCGCTAAGCTCGTGATTCTTCTCATCAGATTCCAGGGCGAGAGCGCTGGCGCCGTCAAAGCCAATAAGGCTACGTACTTCAACTCCATTCTGTCTCTCTTGGTCCTGGTTCTCAATCACCACCAGGTCATGAGAGGAGAAGCTTTCAACCAGCGTGTATTCTTCCGTCTCTTCTCAAGCATTCTGTGTGAGTATTCTATGAATGGCCTCCAGCACACGGAGCAGCACCAGGGAATGATCTTCGCCTTGGCCAACAAATTCCTCTCCTTCCAGCCCCGTTACGTGCCTGGGTTTGTTTATGGCTGGCTTTGCTTGGTCTCCCACCGGGTGTTCATGTCTGACATGCTCAACATGCCCGATCGTGCAGGATGGGCTCCTTACTGCGAAATCATGCAAGCATTGCTGTCCTACATGGGCGAGCAACTAAAGGCTGCCAACATTACATACGTTGCTAAAGATCTTTACAAGGGCGTTCTCCGTATCTTGTTGATTCTGCACCACGATTTCCCCGAGTTCGTGGCTGAGAACCATTTCCAGTTCTGCAATGTGATCCCGGCTCATTGCGCTCAGCTCCGTAACCTTGTCCTCAGTGCATACCCCTCGTCATTCCAGAAACTTCCTGATCCTTTCCGCGAAGGCTTGAAGGTCGAGCGCATCGAGGAGATGCGGGAAATTCCCAAGATTGCCGGTGATATCGTTGCTCCTTTGCAGGCTGCCAACATCAAAGACATCGTTGACGGTGTGCTCCAAAACGAGAGCATCTCCGACCCTGCTGTTCGGCAGCTATGCGACGCCATTCTCAACCCCGAATCCAAGGACACTGGCCTCTTCTTTGTCCCCGTCGAGGTGGATGTTGTCCTTGTTAACGCGCTTGTCTTGTATATTGGTCAACAAGCTGCAGTGGAGCATGCATCCAAGGGCAACACCCGCAGCGCCTTTGAGAACTCGACTCACGCAGCTCTTCTGGAGAAGATCGCCCAAGTTCTGCGACCTGAAAGTCGCTACTACTTGCTTAGTGCAATGGCCAACCAGCTCCGCTACCCCAACAGCCACACCTACTTCTTCAGCTTCACGATTCTCCGTCTGTTTGGCGTGGACTACTCTGAGCAGGATGACTCGGATATCCGCCAGCAAATCATTCGTGTGTTGTTGGAGCGGCTGATTGTCCACCGCCCGCATCCGTGGGGTCTAATCATCACCCTGCAGGAGCTCCTCCAGAACCGGAGCTACTCATTCTTCCGTCTCCCCTTTATTCAGGCGGCACCTGAGGTAAGCTTATCACCAGTCTTTCACAATCTCGCGATACTAACTCTTCCTCAGATTGGCCGTCTTTTCGACGCTCTTCTCCAGCACATCCAACAACAGAGCCCTCGCCCCATTGCCTAGGCTTCTCTCGGCTTCTCATCCTCATCCTCTTCTTCCATATCTCTCCTCTAGTTCTTTCTCTGGTAACTCGGGCGGTACAGGAGTACTTCGTTGCATGTAATTTTCACGGGGTTCTCTTCCGCGATTGCTTTTGCGTTTTTTTTTTGCCATTTTTATCTTATCAGTTTCATGTTACGGCAGGGGTTAGCCGTGGTGATGGCATGCATATTTATTTTTCTCTTACGATTTCCGCATGACTTGAGGTTCCATGATATTTTTTTTTCGCGTCTCATGCTGCCCGCGACCTGTAATGATAAGACTGTAAAAGCTGGAGTTGACGGCGTCGTCATTATCTGCATAGGGCAATGCCAATTTACTATTCTAATGGTCATTGTAGCTTCATTTTGGGCCTTCCGTTCGGCTTCTTTTAGCATAATGGACTGCATCTCCTTCTGTCACTTGTCATCTTGGCGAGGTCTACTAGCAATTGTGATACTCATCCTGACACGTGACCCTAGGCATCCCTTTAGTTTCATTTTTGGTGGGAGATGTCCTTTTAGCAACCAACCCTTCTCCCCCTGGAATATTCCCTCTTGAAAAATCAGCAATTTGTCCTACAAATGGATTCGCCTTCCAGCTTAAGCCGAGCCAATTCCTTTATTGCGGCTGGTACAGTCTCGATAATCTATGCCGTTGACAATAATAATGTCATCAAAATCCGTCCCACAGCAGGGGAATTCGAACGTCAAGCTTACGAGATTGAAATTCGCTCTTATAAACGACTTGGACACCATAAACGCATCGCATCTTGCGAGGTGACCGAGGAAGGTCTCATACTAAAACGTGGAACTTGTCTTCGCGGCATGCTCCAGAGTGTTGGCGAATCTGCTATTCCTTGGCCCGTAAAGCTTCAGTGGGCGCTAGAAGCTGCAGAAGGCCTCTCGTATATCCATAGTAAGGGGATCATCCATGCAGACGTTGGCTGTCACAACATCATCGTGGATAATGCCAAACATATCAGGTTTATTGACTTCGCTGGCTCCGGTATCGACGGTGAAGCCCCCCTTAGTCTGCTATGAGTGGTGTAGCTTTAATCCTGGCATTGAAATTGGCATATTCTCAGATATATTTGCTTTGGGGTCAATGCTGTTCGAGCTTGAAACAGGTTGCGTCCCCTACCATGAGCTGGAAAGGACTCTGGAAAAGGGAGAGCTAGTGACAGCTGTTGAGGAGTACTTCCTACAGCAGGAGTTCCCACCTGTGAAGAGTTTAGCCTTCGGATCCGTCATTGCTGGTTGCTGGAATGGTAAATACACTTCAATTGATGAAGTCCATCGAGATATTGCATTGCTGTGAGAATTGAGGAAGGGTTGCACATGACGAGGCTAGCATATCACATTTTTCATATTCATGGAGCTTGCTTAGGCCACTTATCCCTACACTTGGTGAGCACTTAGTGAGCAAATTAGGGCGCTTAGATGATGATTAGTGAGTGGATTAGGGTGCGTAGGGGATGATTAGGTGATTCTCTGTGAGCAGATCACGTTGATTATATCCATGGATAATAGCCCGTGATCGAGCCAGGCATTATCCGGTACTCTCTACATACATGCACATATGTTGTATGTATGTAGTTGTATGGTTGAACAGACCTCGGTGCAGATAACGGAGATAACAGGATAAGCCTCATGGAACCTCAACTTCCAAGGCTGTTTCTGCCAACTATTCCGCCACAATGGCCGACTCAGAATTTGGTGACGAGTCAGAATATGGTCCATCTTCCACCAGGGCAGTCATCATGGTGCGTGCATTGATGCAAGTTTCTCAGTTGTAACTGACACAAGACAGGACGCGGTCCTCGCGCCATTCCGCGCGCTGGTATCGAAGTCCGCATTACGGCTATACCTGAACACGCTGCTGTTCATGGGCGCCGCAACGTTCCTAATTGGCATCTCCGCAATTGCCTATGGGGTCTTCTATTTCAAATTCATTCCCACGGTTGGGCTTGAGCGCGAAGTCCATCTACAATTCGGGTACGATATCATTCCCCACAACCAGATACACCCAGCTCAACTAACTTGCGCACAGCAATGGCAATCCGTGGGGTACAGCACACTTCGACTCGGAATTTGTGGCTCTGCAGCCCTACGACGTATCCGTGACGCTCGAGCTGCCACGCACGCCCTCAAACCTCGATACAGGCAACTTCATGCTCGACCTCACCCTCTTCTCTTCCCGCCCCGCATCGGCTCTCCTGCCCGGTCCAAATAACGCGCCCATTTCGCAGGCCCGTCGCCCTGCTATAATGACCTATGCTTCGCCGCTGGTGGATGTTGCCCGAAGAGTAGCGCGTATGCCGCTGTATGTTGTTGGCTTGCGCCGGGAGTCGGAGACGCTGGAGGTACCGATGATGGAACTGCTTGAGTTTACGAAAGGAACGCAGAATTTGCCGCAGAGTCTCCGGTTGGAGATTCAAAGTGACTCAAAGATGCAAATTTATACTGCTCGGGTGGAGTTCCGTGCTAGGCTTACGGGGCTTAGGTAGGTCTTCTTGGGGAATAAGATGCTTGTGAGGTATGGCTAACAGATGGGCAGATGGCTTATGTATCGCTGGAAGATTACTTCTTTTGTTGTCTTCAGCTCTCTGTTCTGGTCTGTCTCTGTGCTCTCTGCTGGCTTGACGTGGCTGGCGATGACTTGGGTTTTGGGGGCTATGCCTAAGAATGAGATCAAGGAGGAACCGGAAGACTCTATTAAAGAAGAGTCTGGGGACGGGGATACTTCCGATGAATCTTCCGATGTCAAAAAGGAGGAGCCGGAGGAGCATGAAAGATTGCTTTCTAGTTATCCGGCCGATGGTGATGAGGTTGGGACGGGGTCTGGACTAGAGAGCGTGGAAGCTCGTGGAGTACAGAGACGGCGAAGTCATTTGACACAAACAGACTGAAGTGATTTTGATTCTAGCTAGTTGATTATATGTAATGTCCTTATGATATAGTGTGAATGATATTGTGGATCATCTGGGCCGATTGCGACAAAAGCGGGGGGAACTTTCTTCCCCTCCATTCTTCACATCTCAACCACTCCGCCCTCAATGCATATCCTGGTAAGTACATATAGTTCTTACATCAATTTCGAGGCTCATCTCCATTTAGGTCACCAACGACGACGGTCCTCCGTCAAACCAGTCATCGCCGTACGTGCATTCGCTCGTCCACTCGCTCCAGTCCGCCGGCCACACGGTTTCGGTCATTCTCCCGCACCAGCAGCGATCATGGATCGGTAAAGCGCACATCGTAGGCGCATCCGTCAAACCTACCTACTTCCGGCCTGGCACACTCCACCAAGAAGATGGGACAATACACCGGCTGCCCCGGGGAAGTGATGGTGAACCAGACGAAGGCGACGAATGGGTTCTGATCGACTCGACTCCCGCGAGCTGTGTCCAGATCGGTCTATATCACTACTTCAAAGAACGTGGCCCTATCGATGTTATTGTCTCCGGTCCAAACTATGGTCGCAACACAACCGCACTGTTCGCATTGTCCAGTGGAACCATTGGCGCGGCGATGGAAGGTGCTTGCTGCGGCAAGCGCTCAATTGCTCTGTCATATGCTTTCAGCTCTCGAAACCACGACCCTGTTATCATCGCTGAGGCTGCGGGCCATTCAGTCAAGCTGATTGAGCATCTTTGCGCAAACTGGGCAGACGGGGTGCACCTCTATAGCGTCAATGTTCCCCTCGAACCTGGCGTCAGCGAGAATAAGGTTTTATATACCAATATGCTGCAGAATACGTGGACATCTGGGAGTTGTTTCCAGGCCGTCGACCCCACATCTGCAGACGACCCTGATTTGCAAGAAAAGCAGCTTCGCAACGAAGGCGAGGTGGCAGGAAAGAAGCCGGATCAGACTGTCGGTAACAGCGAGAAGTCATCCAGTGGACCCCGGATCCAGCACAAGCATTTCAAGTGGGCGCCTAGTTTCCAGGACGTTTACCGAAGTGTGGAGGAAAGTGAGCCTGGCAATGATGGCTGGACAGTTAAGGAGCAAATGACCAGGTTTGTCCAATGCCCTTTTTTTACTGCTGAACACCGACTGACTTTTACAGTGTCACGCCTCTTAAGGCCAATTTCATGCTCGCACCCGGTATTTCGGGGGAGATTAAGCTGTGAGTGAAGACGTTTGACGCGATGGGGGCATGGTATGGAGGGTTCTATCCGAAATCTACATGTTGCACGCACTTTAGATATCTGGCTTAGCTGTTAGATATCATGTCCCCTCCCCTTTGATTGGCTTTTCTTCAAGTATTGGTTTTCTGATAGACGGAGACTTTGTAGATCGGCCAATCAGCCTTCATTGTACTCCCTCGTCGACTGCGATGACCCCTACGTGCAAGAAATGGTCGACCGGGCATTGAATCGCCGCCTGGGAAGTGCCTCCAAGCGTGTGTCTTCTGTGTCCGAACTACCGGACTCTTCTGCACCGCTTTTCCAGTACCGCGAATATGAGCGCCTCGACTTCGATCATATCATGTCCAGACCCTCGACGTCTCTTTCCAGCGCATACATCATCCGGAAAGCTTTGATTCGCAAGCACTATCTCTCAAACACAGTGGCCAATTGGATCTCAAAACACCCAGATAGCGTCCTGCGACGCCACTTCAAGCCCGCCTTCGACTTCGAACTCGACTATGCCGAATTCCTCGACGACGCCCTGCTAGAAGCATACGAGCTGAACGAAAGCCTAGCCAAGAACGAAGAGCGCCCCGACTCCGAAAAAGAATGGTGGATCCTCAAGCCCGGCATGAGCGACCGAGGCCAGGGAATCCGCATCTTCAACAGCGAAGACCAGCTACGCGAGATCTTCGAGGAGTGGGAAGAAGACTCTGACGACGAGAGCGGATCCGAGACAAACGCGGACGACGCCGAAGGCGATGTCAGCACCGCCCTAGACACAGGCATCGTCACTTCACAGCTCCGCCACTTCCTCGCACAGCCCTATATCGACCCTCCCCTCCTCCTTCCATCATCCTCGAACCGCAAATTCCACATCCGCACCTACGTCCTCGCATCGGGCTCACTCAAGGTCTACGTCTTCAAGGAGATGCTCGCGCTCTTTGCTGCTAAGGCCTACTGCCCTCCGCACGAAGAAGACGACGTCGCCGACCTCGCACGCCATCTGACTAACACCTGTTTCCAGGAAGGCGGCAGCTCGAATGAAGGCAGTGTGCGCCGCTTCTGGGACCTGGACCATCACGTCCCCGGTCTCAGTGCAGACTGGAAGGAGAAGATCTTTGGGCAGATCTGCTCGGTGACGGGTGAGGTGTTTGAGGCTGCGGCCCGGGGTATGATGATTCATTTCCAGACTCTGCCTAATGCGTTTGAGCTGTTTGGTGTTGATTTCCTCGTTGATGCTAATGGGGATGTGTGGCTGCTGGAGCTCAATGCATACCCGGATTTCGCGCAGACTGGCGAGGATCTGAAGGAGGCTGTTGTTGGCCGCTTGTTTGAGGAGGTGGTTGATGTTGCTGTCAAGCCGTTCTTTGGTCTGGGTGATGGGGCTGGTACTGATGATATGAAACTGGTTGCTGATATTGATCTCGGGAGACATGCTTAAAGCTGGGGTTAGAATAGATGATGTAGATATACCACTTGTGATGTACAAGAATAAAAGTTTTGATTTGGATATCTCATATAATCAGGTCTTTTCCCTTCTCTTCACGGCGCTTGGTCTATCCAGTTATCTACATAGTCTTCTTGCCAACTATACTGTACAATTAAGATCCCGTTCTCTCGTTCAGGTATCATTCTTCCAGTAAATACGCCCCTCGAACAAACGACGCGCTGTGCGAAAGACAGTGGCAGAAGTCAACGCTCCATCTACATCGAAGTTGGCACCAACCAGCAGATTCCCACTGGCATGACCAATAGTAATGCCAGCACTATCGACAGGATCCTCATCCACAACGCCAGCCACCGTACTCTGCGGTACGCGAGCAGCAGCAGCAAGAGCCAAAGCGACAGTAATCGGGACCGCCCTATGCGGCTGTCCAACAGAAAGCGCACGAGCTAAAAGATCAACATCAGCAGACGTCTGTCTCTGCTCGATATCCCTGGAACCAGTCGTAGAAGGAGCAGCCACGACACAAATCTTAGGCACACTACCGGGCACCGCCGCAGTCTCATCTGCAATGCCCATTTTAACGCCCGCCTGCCGACGAATGGAGTCCAAGCGCGGCAGCAAATCCGGATGAGCAGTGATCTCATCAGGAGTCAGATTCCCACTCACGGCGAGATCAACCGCCTGCACAAAGACACACGGATTCCCGACGTCGATGCACGTAGCTCTGATTCCGTCAAAGATGTCGACGACCTTACCGGTAGGCAGGAGTTTACCCGTGACAGAGCCGGCGGGATTGATAAAGTCCAGCTGGACACGGGCAGCTGTACCAGCGACACCGTCTATGGCGAAGTTACCGCTAGCGGCGGCTTCGCCGTCGACAAGGGGGAAGGACGAATGGATGATTTTGCCGGTGTTGGTGTTGTGGATGCGTACCGAGGCTGAATCCGGGCTGGGATTTTGTAGCGGGAACACGTGTGCATCGACGGCGAAGGGGCCGACGGCAGCGCTCATGTTCCCGCAATTACTGGAATAGTCGACGTCGGTGTTCTTGATTCCGAGGGAGATGAAGGTGTAATCCACGTCGGCTTCATCGTGCGTCGATGCGCCTACTACGCAGACCTTCGAGAGGCTGGATAGTCCGCCCCCTAATCCGTCTAGTTGTCGGCCATGGGGATCTGGACTTCCGATTACACTGCGGAATATTGGGGCCCAGTCTTTTCTGTTCGGGGGCAGGTCTTCCTGCTTGAAGAAGACTGCGCGGGAGGTGCCGCCGCGGTAGTATGCTGCTGGTAGGGAGTGTTGCTTTTTGGTCTGAAGATATCGCCGGCTACCGGGTGCTAGTGGGGTCAATGTTGACCGGCATGGTAGGCGAGATAGTTGTTTGAACATGCTGGGTTTATAGTGACTCGCCCATTGTGTAAGGGAGATCGTGTTTGGTCTAAATACCTCGGAGTCACTCCGATAGCGGTGTCGGATCGTTCCGATGAAGCGGGTGGGCCGATTGGGAGAGCATGTATAGAGGTGTAGATCATATTTATATTATTGTTCTATGGACATAAGTAGAACACACAAGCGTATTCAAGTGAGAAGGCGCGTGGGCACGACCTTTCTAATTTTCAGCCGAATCGCTGCTTCGCCAGAGCTTGCAAGAAGCTCATAGTCTCCTGCTCCTTCTGTCGATATGCCTGCGCTCGTTCTTCGCGCTCCGCTGTACGTGCACGAAGAATTTCCTCCTCCGGATCTCACGCTCGTTCTTCTTACGTTGGTCTTTCTCCTTTTCCCGTTTCAATGCGGAAAGCTCATTGTCCCCGCCCAGTAAATCTTCATCCCGAGCTGCCTCGGGCGAACCACCGCGCGCATCCGCGAATGCACGATTGCTCGCAGCAGCTTCTCGCCGTTTCTCGAGCTGTCTCTCCCGTGTGCCCGGCTCAGCCCGCGGCGCAACCTCGTCTTCGAGATGGCGCAATGCAGATTTATGCGCACGAATTTCGGCGCGATACTGATCGCGGGACTCGCCGCGGGCAGCGATGGCATCTTCAATAGCCGATTCTGGCGGGAAGTCAGCATTCTGGTCATATTCGGGGGAAGTAGAAAAGCGTACCTCTTTTTAGCTCAAGATCTTGCATAGTTGGGATTGCAGGGCCCGCTTGTGGGCCGCCTCTCCCGGAGCCAGCTTGTGGCAGAGTAGGCCCGTACTCGTCATCATCATCCTCATCGTCATCGCCTACTGGTGGTTCTTGTCGAGCCTCGCCAGCCGCTCGCTGGCCTTGCGTATAATCAGGCGATTCGCGTCCACCTCTCGGGCCAGCTGCTGCTTCTTCTTCTGCACTTTTGCGTGCCTTGGCGAGCGTAGCGGGATCATACCATCCCTCCGCGAGCTCTCCACGGTTCCTGCGATGTCAGTAATTATCGCGCCAAGAAGAGAACACCCTCAGACCTACCATTTCTGCGTAAAGCTCTTCCACCGCCCTTTCACCTCATCTTCACTCAAGTCTTCAATATATTTCCCTTTTTGAATATCCAAGTACATGCCAAACATGGGCTCATAAACCTTCAGGTCGCGCCCTGAGAGCTCGCGCGCTTGGAAAGGGAGCACGACCGGTTTGGTTGGAGCATCTCGGTGCCGTCGCTCGTGGTGCCCACGGTCTTTGTCTTCGGCACGGCGGTGGTGACGGTCTGATCTGTGTCTGTCTGATCGGTGCGGAGAGCGTGACCGCGAGCTCTCCCGGTGCCGGTGGCGGTGGGAATGGCTGTGACGGCTGCGGTGATGGCGGCTTGAGGTTGGAGCAGAGGGAGACACAGCTCGGTGCGATGAGCGAGTTGGCGAAGGCATTTTTTGGCTGGTTTCCTTCGTCGTTGAACGGTTCTGGAAAGTCTGGAGGAATTTGTCTTCTGGGGGTGATAAGGAAAGACAAGCACTGAGGTCGGCTTATCAGTTCGGCCATCTGATTTCCCAGATTGTCCCCGGGTTTTCGATTCTAACGATTCCAACACATTCTTCATTTAGTTTTGTTGTTATTTAACTATGCTGTTTCTGGCAATCAACTTATACAGAAAGAAATACGGCTGTATTATGGAACAATTATTTCATCCAAGAAAAGACCTTCATTGTGATAAATACATCTAGGCGAAGAGGTATACAACGGTTAATAATTCAGCAAACCCAGTTCAACTTTAGCTGGCAGGAGCGCTTTGCTCCACGCTCGGGCTTGCGGTGTTTTCAGCAGGTGTGGCAGGTGTACTCGACTGCGAATTGGCCTTAGACCGGTTGGCCGCGGCCATTTGCCATGCCGGGATGGAGGCGGACCGACCAAGCTGCGAGAGTGGGTTGGGGCTCTGGCTTGTGCTCGCTGGGGCAGCAGCTTGAGTCGGCTCCTGTTCGGCTGGTGTCACAGTAGCAGCCAAACTGTTAGTGGCCGCAGGAGGAGCAGGAGTGGCGGGGGTCTCTTCCGGTGTCGGGCGAGGAGTACTGGGGATGGGAGAAGATCCAACGGTTCTGCCAGCGACAGGGCTAGCTCCGCTACCACCAAGTCGGTTGCCCAGCAAGGTCTTCAAGCTCTTGAGCTCAGTTCCGAGCTCCTTCAGTCGGTTCTCATTGCCTTCCCGGGCACCTTCGAGGGCCTTGGGAATGGCATCCTTCAATGACTTCACCTCGTCGCTAATGCGACGAGTCTCATCATCTCTTCGGCGGGATGAGTTCTTGAGATCAGCAACAAGATTCTCCACATCCTTGAGAGCCCCATCCAAGCGCTCAGTGCGGGCTTCCTCGGCGGTCTTCAATGCAGCAGTGTCGGTCGATAATTGTTCGATCAGAGTAAAAGCACGTGAAAACTGCTCATCGATGTTTTCCTTATCTTGCTCCAGCTGAGGAGGGGTCGGTGGGGCGATCAGAGGTGCGATATAACGCTGGATGGATTGATCAGCGCCATTAGTTTTGGAAGAGGGGGCAACTAGGTACCTTTGTGACGGTATACAACCCATAACCAACTCCACCCATCACTGTTGCCATAATAAACCAGTCACGCCAATCTCTCTTGGGTGGCCTTTTCATGTGATTAGTCTCTAGCACAGTGCCACGATCGATAGTCAAACGTACTCAGGAGGCGGCTGCCATTGATTATATGGAGGATAGCCATATCCTTGAGGCGGCTGTGGTTGCCGGTAAGGAACTGGCTGTGAGGAGTAGCTGGGCGCTGGGGATGCTGAAGCTGTAGCTGTAGCTGCGGCCGCGGCCGATGGGTCTTCGCCCACTCGCGATAAGGCAATGTCCACTTCCTCTTGAGTCAAGTTCTTAGATTGAAGGAATGAAACCCTCTTTTCAATGGGTGAAGATGCAACCGATGGGTCCTGGAGGACTAGATAAAGTCAGCGGTCACCACACATCAAGTTGTGTGCCTCGTAGTCCATACAGGTAACCTAGTGGACACATGAGTTAGCGGTAGCCCCGAAAGCGGATGATAATAGACATTAATGTCTCAATAGACAACTTACAGCTGAAGCAATCAGCTCCTCACGTGGAGCCATTATGATTGATGTCGACTACCAGTGAAGTGTAGGAGAGATGAAAGGAGAGAGGTGCGCTCACATCGGCAATCGCCATTTGGACCTCGGAACTCGCCCCAACGCCAAGACTTCCCCAGACCGGGAGTCTCGTGATTATCGGCGAGACTGTTTTTCCTTTTACCATACACCGCCTACCTCATTTGAAAGTGGCACGCATTTGTTTACATCGGCCGCCTCGTGCCTGCCAAACAACAGATCAAACCCCCTCCTTTTGGATTTTGTGGTGTTGCGCAACCCACTGGACTTTTGCATTTTTTGTCAAGGCCACAATCATATCCAAAATCCGCTTGGCAAAAGAAGCACCTTATCTATTGCCGCCTTGGCGGCTTGTGTATCACCATGTCGCAAGATACTGGGCTTTTCAGTATTAAGCGCCCCCGAGAAGTATAGATCCCTCTATCTAGCGCAAGACTTAAGGCTAATTTATATTGCGATCAAGACTCTCGGGAGTGTGCAGAATTTCTCCGCCATCCCCCAACCGCAGTCGGCATTGAAGCGCGCAAGCTCGATCGGATTTCAAAACGCCCCGTACAGCTCTCAGAACCACCGCACTTCCTTGATGGGCTCCACTGGTCGCCCGCAGCAGCCTAATTTTACGCGCATGTCAATTGGTGGACCATATGGCGCTGATGCCGGTCTTTCGTCGGTTCGCCGATCAGTGTCGAGTAACATGTTCAATGGCCCCAGTGCCAGTCGGCAGAGTTTCGCGCCAGGGTCTCTTTCCTCCAACCCTGCGCCCCCTCAAAACCCGCAGCGCAGAAGCAGTGTATTTTCGCGACCATCCACGGGAGGAGGACCGATGGGACATCAATCGTTCTTCACTCAAGTTCCCACCGTCGCCGGTGTTCCCAGAGACCCGCGCCCTCTCAGGGACCGATCTTTCCAGGCACGTATTGGCCAGGAACTGTTGGAGTATTTGACTATTCATGGGTTTGAGTTGGAAATGAAACATTCATTGGGGCAGAACACTCTTCGCTCACCGACCCAAAAGGATTTCAACTTTATCTTCCAGTGGCTCTATCATCGGATCGATCCAGGATACAAATTCCAAAAATCAATGGACTCCGAAGTACCGCCAATCCTGAAACAACTAAGGTACCCGTATGAGAAGGGCATTACAAAGTCACAAATTGCAGCCGTTGGTGGCCAGAACTGGTCGACCTTCCTCGGGATGCTACATTGGTTGATGCAGTTGGCACAAATGATGGATCGCTATCAGTCCGGCGAGTATGATGATGCCTGCGCCGAGGCGGGTGTGGATGTCTCCGGAGATCGTATTGTTTTTTCCGCTTCCTCACTCAAGCCTACCACGATTGGTTGCAGGGTGGCGAAGACGAGGATGATGACACCGCAGAGAAGCGGTTGATTCCTCACGTTGAAAACATGTCGCGAGAATTCGCTCTTGGCAACGAGCGGTACGTGCAGGAAATGGAGGCACTAGAGGCGGAAAACCGGGCTCTTCGCGACCAGATCGAAGAAGTGGAGAAGAGTGCTCCCGACATCGCCAAGTTGGATAAACACTTCCGCATCTTGGAGGACGACAAGAGGAAATTTGAGGATTATAACCAGAACGTCAAAGGCAAAATTGAAAAATACGAGACTCGCATCAAATTCCTCGACGCGGAGATCCAAAAGACCGATACCGATCTCCAGGCCACTGAAGCTGAGCGTTCTGATCTCCAGGCAAGTGTTGACCGCCAAGGCATCACTATCCAGGATATCGACCGCATGAACTCGGAGCGAGAACGCCTGCAGAAGAATCTCGAAGATACCGTGGCTCGCCTCGAAGAGGCCCATGCCCGTGTCATGGAGAAGGAAGCGGAAGCTAGCCAGAAACTGGAAGATCTGGAACAGATTGTGAAAGCTTACAATACTCTTGGATACCAGACTAGCTTGATTCCCGCGGGTGCCGAGAACGCCAAGGGCCAAGACTATGAGCTTCGTCTAAATATCACTGAGAGCAATTTCTCCGCGAGCCAGATTGGTGGCCCTCCCAGCCGAATTTCTCCCGAGGGTGATCGCCTATTGGCGGAGTCTTTCACTGGCTACCACCCGGCGCATTTGCTCAGTTTGGATCTACGGGGCTCTGTCCGAAACAGCCTGCAATCACTCCGGAAAGAGATCAATGAACGACGGAAGCAAGGGATCGATGACGACCTTGAGCGTCGTAATCTACTGGATAACATCAAAGAGGCAATGGATGAGAAAAGGAGCGAGGTTGAAGCCCTGGAGCATCGCCGCCGGGCAGCAGAGGAAGAGTTTGAACGAACAAAGGAAATCACGACTACTCAGAAGCTTGCCTCGGATGCCCAAATTGAGAAGATGGAGAAAGAGTTGGCGAAGATGCGCGCTACGCTCAGTGACAGTGTACAGTTGATGGAGCAGCGCGAGATGAACACCAATATCGAATACGAACAACTGACGCTTCGGGCAAATTCTCTCCGAGAAGAGTTGCACACTAACGTCGAAACAATGCTTAATGACGTGATTCGCTTCAAGGTACATGTTCAAAAAGGTCTTGAGGACTACGAGAGCTTTGTTGTCGATGAAGTGGAGCAAGAGCTTGGAGGTGAAGGGGTCATTGAAGAGGAGCTTTGAAGTTATTTTGTCACGATTTGACGATTTGGTGTTCAATTTAATTGTGTTGGTTTCATGTACAATACCCCCCGGATCAGTTCAGGACGCGCAATGCACATATTGTTTTATTTTAATGTCTTTCCTTTTTGTAAACACCAGGGCGCCACGGATCTTCACCCGCATCTTGGGAGTGAAATTGGGAGCGTCTAGTTATTCCAATGAATACCATTAGGGAACGTGACCATGGTTTCCTGGAGACAGATAGATTACCCTTCAGGGCTGGGAACATCGCTTGCAGCTTCAAAGCCCGGGCCTACCTAGGTAGGAAGATATGGTTCCCACAAGATAATGGACGCTGCGGGTTCTGTAAAGAGGCCGCTGGCTATATTTCATACTAACAAATACAACAATCATACCTGGGTAGGAACATTGAAGAGGATATGTACACTCCAGTTATTAGCATCCTTGTCTTTAGTCCATTAAGTGGACCTACATCCATTGTAATGAGATACATTCAACCATTGACCTACCAATCATTGCCGAGATTGAAGCGTCGATGTCCTTACATATGTAGTATACGAACAGATGCGATCAGTAGTTCGAAGGAACGCTTCGGGGTCAAGTTTTTAGAAGCAGAGAATATGAAATTCGCTGCAGCCAACGGCGAGGTTTCCAAACCAAAGATTCCAAATTTGTCGATCCAGAGACCCAGAAAAAATATATGGATTCTGTCCCTGGGGCTTGTAGAAAACTACTATCACTCGCACCACCCGAGAAGACGACGGTCAGTGGGCGGGTCAAAGAAACGGATTACTTTGGAAACTTGAATAGCACGCCTTACATCAACGGTGTTCTCTCAACGCCAGATATCAATCCGGTTATTTCCGGCCATTCAAGGATCAGGAACAGATGAAGCATGAAGTACTAGAGAGACCGGCCCAAACACAATCACCGCATTACATTCGCTTATTGCGAGAAATGGTCAATCGCACCCTTAGGAACCATTGAACTATCTTTACCCATAGAGATCTGCAGCCAAAGAATATATCTTATTGACTGGAATTTGTCCGGCTGGTACCCCGAGTACTGGGATTATTGAAACTCAACATTGTATTGTCAAAGACAACCGAGCTCATCCCAGACATATTTGTTCAGAACCCGGTGGAATATCTCATGATGCAAGTCGTATACTCGTCGATCTTTTACTGATGTTGCATTATGTCCATGTCGATAAAGTGATATAGGATACAATGGCAGCGGAGTCCGGAGCATATACTCTAAACCCTGGCGATTTTCACATGTAAGATTGCTATGATAGAGACACGATGTTACATTGTGTCTGCACATCTACGTAGGTGTGTGATTAACTCTCCCAATTGCATTCGCGTCGTTTTCCATGTAAGCTTTGGCTACTGCATGGCATGATTTCCGTGTGGTCGTTCTTCGAAAGTGGCTGGCAAGTAAGACTTTAACAGATCTATTATAATGTACTCCGTAAATAGTTCTTGCTTATCGAAAGGATTAGGCGATACGGGCCCCACAATATAGATTGCTATAGAGTGTTCCATAAAAAGCTATCTATACGAAGTATAGAATTTGTTCTAGACTGGAAAAGGCATACTCCGTACAATGTAAGGATTTATGTCTGGTCATATTTACTCCGTATGTACCACACCTATTTACAGCAATGATGATCATAAAAGAAATCATTCTACGGAGTACTCTGGGCAAAATAAATCCCACAAGTTATATTCTTAAAATGCTACAATGATATAGAATGTTGTCCAGGTGTATCTTCTAGACAGCCTTGGCGCGGGATGCCGCCTTTAGGGCTCCGCCAATCTCCATGTAGGCGAGGCACACCTCCTTCGTCAGATACATAAGTGATCGACAGGAGCGATGTGCAGAACAAGGTGGAGAACTATCATTCGCCCGTTTTATCCGTCTGGTTTTTGTCTGAAACAACTTGCTCCGCACAGTATACGGCCATCCCGTCTATCTGTACCGGAGTCCCTGGTTCCACTGCAATATGTTATCCTCCGGGTGATAGGGCTATTTTCCCATCCATGAAGATCCCTCCTGCTCAAATTCTTTCGCCACAGCATGAGACTGACTCCCCTGCAGATCTGTCTCCTCACGGAACACAAGGTGTTTCGGCGGTCTTTTGGCGGCCTTTTGACGGATTTTGACTCCCAACAATGAAACCCAAGGGTATATAACTAGCTGGAAGTTCCTACTCTCGAGGAATTTTTTTTTACCCCCAGTGCTGTGCACCTTCATTCCTTTCAAAAGCTTCAGGTCTTCTTTACATTGTTACCTCTAGCATCCATTCATTTCCCATTTCCACCTTTAAGTATCCAACAACTCTCAACACTTCAGTATGAAGTTCACCGCTGCCTTTGGCGTTGCTGCCCTATTCATGGCCCCGTCTGCCGCGGCCTGGAAGCTGCCTGTGAGTATCTACATCAGAATGAATCCTTATAGATCTCGTTCTTTGCTGACATTGTCTCCCCAGCACGCCAACGCCTTGGCTGCTACTCCTACCAGTTCTCCTAGTGGATTCCCATCCGGAACTCCTACTGGAACCCCATCTGGAACTCCCTCTGTCACTCCATCCGGAACCCCAACTGGATGGCCCACCGGATGGCCTACTGGATGGCCTATTCCGTGGCCTACTGGATTCTCCTTTGCCCGCCGAGCACCTGGTCACGGACCTGGTATCAAGGGACCCGGGCACCCCGGGCACGCAGGACACGTTCATGAATTCCCACACGCCGGCTTCACCAGCGCTCCTAGCGGCACTCCTTCCTGCACTCCTACGGGCACTCCTAGCGGCTCGCCTTCTGGGTTCCCTTCGTCTACCGGCGTCCCCTGTGGATCCCCTTCGTCTACTGGTGTCCCGTCCTCCAGTGGTTCCTTCGCCATTTTCCCTATCCCGGCCCCGACTGCTGCTGGTGAGCAGGGAGGCTTCGCTCGTCGTCATGCTCGTCAGATGTTGTTTTAGATTCTGCCCTTTGCAGCTTCGCTAGTGTGAAATGTGAGATAATCATTACTGTGTTTTCCGTGGCTGCTGGATCAGCTATAGAGAAGAGGTTGTTGCTATTTTGGAGATTTTCCCCGGGTTTCATGTAGAGTGATAGAGTAAAATGGTAAACACATAGAATTCATAATAGCATTAGGGAGTAGACTTGCAAAGTATAGCCATCCCCACATAACCCCAAAGGATCTGATACGCACGCCTCAAGAAACAGTGTCTTTAGCCCGGCGCACACCAAATTTCTTTTCCTTTTCGCATTTGAAATTAAAGGAGGGAGTTGGCATCAATCGAAAACCGCTATATGATCCAATTATGGTCCTATGGCCGAAAATAATGGTATAGCAGGCCATGGTCATCTCAGCTGCAGTTTCCTATAATCAATTTCTTATTTTAGGCTATTTATGGTTACTTAAGACTAAACTAAGCCCCCACCGGAGGCCCCTTAGTACCCCTGTTTTACCTTCCACGTCGGTTCTTTTTTACTTTTCCCTAGCAAATCCTTGTTCCTGAGATGTCTTGTTATTCGCCCGAAGCCAAAATCTATCACATTTATTACTAGCTGCATCGTCAGGCGGGACGGATTCGGACAAACTGCCGTTGAGATGCTGGCGGAGCTGTGAGGCCAGTTCACTTCTAGTATGGATTTTCGTGTTTCTAATTCTCTCGTTTGGACATCAGAACTTCGGAGGTTGCTCGGGAGATACATGGTAACGGTGTGTCTGCTTGTACGGAGGATTCATGGAGTTTTACCGGATCGTCGCCTTCCTTTGCTGTCCATGTCACGGACAAAGCCCCTATGACAAAACTTCATTGCGCTTCGTGGCATAAATCTGCCATGTCGGAATTTGTGGGGTATTTTCGATGCTAACATTCCGTGGGACTAGCTAATCTTTCTACATTCTTTGCCAATTCATAGGTGGATAGACTAATAGAACCTCCTTCATCTCTCCAGCACTCTTTGGTAGACCCCAAGATACCTAGGTATGCTTGATGTACTTTTATAGCAATGGTTATCTCTAAGCTCCGCGAAGAACTTCCAACGATCTTTGCTCCCAAGTATCCACCATTGCTAGCTCACAGTGACCTATGTTAGATGAACATCATTGTCAATCCCGAAGCAGGCAGTATGGTGTAACTGGGATTGTTGGGATGAGGCAAAGGTGTTGCCATTTGAAATGTCTCTCTGGGAATTTACAACATGCTCGGCACCATGAACTCAAGTGGTTGCAATCTAAGTGAGGCAAAGGCCACTAAAAGAAGACCTGATGCTCGGCCGGTCTCCATGAGATTTCTTCCTGTCAATAGTCGTCAGGCGGACAACAAGTCATGGTCTTGAAGCTGTACGGAGTAGGCTCTTCCTATATAGGTAATTTCTGTTCACGGTACATTCATTGTTGTTTTGCCCTACACCACAGAGGCGTGTTAAAGCGAAGTGGATAAAGCTCTCGACCAGTAAGGATGTCGGTAGATGCTGATAGTAATGGCGTTCTTAATCTAGGTAGTCCTGCCTGTAACAGTCGCCGTAGAACCCTCAATGCTCAGACCTCATATATCGCGTGACTCAGAGCTCACTGAGCAGGCAACGTACTAATTATACATATTATTAAATCCAAATAAGAATATAAGAATATCCTACAACCCAATCCCTCGATAGACATACGTTGGAGGTATAAGGAACTCCGCATTCTGTGCCCTCCGATTGGCTCATAGCTCGACGCTGACTCAGCAGTTCCTGATCTCCAAAATTCTCGAAACAACATTTACCATCTCCCTCACTTTTGGTCTTCATTTGCCCTTGTTGGTACGGGGTTCAATTGAATATCGCGAATATCCCGCTATGTACCTGTGAAAATCGACATGTATCACGCCAATCCCGTACCCATCGAGATTGCGAAACCTATACACCCGCCTTTGAGCCTCGTTGCGGTACCATGAGCAGGTGCTTGCGCCCCGGCATCCTGCCATTCGGTCGCAGGCCAGCTGCTTCACGTCTCCGTTTCCTCCCATATCGATCCGCGTCTCCTTTCTCCCGGCCGACTTGGACTCAGTTTACCCGGAAAACTCGCAATGACCAAAGAGAAATTAATTTCCCAGACGAAGTTCTTTTTCTACGCCGATACAATTTAATCAAACACCCTCGCCTCAGGCATGACCAGAAGAGGCATATTGACGAATGGATGCCAGTGCTGAGGGATTGTATTCCACCAAAAGTTGCCAAACCACCAGACGTCGCCCAACCTGCAGGACAGCCCAGGCGGCTTCGACCACTCCGCGAATCTGAACATGAGCTTGATCGGACCCATGCTCTACTGGGGTGCCTATGGGATGGGAGGATACATTTTGAATTTCAACTCCTTGCGCATCTCGGATTTGCGCACCATGAGTGGTCTAATGTGCAGGCTCTTTTAAACAGCATGATAGACACCTATGAGTTGCTAGCTCCTCATATGCCTCCTAAGCACCCTTCGGCTGGGCTTGATTGGAACAGACCGTTTCGCGTGCGTCGCGCAGATGAGTCAACATCCGACTTGGTGTCCCCCCTCACCTCAGAGATCTCCCTCAGCAAGCTGACGGGAGGCACAAAATCTGCATCCCCTTGGAAATGGTCTCGTCTGGAACCTCTCTCATCAGATAACATTTCTCTTGATACTCTGACGGTGGAACCTGCACCGAGATTCTTCGGAGAGAGAATTTTGGCTGAAGTACTCGCGAACCTCGGCTCTCTCGTTTTGTATGCTGCACGCAGTCGGTCAGATGATTCAAAGCATGCGATGTCCTGTGTATACCGAACCCTTGCCCGATTGCACCATGCAGGCATGATCTCTGACAGAGTTTACCAATATCCGAAACCAGATGCCAGCCAGATTGTGTTCCGTCCGCCAGGGCTCCATTTTTTGTCCAATTCCATAATGAGCGTTTTGTCCGACGCGGCGTGGCATGAGCATGAAACAGCGGTGGCCGCTGCGGCCGCTGATGCAGGAGAGCAGTCACCTTTCATTCCTTACACACCGGGAATTCGAGAGCTGGGCCCGGAGATCTGGCTCGAGCTCATTCTATGGTGTTGTGTGGAGCATGGATTTTGCAAAACTGGCACACTACTCGTGCATCAAATGACCCGGCTTAGCGAATGGAAAGCTGAGAGTTGGGCGCCTCTAATAAAAGACCTTAATATAGTACAAAAAACCAATGTCAGTATGGAGCAATCCTGGCGTCGGCCAGGCCAAATCGAGAAGTCCCCGACACTCAGGGGCCAGGAAAAAGCACCATTCAATGGACTTGGATTCCGAACTATCAGCTCTGAGGTGGTTGCATCGCTGCGGAGCGGCTTGGCGAACAAGGCCTATGTCGGAATGGGGGACCGTGGATATCTTCCTGAGGATCTCACCAATTTATCAGCCCCTCTGACTAAACTTATCGATCCTCCCGTTTCCAGCCGTGAGGAGCTTCGGCCAACAAACAGGTTCACCAATTGGCATATTGTACGGATATTGGAATCCGGCTGTTTAAAGCCGTCCTCGGATCCTGTTTCCTTCGAAGATCTCCTAAGGTCCCAGAACAATGTTGTTCCTCCGTGGGAAGGGAACGAGTTGAGCCTGGCACAAGTCTTGGATGGGAAAACGCGGGCGCAGTTCTACGATGAATCTGCCGCTATGACTGGCCTGGTCGAGTTCAATCTCAATTATTATGCTCGGGACAAGCAAAGCGGACGCCTTTTCCACGAATATGCTTGGCTTCAAAACATTGCCGATGCAAGCAAGGCACAGCACATCCAAAAGTTCTTTGAACGGATGAGCAAAGCCAGCGATGAAGAGGCTTCCTTGCTGTTTGATTTCAAATCTTTCGAACCTCAAGATATTTCCCAATCGTCTATCCCGCAGTTGTCGTGCGCAACTTTTGCTAATCTCCTTGACGTGGCGACAACAACCCACGCGTTTGACTTTGGCCATCAACTACTCCTGGACAATGACATTGATGGCCCTCCCATCCCTCAAAGCGCATATAGCAACCAGGCCTTGGCGCCATCTATTCTTCGATTTTCAAGTGCCACTTCTAATGTCGAGCTCGGTGAGCGTGTCATCGCGTCGCTCGCGGTCCCTCTTTCTGTGAACACCATTAAATCGTTGATCAACTTCAGCGTTGCACGAAAAGATTGGAACCGCGTGGTGCTGATGCTCAACTTCCTGACCGAGCACAGGGCTAAATCCTGGGGTTACATCAATATCGGCGCACTGGCAAGTGCCGTAATTCGGCTCGATGCCACCGTCAAGCATAAGACATCTACCGGCACCTTGACTCAGGCAGATACAGAAGACCTAGATCAGGCCACAAACATCTTGCTCCGCCTTTTCCGCGGCGAATGGCATGCTAAACATACTCGGGAGAGAGTCAGGAACTTCCAGCTTCGAACACTCTCTCGTATGCACCGCGTGCTCTCCGCCATCCCAGGTCCTCTACCGGACATCCTCAAACGAGTAGAGGCACCCAAGGAAATCACCGGACACCACAAAGCCACTTTGATCCCCCCAACCACCTTCCACGAGATCTTCGCCGCCGTCGTGGAAACGCAGGGCGCTATCGTCGGCAAGCAGCTCTGGGACAAAGTCTGTGTCGACTGGGTATCTCCCAAGCGCCAGCTCCAGTCTCCAGGCGGTGTTGCCCGGCTGCTGTTCAGCGATGAGCGGGCCAATTCACACGGTTCCCCAGGATGGGACCCAGATTATGTGAACCATGTCCGGAGCAAAGCCACGATAGCAGACCTTAACACCGTCCGCATCCTCGCACGAAGTGCCGTCCGGGAATATGCTGCATGCGTGCAACAAACAACGGACCAACAACCCCATAGCCCTAGCCCCAGTATACCCCAAACCAACACCACCTCTTCCTCTTCCTCCTCTACCTCCTTCGTCTACGACCCCACCACTCCATATACACCCTCCATCTCCCGCAAGGAATACCCCTACCAATTAAAGTCTGGCAAAATGCCACAAACAGAGCTCGAGTCCATTCTCGACTTCTGTCTCGAGACCTTCCTCAAATTCGGTCTCCCCGAAGACCAAGTCGACATCGAGATCCCTGGCCACATGCGCCGCATGCAGCTCAGAAAGGTCTTTTCTTCGCCTACACGCAGGCCTGTTAGGATGCGGATCAAGTACAACAGGTCCGATCCGTTCATGAGATCTCACTGGCCGAAGGAATTGGCGGAGACTTTGCCGAAGCCGGAACTGCCGTCGGAGTCAGAGCCGAAGTGGCCTTACGATAATCCCAAGATCTAGGATGTGGGAGAGACTTTCCTCCTGGGTCCTGTCTTGTATGTTTTTTTATTTCAAAGTAAAAACTATTCTCGAATGTATATACTACTTTTCTTCTTTACCATGGACCTTAGAAGGCCGTGTAATTGAGACAGGACGGTTCTTCGGATTGGATATTCGTTCTACACTGCTTATTGCACTTAAAAGGAATATGCTGCAAACAAACGCGATGGATCTGGTATCAGAAGTCCAGGTGCTAGGATTCAACTGATTCAACGCCAATAAACGCCCCAATGCCAACTAAAAACCAATCCCTAACGCCCAAAGCCCCTTGTGAGTCCAGCTCTTGATTGAGGCACCAAGGTATTGTTATATCGGTGGGCCATTATACACATGTGTAATGCAGAGATGTTCGCGGTAGATCAAAAGGGGAAAGGTTCATAAAATAGGGGGGAAAGAGAAATGGCATCACACCACATACGCATTAAGTGGATATGGAAATAGTAAAACACGGGTATGAGAAGAGAACGAGAGATGAAAAGATAAGAGGTAGGAATAGGTAAAATAGGGTCCTTAGGTATATTGTTAGGAAGCAGATGTTGCATCCATATGGAGACGGGATATGATAACGGGTAAAGCCCTGGAGAGCAATAATTGGGAATACCAGCCAAAAGAACAGGATGGTAAATAAGACACTCGCATGCTTTTGTCGTGTTCGTGCATGTTGTTCTCGTATACAAGGCATTCACGAGTATGGGTGATAATTGCATTTAACATTCCCAGTTCTCATCGTCATTGGAATGAGGGAAGAAAGAACGCATAAACTCCCCTGGTGATAGGATCATAGGGGAAGTACGAGTCCTGGGCCTCGGCGGTCAACGAGCTCGTCAGATCCGCGATCGTTATGCTGGGGTAGGTGTAGTGGTCTTCAGCGGGCGGTCCATCCGGAGCAGACACCGAGAGATCTTCTTGTAGAGGGGCCCAGTAATCGCCAGCAGTAGCAGAGTGAGCCATGGGCTGTCCGTGTGCGGGCTCCGAACTGATAGTGCTTCTAGGCTCTGGGGTGTACGGGTAGGAAGGCATGTCGCTGACGTCGTACTTCATGCCCTGGGCCAGTTTGCGGAGGCTGAGGTCGCAGAGCTGCCAGGCGCGTCGGGAGGCGATGCTCTGCCCGGACATTGCGAAGAGCCAGTGGACTGCCTTCTTAGACAGGATGATGAAGTTCTTCTCCTCTTCTGGCATGTGGACAGTGCCGAAGGATAGCTCGAGAAGGAGAACGGTCGCCGCTTGCATGAGATAGTGGAGGATACACCACCACGGAGCAATCCGGTACAGCTGGAGAGCATCCGGTTCATCAGGAATCAGATCTAGCATACACCGTGCAGAGTCCAGGGTCACCACTGCCATTTCGTGACTGAAGGAAGGGTTCGTGCCCTTTCGGCGCGCGTCACGCCGGCAGAGACAGGGACGGCCTAGTGTGATCCGCGCACTGTAGTAATGCAACGCTAAGTTCAGTTTGCAGCGAAGGATATCCGGCCCTTTATCTTCCTTGTCTGTGAAGTCAAGCCCGGGTGGAAGGTTGGATTTCCATGTCTCGGTTCGGGACTTGAGTTCACCAATCCGGCTCTCGATCTGTGCCCATGGCACCATCACGCAGTCCACTGAATAGACTTTGTTGACAATTTCTTGCGCGACAACTGCCAAGTCGCAATAGTAGAGGTAAAAGAGCCCGTAGTTGACAGGCAGGCTTTTGAGCCATTTGGTATCTCGTGCTCGAGTGTGGTGACTGCCATCCTTACCATTTGCCGGGTGGAGCGGCATTTGTCTAATACATGCACTTGCCATGACGTTATTGATCCGTTCGTCTCGTAGTGTAGTGTCTGTGAGTACTTCGAAGGCAGTGGGCTCTTGTAGCTGTTCTTCTTCAAACGGAAGCGGGAAAGGCGAGGTGCACACCCCGTCCTGGATACAAGTTGGGCGCCCAGTCATTATTCCAAGCATGTGCTCAAACATATACAGACACCACCAGACTCGGTAACGGGCTTCTTTCGAAATATCGGGGGTAGCCGGACTGCTGCTTTTCATGTTGATGCCAAGTGTGATTGCAGACCGCACTGCCAAAGCTGATATTCTCCACGCCCTACTTACGTGTTATTGCCCGCTCAAATTTGGAGAAGAGGTTCTTGAACTCACCGGTTCATTTGATCAGAAGCGAGAAGGTAGAAGGCAATCAAGCCCTCCACCTGGACTTGCTGGAGATCGGGATGGCTGAAGAGGACATCGCCGTTCATACTAAGGATCCTAGCCCTGGTTAGATATACCAAATGGTCCTTCTCGTTCCCACGCCATGGTGCGTCGATGAGATGGCCATATTTAGCCCCGATTGCGAATATCATGTTCAATATCGCGAGCCACTTGTCACCGGGTCGGGCAGCGCTATCGAAAAATGTCCGGTACTGTGCGGAGAAAAGGGGTTTGTTGATGATGGGGTAGAACGGATGCACGGTAGTCAAATAAGTCTCGAACATATGATCTGCCACCTCTCGAGGAGGCATGGCATATAGCTGTACCGGTCCGGGCACAGAAATCTCCAAGTCATCAAGATGATAATTGACCGCATGCAGAGATACTGCATTATCAGTCTTTGGATCCTGGCCAGGCTCCAGGCTTCCCGGAAGACCTTTGGCACGTTGTTCTGCCTCTCTATGGAGCCGTTGCATCCAGGTAATTTCCGAGTTCTTCCCCATATAACCAGTTGCTCTGGTATGTTCTGATCGATTGATGTCCTCTTCTACTCGATCAATCGCCTCAAGAGACCCAATAGACGAAGGCGAGGATGGTTCATCATTTTCCGGGACGTCATCCTGAGGGGTTAGTGATTGAGATTGGGAATTATGTGACGAATAATCCATGTCCGGGCCATGCTATAGTTGCGATTGTTAGCGCCACTCCGGTATTCCGAAAAGTAGAACAAACCTTGTCCAGCAAGCTCCTGATCCGCTCCGCGACACTGGAGTCAACAATACCACTCAAATCCTTCAGAAGATTCTCATATTCTTGCGCTTTCTCCGAGACAGTCTCCACTTGTCTGTAATCAGTCGGTCAGCATGCTTGCTCACGATTGAGTATTGTTCTAAAAAGAAAAGCATTATAGCCACAGATACACGTACTTTTTCAGTCTCTCACTCCAACCCTCAGGGTAGTTACACGTAGCCCTCAGCTCACGACATTGGCGACAAACCGGGGTGTCACCACTGCATTTCGTCTTGCGCTGCCTGCAGGATGCACAAGCGCGAGGCACTCGTCGATTATGGCGCGGGGCAGTTGCGACGCGTTGACGAGGAATGGCAACTTTAGTTTGTGCGGCAAGGGTCTTACTCGACCTAATGGGGGGTGTATTGGGGCTTTGGGCGCCTATCGTTGACCCTGTGTCTGCGACGGAGAGAGGGCGGAATCTGGCGGGGGCGAGGTCTGCTGTTGGTTGCTCGGCAGGCGCTTCGTTTTGAGGAATAACGTTGTCATAGTTTGCATGCGGGTGCGATTTTTCGACCGTCATTGTCGCAGAAGCCCTGTGTACGTCAACGAGAGTGTGTTTGGTGGTTCTCAAGCTCGCAATTGCGGTCCTGCGGCGCTATGCGGTATAGAGTTGCGACGAATGATAGGGCTGAATTTGCTGTCGAGAGATGGGATATATGTACAAGGAAGTTTTTGAGGCCCATTCATAGCAGTACGAATTTGTACCTCGGAAGTGGAAATACTGTAGAAATGTGAGGATGAAGTCGCCCAGGTGGCGGAATATGCGTAATCGGTCCATGGGGGACCCGTGGACCATCCACGGATGATAAGTTGCCCACTTTCCTAATTGGGCAACTGACTAATCAAGAACGCGTTTTCTCTTCTTCAGATGCAAAATGATGAATTTATGGGAAGAAACGCTAGTTATTTTGACACTTTTGGGTAAAGCCATTCCTCCAGTCGTGAATATCCTCCCAATCTACCCATCCAGGGTAAGTAAACCAAAAAACATATGTATATATACAAGAGAAAATAGGCATTAGCGAGGAAAAAGTAAGAGGGTGCGCCGAGAAGACAATGAACATATACAAGCGAGGTAAATAGATAAGGGAAAATGGCGGGTCGCAGCCCAGCCAAGAGTGGAGAGAAGGGGATGAACGAGAGGAAATATAAACCGAGATAAGTGGACTCGGTGGTCGAGGATAGTTTAGAATTCGCCAAACATCTCGTCGAGCTCATCGACTTCCACCATCTCTGGGTTCTGCAACTCTCTCCAGGATTCGAAGACGGACCCCGAGTTCAAAGAAACGGGCCGAGGAGTAAGGGTGAGCCTCTCGTGTGATTCCGTCAGGTCCGACATCTTCAGATCGACGTCCGGAAGGCCGCTGTTCAACATATCAAGCGAGCGCTTGAGGGTCGAAACAGGCGCGGCATCTGGATCTTCGGGAAGGCTGATCTGGGGGGGCAATCGGAGCGCCGGCAAGCTCCTCACCGTCCACACCGACATCTGTCAAAGCGCTCGTGCCAGACGAGACAGACGATGCAATGGAGGTGAGGGAGGGGGAGGGGGAGGTGCCGAACAGGGCAGTTGCGGCAGCCTCGTCCAGATCCTGGGCCATCTGGTCGGCGGGCATGTGAGAGAAGTAGTCACTATACTCTTCTTCAGACATGCCATCACCGTGCATAGACGGAGACACTGAACCACCATTCATAGGAGATTCAGAGATGCTCATATCGCGGTCCTCCGAGGCGCTCAGGCTCTCGGAAAGGATGGACTGGCTACGGCTCGACTCGGCTTTTTCCTCGGATGCGCGCTCACGCACGGCGCTGGCAGTTTGTGTAAACTCCTTCTCGTCGCCCTCCAGGGGCGGAGAAGCCGCGCGATGCGAGTTCATGAGACGCGTCAAATTACTAGCGTTGGGGAAGTGATCAGAAGAACCATGGCTAGTGGAGGTATTCAAATCACCATGCTCCTCGAAATCGGGAGAAGACAAGTCCACTTCGGGACTGGGGCTACGTTCCCGCACCATCGCGTCTTCCTCATCCTCGAGACTGGAAACACTGGGCGTGATGTGCTTGCTACCCACGGCGGATGCCAGATCGTCTGTCTCAGGAATGGGTTGGTGGGGAAACGTAGTAAGATAGTAGTACACTTTGCGCGGATGAATTAAAATAAGCTCCTTAGCCATAGGACACGGCGCGAGGGCCGTCCAAGGACGCTTCATATAGGCGGCTAACCGCGATGAGAGGAGCGCAGCGGGATTGGCGGAACTATTACAGGACATGTTAGTTATTGTGTTTCAAGAAGTCCCGATAGGGATACATACTTTGCGACATTGACATTTAGTGTGACCAGGACTGCGGCCAGTTCCTTCACAAGATGAGGGCGATTCCCGGTCTTCTCCAGTTGGTTAATTACAGCGACAACGATATCGTCGTTAATTCCTTCTGTGTCGATCTTGGGAGCAGGCGCTCCATCCATAGGCGAGGGAGGGGGTGTAATCTCAAGCAGTCCATGTCGGCCAGCGCGCGCAATAGTTTTTGGGTCGGATGGCTCGGGTGATAATGAAGTTGAACCATGCGATCTCTTGACTTTTTTTGTGGGTTGCTCGTCGGTATGCACTTTTGAGATAGAGGGAGAGCGACGAGTGGAATTTGGCAGCTGAATGCCCAAGGATGGGAGAGATAGTGACTTGCGACGAGTGTTGTACGGCATTGCGAGGAAAGTGAGAACAAAGATCAAGAATCAAAGGAGAGTAAGACACAAGGATATAATAGAAAAAGAAGCAAAAAGGATATAATAATAAACAGAATAATAAGAATAATAATAAAAAAAAGATTCTAAGATATTGGGGGGTGTTTAGTAGAAAGGGGGATGAGAAGGATAAACGGGGGGATCATCAAGATGCGACAAGAAGAGCTGTTTGGATGGCAAATTACCAACGGGGGCCTGAGGAATCTGCGGAAAAAAGTGGAAAATTGGAAAAAAAAAATTGAAGTGTAAATTACCGTATGGTATTTATGCCTTTAAATTTGGCAGCCTCCCGAATTGGTGTGACGATGATTGGTTGGACTGGGGCTTGTTTTTATTTTCCTTTCCTCTCACTCTTTAAGAATGTACATAGGAATGCCTATCTGTCCTTTTTTTTTATAGAAACTACCCAAGTACTCTGTACTCCGCACTATGTAAATAGTCCTACATTTGATCAAATATACTTCCAGTCCCTTTCTCACCGCCATGTTAAGACACGGGAATCAACATGCGACATGCGACACGCACAGGCAAAAAGCGAACAATCCCTAGGCGGTGGAGATCAACCCATTCCTTTTCAGGCCTTAGTATGATAATCCATAGTTCTTCCATTCTATCTTCGGTCTTAGCGCATACCAGAAGACTTCGGTGGGGTCGTGGCCATGTGTTCTATGACCCGAATAGGTCCAATTTTGGTGCTCCATCAACCTTGGCGTCTCCATCTACCCAACAACTCTAGTGGTTTCTCTATCCCGCATACATCGGATTCCGCTAATCACAACCCGATTCTTTGAATAATAAGAAGACCTACGGATCCATTGATTGGTAGTTGCACAGTGGATGTCGAATAATAGTAAAACTCGGAACCTTCCTGCTGCATGGATATGTACATTCAAAGTTGGTACCTGTGTAGGTAGATTATGTATTCGATCTGTCATCTGTTGGTTGCTAGGGTACCGAGGGGCACACCGCCGTTGATATATCAAAATATATGAATTTATACGAACTAATGTTGTAAATATGCAAGTACATACTAACTAAGCATGAACACACACGACATCCAATCCATTAAGCCTCGTAAACAAGCCTAATAACTTTGACCAAAAGAAAAAAGAAAAAAGTTGACAAGGCTTAAGCCGAGCCCTTCGGTCGGAAACACCGAGACCCAAAACAGCTCCCTAGCGCAACCGTTTACAAACAGAAAAAGAAAAAAAGGAAAAAGATATGAAGCAACCACTTAAACCTTGGAAGTCGACTAGGCCCCACTCCTGAGTGGATCTCAGGGACCCAATCGACGGGACAGCAATCAATCAGAGTCGGTGTATTGTATTGTACATGACGCTAGTAAGGGATGCTCACATTAGCGTCTCGGGGAGAAAAGGAGCGTTTGCCACCGATGATGCAGCTGAGACACTTGTTTTTATTCTATCTTATTTAGATCTATCGACTTTTTTAACATTTTAGATATCCAAAAAGTCAAACTTGCCGTAGCTGTCAAAAAGTGATGATGCCATGGGAAATAATATTCTATGTAGGTTTGTATGTACGTGTATATGATGACATCTTTCTCCTTACCTAGGTACCCTCTTTACTTTTGGTGATATGATGATTGGACGGGAGGATATTATTGTTTATCCTCCGTACAAAGTACTCCGTATATTGTACATCATATTGTACATCATATTGTACATCATATATTGTACATCATATATTGTACATCATAGCCCAATCTCCTTTAGGATACCTCGCATCCAGCAAGGGGTTTACATAGTACTGGGTACGAGCATTGCTGCCTAGGTGTGATGATGTAGTCTCGGTACTTAGTATTGAGGGAAACATCATTCCTTGAATTTAACCCTGCCATCTGTACGGAGTACTTTTGTACTCCGCATATTGTTGAGTATATAGTGACATATGTCGCATCTACTCTCTGGTGATCTCCGTTTTCATGACATCGACCACTCCGGCCCAGGGATGGGACCATCAACCATGGAAATAGCCAGCCCATTGTTACACCGGCCGAAGGGAACAATTGCTTTAGCGGGAGGTATATCTGATCGCATCTGATCTTATTCAACGTTGAATTATAAGGTTACCCCTTTAAGATGAGAATATTGAGAATGTTGTCAGACTGTACCTACATTGTACAGTATGCAGGTGCACGGGAATTCTCCGCACCTCCACAGCCGCAGGCACTACATAATGCCCACTTCTACTTTTATGTTTACATTACTATCTACAGAGTGTCTATTAAAAAATATATATATATCAGACTGAGAATAATCTTACAATATATATTGCATGGGTATGGAATGTTTTTTTTTCTAGTAACATTAATACCCGATATAGTATCTCAATCTAAACGGAACACATCCAACTCTACGGAGTAGATCTACCAATGAAAGTACATCTCGGTAACAGATGCATCAATATCCAAACCTTACCTGAAGCCATTACCCTTGGTTCCAACTTCCCCGCCACATAAGGACCAACCACCGGGGACCATTGCATCAAACAAAGAACAGATGCATCCAAACACGGAATAACCCTGCAAAAGATCTACACCTTGCATATAAATCATTGATGGTGATTACTAGCAAAACCTGTTTTAATGCGGGACAGTATCGACATTATCATCAGCCAATATCACCCGTGGAAAAAAGTGCCGAGTGGCTAGCGTATACTATGTTGTATGTCGCTCTACCGGATTCTAGGCCGTCGCGATTTTCCCAATCGGGGTGCTGCCGCTTTATAAGGGTGCTTAAGGGTCCTATCACTAAGTATTTCACAGCATAAGGCGGTTACTAGGTACTCAGGTAGGAAGTGAACACCCAGGATATACTCGGTTAGCACCCAAGTCGTGGGTACCAACAGACTGCGCCCAGTGCAGGTTTCATACCAGCTCCTTGGCACTTGATACGGCGGGAAATGAGATTAATGGGTCATTGAAGACGATAAGGCGAGAGGGAATAACACGGATCCAGAGGTATAATTCCGCATTGCTACGAGAAGAAACTACTAATGCGTGAGATATCCATGGATAGCCAAAAGGAGAAAATGCAGAGCGGGATAAACAACCCATATTATAAGAACAATAGCCCCGCATTAGGAAGTACATATGTAACGGGAAGACGGGAAGAAGGGTTTCTCTTGTCAACGCACCTGCCCTTCATATAAAGGATTCGATACTTTCGAATGAAGGAGCTGAAGTTCTTGTAGCTGGCTGCCATTCACTGGTTATTGTCTTCTTGAACCAGTCAAGAAACTTTTTTGATATTCTGATATTTGAGACCAAAGGTCTTTGAGACGGGCCGTGCACACAAACTAGACGATTGGCAAAAGTAGTGAGCACATCCTAAGACCGACCCTGTACCTAGGTAGGAGATGTCAGCTTACTTGATACTTGCAACTGCTTCCTGTCAATTTTCATTCCGTGTCTGGGGCACCAGAGACGGACATCATTCCCACAATTTCGAGTAAATCCGACTTCTAAGGTCACTATACAATATAGAAAGATTCTCGATGAGAGCGCTGGGGGTATCAGATCGTCGAATGTCTTTAATCAATTCGCTATTCATTATGATGATATCAAAAGTTATGAAATTGACAATTTTGTACAATACTAAACCCGTTTGCTCTGATTTTGGTTGGACTTCTGTAGGAAATGGTACGATAGTAAGAGAACATCCAGTTTTAGGAGTATTTATCTACTAGGCGACATCTTTTGAAAAAGATTTGGGGAATTGAACTGACCGACTGGATATCCGTAATTATCGCCGATTTCACAATTAGCCATGTATGCTTTCACTCTGCTCGTTCAAATTCCTCAAATTCCCATTATCAACCCGAAGACCGCTACGGGGATAAGACCCACCATTTCGGCGACTACTCTCTCCAAGGCTGTTTTCTATGAAATGGCTTAGAAATTCATTTCAATTTTGCTTACGGCCTATCTGAATTAGATTTCCTTCATAAATTATTATAAATAACATCCTTTTCTCCAGGGTGATTGTTTATCCAAACTTCCTTCACACTATCCCGAGGTCCTAAACCAATACGATGAAAGCAATCACCCTCTACTCCCATGCAATCGGCCCAAACCCGTGGAAAGTGGCCATTGTTCTCTCATCTCTTGGCCTTCCCTACGAGACTATTTTTGTCGACTTCAAAGACGTCAAACTCCCGCCATATATCGATCTCAACCCAAACGGCCGCCTCCCTACCATCATCGATCCCAACAACGGAACTCAGCTTTGGGAGTCCGGAGCAATTGTCCACTATCTCATTGAAACCTACGACCATGATCACAAGATCAGTTACGATAGCACCCCCGAGCGATTCCTCACCCAACAGTGGCTTCACTTCCAGGCGTCTGGTCAAGGCCCATACTATGGCCAACTAGGCTGGTTCGTTCGCCAAACTGAGAACCAAAACGTTGCTATTGAGCGTTATACCAATGAGGTTCGCAGGGTGACTGGAGTTCTGGATAAAGCCCTCTCCGGACGACAGTGGCTGGTGGGAGACAAGTGTACTTTTGCGGACCTGGCTTTTGTGCCGTGGCAGAATATGGTCGGCATGATCATTCAAGACAAAGATGTGGAGCAGGATTTTGCACGTTCATTTTCCAATGCCCAGGCATGGATGGAGCGCATGAAGCAAATGCCCGCGGTGATCAAGGTCTTGCAAGATAAAGACAACGCCATGGCTGAGATGATGAAAACCAATTAATATACCTGGTTAGGCACCTATAAGAAATATCTAAGTAGATCTATAGTAGTAGTTGAACAAAGATTGCATAGTTATCCAACCCCATGCGGTTTGATAGATGTGGATATTTTGAAGTATACCAAAGCTCGTATGGACTATGATCCTACTCTAAGAAACGGTCCATGCATTTTACACTAGAGCTGTAGTCAAACTTGCAAGGAAGTGGAAACGCAACGTACTACCTACATATGCTACCTATCCACTTCATAGACAAAATGGATCTCGGGGATATCGACCCACAATGTCGGCGACCTTGGCATTATAAACTCCCTACTTTCCGTTTTTGCCCCTGATACTTCTGACTGAAAATATCATAGTCATGCCTTCTTATTATGCCGAGGGTGACTTTGTATACAGTGTGTATGTCTTCTCTTACCCTGGCCCTTCGAAGGGATATGCAGGCTACCACAACTACATATATATCCGTGCACGTACGTATAATATACATAGCAGCCTATTCTTAATATATGGAGAGAAGAAGTTTCCAACAATCCCCTAGACAAGCCTTTATTCACAGACATCAACACCATCAAGTTCCTCATAGATAGCCCTTTTGATATCTTCCTCAGCCCAGCACATATCAACCGCATTCCTCACAAGCTGCACCATCTCCCTCCGACTAAACCCACAATAAGTATAGACTTTCTGTAAATTCCCATCAATCCAAACATCATGCATCAAAGTCGGATCATCACTATTAATACAAACCTTCACCCCCCTCTCCACCAACCTCCGAATCTTCGGAAACAAAACCTCAGTCGCCGTCCTCCGATGATAAGCATGCGGGCACAAAGTCAACCCAATCCCTCTATCCACCAACCCCCGCCACAACTCCTCACAATCCTCTGCATCCAACCCATGATCAATTCTCTCCGCTCCCCGACCCCCACAAACCTCAAAAATAGCCTCAGCCACATGCTGCCGCGTATCCTTCTGCCCAAAATCACAGTGCATAGTAACATGCAATCCATCCGCGCGCGCCAACGCAAACCCCTCCTCAAAAAGCATCGGCGGCCTCTCGTAAGCATTACTCGCTAACCCAACGGCATGAAACAGGCCCTTCCCGCCATCAACAGTCCCAGCAGCCCACGGCCTCGCCTCACGGTAAGCATCCAGACCCTGCTCGACAGGCTCGTCGCGCAAGAAGCACAGTATCCACCGTGAATGCACACCCAGCTGTGCGGCAGCATCGTGTTGCGCGCGCAGATAGCCGTCCATAACGGCTGCCGCGGGGATTCCGCGGCGAGTATGCGCCTGTAGATCGAAGAAGGGTTCCGTGTAGCGCACATTCATGGAGGCGCATCGGCGTAGGTAGGCCATGGCTAGATCGTAGAAGTCGGTTTCTGTATGGAGAGCTTCGCATCCGGCGAAATAGGCTTCGAGGAAGGTTGGGATGCCTGGTTGGCGGCCGTTTAGCTCGGGTCGGTGGTTGAGGGTTACTGCGTAGGAGGCTTGCAGCTCTGCGAAGGTGGTGTACGGGAGGGGGATATTGTTGCGGTGGGAGAGGTCCCAGCGGAGAGAAGGTGTTAGGGTGCCTTCGATGTGGACGTGGAGTTCCACCTTAGGGAGATTGGCTATGAACGGGGTGATTGTGAGGCCGTTCATGGTTACTGCCTAGGTGAGGTTTCACCACTTTATTTGGCTAAATAAAATGAAAGTTCTCCGTGGGAAGACGTTAACACTCAGAAGAGGGGTATGGGGTAGAAGAATAGCTCCGAGAAACTGCTCCGTACTCCGTACTCACTGCGACGGTATCACTTAGCTCCAGCCCTAAAGGACTTGGCTTCATCGTCCAATTGGCGAGGGATTCCTGCATTGATAACATGCAGGGTTTTGACCAATGAGAGGTGCGGGGAAAGATAACAGGGTATACGACCTTATAAAAAGAATTCAGGTTGTCTTGAATGGGATTCTCGGCATCCTCTTTTCTTTTTACTAGAAGTGGCCATGGACATAGCTACTTCTGAGGGAGAACGATGTACCGACCATGATATGGCAAAAAGGGTACTGAGGAAGATTGACAGACGATTGATACCACTGCTCTTCACAACATATATGTTCAATTTCATGGACAAAACCATCTTGTCGAGCGCGTCTGTCTTCGGGTTAAGGGACGATACTGTAAGAACATGTCCAGAGAAACAATGACCATAACTAAGACCATTTCTAGGCATTGGTTGGCCAGCAGTACAGCTGGGTATCATCGGTCTTCTACTTTGGCTACCTGGGATGGGTATATCCAACAACTTTACTTATTGCTCGTCTGCCCGCTGCCAAATATTTGACGGCCAACACGCTATTCTGGGGTGCTGTGGTGGCCCTTACTGCAGCCTGCACCAACTTCGGCGGTCTCGTAACAGTCCGCTTCTTGCTTGGAGTTGCTGAAGCAACCATCACGCCGGCGTTTATGTTTATCACATCGACCTGGTACACCCGCGACGAGATTCCTACCAGGACAGGTCTGTGGTTTGCTGGAAACGTATGTTGTTTCCTGCCGATATCTCGAATAAAAGCTTATCTTTACACAGAGTGTTGGTGGTATTATTTCAAGCCTTCTCGCCTACGGGCTGGGTCACATCAAAGATCACGTTGGGCCATGGAGGTGGATGTTCATCGTTCTCGGGTGGGGGACATTCCTCTGGGGATTCGCTGTTTGGACTCTACTACCAGACTCAATCTCCAAAGCCAAATTCCTATCGGAAGAGGAACGGCAGTTCGCAAGCAACAGAGCTGTCGTTGCAGGCACAGGCACGACAGAGAAGACCACTTGGAGATGGGGCCAGGTCGTTGAATGCCTGACGGATCCAAAGACATGGCTTATATTCGGGCTGGAGCTTTGTACGCAAATCCCCAACGGAGGGACGCAGAACTTTGCCAATCTGGTGATTGTCTCATTCGGGTTCACTAACCTGCAGTCGACGCTGCTCACCATCCCTTACTCGCTCATCACCGTGGCTACAATCACCGGAACGGGCTGGTTGGCCGGTCGTTTCCGCCAACTGAACTGTTTACTTATCGTAGCTGTTGTGCTCCCTTGCGTCGTAGGCAGCGCGATCATCTACTCCCGCGCGCATATCGTCTTGGGCGTGCAACTTTTTCGGATATTTCCTCTTATCGACTGGACCTGCAGCAATGCCGCTCGCTATGTCGCTGGTGCAGGCCAATTACCGTGGAGTCACTAAGAAAATGACAGTCACGGCAATGCTATTCCTGGCTTACTGCGCTGGGAACATTTCTGGGCCTCAGTTCTTTCTCAGTGAGGAGGCCCCGACTTATAACACTGCTTTCCGCACGATTATGATTTGCTATGCCCTAGCTGTCATCTTGGCACTGCTTCTGCGCTCCTACCTGCAGTGGACTAATGCTCGCCGTGTGCGTCTGGAGGGGTTTGAGGGTAGTGCTGGAAACGCAGGTGCTGTTGGTGGGAAGGGGCTGGATGCTGCTCGCGATTCGACGAATGTGGCGGATATGGTGAACCGAGTGCAGCTAGTATCTGATGACTATGAGGATATCACGGACTGGAACACACCAGGATTCAGGTATCGTTACTAAAAAGGCATGACGGGAGTTCAAATGGGACGTACAGGCCAGTCATGTTTTGCTATATAGTTGAGCAAAAAGAGGATAGTCTATCCCTGAATCCCATTTCTATCACGCCAAATAATCATACACATCTCCAGATTATGTTACATCCAAGCGGCTCCTGCCAAAGCCACAAGATCAGGACCGAGCCTTCTCGGTACTCTGCTTCGGTCTCAACACATAACGCCACGTAGTCCCCAGATGCCAACGCTTCTCCTCCACAATCTCCAAGCCACTCTCACGCACAATATCCCCAATATCACGGTTCCACCAACAACCATGCCGATCCGCATGAGCCGGAGCAAGATTATCCAAAATCCGATTAAGCCAATCATAATAAGAACGCCCATGCTCAAGCAACAAGATCCGCCCACTCGCAGGGTCCGTAACAGACCCCAGATGTCGCAGCGTAGCAACAGGATCCGGCATCGAGCAAAGACCCATAGTCTGCACAACGGTATCAAAGTAAACCGGCGCCTCCTGCATCTTCACCCCAGAACGCCCGAGATCAGATGGCTCAACTTTACCCGCATCACAAGCCCGGAACACCGCCGGGAACGCAGGATACAGTTTCTCGAACTTCTCCTTCGTGATAGCCACCATCTGCGGACTAAGATCGACAAATGTAACCGAGCGACAACCCAAAACCGCAGCGTGGCCATCGGCATCCAATCCGCGACGCTCGCCGAGCTCGTAGAATGGCAGATTGCGCCCCGTGCCGCAGCTGACTTCGAGTACGTGTCCGCGTGCCTGTCGGATTAGATCCCGCCGCTTCTTGCCGAGCCCCATTGCCTTTTCGGAGAGCTCGACGTCTGCGTCGAAGGTTGCCGCTGTTGTGTTGTAGCGGTCTGAGACATCGCGTGGCACGTTCAGAGTTTGTGCTTTGCTTACTTCGCGCGTGTATGACGCGTACAGGTAGCCGCAGTACGTGCTAATAGTGAGCGCTGAGATGCCCAGGAAGGTTAGGGCTCTGGGTGGGATGCCATGGCTTGGTTTTGCTGTGGTTCCAGCATTGGGGGTCTCGGGTTGAGTGCTCTGTGGGTTTGGGCGCTCTTGGTGGTGTTGGCGAGGCGGAGTTGCCTGTCGCCGTTTTATGGCCACTGGCTTTGGGCTTTTGGGACTGAGGGAGATATTAGTTTGAGTGGCTGATTGGGGAGATTTGGTTCCATACCTCGGCTTTGGGGGTCGAGGTGCTTTGCTTGATGCACTGCGGCAGGGTGGGACGGGCCACTTTGCAACTAATGGCACTCTGCGCAATTGATTTACGTTCATTATGATGTTTTGAACTAGCAGAATGAACTGCCGAGGGCTTTTCTGCAGGGCTTGTGCATATATGGTTTGATGCGAGCAAAGATTGAGTGCTTACGCGACAGGGTTGTTCGCACCCCGCAATACCAAGAGTAGATGGAGCCTCCAAGAAAGGAAACTGAACTGATCAATGTATAGTCGTAAGCTCAATTGTATTCCATTCCGTATAGATCGGAGTGGCGATATCGACCAGTGAAGAAGAAAAGTTGGGAGGTGGAGCGAGGCCGTTATCGGCGTGGACTGTTATCAAATTGGAGAAATCCCCCGGATCTCCAATTATTTGGTGTTAAACTCCCACACATAATTTTGAAAATGGCATTGCCGCCCAGGATCCTGATTGTCGGAGGGGGTGTGTTTGGATGTGAGTATCAGCAATCTCTTGGAACCCCTAGCACTAGTCTACACTGTCACACTACATATTTTATACCAATTTCCACACCTGCTAACATTCCCCAGTATCCACCGCCCTCTCCCTGTCAAAGCGACACCCAGAATCCAAAGTAACAGTAGTAGAGTCCTCACCAACAATCCCCAACCCCCACGGGTCATCCGTTGACACGTCCCGGATCGTGCGAGCCGACTATGCCAACGCAGCATACTCCAAGCTCGCCGCAGCAGCCATCCACCGCTGGCGCAGCACAGACTGGGGCCGCGACGGCCGGTACACGCAGAACGGCCTGCTACTCGTGTACCCAGAAGACAGCGCCAGCGCCAAGGAGTACGCACGCAAGAGCTACGCCAACGTGCGCCAGATCGAGGGCGACAATGTCACCTTCCTACCCACCCAAGCGGACGTCCTCAGCGTCGTCCCCGCCTACGGCTCGACCCTTGATGTCGCCGGCGGCTACGTGAACTGGGGGTCTGGATGGTCCGATGCTGCGGCTAGCGTGCGCTATGCTAAGACCCTCCTCGACACCGAAGGGAAGGTTATCTTCCGCACTGGTGATGTCGAGCGTGTGCTATACGACACGAATGGCGCGAAGCCTAAAGCTACCGGTGTCGTCTTGACGGACGGGTCGACCGTCGAGGCGGATCTGGTTGTGCTGGCGACTGGCGCGTGGACGCCGAAACTGGTGGACCTGCGTGGTCGGGCTGTTGCGACCGGTCAGGCCATTGCTTATATGCGGATCTCTGACGAGGAGCAGCGTGAGTTGGAGAATTTGCCTACGATTTTGAACTTTGCGACGGGGATCTTCATTATCCCGCCCCGGGATAATCTGCTGAAGATTGCGCGACATGCTTATGGGTATCGCAATCCGGTTGAGGTGCCGGTTCCTGGGGCTTCGGGCTCGATGGTGGTTAGTCTGCCTGAAAAGGGGGTTCCTGTGCCGCTTGAAGGACAGGATGCGTTCCGGTTTGCGTTGAGACAGCTTTTGCCGCGGTTTGCGGAGAGGGAGTTCGTTGATACTAGGATTTGTTGGTATACTGATACGTGAGTTTGGTCCTTCGGTTGCCAGCTGCGAGTTGGATGGTTGTTGTTGGTGCTAATTTTGTTTGAACAGGCCCACGGGTGACTTCATTGTTTCTTACCACCCTGACCATGAGGGTCTTTTCCTTGCTACCGGTGGTAGTGGCCATGGGTTCAAGTTTTTCCCTGTTATTGGAGACAAGATTGTTGATGCCCTGGAGGGCACACTTGATTCCGAGTTGAGTAAGATGTGGAAGTGGCCTGAGGCTGCTGTGCCGGACGAAGAGGACTTCGACGGCGACGGTAGTCGGTCTGGGGAGAGGAGAGCGATCTTGAAAGACGAGTTGGCGAAGACAAAGAAGGCTTCACGGAGCAGTATGCTTTAGGATGTAGACCTTGGTGGTTGTGATGTATATAACATGGAGATTGCATGTACAAAGGCATTTACACTATGAACCAAGCGCAAGCAAAAGATCCTGAGGCTTAGAGCTGCGAACTACATCTACTAGAGCATATAAAGGAAATTTTTTTTTCAAGACATTTTCATTTGACTACTCAAAGGTAGTATCACGGCAAAAGCCGGTCCAGCAAGCCCATATAGGGAAAGCAAGGACGGAACTGAATCTAGCAGACTGCCTTGGGTCACCATGAAATTTTTTTTGGGCCTGTGGGAATAGAATCCTCCACAGATGAAACCGTAGAACGATAAATGATTAAATCGAGGCAGTCATCGACCGGCGCACAACCGCCTCACTGCGGTGTGCAGCAATCTAATTGTGTGGAAGAACGCGAAAGTGTGAGGAAAACCGGGGATCATCCGAATCGCTAAAAACGCCCAACTATGCTTGCATGAAAAGAGTCGTAAGAACGGAAGGAAAAGCAAGGTACAGGCAGACCGAAGCCAACTGTCCTAGCGAAGGGAAAAAGCAATGTTAATACAGGGTTGAAATGCATAGTGATCTCTCTGGCACTTTCTTAGACCTTGCGGAAATCTGGGAGCATGAGTTAGTAAGGTTTAATGGTAGCAAATCCAGAAAGACAGCATACCAGAAAGTACAGGGTAGATCAGCTCGAAAGCCTGGTAGATCTCCTCGCGGACTTTAGCACCAGTCAGTACAATCTTGCCACTGACGAAGATCAAAAGAACGATCTTGGGCTTCATCATGCGATAGATCAGACCAGGGAACAACTCAGGCTCGTAGGAACTGAAGTTGTGATGACGAGAGGCCAACCCCTCCAGACGGATGGGGAACTTGATGTCGCAAGAGCCGACGATGTTCTGGATCTTGAAATCGGTAAACTTGGCGTTGAAACCAAGCTTCTGGATAATACGCGCATACTTGCGCGAAGCCAGCTTCGAATCATCCTCGGACTTGGCACCGGTGACGACCATCTTGCCAGAGGCGAAGATAAGAGCGGTGGTCTTAGGTTCACGGATACGCATGATCACGGCAGCGAAACGCTAATGAGAGAACCAAGTTCAGCCACATTGTTCCCTGATGGGTGCCCTCTCAGAGCAATGTGAGGAGTTGATAAATACCTTTGGGTTGTACTCGGCGTTGCGTGCGTGCAACGCGATGGTCTTCAGATCAAGGCGGCAGTCAAGGTTGACAGTAGCAACGATGTTCCTTTTGGAATAACTAGTTCAGCCATTCTGGTCACCCAGAAAAACGTCCAGAGTATACTCACTGCAAGGTAGGGACAATGCCACTGCTTCCCGTGGTTGCGCCAGGGGTCGCGGCGGGGGTTGCAGGAGAAGCGGGAGTCACCCCGGTGCCATTAATGGCATTTCCTCCGGCCTGCTGGACATTCATACCATTTCCGCCCTGTGCGCCCTGTGCCATGGCCTCCTTCTCAGAGTTGGGAGGGGTCAGATCCCCAGCGCCACCAGGGAAAGACAGCGACGAGGTAGCAGTGAAGGCACGAGCCTGCTGCGCATTGGAGGGATGGGTTGTCAGAGAATCCATTTTGATGGAATACTCGATTTGCGACAAGGGATAAAGATGGAACTATGATAAGGAGATGTGAGCTTCAGTCGCGAAAAGTCGCGGGAGATGAAAGTGACGCGTTCGCGGAGGAGGGGAAAGAGAATAAGCACGTGAGAGGGGAGAAGCCATCAACGCAGGGAAAGAGCATCCACAAGGAAGGAGTCCTTCGAAGGAAGGTGCAAAGGACAGAAAAGGAAGGAGGCTCTTTCTTACCTGGGAGATGGACAACTCAATGTATCCCCCTACGAGGTGTTCGCACGTAACCTCTCGTGAATCAGGCACGAGATAGTGTAGGCAACGAAACCAACGCAGTCGACTTGGTGAACGAATCAAGAAAAAAATCACACTGAAGTGTTTTTCCAAGATAGGCGCGACGGCGATATTATGGACGGGAAGGACGGCAAATTTTTTTTTCTTTCGAAATGTTTTCTTTTGCGCTGTTTTTGTAAAATGGGATTGTCTATCTGCGCGATCTGAAAAAAAGAGAGAGTGGTGAAGCGAAACCTGAGGCTCGACTTCTATGGTGATTAGGTCCGTGGACAAAAAAACCTTTTTTTTCCCCTAAAAAAAAAATAGAATCAAGGGTCCAGAGAATAATCAAAGATCTGGGTGAGATAGATCTGATTAGTAAGGAGAAAGCCAGCAGATATCAAGATCTTGATGATCGGGCTTTTTGAGGAGGAGCGGAGGGAAGAAGAATTTCCGAAATAAGATCCGCCAAGACCGAGACAAAATTCCCAAGGTAAATTGGGGGGAGGTTGGGCCTTTATATAGTGCTGAGTCACAGCCCGGTCAGGGGAGGCTGGGCCGCCGGTGGCGCTAAAAGCGGCAAGACTTTTCTCCCTTCAACCTTGGCTTCATTGCCCGCTAGCGGCTCTGGGAAACCACATCGCCAACCAATCACAGCTACGCAACATCTCTAGTGACTTTTATTCGCCCAACGCACTCCGCTAATATCTCTGTGTCGGCCCCTGACTGGTTCAAACACCCTTGCTTTATCCTCCGGTGCCATGGTTGCAGGCGCTGGGTTTGCCAGTCCGCGCTCCTCCTGCAGCTGATAGTCCATCCGTCCCACGCCAGTCCAATCATCGTCATCGACTAGCCTCGGTCACTCCATGTACGACGCGCTATCCTCTTGCCGCTTTAACGGATGGCAACTGAACAAAAATTCTGATTTTTTTGCCTTGTTTCTTCCCCTACCTCTCTGACCTCACCGCACCAGGGGAATCAAGTATAGTCACTATGATATAGCGGATATTATTGGTATACTAACTTTGAAAGGAAGAGATATTGCTCACAGCTTATATTTGATTCGACTATCCTTTTTTTCTTTTTTTGGATTTCAAAAGAGCGACTCTCCCCAGAGATTTTGATTTGGACAGGTGGCCGTTTCGATTCTGCCTCAACAGGCGGTGGCGTCCAGTGTCGATCCACTGTCCGCCAAGGCTGGATGAATCTCATGGCATGCAATCCGGCGATGATCGGTCATTTCTTAGCTTGTTCGGTTCTATTATTTACAATATAGATCTACCAACTATAGTTCTTGAAACTCTGTTATTCCGGATAACCCCTCAAATCACATCATGGTATTATTTTTGCATTTTCTAGAGGATTCCGGTATGCTGGTATGGTATAGTATGCTGAATACCATACCCGAAGCGTCACCGCCGTCACATTCCGCGAAATGCAGTAATAATACGGACGGGAAACTGCAGTCTGGTCTGCCCTGATCGGGGTTTGACACCCTTAGAGCAGTTAATATGACTCGAGTATTTAAGGTTGTTTTCTGGCATATGAATATGCAGGATAAGTCTGGAGCTGTCAACATTGGAATATTTCGTTATCACAAGTGAAGCCAAGCATGTGATGCATGTGATCAGTACAAACTACAGAGTATCTATGCCGTATTAAACATGAGGCGCTTAGATGTGATGAGAATTGAGCCAATACTATACTACATACGGAATCCTCCATATTAATTTTGAAATACTATACATTAACAAAAACATCCCCAGGCTAAAAGTCAGGTTCCATCAAGCTGCGGATGATACATAGGACCCTGGCTAGAGGCTACTTCCGCTTTGGGACACCCATCCATCCATTTCTGCCTCAGGCCTCAATGTTGGATAATCGCCGAGTTTGCTATTGGCCGAGCGAGCTGAGCCGAGGGTAGGCGGTTTTTCGGCGTTTTGTCACTTCCACTCAAAATTCGGGTACTCGAGGACGCTGGGTACATTCGGGATCTACGACCTAAATATCTTGAGTCTCCGCATTCACCCTTTCGATCTGGTTATGCCGATTGCTTGTCGCTACTAGTAATCCTGGTCTCAGCCTCCGATCTCCGATCTCACATACCGCGATGGCATCAAAAGGTGCCGTCTTGCCTCTATTGAGGCGAGAGATTCGATCCTCCCGATTCTCACGAGCTACCTCCTCCATCTCCGCCATTGCTACACCAGCTCGCCAGTCAGCCAGTCCCTTCACAACTACCGGGCGACGTCTAGCTCGGCGAACGGCATTATTCACCGCGCCAACCCAGACACGAGCCTTTTCGCAATCGCTGTCAAGGCGCTTCACCGACGAGAATGGCGACTTCGATCCTCGCACATTGGAGCGGGAGTCCGACGACGTGGATGTGTGCATCGTTGGCGGTGGTACGTTCGTCCGCGTTGGCTTCTCCCGAAAGCAATCTAACTAGGCTTTGATTCACTGCAGGTCCCGCCGGTCTCGCCGCCGCAATTCGCTTGAAGCAGCTTGCCAACGAGGCAGGCAACGAAGAGTTCCGAGTTATTCTACTAGAGAAGGCTGGTGAATTGGGCGCCCATATTGTCTCAGGGAACGTTTTGCAACCAACCGCTCTCAATGAGCTGTTCCCCGACTGGCTGTCCGAGGACAACCCTTCGCGCTTTGAGGGTGCAACCCCCGCCAAAAGTGACAAGATGCGTTTCCTGACGAAGAATGGCTCGTACCCGCTGCCCACGCCCCCACAGATGCACAACGAAGGGAACTATATCGTCAGTCTGAATGAGCTTACCAAGTGGTTGGGAGAGCGTGCGGAAGAGGTTGGTGTGGAGGTGTACCCTGGTTTCGCAGCCAGTGAGATGGTCTATAGCTCAGATGGCTCAGTCAAGGGCGTTGCGACCAATGATCTGGGACTCGCTCGGGATGGCAAGCCCAAGGAGACATTTGAGAGAGGAATGGAGTTCCATGCCCGCGTCACGCTTCTTGCTGAGGGCTGCCACGGCAGCTTGACCAAGCAGGTGATGAAGAAGTACGATCTTCGACGAGACAGCCAGCCCCAGACATATGGTCTTGGAATTAAGGAAGTCTGGGAGATTCAGCCCGAGAAGTTCCGATCAGGCGAAATTACCCACTCGCTGGGATACCCTCTTCCCAAGGACACGTACGGTGGAGCTTGGATGTACCACTTTGGGGACAACATGGTGAGTATCGGTCTGGTGGTAGGATTGGACTACCCGAACCCATGGCTTTCGCCATACGGGGAATTCCAGAAGATGAAACATCACCCCATGTTCAAGGAGGTTCTCGAGGGCGGCAAGTGCATTTCTTACGGGGCCCGAGCACTCAATGAGGGTGGTTTCCAGTCGATCCCCAAGTGCGCATTCCCTGGAGGTGCCTTGATTGGTGACACGGCTGGCTTTTTAAACGTCCCGAAAATCAAGGGTACCCACACCGCAATGAAATCGGGCATGTTAGCCGCTGAGGCTGCATTCTCGGCGCTTAAGGGTGAGAACCAAGGAACCGTCTTCTTGTTTGACTACGAGAAATCTCTGCGCGATTCATCCATTTGGAAAGAACTCTCCGAGGTCCGTAACATCCGGCCCTCATTCAATACCCCACTGGGCTTCTTCGGTGGACTTCTCTACTCCGGCCTGGAGGCCTACGTGTTCAAGGGCCGAGTGCCATGGACGCTCAGCCACCACGGCACTGACGCAGCGGCTACCAAGCCTGCCTCTCAATACGAAAAGATCGTTTACCCCAAGCCGGACGGAGAGCTCAGTTTCGATATTTTGACCAGCGTGAGCCGGACCGGCACCAACCACGAGGAGGACCAACCGGTTCATCTCCAGGTGGAGGACTTGGATAAACACACGGACCTTGCATGGCCTGTTTACAAGGGTGTAGAAAACCGGTTCTGCCCTGCCGGTGTCTACGAGTATGTGGAGGACCCTAGCAAAAAGGACGGGGTCCGATTCCAGATCAACTCACAAAAGTAAGTGTCTACTGCCATCTGAGTCACCTTATATACACATATACTAATCATTTACCAGCTGCATTCACTGCAAGACTTGCGATATCAAGGTGCCTACACAAGATATTAACTGGCAGACGCCTCAAGGTGGAGAGGGACCTAAATACGTGATGACGTGATATCAGGACGTCGGGATAGGCTCTTATAATCAGGGGATTTAATAAAGAATGGATATTAGGGGGGAAAAGAAACCCTTGGAATGTATATAGATGCCCCAAATAGGCAAAAAAGCATATGAACCAAAAAAAGACCCCATGGGGTTGGCAGAACCGTGGAATGCCAGTGGAGAGAGTCCACGAGGGATAAGGCTTACTTCCCCTTTTGAACTATGTAGGATCTATGTATTTATTCCAACATGTATTCAACATACTATATACTACATTTTATAAATATAATTCTTGAATTGGTTTATCATCTTTTCCCTTCTCTATTTTCTATGGTGGAACCACGTGGATCACGAAAAAAGTGAGGCGGCCAAAGTTTCAAGTCCACCGTCCACCTTCCACCGCCAGACGGTACTTTCTCTCTTTTCTTCCCCTCTCGCTTCTCTCTTCTGTATCTTTTGTATTTGTTTTGCTGTTCGGCTGCCCGGCTGCTCGGCTGTTCTACTTTGCAGTACACCTGCTCTCTGATCGTGTGTCGTTTGTCGGGTTACACCTTACACGCTTTCCTGCAGCAGCGCCGCAGTTCACCACTTCTCTCTGCATTCCCGCCTTTTCGATCTCTCCCATATTCTCTGGCATTTCCTCTAGCCAGATTTTTTTTCTAATATCCCATCAATCGATTATTTCAGACCAGCCATGACTGAGGTGTCCTCAACCCGCCTTTATCTTGGGAACCTTCCCCGCAACGGTATGCTGGCACCTGACCGTCCCTCTTCCCTGAGCTTTAGAGAACACACGCACCACCATGCATGATCCGGTCGCTTCGCTGGTTCCCAGAGTCCCATGGGCTCCGATCCCTCATATGCTCATGTGGAATGCCACCCTCGGCCCACCCTTTGCAGGGTGAGCAAATGAGAGCTTCAGCTACCCACATGGAACAGCTTTCGCCGCGGATGGCCGTCTAACCGGTGCTTTTGGAGTCACCATTTGAAAAGTGATCCGCTAATCTCTTTCTTATTTCTTATCACAGTGACTAAGAGTGACATCGAGGAACATTTCAGCAGCCATGGCTCCGGTAAGATCACGGAGATCAAGTTGATGAATGGTTTTGGCTTCATCGAATATGACGACCAGCTGGATGCCAGAGATATTGTGCCCGGTAAGAACGGCTCATGATATTCCATTTATTTACACAGACTTGCTAACATTATTTTCCTGCAGCATTCCGTATGCCCCCATGACTTGTCCACCGAATGACCTCTCGCTTATCAATACCACAGACGGCAGTGAGTTCAAAGGCGAGCGACTTACCGTTCAGTTCGCGCGCGGTCCTCGCCGCAAGGAGGCCTTAGGCCCGCCAGACCGCAATGCTCTTCCTCGTCCACGTCGCACTATCTTCCGCATGCAGATTTCCGGTCTTCCAGAAACAAGTTGGCAGGTTAGCAGCCCAAGTCCATTCCTTTCCGGAGTTCCTGACATAGATTCCTCAACCCCGTCTCTCTACTCAGCCCACACATGCTTCCAGTCCATTGTCCTTGAGGCCATCGGTTGAACCAAGGATCCTGGTGTACTAACCTCTAGCACTCCTCTTCTTCTATGGCTTTTCCCTTTGCCTTGAGAGTTGAGAAGTGCTCCTTGATCTGCGTACTCACCAAGCATTGTTGTCAGACCCCATGGAGCCTTTCCTGGGACTTTTGGATGCTGATATAAGACCATTCTGGATACACCTCCTCGGACTGGACATGGAGTGCTTACATCCTTCTCTCCACATTTGCCGGACACCTTACCTTTCCTGGATCTGGACTCACCATGCATTCAATAGGACTTGAAAGACTTCGCCCGCCAGTCTGGACTGGACGTTGTTTACTCTGAGACTGGCCGAGAACAGGGCCGAGGGTGGGTAAACCATTGTATTCCGCATGAGACCCTTCCAATCCATTGACTTTTGACCAAGGTTTGTGGAATTTGAAACCGCCAACGACCTGAAGACCGCCGTGGAAAAACTGGACCAGCGAGAGTTCAAGGGCTCCGTCGTATCCTGTGTCGCCGATGTAAGCGCCCAACCTGGCTCGGACCTGGAGGAACCCCCGTCTCACCAACTCCCAGATTCAAAGCTTTGAGGAACGCCCCATGCGTGACCCCTACCGGTCTCGTTCCCCACCACGTCGCCCCTACCCTGCCACCATGGAGGAGTACGACCGCCGGATCCCTCCCCCACGTGGCTACAGTCCTCGGGAGCACTACCGTGAGCGGTCACCGATTCCTATCCGCCGCGATCCCTACTATGAACGGGATGGCTATGCCCGCCGGACTCCCCCTCGTCCTCGGATGGAAGACTACCCACCCCCACGTCGTCCCTACGAAGACCCGTATGAGGCTCGACCTCCCCCACCTCCTCGCCACTATGATGATCCCTACCTAGCTGCCCGGGGTTATGGTCGTCCTCGCTCTCCGCCGAGAGGCGAGTATGTGCCTTACGACCGTCCTCGCTACTGGTAGATGGCGCCGGGTCGTCGTTGATTGGATTTACTGCATATTCTTCCGTTCTACCATCATTTTTTGACCTCCTTCGCCAAATACCCGCAACGTCTCATACTGATTTCATGGTGTCATGATCTTTTTTCCACCTGCCGAGGTTTCGTTCAGCGTGTTCTCGCGGCCGGGGGCTTCCATTTCTCCCTGGCGACTGGACAGGCCGAGTTCTCAATCGTTTCTTTTTCCTTCCTAGTGGTTTTGGGATGGCGGGAAGCTAGGTGGTCATCGCCCTTTAGTCTTTCTTGTCCGTCCTGGACTATTGTATGTGTGTTAGCATCTGAAAATCTTAGTTTTTTTTTCCTTTGGTCTGTTTCCTCTCCTGTAATATTCCCGAGATCCCGTCGCTCTATGTCCTGGCATGGCCTTCCCCTAAATAGCTGGTTGGGTGACAGTAGTTCAAGAGTTGTCTTTATTTCTGTCATTCTCTATGTTGAAACTGAGATATATATTGAGATGGTAGTTATGCTCCCACCAAACCCCAATACTAGCCCTTATAACTAAAAGAAGTATATACAATATCCCACAAGGTACTTCCAGTACTTCCTATTTAGTCAACGGATATAAACCAAAATGCGGAAATGCCTGTCCATAGCAGTGGTTTCTACCAAGGCCGAGCAGCCAAGTGCTCTCACTTTTGTCCAGCGGTCTGGTGTAGAGATTACTCGCTTGAAGTATTTGTGCAAGAGTCGCTAAGTGCCATGGAAGTGGTTTTCATGTTATACTGGAGGCTGCAGTATACAGATCGACAGTCATACGAAATTGGTGGCTGTTGTATTGAGGCTGATGGGGGTTGTCTTAGGCAGATCTGTAGAACCACTTGGTAATATATCGGACTAGCCAAAGCAGAAGAGACTGTAATATCATCCAATATCATGGTAATATCAAGATAACATCAAGATAACATCAAGATAATACCAACCTTGGAAGTAGATTCGATCAATAAGATCATGTTAATGTCAGCATCTGACACGTGAAATCCCAATTGGGATTAGTGGCTTCAGCCCCCGGATCTGCGCCTGAAATCTGATTTTCTGCAAGATCTCGCGGTTTTCTTGCTTTGTTTCACTTCCTGGGGAAGAAAAAACTGTTAATCTCTTATTTGCCAAAATCTCCATCCTCTATGTGCCTATCTGTGCCTCCGTCTTCGCTCGCTTTGATTTCGCTCACTGGCTTCCTAGCCAACCTTGATCCATATCCATCCCTTCTGAACGACTCGCCTGCTCCTGACATTTCCCTGCCGGCACACCCAGTGCTTTCTCCTTTCGCGTTGGCCTTCGACTTCTCGGCCAGCGAGGTGACTTGGCTAGGGGTCCCGGGTCCGTCCTGAAGAAGGGCGGACGATAAACCTGCTCGAGAGATTCACTGGTCTATTGACTAGCTCGGGCACTCAAGGAAAACAGTGCTTTGGTACAATAACTCTGCAAGCTGAAGTACGTCTCTTTGATCTGCGTTCAATTTGCTATTTTTGTTTCATTTTTTCCCCAATTTCTTTTACGTTTTACCTTGGCGAATTAGTGGGGGCGTGAAAACCCTCACCTGCCCCTCCATTCTTTCTTTACGGTCGATAATCTAAAGATCGAGGGGACTGAGACTAACTAGGTTTCTCCATGTGAACAGTGACTGCGAGATAGGTATTCTGAATACCTTGCTACCACCCTTTACGACCGAGGTCAATTGTCGACCCTGCGGTTATCGCCGGCGCTTACACCTAAATCCGGGATATTTCGCTTCACTCGCGGAGCTATCACAGGTGATACAAAAATAGCATAATGCCTTCCTCGACCACCGACGACCTGTCGGTCGGGGATGTGTTCGCTCCGCAGGCCGATAGCGAGCAGTCCGTCATTGACATCCCAGCCAATCACCGTCGCCCCAATGCACACATGGGCACTATGCCACCCCCGGAGCAGACAAAGGGTTTCAATGGGTTTGCAAACCAGGCTCTTAGCGATAACAAGCAGCGACGGAAGAAGAAGAATAACCAATTCGGCCCAGCGTGCGCAACCGTTCGCGGTTTCACTCTGGCATCCGGCGACGAGGAATCGGACTTCTCCGCTGCGAGCTCACGTACACCCTCTCGACCTCCCACTGCGCTTGATGGCGCTAGCCCACTGGCACAGGCGTCCACAGGTCATGGTGTCAGTGCGCTGAAGCTTCAACTCAGCACTCTGAATCTGTCTGAGAACGCAGCTGGCAGCGGGCTTGTCTCCCAGACCCCCAGTGTTGCCAGTGTCTACTCCGACAGCGACCAAACTGAGATTCTGACCAGCTATGAAATCCCTTTGGATCAGGACTTCGTTAGTTCTGACGCAGTGCAACCAGAGACACTGGACGACCGCAACACGGATGTCACAGGCATGAATTCAGAGTTGCGCAATCAATTGTGCCGCAAGATGACCGCGGAGGACTTTGTGCCTATCCTATGTCTGGGCAAGGGCTCATTCGGAACCGTGTTGCTGGTGCGACACGTCGTCACAGGCAAGCTGTATGCCCAGAAACAATTCCGGAAGGCTTCCATCACTGTCCACAAAAAGCTAGTCGAGCAGACAAAGACAGAGCGCACAATCCTGGAAAGTGTCAACCGCCACCCCTTTGTTGTCAAGCTATTCTATGCTTTCCAAGACCATGAGAAACTCTATTTGATCCTGGAGTACGCGCAAGGCGGCGAACTCTTCCACCACCTAGCCATGGAACGCATGTTCGAAGAAGACGCGGCAGCCTTCTACATGGCAGAGATGGTACTTGCACTGGCACACCTGCACCAAAACGTCGGCGTTCTCTACCGCGACCTGAAGCCCGAGAACTGCCTCCTCGATGCGCAAGGCCACCTCCTGCTCACCGATTTCGGCCTCAGCAAGATCTCGCTCAGCGATGACGACCGCTGCAACTCCCTTCTGGGCACAATCGACTACATGGCACCAGAAGTGATCCAAGGCAAGCCATACGGCAAAGCATGCGACTGGTGGTCCCTCGGCGCACTGGGCTACGACCTCCTCACCGGCTCGCCCCCATTCCGCGGAAACAACCACGCCAAGCTACAAGAGAAGATCGTCAAGCAAAAGCTCGTGCTCCCCTACTTCCTCGGGCCCGATGCAAAGGACCTCCTCACCCGTCTTCTCCGCAAAGAACCCTCCAAGCGCCTCGGCTACCACATGCAGAAGGACCTGCAGATAATCAAGAAGCATCGCTTCTTCCGCAAAATCGATTGGGCTGCCCTCGAGCGTCGCGAGCTCGACCCGCCTATCCAGCCTGTTGTCACGGACCCTGCACTCGCCGAGAACTTCTCTGTCGATTTCACCCATCTCCCGCTCAGCCCGACGGTTACTACCGCCGGTTTCGACGAGTACTATGGGAAGGGACAGGATTTCCCGGCTGGCAAGGAAACGGAAGGCAACGAGGTTGGTGCTGAGAGTAACCCGTTCGGTGGGTTTAGCTATGTTGCTTCGAGCAGCTTGCTGGATCATGGGTTGGGGGTTATGACTGCTGGATATTGAATTGTGGTTGAGAATTTACTGGGGAGAATTGAGAAGGCAAATATTCACGTTAAGGAGTCCCGGCGTTGTCGGTTTTCGTACATTTGCATGTCATGCATTACACAGGTGTCTTGGTACATGTATCATTTTGCTGCTGAGTGACTTCAACGTTGTCTTGTCCTGAAGCAATATAATACAGTAGGACCTCACCGCAACCAATAGTACTTCGCGTCGCATATCTGTTCTTTACATGTGAGTTTCGGCCTTGCTCCCTAATCGGCATAGTTTATGGTTAAGACTACGACGGTATCTGATCGTCTTCGATCCCCTAAATTATCATTCTGTAACTATTCTGAGTGTAGAGCTTGAGATATACCCGGATGCAAATCAATGGGGGAAAAAGACAACCCCTTTGCGCCACCTTCTCGCCTAGTACAGTGGCATAAGAAAAGGCGAAAAGTAAAATATTGGGTATGCCAGGCTTGCTCTCGACGAGCAGAGCCGCAAAATATCTAGATCCATATGCAGTATCAAGATAGGGAAGTACCCTACCGCATGCCACCCTGCATCAATTGCTGGCGTAACAGCATGATCTGGCTTCTTTCCATGGGAGACAAAGTGTGGGAAAGGGCAATAAGCTGCGGACCGGGTTCAACACATCACTTTGTAGGCTGTTCGTTTCATGCGAAACGTACCCGGAGTGGGAGACACGAGGAGTTAGGTTAGTCAGGTTTGCGCAGAAGTAGCAGAAATACCACCGATCAGCCATTTTGACGTTGGGGGACGTTGGAGGAATCAGGTGGGAATCTGATGGAAGGTTTCCCACCTTTGGGGCCATAGCCGAGCTTGCGGTACTTTGCTTTTAGGGCTTCGAGCTTCAGGAAACTTTTGGGCAAGAGGTCCCTTGCCGTTTCATAAGTTATAAGGCCGTCTCGGATCTGCTGTCTGAGATAACAGACCTTCTTCCTGGTGTTGTAGAGAATGACTCTGTCGAAGAAGTCGATGAAGAATTGATCCTCGTCTGGAAGGCATGCAAGAACATCGCGGAGGAGACCCAGCAGGTAGGCATATTGGATTAGAAAGTAGGAGGAAATTTGACCGTTCAGCTCCTCGTCGGCATGGCGCTGAGCAACAGCGTCAATAATTGCTACCGAAGAAGAATTGTTAGCGTTAAGTTTCTTTAGATATACCCATAAGAAAACGCACCTCGAAGATAAACTAGCTTGAAGGGGAAACGGTAACCCGTGTCCGGAACGAGAAACGTGGTTGTAGTGAAAGATTCTGGACTCAAATCGAGATGCCAAAAGGTTGCTGGTATTATAATGGTGCTTGTGGCCCAGTACCTATCGGGACCGTCGTCAGGATCGGCTTCGTGAGGTACAAACCGATAGCCAGGCCAACCTGTCGAGCTTTCCTTGGTTGCATCACTGAAGAACCGAAGATGTGTCTGGGGCAGCTCGTCAAACCCATGTGAGGCCAGAGCAGTCCTGGCCAACTCCAGTTGGTCGTCCGCAACCGCGAAGTACATGTCAGTCAGGAGTAAGGGACCGCCGAGGGCCATAACGACGAGATCTCCAACCACGCAGTATCTCACGCCAGCCGCTTCAAGAACTTGCATAGGTGGCGAGATAGTTGGCTGCAAGCGAGTGAATCGCACATTGTAGTCGCCCATGATGTTTGGGATACTGAGTTTCATCGATGGATAATTGCAAGGTTCCAAGGTTATCATGTCGTGATGAGACAGCCCGGAAAAACAATCTGACTCACAAAGTCAACCAACCTTGGAAGGTAAAGTACGAATCAAGAAGCAACATTGTTCAGCGAGCTGTCTCTAGTATAGGTAAAACGAAGCTTTTAGGCCCCTACAAATATAGTTATGCATCTGCAATTTTCAAGGGAATTTACTAGCTCTGGCTGGCATATATGAAAATGAGGCTTTTTCTCCCATACAAATCTCTACATCTCCAATTTTCGAGGTGGTTTACAAGTCTCCATATAGACTACCGTTGAGTGGACTCCTCTGCGGTATTGTAAAATAATCCGGCGTACTCAAGGAGGATTGCTGGTTGCAAGCCATTTTTGACATCCCATCCTACATCGATGCCTAATCATAGTGGCAGACTGAGCGCTTTTGCGTGTCGATACAGGCCTCTATAAAATGGCCCTGCTTTGCTAGTTTGAATACCAAGAGTTTCTTCGTCCTCCATCTCCCTGGGAGCATATAGGCTCGAGAGACATAAGAAAGGAGATAGAAGTGAGAGAGAAGTGAATTGGGGGAGGGGAAGGGGGTTGTGAGTTAGGAAGGTACGAGGGACGACAAACACAGTTCCCAATTAGGGAAGTTGAGAGCCAACCTTGGAAGTATACCCAAGTTCTCGTTCTCTTCTCCTTCAGCTGCGAACAACCCACGGCTGTTGAATCTCATCCAACTCTTCCTGTTCAGGAATCAGAGCAAATCATTCCATCCACTGTGCAGCCGAGGTAAGTTAAGGATATTGGATCTCATAAACCCCAAGGCAAAAGGCTAAATTATTCATCCTGCAACCTGAACAGCAGTTATACCTCGATCCGTCACCATGTCCTCGCTGATTGAAGAGAATGACAAGAGCCGAGCTATCCATCTCCGCGTTGATGAACTAGGCGTTGCCTCAAAGACCGGTTCATACTGATTTTGGTGGCGCGGCGATGGTACTTCTAGGGAGCCAGCGTCCAACAAGTGATGTAGACATCCTTGTTCCAAGCTGCGAAGATACCGCCGCTCTGTTTTCTTTCCTCGCGGCAGATAAATCCTTCTCTAACGAAAGCGGCCAGCTCCGATTCCAGCATTCCGGCTTCTCGCCTTCACTGGACATTCTGACCATTGCTGTTGAGGCCATTACCTTCGAACAAGCCCGCCCTTATTGCCTCAATGTCGAGGAAGTGAAGGTCTTGAGACCTGACTACAGCCTGGCGATGAAGGTCCAGTGCTTTTGCCTACGACAAGATGGTAAGAACGGCAAAAGGAAAAGAGCGGGCGACCTCGCTGACATCAGATTTCTATGCAGTGAGATGGTCAAAGATCGGAGCTCATAAGCGATGACTGTGCCGAAAAGTTCAAGTTTGGTTATTACCATTTGCTTGAGCTCCGTCAAGAACTCGGAGCAGAGCACATCGCAAATTTTATCAGGGTCGGTGGCAGAAAGCTAATGCTCCCATGGAACCAGAACTCGGAAGATCAGAAGGAATACTTCTCCTGCTTCGCTGAGCCGGGTGCCGATCCGTTCACTGTGGAGCTCGAGGAGAGATGAGGGATGGAAAGTGCAGCGAATGGAAACGATGACTACATATCTGGGGGGTCACGGTTCGGGGGATTGTTGATGGAAGGGTTTAGGAAGGGTCCCACATGAATTTGTTTTTAGCCTTACGAGGGGAGTCGCAGGTTCACATGGTAGCTACTCCGCAGAGTGGCACGTGTAATGTACGATATGGGAGCCACTCTGCTCGAATGATTGTTGCCGAAGACATACGGCGCTTCCACTGGATCTGCACGTCACTAGCCACTCTAACAGCGCCCTTATGGGATATTACTAGCCGTAACCTCGCCTCTCATACGTACTCCACCCCTCAGCCTTGCCTATACTAGTATTATTACGTAGGTAATAATAAGATAGGATTCAAAGTTATCAGTGCTGAGACTATTCGTTACGGCTGACTGCCTGCGCAATCCCCTAGGGAGTTCTTCAGGAACAGTGGAAACAGAAGAAAGTAGAGACAGAGAATCTAGAATCTCTCTATAGGTATAGGTAGAGCGCCCGTCAACGGGCACTTAGATTGTCATCCATGGATAGGTGGCCAGCCCTAAATGCCCTAGGGCCAATAGGAACCAAGGGAAATATGGGGCACCCAGGTACTCAAAAAGTCTTGCTTACATCATCACATATAATCCCCGTTTCGACTTGGAATTGGGATTACATCTTTTGACATTGGATCTTCATAGAATGCTTCGTCTACGGTAGTAAAATCAGGACAAAGGTAAAGTTGGTAGATTAAGCAAAAGAGAAATTTCATTCTCCGTGGATTTCATTCTCACTCATAAGTAGTATTTCCCCAATTTCAATGTCCACGCTTCCACAACGGCGACTTGATGAAACCCAAATCATAGATCTCAGGTCTTAGATCTCGCCTTCCTCACTTCCAGCACGATCATCATCGTCAGCCTCGCCCTCTTCTCTCTCCTCTCCCTGGGAGTCTAATTTACTCCGATAATCCACATCCGCCATAGACGGGGGAGCAGGTCGAGGGGGATGCGCGACTGGAATGACATGTTGCTGTTTTTCATGGAGTTCGCCTTCTTCGCTGGACTCTTCTTTCGGAGGAGGGTGTGCGGAGGATTCCGGTTCCGACCCCGGCTTCTCCTTCTCCGCCTTGATTGACAAGGAACTGAAATGAGGCGTGGCTTTTGTTTGGGATAGTGCGGCTGCGGGGACGCGCGGGCGGGAGGGTGCTGGAGGGTGTGGTTTTTGGACGGTGGGGAGGGTTGCTTCGTTGGAGGGGGTTATGGTTCGCTGGCGCTTAGGGGATCGAGTGCTGTCGCCGTTCCCGTTGAGGGTTGAAGGGGGTTTGTTTTGTGGGGAGGGTGGGCGAGGGTGTGATTCTGTGTTGTTGTGAGAGTCGGGTTCGCGCGAGCGTTTGCGGCCATTTGGCGCCGTGTCTGAGGTGACGGTGAGGGCTGGAGGGGTGGAGGTTGATTGTTGCTCTGAGGCGGATTTTGTCGGGTCTGTGTCGAAGATGCGGGTTGGGTCGTTGGGGTGGGAGGTTGAGTCTGAAAGTGCGAATTCCGGGTAGCCCTTGCTGAGGCTTTGCTGGACACGCTCGTAGATCTTGACGATGAAGGTGCAGGCGCGGATGAGGTCGTCGAGGCGGACGTCGATCTGCTCCCACCAGGGTCGGCCTTCGGCGTCATCGGGGAAGGCAACTTTACAGTGGCGAGCTGCGGCGTACAGGGCTGCGGCGGCGATGACGCGGGGTGGAAATTGGAGACAGAGGACGGTGTAGGTTGAGTCGTTAAGGAAGGAGTAGGTGGAGTGTCGCAAAGCTCTGTTGTCGCCGACACCCAGGAAGACAGAGTAGTCCCAGAGAATGCGGTACGGGGACTCGACTTGTAGGTCAAAGCAGAGGTATTCAAGCATGACGCTCTCGTTCTGCAGAATCAGGTCTCGCCATTTCCAGTAATCTTTGGACTGCTCGTCGACAATCAGGTTCGGCTGTTTCATGGCGACGCGGCAGCATGCGATGACGAAGTCTTTCATGCGGCGCATGGCCTCGTCCACTTTGAACGCGACGAACAGGGCCACCGCGGCGATCACTTTCGGGTGCATCAGATCAGACCCCATCTCCGGATATTGGCCCATCAACGAATAGCGCATGAGGAAGCGGTGCATATACACCGTGGCGGTCATTGATGTTTGCGGTGGCATCTTCAACATCACGCTCACTTGCCAAATGAACTCGACTGCGCGGTGCCGAATGTAGTCTTCTTTCCCGCGTTCGATCTTATCAATGCGCGATGGCGTGCGCTCGAATTCCTCCTCGGTGAATAACCATTTCTGCTGCTCCGCTTCCAACACAGGGTTCGGCAGGCCGGGGATTCGTCGCTTCGGCGGTGCTGAGGAAGCCATGGTTGTGCGAGGTGAAGAGGGGGAAAGACGAATAAGATCGACGAGGGGTGGTTCACACAATGGCGGCAGAGATGAAGCGCATTCGGCGCGCCTGATAAGGAATAGCTCGCGCGAGGGCTAACAATAATCGTTATCGTTCCGAACGTCACAGTCGTTTGGCCAAATCTAGCATGGCGGAGCTTTCTATCGCATCGCGGATATGGTAGTGCACGGCGGGAGATGTTCGGAGAATTGGAGAAGGGGAGTCAGGGATAAGCAATATATAAACAACAGAGCGGTGCCTAAATATCAAGCACTATCAGATAACCTGCAAGGCGGCAAGGATCTCCGTATTGACGCAGTCGACAAGGGAAGCTTTTAGTCGGAACAATGGTTTTCCGAGAGGAAGTATTTATCCGCCTCAATGTATGAGATGCGAGTTATTACAATAAACAGTCATTATACTATATGGATCCATCAATGGAGGAAAGAAATGAAGTTTAAAACGTTCTCATGTAAATCCCATTGGTCATTGCTATGCAATTACACTCCTTGAAACAATCCCTATAACAATTACGATTGGTATCTAGTACTCTGGAAACAAAGTCCGTCCTGGCGCCACGCTGATAGATGCAATAAACAATCAACCCCAAACAGGCATTTACTCCTCCTCACTAACCTCGCTCTCATCATCGCTGGGAACATATTGTCTGGTCGTGGTCTGACTGTAATGGTGGTTCCGAGCCTCCTCTTCACGAGCACTTTCTTCGAAAGCGGCTTCCATCTCCGCCGCCAAAGCATCATCATCTTCCACTTCGTCATCTTGAGCCGTGTCCGTATGTGTTGAGACAGGTGGAGCTGTATTGCCGACCGGGGAGGGTAAACTAAACTCCCCGATGTCTTCATCCCCGTCGTCCTCTGCTGGGGTGTTATTGGACGAGAAGTACGTCCGGTCAACGAGTGGGCGCGGAGGTGGAGATCCCATATCAATAATAAGATCTCCATCAACAATGATGTTCGATCCGGGAGACTGCCCAGCTTGTTGTGATCCCGTGCCTGCATCGGACGGCGACGAGCGAGAGTCCTCATGGTCAGGTGGGTCGGGATAGCTGACAGGTTCGCTTGGCTTCGTGGGCGGATGTGGTTTGGCTGGTGGTTTGGCTGGTGGTTTCTTCTGTCGCAGCGGGTTTGTTTGTGTTTTGGTTTGAGGCGCAGATCGAGGCGCAGGTCTGGCAGCCGGGATCAAGGGTGTACTGCCCCTGCTGGTGGCAAGTTCTGGGGTGCTGTGGCCTGAGGGTGGCTTGTCATCCTCCCGGCGATTCTTCGGGAGGAAATGTCGGAAGTCGTAAGGATTGCTCTCGTCGGCCGGTCCCTCGTCCTCACTGGTGCTCCCTCCGGGGCGGTCTTCTCCCGAGGTTGCTGGCTCATCCTCTTCCTTTATCTGCAGTTGTTCGTATTGCTCGCGGACTTGCTTTTCCGTCTTTCCTGGAGCCGACCGTAGGTTAAAGTTCAAGGTTGTCGAGACTGGCTCCAGAACAAAGACTTTCCGCTCCGGGTCGAAGATCAGAACCAGGCTGCGCTCACCCGATGGGTCCTCGCTGCCTTTGTATAAATAGGTTAATGTTTGATCGGCGTTCGGGGCCTTATCAGTAACGGCGAGGTCATAGAGGCCGTCCGATCGGGAGTGATTGATGGTCGAACGTTGCTGTGGGGTAGCGGACTTGGATTTGTGGTTGTAGTTGACGTTGATCAGCCGGCTCGTGTTTGGGTTCCGAGCAAGCCTCTCCCCCAGCACAATTGGGTATTCGGCCTGCTTTGTCGGGTCGATCATGGCGGACAATGTGGGGGCAGCCATATTTGTGCTCACGCGTAGTGAAGTGGCCCCCAAAATCAAAGTGGTTCGTACAATGCAGAGGATAAGGGAGGAACCTTGGAATATGGGAGAAGAAGATTGGAAATCCCCAAAGTCGGGGAAAGGTTGAGGTGGAGAAGAGCGGAATTAGGAAATGGCCTTCCAAGGTTCTCCCCACTCATATGACAAGGCAGTTTATACAACATAGAATCTTCGATTGGTTAAAACCGCTTCTTTCTTCCGTTCTTAGCAAGAATTCTAGGATTCTATCGGGATTGGATATCTCATGTTTCATGTTTCACGTTGAATCAACATGCTTATACTCCGAGTTCTGTACTACATTTTACGCAGGCTTCAGCTCCGACTTCGGCCCAGATATAAATACAACATTGAAGACATAAGAGTACTAATATTCTAACAATTAAAAGCATAAAGCAAAGTACTTCCATTAGACGATAATTACTAGCTGAGGCATAAACAAAAAAGCGGCTTGCAGGAATACAATGCAGGAATACAATGCAGTAAAGCAGGGCAGGAGGAGGTATCCAGAAACAAAGAACATGAGGCATCGGAGAAAAAGCAGAATATCTGTCAGCTTCTACAGCCAAGACTATACCACCCAGGACTGGAATCAAAGAACAGATTCCAATGTCGGAAATTTAACATGTCCAAGTGTTTACTTAAGCTTCTCCTTGAGCCTGCCGAAGAAGCCACTCAGGCGGTGCTTCTTCTTCTTGTCAACAGTAGAAGCACCTTCAGTGCTTTGGGACTGTTTGGCAGACTGCTCTGCGGGCTTTGCGGTCGAAGTAGCAGGTGTCTCCGTAGACTCAGCCCCAGTCGTTACAGTGGGACCGGGGGGGGTTTGGGGTCGAAGTAGTAGGTGTCTGAGCAGACGCAACTCCTGTCGTCACAGTGGGACCTCCGGGTTCCGCAGTCGTGGAGCCAGTGGTTTCAGGAGCCGAGGTTTCGGCAGTAGGAGTAGCCTTAGGGCCAGTTGTGACAGTAGGCCCACTGGACTCAGTGTTCTTCAGTGCCGAAGATGGGGTAGCAGCAACATTGCGGCCGGCCGGAGGGGTCGAAAGCGGCGACACATCTGCCGAGTCTACACCAGTACCAGCAGTGAGATGGGGCGCAACAGGCTGGGTGGCCGCAGTGACAGTAGGCGCCGGAGCACCGGCAGACTCTGCAACGGGGACCTTCTTGTGCAGTTCCTCCTCGATAGCATGCTTCTCATCTACCGCTTCCTGGTTCGCAGCAGCCTCCGGGTCCTTGTGGGCCTCGGACAATGAGTCCTTCACCAACTGAGGGACCTCTTCGACGGGCTTGTCGCCGTTAGTTTGCTTGTCCTTCGACTCTAGTGGCACACCAGCAGCTAGTGCTGCCGTGGTCGAGTTAGGGCCAGCAGACTGGATGTGGTATCCGGGATCGGTCATCGCTGCCTGCTGCGCTGGACCGCCGGTATAAGTCGGCTCGGTCGCACTGGTTGCGGCGCGTTGCGCGGGTCCACCGATCGGAAGGCTGGACTCAGGAATCATGTTGTTCGTGACTGGGGGGATGGCAAATGCGAAAGCGCCAGGGTCAGTGTCGGTATTCTGGGTCCCAGCGCCAAGAGGGAGAGTTTGGCCCTTCTCATATGACTCTTTATCCAAAGTGACATTCGAGTCAACAGTGTTGTTGTGAAGTGTGTTGTGATGAGGGACTTTCTCGCCCGGCTTCAGGCTGACGGGGTTGCCATAAACCCCCGGAAGCTGGGATGGGATCCACGGAAAAGGTCTGTTCGGATTCCTGTCCCGGAGTCTCTGGGAAGCTACCAGGAAGATCCCCATTGGGCTCCTTGGGAACGTTGGCAGCGAGAGCCGCGGTTGTAGAATCGGGGGTCACGCCAGACATGGGTGCGAAGTCGGACTTGATCTCTTCAGGTAGAAGCACGTTGTTGATGTTGTTATTCCCGTCGTCTTCCTCACGGACGTTGGGATCTGTAGTCCAAATACCGTCGACAACGAACTTTTTTTTTTAAACAATTTTCAGTCAGCACAAAAATAAGTCTTGAAATCTTGGAACCTTGGGGATTCCCGGGAGTTGCGACTTTATAAACGGGGGGAAAGCGGCACAGATGACGTCAGTGGAAAATCCCCTGTTGCCTAAGGCTCACCGCCAAATCTACAGAGGGGAAAAGGTCGAAAAGGTCCAAGGGCAAAGGCAAGAAGGTGCGAGAAAATAAAAAGGAATTGTAAGCCCATACCTTGTAGTGAATCTTTTGTACAGGAGATATAGTCACTTCCTTGACGAATATGTCGCCCATCCGGTCCAGTTTCACTGTCTTACCCCAATCATCGAAAGTGCCTGTAACGAACACCTCGCTCGCCTTGTGAGGCCTGCAAGTAACCGTCTCAGCATTGTCCCACGAGGAATTCAAGGGGTACCGAGATACCGAGAACTCTAGGTAGAGGGATCAAGTTGGAAGCTTGACTTACCACTGAAATGTAAAAGTACCCATATTGGTTCCGAGGGAGAATTGGAAGAGATTTGGAAAGAAGGTAGGGAAAAAGGTTCGGAGTACCGGAGTAGTGAATTTGGATTAAACCAGTGGGGGGGTGACACAGACCAGTACCTGACCCTGGAGGACTTAGCGCTATATAATTCACCTGCATCCAACTAGTACTCCGTAGATAAGAGTCCTATTGCCCATATATCAAGGGGCTGGGGCGAACCGTGGTCTATGTGATCTAGACTTTCCGTTTATGTGACGCCATGTCAGAGCTTTGGGTTATATAGTAACCTACCTAGGTAGGTTATGCACTTAATACTAGGTAGTTTATAGCTCTAGCTGAGCTATGGCACTTCGAAGGTTAGTATAATACGAGAACATTATATAATAGGAGAACATTAACTACATTATAATAATTGACTTTCCAGAGATTACCTAGGTAACTTGGAACTGAAGCTTTAAAGTTTCCAAGAAATTGTTCTGCAGATATTTTCAAGAGAAAAATTATTAAAAGGTGACATTTGCAAGGCGAGTCTATGACATATGTGACCTGGGCCACTTCTTCCCGTTGCCACTTGGGTGGCGATGCAATTCTAGAAGACACTTAGAAGGCTTAAAAGCTTCCTTTTTTTTTTTTACTTTCTTAATGCTCAATCTTATTACTATACCACATTTAAATAATTATGGGATGTCGATCACTATTGCTCCATACATCCATAGCACATAATAGAATACCACATAGTCCAACATAGTACATATAGTCCATAACTAGTACTATGTAGTGAAATTCAATGTTTGAAGCATGATCGACGAAGCTCAGACCAACTTTAGTGTGTCTCTACCCCTCATCTTTCCAATTTCAATTCTCCAGTTCAATTATTTCCAATATCTCCCCCTTTGCCTTCAACTCTCTTTTACAAGTAAAGCTGTAAAGCTTGGAAGCTTCCGGACTCAGCTTCCTTTTAGCAAAGACACAGGTAATTTCCCGGTTTCACTTGCTTTTGCTATTTTCTTTTCATTTGCAATATTCACATTTTATTTTCCGAGACATGAGAAAGAAAGAGAAAAAGAGACAAGAGACAAAAGGAAAAAAAAGAAGAGAGAGAGAGTGAGAGAGTGAGTGAGACAGAGAAGGACAGAAGAGGTCATGCAGTATCCCTACAATTAGACTCCAACCAATAATTCCCCACTGTCTGCCCCTCCGTTGCTTCCTCATTACTCTTCTTACCCTTTTCTACCTCAACTTTCTCTTTTTGCTACATTTCCTACATTTTCCTTCTCCTTTCCTCAATCTCATCTACTTAAATTCATTCCTTTCTAATACCTACAGATATCATCTCTGTTTCGCCCATCCCACATCCAGCCCACTCAGCTTCAACCCCGGAGTTGCGGCCTCTCTGGCCCTCGACCCCTCCAAACGCCATCATGGCACAGAACTCTGCTCCTGATTCGACCCCGGTCATCAACACCAGAACTGGCGACAAATCTGCCGGCACCCCCAAAATCTCCGAGGACGACGAGTTCGAGGTGACGTCACCAACCAACCTGACATTCCGACAGTCTAACTCGGGTGCTGTGCCCCCGGAACTGCTCTGTTCGGAGGTAGTGCATCCACCGAAGGAGGATCACAAACGGGAGGATCGTTATTCAGCCGGAGTCCCTTCCAGGATCCCGAGGGGAGGAGGACGAGCAGGAGGGGAGCTGGCCCCCCTTCCCGGGACGATCCGCAGAGCAAGGGTTCCCTACCAACTACGCGCTTGGTCGTCGGACATCTGTCTCAGCGGAATCTTTAAATCCCACTGAAGCTGGTTCAGATAGCTGGTCGCCTCCTCACCACCCAAAGACCGAAGAGCAGGTCTCCCGGCTTAAGAGCGCCGTCAGTAGCAACTTCCTCTTCTCCCATCTCGACGATGATCAATCCTTGACTGTTCTCAACGCTCTCGTTGAGAAGCCCATTCCTGCGAAGGATATCAAGGTTATCTCCCAAGGTGATGCCGGCGATTACTTCTACATTGTGGAAAAAGGAAACTTTGACGTCTATATCCACCCCTCTGGCGCCGTGCAGCCTGGCCCTGATGGCTTGGGCAACAAGGTCGCCAGCATTGGACCCGGAGGATCTTTCGGCGAGTTAGCTCTGATGTACAATGCCCCGCGTGCTGCGACAGTTATCTCCACCGAGCCGAAGAGCACCTTGTGGGCCCTTGACCGCATCACCTTCCGCCGCATCCTAATGGACTCGGCATTCCAACGCCGTCGTATGTACGAGGCTTTCCTGGAGGAAGTCCCGCTGCTTTCTTCTCTAAAGCCATATGAGCGCTCGAAGATCGCGGATGCTCTGGACACCATCAAGTACACGGCTAATTCCACCATCATCCACGAAGGCGATCCCGGAGATGCTTTCTATCTTTTGGAGTCGGGTGAAGCCGAGGCTACCAAGAACGGCGTCTCAGGACCCGTCAAGAACTATCGCCGAGGTGATTACTTCGGCGAGCTTGCATTGCTAGACGACAAGCCACGTCAGGCTAGCATTACCACCAAGACGGATGTGAAGGTGGCGCGGTTGGGCCGGGACGGATTTAAGCGGCTTCTCGGTCCTGTGGAGGGAATGATGAGAGGGGCCGAGTACGAACTGGATTCGAAGAGGTCTCCTGTTTCCAAGGCAGCATGATATGATTACAATGAAATTGAATCTTGGGGATTTTGAGTCAGGAAATTAGACTCCTCGTTGGCGAGATCCAACCAATTGTCATCTGTCATTTTGTCGAGTTTCAAAACTCATCTGCTATCCCAATAACTGATGATCTACTTTTTCCCCCATGTTCATTATTTGTCTCCCATCTCCTCGTTCCCCAGCAAACTTTCCACTCTTTACGACTATTTGACTTGTATCTACAACTTCTTGTCTCTTCTATGCGTGCCATCTGTGACAGGGACCTACTGTCGTCCTTGTTCATATTTTCTTTTGCTACTGTGTTATCCAACTCGATTGGACCCTTCAATACTTAGGTATGATCCAGCAGAATGATTAGAATTTGTGCTTGATAAATTCCCAAATGCATGTGTATATAACCCAAACGCCCAGCCCTGGAGGGCATTCCCAGTCGAAATCGCGTGGGAGCCTGCCCACTACGATTATGCTATGTTCCATATGTCTATGTAAAATACTGCCCCTCGCCAACCTTGGAACTCCCCAAATGCAATCAACACCAGTATATCACCTCGGAACAACCAAATCACTCCTCAATACCCACTTCTCCCCTCCAGTAACTTCGGCCCCCTCATGTATCATACATTGATCTCCATGTCGGTGCAACAGTGCCATCCCAACCTCCGGCGCAACAGCTATCGGCTCGGGATCACGGTTCGCGCGCGTCGGCTCCGGGTAGAAGATAGTTTCGCCGCCTGTGCAGGACGTCAGATAGACCAGCAGAGTCCAAGTTGTGCGAGCGGGTGTTGCTTTTGAGCGCGAGTTCGGTGGGGGAAGGGTAATGTTGTTGGCCTCGTCGTCTGTAGGTTAACGGGTGTTAGTGCTAGTTCTAGCTTGGATGTATGTGTAGCTCCTATGCATAGGAACTGTTATAATCCAAATCAGCCCAGGACCAAGAGCTTACAATGTTGTCCAAAAAAACTGTCCAGCAGAGTATCGATAAATGCGAATATTAGGATTCAACCCCAACGGCTCCCCGCCCCAGAGTTGACGTGCCCGTGCAGCAAGGGCAGACGAGCTAGTACTCTCATCTTCTTCTGCGTGGTCGTACCCATACTCGTCTTCTTCGAAGCGCGTCGTGACAAGCTCCTTCAGCGCTGTTGTGCTCCATAGCATCTCCGCGAACCGTGCATCGTCGATCTGGAATCGGTCGTTGACGCGTAATGCCTCGTCTTTCTTTGGGATTCCCGGTGTTGTTGTTAGTGGTAGCGAGGCGAGGAATGAGGCGTAGGTTTTGCAGAGGGTGCCTGAGAGGAAGTTGCGGATTAGGTAGATTTGGTCGGGGAGGAGGGGGGTCAGGGTTAGATCGGCGGCGGGGGAGGGGGGCGGAGGGGAGGCCAGTTTGGGGTTGTGGTCTTTGGTTGAGGTTTTGGATCGGGCTTTTTGAATTTCGGGGCCATTTTGGGTTTTGGTAGGTGAAGGTACAAGGTGTAAGTAGAGGTGAAGGTAGAGTAGAAAGGGTTGAGGTTTATCGCGATAAAGATGATCCTTACAGGTATAGACAATATTGGAAGGCTACATATGTAATCTTCTACATATATACAACAATGTGTAATATGTGTACATATATACTCCGCTTCCCCAGAATATGTAGTATCATACACCCCTTGCATATACACTTGATATGAATTGAATTTGCCCAAAGTACATATGTACCTGTAAATAATTACTATGGTTTCCCCTCACCTCATTAAACCTTGGAATATCAAAGAGGTCCAAGGCCATAGACGATAGACCGAGAAAATATGAGATAATAGAACAAGAGCAATCATACTCCTTTGCAACCAACTCCAACATATACATATGTAGATCTAGGCTCTTTAAAACAAGATCGGTGAGGAACTGCAGTCTACTCCGTACCAAATAGGTGGATCAAGTCGGAGAGAATATGGATTTGGGCGGGGCGGGAAAGAAAATTTGTCCCGGAAGAGGATCATCGGCGCTTTTCCAACCAACCTTTCCAGATTCATATTTGCTGAATCCCTCAAGTCAAACCGATATTTTGAGAACCGAAGAAAAAGACCAACGAAAAGGAAAAAAAGAGAGAGAAAAAAAAAAAGAACATGGCTCAGCGGTGACTACGGCCATCTGCAGCGACCAAATCGGCCACCGCTCACCGCCCGGTCTGAAGTTGAGAACTTCCCTTCTTATTGGAACTTCATTCCTCTCCCTTCCCCAGCACCAGCCTGTCATGTCGTCGCAGACTATGACTGCGCCAGCCGTGGGCCATCGACCGCCTGACCCAGGCCCCGATAGCCCCATATACGACTATGGCGGCTCACCAGACACTGCACCCCCTAGCAATCCTCGAGAGGACTCCGCAATCCGCGCCATGCAGAATAATTCTGCCCCGTCAACTCCCAACGGGATGTCCGCCCCGGACGTCGCAATCAAAACTGAATACTCGGACAGTCACGACTTTTCAACTGCGCAACATCAACAAGATGCAAATACCCAAAATGCCGCAAGTGCGCTCCTAGCACAACTTCTTGGAAATCAGCCAGCCGCAAACTCCACCCCTACCACGATACAACCTGCACAACAGGACGAGGATCAGGATATCCGCATGGATATCAAGATGGACGACTCGATTTCCCCGTCATACAACATGCCAGCTCAAACCCACGCGCCCATCGACCCGAGCTTACACCGAGACACAGGCTCAACATCTCGCGAGATCCAGGATTTGCTAAGTGGGAAAGCTTTAGGTGATGGGCACATGGGGACAAACCCTGCACACCAGGGTACGAACCATACGGGATTTAACTCATCTGATGCTGTGGGAAGCTTGTCCGACCCCATGAACCCGAAATTGGACGCTGAGCAGCCCTCCCTCCTTCCGCCCTTGGATTTTTCCGCCGCCCCGAAAAATGCCTTTGAAGCTCTTCACCAAAACGAACTGCTCACAGCCGCCTTCCTTTCGCAAAACGCCGATCTGTCAGCCCTGGGATATCAAGATGTGGCGGCCTCAATTGCTGGATCGGAACCTAAGATCCAAGCATTTGCCAAGTTGGAGTTTGATGATGGGCATTTTTACGTCAATACCTACTCATTCATCCTAGGGCGAGACGTGCGCGCCGCACGCGCCGCCCATCACCGAGAGTTCCAGTACCGGCAGGCCGTGCGAAGCACTCGGGCGAAGAGTTCAAGTGGAGGAAATACATCCCACACCCCGAACCGTATGAAGCGGGAGGAAAGCGCTGCCATGATGGGTAGTGTTGTCAGTGATCGGGGAGGTATTATGGGGTTTGATCCAGATATACCCCCGCATCTTCCGAACAATATGAACGTGAGCCGACGATCATCAAAATCATCCTTTGACGAGGCTGTCGTACCATTGCATGCAAACCCGGCTCAACTACAATCGACAACCGACTACAATGCGCTTGCCATGCAATCTTTGCAAGATGGAAACGGAGATGCAAAGCCGGTTGATGCGCTAGCTTTGCTCCCATCCCCTGATTCTTGCCCACCATTCCCATTCACCCCCCAACGACCGTTGACGGCAGTGCCGCAGGCCATCGAGGGATTTCTCGGAGACATGTCCGGATCTCATACAACTTTGACCGTAACTTGTTTGAAATGGAGGTAATGGGACGTAATGGAGCGTTCATTGGGGCTGATTGGCTATCGCCCGGACAAGTTCGTCCGTTACATAGCGGCGACTACATCCAAATTGGAGGTGTGCGTATCCGGTTTTTGCTGCCAGACGTCCCCATTGGCGAAACTGGAGCCGACCGCATGGAAGAAAAATTGGCAGAGAATGGCGAAGAGGAGGAAGAGAAAGATGCCCGTGCTTCGATCGAAGTGGATGACGACGTTGATGAATCTGAGAGACTCGGAAGTGAGAGCGGCGAGAGCAGGGAACCTTCCAAGAAGATCATCCTCAAGACAAAGGATTCTAAATCGGCTCAAGCAATGGATTCTATCGAGAATGGGGATAACGATTCGCAGCCGGCCCGCCGCCGGGGACCAGGACGTCCTCCCAAAGATGGGATCATGTCTAAGCGCGAGCGAGCTGAGCTTGCCCGGGAGCAGAAAATTGCAGCTAAGCGCGAAGCCAACGGAGGTATCACGCCACCCCCACTCAAAGTGCCCAAGGCCGGAAAGACAGTTGCCAAAGAATCTGTCGTTCCCGAGTCGCCAACAAACAAACCGTCCGAGAAGCGGAAGTACACCAAGAGAAAGAAGCCGGATGGTACACCAATGGATTCTCCCCTTCCCTCAACGGAAGGCGGCCAAATGTCTGCAGAGCCTCCACAAGAATATGTCAAACCCCCACCGGTCAAAAAACGCAAACCATCACGATCACCATCCCCCAATTATCCTCCGGAGTCTGCTTACAATGCCGAGGATTTGGCGAAGCCACCGTACAACTACGCCGTTCTCATCTTTGATGCTCTGACGGAAGCCGGAACGCCAATGACGTTGAAGCAGATCTATCGTGCGCTGAAACTGAAATATCCGTACTTCCGCTTCAAGTGTGAGACTGAGGGCTGGACATCCAGTGTACGGCACAACCTGAACGGCAATGGGCATTTGTTCATGCACGCAGAGCGAGATGGCAAGGGTTGGTCATGGCAACTTATTCCCGGCGCGTCGGTTGAGAAGGAAAAGAAGCGACGCCCTTCGCCGCCGCCGCAGGTGTCCCACCCTCCTGCACCTGCTCCCCAGCAGTACATGCCTCAGATGTCCCATTCTTATGCACCACCTCAGGGCCCACCACAGGTGCCAAATCCGCCACAGCATTTCCAATTCCCTTCTATACCGCCTGCTCCTTTCCCGGCATCTGTTAACGTGGGAGGACCTCCACGAGCCAGTCCCTACCCACCTCAATCGAAGGCCCCTGCACCTACACCCGCCGCTCCTCCTGCTCCACGGGTTCAAGCTCCTGCTCCGCCCCCGCCACAGGCTGCGACACCGGCACCGGCAGCGGCACCTCCGCCGGTGCCTACACCTGCCCCTGTCTCTGCTCCTACCCCGTCTCCAGCGCCAACACCTACTCCGGCTGCTATGCCCGCGTCTGCACCCGCACCCGCACCCGCGTCAGTACCGGCGGCACCGGTGTCGACACCGGCACCAGCACCAGTTCCAACACCAGTGCCACCTATAAACCCAGCTGCATCATTCCCCATCCCCAGTCAACTCCGCAACAACCTCCCAGCTGCATTCGCGGCGACAATCCCTTCAACCTACACTTCGCCCTACGCATCTGCCCCTGCTCCGACAGGCGGCCAGCAGCAACAGTTGCAGACCCCACGACCCCCTCACGGACCCCCCTCAGCATCATTCCCTTACTCCCAACAAAAGCCGCCATCCTCTCAACCTCCTCACAACAACCCGCAGCCTCGGGCCTACCCTCCATCTGGTGGAACACAATTCCAACACCAGCCTCAGCATCCGCGTCCACATCAGCCACCAGTCCAACCCCAGTCGCAGCCGCTGTCGCATCCTCCTCAGCAGCAACATCCGCTACCTCACCACCAGCATCAGCCGCAGCATCAACATCAACACCCACACCAACATCAGCACCAGCAGCATCCGCCTCCAGGCCTCCCGGCCCATTCTCACCATCAACAACAGCAACACCCTGTTCAGCAGAACCCTGCACCAGGGCCACCAGAGTCATCCTCGTTCATTGATAGAGCGAACAAGGCAATCGATGACTTTGAAGCTGTTCTCATGGAAGACTACGAGGACAAGAACTACATCCGGGAAGTCCTGCGGAGTGCGCGCGCACGGGTGTTGGGCGATGCGCCAGAAAGCTCCTTCCCAGGCGGCGAGCCAAAGGACGAAGCCGTCATCATGGACGTGCTACGCAATTTGGTCGGAAGTCTGAAAGAAGAGTGAATGGCTTCAATGTTCCTGGAGATTTTACATCTACTGGTGGAGGGAATGGTTTTCCCCCCTGACGACTTATCGAGTATACGAGTCTTACGGTTTTGCTTTCTTCTCTTTTCTCTCTTTTCTTCTTTTCCCCATTCAATTTATCCTTTTTCAAATTGTTGTTTGCGACATGTCTGGATTCTTTGAATCTTAATGATATCCCTCTGTTTTTGCTGACAGGCGTTTTCTTGCGTCTTGTCTTTTTTTTTTTTGTCGCGCTTAAAATCTTCTCTTCCCTGTTCTCCTTTTTCTCGGCTCTTCACAGCCCACTGTTTCGGAGGTGCAGAGGGACTTCCATCTTCTGGAATGATCCCGTCTTGCTTTTGTTCTTTTTGTTTTCATCCTGGCGTGACCCGTCGGATATAAAAGCGTAAAAGCTCATGATAGAAATACCATTCACCTTGATCGGACTAGATACATGTATATATACTCCTTCAGCACATGGATAGATAGATATTGTATTATTTATCAATAGCGTTGCTGTTTACCAAGCAACGGCTTACACAGCTGCTATATTGTTCCTGGCGGCATTGGCTGTACCTCCGTACTAGCAAGGCAATCTAGGATACGATGTTCGAAGTTATTCTCTTGGACGGGGTGAATTTCATTTGTGGTTTCAATCTCGCACTTGAACTCGTAGGGATATGGACTTCATTTTGTATGGAAGCAGGCAGGGATGAGGAATGTGTGACCGTAAACATAAGTGATCTGGCAGGTGAGTACCTCCCTATATCCAGCCTTAGGTCCTAACAATTGATCCGAAATACTACCTAGGTATAGTAAAATACATTAAAAAGCCAATAGGGGGAACAATATTAGGCAATATCTTAAGAATAAGAACAGTGAAGTAAGAAAGTAACATGAAATATTGTATGCAAACAGGAAGCAATAGGATCATAGGAAACGGGGCATATTCATTCGTTCGAATAACTCATGACCGTTTTGGTTCTTTTTGTTTTCTCCGAGTTCCCCTTTTCTTTCTAGTCTGAGCGAGTTCACTCACTTTTATGTGCCTTAGGAGCAAAGTCCAGCGAAAGTCACAATCGTAGCAACTCAGAGCGAAGATCGAGGGGACATGTGCAATTAAGACCCCGGCACAGTGTGACCAGCAACAACCGTGCTTGTGGAAAAAAACGATCCCGACGGAAGACACATCTTGAAGCCTAGCGAACTCAAGACAACGTCATGTCAACCGGCAGAAGAAAGAAGCCAATCTAGTACTAGTACAAGGGATTCTTGACATCCTGGACTCCGCGTCGGATGACATCCTCGACGCGCCAACGGGGAGGAGAAATATTGTCCGAGCGCCTGCGGTGCCATTCCTTTTCCAGCTCTGGTGGAGGAGCCGGCTGTTCGGCAGCAGGCAGTGCACCACCCGCGATACCAGTAGAGAATTTCAACTGGAGGACATTGCCAATTTCATCGCAAGCGGTCAGCACACGGTCAAGATCCTCCTTGGTGTGGGCAGCAGAGACACAGAAACGAGCACGGGACGAGACCAGCGGAGTGGCCGGGTAACCAACAACAACGACGGAGATCTTTCGCCGGAGCATCTCGTGAGAGAATGCAGGCATCTTAGCAGGGTTAAAGAGAAGGACTGGAACGATTGGTGAATCGTCGTGGCCATACACTATAAAGCCAAGACGCTTCAATCCGAGACGGAGATACCGCGAGTTAAAAGCCAATCGCTGCAATCGCTCCTCGCCCTGACCGGGAACGAGCTCACCGTTGATGATCCGCAGAGCAGAAGAGATCTGGGCAAGAACTGCAGGCGCAGGAGACTCTCCGTAGTAGACACCGGGGTTGGTGGCACGAAGTGCGTCGATCATCACCTTGTCTGCCGCAATGTAGCCACCGTTGGCACCGAATGACTTGGTCAGTGTGCCCATCAGGATATCCACCTCGGAAGTATCGATACTGAAGTAGTCACAAACACCACGTCCCTTGGGACCAATGGCTCCGATGGAGTGGGCCTCATCAACGAACAGGTTGAACTTGTACCGGCGCTTCAATTGCACAAGGCCAGGAAGGTTACACATGGAACCTTCCATGGAGTAGAGTCCCTCGACCACGACTAGAATCTTCTTCCAGGGACGGTGAGTACGGGGTTGTCCCTGGGAGATAGCCTCTCGAAGTTTCAATTCCAGGTCCTTCATGTCATTGTGCTTGAACATAGCAATGGAGGCCCCGGAGAGACGCGCACCGAAACGGATCGACGCGTGGTTCAGTTCGTCGGAGATGAGAAGACATCCCTTCGAGACCAAGGCGGGGAAGATGGTTGCGTTGGTGCCGAAGCCCATGGAGAAAATCATCGACGATTCTTTGCCCACAAACCTGGCAACCAGATCCTCTACTTCCACGTGCAAATCCTGTGTGCCGGACTCTGCGCGCGTGCTGGGTGCTGCAATGCCATACTTCTTGATGGAGTCTTCCGCAATATCCGCACAAGGGCCATCCGACTGAGCGAAACCCAGGTAGTTGTACGAGCTCAGATTGAGGGTGTCGGTAGTGGTACCTGTCAGGTAGAAGTGCTGGTTGTGGTCATCCGTGGCCCGATCGATAAGAGTAATGGTGCGGCCGGGAACGCCAGTCACGGGGCGCTCGAAGCAGTCGTTGATGCGCAATTTCAAACGACGCACATAGAAGTTGTCGAAATCGCTGTTGAGAGCACCATAGCCATTGCGAGGCTTGAGATGGCGGTAGTGTTCCTCGCGGAATCGCTTGCCAAAGAAATCACGGACATGTCCGAAAGCGATTAGGATTAAGTAACTGATATAGGTGGTGAGCAGGTAATAATACGGCGGCTCGTCCATCACCGGCTCGGGGAAGACACCACCAGGGTGTCGACTGGAGTATCGGTGGCTGGGATGACCGATCGGACCAAACTGGGCATGTTGCTTGGCCAGCCGACGAGCCTCCTCAGGGGACGGAGGCTGGAAGAGTGTGGTAGGCAGCTCGTCCATATTGGGATTATCCGCAGTGGCTGTTGAAAGAGAGATTGTCGGTAGGGACAGTGAGGCCAGGCTTATCGGCGGAGAAGAATTGCTAGGTTGCGGATGCCCACTCTGTACAGTTTCCGTCTTTGACTTTGGCGAGGCCGAGAATAACTGAGAAAGGCGATTGGACTTGACCGTGGGGGCCTTGATGGAGATACCGCCCTTTCCCGAAGAAGGTGAAAAGGACGGCGGGTTGGTAGAGGTGTCGTTGGAAGAGTTACTGCTAAATCGACGAGGCATCGCAGGAGGAAACAGCGTAAAGTTTCCGGCACGGGTCTTATTTTTGTGCACGTCAAGATCGAGGGGCGCTTTGGGTTGGCGTCCGGATTGACGAATTTAAGGCAGGGGCTACCGGAAGGGTAGATAATTGACGTGTTCGAGTAGGCTGTGCTTCTTGGGGGACTTCGGTCTTGGTCGATAACCTCAATGTGTTCAATCTGGAAACCGCAGCCAATTAGTTGATGGTTCTAGACCAGGCATCCACGCGACACCCCTGAGCCACGCTCCGTTCCCAAATAAACCATACCCAGGAACTTTCCAGGTCATAAGTTCCACAGGATCGAGACGTACCACAAGGTTGATTCAAGGTAGGTAGAAGCCGAATACTCCGAAAGGGCTTAAAAATTGCGGGCACGTGGAAGGCAAGAGACACGAAGGGGCAAAGAGCCCTACGTTCAGATGACGAAGTGACCAATGTTGCCCTACAAAGATGATGAAGCACCAAAACGAGTATATGGAAGAAACAAGAAGGAGAGTCTGAGAAGATAAATAAGAGAGCGTGTGTTTCCCTAAGCCCATCGACCCATGCGACCTCCTGGTATTAATTAAAAACAGATGCAGTACGGTGATAATACAGTGATAAATAGGTATGATTGGTTTATCTTTCCTGGAAAGGAGGTAATATTACCACATCAATACTAAAGGTTTTTTTTTTCCCGCACTAAAATTTCGGGCCCGAAAAGGCCCAAAGGCCAGAAGATAAGAGGAGAAGTCGTATTCGTATGTATTCCAATGCACATCGGATTTATGAATTGTATAATCTGATGCATCATGATGTATACCTAGGTATACTCCGTACAACATACTGGGGAACAAAAGATGAGAAAAAAGGGGCATTTCATCCTCCGGTATATCCGACTCAAAACCGTTTGGACCAAATAGACATATTGTAGTCACATCATGTCGACTTCTTCAAGGTCTGTGACACCTACATCACGAGATGTGACGTTGAAGTATCTACGGAGTAGCCTAGGAAGGCTTTATGAAAACGGCAAGATGCCTGAGGCAGCAAATGTCACTTTCTAATGTGACATCTGGAGTAATTGGAATATACAATATACGCATACCAGAGGAGCTTTCAATTCGTTAAAATTCACATTCACGTCCAGGACTTTTTATATGAGAAATTCCTGTAGCCGCGGAGATCGGCAACTTAATACCCGATCATTCCCGCTCCCGCCTGGGGTATTTGCACTGAACTTCCAATGACTTCCAAGATTCTTGCCTTGTTCAAGCTTTGACCCCTGTGAACATCTGAAGCCCTATCAGATTCTTCAAATCTGTTGGGAATATTGAAGTCTATTGCCACATTATTGGGGTTCTACCAAGTGTGACAATTATATTGAATCTTTCAATCTCAACCTAACAACAGTCTACAGGCTACATACATACTCCACCACTCCCTCAATTTCCCCTGCCTTACTCTGTGACTGTTTCTACAAACACCATTAGGTATGCCTCATATCGACGTAAACGTCGTGCCAGAGGCCAAGAAGCTCTGGCGGCCCTCTTCTCCTGAGACAACCCAGATCTATGATTTCATGATTAAAGTGAACAAGAAGTACGGCTTGTCACTGAATGACTACGACACACTCTGGAAATGGAGTGTCTCTGAACCAGCCCAGTTCTGGGAGGAAATCTGGCACTATACAAAGATCAACGCCCACAATCCATACCAACACGTGAGTAATTTCCATTTCGAGCCTGGATCCACCATCCTGGACATGAGATATCCGATCCTAATCCGATCTACATAGGTCCTTGATTCAAAGGATGTACTATTTCCTAGACCTTCATTCTTCCAAGGGAGCACTTTGAACTTCGCCGAGAATCTGTTGTATCCCGCCACCTCGCCGGATGAAGATTCCGTAGCAGTGATTGGCGCCACTGAAGCAGCCCGCGAATTCGTCTCGTGGAAGGAGCTACGGGAGCGAGTTCGACTGTGCGCAAATGCTCTGAAAGAAGCAGGTCTGAAGACCGGCGATCGGGTCGCTGGCTTCGTGGGCAATCATGCTAATACCGTCGTGGCAATGTTGGCCGCTGCTTCAATCGGGGCCTTTTGGACTGGCGTGTCACCTGACACTGGTGTGCATGCCGTTTTGGAGCGCTTGAAGCAGATCCAACCTAAGATCCTCTTTGCGGACAATGGATCCTTCTACAATGGCAAGGTGCATAGCTCACATGCCAAAGTACGGGAGATTGTCTCTGAATTGCCGGACCTTGAGCTTTTGGTGCTTCTTATTACTACCCCGGAACTTGAACTTAACCTAGATGACCTTCGACCTGCAAATGGAAAAGCAAAAGTTTATGGTGATTTCGTGTCCGAGGTCAAGAACTCTCAGGCGCCATTAGAGTTTGCAAGCTTGAGACCAGATCATCCCGTCTATATCCTGTACTCGTCCGGTACAACAGGGGCTCCCAAACCTATCGTCCATGGGTCTCTGGGCACATTGTTGCAACACAAGAAAGAACATCTTCTTCACTGCGACATTCGACCAGGTGATCGCTTGTTCTACTTCACAACGACAACCTGGATGATGTGGCACTGGCTGGTGTCGGGCTTGGCCAGCGGAGCAACAATCGTCCTGTACGATGGCTCACCCTTCCGACCCTTTGATGCTGAAGGCGGGAAGGGAGAAATGGCCATGCCGCGGCTGATCGAAGAGCTTCAAATTACCCATTTCGGTACATCAGCCAAATATCTCTCTCTCCTCGAACAAGCCGCTTTGAACCCGCGCAAGCATGCCCATAGACCAGTGTCGTTGAAGACCCTAAGGGCCATCTTCAGTACTGGATCCCCGTTGGCACCATCAACATTCGAATACGTTTATTCCTCTTTCCACCACGACATCATGCTTGGTTCCATCACCGGTGGCACAGATATCCTCTCTCTGTTCGCTTCCGGCTGCCCCATTCTCCCAGTTTACAAAGGAGAAATCCAATGTCGCTCGTTGGGGATGGACATCTCAGTGTTTGACTATTCTGGCAAGGACATTAGTGCAACAGGTGAACCCGGTGATCTTGTCTGCGTCACACCCTTCCCCGCCCAACCAGTCATGTTCTGGCCCCCGGGACCAACAGGCTTGGAGAAGTATCGGAAAAGTTACTTCGATGTGTTTGGGTCCTCAGTCTGGCACCATGGAGACTACGTGCGCTTGAACCCACAAACCGGAGGTGTGGTCATGCTAGGCCGCAGCGACGGCGTCCTGAAGCCATCCGGAGTGCGATTTGGAAGTGCCGAGATATACAATATTCTACTTAAGCATTTCGCCGAAGATGTGGAAGACTCCCTTTGCATTGGTCGGAGGCGAGATGGCGTTGACACCGATGAGACGGTCGTTCTGTTTGTCCGACTTGCTTCTGGCAACGAGTCCGGTATGCCGGCGGATCTCGCGGCACGCATTCAGTCCACTATTCGGAAGGAGCTTAGCCCCCGCCATGTGCCTGGAATTATCGATGCATGTCCCGAGATTCCGGTGACTTCAAATGGCAAGAAGGTCGAAAATGCTGTGAAGCAGATTTTGTGCGGGCTTAACATCAAGATTGGTGCGAGTGTTGCGAATGCTTCATGTCTTGATTGGTATAGAAACTGGGCTTCGGAAAACCCCTAGTTATTGAATTCTTTATTACATAGAAAAATTGATGATTCATTGTTATTTGCTACATATTAATGTCATCAAAATTCCACATCCACATGTCCATGAGTATGTATTCGAGCCCTATAAGGTCTTGGCCGTGACGGCAGTTGAGCTAACTGACAGAAATCAGGTGTAAAGTGAGCGTACTGTACCAATCACAATGTGTAAATTCTCTAACTAAAATGAACACTTATAGAGCGCATCAGAATATCACTTACAGCAATCTTGATATTATTAAGTGCTAAAATGATCTCTGAACTTCGAACTTCCCCATGCTTTGTCTCCTTCGCTCGCTGTCAGGATGTATGTTGTTTCTTTCACTCTGCACTGCCCGGCTAATGTGCCTCTAATTCCACTACTGATTATAACTGGGACAGCATTCTACATACACACAGGGGCAGGTTATTTCCTAATCTTGCCTCATAACATTGTTCTTTCTTTTCTTCCTCCTTTTCCGACTTCCACCCTCCCCCTATTGCTTTCGAGCGGCCATTGCTGGCTTCTGCCCTATGACAAGATGGAAATATGAATAAAGCCGCCGATCCTTTTGCTGTAATTCCTCCTGCACCCGATTAATCAGGGCATCAGTGTCTTCCTTTGACCAGCCCAATGTCTTGGTGAATAGACGTAGCGTGTATCCCTCCAGCGCGCACTGCATCTGGTACACATAGAAACTCCCAATGCTTTTCAGATTTGGGTCGTCACTCCACTTGCCAAAGGGAACCTAGTGGCAGGCACTCAAAAGTCAGCTGCTTAGGCTACAATACACACGGATTATCTTTGAATTGTTGTTCCATTTTAGGCTCACCTACTCTGAGTACCTGTTCGTCGACTTGCACAAAGCCAGCTGAGTGCATCAGCTCCTTCTGCTCGGCTGCCACGTTGATTTGCTTGTCAAACTTAGCCGCTGCCTCGTGTATCAGCGCCTCCCACTCCCTTAGTGCCACTAGCCGGGCTTCATCCTGAGCGTTATCAGTAAAGAAGCGCAGGCCATTCTCCCACACCTCTAACCACCCCCCGGGGAGAAGATGCCGGAACGCGTTAGCGTAGAACCTATTATAGTCGGTAATAACCCCGCCTAGCGACTGCGCATGGATCAAATGAAATGCCTGTTTTGTAGTAAACGGCCAATCGCCCTCAAGCTCGTGGTGTTCGAAATACGGGAGATCTGGAGACATATCAGTCGGGTCCACGCCCGTTAAGCGCGGGGCAGTATGATGCCGGTCTAGCGCCATGATCGTCCAGGAGCCGCTACGGGTAGCGAACTCGAGGAACTTATGGTTTTTCTTGACCGGGTCTAGGGGGGGCAATAAAGGTTCTGCCGTCTAGAAGATGATGCCAGGTTGTGCTGATCATCGCGTGTGCTGTGGTAGCGTTTTCGTCGTCTGGAAAGGGGAATTCGGCCTTGAAGTCATAATAGCGGCAAGTGGCAGAGCTCTTGCAAGGGTGTCATGTCTCCAACAAAAGCAGTGTAGTCCCCAAATTTTCGTATGTGTGGTTATTGCGTGCAGTCAGCCAATTCGATTCCAGTTTTCCTTTTCGGGAAATCGGGAATCTAGCCCTCAACTCGGGTATATATAATCGGGGTTGCTACCCGTAGCCCGTGGACGACTTCGGGTACTAACTTGCAGGGATCGTGACTTGGAAGTTCTAAAACCGATTAAGTCCGAAGTGGGATGCATCCTATAACTCCGTTAAGACCTTAAGACCTATTCTTTGTTTGTGATATTTGATATCAGGTATCAGTTGACCACCCATTGCCTTCCCATCAACATCGACAAATACATTACAACATTTTTCATCCCTTCAAATACAAACATTCCCACAATGGCCGCCGTCACTAAGCCCTTGGTTCTGATCACCGGTGCAAACCAGGGCCTGGGATTGGCGACAGCACAACAGCTTGCCAGCACTGGCCAATATAATCTTCTTGTTGCCGCCCGCTCTCAGGAAAAAGCCGAAGGTGCAGTCAAGCAACTACGAGGGTCTGGCACTGGGTCTTTGACGCCTATTGTTATCGATCTTGACCAAGACGAATCCATCACTGCCGCAGCGAAGTTCGTTGAAGAGCGATTCGGATCGCTGGATATCCTCATCAACAACGCTGGCATCAACAGATCGTCTGACCCAAATGCTACTCTACGCGAGAGCTACCGAGCTGTGTTTGAAACAAATGTTTTCGGCGTGGCAGTGATGACAGCAGCTTTCCTACCACTCCTGCGCGCATCGAAGTACCATGACCGACGTATTGTCAACGTGACGAGCGGCCTTGGTCAAATTGGCATCGCGTACTCGCCAACTTCAGAGTACAGTGCTAAGATGTGGGAGCTGCCCATCTACCGCAGTAGCAAGTCTGCGATCAATATGATTAGTGCTGTTGATGCTGTCAGTCTCGAGAAGGAGAACATTCTCGCTGTTCTAGCTGCCCCAGGCTTCTGTCGCACCAACTTTGGAGGTGGTCAGGGCGTCAAATCGGCAGAGGAGGGGGCTCGACCTATTGTGCGGGCTGCTACAGAGGGTTCGCCAAAAGAACTATTTGGAAAGCTTGTGGACGACGAGAACACGCTGGTCGAGTTCGGCTGGTAGATTACATTGTCATGGGGACTGTGAGCGATGAGACTGCGGCATCAAGCTACTCAACAAGACCGAAACAAAGAGTAGAAAGTGCTGCCTTTGGGACGGGATTGGGACCAAATATCGACAGCGAGAGGCCGACGCAAAGCTCGCCTGGCGCGGTAGATGCGCACAGGAGCCATTTTGGTCGCTTCTATGGACCCATCTCGCAGCATCATTAAATATATGGACAGAGAAATATTCAGTTTGCGGCGGTAACGCGGGCACCGAGGAAACTCCCTTTCTGGAATCTGAAATCCTCATTCAAACTGTTGGTATCCCAGAATAGTGTTCAATTAGTTTTGGGCGCGGATTCATTCATCCCTTTAAGACTGCGAGACTCTTCGCCGTTTGTTTGTTCCATGATCTGGAGTTGGATTAACTTGGAGTGGGATAAGGTCGGGTCTGCAACTCCGAAGTCCTGTAAGATTCTATATCCACATGTCCATGAATGAGCATGGATGTATTCGAGCCCTGCAGGGTCTTGGGCCTGGGGTAAGCGGACTACCTGAGACACCTGGGCAGCCCTGCTGCGTCTAGACACGAATGATGACAAAAATAAATGAAACACGGCCTCTTCTTAGAAACATTTATAATTTGATCGTAAAAGGTTTATCCACTTCAAACTGATATGTCAAAGAAGAACATCTGGCCATCATTCGACGGATTAGCTAAGCATTTCGGATCGAGGCTCCATTACGATTCTTCGCCGACAATCCGTCCGAGCTACATCACCTCTTCCGGATATATTCGGTGCACCAAGAAATCCCGAATTGACCAGGCTGTCGGATTTGTACAGAAATAACCATCATGCGCCGCACAGCATTGCGGGCCATTGAGGCCGCGAAGCCATTGACACGAGCTCCTCGCGCCGTGTCAAGAAGCCTCTCTACCATCAATGACTCGGCCAAGGTAAGAAAGGCTTGTTAGCTACTGCAAAATAGCATTATTGTTAACTGACAAATTGTTCGTTTATCCACAGGATCCCGCCGAGCTAGAACAAATCACCACACTTCCAAATGGAGTTCGCGTCGCCACGGAATCATTACCGGGTCCCTTCGCTGGTGTCGGAGTCTACGTCGATGCCGGATCTCGTTACGAAGACGAGAGCCTACGCGGAGTCAGCCACATTATGGACCGTTTAGCGTTCAAGTCAACCAAGGCGCGCACCGGAGATGAAATGCTCGAGATTCTTGAGTCCCTAGGCGGGAACATCCAGTGTGCCTCATCTCGGGAATCGTTGATGTACCAGTCTGCCAGTTTCAACTCCGCAGTCCCTACCACGCTCGGTTTACTTGCGGAGACCATCCGCGATCCCCTCATCACCGAAGAGGAAGTTATCCAGCAGCTCGCAACAGCGGAGTACGAAATCGGCGAGATTTGGGCGAAACCGGAACTCATCCTTCCGGAATTGGTTCACATGACTGCCTATGCCAACAACACTCTTGGAAACCCGCTATTGTGTCCGGAAGAACGGTTAGGCGAAATCAACAAGGCAGTTGTGGAGCGGTATAGGGAGCTCTTCTTCAACCCGGATCGCATGGTGGTTGCGTTTGCCGGAGTGCCACACGGGGAGGCTGTTAAGCTCACGGAGCAGTACTTTGGCGACATGAAGTCGAGGGACATCAACAAAGCCAAGGGTCCTGTACTGTCAGGCAGTGGAATCGAAACCACACTGTCTGATTCTCAAGCGGCCGCCCGCGAGGGCCAGGTGCCGACCGTTCCTTCCTTCACACCCTCATCGACAATCAGCAGCCCGGCTGCTTCCCAAAAAACACACACTTCGCTCTTGTCGAAGCTTCCATTCCTCAAGAACCTCTCTTCCAAGGACTCTACAGTAGAGCCTCTTCACTCATCCCTGGTTGAGCCATCTGCGCTAAACCTCCGCCAACCTGCTCATTATACGGGTGGCTTCATTGCCCTCCCCTCGATTCCTCCGCCAGCGAGCCCCATGCTTCCTCGCCTGAGTCACATCCACCTTGCATTTGAGGCTCTCCCCATCTCCTCGCCTGATATCTATGCTCTCGCTACTCTCCAGACCCTCCTTGGTGGTGGTGGCTCATTCTCGGCCGGTGGCCCTGGAAAGGGTATGTACTCGCGACTCTACACTAATGTGCTAAACCAGCACGGCTGGGTCGAGAGCTGCATTGCTTTCAATCACAGCTACACGGATAGTGGAATTTTCGGAATCTCCGCATCCTGCAGCCCGACCCGGATCACGGAGATGGTCGAGGTCATGTGCCGTGAGTTGCAGTCCCTGACTTTGGACACTGGCTACAGCTCGCTGCAAGCACAGGAAGTCAACCGTGCGAAGAACCAGCTCCGTTCCTCGCTGCTCATGAACCTAGAGTCTCGCATGGTCGAGCTTGAGGATCTCGGGCGCCAGGTGCAGGTCCACGGCCGCAAGGTCAGTGTTCGGGAGATGTGTGAGCAAATTGAGGCCCTCACTGTCGAGGACCTCCGCCGTGTGGCTCGCCAAGTCTTTGGTGGCCAGGTCCACAATGAGGGCAAGGGCACTGGTAAGCCTACTGTTGTGCTGCAGGAGGGCGAGTTGGAAGGCTACAAGCTCCGGAAATTCCCCTGGGAGGAGATTCAAGAACGGATTTCCCGGTGGAAGCTTGGCCGATGGTAAATAGATGATTCTATGCCTCTGGACTTGCGTGAATGTGTCGAACATAAAGGTCATGTGGTGAAGTGGTCGCATCTAAAGGATAATCTGTAATTATAGACTATGGCCAGCATTTCGCCTCTGTAGAATACACCTCTCTTTTAAACAGACTTTATATGAACAACCTAGCATTTCTAAATTCGCATTTCTCATTTCTATTCTTTCACCTTTTCTATGTATTCTCCATTTCATATTTCCACCAACTCCAGTTCATATCAAAAGCAAATGACATCGTTGTCGGTGGGTCCAAGCTCCTCGCCGCTTTTCGGCAAAAAAGTCGGAGCGAAACCAGAGCGTCCTTCCATCATTCAACCATCACCTTTAACTAGATCCCTTTCGTTATTCTCATCCAAATCGCCCAAAATGGTCAAGCTTACTGAAGTCGAAGATGAGCACTTCACCGATAAGCCCGCTGCCCCCAAGCACGACGCTCTCCTGGTCTCTGATGATGAGGACTACTCAGACACTGGTTAGTACCGCTCGAACACCCGTACCCAGACGGAACTCGCATCGCGCCATTGTCATTTGCAGGGGGGATTGCTCTGATGGGAGGATATACTACTCCCTGGATTTCCTCCTGTCGTCTCAGTCCCCAATCCCAATCCCTCAACCACGCGACCTCGAAACCCCAGAATAAACACATCAATCGCGAATAACCATCAAGAACATTATCTGACATGGAAATCAATGAACAACAGACTCCGAAATCTCCGACGACGAGGATGTCGAGCTCGAGGCCGAGTCGCTCTACGAGCGTGTCGCCGCTCTGAAAGACATGGTTCCCCCCTCCGCCCGCCGCACCGTCTGCAGCACCGTCTCTTCCATCACAGACCTCACCAAGGCCACCTTTTCATTCAGTGGAAAGGCCCTCTGGGTTATCAGCACCAGTGCTTTCCTGCTCGGTGTGCCATTCGCCTTGGCCTACGCCGAGGAGGAGCAGTACATCCAGATGGAGCGCGAGCAGGGAATGATCAAGGGAGCTAACGAGGTATGTGTCTTGTGTTTTCTTCTGGTTTCGTTTTCTTGGTTTTATCGGAATTGCAACATCTATTTTGAATCCCGGTTCTTGCTGTCATTGGCACTTTTGACACCGTGTACATTGCCTCGGGTATTCGCATCTCGGCAATCTTCAAAATTCTTTTTTTCCCTTAACACCATCATCCCATGTCATTCTCGTGCTTTTCACCGGCTTCCCAGTCTTTGAAATATTATACTGATTATGATTCCTACTCGCAGATGCTCACCCCCGGCTCCGAACCTGAGAAGGTGGCTCAACCCACTCTGTAAATTAATACCAATTCGGAAAGCAGAGAGATTGACTAAGGATCCAGCGACGCGATTATCGACGTTGAGGGTGTGCTGCAAATAGCATACCCAAGCGGATATCGGCGTGATTCTATTAAGTCCTGGGATTTCCAACCTATCTTGGACAGATCTCAAGAATCAGGACTAAAAGCACTCGGAAGGAGTTGGTTTCCGATTCTCTTCTTGTCTTGTCTTGTTCGGATCTTTGTTATACTTCTTGTTTTTTTTACTTCCTTTTTTTCATCTCCTCGCATCTCTCATGCTTTCTGACATTTTGGCTCCGGCAGCTTATGCATGCATGTATTTGTACAACCCCAATCATCTTTCTTCCTGTTTCTCTATACACCTTTTTTTTCTCTTCCCATGTGCATGTCCAGGTAATGAAAACGGATGGTTTTGGTTATCTTTGCATTGTGTAGTCCTAGATTTCTTACAGGGGCTGGTCAAAGGAGGCCTATAGGCATTGGATAAGATATTAAGTATGCTCTTGGAAAATAGTTCCTTGAAATAGCCAGCATGCTACCTACTGCTATGCCGAGCATGACTGCACATGACTGGGGAATGTGCAAACAAAGACAAGAAAAAGGGTATCATTGTGCAAGGTCGAGCACCGGAGAAGGAAAGTGAAGTGACAAAACTAGGTAGTTACAAGGGTCGTAGTCTTCATGGAAGTTCATGATTAAGCCATTCGAGGACCCCTGGACATGTAGTGGCCCTCGGGTGAACTGGCTCTGGATATGATCATTTCATCATCCGTAGATAGACTGGAGGACAATTAGCATGTGGAAGGACTTAAACAAAACACACAAGAACATACCTCTTTCTCGCGAGCAGACTTGAGATTAATGTGGAAGTCACGCCAAAGCTTATCGACTTCACCAGTTCCAGTCATGCTATCGAGGACATCATTTGCATTTCGCGTCTTCCGCTTGACGCTCATATCATTTCGTCTGAGGATCTCGTCGTCATCCATGTGGCCCGTACGCTCAAGGTAATCGATGACCCATTCATTAAGATGGTAACGCCAATGGGTGAGGGTGTGGGCGAGCTGGGCTCTCGCCTTGCATTGTCTGTCGAAACAAAAGCAAACGGTTAGAGGGTGAGCTCGATTGAAATGACTGTCCAAGCCGAACTTACTTTCCTAGGTAATACCGGACATTTTCCGGAGGAATGACATGGCCATCCCGGTCGCGATCCTTCCCATCGTTGTGCTTGGAATCCTCATCACTGTCGTCGCTATCATCATTGTCGTCTTCCAGCGGCTCCAGCGTCTGCAAGGAATACGCCTTCCCGTAGAGCTTTATATCACTAGAAGCGGGATGTCCAGAGCGCCTGCACGCATCGCAGGGATGGTTCTCCTCTGTTGGGAAGGCGGAGATGTCTATGTGTGGCCGGGCCTGGAGGGCATAGACGAAACTGGGGTTCCAAACGGAGGAGATCAGCTGTGAACCAGCCCGACCCTTGACTTCATCTTCTAGCTTCATGAATGCCATCTTGTACATGTCGTCAGAGCGAGGGAAGGCCGGGTTCAGTTTATTTTGAACCATCCAGCCGATCACGTCGCGGAAGTATTCCTTCGGCTGCTTATATGCATGTCGGGTGAACTCGAAGGGAATCTCCTCAGTGGGCACGCCGAGGTCGTTCACCTCGTCTTCCAGGACGAAGTCGTCTTCGTACCGATCAAGATTCTCATTGGGGTCGATGTTTGATTCTATGTCGCTGTCATCGTCGTGATGACGCCAGAGACCACGGCCAGAGGGACTGCCATCGCTGCCAGGTCGTTTAATCTCTTGCACATCGGAATTATATTTGTCCTCATCATCGTCTTCCTCTTCTTCGTCGTCCTCCTCATCTTTCACTCCAGCCCGTCTGCGACGGAGGGCTTCAAGGTGCTTCATTCTCTTGTCTCGGGCAGATTCGACATTCCGGCCGCGAGTTCGGCTTTTCTTAACAACTGCACATGACAGGCATTAGCATAAATAAACGAGCCTCGTTCGCTAACTGGTTCCTACCTGAATCCTGAAGATCCTCCAAATCCTCTGCGATATCAAGTCGGTCCTGTTTCGAGATGTGGCGGGGGTGGTGGGAGCCTTGGGAGTTTCTTTCTCCTGTCCACGGCGGAGCCTCTTCACTGGCGAAGAAGCCAATGGTTCGTCCGAGTCATCATCGTCACTTTTGGACATAGCGGCTGGCCTTGCTACCCTGCGCCTCTTGGCGGTCGAAGGGGCCACTGACTCGTTTGAATCATCGTCGCTGAGTATCACAGGTGAGCTTGAAGCATTACCACCTCGGGTAGACCTGCGCCGTTTGGCGACCGAGGAGGCCACAGGCTCGTCCGAGTCGCTATCAATTGGTGAGCTTGCGGCCTTTCGCTTGAGTGTTCGCCGCGGCCGAGATAGCTCCTCCGAATCAGAATCGTTTTTGTTCTCAGTCTGTGCCTTTGAGAATTGTAATGACCTCTGTGATTTGCGCGAACGGGATTTCTTCGCATCTTGGGGTTCATCGGGCTTTGCTAGGTCGAGGTTATCGGGTTGCGCGGCTTGCTTTCTCTTCTGGGAGGCAGGCATGATAGGTTCATCTAAGGATTCATCGCCCGATTGATCTTCTATAAACAGTTTGTCTTTTGGATCTTAGCTTTCTGGTTGTGTTGAGGATAGATAGCATCAGCGTACTGGCGGGTTTATCATTGGACCTCTTCTTGGCGGGGAGCTTTGGCCGTTTCTTCTCGGGCGAAGTTTCCGGCTTGCTTTTGAGAGACTTTGGAGGACGGTATGTGCCCAAACTTGGGTTGTCGTATGTGAGTGTTGCATATCGGCTGCTTTGTTCGGGGCTGACATCCGCTGAAGGCGAAGCGGTTGTAGCGGCAAAGGCAAGTCGCGTCTGCTTTTTCTTGGATTTGCGGGGTGGCATGGCGAGAGGTCAAGATGGCAGATCAGGATGGATAAGATGGCAGATTGTTGGGCTCATATAGCTAGGTATGTCATGGCAAACTCAAAGCAAAGGAATATGTTCAAAGAAGTCTGAATGAAGCTTGAATCTGTCACATCAGAGTTCAATCTGTCAGATCAGAGCGGGACCGTCACTGTCGCGGATCGCGTTTGGGAAATTCACGAGAGCACGTGATATGTATGCTATGCTGCAGTGACAATTGGACATTTGGATTGTTATGATAAGGACATCTGGAGACCATTAAAAGGACCACTAGAAAGGCCCCTAGAAAGACATATAAAAAGGCATATAAAAAGACTATCGGAGAAGGCTACCTAGGGAGACTAGGCCAACCTTGGAAGGGGTATCTCCCTTTTTACCTCTGTAGTTGCTAGAGGTATTTTCTGTAACCTTGGATTAAGAAGTACCGGCGATATATATCGGAAAGGTGTTCGCGTTTTACCGGCTTGCGCCTTTGTATACATCTGAAAAGACATCGAAAAATGTATATAATGTCTCTAACATCATCCTGGATAATAAACAAGCTGCTGCCTGATTAATTCAACCTTGACTCCTTCACTTCCACTCATTCTTCTGCACTCGCCCCGGGTTTTCGACTATAAACGGCCGCCCGCCTCATTTTGTGACAATGGGCGATGCCTTGCGCCCAGGTGATGATGGATTCAACCAGGTCATTCACGAGAGTCTCGGGACATGGACTTCGTATTTAGCTACCGAGAAAAAAGAACACCAACTCCCCCGGCAAGCCATAAACATGAGACCTCTCGTCAGCCAAACCCCGCCTTTTCTCGGTGATGGATTTGCTTCGTTCAATGAGACAATTTCGTTCGCTTGTGAGGAGAAGGAATCAGCACAGGGGAAGGACAATTTCTTCGTCAAAGGCAAGTCAACTTGGAGGACTTCTAAAGGAATCTGTGACCCACAGCCAAAAGTCCTGCCTAACCAGCTTCTATTAGCAGTTGGAAGTCGAGTAAATGTGGAATTGTCTGAAGATTCTCCTCTCTCAGACTGGCCCGGAGTTCAGGGACTTTCGGGCTATGACGAGGGAAACTATTTATCAATCCTTTACTTTGCATGGGCCTATATAATATCTACTCGATGGGCTGAGCTGCTTAGTCGCTCTGCTGACCACGAATGTCATATGAGCTACACTGCGGATAGCGATAGCATGGAGGGCCTATTGCTGGAGTGGGACAACCAATCTATGGTTGAAATTGCCATCGGTGATGATGCTTCTGAGGAGGAAGTCCTCTGGTGGCGCACTATCTTGTGTTCTGACGATGGCTGGGATGCGACCGCTAAGTACAATGGCCATGTTTATTTATCGCCATGGTCGATCTCGGCAAAGAAGAAGGGATTTACCTTAGCTACCAAGAACTTTTTGGGCGCCAAATCAGAGGCCCCATCGTCAGGGGCCGCTCTCAACTACCTCTCTCGTTTCTGTGTTCACCACCGGCTTTACGCTCAGTGCTTAGTCGCTCCTACTGGGGTACTCTACATTCCATTCCTTAGGGGGAGAATAACATCACTCCCGCTTGTAAGACAAGCTTCTCGACCGGAACCGACACAGCGTGTTAAAGATTCGCCTGTTTCCATTCCAGATCTTCTTATTGAGTATGACGAATTGCTTCCTTCCTAAGTATATGACGTTAAGCTCTAATACGTGGGGTTTGCGTTCTGTTCTATGCAGTACCTCTCTCAATCCAGCCCTGGAGATATTAAGTGTAACTTTGTTAGCGCCTGGCTGAATCCGGCTTTTGCGATGATCGATTCGATCTCTTCCAGGAAGAACGAATTACCCGCCTTTTTGACCAATCGAAATCCTCTACTCGACACCTTCAATACAGACATACAGTCGATTTTAGCGGGTCGTGAACGTTACTGTGCACCGGACAGAGACCGGCTTTGGCAAATTGCCGCAGACCACCGTACGTTTTGGGGTGAGTCAATGTCGACGTGTTTATCGGTTGGCTGGTATAGTTTTTTTTTTATGATTCTCTCGTACGATCTAATGTATAATACTTAATACTTAATACTTAATATTTAACCAATAATATTCTTCAAGAACAGGTAGGTACATCTTACTAACTAGACGAGATACCAAAAGGCCGTAATATCAATAGGCATATAAGAAGCAATAAAGGTTGCCTACTCTACTCCGTACATCTCTTGGCATAAGAAACCAGCCCTCTCTCCCTAAGAGTATCACCTAAAAGTATCACGGAAGCCCAGTCGCTTATCTTTTGCTTGTTTAGTTTAGCTCAAATGTCTTAAGTCTAATGTGATCCTTCACCATTTACCCTATTGGTGGACTTGACTTTCTCCCCAGCCATTTGTCCTCCAGCCCACCGATTCGTGGAAACTCCACCCACTTCATCTCGCTGGAACAAAAAGCTTGAAAAATATCCTCGAACCCCAGAGATCCCCATTACCCCAGGTCCGGCCCGCGCATGTGATAAGGTCTCAAGCCAATGAGAAACGGAATAGCCATGAGATACACGTTGCCCCATGTGCCATTGACTCCCGACCCCCCAACACCCAGCGATCCTGAGTGGACTCCCCGTTATCTAAAGTGTCAAAATACTCTTAGCACATCCGGGGTTTGTTGATTCTGGGGATGGTCTGATCCACCTTGTCTTTGCTCACATGGGGGTTTCAGTTTTCCCCGGAATGTGCCCTAATTGTCTCTTGTACTTTATATACCGGCGGTCTCCGCCCACTCAGGTGCCCCCCTAGTTCATCTTAACTGTTCTTTCATTATTCGAGGGCTACTGTCACAGCCCGATTCTTTAAATACATTAGAGTGTGGTAGTATCTGGGGAAAGATCTTCGACCTCACTGTTACCTTAATCCCCTCCCATCAAAATGGGTCTTTTAATGAGCCGCAAGAGAGCGTACAATTGGTCGGTGCAGCAATCTACTCTACTGAATATACTCTGACTCAACTTTCTAGGTACATCTCTTGTGTTGCAGCATCATGCATGGTGCTCTACGGCTACGATGCATCTGTCTTCAACTCCGTCCAAGGTTCCAAGAACTGGCTGGCTTGGATGAACAACCCAAACGCGAACACAATCGGCTCAATTAATACTGCATACACGGTCGGCGCGATCTTTGGTGGTTTCTTCCTGGGAGGACCCTGTGCAGATTTCCTAGGCCGCAAGCTTGGAATGGGCATTGGCTGTCTTTTGGTCATTGTTGCTACCTTCATGCAAACCTTCACTCCACGACACAATCTTGCTTGCTTCCTTGCGGGTAGATGTATTATCGGTATCGGTCAGGGTATTGCATTGAGTAAGTCTTGTTGTTCGCGTGGTTTCAGTGACATGAACTGATGGAGCTACTTTGCAGCTGCTGGCCCTATCTACATTGGTGAACTGGCTCCGCCAGAGATCCGTGGTAAGATCATGACTTTCTGGCAGATGTTCTACTCTGTTGGATCGTTCATCTGTTTCTGGATCAACTTTGCCTGCACCAAGAATGTTCCCAAGCTTGGTGAGTGGGATTGGAAGTTGGTTGTCATTTTCCAGCTTTTGGTCCCTACAATGATCCTTGCCCTCCTGCCGACCATCCCCGGCAGCCCTCGTTGGTAAGTCCCTTTTGGTGACTCTTATTAGTTCTGAAAATACTGATTATCACCAGGTATATCCAGAGAGGCAACAATATCGAGAGGGCTCGTGAAGCCCTGCAAAGAGTTCGTGATACCGAGGAGGAAGTCGAGAAAGAGCTGCTGGAGATCCGCGAGGCCATCGAATACGAGAAGGAAGCCATCTCTGGCAATTACTCTGCTCTCTGGAAGGACAAGTCTCTCCGCAAGCGTATGGCTCTGGCTCTGGTTCTCAATGCCGGTCAACAGGTCACCGGACAAGGCTCGCTCAACTCATACTCTACCAAGATCTACCAGAAGGTGTTTACCAGCGACAGCAAGATTGCCCTGATCAACGCTCTGAACGCCACCTTTGGAATTCTCTTCACCCTGAACGCCGTCTGGATTATTGATCGTTTCGGAAGAAAGTTCCTCTTGATTGTCGGTGGTATCGGTATGGGTCTCTGCATGATTATCGTCGCTGCCGTCGAAACAGAAACACCACAGCTCCCCAACGGAGCCAAGTCAGAACCTGTCGGTATATCGATTGTGTTCCTTATGTTCTTGTTCATCTTCTTCTGTAAGTCATCTACTCACTATTCCCCCGTTAATGAAACTCCACTAACATTATTTCCCAGACAAACCATCTTGGGGCGCAACGGTATGGATTTGGACGTCCGAGATTTTCTCAATGAATGTCCGTGCCCAGGCTGTGGGCATGGCGTCGCAGACGCAGAACATCGCCAATGCCATCGTCCAGCAATTCTTTCCCTTTTCCTCGCTAACGAGGGCTTTTACGCTTTCTATATGTTTGCCGGTATCAACTTCCTACTCGCAGTCTTTGTTTGGTTCCTCGTTCCAGAAACCAAGCAGGTTCCCCTTGAGGAGATCGATATTCTGTTTGGTGGTGCCAACCACGTTGCCCAGGGAGAGGAGGTGCTGGCACACCACAAGGGGGCTCAGATGAACCAAGAAGAAAATGAGAAGCCTGGTGCTGTTAATGTGGAGCATGCTCGGAACTAGGTGATTTGCGTTTCATACCATGTGAGGTGTTTTGTCTGAAAATATTATAAATGATACTGTTTAGCAAGCAAGCTTTAATGCAGGTGCTCCGTGCCCTATCTATAAAGCCCGTTTAGTCAGACACACCTAGGCGGAGCTACCCCTTAGATGTGATTGATAGAGGCTGAAGCCTCTAGCAGGCAAAGTTCAGTACAGCAGAATATTGTGAAATACTAGATTCGTATGTGAGTGTATACATGGGGCAAAACCAATGATCATTGACTAGTAACAGAAGCAGTAATACATTCGATGATGCTAGTCATGTTGAATGGCCAACTATCAAGTACAGGTAACCTAGCCAAATTAGCAGTCCCGTTTTCCTTCGCCAGCGAGAGAGGACAAACCGGACTGCCTAAGTGCAGGCGCAAGCCAATCCAAAATAACTTGTTCAACAAGCGCTCCAAAAGCCTTTCATGGTAGTCCTCTTGCACCTCACAGGATAGAGCGGCATCCAGCAACGCCCATTCCAATACCAAAGCTCTGGAAGTGACCAGCAGTGACACCGTACATGCCATTTCCAGCAGAGCAAGCACGGTCGCGCTGTCCATCGCACTTGCGAGTGGTGGCCCGGAGTCCAGAGCTATAGATTTCCTACATAGATTGCGCGTAAGTGACTGCGTCTATACCCATACAGGAATTCAAATATAACGGGATTACTTACGGTTCCATAGTGCTTGAAGTTGAGAGGAAGGCCCACATACATGTTCTGGATGTATGGTTAGTAGGTGGCTGGAATATCACAATTCATAAAACTTACAGGAACACCATCGGCAATGTTGTTACCACGGTACATGGTACCCTTAGCCTGCGAGGAGGCAAAGCTGGCCCAGGCATCATTACCAATAGGGAAAGCAGCCAAAGCATAGCTGGTGATCTGCTTCTCGGGGAAGTTCTGGGCCAGCGCCACGTGCGAAATATATGTCAAGGAGCCACCCAGAGAGTGTCCAGTCGCCTCCAAGGTGTAGTCCGGATACTTTGCGATAAGGGACTTTACTTCGGAGATGACATCGTCGTGCACAGCCTTCCAAGGGCGGTCGATACCGCTCATGATCTTCACTCCAGAGGGGAAGTCGACGCCAGAGAAGGACGGCGTGACGAGGTTGGTGCTGATGTCGTTGATGATATCGGTCACTATAGGAGTTAGTAATGGAAATCCTGTGGCATATGGAATCACCATGAGTCTCACTAGAAGTCGAGCCCTTCATGACGACAGCGATCGTCTTCTTCTCCGACGAGTATCCAACATATCCCTAGTCAAATCAGTTTGGTTCTGGTTGACAATGAATTGCATTGCTTACTTGTGCATCAGTCAAGGTATCATGGAGTTTCTTGGTGATGGTGATATCAAAAGCCGTGCCGGTACAGCCACTGTACGCAGCGGAGGAAAGCTGGGCTGCGCGTTGAAGGGGATCCCAGAACGACGTGTCTTCAATTGAGGTTAGTAAATGCCATAGAAACTAATGGTTGCAATCGGGCTACTATACCAATGCTTGCTCTTTCTTCCAGCAGAGGCGCAGCGAAAGCCTGGGAGACCAGGGCAACTCCGGCCAGAACAGTTCGGGTATCAAACAACATTTTGAATAGAAGGATATATAGAAAAGACGGACTTGTGAATGGTTATTGAACAAGAGAAACTGAATGTGCTGAGTGTCTGCTGGAGAAAGGACATCTCAGCTGGCCATCCTCCTCTTTAAATACTTCTAGTACCCTTTCGATGTTTCATTCTCATCATCTGTGCGCCCTACATATTCCGAAATCCATGCCCGATACATGACCACGAGATTTGAATCGGAGGTCTTTTCTGAATCAGGAAGTGGGCGTGCCAGTCTAAAACTGACTAACGTATGGGGGATGCCTAGGTATGCACACCTACGGGGAAATCTCCGTTCCGGCACTTGAGACCTTGGCCAGGTGGAGCCGAAGAGAACGACAATTCCAGAACCTTGTCATACTTGGAAGCAATCGTGTGTATTGATCTCTGAAGACGACCAAATTACGGGGGATGATAACCCAATGCTTCGAATTTGCTTTGCAGACGTATATGAATTGCAGAATGAAGAATGATTGGTCCACCACACGTGGCTACCAATTTTCAAGGCGTTGAAGGAGCTATCCTAATCCGGTTGGAAAGTTGAGGCTAAATCGTTCGTGTGGGGTTGCTGGATCTCCAAAACGAGTCATTACTCTCGAATCAGCCTCGGTCGATTGGCAAATATCAAAGCTTTGGCTGGTGCCCAACTCGGGTGACTCGGGTGTTGAGAATCCCTAGACTCAACAGGTGCCACGCATCAGACATCACTTGCGGAATATTGGATAGATTGAGATTGATACGGGACTTAGAGAAGCCGAAATTCAGCCGATCCCATTTTGAGACATAACAATTGGACAAATCCAACTGCCACGCTACCTTAGGGCTGTGAGGCCTGAAACGACGAATGGGACTTTTGGACCGGTGGAGACTCGACTTTGCATAGATGAAACCTCACTTTAAACCTTGGCGGGAAGATCGAGTCTGAATCTGTGTCTGTCCAATTGGACTTGATGGTTCACACCCAAGGCCAATCGGTAGTTGACAGTTCGGCAGTTGGGGACCGAGGCTCCTCTCACATATGTAGATATATTGCATATCTGCAGGAATTTATATTAAAAATACGGGGTTGATGTCCGTGACGACAGATCACCTGGGCCTGGGATGAGGTAAAATTTTATCTCTCAGTGTTGCATAGGTTCCTCCTACTCTCAATAGCAACAAATGAATACCGATCAATTATTTAGCCATAAATTCAAAGGTTCGAGGACAAGTCTTCTAGTTGAGGTAACGTTCTCTACCTAGAATCCTCTGCAAAGGGAAAAACGTGAGTAGAGCAGTAAGCTAGCGTTACCGATTTGCGGGATTTCTTAGCTGATTGCATATTGTGTGTACCTAGGTATGGGGTGCAGATGGTCTTAACGCTCCGTGTCTATGTGGCTCTAGTCCTCGCAGATCTGTCGACCACAATGCTGGGGTTATGCGGGGTCTAGAGGGATGTGGCATCTCAAAATATTCTAAAGACCGAGGCTGTTGCAGTTTATGCCGGTAGTTGATACTATGTGTCCGGCGCTTTGAAGATGCGGGGAAGTGTTAACCAAAATAGTTAAGCGATATTGGAAGTTCAGGGCTTTGACTATCTTAATTGCCTTTTCCGAAATGCTTTCTTCTTTCTGTTTAAAGCCAATATTTGAGAGTTGTCCCACGTAAAGATGTTTACTTTGAATACTTCATACTTGTTGTTTGCACACTGGAGTTTCAAGAGACACGTGTATAGGGATATGCGCATAGAGAGTTTATTTTAACCGATCTTGATATCGTAGCGAAGACCACAATCCTCTCCACTTCTAACATTCGAAAAAGTCTCGACGGCCTAGATTCCAGTACGTGTAACAATGCCGTCCCGTCTCAGTCTCTGCGTGTTGGGATTGTTGAGTAAATGAGGTCTGGAGATTATGCATTCGTGAACATGACATAGGTCCAGATTTCTTTACCATACCGATAAAAATCGATACTAGTAATGTCCTCCACTGGGTTTCGAACTGCATTCAATTCGTTTTGTTTGGCAAGGATGAAAGTCTTGAGTTCCGGCACCTCCATAAGCTCCGAAAACATTATATGCAAAGCATAAAATGGTGGTATTCCTCCGTTGAGATCTGACAATATTTGATACCGGCATTCGAGAGCACTGACGAACTGCTCGCTTGTTGAGAACTCGCTTCGTGTCGTTGTATGGAAGTCCGTCATTGCGATCTTCAACGCACAGTGTCTCTCGCCCTCCATATGCTTCTTGAGCTCTTCCATGAACTCATCAGCAAAGCCAGTACGATTGCCACGAGCATAGACCTCGTACAAAAGGTCTCTGTCCAAACTATTCGCCAGCCAGCTTCTCACTTGCTTCGACAGCGTCTCCCACTTCTGGCCATCTGGATTGTTTCTCATTGGCCAGGGGATAGACTTGTTGATCAAGTTGTGGAGATTGTGGGTTTGGAGGATCCTTTCCGCCTTGTCAATCCACATGTCCAATTCCTCTCTTTCATAGGCGGGGTGATGTTGTAGAGGGTAAAACTTCCGATTTCTGGAATGCCAACTGCCTGATCGGTAACAATGACATCGTCCTCTTCGTGCCAATTGTTGTTGTCGGCGGATTGGGTTTTGGGGACTTGGGCTGCTCCAGCCATGTTGGAAAGAATACAGTGCTTTCTAGCACTTGGCCAAAGAAAGTTGATGAAAAAGATAGATATAGCACTGCCGAGTGCTATTCTTGACGAAACTTGATGAAATCAGGGGTAGGCTTCACAACCTGTTGAGGGTTCCCAGGAGAGAGGAGGAAGGAAGGAAGAAATCATCATTCAAACTAGTAAGAGCAAGGTATTTATACCTTCAATGTTGCTATCTAGCAAACAAATCTGCAGAATCAGGCATGGGAGATCAGCTCATCTCAACTATTATCTACTATATTGCAATACAATAATGTACCTGCAATGACCCGGAGGGTACCTAGGTAGGAAATTGTGCTGGTATAAGATTGATAATTATGAAGCTGACTGGGCCATGATGTACTGCTGTGAAGACTTTCTAATGCTGTTCAGCTGTTGAAGTGTTGATCTCGCGCTTTGCGGGGTCAATGTCGTGACAGCCAACACATTCTGAGTAACAGTACATGGCGCAATCACAAGCCCTGAACACGCAAAGCTGATAAATCTGCGTCACTTAAATGACATTTCGTATCTGACATCTGCTGTTTCTTTGCTTGCCTACCGCATAACCAACATGTCCGCCGTTCAGACCATCACTGTGCCCACCCAGCCCGATATTCAGTACCACCCTGAATATGAAAAGTACAAGGAGCGTACTCGTCGTCGAAAGGAGACCGAGACCCTGCAGTCCACTTTGCCTGAGAACTTCCCGGAGAAGTTGGTATCGCCACTGGTCTGGGAAGGAAAAGACGTTGAGAAACGGGACGACTGGGTTTATCAGTTGAGCGATGATCAGCTGGATGAACTCGACGCTGCGTTGACGAGCTTCAAAGGTGGGTAATGACGTCCACAATGTTCATACACCATTGCTAACCTAACAGCACTCAATCTTTCCTTGGGACATATCAACCAGTCGACTTTCCCTCTACCTACCCTTCGCCCTGCTCTCCGAGACCTTTCGAAAGAGATTCACACCGGTCGAGGATTCGTCGTTCTCCGGGGTTTACGTATCGACGATTACTCCCGAGAAGACAACATCATCATCTACGTCGGTGTATCTTCTCACATTGGCAATATCCGAGGACGTCAGCAGGAAGCGCGGCTGGCAGATGGCAGTTCACCCGTGATATCCCATATCAAAGACCTCACTAGAAATACCGAGAAGAAGCTCATCGGAGCCCCTTCAAATACGGCTGATAAGCAGGTTTTCCATACTGACGCGGGCGATATAATCTCACTCCTCTGTCTGAACCGAGCCGCAGAGGGAGGAGAAAGTTACCTTTCTAGCAGCTGGCATGTGTATAACATCCTGGCTAAGGAAAGACCCGATCTTATTCACACTCTGTCCCAGGATTGGCCAGTCGATGGGTAAGAATCACTAACCGCCAAGGGAACGTACCTGCAAATTAACACTGTTCAGCTTCAATAACCCGGCCAGGCCTTACAGCCTCCGCCCACTTCTATACCACCAACCTGCCACTGCCACCACCCCTGAAAGGGTCCTAATTCAGTACGCAAGACGATACTTCACTGGTTTCCTGGCTCAGCCCCGGTCGAAGGATATCCCCCCCTATCACGGAAGCGCAAGCCGAGGCGCTCGATGCTTTACACTTCTTGGCGGAAGAGCACAGTGCCGCTTTGGATTTCCAGAAAGGCGATGTGCAGTATGTGAATAATCTTAGCATTTTCCATGCGCGGAATGGCTTCAAAGATGAGCCCGGTAAAGAGTACGTTCTTCTTCCGCATGTGCTTCGTTTTATGTGTACGCTGACAGTTTGGTTGTATTAGGCGTCATTTGTTGAGACTCTGGCTTCGAGACCCTGAGAATGCATGGGAAACACCTCGGGAACTCCAGGAACGCTGGGATATAGTCTACAAAGACGTTGTCGAGGATAAGCAGGCGTTCCCATTGGAGCCGACTATTCGCAAGAATGTCTGATCATGGTAATCATGATAAGATCGAGTCCTCGTCATATTTAGCTTAGCATTTGAATTCAATATTCGGCTATATTTATATCGGTTATTCCGCCATCATGCTGATTGTATTCAGGAGTCTCCTGCACGGCAAGACGCGGTATCATTCCGGGTACCGTTCCGTCATCATAAATAGGATCGGCTTCACTGGCCACAGACTTGACATTCCAACGCCACGTCAAATCCTAAATTGCAAACAAATACCCGCTGACGAACGGATTTAATATTCCAGACCTCGATCTAGATTCCTCTAACTCAGTTAATAGGCTCGCAAGCGTCTAGCCTTCAGCAAACCTGCGATCACATACTCGGTATAGACCAAGCTAAGCTTAAATACGAGCCTGGCCACCAAGCTACGTACCTTGCTAACACTAAGCTGGGCTTTCTTGGCATTCCAGGGAGCGGAATGAAATACCGACTGCGATCGAAGAATGCGGAATGAATCAACGCAACATAGTGCGGGTTCACAGTGCGGGTTTATAGTGCGGGGCCCCGGATTTCCCCAGACGCGACTATGTATATAGCGACTCTAAATTATTTAAAAGGAGCTTTGGCTCCACCATATCCCTGGATCATCCCGGTGGTCTCAGATTAATTCGAGGCCCTTCTGAAAATATCCAAGATGGACCAGGAAAAAATATCCCAGGAGACAGTCGAGGATGTCAAGTCCACGGATTCCGTGCCAGACATAGATCCAGCGGCCGAGAAACGACTCCTACTAAAACTCGATATTCATGTCGTGCCAATTCTCATGTTTCTATTCCTACTCGCCTTCCTTGATCGGATCAATATCGGTAACGCGCGAATTCAGGGCCTCGAAAAGGATTTGGGGATGAAGGGACATGATTACAATATCGCGCTATTCATCTTCTTCGTTCCCTATATCTCTTTTCGAGGTTCCTAGCAATCTAATTTTGAAAAAGGTCCCGCCCTCTTGGTGGTTGAGTGGGATCATGTTTTGTTGGGGTATGTTGGGAATCGATATACATGCAGGTTAACGAATTGGGACTGACCTCGACGATATTAGGTGTTGTCACAACATGCCAAGGCGTTGTAAAGGGCTTTGGTGGCCTCGTTGCATGTCGATTCTTGTTGGGTTTGTTTGAGGCTGGGTTGATGCCAGGTTGGATAGCCCTTTGTCCCTTGATGCACAAGTGCTAATGGTACAATGCAGGCTGCATCTATTTGATTGCTATGTACTATAAGCGCCACGAGTTACAGTGGCGATTCAATATCTTCTTCAGCGCTAGTATTCTGGCTGGTGCAGTCAGCGGAGTATGTACGGCCTTGCATGAAGATTTCATTCTATACTAATTCTTTCCTAGCTTCTTGCATACGCAATAGCCAAGATGGATGGCATCGGAGGATACAGCGGCTGGCGCTGGATCTTCATCATCGAAGGTCTACTTACAGTATGCACTGGAATTGCTGCCAAGTTCCTTGTCGTCGACTGGCCCGAAACGTCTACTTTCCTAAACGAGGAGGAGCGTGCTCTGCTGCTTCGGCGTCTATCGGAAGACCGCGGCGAAGCACAAATGAATCGCTTTGACAAGCCGGCAATCAAGCGCACATTCTCAGATGTCAAGATTTATCTTGGGTAAGCTTGAGTCCCTATATCCCATGAAAAGGTTTCCACTAACAATGAGTCACTTCTAGTGCTATTATGTACTTTGGGATTGTCAATACAGGCTATGCAACGTCATTCTTCACCCCCACCATCCTCCGCCAGCTCGGCTGGACATCTGTCCGAGCTCAAGTGATGAGTATCCCAATCTACATTGTCGCGACAGTAATCGCACTAGCTACAGCCTTTATTAGCGACCGACTGCGCCACCGATTCACCTTCACATTGCTGGGATGTGTCATCGCCACCATTGGGTATGTTATTCTCATCTGTCAGGAGTCAGTGCCAGTTGCTGCCCGATACTTCGCCCTATTCGCAATCACGGGCGGAGGATATATGACGCAGCCGATCTTGTTGGGCTGGGTGAGTAACAACATGGCTGGGCATTACAAGCAATCTATCGCTTCAGCCATGCAGATCGGCTTTGGTAACTGTGGCGGTCTGGTCGCTAGTAATGTGTTCTTTGACTCGGAAGCTCCAACCTACAGAACCGGGTTCGGTACCAGTCTAGGGATGGTCTGGATCTGTGGTGTGGCATGTATTGTCTTCTTTGGTTATGTATATCGTGAAAATCGGCTGCGGGAGCAAGGTAAGAGGGATCATCGGTACCATTGGCACAGGAGGAGTTGGAGAATGCTGGGGATGATCATCCCAGTTTCCGGTTTACTTATTAAGTATGAAAATTGAACTGGTTCTGAAATAGTTGTAAACCAGTCTAGATGTATAGAAGTATAGATGTCTAGTGTAATATAATTCTGTCACCTGCTCTTTTTATACTTTCCACGCCTTATGATCAACCTTGGTTACTTTATTTTATTCGATTTTCTTCGATTTCTATTCGTTCCCATTTGTTCAAAAGTACCATCTTCCCTGGGACACTTTGCGCCAAGACCATTGCGAAGACCAACGTCTCCCAGTATGACGTAGACCCGTGAACGCTTCAGAATTTTGTTGGCCATTGTATGTGGATGGCATCCATATTTTCCAAGTGAGCCCCAATAGTCGATCAGCCTTAGTACATGTGCATCTGCCGATCATGACCCACGAAGTATCTGTGGGGGAAGTATAGCGAACTACTGCGTGTTAAATGGGGATGGATCACTGGGGATCCAATGATACTTACAGGACATGTCTCGCGGGTCCCGCGGAGTTAGATATGCCCAGAGTAATAATTTAGCTCTAGGGCTATATATATTGTACATACTTGCTCAAAATCCCATCCCTCTCCCCAATCCCCCCCATCTTAAATAGTCTCAGATGCATCGAACTCCCCCAACCCAATATCGCGAACAATGTCAAGAACACTGTCTCCGCGCAAGAAGCCCGTTCAATCCGTGACTTCCGACTATCCATGGAGATCCGACAACCCATTCGGTCCTCCTCAAGTACAGCGGTCCGTCCCTAGCGGTATCAAACGACTCCGAGACACCCTCTCAAAGCTGTCGCCATCCGCCTTTGCAGAAAAGGACCTCCTCCGAAAGAAGAGCCAGTACAAAACCCCTCTAACAGAGAGAAACGTCGACACCTTGGTCACCGAGCAAGAATGCAATGCAGCCTACAAGCCCAATCTACACTCGCCCGAGATCCAAGTCACTGAATGGTTACAGCGAGTCTCGTGAGTCTGAAAGTACCATTCGCATACGGACCGGAATGGAAACTAGCACGAGTACGAGCACGAGGATGTGAACGTCAATGCGAATAAAGAGTTCCGCTAGGCTATTCTCGAACTTTCTCGACCTCTTCCCCCTCCCCCCAAGTACGGGGAAACTCAATCCTGGTTCTAAAGCCTTTTTCCGACCAGAACCCCCGTCATGGTTGCTCCATGGGGAATTTGAACCCCTGTTGAGGTTATGCTTGGCGTTAACGTCATGATTTGCTGGTATGCATGCCGAAAGCGTTATGTTCCGCCTTTTTGGTTGGAATTTAAAGGAGTGTACAAGGTACAAAGTACATCGATGTATACATGTATACATGTCTAAATAATGTGTGGGTTATAAAAGGTTACGATGTGGGTATAGCGGCGATGGAGTTTACAGTCCATCTTCTACTTTTATTATTATTGTGAACTTAGTACATATGTAACTAATTGTTATACACTGTAATACATCAAATTCAAAAGATCCTTTATATTCAAATAGTAGAACTAGTTTTATATCAAAATAGAAGGAGACGCGAGTTGTTTCCCAAGTGGATATAAGCGGGGTAAGTCTAGCGACAACTCGAGTCTGCCTTGTATGACTTCCAACATTAGTATATGGAAAGATACACACCAAAGGAGATGCAATAGGTCTCTCTATACATTCCTAGGCATATCACCTCCAATCCCAGGATGTCAAAGAAAGTAGCAATAATCGGTGAGTCAACCCCGCACAAGTCTACCTAAGTATATCCCCGTATCCGAGCTCACATTGACATCCCATCCCAGGTGCCGGCCCCTCAGGCCTAGTCACAGCCAAAACCCTTCTTCATAATTTCCCCGGGACATTCTCTCCAATCATCTTCGACAGCCAAAACAAAGTCGGAGGTCTGTGGTCAAGTCACCTTCATCCCCCCAATCAGGTCAATGGCCCCCCGGTTACACTAGACCCTCGAATGAGGACCAACCTCAGCCGCTTCACGGTTGCTTTTTCGGATCTTGCCTGGGAGTCGGTGATCCCTAACGCGGATATTCCGATTTTTTCCTCAGGCCAGACAGGTTGGAGAATACCTGGCCTGTTATGCAGAGCGGTATATCCCAACCCATGTGCTCAGGCTAGGGTGTAGAGTGGTACGAACGATACGGAAGGTTGAGGATGAAGGTGATCCGAAATGGAATGTTCATTGGGTTCAGGAGGGGTATGTTGGAATTTGCTTGTGTATATATCGAGGTGGACGTTGACTAACAGCCATATATAGTGCCGAGCATGATGGAGTGTCTTCAGAAGATTTCGACCTGATTGTCATCGCCTCCGGATATTTTGCCCAACAGTATATTCCAGATATACCAGGTCTAGAGCAATTCCAAGGCCGAATCGTCCACAGCTCTTCGCTCCATTATGAACGAGAGCAGCTGTTTTTTAACGAAACCAAAGATGTCAATGACCAGATCCTTGTCATTGGCGGCAGCATGTCAGGCGTCGAAGCCGCATCTGCTGTGGCTCTCCGCCAATCCTCATCTACACTCTCGACAAACAGAATCCCACATACCCAAGAGACAAAAGTGCATCATATACATTCAAGACCTTTCTGGGCCTTACCAACTTATCTGCCCCACGAGTCTCCCGACGGAAGTCCGTCGTTTTTACCGTTGGATTTGGCCATGTACGACCTAGGCCGCCGACCCCCGGGCCCAATAGACTACGCCTTGGGTCCCATCCCAGAAGAAAAAGCAGTCAAAACGAACAGTTACTTCCACTCCTTGCTTGGGAGTGACTACGAGAAATATGCGCATATGCACTCACATCGTGCCGAACAATCCAGAACCCAGCCACCATGGGTCGCCACAGGCAATGAGTACGCCGAGTTCGTCCGCTGTGGAGTGATACAAACCTCGATGGGCCGGGTAACTTCTGTGAATCCTGACCCAGATACTAAAAAAGCTTCTGTTCAGTACGAAGGGCCCGACGGGAAAATGAAGACGATCGACAATGTGGCGGCGATAGTCATGGCCACCGGATTCATGCCGTACAAGTCCCTGTCATTGCTACCAGATGAAGTATTGACAGCACTCGAATATTCCAAGATGGATCCCTTCTCACCGTTAATTCTGGACAAGGGAGGTACCGTCCGCTCAGAAATCCCCGACGTCGGATTCGTCGGATTTTACCGCGGCCCGTACTGGGGCGTGATGGAGATGCAAGCAAGGTTCCTCGGGAAACTCTGGGGTGGAGAGAACAACGGCATGGTCTGTGAGACAGACAACCAGAAACAAAGTCTTCGCAGTCTCAGATTGGCACACCCAGATCTAGCCCGCGGCCAGTTCCCCATGGGCGACTATGTGGGATTGATGGAATCGTTCGCCAAGGATCTGGAGATTAGTCGCTCAGCATTGGAATCGGGCGATGGTCGGTCTGGGCCTGCTGTTCCAGCGAGGTATATTTATGGCGATACCCCAACGCCAGGTATAGAGAGCGAGGCGGAGAGGACTCTCCGTGCATTGCGCGACGCTCTTCTCCCTGGCCACGAGACAGCACAGAAGGCCGCAGCGTCGGCTATCTTTCGGGCTCTGCATGGGACTTGGAAATCTTCTGTGCAGACAGTAGGTGCGACTAGATGTGAGACATCTGGGACTTTAGCCTTTTACCCGCGGTATCCGACTAGCACGGCATATGATAGGGAATATGTATGCGTGGAGACCGGACGGGAACAGCCTAAGCAAGAGAAAGTGTGGTTCATGCGGTTGGCAGAAGCGGGAGATATTGCCACTCCCCGAATTGGGGTATGGTCTGGCTTGGCGGATAAGCTGTCGGTCGATCGACTTGTCCAGGTCTGGGAGTTGATGCCTCTTTACCGGGAGACGAAAGAGGGGTGTTCTATTCCTGGGGAGTATGTTATCTCCGCCAAGAGTGTTGATCTGGGTTCTGGGGTCGAGTATTTGTATACTTTCCATTTCAAAGGGGTTTCTATCTCGTCCTGGGAATGCGTGGGTAGTTTGGAGGATAAGGATATAGTAAGCAAAGGGAAGTGGGAGCTGACTTCCTATTCCTATGTGAGATACTGATGGAGTTGGGATCAGAGATTTTGAGTACTGCATATTGGAGACTAGGAGAGGGATGCCGAGCTTCCGGTCGAACAGGATAGACATAGCCGGATAAAAGAGTGAAGACTCGGAAATAGAGGAAAAGCTTAATTGTGCAAAGGTTAATATACGATATACTACATAACTACATAAGAGATAGAAGAGATGTTCCTGTCTATGCATACCCGCGATGTTCTAGACCAATGTAACCGTCACTCTATCACTCTTCTATATTTTCTATTGCAACGGCAAAAGACTTTAATCTAAGAGACATCTAGAATTAACCTTTTTTTGACAGTTGACAGTTCAAGAGACAGCTGGATCTACACAGATATTTCCCCAATTGGCAGGTCAAAGAGAAGAAACTCCTCGTGGCGTTCCCGGGGTAGATCCATGGTATATGGATACCTCGGCTTGAAGAAGAACGAGTCTAGGCTGATCTGTTTGGACGAGAGGCAAAGGAGTTATGATCCCGACCAATGACTGTGTAGATTGAGGCTTGGTTCGGTCCGGGGTGGATGGATATGTTCTATGATATCTGAGACTTCGGCTGGTGGTTTCTACTTCGGCTTCATTACTCCGTACATCTCTATATATTCCATATATTCCCTATATTCTACATGTTCTTGGTTCTTTTTCTAAAAACATAGCCATCCCAAGGACTGCAGTCCAATCAAACCTGCAATTCCAATCAAAAGAACCCAAGTTAGGGTTGTGAAGGCAATACTTCTACATTCGCCACACCCTCCTCTCAACTATACACCACATACAACATATACAATTTCGATCAAACCCTCAAACCCTCAAACCCTCAAAACCACACATATCACCATACCACCAACCAAACCAACACACCAACACACAAACACACAAACACACCAATAATGTCCCCAAGCAAAACCTCAACACCACTAGACCCAATCTCCACCTGGCGCGCCTGTCAAACCCTCACAATAATCTACACAAACCTACTAAACCGACAAATCCGGCGACGGTGGCTCCTCGAACAAAAATGCATGCAAAACAGACCCCTCCGCGAACGCTTCCGACCCGTGATCTTCCTCGAACCCATCCCAACCCTACGCAAACCCAACACAAAAACAAAAGAAACCAACCCTTTCAACGAAACCACAATGGAAAAACTCCGCACGCGAGTCGCGCTGCTCCGCGCGCGCGTCGAAAAGGGAAAAGAACTCGCTTCTGAGATCGAGCGTCGCATGGTGCAGGATCCGCCCATTCGCTTTCCGACGCATTTCTGTCATACTTGTGTTGAGGATGGGGAGAGGGTTGGGGTTTTGCTTACGACGTGTGGACATCGGGTTTGTAGGACTTGTATTGAATATGGGGTTGATGAGAATGGGGTTTATGAGTGTAGTATTTGTTTTGCGCCGACGGGTTTCGTGGCGCGTAGTCCTGTCGTGTTTGTTAAGGATTATCCTGGGGAGGTTGTGCCGATTTTGAAGGAGGGGGAGGTTGTGGTTTGATGGAGATGAGGAAGGAGAGGGAGAGGGAGTGGGAAGTTGTCTTGGATGTTAACTTAAGGTTGGCGTTGGGTTATATTTGCATCTTATATGGGCATGTGTATTTCTAGCGATATCTCACGTTCTACTTAATATCAGAACTCATAATGAAACCAAAAGTATGAATTATGTGCAAGGGACAATTTATAACCAAAATAGCCCTCTCAGGCTGGAAGAAGTCCATCTTGTCCTTCTCGTCCAGTCCAAGTCAAAACCAAAAACAAAAATTCTTTCAGAACACAATCTAACCTCTATTGACTAGACCAGGGAAAATCCAGAATGCATCGTGAGCCATAAGCTATCCAGGCCATGGCAACGCCTTTTTCGCACCGAAATTGAGAAACGGGAATCCAAAACGTGGGGACACTATGCCCGGGGAATGAGGGGGGTCATTATACAGTAATTATGAGAATGCAAAGCAAATAAGCATCTACCCCAAAAGCGTGCATGAATCCTGGAGATGACAGGAAGAGAAGATGGTGTGAGGGACAACGCCCACGACACGAATTGCAGCAGCAATTCCGAGAGAAATCATATATAATCCGTCTGTCATCAGCGGTCCTCTGCTTTCTCTCCACCGTCAATGACCATATTGACTTCTTTGACGGGATGCAACAGCATAGGAGGAAGACACATGCGGCCCTCGCCAGCCAGCTCCTGCTGCTCACCGCCGTCATTGTCGACACGGCAGACCAAGCCAGCGGCGCCAGATATTCGGCGAGAAGCCCGCCGAGTAGAACCAGGTCGTACCACGGAAGTTGTGTTCACGATCGCCGAAGATAGACGTGCGAGCGCCACCAGAGGCTCCGTTGCGACCGGCATTGAACACTGATTCCAGATAACGGGTCGGCCAGCGGCGGTCGATGTAGACAGCGTGCGGGACAAAGACAGCCTTGAAGCCATGGTGCAGTGCCGTGGTCGCGGGCCACATCTCCGAGAACATGCTGTGGCGCTTGAGGCTGCATTCGCGGTGCATGGTGGTGAGCAGCTTGCGGGAGATTCGCGACGCGGTGATGATCGCGGTACGTCGTGGTGGCATGCCATTCTCTCTGTTGTAGCCTGTCACGTCATCGCGCAGCAGCCAGGTCGTGCCCTCGGGGTCGTAGAGCGGATTGAACACGACAAGGTCGGCGTCCTCACCCACACCCCATTGGTACTGGTCCTTATCCATGCTGGTGGGTGGAATGCCCTCACCCTCGACCTCAAAGATGTCCCGTTCGTCGGGGCGCTCGGGGCCCCAAATAGACTTGTCACCCTTTTGGTGCATTGCGCCTCGCGTGTTGCCTCCCGCGTTGGCAGCGCTCCATATGTTGTTAGCCGAGTTGGTACCGCTTTCGGTCTGCACGCGGACCATCTGCCGGAAGTCTTCCCATGAGCCGTGGACGGACGGAACATAGAAGCGAGCATTGCGCTCCCATAGACCCTTTCGTGGCTGCTTTTTCGCCCACTCGCCGACCTTGTCGAAGAGGTGGTACCATTGACCCGTGTAACGCGCATCCATCTCCCAGTTCCAGAAGTAATCGTACTCGGGATGTTGGAAGGCGAAGTACTGCATGGGCATGTACGTGCTGCGGTAGACACCGTGGATTGGCAAACCGCGAGTCAGAGTCTCCTCCAATCCGGGATACATCAGGGCCATCTGCGGCTCGGACCAGAGAGTTCCCATGCCGCGGAACTCCTGTGGCAGCGCGTCATCGAGCACACGCTGGTATGTCTCGTCATCCGACCAGATCTGCAGGTTGGTATCCTTGACATGAACCAAGAAGTGAACAGTATACTCGCCACCGGACATAAGCGAGAGCTCTGAGATGATAGAGCGCATATACATAATGTCCTCCGGGGTATAATTGAAATCGTGCCATGTGCGAATAACCACTGCAGTACGCGGCAGACGCTCAGATCCAACCTTGGGCGGTTCCTTGCGGCTATCTTCCACAGGCGGGATGTTCACTTTGGGAACACCCACAGGCATAGAAACAAAGCGGTTGAGACGCGGCTCCGGCAGCTCGGTAAAGCGATGGCGGTTAGCCGAGTGACAGCGATGTTGCGCAGCAGCCCAGTCCACATGCCGGAAATCCACTGGCGGGACATCCTCCCACACGCGGTCGGCGCCGTCACGATGGCCCTCCATGCCCGCGCCGATGCCGCCTTTCTTGGCCCCGTATCCCAACCCGTATGGACCCAATCGACCAAACCGATCAAAGCACATGTCGTCCCGAATACCCAACATCGTATTCGAGCCTAGCGCTGGATCCGGGAAGCCCTTTGGCACTCCGGGGTAGCTTTGGATAGGCGGAACCCGTAGCGAGTTCTCCTCGTTGAGGAAACACTCGAGCTTTTCGCCGTATTTCGCTATATAATCCGGCGACTGGTAGTCAGGATAAGGATCGAACACCTTACTCAACATGTTTGGGTGTAAATCCCTCCTGGTCACTTTGTTGGCTTCCTGCTCCTGCTCCTGCTCCTGCTCCTTCTGCTCGTCGCTTTCGTCAGTCCGCATAGCCAGATCCTCAGAGCCATCGCCGGGGTACTCAGGCACATTTTCAGAGCGTGGAACCAAGGAAGAGATACCGCCCTCGTAGCGACTGAGGAACGGGAAGCTCTCCCATTGTGGCGGCTTCGGGGCGCCGACCTTGGGCAGTTCGACGGCGACTTGTGAAACGGAGGAGGAGATGGTAAAGCGGAAGAGGGTGAGGACGAAGAGGACGAGGGCAACGAAAAGAGCGAGGCAGAGCCAGCGCATGATCCGCTGGGGCACGCGAAAGCCAACGCTAGCGTGGGGGCGGCGAAGACTGCCGCCAGCTACGATGGGCGGCGGGTAGGAGTCCGCGACATTGTTATCGTCCAGCGACTCGTCGTCAGAATCGGGGTCATCGCTCAGGTGGTGATGATATGTGTGGCGCCCGGTGGTGGGTTGTTTTTCGATGTCTGTATCTCGTGAATTATAGGGTGATGGGGACTTGTAGGCTGCGGAGGGCCTCCTAGCCTGGACGGTCATGATTCCAGACAAGGTGTCAACATTGAATGAGTGGGGTAATTGTCCAAAATCACTCAATCACCAACCCATCTATTTAATAAGTGTAATGATAGAACAATCGGTCAAGTATTGCCCAGATCAGGGGTGAATGTTGGAGGTAGGGAGTGGCACGCGATGCGCTGTGTTGTTGATCGTCGGCCAGGCAATGGGCCTTTGAGTTGGTGTCGCTTTGCGGAGGTCAGAGGTGAAAAGGTGAAAACAGTGGGAAACAGCAGAAAATAGTATAATAGTATAATTTTGCCTAAGACTAGACAATATTCCAATCCTCCGTAAACAAAAAAAAAGATCAACAGACCAGGGTCCAAGTATTTTCCCAGTAATTTCTGCAGTTAAAGTGCCAAGACAGTTGGCGCTGCCCAAAACAGAGGGATTACGCAGTCTCCAAATGGACTGGTCTAAGCCCTAGATCAGCCCTGTAATTTTCCTTTTCCCCTTTTTTTCTATTTTTATCTATCTTGTATAGGCATCTTTAATAGCCTTTTTTATAGGCCTTCTATACAACTCTGCTTATATATGCTAGATTTGGATGGATAGAATATAAACAATGCCGCATAAGCGACTATTCTTCTGTAGTTCACACATATTCATAACTCTATACAGCATACTCCAGGCTCCTTGGCTCGTGACATCCTGCAAAGAAGAAAGATTGAAAATACTTGAACCATAGCCAATCCACCAGTTCCTAGACTTCATTGTGCCACAGCACTAACCAACTCGGTCATACTCTTCTTCACATGACCTAAAACATAACTGGCCAGCTCTTTGTACAGCTTGGGCTTCTCTTCTTCCTCGGCATCTTCGTATAATTTTTCAAGAGCTCCTCCGTTCATAGCGATTTCCATATAGATCGATCGATCATCTTCGTCTACCCCAATACAAGCAATGAAGGCCCCGAACTTTAGCAATATCGAGTTGAGAATCAAACGGCACATTCGGCCGTTACCATCAATAAATGGGTGAATATTCACGAATATGTGCGTATACTTCGAGGCCAAGGCGATAGGGTCGATTGTCCCATTTGTCGTAGCTTCTTTCAGGTCACACTTGAGCTCGTGGAACATGGACTTCGTTTTATATGGGACCAGGGAGGGATGAGGAAATGCATGTAGGCCCGCACTCACTTCGTGTGATCGGTACACGCCACTATATTCCATCCAGAGGGTAGTCTCGGCGTCAACTTTGTAGGTCAGGATGCGATGGGCGTCGAGGATGATTTGCTCGCTCAGGTCCTGGCCACGGATGCACAGCTGGTCGATCATAAATGCTGCAGCTTTGGCATGTTGTACTACCTCCTGTCGACTACGCAGGACAGCCGAAGTGTCTGCAGGAAGGTTTTGGCTTATGAGACTCTCCTTGAGTGACAAGTACTCTTGGTCTTGCTCTTCAATCTCCTCGGGAACCTCTTTACCGCAGAAGATGGCGAGACAGAGTTTGAGAGTAATTTCTGAGTTACTTCCAGCTTTCTCGATCTTATTTGAGCCGTACACCATCCATGCGAGTGAGTGCAGAATATGGTTCACGAATGCCGCTTCTTGGCGAGGTGTGAGTCCAGTTTTAAATACATTGGACAGCTCATTTGCAAGGGTGGCCATCTCGCGGAAGACCGTATCGGGGTTGAAATCTTCGTGACCGATCTTTGACTCATAGGAGTCCTCCATGGCCACGGTAAAACAAGTCTCGACTCCGCGTAGAGCATGAGCAAACATGGTTCCTTGATCGAGGTGAAGTGTAGATATCATTGAATAGATGTGAGTTTTGAAGAAGAAGCGTAGTGATGATGAGCAGAACAACTACGGAGTACATGTATAGATGATGTGGACCTGTCATTCAAGTACCTACATGTATGGGTCCATGGATGAAAGTACCAAGGTAATGTTCTGATGGAAAGAGCCTCGGAAGGCACGCGATATATAGGGAAAGAACTACCTAGGTACCTACTAGTACATTTTAGGAACATTATACAGCCAACATAACCTTCCAAGGTTGGAAGGTGCCTTCCTTAGTGCCTTCCAAGGTTTTTCCCCGATGCTTTTATTGGGGCCTGGGGTCCCAGCCCTGGATGGGACGCTTGGGCTCAGTCAGCAGCTTGGACTCAGCAGCTTGGACTTCCAAGCTAACCCCTTCCAACATCGCACTTTCGCATGGCACTCTCCCGGGCCATTCGACAAGATGGCAATGCGAATTTTTTCTAGGATTTCTTGGGCCAATTGGAAAACCAACATACACGCGTTTTCTTACTCTCGACCTCAACATATGAGCTTCTTCGCGTCATCTCGCCTCAGGCAACACTACGTACCTCACTCTCCTGGGCTCTATACTGAAACCAAGAACGGCAAAGGTAATCATGTCATAGTAGAAAGCACATTATCCCGCTCAGTTACGCTAAATAGCTGATTACTTCTCTTCTAGACGAGAAGATAACTGAGGAAGATCTGCACCGATACACCAGACACCGATGGCTGTAAGCTACCTACGCCTGACGTTCTGGGTTAAGACAATGCTTATAGCTTGACTCAAATTTCAAGGTTTAATGAAGCAAAAGAACTCTCTGATCGTTACGTGGAATTCGACCTACAGCAACTGGTTCGGGTTGCCGTCGGTGTTTGCGAGGGAGCTCAATCCTGTGCGTTACTATCCTTCGGGATTCGCAACATACATATTCTAATATCCACGATAGGCACCAAAGTCACAAAATGTCCAGAAGGCCTACATAATAAAGCATTCATTTTGACAATGGATAATGGTTGCGAGGTTTTCGCAAAGCTCCCAAATCCCAACGCCGGGGCTACTCGTTTCACAATTGCATCCGAGATCGCCACGCGCAAGTTAGTAAGACTGCCGACTCATCTTTGCTATGTCCAATTCCATAACCAGATCTACAGCTTTCCGACGTGTTGAACGTCCCTGTCCCTCGAGTCCTAGCATGGTCCTTTGACGCGTCAAGTACTCCTGTCGGGGCTGAGTATATCATTGAAGAAAAAGCGCCCGGTGCTCGTCTCGGCTCTGTTTGGAGTCAATGGCCTCGAAGTTCGAAGCTCCAATTGATCACGCAAGTGGTTGATATTCAGAACACTTTAGCCGGCGTGAATTTCGGTATGCACGGCTGTATTTACTTCAAGGATGATCTTCGCTTCCTAGGCGAGGAACCTAAAGAAGCCAACATTCAGTCTGATACGACCGACATCCCTGATATATTTGCCATTGGACCTCTCACTACCAGCGAATTGTGGAACGGGGTAAGGAGTGGCATGGATTTGGATCGTGGTCCCTGTAAGTCAAAGAGTCGACAGGCTAGTGTAAAGCCGCTAATCCTTTACCAAAAATATAGGGAAGGATCCCAGTGACTATATTCGCGCATTAGGGCGCAACGAGATTGCGTATATCAAGTCACATGCAATTCCTCGGATGAACTATCATCGGTCACTAAAAACCAAGGAAGATCCCGAGGACGGCCTTGCTCTTCTGGACAAATATATGAAAGTCGCTCCTTATCTTACTCCTCAGCCTACCAACGGAGCAGCGTCCGAGGGAGCACCGTCTAACAACGTTCTAATGCACCCCGATCTTCATCTGGACAACATCTTCGTCGATCCAGAGACCCTGCAAATCACACGTATTGTGGATTGGCAATCGGCACGTGTTGCGCCGTTATTCTATCACGCCGATGTTCCGAGGATGTGTGCCCACCGTGGACCTCTCCCGGAAGGCTGGGCCGTCCCCGAAAGACCAGAAGACTTTGGTATCCTAAGTGCGGAAGAACAACGCAAGATCGACGATGATCTGGAAAGCCAGATCCTCCACAAATACTACGAGGCCCAGGTGTATAGACGATCACCTCGTTACTGGTCTGTCCTCAAAGATATGAGGATCCCTATCTTCCGAAAACCAGTTTGGCTTGTCACGGGAGCGTGGGAGAACCGCGATCTATTTTTCCTTCGCGAATCACTCATGTCGCTCTTTGCGCATTGGGAAGAGCTTGTCCCAGGTGTACCATGTCCGATTAATTTTACCATTGAGGATGTCGAGCTTCACTCCGAGGAAGAAGAGAATATAAATGGTGTTGGGGAGATGCTGAGATTGTTCCGAGATGAATCCGTGCTCCCGGTTGATGGCATGGTGGAGCCCAAAGACTATGATATCGCCCAGAAAAACAGCCGGGAATTGAAAGACACCTTCATCGGACTGGCGAAAGATGACGAAGAGAGAGAATTATTCACGAGACTCTGGCCGTACCAGGAACCCGCCGATACTTAGTGTTCATAAGTCTACTTCGACAATCAGAGCTGTGTATGTTTATATTTTCAGGTAGTTATATGCTTTTGTCCTATAGATCCAGGGCACTCCATCTGTCCGCATTAGCCCTAGTTATCCTACTGCAATGCATATTGCACATGTCCCACCATAATCTCAGCACTATATACTCTCGGCATAAGACCAAATAAAAACAACCGTATAGATGGCTGCCAAAGCCTAGTTCGGGCTGAGTCGGGTTCAGGTACCATCACGTGATAAACTACAACATTCCTAAAACGGCCAAGATAGGAAAGCAGACAGAAAGCAGGTGGAAAGTATCGAAATCTCTGCTCATTTGTTCCTCTTGTTCTCTCTCTCCTTGCCCAATATGAGATTCTGAGATTTTACAATTTTGAGTACTTATACAGATCTCTCGGGGTTCCAAGGCAGAGAAGTAATTTTGGAGCGACGCCGGAGAGAAGAAAAACAAATGAGGCTAATAGCATAGCGTAGAGGAAAAAGAGACGTTTGAAGAGAGAACATCAAAAGAAGTAGCGAACCAGTTGCAGAACCCCTTTCCTTGCAGAGATCAATGTCATGTGTGGCCAAAGAACTCCCCGCCATTCATCATCATCAATCCATCATTTGCAGATTTCGGTATTCTCCTTCACCCAGCTACACGTCCGATTCAAATTTGCATTATAAACCTTAATCGCGGTTGGTTTTCCGGAGAGCATCGGCGAGCCACTCCAGACCTTCGTACAGACCGTCACCAGTAGTGGCGCAGGTAGATTGGATGAACTGGACCGATCGTTAGTGAATCTGTACATATCTCATACATCGAGGATGTCACTTACCCAAGCACGACGGGTAAGGCTCTGGAGACCAAGCTGCTGCGTGATCTCGGCGGGGCTCATAGCGTTCTAGACAAAAGCGGGGGAGGTCAGCATGAGATTCATCAAAACATTTTCTCCGATCCAGGTCCTTACGGGCAAATCCTGCTTGTTGGCGAACACCAGGAGGAGAGCATCACGGAGCTCGTCCTCGTTCAACATGCGCTGCAACTCCTCACGGGCCTCGACGATACGATCCCGATCGTTGCTGTCAACCACGAAGATGATACCCTGGGTGTTCTGGAAGTAGTGGCGCCACAGAGGACGAATCTTATCCTGACCACCGACATCCCACACGGTGAACTGAATGTTCTTGTATTCGACAGTCTCGACGTTGAATCCTGCACTAGGCGTCAGTTTCCGGGAAGGGGGGGGGCTTCAACGGTTCCCACGCGGCTTATGAAATTGCGAAGAGCGCATCACGGTGTCGCCGGTGGAAGGGTCGGGGAGCGGACTAACCGATCGTGGGGATGGTGGTGACGATTTCACCGAGCTTGAGCTTGTACAGGATGGTGGTCTTACCGGCGGCGTCAAGACCGACCATCAGGATGCGCATCTCCTTGCGGCCCCATAGCCGGTCGAACAACCGCGAGAAAGTAATACCCATATTGTCGGTAGCGAGATAAACCTCGGATCCTGGGGAGGAGTGGATAGGTCAGAGAGATATATCGAGGGATGTGGGTGAAAGGGGAAAAGCGGAGGGGTTGGAAAACGTGTTGTGGACTTGTCGGTCAGAGATCCAGGGGGGGCAAATCTGGGCACGAGCCAGTTAAACCTGCATCACTTACCGGCAGAAAAAAGGTATAAGTTTTTTTTGGATTGAGAAGGTAAAGAGATGCAAGTTCAGGGGAATTATCGAAAGAAGTCAGAAGGGGAAATTCAAAGGTTTCGTTTTTGTTTTGAATACGCAGAAATACGCTGACCGATGGCGGTGGGCGTAGTCTTCGTCACCCGTTTTTGACTTGGAAGAACACGCAACAGTTCGAGAAAATGAGGAGAGGAGATACAAAAAGAACTTATGATTCTACGACTTTTTCGGGATATATATGGTATAACTTATGATAATAGTTCTGCCTATATAGACTATGGAAATGTATATATCTCCTTGGAAGAGGACACGGTGTTGGCCCCGTAAGTGAAATACCAAACCTTGAAAGTCCGGGCGAAGACCCTCAACGGTCCCACCGTGTCTGATAGGCCGATAGGCACCCTTTCTTTGGTGCGTCATATGTTTTCAATTCAATGCTTTCAATGTTTTTCTCTTATTCCCGTCGTCGTGACATTTTCTGGCGAGAATTCCGGAAGAATGTTCGTACCATTGACCGATAAATCGTCTTCCCTTCGACGGTATCGCTGGCGTAACCGAAAACGGTCAAGAGCAAGACGGAAGCAACGAAGATCACTGCGAAACTGACCCAGTAATCCGTCTTGGTGTACCCATTCTTCACGCCAATGAGTTCCGTCGAGAAGTATGCACTCATCAAGCTAACTGGCAGGAACAAAATGGTTGCCTTGGCCAGCAAGATAGTGATCCGAGTGAGCTTCTCAACAGCCTGTGAGTCCTTGAGCGCAATCAAGTTGAAATTCTAGGCCACGTCAGCAGGGATTCTCCGAATAGAGACCGGCAAAGCGCTTACCAGGAACGTCAAGGACTCTTTCTCATTGAGGCAGTTCTCAATCTCGCTCAAACAATACAGGTTGATACGATCGACCAACCGTTCGAAGCGCGCCACAGCCGTCGAGCTCAGCTGCACCCCGACCGATTTCTCTGTTGTGTTGTGGAAACTGGAATTGCTCACGACACTCGACTGGCGCATATCCACGAACTCCATATCGCCAAAGGTGGCTCCATACGAGATTGCGGCTGGTTGAGCCGAACGCGCTTCGTCGCGGAGCATGCGTTGCCGTTGCAGGAGTCGCCGCATGATAAGCTCATAGCTCTGATACAATCGTTTGAGAACGGCGAGTCGCCGACCCAGCCAGTGCAACTCGTTTACCAAATCCACCACCGGACGCTCGAGCATTTGGCCTCTCTGCGCGGAGTTAGCCATAAACAGACACACATCAAACTGGCTACAAGAACGATACTAACCAAGTTCTCCAAAGCAACACCATACTTGTGTTCTCGCTTTGCGATGAGCCCATAACTCGACACCCAGTCGTCGAAGATATAGTAGAAGAGCAAACTCGGTCCATCCTCCTGCTTGATATTGGCTTGATCCGGTCCGAGGTCACTAAAATGTCGCACGCGGATGGTGATTAAGGACTCGCTCTCGGACATGGCAAAGTGCTGTCTCGAAACGCCAGCGAAAATAAAGCGGATATTCCGACGCACGATGTCGAGGACTGGCTTGGCTTCGTCTATCGGCACTCCCTTTCGTCTTGGGAATGGGTTCTCTTGGATTGAGATTATTGTGCCTGCAAACAAGTCAACGGCTGCACTCGAGGTCCGAGAATGCGCGTGTCGCCGCGCGGCTCATACCATCATCGCACTGCACCAGCCAGGTCCAAAGCCGTTTTCCATCCGGGAGATCTTTGCCATTCGGTTGTGATAGTGTGGGGATCACAAACAACGTATTATAGCCGATACACGTGTCTGATGGGTTGTTTAACGTTTATGCTCACTCAAATTTGGTGTGGTATACTCACATCGAGGACCGTGGTCTACAGAAGAGAAGTGCCAGATTTGATCCGTGACTTGTGCAAAGGTGAGATTCTTGAAGGATGCCGACTCGCGGGACCTATCTTGCTCGGTGAGATGCTTGAGTGCATTCTCCGGGTCATCCACTTCATGCTGGAATGACGGCGCAACACTGGGCGATTGCGAAGTCCTTTTTGTTGGTACTGGTGTAGTAGCTTTGGCTTCAGGATGATGCACTGGCTCTGTGCACATCATCCCCTGTAGTCGTTCCGACACCCCGTAGTGTTTGGTAATCGCCTGGGAATGGTCAGTCTATACTGCTGCTCATATGTGAATGAAATTGAACATCCTACCCTTATGCTTTCCTTCTGCTCCTCTGGCGCCCATATATTACTATGATCGCGTCAGTATACACTCAACTACATCTGAGAACTTAGCTCTTACATCCACCGTGTACCGAAGCATTTGTCTCTCTGTATCATGTCAGACCTTGGATATTGGATAGAATTCAACCAAGCTGAATGTGAAAATGACATACCGGTTTACTCAGCAATAGTTTCAGTTCATTGGTACCCAGATCAGATGCACACCATGCCTCTTCGTTGCCAAAATCGAGCACAAAATTCTGAGTAAGAGGATCCTGTAGGCGACGCATAGCAGTGTAAAACTGCGTTTTATCGTCGATATTCTTAAATCTTTCCACAAGCGAGCCCTCATCGTCAAGACTTGCGTAGTAATCCTGAGGCGCAGTTGACTCGCGCGAATCTGTTGTATAAGACATGATGAAAGCAAACTTGTTTTCCAGACGCTGGATCAGGAGGAAATGACTTGTATATAAGTCGGGGAAATATTAATAGCCAATAGTCGAAAGATCAGCTGTCAAGTCAGGAGGGGGTATATCACCCGGGCATTAGGTCAAGCGACGGGAATCATAGAAACAACCTTAACCAGATAATGGAAACCCGGGATATATCACAGAAAAGAATAAACAGAAAGCCAAGTTTAAATATCTTAACCTCACCGGGGCGCAGCCTTAGTTAAATACTACAAAATGGCCAACCCTGGTGACCAGTCATCTGAGGCTGACACTGCCGCCCGTCACGTTTAAGCGCTGCGATCACCTGCAGCCCCCGCTCATGTCAAGTATTGTTTCATCTGGCGAGATTCGTCCTAAAATAGAAAAATAAGTATAGTAACTTCCTCTTTGCTCACTTTGTGGGTTGCTGTTATGTATCCGTCTACTTAGCAAAAGCTTGTATTTCGGTCAACGGACTATATCGGACTATATATATTGTGCGAGGTCAGAAGAAGATAATGACGATTGTTGAAGATCTTTCTAGTATATATGCATCCAATAATTAATACACGTAAGCTAGCTTGCGAACCTTGGAAAATGACTTTATTTATCAGTTGGACTATTATGCGCCTGGTTAATAAGTAACTCGTGCCTGTGGCTGATCTACATATGGATAAAATACAGGGTTCGTCAATCTCTGCCTATTCGGTATGTACTAATTATATGTATGTATTACCATAACTCGATGCAGAGCATTGTACTTTTCCGGGAAAAAAAAAGAAAAGAAAAGAAAAAGGCTGTGGACTTTAAACAGGTAATCAATGGTAGTGCTACTACGCGGAGATGAATCCCAACGCTGGATGGAATTTGATTGTAGCAACTAGTAATGTACCTATGTTGTATTACACCGGATGTGGGTATTCTGACATAGCCTGGTTTGTTATTCGAGTGCCTTACATGAGATCTCATTTCACCATGGCAATTACCATATCTGGGTATGCGAATTGTTGAAGCTAGGAGCGAAGCTGCTCCGAAAAAGAAGTCGTAATGCCATGTGCCACTAGCCTAAGCTATTGGGATCCCAGTCATGAGCGAGGCGAGAACCTTTGGCTCCAAAACCTCTTCAATGTCAAACCAATAGCGAAACTCGTCAGACATGCCCTTATCAGAATCAATCTCATCCTGGATTGGCTTTTTGTTCTTGCAGAAAACCCTCAGCTCCTTGCATGCCACATCTCCATTCTTCTGCAGATACTCCTGCATGATATCGCCACAGTTCTTGACAATTTGACTGTGAATCTGAGTGCCAGTCTTGACAGAAAGTCCCATTGCACGCGCATCTTGTGCTGAGCCTCGCGCAATGTGATGGACTAGAAGCCCAATGATTCCGGTGTGATATTCATCGGGCATACAGCTAGTCGGCACAAATTGGTCAAAATTGCGGTGCTCTTTCGCTTTGATCAGACTCAGCAGCTCCAGGGAGCGCTTGTGCATGCCGAAGTAGTTGAACAAGAGTAAAGGCTCCTCTTCGAACAACTTCCTTTTCAGAAGCATGAGAAGTTGCAGGGTGCCGAAGTTGCGGGTATGGGACCACTTCTGTTGAAACATGATGTCCGGATTGGAGGACTGAAGCTCCTTGCTGGTCACCTTGAGACTCGGTTCCTGCGAAAGTATATCCAGAACAGTGCCAATGTTTCTAATGCCGTCAACGCCAGCGACGTATTGGTCCCGGAACAAGTTCGCGACCGTCGTTGTTGGCGTCAGTACTCTGGGTTTCTTTTTGTCAGAGCGATGAAGATATTCTCTGTTGCGGGAATTCCTGGCAAACCTGGCAACGGAAGAGATGCCTGTGGCCAATTCAAGCCTATTCAAAGACTCGGTAACATTCTTTGGACGAGAACCAATGAATATATGAGACTCGCCATGAATCTTAACGAAAGCCTCCATATCAGGCCAGCTCAAGTCCTTATGCGATTCGGTCTTCGCAAGATTGTACAAGAAAGCCAGTTGCAGAACATCATACCATTGACTCACAAGCTGTTGGCCAATAGACTGCATCCGGGTATTGACATGAAACAAGACTAAGCCGCAGAGAATGGCATGCTGGGAGAAAAGCACATGTTTTTCTGGTTCAATATCGCCTGGCTTCGAGATACCTTTTCGTCTCAGTTCTGATAATGGATCCCGGATGATCCATGAAACCACGGCTAAGTGTATAGCTTTGATTTCTTCATCACCCTCCTTAGGCCAAAATCTGAGCGGCGGGTGCGGTTTGGAAACCTGCAAGTACTCATCAATGGTTTTCTGAATACGCAGCCCAGACACCCGAAGGTCTCCAAATGCACCCAAAGTGCTGTAACGCATGATGTGGTGAACATCAAGGAGGACCTGAGAAGCGAAACAAAGCCATGGAGTAACCTTTTTCGTCTTGAAAAGCTCAACAAGACCTGCAGTAATTGCATCCCGGGCAAGCATATGAATACCAGACATATGAATCAGAAAGAACTCCGGCAGTAGCTGGAGAAGGATGAGGTAGTCTTCGTTGAATTTCTGGCCCACGGACATTCCCTCTCTGTTCGCCTTGGGATCGTAAGTACCAGAACAACCTTTCTTGAAGACTGGTATATGGTTATCCTGCAGCACACCTATGAACGATTCCAGTATGGTCCGTGTTGGCAAGTAGTACCAGTAGGCTACATCGGAAATTTCTTTGCCGTATGGCAGACCGGTTTCAGAAGATGGGGTCACATCGATTCCACTGTTGTGACAAGCGAGATTAAAGACCAGCTTCTGAAGACCATCAACATATGAAGGGGCGGAAGCACTCCAGTCATCAATCACCTCCTGCACAAGATCTCGTGCAAGTTGCAAAGCACTATCGGTCACAACGGCAGCGTTCATAAGGTCGATCTTCTTGTCTCGGTATTCTGACCAGGTATGAGAGATAAAAGCCCGCATTTTGTACAAATCCTGGAACAAGCAGTATGCCTTGAATAATATGACGCGGCACTGTGAGTCCGTTGCCTCATCCTCGTCATTGTCAACCAGCTCCGCCTTCACAACATTCTTCAATTCGGGGGATTTCCGCTGTCCCTGTTGAGGCTCTTGTGGTTCCTCAACGGCGAGTACAGAAAATTTGTTGACAAACATGTCGAGGTTGGTGTCGCCACCTCCAGCCTCAGGGATTGGAGATTGTTCGTTATCTCTGTTGAAAGGGTTGTTCATCTTCGATTCCAGGGTCTCACAGACTTTCTCCAGCGCAGAGATAAAATGTGCGTGTCGCTTGTTATCCTCGGAGTCACCTTGCCCCAGAAACCAAGAAGTGACGTGTTTCCTCAATTTGATCGCTCGTTTGACGATGATGATAACTGGTTTAGGCACAGTGAGAGCAGACTCGGCCACAACATCAGCCAGCAATTGAAGATCCTTAACAGTGATTTTGTATTGAAGTGAATCTGAAGGATTTCTGGCCTTAGTTTTGCTCTTGCCTTCCCCTTGTTTAAAGTGGACGCGGTAGAAGTGAGGCCGGGCGGTTGGTAGCCACATTTGTCGGCTGCGTTAAGGAGCCAAGTTGCGAAGCTGTTGGTGTCATCCTTGTAGCGAGTGTAGCTGCTTTGCAAGGATTTGGGCAACATGATGACTTGTAGCACCCAAATTCCTCAGTTGCTGAGATTGGGGGGTAAATGTACAAGTCATGTTTCATGAGTATCTGCACCCAGTACTTCGGAAGCCATCCATTTTTTGCCGGAAGAACTTTTATTCATTCTCATGCTATGCGGCTATATATATAGATATGTGTGTATATATAATATGGTATACTAGCAGTAATAGACAGGGCGGAAGTACATGAAACATGATATCGATTTGTATGTATCTATGGATGCCTTAGGCGACAAGATATGTCATCAAAGGAAAATTTAGGGCACAGCTAAGCCCAATTCAGACTAGCGCTAACCCACACCCACAAGCGGAGAAATTCACGGCCCTCACAATTTCTTTTCTCAAGCATTCAGCGCAGAGCCATACCATAAGAATTTCAACTTCTTTTGGAAGACTGTAGCAATCATGTCTAAGATCACAGTCGGTACGTTTCAACTCATGCTATTACCTACAGGATCTTGCCACTAACTGCTATTGTCTCCTTACAGCCGGAGTGCGCCAGAATGTCGAGAACCTTCTCAACTACTCTCTCAATGAGAAGAAGCGTAACTTCAACGAGACCGTCGAGCTTCAGATCGGTCTGAAGAACTACGACCCCCAGCGTGACAAGCGTTTCTCTGGCACCATCAAGCTGCCTACCGTCCCCCGCCCCAACATGGCCATCTGGTGCGTTTCCCCTCGACAACCCCTCCCGCGGCGCAGACTTTTACATCGGTGATGCGCAACGGCGAGGGTCATCTACAAGTCAAATGAACTCGGAGCTAACAGACTAAACTTACAGTATTCTTGGTGACCAGCACGATCTTGACCGTGCTAAGCACCACAACATCGATGCCATGTCCGTTGACGATCTCAAGAAGCTCAACAAGAACAAGAAGCTCATCAAGAAGCTTGCTCGCAAGTACGATGCCTTCCTTGCTTCCGAGGGTCTGATCAAGCAGATTCCCCGTCTCCTCGGTCCCGGTCTGTCCAAGGCCGGAAAGTTCCCTACCCCCGTCTCCCACGCTGAGGACATGGCCGCCAAGGTCACCGACGTCAAGTCCACCATCAAGTTCCAGCTCAAGAAGGTTCTGTGCCTCGGTGTTGCCATCGGTCACGTCTCTATGGAGAAGGAGGCCCTTGTTGCCAACCTGATGCTCGCCATCAACTACCTTGTCTCCCTCCTCAAGAAGGGCTGGCAGAACGTTGGCAGTCTTGTCATCAAGGCTTCCATGTCTCCTCCCACCGTGTCTACTAGATTATCTGTCGCTTAACTGCGCCGGTGTTTTCTAGTTTGGGCCTGAGAACTGGGTTTATGTCATAGTCTCACGACTGAAAATAAAAATGAAGCTCATGATCGGTCTCAATTTGCTACCTCGATATCGTAATTACTTCTAATAGAAGTATACGGAGTAATGTAGTTGTAGATATATTTTAGAGTTGTACTTTACATTGATCATTATGTGTGAAACAAGAGACTATTTATGATACATGCAGGGAATCAATTTACTCCATGCCTTCCATCAACTCGGTTTTATCCAGAATCATGCCCCGCATGCCAATGAACTCACGGAGACTTTCCCACTCCTCGCCAACTTCCTCACCTCTCATATAAGGATCCTTGAAACCCCACGCGACAGCAACTCTATCCATGGCAGCACGCTCTTCCTCGCGCAACCACCGTTGTCGCAGAGGGATACCAGGAATCCAGACCACACGCTCCATCTGATCGTTAGCCGTAGTAATGGCTAAGATGCCCATGGAGGATGTACCGCCAACATAAGCCAGAGTAGCGGCGAACGCAATCCCAGTCGCTACATTCGGATCCATTGTATTCTGGAATGTTGCGGCCCATGACGCGAGAGCATAGCAAGCAGCCGGGGCAGCTGCAAGGCCGGTTAGAGGGACACCGGCTTTCTTGAAGATTTTCGCGCGGTGGAAGGCGGGGGCGCAGAAAGTGTTATCGATGATGGCTAGCACGAGCGAGAGGTTTTTCTGTGCAATGGCAACCCCAAGAGCCATGTTAGCCAACTCCGCCGGAACGGCGCTGTTGACACTCTTGGGATTCGCCTTCAGCAACTTTACCGGAGAGCTGCCCTCCTCTGGGACAGGCTTGTAGGCATAAAGGTGGAAGATCTCGGGGAAATGCTCAGCCCGTCGCAGCAGAGTCAGGGTCTCGGTGCAGGAGGCCAGCGCTTCAGGCGAAATGAAGACCTTCTCGTCCTTCATAATTTCAATGACAATTTGTGAGACTGCATCTGCCAGTCGTGGGTCTGAGTGCTGTGAGGGTTGTGGTTTGCCTTTGTTCTTCGCCGCGGTTTGCTTCTCTTCCAGGTCCAGTAAAGAAGAGATCGCGTTGCCCTCGCCTTTTGAGGACCCCTCGCTTTGATCCCGTTCCCGCGAGACGAGGGACTCAGCGACTCGCTGGCATCTTTGGAGTAATTCTACTACCACCTCGCTGGAGGCTGCAGCGTTTGATTGGTGCACGGCAGATGCATCCCGTGCAATCTCTTTGATTACAGCCTCTGGGCTCGTCTTGGTTGTTGCAGCGGAAGCATATCGGCGGGAAATAAGTAGAGGAGAGTCCAATACCAATCTATCGGTTCGTTTCCAGGGCTGTAAACGGAGATTGGAGGCCGTAGCCCGGCTTGCGCGCGCGGGTAGACGCGCGATAGGGAGGCCACGACGGGGTGCTGAAGTCGAGAATTGACATAATTGACAGATTGGGCCCTGTGGCCGGGAGCCTTTACTGGCTGTTAGAGCAACTCTTTTCATGGCTGTGGTGATGGGTGACGTTGCGAGGCAGCTGTATTTTTTTTCGATGGCAGAGTCCAGGCGGAGACTTCGCCCCGACGCTGTCCACTTCCCCGTACTCGCACCCTGACGTCTTCTTACTTCTCTGCCTAACAACTCCATGTTCCCTTTTATTCTGGGAACACACCATTCCGACCTGATTGTTTTCTGAATTATATGCAACTGTCTATCTGATAAACCCATTATTTGATCCCTAACCATGCCACCTCCTCCCCACCGCCGCCGCCGCCGCCGGGAGGTTTGGGCGGTCCTCCCCCGCCGCCCCCTCCAGGTAGCCTCCCAAGCAGACCTCCTAAAGGGCAGGCCAAGGACAGGGTAGGTAAATGCGATGCTTCAATTTCACTGCCACAAGCAGCTTGTCGCCCAAGGAACTCGGTAGCTAACCTATGGATAGGGCGCACTTCTTTCTGATATCCATAAGGGCGCGAAGCTGAAGAAGGCTGTCACCAATGATCGATCAGCACCTCAAATCGGAAGCTCAGGAGGCGTCTCAGCAGCCCCTCCCGTCGCGGGTGCGCCACCTGTTCCTGGCGCGAGGCCGCCTCCAAGCGGACTTGCACCGCCCGTACCATCCGGCCCAGCCGCGAATCGATTACGAAGTAACAGCGAAGGAGTTTCTGGGACAGATGGTGCAGCCAGTGCAACGCCACCTCAATTAGGTGGTCTATTTGCTGGTGGGATGCCCAAACTACGCAGCCGTGGAGGTGTCGATACAGGTGCCAATCGAGACTCGCCATATATCTCTGATTCCGAAGGTGCACCTCGACCACCCGCTGCGGCAGCTCCCAAGCCTCCAACAGCTCCCCGGCCTCCTGGGACCAGGCCGCCTCCCCGTCCATCATCAACCGATTCACCGCCTGCACCACCGGTCAATTCCTTGGTTGCCGGCTTGAAGAAGCCTCCCCCGAGACCTGCTTCACGACCCTCATCTGCAGTTTCAGCGTCAGCTACAAAGGCCCCTGAAGTGCCACCTCCACGCGCACCTCCTCCCCCTCCAGCACCGGGCAAGCTTCCACCACCGCCTACATCAAGAAAGCCGTCCGGACCCCCACCACCTCCCCCATCAGCCCCCGCGACTCGGGCACCTCCTCCCCCACCGGCTGCTTCTAGATCGACACCACCCCCTCCCCCATCAGTAGCCCCGCCTTCAATTGCTGCGCAGGCTGCCCGTTCCGCCCTGGGACATTCTTCGCCTTCGGCACCTCCCCCGCCACCCCCATCAGCTGCCCCAGGTGCTCCTCCACCACCGCCTCCAACTTCACTTCCTGCAGCTCCGCCAAGTGAGCCGCCATCCCGACCACCCCCTGTTTCCTCTCGCCCTGTCTCCCACGAACCTATTGCATCGCTGGACCCTAGCGCTTATACACTTTCCAATGGTGGATCGCCTGGACCAAGCTCACGAAGCCCTTCAACACATGGACATGGCGCAGTCCGAATAGAAGACCCGCGATTCAAATTCCAAAGCGATGGGCTGCTCCCCAAACCACGCCAATTTATCGGTGGAGAACGCCGATATCGTGCTGGGAGAGGCAGCAGTGTTCCTTTGGATCTGAGTGCATTGCAAGGCTGATTGGAGTGCATGGGAAATTGCGGGCGATATCGTGCACACATAGTGAATTGCTACATAAATCCTTTTACGTTAGAGTCATCTATGTAGCTCATTGTCACTGTAGCCAAGTTTGTACAAAAGAATGTCCTTTTCTTATAAGACTCATCTCCTTTCATCAAACAGTATAAAATGATGTGGTATCCACCTCTCCCATAAGCTTCAGCACGTGATCCAAATCGGGGATGTCAATCGATTTATCGTGGAAAACGACCATGAAGCACCAAGACACGTGCTGCCACCAATCCCTTCGCTATCAGTCGATATCACCGACTCGCGTTCTCCAGCATTTTATTGTTATCGTCCAGGAGTATTCTCGCAATCTTCACTTGATATTCGACAAACAACATCGACCCGCTTTGCGCCATTGCCATCATTTAACATTCAATTGGCCTCGAACTCTCAACGGAGCTCCTACAGCTTTGGGTTTCTCTCGGCCAGCTTGAGGATTTTCAGCAAGTCAATTGCCACGCTACGACCAACCGCGACCAATCCGGCTCTTTACCTCGGCGAACACGTTTTGCGCGAAGTGACGGACTCCGAAGTTGGACGAGGATCCACGAACCCTCCCTGATCACGCAAAGCAAAAGAGCTACTCCAAGCTTAGTGACGGGACCACCGAGCTCGAGACACAGCTCGATCCCGACTCAGCGGTGTATCTACCTGTACCTGATCAACCGCAAAATTGACATACCCTTGACCTCGTTACACTCTCATCCAACATGTCTCTCCACTTTTACGTCAATAGTGAGTTTTGCAGTTAGCTGAGATGCCTTGCACATCCAATCTCAGGGGTATGTAGACCAAGTGCTGACCAACCTCGACTGAATAGAAAAAGTCCTCATCCTCACCGTTGACGGCCGCACACTCATCGGCGATCTTCTGTCAACCGACCAAACGACCAATCTTGTGCTCGCCAATACCGTTGAACGCATCATCCGCACCCCAGAAGACGACGAGCCCTCCACCGAAATTGAGCATGGGCTGTACCTGATCCGCGGTGACAATGTCGTGGTATGCGGTGAAATAGACGAAAAAATGGACGGAGACATCGACTGGTCCAAGGTGAAGGGCGAGGTAATCCGAGACACGAAGAATGCATGAGCGGGGATTTTTTGCACGGTGCTATTTTCCATTGTCATTTTTCGGGCGTTTTGGGGAAAACCATTTGCATGCGATACAACGATTCAGCAAGCCGATCTATCCTGGAGTTTGCCAGCGTTGCGTGGCCCTTTACTATTGAATTCGCCGTTGCAGGCTTGGCCCTTGGCCCTACAACGATGCGCAGATACGCTGTTGAATGTCGATCCGCCATGCTTTGATTACTTTCCGTTGCGAACCTACGAACTTCCCAAGCTGTCGATGTTGCTTTGACATCTTTGTGCAATGATGCAATGGCCAAAGCATATAGGAGGGGCTGCACATGGGGGGGTTTGCCATCAACTCGGCATTCTTGCCCCTCGAATGACTTTGCGGGGGGGGGGAAGAGCACAGACGAGGCTGGGCACCAAGACAGTGAATTTACAGGAGGATTCTAACTACTTGCCTCTCCCAAGTATGAAATGTCGAGGACCCCTACGTTCTTCGATCCAGAGCGGAATGTGAATTTACATCAGAGCAGTATGATTCGATATAGGTGGAATTACCATTCCGACTTTCTACATTCTCCTTTAAAAAAAGGAGTAATTAGGAGTAATTTCGTACCGTTTGCAGCCACATTCCTCGACTCCACGCGGGAAGATGCCAAGGCTACCTCGTTCGTATGGATTACGGAGTACCCTCGTAGAAAGAAAGAAAGAATCCCATAAAGAGAGGATATACTCCGTAGGTTGTAGCGAACGTAGGCAGTCATGTTACAGACGTACAGGCATAGTCAGTCAGGTCTGTAACTATGATTTTGTATGTTGTACTTGCTGGTCTCTCAAGCCCCCCCCTGGGGACTTGGCGCAGCAAGTTAGGAGGCTACATGCTGTGGCAATGTGATGTGTACAAGGGTATTTAAAAGATTCAAAAGAACAAGAGTAAAACTATTCAAACAAATTGTTCATACAACATATATCTTTACATATATGTATACCCAGCTCAGGCCGCAAGCAGTAATATCGAAAAGCCTAAAGGCGAAACAGGCAGAAACCACCGCCCCCCTCAGAATCCTCAGATCTCCCCTAATTGCCATTTCATCCTTTTTCTTACTTTCTCTCCCAACTATTTTTTACCCTCTCTTGGCTCTACAGATCGCTGGGCGATCTCCAATTCCTACGTCTTCCTTTCTATCCCCCTTTCCGCTGTTTCCCCCCTTTATCCCGCTCAGCCCTTCATGTGTCCGATAGTATCACTACAACACAACGAGCGAATACCGGGTCAATTCTACCAGTTCTCCCGGGCTGATAGCCCGTCTTGAATGACGGTGTACAACTCCTAGCCACAAAAGCCCCAATAAACCGATATTCCCCACTCACCCCCCCCGCGCCAGCCATGTGGCTCTATCGGGGCGCCCAGTCCGCAGTCTTCTACTATGCCAGTTGCACCCCCTGCGCCGAAAATATCGATCGTCGGAAACGTAGAAAGGATGCTACCCGGATCCAACGGGAGAAGGAGAAGGAGCGACGCAACAACGAAATCGTCACCGACCAACCCCGTCCATTCGCCCAACCAACCCCTTTCAGCACCAATGTAGGCTGGCGGGAGGAAATCTCCCTAGGCCCTGGTCCCCCAGCCCGTCGAGGTGGTCACCGCAATGTCCAACGAACGGATAGCTGGAATACCGACCAGAGCTCACAACTCAAGAAAGACAAGACTGGTGGCCTGATGCATCCACTCGGCGAGAAGTGGAAGTCGATGCGCTACCAACGGGAAGATGAGCCTCTTTGGGGACAGCAGGAAGTCCGCGGATCGTCCATTGGATTCTCTGGACGCGGTCGCGCAGACCCGAATGAAACCTCCAAGTACTACATCCCCCGCGTGCCGCCGGTGAACGATCTCCACCCGCCCATTGTTAGTGGGCCGTGTAGCCGCGCCGAAACCAGATGGATGCTCCAGCCACCACCAAGTGCCCGGGTGATGGCCGGTAAAGCAGACGTTACTTCGCCGATTCGTGGTAGCGCCTGCGGACTTGATACCATATCCCGGGCTCCTAAGAATGTTGTGATCAGGGAGACCGAGACTGAAAGAATCAACGAGACTGGTGACGGCGCTGTCGATGACACCACTCAGAACCATCAACCTCGACCATCGCTGACTCGACTCCGTATCGACTCCGATGGTCCGGATCCAGAATCACATTCTCGAACTGACTCTATGTTCTCCACAACAAACTCGGACTCTCCGAGTCTTGAATGGAAATACCCTGACACACCGGCATCCCGCCCTCAATCGAAAGCCACAGATGACACTGACAAGTTCTACCGTCCACATATCTCGAAGACCCTATCCACAATGCACCGGGACAACAAGAAGGTCCACATGCTACACCTAGAGATCAATGACGACAACCGCGACGATATTGGCCTGGGTCAATTACAGCCCATCCGCCCATGGCGTTGGAGCATGGACATCTAAAATCCTTTCGAACACAAAGTCCACAACACTCATCCTCGAAAAACCTCTTATCCCTCTTCCATTCTATACGGCGTTTGAAGCATTAAGACCAGCCAGCATTTGCTTTTTCTGTCTTCTATTTTTCCTCGACCTGATCCCTCAAAGCAAACACCCACCCTCTTGCTGTCGGGACCTCATATCCGACACAGGCATGTACCTGGCTGGTCCAGTAGAAAAGCGAAATGCCTTACATCGCCTGCAAAAGTTCCTCTGTTAATTCAGCGCAACAAGAGCACGGGCGAGTTCATCGCGACAGCACTCCTTCCTATCATTTCATGTTTCTTTTCCTTGTCTTTTGCTTGTTTCAGCACTTTGTGGCCCTCCAGACTTTTTTTCTTCTTCTATTCTTCTCTCTCCTTCATTCCTAGATATTATCACTTTCTTGTACCATAATCACTCCCTCCCAGTACATAGCGTTTGACCAGCAATGAATTTTTTTCATCCTTTTAGACATTGAATCACTAGAATACAACGTAAATAACGCAAGTAGATTACAATGCTTTCGACTCGATCATCCTTAGACGGCTCCTCCAGAAGCTGCAGTCTCAATCTAGATCTGGGCCGTGATGGTCTCAGCATATGTGAATACACATTGTATAAAACTGGATATACGCAACATATCTCTAATAGATCATAGGTCCCCTATACAGCAGGACATAAAAAGTGTCCGGCGTATACTAATCACTAAGTAAGATCTTACGAAAGTATGTATTGGGTCCTAAGAATAGCCAAAGAGATATATAGAGGGGTAGCTTTCAAGCTCCGCTGACTACTTATTATGTGTCATTCGACACAGCTATTGTAGATTACTATTGTTGCATACAAGGCAAAGGATTATGCAGATATGCCTCGCATTCAGCGTTAGATTTTCGATTCAACTTGTCTTCGTGATAGATGCAATTCAAATGCACATCAAAAACATCGTATGCAGAGGACATGTGGTTTTGGTCTCGATGAAACAAGAGATCGGACACAAAAGTTCGAGATAGAACAGCTCAAAAAGAAAAGACGCAAAAGAGAGTCGATCGTTGGATCTCCTCGGCGTTTCAAAAATATCCCAAATGCAAACAACGCCCAACCCGGCCACGCATAGCCTCTGTAAACCAGCCAAGGGTTTGAGGGGGCCCGTATCGAAATGCTCGGAGCCCGCGGAGCACCAGCCAGACCGCCCCTTTGTTAATTCCTGTCCCTCTTCGTTGTGTTTGCTAGGTGGATGCAGATGCCGGGAGATATATAGAGAGAAGGGAAATCGCGTTTCGATTCACTTCTACTCTAGTAGACCTTCTTCTTCTCGTCCATGCTCAATTGGCCGGGGCCCATGTTGACGAGTAGGACCAGACCACCACTGTAAAAATTATTAGCGTTGAAGATGTTCACTGTTTGGGAAAGGAGACGTACACAATCGACAAGATTTGGAAGAAGTCGTACTTGGCGAAATCCTTTTGCGGGTGGTGGGCATGCAGCTAGACAAATCATCAGCAACGGAAGATAATAATCGATTGTTCAAAAAACATACCGTCCAGAAGTTGTTCACAAACACGTTGAACAGACTCAACAGGACCACAAGAATGATGGCGCTCCACTTGGCCTTGAAGCCAACAACGACCATGACGCAAGCGACGAGACCAAACAAGCTAACCAGAATGCGCCAGAAGCTCCACTCGCCGGAGAAAACGAATCCAACAAAGAGGAAGATCAGCAAAACACGACCAGCGAACTGGACATACATCTTGCGGTCCTTCTCATCGAGCTGGGGCAGACCGGCCGGGACGAACTTCTTGCGCACCCACGAATCAGACAGGACCATGAGCAGACCACCGACAACACTCAGATTGCGAAGGAAGAAGTTCAAGTCGAAGATGAGACCGTATCCAAGACCCTGTGTGATGACGACGCCGAGCAATCCCGCGACGGCGAATTCGGTGCGCTTGCGGGCGATGACCAGAGTCGAACAAACAGCCATGGCGACGACATTAACGATAAGGAAAGTGTGCGTAATTCCCCACGGAACTAAAGCCAGCACGAGAAAAGCGCGTTAGACAACGAAATAGACGTAGCGTGGGACCCTCGGCCCTAGGTCGCGCGGATCAGGGTCCCGAGAGTAAGGGTGTTATCTTACTCTTCCGGAAATCACGAAGGTAGAGTAGTTGATCGCTCCATTGTGTGAGGATGCGCAGCGAGTCTTCGATGAAGGTCACTACAATCAGGAATCGGCCGATGGCGGGGAGGTAGCTAGAGCGAAAGAACAGGGTGTTAGTGTATGGCTCGAATCCCCTTGTTTTGAGCTCTCTCGCGACTTCGACCACAACACGGGAGGAAAAAGAAGATCAAAACAAAGAGTGGCACTGGAACATGGCACATACGGCTTCACTGGGTCGGCCAAAGTGTCCAACCAATCCTCAATCTTGCTGGTCTGCTCACGGATTGCGTCCAGCGGACTTGGGTCGCTGGTGGCATCTGCGCTACCGGGCCCGCCAAATGGGTTCTGGTGGCCGAGGTTGTAGCCCGCAGTGCCACGAATTTGGGCCATGACGGGAAAATAAAACTAAAAAGAAAGGAGATTGAGGAGAAGAAGAAATCGGAGTTGAGATCTCACGAGTTGGGGAAGAAGAATTCAAAGACAGGAGCAAATACCAAGGAGTTGTATACAAAGCAACTTCAGGCCACGATAACCGGAACTAGCCGCTAAACCGCTTTTGGAATAGTGACGACACAGGACTTGATGATGATCTATATACTATTGAAGATTCAAAGCTCTACATTCTTGTTTATTCTTTTCTAGATCAAGCATTTTAGACCAAGCATTGGTTATGATTTCATTGCAATACATATTTTGCCAGTTAGACTAACAAAGAGAAAAAAAAAGAGAACTTGCAAAAAAACACAGCGTCAGATCCATACCCGCAATTCTGCTTTTGTTTCCGCAGTGCAGTTCTTCCTCCTTGCACAACTTGCAAGGGAATGTACCAATTCCGCTCCTAATGCGTGGTGGCAATCTCCCAGGGCCCGCTTGTAGTTAAGGGGAGGGAGAGTGCTCAAATGATGTGACACCCCCAGAACGCCAAAAACAAAAAAAAAAGAAGACACAAACAAAAAAAGGGTAATAAATACAGTTCAAGATGAAGAGAGAATGGGAGAAAGACTTCATGACAGAGGAAACTGCTCACGCAGCCCAGTCAGAGTCCAGTGGGTGGCCCTTCTCACGCGAGCGCAAGATGTCAGGGAGATAGGTAGGGGTCACCGTCACACGGGGCTCAACAGGGGCAGGAGCAACAGGGGTGGACTGGTTCTCCGAGGCACTGGTTTCGCTGACACTCTCATCAGACTTGGCACCCTTCTTCTTGGGCTGCTTCTTGGAGACAGTGGTCCATTCGTCATCGCCCTTGGCAGCTCCCAAGAGGCGCATCTGCTCCTCCTCTGAGGGGAGGTTCTGAGCCCACTTAGTAGGAGCGGGGGCAGCAGGGGGACTCAAAGGTATCCAGGAGGCCCTGAGAGGCGGAGGTGGCAGGGACGGCGGGGGCGGGGTGGGATCCGCCATTGCCGTTGGTCTTCACTGGAGCAGCGTTTCCCTTAGTCTGCCATGCGTTGGCAGCGGGGGCGGTTGATCGGGCAGCCTCACGGCGCTCAGCCTCGCGAGCGGTGTGCAGCTGCTTCTCAAGCAGCTTCTTGCGCTCAACTTCAGCCTCCTGAACTTGCTGCTTGCGGGCCTCGTTCTTGAGACGCTGCTGGCGCTGCTTCTTGGTCTCCACCTCCTTAAAAGCCTGAGGCTTCTGCTTCTTGGTCTGGCTCTCAACATTGCCAGTGACGCGGAGCACAGATGCACCGGGGCGGGGGCCTCCAGCATGTCGGAAACATATCCGGCCGAGGGGACAGTGGCGTTCACCGAGGGAGATCCGGCGGAAGACAGATCGTCGTCAGCCTCAGCGCCAGTGGTCGAGGAGGCACGGGTGTCGCTGACGTCGAGCTGCGCGGCCTTCTTCTTGTTCTTCTTCTGGCTCTTGGTGGGAGCGGGCTTGGTGGGAGCAGGCTGGGCGGGAGCGTTGGTCTTGAGACCGGCCATGCGGCGGGCCATCTCCTTGCGATCGATTTCCTCATCTGGCTTCTCATCCTCGGTGGTGGGGGGGCGAGACGACGGTCTGCACCTCCGGCTTCTTGGCGGCAACCGGCTCGGGGGCAGGCTTAGACTTGCGCTTCGACTTCTTGGGTGCTACGGTGGTCTCTGTTTTCTCCACGGCAGTTCGAATCACGTTGGCCTTGGGGGTTGTGCCATTGGTGTAGTACCAGCCGAGGCCACCAGCCACGACCAGCAAGATCGCCCAGCTAATGTAGGGATTCATGTTCACGGAGCTGTGCACTCATAAGTCAGTACCATCAACGTTGTCAAGGTAATTTCGAGCATAGAACTTACTGTCCGAGTAAAACCTGCGTAGGCGGAGGATGAGGCGTCGAGAGGGGACGGATCAAAGTTGCCGGATGAGAGGGTAGGACAATTGCGCACGCGCACTTTGAAATTGACACGCGCACCGGAAGCCGAGACGATTGCGCTCAGCTACAGAAGCTTTCTGTCTCCGGAGGGTGGAGATTCCAAGGCGTCGGTCAATTGACCGGAGTGCGCTTGGATGGGAAGAATGCGGGTGACAATGCCGCGTACAGGAGTAATAGGAATAGCGCAATAGCGCAAAAGGAAACAAGAGAAGAGGTTGAAGAGAGTAGGAAGAGAAAGGAGGAAAGACGAGGAGTAGAGGAAAGGGCAACCGTGGCAGATCCACTTCGTACCGTGACGGTAATGGTAAGTTACCAAGCCCTTGGCTTTGGAGTAATTGCACATATTCTGTGCCTTGTCTACTTGGCGTCTCTGTTTTTTTTCCTACATTATTGATGGGTTTTACCATATATCATCTCAATGTTCACTGGGGTTTCAACTTGGAGGAACTTGGCGATGAAGAATGCGATGTTACGGTATGGAGATCTGAGCATTGACTGCCGTACTGCAAGCTGTCATCATATATTTGTATTCGTACAATTACTCCGTACCTGGGGAACAGTGCTCTGGCTAATATCATTGAAAGCTAACTAGGTAATAGTTCCAATATTGAGACACACTTTCACTGAACAGGCCACGTCTCCGCCTCTGTTTTCTCCCTCTAAACCGATTTATATCTTACTAGCGCGTTCTGGGTCGTAAAGGACCTCCTGAGCATATATTTTTTTTGGTTTGATTAATCGACTCTTCCGGGAGCCGGAAAGCTTGGAGATTGCCGATCCGGCTCTCTTCAAATGTTCTTTCACCCCTTATAGGATCCCTCAGGCGGAAAAGAGTTGTGTAAGTTGTGTATCGGTCACGGACAACCCGGCCGAATTGATGGTCCAAGTGTATTTGACGCCCTAGGCATGTTGAATCTTGGCCAGTCTAAGACCTGCAGTGTGCAGCGGCACGTTGAAAGAAAGGCCGGGATTGGTTCGACGGCCATGCACTCCTTAAAATGCAATCTGAATATCTAAGTCTTCGGCATATCAGACTAATTTCTTATTCCTTTATGTCCGATTGGCCATACCCCTGATATTATTCTTTGTTCTTATTATTGCCTTCTGTTCCACTATTTTCCAGGATTCCCCACGCTATATGATTCCTTTGACCTGCTGCCTATTAAGACCTTGGGAACCTTGGAAGCCATTGTGATGGTAATAGCCCCTCAACTGGTTTCGATTGTCGTAAAAGATATATCCGAAAGATACCAACTATATAGACCTTACAGGAATATCGTCCGAGAAATATGTCTACGACTTGGGTGTTGAGTTATGCAGATATATAAAGTGCATGTGATGGAGGTAAAAGCTCGAACAATTATGAGGTTGAGATGAAGAAGTGAACTAGTCTACTTCGCATATATTGAAAGTCACTTCCAAGTCTCTTGATTGGCATGGAATTATAGCAGCACTGAGTGAAAGGGTGGTAAATTAGAAATAGCAATGTCGCAGGGGTAATAGATGGAGCGGGGCATAATCGTGACACCGCCTTCACCAAACATGAGCCCCACCGGATCCCATTTTCTCACTGGATCCCAGATTCGCAAGATTAGGTACCTTTTGTATGGAGTCGCCATACAAAGGGTACTTAAGTATAACGTAAGTATAACATCAATTCTCTCAACATTAAAAAGGGTGAGAGATATAATAAGACATATATACAATGTAAATAGTGCCCTGATTATATGCTATTTTATTATAGTAAGAAATTCCTAGTATGTAATATAAGAGTACGTACTGTGTCTTTATGCGATGTTTATACGTGGCTTTTTCTACAAAAGTGCACTGTCCACTTCTATATAATGTATTTAGAATTTATTTTAGTAGTAGATTGATTTAAATAGACTCATATTAAGCTTCGCCATTTTATTTTCCTTTACCTATTATAAGACTTGAGTTATGCTTACATTATGGTTAAGTACCTTTTGTATAGAGTCGCCATACAGAAGATACTTAATTCGCAAATCTGGGATCCGGTGAGAAAATGGGATCCGGCGGGGCTCACCAACACCGGGTAGGTGTTTCGGTGTCACGATTATTCGAACGACATCCCCAGGGCGGGTCCACGGGTGTCAGAATTGCTTACATACGCTTCAGAATCCATAAATCTTTCTTAAACAGTCCGAAGATCTTATATTGAACTATCGCAAAAAGGAAAATCTTTCTGATATTCGGGTCCCTCAAAGCCCTTGCAAGGCCCAAGTCAATATAACGTTCCCTAGAACCAATATAGACGGTGACTATGCATCAAAACAAAGAACTCACAGCTAGCGTATCGGCGAGAGTCGCCGAGGTTGAGGCGTCAACCGCATCTGACCTTACTCCCAAGGCTATAGCAGCTCGAGGGAAAGAGATCACTGGGCTGAGAATTTTCAGACCAGGGTAGAGGAGCTCTTTTTAGCAATGAACACCGACCAGCCAACCGGAGGCGTGGACATGACATATGGAAATGGGAATCCCCAGCATCTACGCTTTTGGAAGCCCAAATCCTCCAACGCCCCGCCCCGATCATCCTCTTTGTTCATGGTTGCAGTTGGCAATCAGGGACATATATGGACTCGACTGGGTCGGCCAAAGTTGCTCATTTGACCAGCCAGGGCTATGCCTTTGTCACTGACAAATGTACACTCGTCCCATCTGTGACCGTGGAGGAGCAAGTGCAGGTGGCCGACTCGCTAGGTTACCTAGTCAGAAATGCGGCCAGACTAGACTTTGATCCCCAACGAATCATCCTGATGGGATACAGTTCCGGTGCACACGTTGTTACGTTACTAGGGACTGACGGAATATATCTGGAGAAGGCAGGAATCGATATCCATACCGTGCGGGCTGCCATCTTTCTCGACGGTTCAAATTACAACGCAGTAGCGGAGATCACCGATAGCCGGGGCCGATAGCAGACAGCACAATTAAAGGTCTCGGCACTGATCCGAGACAGCTGCAGGCTATGTCACCTACTTACCATGCCCGCGCGCCAAATGCAGGCGCTTTTCTGCTCCTCTATGTCCACAGACAAGGTGATGTCCGCCAGGCTGTCGAGCTATCGGCGGCGCTGGAAGCTGCAGGTACCGATGGCGCTTTGCACGTGTTCGAGGGCGAAGGTTTTGAGGGCCACATGCAAATGCTTCTACGGCTTGGCGATCCCACCTATCCTGCGACCTTGGTTATGGATAACTGGCTCAAGGTGCATGTTCCAGTAACAATTTCAAGTACCTGATCATTTCCATCCCTTCAAAAGTGCTCTCCACAGCAGATATTGGCGGGCAGGTACTATATTGTTACCAGTAGACATTTATCCCGAGCCTAGGCATTCATCTGCCATTTGGTGGGGCACAGTTGTGTTGATAACGGGGGCTGGGGTTGGCACTCCGGGGGCCGTCGGTCACCGGAATTTCGGGCCCAAGCCTGGACTAGCATGTATTTCTTCATTATACGCATATACCATGATCAGCATCGCTTAGCACCGGACTCTGCAACGTAAATATCATTTCAGTAACAGTGGGGTCGGTAATATAAGCGTTGAAAGTGTTTAATATATGATTTGCCTCCACCTGCAGGGCTACGAGGGGTTTTACGAAACCCCCGCAGCCCGATAACCGTCGATAAGCTCCCACTTCTGTCACTCTTCCAACATTTGAAGGTCAACAACATTCACCATGGGAAAGAAAATTATCATTGACACCGATCCGGTATGCTACCTCGTAATCCATTGTCATAGCTTTGATATTGACCGTAGCACAGGGCATTGACGATATCCTCGCCCTTTTGCTGGCTCTGTCCGCCACCCCAGAGGAGGTAGAGGTTCTCCTCATCTCGTTGACATTCGGTAACATCGAGGTGCAGAAGTAAGGGATCATTCTATTTGGAAAATTGCATTGACTGACCCGATATCCAGCTGTCTCCGAAATGCAGTGTCAATGTTCCACATCATCGAGCGGGAGATGCAGTGGCGTCGCGATAACGGCCGGCCCGAAGGCTTTGGCAGCTTGAAAGCTTGCCGTCCTATATTGGCTGTTGGTGCAGCAGATCCCCTTGCAGATCAGAAAATGCTTGCAGACTATTTCCGTATGTATTGCTCTACCATACTCTAGACACGGTTTACTGACAAACCCGCAGATGGGATCGACGGACTTGGTGGTATCCACGCAACGGTGTGTGAAGCTCTGTATAACACCGGGCCTTTGCTATGGCCTAGAACAAAGCGAAATATGCTGACTTCTGAATAGCACCCGCATCTCACTGCTAGTAAGGCGTGGGTGCACCTCTTCGCTAAAACTATAGAGGGCGAGGGAATTGAGCCTGTCGAGGACTGCACAGGCCCTAACGACCACGCATTCACCCCATCCAAGCGTCCGGCATATAAGGAGATTCTCCGCGCGCTTCGTGATAATGAGCCAGACACAGTGACTCTGGTAGCAGTGGGTCCGCTCACTAATCTGGCTGTAGCTGCAGCAGAAGATCCCGAGACATTCCTCCGCGTGAAAGAGGTGGTCGTCATGGGCGGTGCTATCAACGAGCCAGGAAATGTGAGCTAAGCCTTTTCCAGACCTGAGAAATATCGAGACAGATTGGCTGACATTGTTAATAGGTGACACCAACGGGCGAGTTCAACGCCTACGCAGACGCAGTGGCAGCTGCGCGTATCTTCGCACTCACCTCGCCCAACCCGCACACGACAGTCCCACCCACAAAGAACGACCGACTCCCACCGTACCCCAAAACCCTCAGCCGGCAACTGACTCTGCGCCTTTTCCCGCTGGACATTACGCTCCGCCACAATCTATCTCGCGGCCAGTTCCGGGAGGCCATTACGCCTCTTCTGGATGCCGGCTCTCCGCTTGCCGAGTGGGTGCATGCCTTCATGGGACACACCTTCAGGACACTGGAGCGCCTGCACCCTGGGCATGTCGGTGACGATGCTATGCTGAGTCTGCACGACCCTGTGTGCGTCTGGTACGCTATGACATCCGAAGACCCGAAGTGGGTTTACTCGGCGAACTCCCCTGAGGATATCCGAATCGACACCTGTGGACAATGGACTCGGGGTATGTGCGTTATCGACCGCCGCAACCGTCACCGCATCGAAGGTGAGGAGGAGAGCTCGAGTGACCATGGTCTCTGGCTGAGTGGCCGCGCTGGCAATCGTATCTGGCGGATGGATGGGTCTCCTGGGGAGGAGAACTTTGGTAATGTCATCATTGAGAGGCTCTTCAAGTAATTTCCGTTTGATAGATAAAGCGGAACGCATCTGGTAGGTATAGACGCATATAGCTGTTGATTTACTATAGAGACTGGAATCTGCTTTCTCTTCTTGGACTCCGGGAGTATTACCCAAACCACTCGAGCATTGCTTGCCGTGGCCGATCTATATTTTGGTACACGAATGCTAGTGAACCATTGGCTAAATAGCAAGAGCTAGTAATGCGCCAAAATACCTCTCAGCCATGCCATCTGGGGAAGTTGGTCCGTACTCCTGTCATGTCAAGCCATACATAACGCCTATCCACTATAACGCCGGACGAAGCCAAGCGTGACGCCAGGGCTCTCTTCTATTTTCTCCCTTTGAGTATGATTGGGTTAATGACCGGAGATAGTCACCCGCTGGAATGTAGGACTATGTGAAGTGTTGGCAGAACTACGCCAAGGCGCGCAAGACATGCCCTATTGCACCCGTGTGAGTAACTGCGATCCACTAATCAACAGCCAAGCCTTGGACTATATTGTACCTAAATCACCAGAGTACTTGGCTCTGTTCAATACGTGAAGTCACAATATAGGTGTCAAATTGTGACGGGAGGCGGGGACCCCAAAATCCACAGGAATGTGGAATGCCATGGCCTGGAGATCGACCGTGGCACTTACCACTATAGTCCTACCAAACTCGCCGACATGCAACATTGTACAATCCAGGAGGCCTTTCCCCAGGATGTTCGGGGATTGACAGCCACCCCCCAGATGACTGAAGCCGTCAAGACGTTTCTATATAAGACGAGCCCGGGACCCAGGGATAAGACTCTCATAGCAACTGACCTCACCTTGAATCTCAGCATCAGATCAATTCCCACACCTTTCTAGCTTAATTCTTATTCTTCATATTCTTCTCCACTTACCACCATGCAGCTCACAACCCTCTTCACCGTCTGCGTGGCTGCCCTGACCACCACCACTGCTGCAATGCCCCATCTCTCCGGGGCGTACCACGGTGCCCGCATCGCTGTCCGTGTCCCTGGCAATGCAACTTCCCACAATGCCACTGCAACGGGTACACGGGGCAAAGCTCCCCTGTCGACGGGATCGTCTCATAAGAATCGCGTTAATGTCAACCGTTGCCATGAGCTGTGCTCTTTGCAGTCTCAGGCTTGCTCGATTGCTGTACCGGATGATGATAAGTTCTGGTGAGTGTCGTCGACCTTCTTTTGTGAATTGTGCTAATATTTAGCTTTTAGCTGGTCTGTTTACTTGCAATGCACAGAGAAGTGCAACCCTGAGAATTTCTACAAATAAAATCGGAGGGAATTGGAGGGAAGTATATGGACGAAGGAGATTATTGAGTGTTATGGACCATGTGATATGAATGAAGGATCTTGTTTTTTTAATAAAAGTGAATTGAATGTTTTTATTACAGTTTCTCGTTATGTCTTACACATCAAGGATAAGACCGATTTCACCCGGGGATACACCGTATAAAGTAGACTATAAAAATGGAAAGGCTAATAGGCTTTCTACCGGTAGGCCAATAGCTGTGGCAGTCGCAGATCAAATTGAAACATCGGGGGTTTCTAAACTTGCCCAGATAAAATATGAGCTCTCTGAGATAAGGATCGTCACTGGGCCTGGGCAGCTTCCAATGTCTCTGGTACCCACAATTGGACTGAGAGTCCGGAGATGAAGCACGTGCCATGTGTGAGAGAGGAAGGGGCACTCGGGGATACGGATGAAATGCCCTCTTATGTTAGAAGGATTGGAAGTTCCAAGTTGGACTCTCAACTTGTAACCGTGGCTTAAGACAGAATTAGGCTTTTCAAGCCAATAGAGAAGATATAAATGTTACAGCCGCAAAAAGTGCACATGCCCAGATATGCTCTGGAAGCATAAAGGTGAGTCCGTGTAATGGAGAGAGCCTTGGAGAAGGGCTGTCCTCCAATTAATACACGTGCTGGGCTACCTCAATTGAAGTAATGAGTACCAAGTACATTATAGTAGGCCCCTATTCCTACCTTAATTTAAGTATTCAGTACCTACCAATAAGCTCCCCAGGCCCCACTCTTTACTCCAGCAAATGCCCGTTGTTCCCTGGAGCACGAGTCTCCACTGGACCAATCAGCATCGCCAATTATGGCTCGTGGGCACAACCTTTGGAAGCACGCGACACTATCTATAACCTGGCCCTGGAGGACGTTCACGGTTATATAGTCTGCACCCCTTGCTGTACAACTCTACACGAATCTATTTACTTCCCCTCTCTCCATTCAATTTTTTATATATAACAACCTTGGAATGTCACGACTTCCAACCCCAGCCATGTCGGGCGGATTCACTATCAAAGATAAGCCCGACGGCGATACCTTCACATTACCTCCTGCTGCATTGAGCAATGCCAGTCGGAGGTCCTCCCGATCAGACCCTTCCTATGTCCCAGCATCCCCGACCTCCCCAGAGCTCTCTGGTCGCCGTACAAGTCACACCTCACGGTCGGGTACATCTATCAAACGCCCACTCGAGGACTTTGATTTGCCTCCGCCCCCAACTAGAACTCGCAAGATCATCCAGATGAAGCCAAAGTCGCCTTCAAAAGCTCCCAAGACAAGGGAAACTGCCAAGGGTTCACAGAGTTCAGAAGACCCAGTTCCCAACCCCACATCGAACTCTAAGAGAAAGCAGCCAAGTGCGACTAGTGCTGCAGGACGCAAGATCGCCCGCAAGACCGCACACAGTTTAATTGAGCGTCGACGACGGTCCAAGATGAACGAGGAGTTTGGAACGTTGAAGGATATGATTCCAGCATGCACCGGGCAGGAAATGCACAAACTGGCCATTCTTCAGGTATGACATCCACATTCCTTTTGGGAATCTTGCATTATACTAACCATCCCGATAGGCAAGCATTGACTATGTCAATTACCTTGAGAAATGTATCCGCGACATGAAGACTGGAGGATCAACCCACACTCCTGCCGCACCGCCCTCACCGACATCCCCAGAGTTCATCGCAGAAACAGGCGAGCCCATGCAAAGAGATAACTCCTCTACTTATTCATACTCCACCTCTGCGTCACCGGAGTTGTACACTGCTCCCACAGAATTTCCTGATACATCCCCATCTTTCTCTCCCCGCACTCAAGTCCCCTCAGCCAATATCCCACAGGATGCTTCATCTATCCTTCCTAGCCCGGCACTGGGCCCGATATGGGCATCCAATGAAAAGATGCAAGAGTTCCAGGGTGTTGATCACGAGGCTTCAGCTGCCTTGCTTATGTTGACTCAGGACCGGAGAGGGACTGCTGATTCGATCAGTGAGAATTTCCCTGGGAGCACGACACTGTCAAATTCCTTGGAAGAGTCTCCAGCTGTGTCTTCTGAGGGACAAAGGAGGAAGGGCATGAGTGTCCGCGATCTTCTTATCTCATAATCTCACGGTTTTTGTGTTTCGGTTTTCATTGGGCGGAGAATTGGCGCTCTTGATGCTTCTGGAAATGGTCCAGAGGCCTTTTTATTAGCGTTGTCTATATTTAGCATCTGTTTTAAGGGTACTCGGCGCATATGTCGATTAGTGTGTCTGTTTTGTTACTTGGTCGATGAAGGTGGGATATTGGATCCACCTCGGGGGACACGATGTGAACAGAAGATTGAATAAAATTGAATCACAAAGATCTTGAGGCTATTCTATTCACAATGTAACCACTGATTTACCTAGGTAGGATATGAGTTGTCTTGATGAACAGTTGCCAGTCGAGGAGAGGCCCCACAATTTCGGACTATCGGCAATTCACGAACGACCGAACACCGAACTTGCGTCACCAGATCGAGGCTAGATCATTGATACCTAGGTATATCGCAGAAGCCAGGATCTGATAAAGAAATTCTCCTCGACCTTATTACCCAGACCCTTCAATCTGCGCTGGCTTTCCTATCGCTGCACCAGGACAGGACCATGAGCCAACGCCGATACAACGTAGAACGATCATGTCTACGCTGCCATGCGCACAAGATCAAATGCGACAAGAACTCACCATGCGGCAAATGCATGCGGCTGAATATAGCCTGCCAGTATCCAGGTCCCAGTCGTGTCAAGCGCCAATCCCCAAAGAAGAGCACAGGCGATGTTGCGGCACGGCTGGAGCAACTTGAACAGTTAATTGCGGCGATGATCAAGGAACGCTCGACCAGGAATAGTCAAAACCAAGACCCAAGTACGGTCTTACCCGGCCGATCCGCTGCAGCAGACCGCCCTACCCACCAAGGGTTCCTAGACAAAGACGGCCGGTATATCAATGAGCCTCTCCTCTCGCGGGTGCTGGAGAAGGAGCAGGAACTGAAGTCCGCAATTGGATCACCCATTGGCGCAACAAGTCCGCGTCGACCACCGGCCTTAAGGGCAGATGGCCTCTTCACGAACCCGCTGTCACCTCAGCTTGACATCCAGGAGCTATATCCGAGTCAGTGGCAGGCAGTTTTGCTCTGGCAGGCATTTCTCAGTTGTGTAGAGCCCTTGGTGAAGGTCATTCATGTTCCAACGGCGCAGTCACGTATTTTTGCTGCGATTAACCGACCTGAGAGTGTGCGTGCTGATGTACGTGCTTTGCTCTTCGCTATTTGTTTTGCCGCTACAACAACGTTTCTTTCGGATGATCCTCATAATGAAGTCCTGCATGCCAATCTGCGGCGGTATCAACATGGGATGGAATTGTCTTTGTATCACTCCGAGTTTTTGGATGCTCCGACCCTTACTTCGTTGCAAGCGATGGTAATATATCAGGTGAGATAATGCTTCTTCAAGTAACCTTGAATCAATATTTCCTATGCCTGGCATCGCTGACATACACTTTCCTTCTAGGCGTGCTTTCGGTTTAGCAATAGCGGCCGGTCTGGCTGGACATTACATGGCGTAACTATTCGAGCCGCGCAGTCCATTGGACTCCAGCGCGACGGGAAAAACTTCAAACTCTCACAATTGGAATGCGAGCAACGGCGACGAACCTGGGGACATATCCAATCGGCCGATACCCGAGTGGCGGAAGATCATGGGCTCAGCGTCCCGGAAAACGACTACGGCGACACCGAACTCCCGCTGAATATCGACGACCAGTGCTTATCAGAGACGAACTCCGCCCAGCCGTATCGCAGAACCGATGGACCGAGACCACATTCTCTCTAATCGTAATAGAAATCAATCGGGGACGGCCGGCTTTACATCGAAGCTTAGTGGGAGCAGCCGATCCAGAGCGACTCATCGCCGAGTTTAGAGGCGCAATAGAGGAGAAATACCTACGCCACAGCGACCCAGACATCCCGATCCAGCGCTTCGGCTTCCTCCTCGGACGGCTGCTCCTCACAAAGACCGAAGTGTGCCTCCGACAAAAACAACTGCAGTCACAGGGGCCGGCGGCCTGCTCACTCGACCACAACCTTGTCCAAGAGACACTGGCACAGGCCTGCTATGGCATGGAAATTGGTCTCGAGATGCACAATAGTGAATTACTGCGTGGCTTCCGTTGGCTGATGATGACTTTCACACAATATCACCTCTTCACCTTCATTCTCTGGACTCTGTGTGTTTATCCAACCGGCCCGCATGTCGAACGAGCCTGGCGCGCTATCGATATGCAGTTTGCTCTGATTGATGACCCCTCTTGGCCGGACCCCGGACCTAAGTGGCCGATGATTGTGCAGTTGCGTGACAAGGCGCGGCGTATTCGTCAGACGCACGATTCTGCGGAACAGAGTCAGCAAATCGTCCACGATAGTTGTGCTGCTTGTGCTGATGGGGTGGGGACTGGGGATCCTCGGCTTGAGGCAGGCTTTGATATCGATAGTTGGGATCCCAACTTTGTCGACTTTTCCGATTGGAATAGCCTGGCTCAGAATCTTTCCCTGTTAAGCTGACGATGTCTTCAGACCGGTTCATAGTCCATGTGTGTGTACATACTGAAGCCGATGGACATCACATACTGTGACGAAATCATATAGACGAGTTCGTTCCCTGCATATGTGCCTTTGTCTTAAGGCGCCTGCTTTACCGTATGATTTGTTTCCTTCCGTACAGTTGCAAGGCGGTATCTTCTCAAAGAGAACATTGCCTGATCACTTTACCGCGCCCTCCACCGCTTCTTGAATCAATGCAGAATCTGTTCTACACATGTAACAACAACACGCGACGCGTGACGCGATGTATCTCAGAAAATATAACAACCCGTACAGGGACTTAACCTCCGTCCTTCTTCTCATGACTTCACATCCTTCTGCAACTGCAAATATGCCTTCACCTGAGCAGGCAGATAACTTGCGTCTCCTACTGGATGCAACTCATGGCCTACCAACCTACCGACTAGAGGCTATCCTGCATGATATCATCAAGCAGAGTCCGGAAGGCCGCAAAATAGCCTCCGAATGGCTACTAGAAGATAAGGTTGAAGCAAAGTACAACCCAATTGTCCCCAGCTCTACTGCTCCTGGCGCTTCTGCCCTACCCTCCAAGCATGAGTCCATCTCCGAAGCTATGGCCAAGGACCCGATGCCCCCCCAGATCGAAAACTGCATCTACTGCATGGCGGATTTTGATGTCGCCCAAAACTCGGAGACAAGCTGCAAATATCATGTTGGTATGTATATCCATATCCCATAAACACATCTATTTACATGGCCAGATGGGAACGTAACTAATCCATGACACCTGACAGAGGAAGATGTTGTTGACGAAGAGTTTTTCAAGGATGAAATTGCTGGTGGACTTGATGTCGACAATAAGGAGTATCGCATAGTTTGGCCGGATAAGTTTTACTATCCTTGCTGTGGAAGGGACTTGATGGATGAGCAGTGTCAGATTGGTTGGCATAAGGCTGCGGACCCGGGTGACCGTCCTCGCAAGCGATTTACTCGAAAGACATGGTCTGAAGTTGATGGAGCTTTCATCTGAAGTTTGGGATGTGTCCCTGGGGTTTGATGCCAGCTTGTGGTTATTCCATTCTCATGTAGGCTGTTTGGTCTATTTTGCTTCCAATATGTATGTATGACTCTCGAGCCATCAACAAGCCAATAAGCCAATTCATTTCATCCTCATTGTGATAAATATTCTCAATTAACCAGGCCCAGCCCGAGTCATTTACTAAACATGATTACTGCAACGGGCAGTCCGGAAGATCCTCCTCGGAAGACCACCCTCCGGACTCTCACCTTCAGGCAAACCATCTCGCCTCCGCTGCTCCCGCCGCTGCTCCTCAGCATCTACAAACCGTCGCATCCGCCTTGCATCCGGCTGCTCACCTGGCTGAAGACGGAGCATTTCATTAGCCATGGCGGCTACCTGCCATTGACCCTGACGGCGCATGTCGCGCTGAAACTCGGAGAGAAAGAATGTGCGGAGGACGTTATCCGCGGGACTCCGTTCCGCGTGTGGTGTCGGTGAGGGCATAGATGGGGCTGCTGGTGCGGCTGTTGATTCGACTGCAGTCGAAGATGTCATAGCAGACGTTACTGGCACTCCCGGGTTGAGCTTTACATGGTCTATCACCGCACGAAGGAGGTTCCACCGCATCTCACTGTGTTTCTGCCAGATGAATCGCTGCCATGGGATAGTTGGACCGACATATACCATGTTCGGGTGCTCGCTTGCTAATGGCCAGTAGTCTTCGAGTTCTGATGTCTGCGATGCTAGTAGGGAATAGAGATCACTCCATACAAGGCTCCCGAGAATTCGCATCTGGCCGTTGAAGCCTGGAGACTCGTCAGGTCGTGAAATACCCTCCTGTGGGTCAAAATCCGGATCAATGGCCAGAAGGAACCCGGAGAAGTCACCAGGGATGAGCTGGGATGTTGCGGGACTGTAGGAATTGGTGGTATATGAGGCAAAGGATGCGGAGTCAACGACGAGGAAAGCACGATTTTGTATGTTTGACCAGTCCTCGTCATCTTTTATGTTCTTGAAGTGCCTGATTGGCTTGTTAGCTTGAAAATGCACGAAAGAAAGACAGGGAAAGGTACGCTCACTGCTTAGATGCATCGATGTCGCTCTCTGAAAAACCCAATTCCTTCCCATCCAGCCAGTGGAGTTTTAGATGCTCCTTGATAGTACTGCTTCCTGTTTGACCTTTGCCCCAATCGGAAACATGCGCTTCCACTTTGCGAACGAATTCGGTCCATTCAGACTCCGTCTGCCCATAAGTCAACCGATACACAGCGAACCCATACTTTTCGTCCTTTCCCTTCTCCTTCCCAGATTTCATCTCTGAAGCGCAAGCAGTAATCCAAGGCTCGCGCGAAACAGGTTCAAGAGGTGCACCACGCACCTCTTTTCTCAATTTGTTCAGACCTTCGATCTGGCTTAGGGATGTCGCGTGGTACGACTCTCCAGACGAAAGAAATGAACCTGTCCGCGCTGCTGCATTACAAGACATCGCTTCTCGAGTAAGGAGGCTCAAACGCTCATGGTACGCTTTACTTCTCGCCAGCAGATTCGCCGCATGAAGTGTCGCGGGACCATTTCGCGGCGGAGCCGAGTACCCTTTGTAACCGTTCATGGGGATCATGATGGTAAAATCCGCATTGCCGATGATTTCCGTCACCATGTGCAGCGAATCAGTAATTTTCCACTGCACAGCATCAGGCTCGTGTAATGGGCCGCCATCAACCCCCGGTGGCCGATATTCCAAGAGAGCCTGCAGCAATGGGGCCCGCAGGGTATTGGCATGCACGGTGACCCATCTATGCGCGCGCTCGGTCATCATCTCGAAATGCGCGGTCATGTACTGTGTCCAGAGACCCGCGACACTAACGCGCTCTTTACCTTGCTCTTCTCTACGCTTGTTGAGAACAGTGTCGAGCGCTGTCCAATGGTCGTAGATGTGATTGAACGTGTCGCGTAGATACAATCGCACGGTTGGCACATTCAAATACTGGAATACGGCGATCACGGCCGATAGATGCTGACAAGCGAAATCGAAATATTCTGGCCGGTCGAGGCCTTTTTCTTGCCAGAGCTGCTCGCTCAGGGGGGATAATGCCTTCCCATAGACGGGACTTGAGGGACTGGATGTTCTTTCCGACCAGACAGAGACGGCTTGAATCTCGGTCGGATCCGATGCGCGCCATGACACTCGCCATTATGGGCTCCCCATCTGTGTCAGGGGGAATGTTTTGGTCATGTTCGAAGAAGGAGGCTTCCTCCACTGACAGGCGCTCGCTGTTGGGTTGACTACCATTTGGTAGGGGCTTACCGAACGCAAATTCTAGGAAATGTGCGATGGTTTGAGGCTCAAGGATGCGATCGACTTGATCGGCGGTGTCCGGTTAGTACTAATATTGACGTGGAGAATTGGGGCGCGAACCAACTGGTAGGTTCTGTGCCTTGCAATGAGCGATTGTTACTGAAGTGCCTTCAGCTGGAATATGTGAGTACATTGCGAATGCAGAATAAAGCAAGAATCCCAAGAATCCCAAGAATCCCAAGAATCCCAAGAATATTAAGAAAACCAGGACGCGGTCTCGGACCCTTTGAAAGTGGAGCGAAACGATTTTCAAGCAAGGCAACTCGACGTTCTGGTTGGTGTTCCATTTTAGCGTGGCTATTAGATCGAAATCTCGATGGGGTTTGGATTGTATTTTCTTTCTTTTGGTAGTATTCTATGACATTGACCCCTTATATGGTCAAATGTTGCCTGATATAAGAAAAAAGGGGAAATAATAACTGGGGGTATACGGCACAGAGTACTTATGTACTTGTATAGACTGTAAATCGTAATCTTCATTATAAATTAGCTATCAAGTCATTATTTCATACTTATTTCTTATAAACCAGAACCCCGAAAGCAAAATCAAGAACCGCTTTTATACATGCGCAGGTGTATTCAACCCACTAGCCCTGAGTTTCTCCTCCAAAATCAGCCTCTGACAGAAGGGACTTCTCTCCCGAATCCAAGGCCCCCAGCGCATCAAAGCAAAAGGAATGGGTATGCAAGCAAAACTAACAAACGCAAGGAGGGAAGTAGCCCAAGAAACCCCAAAAGATTCATAGAGCGGATCAGCAGCCAGCGGGAAGAGCGCTCCAGCAATGCTCCGTAAAATAACGGAAGCGGCCAGTGCGCTGGCAGAGTAGATCTTGTATGCATCGGTCACGTAGGTAAGAAGTGAGATGAAGATGGTCTGGAATCCATACCCGAAGATGAACCCTGACATCACGGGTGCTGCCCAGTGGACGGTGGACTTAGCTGTCCAGGCGAGCCAGAACATGCTTACTGTTAGGCATGGCCCGGCGATGCAGCACATGGGGAGTCGGTGGTACTCTGGGCTGGAAGTCCAGGCTTTGTTGAGCTTTTTGGCTTTTTCGTAGATTATGTCGTAGTAGAGGGCGACGAAGCCGGAAGATGCAGCGCCGACGCCAACTGTGATGGGTTAGTTGTGTTTGGAAATATAAACGGGGTGAGTAGACGTACTTGGGATGTATGTGAGGGAAGTTTGCTCGACGGTGAAGTTATAGACACCTGTTAATCTATGTTAGTATTGGATATGATATGGGAATTCCTGGTGGAGCATTACCTCCAAAGATGATGGGATAAGCCTGGAAGTAAAAGAAGACCAGACTATATGCGAGGGCAATATAGATGGATGTTGAGGTGATGATAGGCTCAAAGAAGAGCATCGCGATGGGACGAGTGATAATCTCCATCGGAGTGAATCTCGAGTCCAGGTTGAGCTCCTGACGAGAGAAGTATCGATTGGATCCCGAATCCTTTCTCAATTTGGCAGATTGTCGCTTCAAGAGTGCCGGACCAAAAGTTTCTATTTTGATTCGAGATTAGCTGATGCCACAGTTAGGCCAAGTGATAACCATACCAGACGTGAAGAGCAGAGCCAACCAGGTAACGCCCGTCAGAATGAGGTCGATTCTAAAAGTCCATCTCCAACCGTACTTGACCGAGCATCCAGAGATAATTGGGCCTAGAATGGGACCAAAACTGCAGGCCTGGGAGGTATCAGTACTATTCAAACATACCATCCCGTGGAGGTAATTGATCACATACCGACATATACATCGCCATCGCACGACCACGACTTCGCAGATCGAAGAACAAGTCCGCATAAATGCCACCGACAACCGTCTGAGGAGCAGCCCCTGCAAGACCACAAATAGTCCGAAAGACAAGAAGAGAAGACCAATTTGGCGCCAGAGCGCAGCCAAGTGTAGCGAGGACAAAAACAGTGAAAGACCAGAGGAGAACGGGTTTCCGTCCAATTGTTTCACTCAATGGACTGAACAGCAGGGGGCCAATCACATAGCCAATCAGAAAGACGGCAGTTGGTAAGACCTTTTGCTGGTCTCCGGACTCGTGGAAGTCCTGCATGATAGCGGGGACTGCATTGCTAGGAAGTGCGGAAGATATGCCGCTATTGAGGACAATAAATAGCCCCACAACTGCATTGTAGAATTTTTTGCTCTATTTGATTCGTTAGTGGATATCCTTCATATAGATGTATATAGATATGTGCGTACAAAGGCCCAGTTTGGTGGGTTTTTGGGTGAGTCCTCCTGAAACTCGACAAGTAGTTCATTTTGAGACAGTTCAACTATTTGGTATTCACCATTTGAATTTTGATTATTCTCCGTTGAAGCAAGAGACCTCTTGTCAGAACTCTCATTCTTGTCTAAACCATGTTTAGAACAGACCCGGAAATATCAGAGGTTGAGCTCACCTGAAGAAAGGATGGCGGCTATCTGAGCCGTTAAGGATTTCGTTTCTGACGCCATATTGCACCATCAAATAAGTGGGGTAAGCTAGAACAAAAAGGAAGAAGATAGGAAGTTTGTTTTTTTATATTTTGATTCTGAAGAACTCCGGTAGATGAGGGCTGAAGCGCTATATAAGCCACATAAGAATATTTCTGTTCCCATTGCAACCGGCGGACCCAGAGTGAAAACCCTGACGATTCTTTGAGTCACCATGGCTAGAACCTGTTGATCCTGCATAATACCTCTATCTATCATGTCAGAGTATGTAATAAGCCAATGGGAGACTGGTATACTTCAATTTCTTTTGCACGGGAAACCGGGGCCGGTACGGGGCCGGGTCTTAGGGCAATCCCGCCGACGGCGCCGGGTAGGATCCGGCCATGGATGGCTGCCCCTATGCACAAATTGATTGCTAAGATGAATTTTCAGTGGAGATCTAGACTGGCGTGACTAAAAACATGTGAAAAAAGCATACTGGCTTGCGCGTTGCGGCCCAATTTATTGTTCGCTGGGGACAAGTATCAGGGTTGATCTACAAGGCTAGAACTTGGTCCTCGCGAGAATCACTCATAAGTTTGGACACTGGCATTGGAATGATCTAAGACTTCATTAGGTATTTATTGTTACTGTGGCATCGCTGGCATCATAGGCAAGAAATCAAAGATATCGTTCTGCCCCTCCTCAAACAGACCAAAAGAATCTGCAATGGAGTTCGATACAGTCCAGTTGGGTGCTTCCATCGTGCCGGATAGCCGAGATACGGGCGCTCTGGCCACCGCAGATGGGTCGCTGCTTGGCATTGAGACCATATTTGGATCTTTATCGCCCTGAATAGCCGGGCCAGTTCTGTAGCGGAGATCGTCGAGGGGACCCACTCCTGATGGAGGCGGGCCGTTGATCATGGGGTTACCAGTTCCCTCGAATGGTGGACCCTCACTTTGAGGCAGGATGGGTACATCTGTACTGTGATTGCTCTGCGGACGCTGACTCGCAATCAAGGCGCGTGCATAGTTCACGAAGATGGAGACAGTCCGGTGGATATCGGGATATGGGGGTTGTTTGAGGAAATCGCAGATTCTTTCTGCTCTTTCAAGTAGGAGACTTTGATTGATCAAATTCGGCCGCCATCTGGCGACCCGAAGAGCAAATGTTGCTAAGCCTATATTAGCAAATTGTATGTGGTGACTGAGGAAATGATCAACTTACTGACGAAAGCGATGGTGAGAGCCGGATACGTTGGCGCCCAGGGTAATTGACAGCGATAGGCTGGCTCGTTGATCAAAAAGCCTAATTGGTCCATGATTGTTGTCACAAGGGACTGCCACAGATTCATCACATCCTGGTCGAGGATTTCGGAGCTTGAATCCGTGTACGTCGGTTCTAATTTCTGAATTCGTGCGAGTGAAGCACAGAAAACAAAAATCCTGGCGTAGTGAAGCATAAGCTTGAGGCTGCTGCGTTGAAACGCCCCTATATGAAAACCATTGTCTTCAAGGTTTGTTCAAGTTAGAATTAATCCAGATGACGGGTGTACTCCAAGCGAGAAAGGTCAGCGTACTTTCATGGATCTCATCCCACGTCGTCCACCAGGTTTGCAATCTTGTCATTATGGCCGGTAGTTCTGTAGACACAATATCGCCAATAGTTGAGGTGTTGTCAATAATCACACGAGAATTACCTGCCATACGTTAGACATTTGACAGATGAATCACAAGCGCAGTTTTGTTCGCGTTACCTCGAAGTTGATGAAGCTCAATAATACACACAGTACGCATATCAAAGGGCAGGGAGAGTGGATAGTCAAGGAATTTGCGCAGCTTTACCACGTCGACTTCGGCAATGCGTGATTTGCGTCCCGTGCCAGATGCGACATCCAACTCCAATATGAAAGTGATTAACCAGGTTCTTGTTTTCCACACTAGTTCACGTTCAGCCATGGAAGCCGAGAGTGAACTTCGGGGTACATTCTCTTGTGACAACAAAGTGTCCAAAGATTTCTCCAATCCAGAATCCAAGGCGGTGCGAAGAATAAGGGCTATAGAGAACCATGTCTTTTCGGAGTAGGCAGCTAGGAGAATCATTCCTTGGACTGTCTCCAGTTTAGTGGGTCGCTCAAAGAAACTGTCTTCGGCTAAACGCTGTGCCTCATCTTGTAGAACCCGTTGCATATGCGTGTCTCCGCGCAGATCTGTCACCGCGCGACTAGCTAGATAGATAATTACGGTAAAACAAAACAAGGATCTTGAACGGACAGAGTCGAATGTGTCTCTGATCGGATCAAAAAGAGGGAGAAAGTTTTTCGATCCGCCCGTAAATCTGTAGCAGAAGAGTTAGACTTGATATGGCTGCATTTTCATTTGGCTGTTAGTACCATACCTCTCATACATGACACGAGCAAGCTCCTCACTGACGATTCCTCTAGCGACAATATCTCCTCTAGAGTCACCCTTGGCTGAATTTTCCATGAAGATCTTGGTCTATTAGATCGATACCAATTGTTTAAAAGGTATGACTGACTCACATCATTAGTGTCTAGCAAATTCACAGACATAGAGTGTACCGCTGATGCAGGCGCGATCATTTCATTAGGGCTGAGCTGCTGAGATTCCGGTCCATTCGCATCAGACGTATAAGATCGCTGGAGACTGCTTAATCCAGTCGAATCAGGTAAAGAATCAATCGGAGTGTCAAATCCACCATCTTGCACAGTGGCAGGTGAGAACCCCTGATCTCTTGATGCCGGAGTGTGATATCCGGTCCTAGGGTCCAGCGGTGAAGCAGTGTTTTGGTTTCTTTGGCAGTATATTAGCTTATTGGATTCATATGCAGGATCAATAATTCAGTTGTCACCTTGCGGGGGTTGTTGTTTTCCGCCGACGATCATTCCGTCGCCGGCCATCTTCGATCGGATCCAGAATGCAGTCCCGGCCGCTCGAGCGACAACGGAAACAAGGGACTTGGCTACGCGCATCGCATCGCATCTTTTGCCTTCTGCACCATCGGCATGCTTTAAAGAAGCGAACCGGTACATTTTCCGCTCGGTAGACGATTTCCGACCCTCTTTCGCTCATTTCTGTGGCTTTGCATGCGATTATAATAACAAAACGCTAGCAAAATAAGCCCTGTAGTAATATACGCGAAGACTAGCCAATGTGTATCGAGCGTAGGCTGTGGCTTAGTCCGAATGCCTGTCAAATGCCTGATGGGGATATGTTTGCCGGTTAACGAAAAGCCGGTCACGTGTCCGGTTATCTCTTCTCTTTCAGGAAGGTCAACAACAACGCCTTGTGTGGCTGATTGAAGACGAAATTATCCAAAATTTGCCCCAATAACTGCTGTTGGCTCATCTGTGCATAATTTCAGGCACAGAAGAATTTCCCGCCTAAAGAAGAGAACGACGGGCCCCTGGCGGATCAACCCGAGGCAGGGAGGACAGCTAGATGCCATTGCGATGAGAACATCATTGAGAGGGTGATCCAAGTGTCTACTCTCCTTTGCAGTCTCCCTTCCCTCTCTTCACAATCCTCGGTTTACAAAGTGCCTCTTATTGTTATTAGTCTACCTATCGTGAGTGCTGTTCCCTCAGGCCAATATGCCTGTTGCTCATAGTGCACCTCTTGTTTGCTGCATTTTTATTACCCTGAGGACCCCTACGCCTACGTCGCTCACGGATCGAGATGCAAGGATTAGTGAAATCAGCAGATGATAAACATTCTGGGGCGGCGCTTCTATTCACAATAGAAGTTTTATGAGACCCAAAAGATGATGATATTGCAATACATTCCTGACTTTAACAACAGGATAGAAGAATATATTTTTATGGTGCACAGCCACCCCCAGAAATACAAGATGTCATTCGTGATGCTTTCACGGGAGATACATATGAGGAGGAGCTAGAAACTGAGAGGCTATTGTGGTACGACACGCCGTTTGGAATATGACACATCGTCGGAGTGTATGCATACATCAGAATCTGCATAGTTATATATTACTGTTCCAAATTGCAGTTTAGACAAGCAAAGCCATGTACGAGCGAAGTTCCTGTCTGCGTCTACTGTCGTACACCTTTTGATATTCCGGACTCGACAGCCTTGATTTGAAGCGCCAAGAACTTGGAGTAGATCCGGCACAAGGCGAGGTTTCCGCCGAAGTACCAGAAGCCCGGATGGCCACTGGGGCGCCACATCTGAACAGTATAATTAGCATATAACCCAAAAAGATCACCAATGAACATGACGACTTACAGCTTGAAGCTCTCCTTCTGCATCTAGATCCCAAACGTCCGTACACCGATCAGCGACCTTGTCACCTAGGACTTTTCTCACTGTCGTGCGCATATTATCGTATCCAGTAGCAAGGACAACAACATCCGCTGGAAGAGAGTCGCCGTTCGCCAAAAGCAGCTCGCGATTCCCAAAGCCATTGATACCGCCCGGGCTGTGATTGACCTTGATCTTGCCATCGATGATAAGCTGACTGCATCCGACATCGATATAATAACCTCCGCCGCGCGTAAAGTATGCGCGTGAAATTCCAGCCCCATCTATCCCGAAATCAAGTTCAAAGCCAGCGCGACGGAGGCCGTCTAGTGTCTCCTTTTCGGCGTCGGCAATTCGCTTCGTCATGTGCACATTCAAAGCAAATTGAACGGGCCAGGGAAGACTCTCGCAGGCGATATCGCATTCTTCAGTTGGTGGACTGCACGGTTCGTGTTAGTATTATGTGAATCTCGGAATGGGAGGTAAGAAAGAGATGGGAAACACGTTGGAATCGTACCCGCCATCCTCATGCATTCCACTGTGCATCATAAAGACACCCTTATCGGCGGTTATAACATATGTCCCACTGCGCTGCAGCATGGTGACATCTGCACCGTTCTCATAATAGTTCTGCGCGATGTCATGACCGCTGTTACCAGTCCCGACGACGACAACCTTCTTGCCACGAACATCACTTTCCGACGCATCGCGGTGCTGGCTGCCATGGTACACATTACCCTGGAAAGATTCTTGTCCCGGGAAGGAGGGAACCTTAGCCTCGCCTGAATGTCCTGTACACCATACAAGGTGACGAGGCCGGAGGGTGCGTTGGGACCCATCGCCACGAGCGAGGACAACCGCCCACTGGCCTGCAGCTTCGTCGTACTCGGCTGAAACGATTGATGTCTGCATCCAGATATTCAACTCCATAATGCTGGCGTATGCTTCAAACCAGTCACCCAGCTTATCTTTCGGCGTAAATTGTGGCCAATTTTGCGGGAAGGGCAGATAGGCCATGTGTGTGAATTCGGCCGGATCGTGCGTGACAAGTGTCTGCATCAAAAAATCAGTATTTCTCTCCATAGCATAAATCAAGTTCCTCCAATGTCATTTACCCGGTACCGGTTACGCCAGTTATCCCCAACGCGCTCATTTTTGTCGACGATCAAGCACGACACGCCGAGGCTCTGCAAACGCGCACCCATATTCAATCCCGCTTGTCCTATTGACTAGTTAGCATTCCAATAATAGACACTAATCTTAACAGAAATTCCTTACCAGCCCCAACAACCAAAGTAGTGGGCTCCTCATCCAAAAATTCCTTCTGGCGATTCCTGCGCTCGATCCATGTGCCCCCAGCCAGACCACCAGTCATCGACTCTGTCGTCCCTTCAGCCCGTCGCTTTCCGAGGGGCTCCTGAGCCGAGCTGAGCTCCTGCAACGACGTATACATAGCATAAGCCTTCCAAACCCCATCCTCCGCCTGCGTCAGGCGCAGCATGCCAGTTCCAGTACCAACAGCAGTCTCGAAGAAGAACATGGAAGACACCCAGTTCAACCCGTCAACAACCTGCTCTAATCGTGGCTGGAACTTGCCCGTGTCCTGGAGTTTAAATTTGGACAGTTGTGCCTTGGTCTGTTGCTTGCATAGGAAGTTTTGAATCTCAGTGGCTGTGTGTACGGTGCGCATGTCCCAGTCTAGCGCCAGCATGTCGCGCCACCAGGACTCATCGTGGAATAGCTCCTTGATGTTCAAGTTCTCTGAACGGGAGAGCTGGGCTTCGAGGGCCGAGAGCCATTGCTGGGCGATGCTTCGCGGGTCGGAGGGTACGTCGGAGGGCGTCTTGGGCAGTCGGATAATGTGTGGGTTCCCACCGGTTAATGTCGTTGCCATTTTGAGGACGGTTCGGAGATTTCCTCGGCCGACTTGAACGGGCGTTACGGCGGTATAATTCGGGCAGCGATGTAGAACGGTGCTTTCTGCTTCAATTGCGGACCCTTGTTGGCAGTTCTTATACCCTCTGTGTTCCCCTCTATTTCCATGTTGCCGGATTAGCCTGTCACAGGCAACTAAGCCGAGTTCCACGGCGTGCCTCCGAGCGAGGGGCAGTTGGAGGCGTGGAGTACAATTCAATATCCAGGTGGAGTCGCCTAACGTCAGTCACCCCGGCCTCCTCCCCGAGATTCTGGGGCAGATCGGAAGAATGAACCCCGAGCTGACCATTGAGGCAGGTTAGCCGACCGGACCAGCCCCAACAGGAAAATCTGGCGATGGGTTCTAGAAACTTGCTGAATCTGGTATCTGCAGGCTCACTTTACTCTTCTGGGATATCCATATGGTAGACCCTACTCAGACAGCATCTCTAACCCCTTTGGGGTTTTAGCTCTTCGCTCAGTTTGCAATACGAGTGCCATTTTCTATAGCATGGCAATTGTTAAAAAACACAGCCTGCGATCACCCCAGCCACATGGTACTTGCATACTCGACACTTCTATATTTATCCCCTTGTCAGCTACTTGCTGTTAAAAGACATAATAACGTCCCTTCTTTTGAAGCAACCTCCACGCCTAACGAATTTCGTGAAGTGAGTGATACCAACCCCTTGGTTCCTCAATTTCCATAGGTTTTGAGCTTCTCGACATTCCCGGAAGTGTTCCATGAACTCGTCGGAGGAGTACACTTTGTCCCGTAGAATATAAGTATTAGACCGAACCCCTTGATGACCTAACATGCCAGCTCAGCTGATAAGTGGCCTAAATTAGCGCATAGTAACACCAATACATCATAATACCCTTAGCCAGGTGACGATCCTATTTGGCTCTTGCATGAGATAGAAAACAAAGTACGATATTTACCAGTAGCTTGCATATGCTGCAATGCTGAGGTGCGGTGGCAAATGCAAGACCCTGCATATGTAGCTAGAATTCTACTCCGTACATAGCAGAAAGATTGAGCATGCATTAGTAAATTTGCACATTGAGAATCATGGGAAATGACATTCCTGTTTAACCACAGCTTTCCTAGAGGAGGAATTGTTCAGCCAATTTAAATGGCAGTACTACGTATGTGCCACTCGAAGCCAAAATGGGTAAATCTTGGATAATTTCAAACTCAAATTTCTGGAAGATTGTTGACTGACACATTTACTCCGATCACATTGTTACTGTGCGGCGCATCGCTTTGGTCACGAGTATATGTACTGCACTCGCCCAATCAAGAAAGGGTCTCATCCTTATTCCGTTCCTTTTTCTTAGAGCCTTCCTCGCCGCTCCCTGTCTGAAAATGGAGGGCCCCGATTTGGGCTCTTCAAAGTATGCTTGCAAGAGTATCAGCTCTTTAGGGAATTACAGTACCATCTATACGGGCTTGGTCGTCGATGACGTGCTAGATTCGTCTATTTTGAAAGGGAAACTTACCGAGCTGGTTGGATTATGGCCAATACTTGGCGGTGGTTTGATCAAAGATGTGAGTCCGTCTCCCCATTACTACGGCCTGCTTATATATCTCCCCTAAGACAAAACCATGGTCCTTCACCTGTGGCTCTACGGTCGATTATGCCAGCAGGGCTATTGACCAACCACTGGCTACCCATCTTCCAATTTATCACGAACAGCATAGAAAAGAGCCGAGCATCATGGAAAGCTCTGAACTATCCGCAGTTGATGAACAATTTATATTCAATGTCTCTTCCAATCCCGTGAATAGTTTCCGCCTTCGTGTTACTCTCCTACAGGATGCTACTTTGCTCTGTTTTGGAATATCACACCATATATGCGACGGCAATGATTGTTGGGAAGTGGTCAAAGCATTTTGTGACCTATTGTCTAATAGGCCAATTTCTTCATTTGCTCTTCCGCCTGACACTGGGGGTGTTCGAATGTCTGATCTGGTGAAAGTCAAAAATGAGTGTTCCGAAGCCGAATCGATTCTCCACTACCAAAGACATGCGCAGCATTATGACAATGGAATATTCAATCTGGCAGTGACTGTGTGGCGCGTGCTGCTGACAATTCTTGCTGTGAAGTTCGGATTCCTTGCGGAGCTCGCAGCCAAGTTTATCTATATTCCAGGCGCATGGGTTGACGAACTGCGGGTCAAATCACAGGCGGAGCTGAAAGACTGCTCTCCTGATATTCAACTCACACGAAACGATGTTATCGCTGCATGGTATCTGAAATCCGTCTATTCCCCTCAACCAACAACCATGTCCGCTGATCCAGTGGACTACTTTGGGATTATCAACCTTCGCCGCTTTATTGAGCCCCCAAAGTCCGGAACATACTACATTCGTTGTAGTATTGGCGCCTTTCGGTGTTTTTTCTCTGTTCAGCAGCTGAAAGAAGAGTCGGTTGCTGAGATTGCACGGAATATACGTCTCGCAACACTGCAATATACATCCACCGAATCCGTCCGCCAGGGTCTTCGATTCTCAGAAGATCATGCATCCAAATCTCTCACTTTAGCGCTGCGTGGCACTATGAGCCTAGGGGTTGCTGTGGTATCTCACTGGACAACATTCGATTATGTTGGCCTTGATTTCTCCGGCGCCAGCCTTAATGGAAAAAAAGCGTCAGTCATATTTGTCAACCCCATGGTTGTAAACAACTGGCACCTCACGATAGCACCTGTGGCTATCGTCATGAAGAACGGGTCTGGAGGCTACTGGATGCGCGCTACGAATACATCAACTGGCTGGGAATGGTTCGGCCAATCTAACAGCATGGAAAGTCTGCTTCCTACCTAGTGATCGGAGGTTTGTCTTGGTTGTTTGCAAATCATAGTTCTACTAGCATGTTTTCTTTCATCTGAAATGCTCCAAATGAGAAAATTGCCGTGTAGCCTGTTGAAGCCTGAGGCAACCACATCAAACATCCCTCTCTCTCTCTCCAGTGTTTCCTTTCTCTCCGGATCATTTTCATTGCAAATGAATACATTTCCCCTACCGCGGCTATGTTGCCCCCGAAATGTTGCTACATGAATAATAACAATCAAGCTTTTCCTGCAGGGCGCAGCTATACAGGATTGTGGGGACCGATCCAAGACATCTAAACCCTCATCGACTGGTGGATGGTGAATCTCGGAGCATTGTAGGGTCAGTCAAGGATGATCCGCTAAGCTGATGAGAGGACTGCCCGCTACCTTTCCGAAAATGAGGCTTGTTTGGCCCCAACACAGCCGGGGGCCATCGCAAATTGTGATTTAACAGTTAAGTCGAAGGTATGCTCCATTTAACCCAGAGTTCTTCAACGGCCCGTGTGGTCCTGTGAAATGACAAGCTTGTAGGAGAGTGATGCCTCAAACATCTCTCTCTCCTTCATGGTTCGCAAGAGGAGCATTTGATTAACGGGGAGGGACATATCCCGCTGGACAGTGAGTGTCAGACAAACTTTCGCAGGTCTGCCTTGCCATCAATATTGACAAGCTTCTCATTGCAGGCATCCTTCCATCGTGGACCAAAAGACATACCAACTGGTCAGCGAATGCGATACCCCGGACTGTGAAGCGGCAGATAACGATCCACAGGGTTCTCCAACCCCGACCACTGCCGACCAAGAAGAAATAGATTACCGGGTTGCTACTTTGCACATTGGGAGTGGCACTGGCGCTACTCGCCCATGTTATTCTCACGGTCAAATTGGCGCTTCTGGTGGCTATGGATGGGGTTCCTCGTCGGCCGTTATCTACGAAGGCACATGCCACCAGGCAATCAAATCGCGACCGGCCTCCATATTCTTATCAACATCATTGTGTTGACTTTGGCCACCACAAGCAGCTACGGCAATCAAGTCCTGGCAGCACCGTCGCGCGCAAGAATCAATGTTGCCCACGCTCAACGGGTGTGGGTATCGATCGGGTCCTCCAGTTTTACGAACGTCTGGTATGCGCTCATGTGGCGCAAGACACTATGGCTCTTGGTTCTTGGGATCATTCGTTATACCATACCCAGTTTTACCCAATGGGTTATCTGGGAGTTATTGCTACAGTGTTGGCTGTGAACGTGCCCAGGCTGTCATCACGGTAGTCTATGTGGTCTCCAACAACACTCTCACTCGAATGTGCCGCTGAATACGACGGTTTCGGCGTTCGAGTCTCATTTCCCCTGGAGAACAACGCTCAACATACTACCTTTCTGTGCCATACCGGTACAGTGTGCCATTTCTCGTGCTATCCACTCTTGCCCATGGCTCACTGTGGTCGTGGCGATTCTTGATGTTTCGGAGGTTCAAATCGGCCGCCATGCCGATTGCAATGAACTCCAGCGCGGTCATCAGTGCAGCTTGCCATCCACCCTCAGACGATGTTGATGCCGCGGAGAAGCCTGTGATGTGGGGACAGGCTGAAACGGAAATTGCGAGTCTTCGTACGTTCCTTGGGCTGGTGTCGCGGAGATCGAGACAAGATGCTGCCGTACTACCTTCACGTCGAAAGACGTTGCCGAGCCAAGTCCTCAATTTGTGTACTACAAGAATATAAGAAGAGGAAGTCAATGCACTTTTGTCCCCTTCAAATTATTACAGAATCTGATATGCTTTATTGTCGGAGTTCACTACCAAGTCCGCATGGCCCCTTGAGAGACCAACACCCGAAGCTGATAAAGAGGCAAATCCAGAGTCTCATCACTCTCCAGGATAGACTGTGTTGCCCTGTCGTCGGATTTCGTCCATGATCTCCATCATATACAGTGTTTCGGCCCACGGCATAATCCTGCTCTCCTTCCGGCCTTCAAGGATATCAAGTGCCGTTCGTTCCGCCTCATGGACAAAGCCACGGCCCAGGGTTGGAAACTCATATTTCTTCCCTTGACACATCTCCCTCGGGAAAAACGCACGATCTGGATTCCCTTCTTGCTTGCTCCACACAGTAAAGGATTCCGGCGCAGATGGCGTCCTCCCTTCAATCTCAACATACCCATCGGTCCCGTGTACAACAGCAAACACTTCACCAGGAGCACCGAGAGCTTTAGTTGTTGAAGTGACAATACCCTGCTTTCCAGTTTTGGGATACCGCAGAATTGTACTGGTGGTCACTTCAACTCCTTCCTCGTGTGTTTGTGCGGCCATAATTCGCGGCATCTCTGCTTGATCAGGTGTACTCCCTCCCAGGGCCATTCTCGCCCAAGTAAGCGAATAAACCCCAATATCCAGCAATGACCCCGCTCCCAATTCAAGGTTGCGGTATCGGGAGGTTGGTGGAAGTGAGGCGATATCAACACCAGACGCAAAATCCGAGAACACCCGGAAGACATCCCCAATGACCATTTCTTCGTGGAGCAATCGCTTGAGCTCGGTAAAAAGTGGTCGATGCCGGAGCCACATTGCCTCTGCGACATAGACATTCTTTTCGCGGGCGGCATTGAATATCTCCTTCGCTTGTTTGGCATTCAGGGTAAAGGATTTCTCGCACAAGACATTCTTGCCTGCAGAGATTGCCTCCATGCAATCGCGATAATGAAACCCGTGGGGAGTTCCGATATATACGATATCAACTTCCGAATCGCGGTAGACTTCTTCATAAGAGCTATAGACCTTTGGGTTCTGTTTCGGGCAGTATGTTCTCGCAAATTCTTGGCCCTTTTCAATACTTGAAGTGCCAATAGCTTGGATAACATGCTCTACTTTGCCCTCTGGCCAGTCGAGAACCAGGTCTTCCACAAACCATTGGGATATCATTCCGGTAGCTTATGAGAGGTGTTAGTTTACATCCACAATCAACACCGAGAACCCTCGGAAATGAACCCAGAACTTACTAATGATACCCCAACGAACCTTGGGTAAGCAAGACATGATGTATATGTCTTTAGCAGCGGAATGTTGCAAGAAAGAATGTCTAATATATTGTAGAAGACGGAAAGAGATGCGATTTGCCACGATGTTCTGGGGTTCGTAGACAGCTCTTTTATTGGAATTCAGCACTACATCTGGAAATCAAAACCCGAACCCCTCCTATGATTTAAACTAATACGTGGAGCTCCCAGAAAGAACGAGTTCGTCTCTTGCCCGAACTCCCGTGAACCCCTCATGTTGTCTGAAGCCTCGGGAACCAAAATCCGCATGAGAAACGGACAATAACCGATAAACAATGACATCAAATTGTTCTTGTTCTCATTTACTTCACTACTTTATTTTATCGCTACTTATGTTGTATGGTTATGGGGAGAGTACTATTTATGCACTGTAGATTTTAGGTTAGGACAAATTGGCATTCTTTTGGGTCTATTTCAACAGCACTAGGCACCTCTTGGATCGCGCATCAAATATAAGAGAAAAGACAAAAGACCAGTAAATGACTACCCATACTTACCACTAGAGATTAACTGATCTCTACATCTCACCAGGGAACCAAGACTCGACCCCAAGCTTAATGATAAAAGCCCCTTTAACAATTACCTCGGGCGGCGCATCAAGCATCCACCTCCAGAGATCCTCCAGAGCCTCCTGATCACGCTTCTTCTCCTTAGGGTTAACAGCATAAAGCTTATACATATCAAGGTTGTTGGGCTTCCGAATCCACATGACACGGACTGGTGAGGCAGGAAGATCTAAAGTGCGCGAAGTATTCCCGTGGATCTCCCAGCTCTTAGAGAACTGTCTCCACTGTGGGCGGAACATCTCGAATGTATCTTTCCACTCGGGATCGATATTACTATCCGCAAGAAGAGCACACATGCTCCAAACTAAGTGGGTCGCGCTGACATACTTCTCGAGGTAACCGACAAGACCGGGCTGAACCCCGTTCTCTCGGTGGATCTGGAAACGGAACTGGTTAAGAGTCGTCTCAGGTGCAGGGTCTGGGAAGTAGCAAAGGAGATTACCAGGGGGAGACCCTGTACGGTACATCTGACGGTACATGTCCTCTTCGGGCTCGAAGGCTTCCGCTGCCTCGAGTGGGAAACGCTCATTGGGAGCCTTGTCCTTGCCGGACTTCCAGAACTTCATGGTTGCAAGTTGTATGGCACTGTTGAGTTGTTAGTAATTGTTAGGATGTATGAGAAGAATGCTGGTAAGTACGATAGTCGGAATTGGGGTTGATGAGGTATAATCTTCGAGGCGAACAGGACGCTTTATATAGTCAGGACAGACTATATACATACTTTGGCTCCTTATGTCTGAACGTTTTACTTCGTCCCAATAATTGTCTTTGTCGTCTTTGTATCTAGACTTTTGAGCACAATACCTTTGTACACGAGGAGTTTTCCTCTTTGTTTATAACGAGCAAGCATACCAAGCCTTTTGAAATGGGCAACAAAGAGCCTCTTTGTATGTCATGCTAGCGTGGTTTATATGTGCCGGTGGGCTGTACTACAGAAACAGAGAAGGCACTGCCGCTAACAATGACATGTACTATGCCTAGTACCATAGAAATCCCCAGGTTTTGGACTCTCTTTCTACTTTAACCGGCTAAAAGCAGAAGTCATACTATATATCCACACATTTGGAGTATAAACCATCTTAGGGAACCTAGTTCTACAATGGTATCTCCTTTCCATTGTACTGATTTAGACCTTGCACGTTTTCCCACCCAGGTAAATGGATGTTGGAAAAGCGACCATTGCCATCCTGACCAGTCTTGTAAAAGATATATAAGACAGAGCTCACACCGACGCCGAAGATCAGTCTCCAGCCACTAGAATCTGGTCATTAGTTTATTCCAAAAACTGTGGAATTCACCCACTTACGCCAGGGCTGACGCAGAATACTATAAATCCTTCATTTTCTAGTTCACTGACATAGACCAACGTAAGCATGTTCAATGCAGCCTTGGTGATCTTATAGGAAGGAACAGTCACAACGCGCTTGCTGTGTTGCAGAGATATAGAACCCAGAGTAGTGGAGCTGCAGAATATGTTAACGGTTATATCCTAATGAGATCCATCCAGGAAATGACTGACATGCCCAGTGTTCATCTCCTTTCCTAATGGTCTTCGGATTATAGAAGTTCCAGTTATTCCTTCCGAAGTTCCAAGGTTTCCATCTATGAAATCTTGGTTCGCCCCACTATGCCCCACCGTACCGGCCTGAAGCGGGGCTAGCGGAAAGACATTCACCGTTTCTATCAACATCTCGTTCCTTTATGTTAGTTCTAAGTGTTTCCAAGTGTCTTGTCTCATAATTTCTCACGATATTTATTAGCCCTTCATTTCACTCACAATGCAGCCGTTTCAGCTCACCCTCTCCAACAATGGCACCGTGACAGGTCTCCAATCTATCCCACCATTATCGGCACTGTCTGCTGATAACCGTCCCTTGATTGTTGGACTCCACGGCGGAGGCTATGATAGTCAATATTTCGATGCCACTCCCAAGTATTCTGCCTCCTTGGCGAGTATTGCATTCGGGGTGCCTTTTGTGTCCATCGATCGTCCTTCTTATGGAGGAACCAGCTCGATTCTGCCCATTCCAGAGGGATCTGACTTCCCCCAAGAGACTGGTATCTGGTTGCACCGCTACATCCTGCCGGAAATTTGGACCGAGATTGGCGTACCCAACAAATGCAACTGTGTCGTCCTCTTTTGCCATAGCCTAGGGGGCATGGGAGGGATAGTCGCCGCAGCTTTGCACGCTCAAGACGATACACCGTTATACCCACTTGGTGGTATGATTTCAAGTGGCTTGGGCAACAATCAGCCTGAATCGATGAAGAATTTTACCCCATCTTTCTTGCCTGTTGATGCCGAGCACGGATTATTTCCTGTGAATGACAAAGATGCTGTGATGTTCAAACCAGGGACTGTTTCCCCAGAGGTTTTGGAGCAAAGTGAACGCCTCAATGCCGTGTCTCCATATGCGGAAACTCCTCACTTTGCACCTGTGTGGCTCCCCGAATGGAAAGAGAAGTGGGCGGCGCATGTGTTAGTGCCCGTGATGTTTGCTCTTGTGGAGGATGATCCCTTTTTTGTTAGTTCGGAGGAAGAACTTGAGGCCTGCGCGCAGGCGTTCAAGAATAGTCCTCGTGTTGATAAGAGTTTGATTAGAAGTGCGCCTCATTGCATCGAGCTAAGCCACTGGTCGCAAGGGTGGTATGCTCGAGGCTTTGGTTTCGCGCTGGAATGTTCTGCCAGTTTGGCGAATGACGGGACATCCTAGCCAGGGTGCTTGAAGAGGGGCGGGCGGTCTAATAGCCTAGCACGATCTACGCACACCACCTTCCCTGTCAACCATTTCCTTCGTAGCGTCTCTCTTCATTTGCATTTTACTTGAGGTCTGTGCTGGTTTTGTGGATGACTAGATATGTTTCTGAATAATTCTTATATACAGACATGCCTCAGAACGTCACACAAGTAACATTTATCATGTTGAAAATCCTAGTTAATTCCTATTAACACTGCCCTTTTCCATTATGCAACGCTAACCCTAATTGGGGTTTTGCAATGCAGATCCTAGGCATGCAGGATCTGCACCCAGACTCCTGCTAGAAGAAGCCTGGATTCCTTGGCTATATGCAGGTTGGTCATGACATTGCTGTCTTCAGTACGGAGTATACATGTCATTATCTCACTGCATCAGCGCCTAGGCATTTCAATTGAGCCTGCTTTCAGTCAGTTTTTGCTTCTTCTTGTTGTTGTTGATTCTCACCGCTTCCTGTTGATTCTTTCTAATCTGTCATCTGTATTCAACATATCATTCTCGCCCACCCTGCCACTTCCTCTGTGGGTAGTTCTCGCCCCTATCTACCAGCTCGACTGCATTATCCTTATGCCCGTCAGCAGTCGTAAATGTATCCTTACGTGTGACAGACTTCTGGGTCCTATTGCTGCCCGAAAGGGGAGTATTGTTGTAATTGTAATTGTAAGAGGGATTGGTGCTACCGAATATTGTGGGGAGGACTCGGCGGAGGGTGGAAAGTAGGGCGGGCATGTAGCAGCACATAATCGGAACGTTACACTCGATCACACTGTACGTTGCTACCATGACGTTGTTGTCTTGTATACGCTGGTTAGCTCGAGCTCGAAATTAAAGTAAACGCTGAGAAGGGTAGGGCTCGGCCTTGTATGTCATGTTTGACGTCGTAGAGTACTTCAGCAGACCCGAGAACCGGACAATACTAATAACTGTGATACTATCGACGGCAAGACTCTTGTCACGGACCGGCCACTGGCAGAGCGTAGCCGTGGCATTTTGGGACTCTGAAGATAGTGAGTTGTCTAGGTCAGAGAATAGTACGAGGGTTAGAATCCTAGGGCATACGAAGTCCTTCAATCACGGTGCAGGCCCTCAGTGAGCAAGCCTCGACATTGGCCACCAATGTATTGTCAGCGCATATGCACTCGGCGTCCGTCGCGGTACAGCTTGAATCCTTGAGACTCTTGGCGAGACAGTTGGCCTGGCGGTCATTATCAGCCGTGTCTTGTTTTCGCCATCGAGCACTTTCATACCGCGCATTCTGGCATGTTCTGGGCGCCAGCGCTGGCCGCGAAGGCCGCGAAGGCAAACGTTAGCCATGTTGCCAACCGCATTGTGACTCCTCCGTCACTCGATTGGAAGTTCTGTAATGAATACACGCACACAGACACCGGAGGAAAGCAGAGGGAATAAGGACTCGAATAAGTGCCTGGGATCCCGTCTCTTTGCTATATGTACGTCTATCTGTTTCCAACAGCAGAGGAGGATTCGACGGCGGCTTCACGTTAGAACTTGGTCTTAACCACCGTTTAGCCTCAGGTTTGAATGGCCAGCCACTGAATCTTTACAATTTCTTTTCTTTTCTTTCTTTTCTTTGGGGGGTGGGGTTGGGGGGGGGGGGGGATATTCTAGCCATCCTGCCCTCGGATAGGTAAAATTGGAATCCACCTGGACAGGCTCACGTATGACAGCTAGCGGCCCGTGTGTGGGCCGTTTCTCCGACTCCCCGGCAACTCCAAGGAATGGGTAATTTTACGTTAAAGGGCTTAGTGCTCCTATTTCAGCGAATAGGAAGGTTAACCGTGAACTGGGACCAGAGCTAGCCAAAGAGGAAGACCGGAGACCGTTAGCCTAGCCCTAACCTTCCAAGAATGGAAGTAAGCAGACTACTTACCTAGGTAGGTACTATCAAAAGTACCTTACTGCTGTTGACCAGGCTAATACAAATAGTGCTAGTGTCGGCACTTGGCAGGTGCCGAAAACAGGGAATCATCCTCCATCCCTAACGAAAGCAATCACTCTGAATATTAATTCCTTCTCCACATAAGATGGAACAATAATACCAGTCAGTCATCCATGCCTGCCCACTCACTGATACCAGGCCCGCTTTCCAGCCGTGTCCCCCCTACCGCTAATGTATACTAACGTGTTGGAGTGGGGATTGGAAGCCAACAGCGAGCCGTGTAAGAGGATCACAAGGATCGCACGATGCACTCACGCCTCTTCACGCATGGGACACGGTCCACCATCAGGTGTGTCTTACTTCTCCTAGCCCTGATGGGCCAGTATCCCCCACCCTGACTACGAGACCAGTATGGTGCTGCTGTTGAAGGATCCAAAAAGCCTTCCGGGCGATCCTAATCAGCCTAATGAGCCCAATGAGCCCAATGAGCATGTAGATAATTGCGCGCACTCGTTGGCCCCCTGCACAATGATACTACCCCACCATACGCTACAGACCCGGCGGAGAGAAAGAGACACCGTACGTAATCTGGCCTGCTTGGTCTGCTCGCCGCCGTCCCTGCATACCGTCGCACTGGCAGTCACAGTCGCACCCCTTCACCTCGTCCCACAGCTCCAGCAAAATGCCCGGCTTCGCAACCTATCTACTCGGCGCTCTCAGCGCGATCGTAATCGCCCGCCTTGTCCTCTCACTCGTCAAACGCCCCTCGCTGCCCCTACCACCAGGACCCAAACCCGCCCTTCTAATTGGAAATATTCACCAGCTGCCCAAGAGCCTCCAGTGGCTGGAGCTCTACCACTGGAGCAAGAAATATGGCCCCGTCATGCACCTCAGCATGGGCGGGCAGCCTCTCATCATCCTCTCCACCCACCAGGCCGCACACGATCTCCTCAACCGCCGCAGCTCGCGATACTCAGACCGCCCACGCATGGTCATGGCCGGCGAGCTGGTCACTAAGGGCATGCACATACTCCTCCGACCATACAACGACCAGTACAGGCTCCACCAGAAGATGGAGGCCCCACTCCTAAACCTACGCGCCTCGAGCAAGTACCGCGCGCTACAGGACCTCGAGTCGCAGCAACTGCTATGGGACGTGCTGAGCGAGTGGGACGAGTTCGGCGAGAAGGGCGTAGACTTCCACCACCACTTCGAGCGCGCAATGGCTAGCACCATCTACTGTCTGAACTACGGCTACCGGCTACAAACAGGATACGAGAAGGAGTTGATGGATGGGAAGCGTGTGCAGGCGGAGTTCGCGCGCACCGGGCAGGTGGGCGCGTACATTGTCGACTCGTTCCCGTCGCTGAATTACCTGCCTAGATTTCTGGCGCCGTGGAAGAAGGAGGGCGAAGAGCTGTTTGAGCTGGAGCGCCAGCTGCATGTTGGGAACTTGAAGAAGGGGCTGAGTAACCGCACGTGGAACTGGGCGAAGCATATGAAAGACTCGCCGGAGGCTGCAGGAATGCCAGAGATTGAGCTCGCTTTTAATCTGGGGATTCTTGCTGATGCTGGTTTAGATACTTCAACTGTTGCGCTGGACTGGTTTATCGTTGCTTGGATTACGTCGGGCTCGCGTGGCTGGGTGAAGAAGGCGCAACAGCTGCTGGACGAGGTTGTCGGTAAGAACCGCCTACCTAGCTTTGAAGACCGCCCCAAACTGGCCTATATCGACGCTATTGGTGAGTTTCACTTTTGATTCGAATAATGGACAAGATCTGACAGTATATGACATGACAGCCAGCGAGACCCTCCGCTGGCGCCCTGTCGTTGTTCAGGGCGTGCCACACTTCACCAAGGTTGAGGACGAGTACATGGGGTACCACATCCCCGCCAACTCAACTGTCCTTCCCAACGCATTTGCCATCACCCGCGATGAGGCTGTCTTCGGCGAGGACGTCGACAACTTCATCCCGGAGCGGTGGCTCGCCGAGGAATCCGACAAGGAGCACATCGACATCTGTGGCTTTAACACGTCTGCCCTCAAGGACCTACCGCATACGGGCTTCGGGTTCGGGCGCAGAGTCTGTACGGGCCGTCTCATCGCGCGCAATCAGCTGTTCATCCAGATGGCGCGAGTGCTGTGGTCATTTGATGTCGAGGCTGGCGTCGTGGACGAGGCCACGGGCGCAAGACACAAGGTCCATGATATGGACTGTACGGAGGGCTTTATCACCCAGCCCAAGCCGTTTAGGTCTGTGATGCGTCCGAGGGGGGAGTGGGTGCGTGATGCGATCCTGAAGGCGGGCACCACGCATAACCTGGATCACTCGGCCATTTTGGAGGCGGCAAAGATTGAAAAGACCTGAGAATGGATAATTTTCCTTTTTCCTTCCATGGTGTATGTTTACACAGCGGTCTAAAATAACAAGTTAAGCCCATGGTTCTCCCTGGATTTGGCTCATGCTATATACCAAAACTGAGCGCCCGGGGCCGACAACCACAGATGTAAGCGACCTTGTCGGTCGACCTACAAGCCTACAAGCACAATATGAATGCAGGCCTGGGTCATTTCTACGAAACTATTCATTCGAGCCAGGCCTTCAGAATGTCCTGGACTGCATTCCACAACCACTCATCCCTCAGCTTTGCTGAATGATCAAACCCATGCTCCCCGTCCCGTACGATGAGTTTGAAGTTCAGTTCAGGATCAGTCTCAGCAAGCTTTCTCGCCAGCCCATAGCTTTGTTCTACCGGCGCCACAGTATCATCCTTTGCATGTAGCACGAGAACTCCGCCTCTTGGAAAGCGAGCGCCCTGGTCCAGCTTCTTGAGGGGGTACGGGGCTATTGTGTTGTCAGGAAAGAAACTGCCCAGTCGTCCAAGTTGGCAGAGCGAGAACATCAATTCCAGCCGTTCATTACCAGCCCCGGATGATACAATCACCGGCTTTTGCGTGAGTGTTTCCTGTCGTTTAACCTCTTCCATGTGGCGCTCAAGGCAGTCTCGGGGGAAGGTCGGCATGTTAAACACCGGTCTTTCTTGCCCGTTGCAAAAGTACGGACTCTTGAAGTCCACCACGGGATACACCGCGTTGATGGCGCGAATCTCGGACGGGTGGTTGAGGCCCATCTGTAAGCTAAGATATCCACCGGCACTATCACCGACGCACATAATCCGGCTCAGGTCTGGTTGGATGGTTCCTTGTGTCTGCTGCTTGAGGAAAGCGGGCAGGGCTTGGTGTATCCACTTCCAGTTGTCCTCAACGTCTTCAAGGATTTCCATAACAGAGGACTCAGGAAGCAGTCGGTAGTCCGGGGACACAATGATGGCTGAGTTCTCTTTGGCCAGCTCAAGATACCAAGGGTTGAAAAAGCCGGGATAGAGGCTGTAACCGCCAACCAGGCCCCCGCCATGATAGCGGAGGAGGACTGGACAAGTGCGCAATTGTTGGGATAACTCATTCAGGCTCTTGGGGTAGAGCAGGTTGACCGTGAGCTCATGATTGTGTACTGTCTTGTAGGTGGCAGTCAGAATGACGAAGTCATCGAAACGTGACATGTCGGTTTCGAGGTCCATGATGTAAGCAAAGTGCCGGTCCACATGTGTTGACCTTGGAAGATTGGCATCACAGCATGGCCCCTGTAGTCTTCTTATAGCTCTTTGTCGGTAAAATTTAGTCAATGGAATCTCTAAGTTTCAGATATCGCATTCTGACCTAAAAAGGAAACTCAGGTGGATCCAAATTGATCTTTAAGCTCGCATCGGTGTGGGTCTTGCATTTCCGAGTGAATTATTTCCGAGTGAATTGACGTCACGAAATGTACTAGTTCACCAGGTACATTATGCCCAGGTGTTCTTCCTGACACAGATCAAAAATGGCAATGACAGAAGCATCCCTAGTACCTATCTTGAGGCGTCTCATTCCTGGCCTGTCGATTTACACTTCGGGCAATTCCAACTTCCAAGATTGCCTTAAGTTTTATAACCATGCCTTGGACGAGCAACCTTTGGTCTGTGTTAAACCTGTAATAGACCAGGAGGTTGCCCAGGTGATTCAATTTTGCAACACAAGTGGTATCCCATTTTGCGTTCGCTCCGGCGGCCATGACTTTTTCGGTCGCTCTTTGATTAAGGGTGGCGTTCTTATCGACATGCGCGCAATCGATTCAATTATAGTTGAACCAGGTCGAGCCAGTGCGCGAGTCGGCGGGGGTGTGATTGCCGGCACCCTGCAAGAAACACTTGGCTCCCAGGGCCTGTTCACCCCGACTGGACAGACAAATACTGTGGGATATGTTTCATGGGCTTGTGGTGGGGGATATGGCTTCTACGTTGGAACCTACGGTTTCGGGGTCGACCAGATCCTCGGGGCTAGGGTGGTCCTGGCAGGGGACAGATTGTTAACACCGATCAAGATCCGGAATTGCTCTGGGCGCTACGAGGCGCCGGCGCAGGCACATTCGGCATTGTGACCGAGCTTCGAGTGAAGGTCTACCCGGCACCCGACTTGTATGCTGGGCTCCTTGCTTTCCCCTTAAGCGATGCTGCGGCTGTTATGGACCGAATCGACAAGCTCTTAGATAAGGACTTCCCCGATGAATTTAGCGGAGACGCTATTGCCGCGCATCCTGAAATGATTCCGATGCCACTATCCGAGCCTTGCTTGGTTCTGTTTTGGTGCTGGACTGTGACCAACGAGGGCCTTGCACCAGCAAAAAGATTCCTCGACCAGATGGTCCAGGTCGGCAAGGTTTTGGGAAATACAGTCACGGAGAGTAAGTACTGCGACATGCATCCAGGCTATGACCAGCCGAACCCGTTCCTGAAAGGCAGATAGTCAAGCTGACTTGCACGCTCGGTCTCCAGCTACCCCAACCGCCTATGGCGCAGGAGATACATCATCACCCACTTTCGTTCGCAGTCGGAACGTTGACCGGATGCAACACAAAGTCGGCGCCATCCTTGCACAGCAGCCTCCTCCCTATCCGATGTCCATAGTCATCTTTCACAATAACCATGGGAAGGGGGTTCGGGATGGAATCGCGGATGAAGTCGGGGCGGCCTTTGCGAATCGATACAAACATGTCATTCTTGGGTTCCATGGTGGCACAAAATCTGGATCTGCTGACGCCCAGGACGTTTCCGACGCGGCCACATGGGTCACAGAACTGAGAGATGCGATTGATAAGGGACGAGCTTGCCTTGCAAGGAGGGTTCCCTAGCTTCTTTCCTCCTGAACAGGTGGATGTAGAACAGTTCTTCGGGGCAGAGGGGGCGGCAAGACTGCGGCGTCTGAAAGCACGGCTGGACCCGGACAATATATTTTGCCATGCACTGCCGGGTCTCGGGCAGGCTAAATAGGGAGAGAGAGCCGAGCGTTTCCTTATCTAAAAGTGGGCAATCTTATAGACGGCCTGAATGGATATAGGATTGCAAATAAAGTTTAGGAGTTCCTCTACTATTGACAATAGTAAGTGGTATCTAGCAAATGCTATAGACTGGGAGCTAGTTCTAGCTTCCCTATCAAAGATGGCTGAAGATCAGGAATCTTAGAACAGGGAAAGCATAGAATCTGATTCTTCATGATCAATTCTATTGTTACTTAGAGTACTCAGATTGTTCTCTCTTTGACAAGTTACAATCCCTACCGTTGCGGGTTCTACCATTGCTTCTACTACGGCCGTTTTGTTTCAAATTGGAATTGGGTTGACAATATCCAGTACTTCGCACAGTGATACAACCTTCCGATACTTCAAATAAGCAATTTATCATTCATCCAATAAACACTAGACGAAAGATGAGGCATACGTGCTATAGCAACCTGGATGGTTTGCTCGGGTTTGATCATAAGGAACAAGCACTTTATAGTGGCGTATAAACAATCCAATTCGACGATACCAAGATTACTTCATTTGTTTTCACCAGCTTCAGATTGGTCCAGGAACTCTTCGACACTGGTGGCGCGCAACCCTTGGAGGACCCCGGTACCCCATTCCAACGCCTTCCCCTTGGGGTTATGATTCGCATTCGTAAATCCCAGAATCCTCATCTGGTGGATGGCTACAAGGGCATCATTCGCCTTCAGTCCTTCATGAATAGCATTGAGAACCTCCACAAAGGTGACCGGGTTAGATTTCCAGGCTGGATCGCGGGTCCTAATCAGCTGGAAAAGGTCTCTGTAGGTCAGAGTCTGCCCAGCCAAGTGCGTAACTGGCGGCAGATCAGCACCGGTGCTGATGCTATCCCGCAACACAGCCAGAACCGCCCGCGCTGCATCTGCAGTAGATGTCAAAGTCACCTTTTGCAGGCCATCGGCATATATGTCGAAAACTTTAGTGCTATGGTTCATCGCCCATGCGAGTCCGATCTCGCGAAGCGGGTTCTTCCCCGTAGGCAGAACATATTCCATGAACCAGCCGTGGCAGATCATCGTCCACTTGATATCATTTTGGGACCGTAGTTTGTTGCGAACAACCTCGTGCGTGGCAGCGCTGAACATCGGCTGATCTGGGAAATCCTCGATGTTGATGTTCCATTCAGAAGGGATGAAGTGTTTGCACTTGCGCGACTGGCGGCATGCTTCGAGGATATTGGAGTGTGCGGAAATGTAGAACTCGTTGGGGCCGCTGAGGGTTGACACAACCGCGTCGCAATCATCGAGGTTTTTCTTCAAATCGTCGACGGAGTAATCGGTGAGGCGAATCTCGGCTTTGAGGTGTTTGAGGCTCGGTTTCACGGTACTAGTGAGAACCACAACTTCGTCCTCTGATTTGCAAAATTCTGTTGCAAGGCAAAGGCCAACTTCGCCAGCACCAATAAGAGCAATCTTCATTGTTGCTGAAACGTATGTAGGAGGGGAAATGGAGGCACGTCAAGTAGTAAGTGAGACGGGAGTTCGTCGAGTTGACTAGAGGAGTCTGGAAAGTAGAATCAGACTTGTGAACTTTGGCAAGCTATATAGGTTAGTGTGGATCTGTTCGGTGTACCTCCGAGCTACTGTAGCCACAGGTCCGTAATATACTGACAAAGGTTCTGTCACAGTGGAGTGTATCATCAGGCCTATCGTACATGTTATTAATATGTGTTTTAGCCTGTAGATGTAGTTTATGTCATAAGGATAACAAATGTTAACTCCTGCATAAGTGAGCAGAAATGGACCAGGGCTCTATTGCAATTGACGTGAGTTGTTGACATTGAATACATAGCAACATGTCCACAGATATTACTGTTGTTGATTTATTTTGTCTTAGCCTTTCCCTAATGACGAACGCCTCGCGATGCAGCCGAAAGAGGAAGGCAGAGTGGGTCAGGGCCGTTTGGCAGAGGGTCCACGGGTGTCGCATTCTAACTAAATGGGTAGGCGCAGTGGGCCTAGCCTGGATCAGTGACCAATTAGGCTGATATTTTGTGAAATTAAGTTTTTAGGTACTTTCCAGAGATCGTATCACGTGAAAATGCAGTATATCGTTGGGTTATAAGGTTATACTAATATATATTTACAGAATCAGCTGTTGGTATCGTCATCCCAGAAGCAGTCGCCATCCCTTGTGTAGCATGTGGTGCAACCAGGAAGATGAACTGCCGTTATCACGCAAAATCCAGAGTTCCTCGAGGAGTTGAACGACGTGGAGATTTACAGGCAGCCGGTTAAGGGAGTACACGGCTCGTAATCTCTGCAAAACCTGATTTCGCAGACAGCAATCCGTCCTTTTCAGCTCTGACCCAGCGGTCAAGAGTGGAAGTGACTGGAAGTTCAAATAGTTCGAGGTCATGGGAATCTCGAGAAGATGATGCACAGTTTCTACAGCATAATTATGGATCAAGCCCTCCAAGCTAAGATCCTTCAAATCCAGATTAGAAAAGTATCCACTGCATCGACAGGTTCGGTAGAGAAATATGAGGCCATGCTTGCGTAAAGCCTCATATAAGTGCTCCAAGGAAGAGTTGGCGGAGCACGCGTTCCACTTCAAGAGCTGCTGTTCCAATATGGCCTCCCGAATGGGATTGCATCGCGGCGAATGCAGGACCTGCCGACAGTGACGACCCACATTCATCAATATAAAGAGAAGTTCTGTGCCATACCCGTACATTGGGTGATGCCAGCGGCCCATTCTTTGAACCGCGATGGACAAGTTCAGTATGTTGAACTCCGGTTCTTCGTTTGGATCCACAAGAAACGCAGTGCACATCTCCCAGTAGAGATACATCCCGAAACACAACCGGGACAGGTCGTCATGCTCAAAAAGATGAGACGAGTGCTGGAGTAATTTGTTGATCAAAATGCGTGCTGCGAATAAGTGTTGCTTTCCAAAATCTGCCATGTCGTCATCGGCTCCGTGCGACAGTGCCAGTAGCATAGCAGTAAGTAGCGATGCTTGTGGTGCAGTCTTTGGCCCGTCTATTTCCTTCCGGAAGGATGCTAGGGCTTTACCTCTCTCCTCAAGGGCAATTACGGATGCCTGTGCAGAAAAGTATTGTTCATGACAGGCGCTGATTGACTGGATTATATGCATCAACGCGCATGATTTTGTAATATAGCCCAATATGGGAAATGAATAGGGGTTGTCATCCGGGTCAAGCACCAGTATCTGGCTCACTCTTTCGAGCCAATATTGGAGGAGCCGTCGATTGATGATAGCGTCCATCGGTGACGAGACCCAGTATGTCTCGTATTGCCACGGCGTCAGGCGGGGGGTCGAGGAGCAAATCAGACCCTGCCGTCGGCAACGGAGGCATACTGGGAAGGTCTCATCACATTTCACTCGCTTTGTTTTGCATTGTCGACAACCGAGTTTGCTCTTCGCTCTCCGCCTCAAATTGGGCAGCTCCTGGTGTGTCCTCCGTGCTTCATGTTCTGGCATGCAGTTGACTGGCTGAAAACGCACACGGAAAGAAGACATTCTTGTGTCCGCTGAAGTATATTGAAACCCGACCGCCGACTTCTCACACCCGCGATGGAAAGTGACCCGGACAAGTCGGTTAATCACGGCGACTCGCCTGTGGAGCAGAATTCTGCCGCTGGATATCTTCCAAGGTTAATTTATGCTTAGTAAGATGTCTTGCATTGCCCAAAAAGGCAGGTCAAGTGGGTCATGGGAGAAAGATTAAGGCGAACGACATCGAGCATTAAAGTGCTGCCATAAAGATTGATTGGGACCAAGCGAACACAAGCATTTGACACTGGAAACGTCAAAAGCAATTCTAGGAGCTGTGTATCCCCTGGGGATTACTCTCTATAGCTCTTGGGACTATTTCCCATTTTTGGGAAACTAAAATTCCTAGGATCTTCACCCTCAGTTCCTAGATGAACGTGAAATTGGCTTTGAGAACACATTGGATCTATGTAAACTGTCTACAATGTTTTTCTTCCAAGATTGCCACCTCGGGAGGGGAAGGGTCAGGGTGACAACAACTGTGAACTGTATAATGCCAACCTTGGAATATTTAACCCATTGTGGACTTAATAAGCTTGTAATTGTTAGTATAACTACTATGTAACTATACAGTCATGGGGTATGCTTAGCATTCCCCTCGGCATCTGATGCTCTGATCAACATAACGGAAAATTATATCCACCATCTTTGGCTTCGTAAATACGCATGGTCGGCAGTAAGTTGCACATCAACTAGCCTTTATATCATTTCCCATTTGCTATTATTACACTGTCCAGGCCGAAAGATCATTAATCAGTAAAAAGCATTATAAGTAGGGAAGTGATCCGCGTACCCACACCTCGGTTTCACGTCGAGTCTTCTTTTGTTGGCAAGTTGACCCCTCTTCCCATGTATTTCAAAATTTGAAAATGGATATAAAATTCATCCAGAGTGCGAGGGGTGACAGATGTACTTTTCATTCTTTTGCCCATAATCCTTCACCATTGTTACCTTAGGATGGCTACCGCAATGCGTAACCCAAAGGACTCAATGACGTCCACCTGGCGTTCATGGGATCGCTCACAGTGGAATGCCGGTCACTGGCTTCTGGAGGTCCTAAACGTGCACCACCTTGAACTTGATCAAGAAGTCCCGGTTCATCAGAAGACGGAAAAGGTCCCTTATGCACCAGAGCTGCAGTTTCATCGCTGGGTCCTTATCCACGCTAGTCTCCCACTCCTCCTTCATCAACTCTATATCAAATACTTCGGTCACCCTTCAGCCTTGCTGGCGTTTGTTTTCTACAGCCTAGCCTTGGAATTCATTGCCGTGCACGAAACACACGTCCTCCGCCGCGTCGGCCACAATATCGGCTTCTTCGACGGGGACAAGCATGCTCGCGACGGTGTACCCGACGTGGGTGTCGGGAAGACCGTGAAGTCTCTCCTGTCCGTTATCGCATTCCGTCCGATGTTGGCCGTCTTCCTCGCCTATCGCGTCGACGAAGGCCCATCATCCATCCGATGGGGATGGCTCATCTTCGAGACCGGCGTGTATGCTCTCGTGCTCGACTTCTGGTATTATATCTTTCACCGCTCCGCGCACGAGACCGAACACCTCTGGAGATTCCACCGCACCCACCACCTGACCAAACACCCTAATCCTCTCTTAACTGCGTATGCGGACACGGTGCAAGAGTTTATTGACATCGTCGGCACGCCTCTCGTCACGTACGGCACAATGAAGCTGATGGGGTTTCCCCTAGGCTTCTATGAGTTGTGGATATGCCAGCAATACGTGGTGTTCACGGAGGTTTTGGGCCACAGCGGCTTGCGTATGCTCGCCACGGCGGTGAATCCCTGGACGTGGCTGCTAAGGTTGTGCGATATGGAGCTTGTTATTGAGGATCATGATCTTCATCATCGCAAGGGCTGGAGGAACAGTCATAATTACGGTAAACAAACCCGGGTGTGGGATCGGCTGTTCAACACGTCTATTCCTCGTGTGGAGGGGCACCGGGACAATATTGACTATGTCAACACGGCGAAAATTCCTTTGCTGTAATATCCAGGACTACCCCCTTTAAGCGCGGATGTTGCTCGATTGGGTTTCTTCATCGAGATATTCAAGGCAATCCCCGTTCTGCTATCGGCGAGGACCCTGGAAGGCAAGGGTGGATATAAAAAGAAACGGAGTAATTCACAATAAAGATATGAATTGAATGTCTGGATTTTTCATTATTCATAGGAAGAGTCCCGAGAGCGTAGCCGGAGAGGTTCAGTCAGGCAGTCCGTTCATAGTGAAAAGGCAGCTCCGCAGATGCTGCCGTACCAGTCTTGCATTCCACAGCTGGAAGACTAGATGTGACTGACTATATCATGGCTAGCAGCAAGTTGTATTTTCATACGTCCATTGCATGGATCTCTATAGCGCAGGTTTCAGCCCTATGTACAGTGATTTCGCCTCCGCTTTCAGCAAACCGTCTTGGTCCAGAAGCTGTGCCTCAAGGAACCACTTCCTACCTTCCTTCCGCCTCACCCACGTTTTAATGACAACCGCACTCGGAGTACGCACAGGGGAGCGGTATGACACTTCAAGACTCGCTGTCAATAGATGCCCGCCTTCTTCTGAGACGAAGACCCGGTAGGACTCGGCACAGAGACCTAATGTCTCATCAAACAGAGCTGCCAGCACTCCTCCGTGTGCGGTATCGATGTAACCGTTCACCCCGGACTCAATTTGGCAAAATGTAATGAAAAATGGATTTTCTGCGCTTTGTGACAGCTCTGTGCCGTCTCCGTCTGTCGGTGGGCTATGCAGGGAACCTGGCCTTTGCATGAAAGCCAGAGCCCTTGGGATGGTGTCGTGCGACTTGATTGCTCTGTTGAAGAACTTGTCGGATAAGTCACCCTTGTCGTATCTTGAGACGAAGGGAACGGGCTGGTAGAGACTCGTGTTGTCCATGTAGGGACGGGCGAAAGGCATGTTGGCGAAGAAATCGACATCTTCCTGGGAGACTTGGAGCTTGGTGATCAGCTCTTTATAGGCGTGATTATACATGGCAGTTTGAAAAGATTGATAAGGTAGAATGATTGAGATTGGTCGCAAATTAGTAAATATATATTTGCTTTATGACTCCTTGCCGAACAACCGCGGCTCCGGCTCCTGCGGGGGGGGGAGCTCTCAGCCCTGGTGATCATGTCTGACAGACCCTATGCGATGTGCGTCTGCATAGCATTCTATAATGTTCGTTTCAACAGGCCCACTGGCATACTATTAATATCTCCCTCAGGGAGATATTGGAGATATTACGATCCATCTGCTTTGCGAAGCCGCGCACCTTCGGGTGTTCGGGACTATTACCTGCACTAAAGACTACCTAGGTAGAGACCCCTCTTCTAGAACGACTACCTATTAAATAGGTCGCTACGAGGCCTATATTAAACACCGGATAGTGGAGTTTAGCTATTTATAACCCAGAGAGAGCAAACACTCTATATGGCTCTGCATATACGGCTTCTCTTTTCCTTCCCTTTGGAAACATCAAAGCAGTTCTCAATTCAACACCCATCCACCCTTCAGCATCATGCGGTCGGTTGTCAGGGGCCAAGTAATTTGTATCCAAGGACACCAAGCCCCCCGTGCGCCCGCCGCCAATCATGGACCGCAGTGGAGGAGACAACCTCAGACTGGTCAGGACTACGTCGCTGCCTGTTCCTGAGACCGCATGACTCTTTTCCAGTGAGAACGGCAAACAGCTTGGTTATCGCTGACTGCCTCGATGGCAATGACTGTCGCTTTTGCATCAGTGGCGCTGAGTGACGGCTGAACAACCGAGAATATCGAAATGCTATATACCGGAAAGGAAATAAACATACAAGCAATGGATTTTCAAAATAAAATGTATGGAACAAGAACCTATGTACACCGGAAATCCCACGGCCTGACACGCCACCACGCTACCGAGAGTTATTAAACACATACGCATGTAGTCCTGAGCCGATAAGAAATAAACAATTACTGAGTCCGTCGGGCCATGAAGTAGGTCAGAAGGTTAAGGGATCCCTCACGAGGAGGCTGGGTGACTTTTTGTACTCGCTCGGATCCAAAGGTGATGTTCAAGAACGTGCAGAGCTCAGTGGCATTCTTTCTGACACCGGGGCGCGGGTGCCCGAGTTGTTGCATCACCACAGCACCGATGCGAGCCAGAAGCTCATCGTCGATGTCGATACCGGGACGCGATAGTGACTGCTGGATAGTACTCAAGCCCATGATGGTGGACCGGTACGTCTCGTCATTTTCTGCGTCAGCTCCGAGATCCAGTCCCTGCAGGACACCGATTATCGCCGTCTGAGGCAGGGTCAAAAACACCAGTTTGTCTGCGACTTCCTCTAGGCAAGTGACAAAGTGGGAAGTGGATTCGTAGTGGCGGCGGACCCGGATAATAGCTGCCATGGCACGAGTGTCATAGGGGTGGAAATGCTCGCGGGTTCGTAGAAGCATGGAACGGATAGTGGCCAAAACCTGTGTTTTCACGTCATGATCCTTGCGGTTGGAAGGGATCGCTTCCAGTTCCGCAAATAGAGCTTCCAGCAATGTATTGTAGTCCTGGTTTTGAGACACAATCTCGTCGCCGTGGTATTGGATAAGTCCCTGTAGCTTCCTATATCCCGATGGCTCCATGGTCCTCGAAACAATACGAGCGAGGCCTTTGCGGATCATTTCCTTGGCATTCACCGGGTCCTTCGAACGCGGGCTAGGGCTGCGGTGACGATCAGCCCACTTTCGAGTGCGTCGTGTGGAATCATCAGACATTGTTGATTGAGACAACGTCGACTGGGAGAGCGATTGAGGTATTGACTCAAACGATCTCTGTCTCGCTTCTGGCGAACGCGGTGTAGCTTCGTTTGCCGTCACTTCTTCGAGGGCACTCGGCTTAGCTGCAGACCGGGGGGCGGGGGCAAGTCTACAGTCTTGGTCAGGCGAGGAGTCGCATTCTCATTATTGCCATCCGCCCCGTTCGTCCCCGCATGAGGCTCTTGGGGAAGCACGACATCAATATCCATGATATTAGAAGCCGCTGGCTGAACACGGCCCCTCGTCGGTGATGGACTTGGCTGAAGCGGTGCTCGGCGTGTTGGAGATGGAGTCCGAACTTCAAAGTTCAGGCCAGATTCCTGCATAGGTGCCAAATCTGGTGTAGGCTTCCTAGTCGAAGCGACCACCGGCGCAGAGATATCCTCGGGGATGGGTTGAGTCTCTGCTTGGCCATGTTCGGGTTGATCAGAGCGACTAGGCGACGGCTTTGAAGGGGTGGGATTACCCGCAGAGGCGGCGTACCCAAGAGTCTCATTTTTGTCTCCAGTGGGCGTGGTAGGATCTTCGTAGATCACCATTGACTCCGGCCGGGGTTTGACAGCAGATACAGGACCAGAACCAAATTCTAGATCTGGATGCTGGCGAACAGGAGACACAGGCGCCGGGGAAACTGCAAGATCTGGTTCAGGGATAGAGGGTGAAGGTGCAGTAATAACAGGTTCTTCCAGCATCATTGGTTCTGATTCTTCGAGAGGAACTGAATCGGCATGAGGCCCATGCGGTGCTGAGTACAGAAGAGGCTGTGATGCATTAAGGGGAGGACTTTCCAACTCGGTTGAGGGAGGGGATTGTTGGTCCTCCGATGCACTGAGGTAATTTCCGTGACGGGGGGGTCCTCGCAGATGGCTGATTGGCCAGGCTTTCGTTCGAGTCACTACGAGCACGGCTCGCGGCGGCCATAAGATCGTTATGAGACTTGGACTTGGACAAATCAAGTTTCTTCGGCCTGCCCTTTGCGGTAGCAGCTTGTGCCGGTTCACGCGGGCGGGTTCGAGGTGCCGTTAGAGGCGCTTGTGACGTAGGTGTTGATGGTTTGGATCTCGCAGCCCTGGGGGAAGTGGTCGCTTGTCGGGTAGATTGGGTAGTACTAGACTGGGCTCGTGACTCAGGGCGAAGAGCATAGGGGTCTGCCGTTGCAGGACGACTAATTTCCGCCCGTCGGGGCTTCATGCCGGGTCTCATAGGCGCAGAAGATAGAGATGAGAGGGGGGCGCCAGTGGGTACACTCCGAGTGGACTTGGAGGAAGGAGCAGGTTGCTTCGCCTCAGCAAAGGTTGGCTGAGCCGATTCGGGTCGAGAAGGCATCTGGGCCCTCTTTCGAGCAGCAATAGCTTCTTGTAAAGCGGAGCGACTCTTGGCGGGGCTCTTTGCAGGCAATGCAGGTGCACCTTTTGACGGGGGGTTGGGGTTTGATGAATCCTTTTCCAGCAAGTTCCGCGACTTGGGGTCGAGCGTGTCTGCTATCACATTGGCTCGCTCCGGCCACACACCGTAGAACGTCCAGAAGGTGCTCCGGGATGCTTCGCGCACACCAGGGTTCGCATCCCCCAATCCTTTCGTGATCGACTTCTCGATGAGATCAAGACCTCCATTATGTTCAACTGCGCTTTTATGATGAGCCTGGCGGATGATCAAAGCTTTTAGCCACCCTGTGGCGAACAGACGCACTCCAACATTTTTATCATGGACCGCGAAAGAGACATGCTGCAGGATGCGAATGCTAAATGAAACATTTTGAATGACGACGTCGACAGTGGCATTTCCGTGTTGAGCGGCGATCTTTTTCAACGAGGAGCAAAGCTTCAACAGGTTCTGCATGATAATCTCGACCATTGAATCAATTCTAGGGCCACATGTTCGGGCAATATCTTGGACCAAAAGACAGGCGTTGGTAGACATTGTGGTTCGTAGAGAGTTCAGAACCTTCAAGATGCCGTCAAGGAGTGTCTTTACTGCATTGATATAGGTCTGCGAGAAGTCGTGTGGCGCGTTGCCTCGAGTCAGTCTGCGGAACAGAATTACATTCTTTTCACGCTTTAACCAATTCTCCTCGGATTCTTTCCCTTCGAACCAGGGCAGCATATCGCGCACAAGGTCATCGACGTCCCTCGCCGAAGCAATATCGAACGGTTCCAGGCCATCTTCGTCTGGCAACGATTGCTGGGATGCTGGTGTCGGAGCCGGTGTGCGTGGTCGGTTGACAATCGGTGGCTCTGCAGGTGCGGGAGGAGGCTGTCGGCCGCTCACGATGAGCTCCAGAAGCTGGGCGGCTCTTTGCAGGCTCCATCTCTGCAATCAAGTTAGAACCAGCGCAAAACTTAAAGTATACAAATAGAATAAAAGTACTAACCATCGTCAGTCTGTTCCATGGCATGCGAACGCGACGACATCACCGAAATCGAGCGTTCAGCTCGGGAGATTGGACGGGTAGAGGATGCAGTCTCGGGTTCAACAGACCCTAAGCCAATGCCCGAAAGGATAGCATTCGCGATAGATTTCCTCACACTGCGTGCCGCCATTTGCTTCTGCAGGTCAGACTTCGCTCTTGCGGGGCCGTTTCTGAGTTTGGTCAGAAGGCATTCAATGAATGTAATAGTTGGGGAGTAGCTTCACTCACCGGAACAGATCGATCACGACCAACTTCGCCGTGTCTCTAACAGCGCTGTCGGCGTCCTCTAAGCACGAAACCAGGGAAGGAACATATTGGCGGAATAACAAACCGTGGTTCTTCGTCATCTGCAGGTCGAGATTAGCAGCTAAGACAAACAAGCCTTGCAGGATGCATAAACCTACATTTGCCAACCAAAGCATGCTCATTTCTTTCGCCCGATGATTTTTCCCAACCAGGGCAACTTCCAGAACATGATATTCGACTTCGTTGCCTGCAAATGGCCACAGTTCGGTGAAAATGGATGCCGCCTGAGCTCTTATACGTTCTTTGGGGTCATTCAGTCGCTCTAGAAGAATAGGGTACAAGCTATGGGCCTGGTGGACAATCCATTGTTGTTGTTCTTGGATTGCAAGGCGCTTCAGGAGGTGGCCAAGTGTGGAGAACCCCGCCCCGAGAACAGAGTAGTGTTGGGAGCCGACGGCGAGGCGCAATGTTTCGAAAATGGGGCGAATTGCTCCTTCTGGAACATTTTTCTGTTTGATATCGGACTTCACACTAGAAAGGTAGGCGATCTTTGAATCAACAGACAGGTTGGGGTTCTTAAAAGCCGCCTGAAGTTCTGCTGCCTTCGCCTCCATTCTCAACACCGAGCGATGGATCTCAACTCGGGTCAGACACCGAAGGGAATGGACAGAAGAATGCGTGTGTATGTAGTGGACGATCCAGGGGGCTCAAAATGCGGCACGGCCAATATCGGATAGGAGGACGGACTCGGGTCTCGATTTGTCACTAGCCATGACAGAAGTTAGCAGCAGATTCTGCCAGCGCAAGAGAGTAGTGGTTATAAAAGGCAGAGTGATTGCGATTGCGATAAAGAAAAAGATAGCATGGACGCGTGTGTGGGCAGTGAGAGCATCGGATGATTATGGGATGGGATCGTCGCAAAAGGGCAGCATATCGGGTATAGACGAATCGCGAGGAGCACAAGGGTTCGGAAGAGGAGAGGGTAACAACTTGGAACATACAGAATCCGACGAAATAGCGACAAAGACGAATGTGAGGAAGAGCGCAAAGTGACCTCGATATGGTGGGGATGTTGAAAAGCGGACGGAGGGAAAACAAGGATAAGCGCGTGACGATAAGCGCGAGGGATATAGAGGGATATTAAAAGGGGTTGCCCTTAGGTCCTTAGGTCCTTTTTGATTGGAAATCGCTGTTTCCTAAAAGCCATCTAACCTAGGTATGTTTACACCTCTCTACTCCTATCTTACATGGCAAGGTTGTGCCCAAAAGGATGTTAACAGCCCAACACTGTGGTTTGTTTATTAATTTGGGATCACTCGTCGCATGGGCAACCCAACAGCGTCATGTTTACAACATCTCAATGTCAATATTTAGATGGAAAATTTTCAGAATAGTGTTTGTTGTGTATGTTAACTCCGTATTTGCCTATTGTGTTGCCCAAAAAAAAATCGTAGCAAAATGGGAAATAAAGCCATAGTAAAAGACTGGGAGCTGTTTACTACAAAGGATGTCTAACACGCGTTAAAATATCAATATAAGACCCAACTGACATGCAGTCAATGACATCTTACTCCATACATATCTTTCACTCCAATCAATATGAATCAAAGCGTCCTAGCACCCCACGAGATCGCCAAAGTGGAGCATGGCGCCTGTTCAGGACCACCAGCGCTGACACAGTGTGTATATGAGGGGTCCACGGGTGCTATAGAGTAGATTGGAGCTTTCGAGTTTATATCTGTGGATGACAGCCTTTATAGGAGTTCATATTGTTTTATATATGCGATATATTTGGTATCCATGGATACCTACATGAATATATATGTAACTAGGAACTCATACGTATGTTATTTAGCCCCAGGATGAATGCCTACCTACATGTACTTACCTACCTGGGTATCTAGGTACCGACCTAGTCAGCGTAACGTTGGCTCTTACCGAGAACCCCCCGCCCTCACCAAGCATTCCATACACCTCAGACCAATATAGACAGTTAAAGGACTTGAACCAAAAGACCATTCCCAATTGATGTCAACCAAACCAAATACACTATGACGAGCTCCGCCCCCGCACCTCATCCCTCCGCAATCCCGAAAGGCAACACCCAGGAGCAAGAGCCGCAGGCCTCGAGCAGCAAAGAAAAGCAAACAGACGTAACATCCAATCTCACCCCACAAATGCCCCGGCCAAAGCTCCGCCTTCATGTGGAAGACCTACGCCATCCAGCCTCAAGCGCCTTCCTCGCCTTCATTCCAGACGTCGCAGCAACACTCGACAGAGCCCTAGCGAACATCATCAAATACCTATATACTTCACCCCCAAAGTCCAAGAACCCGCACCAGCCCACCTTCACGCCCAGCATCCCACCAACAAGATCCGTAACAGTCTTCCTCCGCGATTACAGCGGCGTAGCCTACACGACAGGCACAGAGCTTGACGATGCGCACAAGGAAATCCACGTCTCGCTCCCGTACATCCAGCATTGTACATCCGGCCCATCTGCCAAAGATGACCCGCTCCACGAGCTAGTCGGGGTCTTGACCCACGAGCTCGTGCATTGCTATCAGCACACCGCGCCGCCTAGCTCCCATGAAAACAGTGACGGGGACATCCCCCGTCCGCCAGGCGGACTAATCGAGGGCATAGCCGATTTCGTGCGGCTTAAGGCTGGCCTGGAACCGCCGCACTGGAAGCGTCCTCTATCTGCTGCGGAACGGCCGCCAAAGTGGGATATGGGGTATCAGCATACGGCGTATTTTCTGGCGTGGCTTGAAGATGTTAGGGTTGGGAGGGGCGCTGTGGGGATGTTGAATGATCGGCTTTTGAGAGTTGGGTATGTTGGTGAAGGGGAGGGCGAGGACGCGGACAAACAGGGTACCGGGTTCTGGAAGGGTCTTTTCGGGGTTAGGGTTGGGGAGCTGTGGGAAGAGTATGGGCGGTATCTGGATAATCCTACAGAGGTGGGTGTCGGAAGGAGCAGTGGGAACTGGGAGGATGAGATTCTTAACCCTGAGTTATGGGATGGACGTAACGTCCAGATGAATAAGATCGGTAGTTCCAGTCGATGGTCAACTAGAGATATACAACTAGCAAGATCGAAAGACTAGAGCTTCCATTAACATTCATTTTGTATGCATTCAATAGATGTCTGTGAGCGGCTCTATATTTGGATGGCAGGGCCAAAACGAAGGCCATGGCATGCCTAGTTTTGCCCGATGTCTAACTGGAGAAGAGTAGAACAGAGGGAAAGAAAACAATAAGGGAAATTTCGAAAAAGACACCAGATGAATCGAAGGGATTGGAATACCCATAATGTACAGGATCCAGTCATGCAGAAGACAGGATAGATGACTCTTTTTACCGCCGGCCAGCTTCCCATGCGAAAGAATAGCACACCGGAAAAAGAAAAGCGAGATGACAAAAAAAAAGGGACATGAAATAATATGTTACTGTGCCTTGAACCAAGGCATCCCATTGCACCAAATACCTTAAACAATGACCTCGCCCAGGTCAACGTGGACCGGCTTCCACGGCAAAGCGGATGGCTCCTCCATTGAACTGGGGACGCGCACGGAAAGCGGGCTGTAGAGGTACCAACCCTTGAGCGCAGCAACAGCAGCACGCTCGCGGGCCTCCATCAGACTGGCGCCAGCGCCCTCCCCAAGTTTGTCCTGGCCAGAGAAGATACCGACCACAAAGACGGGGTGTCTGCTCTTACGACCTGTCTCACTAATGACCTTAGCGACTGGACGCTCGAAGCTCTCGCGAGCGCACAACCGTGTCAGGTCACGGGCTGGCGCCTGGAAGTTGAACAATTCTGAGATGTTGAGGTGTCGTGAAAGGAAGTGTTGCTCGAAGAATCGCTTGGCAGCGGCGCGGCCAGCGTGCAGGTAGATGGCGCCCATAACAGCTCGGACGAACTCAGCGCTCGCTTGCTCTGTGGTGACACCTGCTGGAGAGTGCTTGGCCCCCCTTGAGCGGGTCACCGAATTCATCATCATAGAAAATCTTAGAAGTGACCGTTTTCCTCCAGTTCTTCTGCGCTTCATATGGGCGTGCTGTCGGGTGGGTCGGGCCTGAGGGAAGCTCGGTGCCAGGCTCGAGCCTCTGGAACTGCAACAGACCGGGATCGACCTCTCCACCGGGCAACGCAGCCAGGTCAACACCCCATTCTCGTGCCATCGCAGCAAGGGTCTTAGGCCCAACGTATGCATACATCGCGGCAAAGATCACGGTCAAGGGCAGGCGAGGGTAGGTGCAAATAAGGTGCTCGGTTGCGTAGTAGGAAAGGAGGTCGTGACCGAGTGTGGCCAGCGAGGCATTGTTGAAATTCGGGTTCGGATCTGCTGATGTATCGACTAGTGTCCGTGCAAGTGTCTCGATAGGTAATCTGGAGGGTAGGTAGAGTCGAGCGTGGAGAGCGGCAAGTTTTGCAGATTGTCGAGCTGCTTCGACTGGGGGGAGAGGGATATTGGAGCTGCGAGTGGCGGGTGTGGGAGTCCTTGACAATTTGAGCCAATTGCTCATCCAAAGGTGATGATTCCTCAAAAATCGCTGTGGTCTGGTCATCACGGGTTTGGACCGGGGGAGCGGTCGATTGGTACCGTTGCCCGTAGATGTGTTGGTGCAGACGGTTAACAGTCCGAGCCCGCGGCGAAAGGACTGAACTGCTCCATCTTTGGAGTTGCAGTCTCTTCATTTGGGCGATTGTGGTATTCGGAGGGCCGTAAAAGAAATTATACAATGGACTGGAGGGAGAATCGCGACGCAATCAATTAGCATACCATCAACGAGAGAGAAGAGAAATTGTCGCGGCAGTCACGGGATGGCCAAGTCGTGTGAGGTCGCGCTAAACCCAATATAGGGTTAGCGGCTTGGCATTAGACCTGCGACCACGGCCCTTTCGGCTTCCACCTTCGAGAACTACCAGCCGTACGCTCGCTGTATTTTTCAAACAAACCCTTCAATTGCATCTTCGTCACAATGGGTGGAGGTGGAAAGATCCCGTATGCGCCCGTCCTTTTGATAACCCCACCAAGCGCTAATGGATCCGATCTGGCAGGTACCCCAAGGAAGTCTGGTCCCCCTCTGGTGGTTGGTACGCCCAGCCAGCTAACTGGAGGGCCAACACTGCAATCATGGGCGCCTTTGTGATTGGTGTCGCTGCTGTCGCCTTCAGCATCAGCGCTGATCGGGAATATCGCGACAAGATGCCCGAGCCCGGCCGTTTCTTCCCCAGCCGATAGTCCGTCACCCGAACCCCATGTCACTCGGTATATCTTATGCTGACCTTTACGTTTCTCCATTTATAGCTGGAGCAGGCAAATTCGGGAACACGAGCAGCAACAAGCCGCGAAGAACGATTCATAAAGAAGGTCCGGTTGTAGGCGGATTTTCAGCAGGACAGAACCTTTTCTTTTTGTTTTTCCTACTATTTGATCACTTGTGTGCTGTACGACAATAAAAGGGCGTTCCTCATTCGGCCATTGGTCAATTGACCAACAGATGTCTCTGAGGAGACTCTTCAAGTGTCCTCAATAATCGCTGCGTGTACAGGCGGACACGTTCCGTGAATTCAGTCTGATTCCACAATTCCTTTCCGTTTCCATCAACATCGATCTGCGGCACACCAATTTGCTCGACCACAAAGCCAGCTGCCACGGTTGCGCAGATGAGCGCCATAGGATAATGTTGGTAATCACCCCAAGACTCAATGGCTTTATTCCAAGTTTTAGAGTTTGATAGAACAGAGCCAATGACCTGGAATGGCTCTCGGCCGGCAGTCACCATGCCCTGGGCTAGAGCACCAAGGAAAGAGTTGCCCGCACCCGTGGGGTCGATCACAGTCGTAGCACCCGAGGCATCGGGTTGGTGATATGCGGGGAGCCAAATCTTGCCAGACTTTGAGTAGGCGTAGCTACCCTCCTTTCCTGCCCTGATAACCAGCATACCATTTCCGTCGGGGCCAATGCCGGAGTCTGTAATCCTTTGGACTAACTGCTGGCCTAGTTGGCTCTCCTCAGTCCAACCTGGATGATCGAACATCATGCCGAGCTCCATGTGGTTAGGACTCACCACATCCACGACTTTATTTGCGGCGAAGAACTTATCCTGTTCTTCTGGGGTGCAGAGATCCGGGACTGGCTCCCAGACGAAGATAGGACGCTTGAAAGCATGAGCGGCAGGCGGCGCTTTCCCTGCCTTTTGCAATTCATCTCGTCGCTGCAGAATATCCTGCACTATAGAAATACAACGAGACGCAGAACAAACCATATGGAATGTCTTGGACCACACCTGTGAATCGGACAACATTTCAGGCTCGAGTCTCAATTTCGGAGTCAGGTATTTGAAGTCTGCCCGGTCAGGTCAGCGCGTGCATTCCTTCAAGAGATATCACCGGAAACTTACCTCGTTTCTCGTCGGGGTGATACCCGTTCCAGGCCCTCGTTGTTAGCCTGCTAGGGTCCTCTCTAAAAACGCAAGCTGTGTTCCATGACTTGATTACATCAAGCGTCTCAGCAGGAAAATCGGAGCCAACATCCACGATCCAGCTCACGGATCGTGCATACTTCGAGCCTGAGACCAAGCGGGCGCCCACGACTGCAAATGATGCTGCGCCTCCGATGATATTCTTGACACCGGGTCTTGTATCCCCGAAATCAATGTCATCTGAATAACGATGCAGCTGTGAGTCTACATCCCACTTTGAGGGGCGAAGTAAACCATACCAATTATGAACATTCCCAAGGTGCAGAACTCGACCTCAATGGGCTGATCTTGGGTCACCATATTTGCAGCTAAGGCTATGTATAGATACCACAAAGAAGATGGTTGTTCAGAGAGACAAAGAATCGAACATTGAGATGTTAGAGAGTTCAAATGTTTCGACTATTTACGGGTTGTAACAGATTTACCAAATTTACCCCGCAACGTCATTTCCGCCTGCAGATTCCGCTGTAACATACCATACCACGTCTAGGTCATCTGCGGACCTCAGGAGCTCCGTCTTCTTTTCACTCCTTATCATCCCGTTCTTTTTGGAACTCGAGGGCCTAAATCTTAATAGCAGGAGATTTTGCTTTTTGACAGTCCCCGTATATCAACCTATTCAAATCACCCTCTTTTCACCTTTCCACTGCGACCGTTGGAGCTACGTGTTGCCTATCATGGCGTCCGGCGGCCATATGCATAATTTCACCACCCTCATCAAGCGGTATGTATCTTTGGTGCTAGAAGTGTCTGACCTATGGCCTCTTATTTTTGGTTTAAGGCCCGCTAAGCTGTTTGAATCCTAAATCTGCCACACTTAACTGACATTGGACTCATCTACAGGCTCGAGGCAGCGACCTCACGCTTGGAGGATATGGCGATGTCATTCGATGACTCTAGCGCATCAAAGTCCTTGTCCGGCTCTCCCTCTTCAGCGCCCACTATTCCACCGCCCCCTAAGGCCTCCCCTTCCCCGCCCGCAGCCCTGCGGCGGCCCCGGTTCCGCCGCAGATCCAGGACTTTGATGCTTTGATCAAGGGAGATGTTCAGAACTTTGTCAACCTAGGAGAGAAGATTGGTGGTCTTGTTGCTGAGCAAGTATGTTTTTGCGGAATTGGGGAGAACTTGGTCTGCCGGAGTAATTGCTGACTCGATCTATAGTCCAAAGCTGTCCTTCAAGCCTTCCAAGCCGAACGCACCTATCTCTTCGTTGTCACAAAGGCCAAGAAGCCTGATACCCAGCCCCCGGAGTTAATGACGGATCTGCACAAAGCATCTGATAGCATTAACAACATTCGCGAATCAAACAGAGCATCGCCGTTATTCAACCACCTGAGCGCTGTTGCGGAGGGTATTGTCGCCCTTGCTTGGTTCTTTGAGAGCAAGCCCGCGGAGTTTGTCACGGACATGATCGGTGGCATCGAATACTACGGAAATAAGGTGCTGAAGGAGTACAAGGACAAGTGAGCACTCCTGTTACTGACGTTTTGAAGGAATCCCATGGATGTTGACAGCTTGATAGGGACAAGGCGCATGTCGAATACATCAAAGCCTACTATCAAAACTTCAAGGCTCTTGCAGAGTACCTGAAGAAGCACTTCCCCCAGGGTCTTACGTGGAACAATGAGTCTGGCATTGATGCCTTGGAAGCTTTGAAGCAGGCCAAGGGAGGACCTGCTCCAGTCAGCGGCGGTACGCCTCCTCCTCCTCCCCCTCCTCCCCCTGTCCCAGCTCTCAACGTCCCCGGTGGTGGCGCTCCCTCCCCACCTCCGCCTCCTGGTATTCCCCCTGCTCCGGCCCCCGCCGCACCGGCACCAGACATGGGTGCTGTCTTCAACCAGCTCAACCAGGGCGAAGGTATCACCGCCAGCCTCCGCAAGGTCGACAAATCGGAGATGACACACAAGAACCCCAACCTGCGTGCCGGATCAATCGTTCCGGATTCCGAGGGCTCCAGCGCCGCGCGCGGCAAGTCACCAGCACCTAGCAAAAAGCCTAAGCCCGAAAACATGCGCGCGCGCAAGCCGCCCCGCAAGGAGCTCGAGGGCAGCAAGTGGCTCATCGAGAACTTTGATGCCCCTGGCGAGATCATCGAGATCCCCGCGCAGCAGAACCAGTCCATCCTCATCAGCCGCTGCAACAAGACCATCATCAAGGTCACAAACAAGGCCAACGCCATCGCCATCGACAACTGCGTTGGTCTCTCGCTCATCGTGGACTCTCTCGTCAGCAGTCTTGACATCATCAAGTGCCCCAAGTTTGCTGTGCAGATCGACGGCACGGTCCCCACTTTGCTGATGGATCAGGTCGATGGTGCTGCCGTCTACCTTGGCCAGCAGAGCCTCAGCACTGAGGTCTTTACTAGCAAGTGCTCCGCTGTTAACATCAACCTTCCGCCACCGGAGGGCACCGACGGAGACACCAAGGAGTGCCCTCTGCCTGAGCAGTTCAAGAGCTACATCAAGAACGGCGTGCTGGTGAGCGAGATTGTCGAGCATGCTGGTTAATCTAAGCTCGTTGGTTGAAGAGGACTAGGAAAGTATATTTTCCTGGACTCGAAGGAATTGTAATATGTCATGTCGGCCGGGTATAGTCCTCTTCCTGGGTCAACTGGTGGCTTGACACTTGTTATTTGGATAATTTAGTTGCTGTATCTAGCGCTCTGTAGATATAAATTGCAGTAACTCAAACTCGCCTGTTCTTACACATTTCACAAAACCTTACTTGATTTCATCAAGATTCTTGAATGTGGCAGCTTCTAGATATATATATCTGTTGTTCATATACGCTGTTGGCAGACACAAACGCCAAAATCGCGCAGCAACGCAAATCACATGGCGAAATTTATATAACCAATTCAAATTCACCAAGGTAACCTAACTAACATACGAACTTAGTATAAACGCCAAAACCACACTGAGAGGCGAGGAGATGCCAAAAATAAATAGAGGAAGTGGTATAGAGCCAACGACCCATGCGCCTGGGCTCCCCAGTATATCCATAAAGCACAAACAATGAAAGCAGATCAACTGGACGTCCAAGTGGCAATGAAAAGAAATACACACATCGCTTGGGTGTCGACCAGGATGCATAAAAAAATACTCGGCGCTATTATGTGGGTTAGTATAAACAAGGGATCGGCTGCAAACCAGTGCGCCTCTTCTCATGCTGTTCTGTGCTGTTCTCTGAGGATGGTGTAGACAGGGAAATGAGGATATATGTCAAAGTCAGGTCAAATACACGGGCAAGATAGGTGATGTTACTGCTATACTGAATGGCGAGGTAGACGTTCTGGGAGTATTGCACTGGGCTCGTTCACCGAGGGCGGTGGTTGTGAGTGGGAGATGGTCGATCATAAAAGCCCAATTTGCGCGGATGTCGTTCATCTACTGTGGCCTCCGGCCTGTGCACATCGAGGCCTCGGAGTCTCTTGGCGAGCAGGCTCTCGCCGCCTTCTGGGCTGTTTGGATTTGAGAGGCGAGCGTGACGTCCGTAATCGTCGTTGCCCCTCGCGAGGTCGTTGTACCGAGATGCACCATGCGAGGGAGGGGTATTTTCAGGGCCACCCGTAACATCCATGGGTCTTGGCACATCTAGCTGTGAGGGGAACTCGCTTGGAGATGATATATGAGGGTTGAGGTGAGGGATTGCTCCCTGGCCCACACTCCGTCTGCGGGAAGATTGTTCCATCCGCAGGCGCGTATTTGCGCCCGCATTACTCGAGATGGAAGACTCCCGGGAGGGCTTGTACGGAGTGTACCGAGGCTCGGGGATTTGTATCTCATTCCGTAGTTTCTCCTTGCCGTCCGGGACGCGGTTTGCAAACACCACGCGAATGGTCGAATGTAGGTAGAAGCGACCGCGTGCGGGACAGCAGATATTTAGATGAATGAGGTATCGCAAAGTGGGTTTGTCCTGAGGGTCTTCTGTGGGATTCAAAGAAGCTTCAGGGCGATCAGTTCCAAAATTCTTCCGTGCACTGAGCGGCATATCGATGATCGGACCTGCCGAATAACTGCGTTGCCGAATAAAGGTTTTTGTGCCAGGTTCCATATCACTGAGGTCGTATGGAACTAGGAAAAGCTTAACCGCAGTCTTGTGCGGGTTTTTGATTATGATTTGCAGTTGACCTTGTTGCGGAATCCGGTAAGAGCCCCCTGGGGGACATTTGGGCGATTCTGACCTGCGATTCTTCTTTTCCCGGCGGCGTAGTGATTCAGCACCACAGGTAGGGCTATCATTTGCCCCACCCGTGGCGGGAGTGCCTTCACGGGGTCCTGCAGGACTCGGATGTCGCCTGCGACGTCGAGTAGGATTGGGATTCTCCTTTGGTAGGGAATTTTCCAGGTCAATTTGTCCCACATATGGACTCGGATTGTCGTCTGAAATCGACCGGCCGAACCCTGAAGTCGGATAGCTGTAGAAAACCACGGGAAATGGCACTGTAACATGTGGCGGACATTTGAGATGACCTTTACATTGTCCCTTGCCGAGGACACCGATCTGAGCCATGAAATCCAGCGGCTTGGAAGGATTCATGGACATTCTTCCGCGCAATATTGACTCTTCGTAAGACCCTACCAGCGGTGCGTGCGTATTTGACGAGAGGTCAGAGACAAAAGACGGCCTTCTTACCCGCGATGGTGGGATCTGCCCACCAGGCGACGGTGCCAGTTGAAGACTATATGCTGAAGTCAATGACCGGCGAGGCAAAGAGTTTTGATTGGCGAAGACATCCTGCCGGCCGGGTGGAGATGGACTGGTAAGGTCGGGAATTCGATTGTTTGGCAGGGAGAATTGGAGATTCCCAAAGGTCTCAGGTGGCAAAGTACGGCGACGGTTCTTTCTCTCCAAAGACTCCGAGACGTCCACATGGTCAACACGGGGCGAAAAGTCCAAGTCGGTATTATTTGCTTGGTGTACCAGAGGGCTGGTAGGAGCTTTCAGAACATAGCTTGATGAGAATGAGCCCACCGACGGTGCACGAGCACGAGCATTCACAATAACATCGGACTGCGAATTCTCATTCGAGGTGCTTGTTTTTGGCAAACCGGGTGGCAAAGCCGGTGCTCCAAACCAAGGAGTAGTGGGAGAGGAGCTTAAATGAGCAAAGGGAGAAGCCGAGCTCGGCTTCGTATAGGGAGATCGAGGAGCGTGTGAGTCATGGGGATCTGTGGCGCCTTCCCCTGAAATCACCCGAGTGCAACGCTGACCGAGGTCTCTGGATATCGGCCGGCGATCCCAGTTCCTCTGTCGGTTTAATGTGATGTTCTTGGTTAAGAGTGCGGTCTTCATGCTCTTTTGCTGCTGTTTGTGGCTGGCCGTTTGAGGTTCTCGAGATGAATAAATCATTGTTGTCCTTATCCGGGGACTATTGGCATGTCAGTCTATATATACTTAAGAGATTCGTCGGACTATGAAAGAAAAGATAAGGACAACAAGACAAAACCACAGCAAGGAAAGACTTGAGAGAGATCCAGATACCACAAAGAGGTCCACATACCATGTGTTGGAGTCTCCAAGGCGAAGATTCTTTGATACGGTGTATCAACTCCTCCCGATCATTCGCCCACGACTTGGGCGGGTTCAACGCCGTCGAATGCATATAGTCGGTTTCCATTTCGGTAGCAGCTATCTCACGGTCATTGAGGTCATTTAGCTGGGGCTGCGAGGACCCTGTGGTCGGCTGTTCACGATTGCCATGGTCGGGTGACCATAGATAATGGCGCCGCCGATCCGGATCACGAAATAGGGGCATGGTGGCGTGATAAGGACAGACTATAATGCCTGAAACGGTAAAGGGGACATTTCAGGAGCCCACAGAGGTAGCACCTTTTGAAACTAGAGCCGAGCTGTGCCTTTGTGGGGGGGTCCAAGTTGGATGCGGTGTACCGAGATGATTCGGGTATATGCCGTCAGTGATTTTACTGAAGAAGATAGCGGTTATATAAAAGAAAGTATGTATGTCACACTTGTGGGCTTGGCTTTTGCTGTCTTAAAAGTATGAATGCCCAGTTTATGCCTCAAAAATGGTGAAAATGTTGAGTAGGGGAAGAAAGTATTGAGCAGATCGTGCATTGTGTCGTTGAATGGGGTGGACACCCGTCGATCTCGGAGATCCGGACTGAGAACGTCATGTGATGGACCAGTGACGTTGTGTTGCAGTTGGGTACTCCAGGGCGATATTATTGTATCTTGGATAAATTGCATTCTTTTGGGTCTCAATAAAGAAATCAAGGCCCAATGCCCGAAACACCTGAGAGATGTTGGGGAGAAATAGCGAAAAGAAGGCAGACAATGCGCAGATCAGCAAAAATGAGAATAAATCGATGATAATGCCAGGTATATTGAGCATGTAGACATTCTAGACGATATTAGAAAGGATCGTAAATACTTCCCCTTATCATCTCAAATCTGTTAGAACCAAAGTCGAGAAGGGAAAACCCGTTGTATATTGTCCGAAAAGTTCATACTTGCTAGTGGCCGAGACCGATGTTCCGTGCGGAGATCGCCACTTTTTTTTCTTCTTCTCCGACAGTCTTTCGATTTCAACACACATCGGGGTAAAACACATCTGTTTTGCTTGAATATCGACATGGCACCTAAACGTACCCACGACGGTGATGCTGCTCCAGCTTCAAAGGGCGAGCCCGCGATCAAGAAGCGCAAGGGTTTTAGCGTTGGACCCGCAAACCTCCCAGATGGCACATATCGTCGCAAGAGTAAGCATGCCCGAAAACCATGGCTTGAACGAAACTGACAAAATGATTAACAACAGCTCAAAAAATAAAAAATGACTTGATTCACAAAGCCAAAGTGAAAAAGGCCTATGCCAAGATCAAGGCCGAAGAGCTTGCCAAAGCGCCTAAGAAATCCGTGTACGATACCGCCGAGGGGGAAGAAATCGAAACTGGCAAAAACAAGGAAGAGGCTGGCGAAGAAACCCCAACTCTGGAACTCCATCCGGATCGCATAGCCATGTTGAACGAGCCCGAGGCCGAGCCGGCACCTGCACCTGAGACCAGAGCGGCGCCCACGAGGCGATGGCAAACAGAGGGAGCGCCGGCCAAAGCCTTCTGCATTCACAAAGGAGATGGAAATTGCAGAGAAGCGGAGGAAAGCGGAGGAAGCACGACGGAAGGATCGCGAGGCCAAACAAAATGAGCGTGAGGCACTGCTGCGCGCGAAGCGGCCGGACCAGTTTGGGAAGAGGAGATTAGGTAGGGAGAGCAACGTGTTGCTCAGTCGCGTGCAACGGATGGTTGGTCAGAATTAGAGAGGAAAGGCAAGAGCTACACATGCATGGTGTGGACTATGTTTCCATGATACCCGGGATATGAAAAAAGTTATTATTCAAAGCATTCAATATACGATTCTTTAATAGCACTGCTTGCTAAACCTATGTCGAGGTCGCTGCGGAAGACTTGGAGCCACCATTTGCACCTCCGCCGCTTCTCGGCTTTTTGAAACAAGCAAACTCGCCCTTAGTCCGATCTCTGAGTCGTTTCAGGATAACCCGCATTTCTCCTAGTTCGGCCTTCAGTTTTGTGCGAGCTTCGTTTGTGGTACGACAATCCAGTTCGACGTAGATCTGGCTTTGCACATTCGATGCCTCCTCGGTTATGTACGGGCTAAGAGTCTGTGCAATGAACTCGGTATCCAAGGTAGCTTGCATCAAAGCTGGCAGCGAGAAGGAGGACCGAGCACGGAAGGCATCAAGCAGCGAGGAAGAAATTTGAGAAAGGAGATGTGTCAATACAGTGGCCAGCAGCGAGGAAGGTGAACTTGATGGAGCGCGACTAGCAGCTGATGACACGGTAGACGGAATAGTTGTGGAGATCTCGGTGTGGACAAGCACCATGGTCAGCATGGCGTTGTAGACGTATGGGCGAACTTGTCCGGCCTGTCAACGGACGGCTCCCAATCTGGAGATGCAATGCCAGTGGTGATAGTTTTGTTTAATGAGGCAGTAGTCGGGGTGATATATGATTGGAATAGCCTGGCTTCAATCTGGCTCAGCACGTCCCGGACAGTCTTCGCCTCTTCCGTCAGCTTGACCGAGAAGGATGTCTCAAAGTTCGAGATAAGTTGTGGGACATGGTCAGCCTGTAGAGCCTTGAGGTTTGAAAGCGTGAGAAGGATTCGAACATTCTGTTCTGTGGTCAGTATGCGGACATCATATTGAACAGGACCGACTTACCCGATTCCAAGAATCGACTGAATCAGCCGAGAGGACCGACAAAGCAGCGTCAGTCGCTTGACTTGTCATTGCTGGTCGAGCAATAATCCATTCGTTTTCCTCATCTACCGTTGACAGGTGCTCTGCGTTTTCGACCAGCCCGCTCAACGCTTTGTAAACACTCGATACGAACTGAGAGCGGACCATTTGAAGCAGTTTCGCAGGCGGCGGAGTGACAACATCCACGGAACCTGGCTTCGCCATAGCTTCCGAAATGTAAAGGATCTTTTGCATGCCCCCAAGGATAGCACTCTCGAAAGCCACAAAGAACCCGGGCATCTTAGTCAAATCACGCTTCTCCGAATCGCGTGTCCAGTCTTCCAACATTTTGCATACCTCTGCATCTTTACTCCAGGCAGCACACGCCACGCGTGCACATCGTTCCCGGGAAATGCTGACAAGGGTCTTGAGGAGGTCATACGTTTTTCCAGAGCCGCCAATCGGCCTTAGGGCTGCCATTTCGCTCGCAGCGGTGCCCACAGTGATGAGGAATTTACTTAAGTAGTGCACTCCACTAAGCGAATTGGAAAATGGTGGCCAGAATGCGAAATCCTCCCAGTGCTCTCCAAGCTTTGGGGGAGGATATGGTAGGTTCTTCGGATCCAGCTTGAAGCGGGACTCTGTCGGAGTGATACCCCTCGACTCTGGAGTTGATGGACTTGCTGGAATCGGCGAGAAGAGTATGGAGATATCTTCGGTTGGGGGTTCCGTGAAGAGCGCCACGACGCTCTCTCGAATAATATTGACCAACACCGCAATACCTTCCTCTAACTCCTTAATATTGTCATCGGAAAGACGGTGATGCTTGCGACTCTCCCCTTCAAACCCGGCAGGCAAAAGCCGTTGTCGATTGCCATCAACGAATGATTGTGCGACTTCCCAGAAATCCAACACCTCGCCCAGCAAACCAGTCTGCGAGGACAGAAGTCGGGTTAGGAACGTTTGTATGCATTCCCACAGCTCAATGACTTGATCGGTGCTCTAGCCTCTCTGGCATTTCCACCGCACCATCACGAGGTGCCAGGCGGAGATAGGATGCTGTAGCCTGTGGATTTGGTCTTTCTCCACCAGCAAGTCTTCTTCTTAAAATTTCAATTTCGACCTTGCATCGTTCACAGAAGCCGGTGATCTTTGTTTTTAAGAATTCGACACGACTCTGAAGCCATGTCCAGATAGGGTTGTCCTCGACACCGAGTTCTAACAAGGCCCCGATCAACTCCATGTGTTCTTCCACGGGCCCTAAGGCGGTGCTTGTGGTTGAAGTGGTGGGGGCATCGGCAAGACGTCTCCAGAGATCACGCTTAAAGTCGTGGATTTGTTGGTCAACATCCATCCACATCCGGCCCATGGCCAGAATGGTGTGTGTCTCAGAGTCGTTCAGTTGCCGGCGAGAACTGGATGCCTGCTCCGCGATATTCTTAGCCCGATTTGCGAGCGTTCTCGCTTTGGTATACTGCCCAAAGACAGCATCGTAATCGCGCTGCTGGATTGACTTGGATAAATGGCTTCCAATTTCATAGACCTCGCGGTGTTTCTCCATCGTTTCCACCACCGACTTCAGTACCTTCTCTCGTTCCCGACCCCCAAGAGCTGGCCCCCACACCTCTTCGGCCTTGACAGAAGCCTCGACCAAAGGACCCCTAATACCCTTCAAGCCGAACTCGCTCTCCTTGACAAGAGCGGTCTTCTTGGCAGCCATTGGGGCAGGAGATATGCTCCGTTGGTGACCTGAGTAGCTCCGGAAATGCCCCGACCTGCGTGGACTCAGACGCGGTTCCTTATCAACGCCCTGGTTCCTCATCTCGGTATAGACGCTATCGATAGTTGCCTTAGCACGAACGAAGCGCTCAAAGTTGGCTTCCACCAGTACTTTCAGCGACGCTGACTTCTGGTCGATTGAATGTGACAGGTTATCCAGGCCGCTCATCAGCGATTCCATAGAGGCCGAGTGATGCGCTTGTGATAGGAATAGTGCGGGCGAGAATGATGTCGATGACAGTAGGAACCGTGATTTGCCTTCTTCCTCCAAGGGCACTCCTCGCTGCTTGAGAATCCGGAGAACGCTGTCACTTGTACCCAAGGGGTCGGGCTCGTCTTCCCGCGCATTGTCTCTGCTTTCCTTCCCTCTTCGTGAACCAAAGTTGCTTCTCCAATCACTGGGACTGCGTTCGAGGGCTATGTATCGTGATTTGCGTGGACGGGAGTCTGTTCGCTGAACCGGCTGTTCTTCTGGCTCATCGGCCACGTCTAATGATGCCGGCCATTCCTCGGGGAACTTGGAGGGTAGGTTGTAGTGGCTTGCGACGTCGAGGTCAGCCATGATTGCCAAGTGGAGCGTAGGAGCTAGGACGAATTGAAATGCAAAATAGAATCATAAGCTCTCTGCAGGTGACCGAGATCTGATAGCAGAACCCTAATCAAATGCTGAGACCCTATGGTAGTCAAGAGTGGACACCAGGCAAAAGAGTGGACTCGGGCCGTGGGGGAAATGAAACCACCAATGCGGTCTGAGGGCCGGTCGGATCGGTACGGCGCCGAGAGATTTGATTCTTCTCCCCTTCTCCTTCTTCCATTCCTCCCCCTCACCACCTCTAATCTTCTCCCAAAGAAATTGAAGGGATCTTTCAAGATGATCGCTGCCCGGAACTTCTCTGTTGCTCGCCAGTGCATGCGCCCGTCCCGCGTGGCCCCCCGATTTGCTGCTCCTATCGCGCAGGTACCAACCCCCTCTGGATACTCAATCGCTATTGAAGCTCAATTGACTAAATTTCGACCTTTTAAATAGGTCCGCTTCTACGCTAGCCCTGCACAGGAAGCTGTTGCCAAGTTCAAGGGTCAGAAGGGTCCTGATGTACGTTTTTCTCCCACCGAACCCGTTTTTTCATCTATGCCGGTGCCAGCCGCGCACCCACCGACCATTTCGAGAACCATCACCACGTGTATAATTACGGCAATGCTAATTGATCTGCTTTTTTGAAATAGGGCAAGTACACTGTTACTCTGATTGAGGGTGACGGTATTGGTCCTGAGATCTCTCAGTCCATCAAGGACATCTTCGAGGCCGCAAAGGTAGCGATTTCTCAACATATGAACTCTTCATGATCGAAATACTAAGTCAATTACAGGCCCCCATCAAGTGGGAGTCCGTTGATGTCACCCCTATCCTGAAGGATGGCAAGACCGCCATTCCCGACGATGCCATTGCCAGTGTGCGCCGCAACTACGTCGCCCTCAAGGGTCCTCTCGCTGTATGTTCCAGCTTCAAATTGCCCGTATATATCACGTCTGGACTGCGATACTAAACTTCCCTTTTCCAGACCCCCGTTGGCAAGGGTCACGTCTCCCTGAACCTGACTCTCCGCCGTACTTTCAACCTGTTCGCCAACCTGCGTCCTTGCCGCTCCATTGCTGGCTACAAGACTCCCTACGACAACGTCGACACTGTTCTCATCCGTGAGAACACCGAGGGTGAATACTCCGGTATTGAGCACGTTGTCGTTGACGGTGTCGTGCAGAGCATCAAGCTCATCACCCGCGAAGCTTCTGAGCGTGTCCTCCGCTTCGCCTTCCAGTACGCGCAGTCCATCAACAAGAAGAAGGTCCGCGTTGTCCACAAGGCCACCATCATGAAGATGTCCGACGGTCTGTTCCTCAACACCGCTCGTGAGATCGCCAAGGAATTCCCCGATATCGAGTTCGACGCTGAGCTGCTGGACAACTCATGCCTGCGTATCGTCACCGACCCCACCCCTTACAACGACAAGGTCCTCGTCATGCCCAACCTGTACGGTGACATTCTGTCCGACATGTGCGCCGGTCTGATCGGTGGTCTCGGTCTCACTCCCTCCGGTAACATTGGTGACGAGTGCTCCATCTTCGAGGCCGTCCACGGCTCCGCCCCCGATATTGCTGGCAAGAGCCTCGCCAACCCCACTGCTTTGCTTCTCAGCAGTATCATGATGCTGCAGCACATGGGTCTCCACGACCACGCTAACCGCATCCAGAAGGCTACCTTCGACACTCTCGCCGAGGGCAAGGTGAGTTTTTATATCCATTCCCTACAGTTACCGCACGTTACTGACCCATGACCTTTATTTAGACCCTCACCGGTGATCTTGGCGGCAACTCCAAGACCCACGAGTACGCTGGGGCTATCATCAAGCGCTTGTAAACCAAGCGCTGTTAAGACTCCTTGTACTATGACCCCCCTGATCTATTCCCTTTGTACCCTTCGAACGACATTAGACCTATAGCGATCGAAATATACCTATTTTTGGTTACCTGGAGGCGCCTGATTCAAACAACCTCAACCATCTTGGTCGTATATTGGTAGATCTGTATCGTAGATTGATCGGTTCTGCTAATGTAGCAATAAAGTACAAGATGCCTGCATAGTCATACACATAACTATAACAAAAGAAAACGCCATCCCCGAAACTCCACAGGTATCAAAGTCCGAACCCCATATCGACAACTTGGCTATGTTAACGCCGTCGGGCAGTCCTGCGTGTCGCAGTGCCAGTCGAAGGCCTCTTATCTTTGGCTTTCGATCGAGATGTCTGCGCTCGGGTGCTCCGTGGACCACCTTTCTCGCCCTCGTCCTCATCTTCGTCAGTATTGCCCTCAGAGCCCTCCTCGCCTTCCTCGTCATCCTCATCATTCGCACCAGTGTCTTCCGAATCGCCCCCTTCATCTGATCCCTTTCCTTGACTCCCTGGACCGATTTCCACTTGCAACCGAGTTGAGCGTGTTCCACGTGTGGAGGGACGGGATTTGCGACCTCGAGACGGGGCAGGAGAAGACCGTGGTTCTGGGGTGGGCAAGACGTCAGTTTATGAGTTGTAGACCAGACTGTAATTCATATCACTCCTTACCGTCTGTATCCGCGACTGTGCTTCCTCGCCGCGATCCGCCTGCGCGACTGGCACGGCTGGTGACGGGTGATAATGACTCTTCCATCGCAAGCCGCCTTTCAAACATCATATCGCCGTACTCGTCATACGGAAGCTCAAACGAGCAATACATCTCGCCAGATCCTTCATCGTCTTCATTGACATCGGTGATCACGGAATCTTCCTATAAAGGTAACGCTAATCAGCAAATTGAACCAGCACAGACAAAACATCGATGACGGCTTACCCGCTCGTCAAGAGCCTCCAAATTGTATAATGAGCCGAGCTTTTTCCAAATCCCTGGAATCCGCATATGCTCCGCCGTCGAGGGTGCGTATCCTTGGCTCTTTAGGTAATCTGAGATTGCGAGCATCCGAAAGTGTTTGTGTATGCCTATGGGGCCAGACGGTTAGCTGCGTTGTCGACTCAATAGAGGTGGGATTGAACTCACCGACTGGCTTCCATTTTATGATCGCTTTGAGTAGCGCAGTTTCTTGCTCATCTGTCCAGGGATCTGTGATGAGGTCGTAGTCTGTGTCTGACTTGTCGGCGCTGTCGCTTGACAGTGTATTTGCGCTCGACTCCGCCATGGTATCGTCTTGGGGCGTGGGCGAGTGCGCACGCTTGGTCTTCTTTTTTGGAGGCATTGTAGCTTAGATGCAATATCCGAGAACCACGGGAAGTAGGAAGGATTGAATTGGAGAGGGGAGATAATGAGCTTCGAGCAGGGCGAGGGCACTTTCTGTTATCAAGGGTCTGTGCACGGCGATAGCCATCTCCGTCGCGGGACCTTGGGAACTTGTACGCGTCAAACGTCTTGCTCATCTGAGCATGGTCTCACTATGGATTATGACCACGAGCTGGATCCTTTCTCCAGTGAAAGCCTCTGGAGACTCTCCAAATTCAGCATAGAAGCTCTACAGCCATTGGAATCGCTACCATGGAACACTACTCTAAGTGGTAAGCGTCAACCGCAGATTTCCTAGAACCTTCAATAACACATCTTTTCTCTATAGACGATGCTACGTCTTGCTTCGAGTTATTCCCACAGCCCTCGGATAAGATTGACCCTGTATGGAAGCTGGATCTTTTCCCAACCGGCTTGGAAAAGCCCGAATCATTTACCGACTCGATCATCAATCCCTCAATAGACGGCGAGTCTGATGCCACGGGTGACTCTTTGAAAGACATCTCAGGCGATGATAACGACATATGGAGCTTGGATTTACTTCAGGAAGACCCTGGTCAACTACCTCCGCCGAAATCATGGGAAAGGTATCAGCACAGGTCTTTCCGAGAGCCCGTGTCTGTCTACTTTAGTGAATCTGGGGCAAAGGGTTTCGATGCAGCTTTGGAACAGCAAAAGGCTGCAAAAACAAATGGTGTACCAAATCGAATGGTTCGAACAGATGTGTTCATTCGATCACTGCTTCGTCTCGGGCTTGGCTGGAGTTCTGCGTTCTTTAGCTACGATCAACGCACCAACCAATTTGAAAGATACTTGAAGGATATCTCTGTCTCTGGTATTAGCCCATTGGCATTGGAAAATGCGATCGAATATGTGGTACAATGTGGTACCAACATGCAGCGCATGCGGTTGTTTGCGCAAGACCCGCCAGCCAAATGCAGAGAACTTCCTGCTTTGGTCACGTTAAGCAGCACAGTTGTGATAATAATCTTCAACCTTGAACAACAGATTTCAGATCATTCGAAAAAAATTGGCTCGCTCTTACAAGTAAAGGCACTCTTCCATCGATGCGGGGATTTGGTAGGTGTCCTGGCAGATATTGTTGATGCTGCGCAAAGGGCTGTCTCGGACGCACAAGTCATGTCGATTGTGACGGAGCGTGCAGCCATTTTTGCCCAGAATTTTGGCTGGATGGAGAACCTTTTGCATGAGATTGTGATTCGAGTGACTCGGCCATGGTTCAAATTCATCGAGACTTGGATTGGGCTTAGACCCGAAGACACAGATCTCAAAGAATCCATGACAAGCGGCAAAACCTTCGTCCGACTGGAAACTCAGGATCCTGGCAAGTTCAAGACTGGGCAAGCACGAATCGACCACATATATCTAGCGGATCATATGCCGTCATTCATCCCGGCCGATCAAGCACGTTCCATCTTTGAAAGTGGAAGAAGCCTCCAACTCTTGAAACGATCCCATCCTCGTCATCCCATCGCGCAGCGTGATGTTCTCTTGCGAACCGGTGGTCTTCATCTGCATTGTGCGACTACCTGGGCTGGTATTGAGCAGATTCAAACCAAAGCTCAAGAGTACGAGTCAAGGCTCCGCGCTGAAATCAAGAAATATCATAAAGGTGATACGGGTTTGCACGATTCACCATCAAACGTGGCCACGCAGTATGTCGATCAGACGACCAGCACAGAAGTTACAACGGCAGCCTTTGAACTCTTCGATATAGATGATGAAAAAAGCACTTCAGGCCCGGTCACAGATCACAAGGCTCTTTCAAAAGACCATCTGAAGCAACTACTCGATAAAGCCCGAGGATTTGAAACTGAAAACAACACCAATGAAGGAAGCTACCTTGGTCCTGAATTGGCATCCGGCCTCCATCTATCTCTTGCACCCATTCTTTCGTCACAGGCCCTTCTCATCGACTACTCTTGCCTGCACCTTCTCTTCAAAGAGAATCGAATTCGCCATCATCTGAACATGCAATGGCGTTTCCAGTTGCTAGGAGAGGGATCGTTTGTCGCCCGCCTTTCTAATTCCCTATTCGACCCGGAAATGGAAAGTGGCGAGCGGAAGGCTGGCAAAATTCGCAGTGGTGTTGACACTGGTCTACGCCTTGGCAGCCGTGACACATGGCCACCAGCTAGTTCAGAGTTGCGACTCGTGCTGATTGGCTTGCTGGGAGATTGTTACTTTGGCAGCGCAAATACAGAGGATGATGAGAAGACCCACGTTCAACAGGATAACGAGTTGCCGGGTGGCCTGAGCTTCGGCATTCGAGAATTGACCGACAAAGAAATCGAACGATGTAAAAATCCGAATGCAATAGAGGCTTTGGACTTCCTTCGTCTGCAGTACACGCCACCAGAAGTCCTTGGATCCCTCATTACTGCGCGCTCTTTGGATAAGTATGATCGTCTCTTCAAGCATTTGCTTTGGTTACTCCGCATGGTTTCTGTCGTCAAAGGACTTATTCGTGATTCTACTTCTCGAGTGTCTCTATCAGGAGACACACACAATGTATACCAGAAGTTTAGAGTGGATGCCCAGCACTTTGTGCTAGCGGTCAGTGATTACTGCTTCCACGTCGGCATTGGGTCCATCTGGCAGCGCTTCCAAGACACACTTACCAAAATCGAGAACTGCCTTAACCGCGGCGACATCGACGGTACGATTGAAGCGGCGCACTCGGTACCACGGCTTCGAGACTACCACGAAGACATCCTTGACCAGATGCTGTTCGCGTTATTCCTCAGCAAGCGCCATGCGCAGGCGGCCAAACTACTTGAATCCATTTTCGGCACTATTCTCGGCTTCAGCCATCTTTCTAGAGCAGATGGAATCGGGATGCGCAACGAAAGTGAAGGAGCTGTTCTTCATCTGTATCAGTCCTTTAGAAAACAGACCTCTGCCTTTGTCAACTACCTTCGCAGCCTGGAGTCCGGAAAGGCCACTTCGAAATCTATGGCAAAGTCAGGGGAATTCTTCTCTTCGCGGACCGACCCGATCAGTGTCTTTGAGCATCTACGGGTGCGACTAGACATCAAGAACTACTATTGATCGAAGGAAGCAGTCCCTACACTCAAATGTGTAAAGAACAACCTACTGGATCTTAGGTGGAACGTTTGCTACTCAGATTTATCCAGACTGTTTGGATACGTTATGATTCATGATTGATGAGATTACTTCAAAATTCACTTCGTTTCTATGTAAATGAAAGTCCAATGTCTTTATACCCTTCCGTCTCGCGTGTCTCATATCAATTACCATTGTACAAGTCAAACTCCACAAACGCCCCAAGCTCTAATGCGCAAAATAGATATCCCAAGCCCGCACCAAACCTAGAAGAAGTGAAGATCCGGCTCGGCCCAACCTTGGGCAAGAAGAATTTCGCGAGCAGACTTCTCCATAGGCCCAGGCCCACAGACCAGAACCATACTCTGCTCTTCTGGAGCCGCGTACTCCGCGAGGAGTTCCTTAGAAATGCGTCCCCGACGACCAGTCCACGTATCAGACCCTTTAGTCAACGTGTGCACGACAGTGCATTTCCGAGAATCGGTCTCGACATAAGCATCAAGGTCAGAACGACACAAGATATCTTCCTCCTGCCTGTTTCCGTCTAGCACAACACACGTCGTGGGATCTTGCGTGTCTTGCATAACAGCTCGCAAAACCTGGAAGACTGGTGTGATGCCAGTTCCTCCACAGATCATCTTGAAAGAGCGGACATGGCGCTCTTTACCGCTGATGGAAACCCGGCCGTTGCCGAGATATTCAAACCGGCCTGTTGGGCCCTTGCAGTCGATCTTTGAGCCTAGGGGGAAGCTTGTCGAGAGCCATGGTCATTTTTCCTCCTGGAATGCTTTCCGTTGGGAAGTAGATCTTCACGAGTAACTCCATCTTGCCTATCAGGTTTGTGTCTGACATGGGCGTATAGGATCTGATAATCGCTTCGTTATTGGATGGATCTTGGACTTTGATCATCAAATGCTGGCCGATCGGTAGGCCGAGAGTCTGCTTCTCATGTTCCAGGTCGAATACGAAGAGACGCGTATCCCAGGATACATCCTTCTTCTCCGTGAGGGTGGCTTTTGTCCATTTCCGCGACTGAAGGAACACTGCGCGTGCCTCATCAGAACCAGCAGTTGAATCGTCTTCCAGCGCTCCGAGGGATGCCTTGTCTAATGTGCCAATATGGTAATCCGGCATCATTGCCTTCGCAGTTTCACTGTCTGGGAGGGAGTTAGCGGTGCAATAGTCTGATGGTATTTTAACTGTGACTCACGGATTGCAAGGAAATCCTCCGATACATCCAAACCAGCAGAAGATGTAATACTGATGGCTCCTCCAGGATGGCCTTCGAGGAAGGCTGTGCCATCATATACTTCGCCATTAACAACAAACCAGGGTTTCTCGCTGCTGCTATTAGCCTTTAACTCTTGCAGATCGATTTGTCTGTTCACGCCATCTTTCTTCATGTTTATCTCCTTCACAGGCTCCGGTTCGAAGGGCTCCTCGCCTTCAACCCTTTCACCCCAGTTACCATTGAGCAAGTCACCACCCGTCTTCTTGACTCTTTCCATCCACCCGCCTGCTTTGGCTGGATGTGTGGGATGTTCAAATTTCAACGTATTCCCTTGTTTCGTGATTGCCACTCTGAACCATGGGTTATTCATCATGCCCAAGACAGACCAGTACATGTCACGCGGCATGGCGCTCAATGCCTCATCCACTGCACGAACTAGAATTGCATCGCTGGTCTCAAGGTCTGCCACTGGGACGTCCAACGACCAGAAAGACCAACAGAAAGATGCCTCCCTCCACCACATGTCTACCTTGCCGCCGAACAGCTCGCCGTCAAAGTCGCGGTATTTATCTTCTGCGTATTCGATCTCAGAGAGGCGCCATGCTAGAGGACCAGAGATGTTAGCCACGTTCCATCCTTGGGTCCAGGGTATAAATACATTTGCCTCTGTCTAGCGAAACTTCAACTTTTGTTATCCTCCGGCCACCGCCGGCGTATGCATATCCTTTGACTGTATACGTGGGTCCCGCCGTGGACAGGTCAATTTCTTCCTCGTGTTGGGGATACACAGCCACCGAATTCACGTTGAGTTCATAAATGGCATATCGCTCATCGGTCCACCACTTGCGATTCTCGGCGGACATCTCCGGTGTCACCATGGTCCTGGCACTGTTAGCACAAGCCACTGCATGACCGTCCAACGTGACACTTACGGGAGCACTCGATTATCATTGATATGATACCAGTTATCACTTGGGGCATCGGTCAGAATCAACTTCTTTAGCCACTTCACGCTCCGGCCTCCGATTTGACCAGGCACCACTGCCCTCAAGGGACGGCCATGGTCTGGCCGGAGGTCTTCGCCATTCATCTTATGTGCCAACATGATTCCTCGGTTTGGGTCCATGGCCCAGTTCAATTTGACCGAGGTTCCGTAGAATCCATTCGGCTATGGGATGTGTCAGTTTCGATTCGAGGATGGTTCCTGACATATCCAGGGCCAATGTAGGGAAGTCTCACCAGTTTATCAGCACCCTCCATGCAGACATACTTTGCTTGTCGAAGTGGCTTTGCACTGCGCAGAATATCCGCCATCATAGGCCCTGTGAATAGCGCCGTCGATAAACCAGCCGCACCCCATGAGAAGCCCTTTGACTTCCGGACTGTGTTCTGTTCTTTGCGTCTGTTGCCCGCACAGACGAGTGTGATTGGTGCGGTGATCTGGTCATATTTCTGAAGCACTTCGCGGAAGTTCAGGACTAATGGCTTCTCCACCAACCTGGTTCATCAATCAGTTTCCTGGGACACGAAGCCTGCAAGAGTAATCTCAATAGAACTCACCCTTCTATACTAATTTCCCAATTCGGGATATCCTCATCACGGACCTGTGGCACTGGCCCGTGGTTCCGAACATAGAACAGTTCCGGGGATGTGAGAAACCCTTGGGTATTGGTTTAGCTTGTCGGCTTCGGTATACCACATGGGAATGGATACCATACCTTCTTTGTACAATGCTGTCAATGGGGGCTCCACATTGAATGGATGAACTCCCGTCAGCCGAATCAGTCGTGGATCTCGAGGTACATGGTTATCCGGTGTGCCTTTGTCCAGATCCAAGATGTCGACGGGGTTCTTTGACGGTGGAGGGAGTGGAATATCGGGCTCTCCTGGAGTTGGGATGATATCCTCGACTGTGATCTGGGCATTTTTGAAAGAGATTGTTTCGGGTTCTGTTATCGTTTGCGTGGTTATGCTGGCCATGTTGACACGAGGCTTCTACGCTGCTCTGTGCTATCAAACTGTTGGTATATAATGAAAACTGTTGAAATTGCTTCTCGAAGTAAGACAAATAACTTGATAAAAAACTGAGTAGAATAAATCGGAACAGTCTTTACGTCCAAATACCCACATTTCACTGCAAATAGCAGTATGTACCCAGGCCGAAAGCCCTCAGCCCCATTCCAATATCACCATCAGAGTATGAGCACTTTTCAGATCTCCGCGGATCCTAAACCCCCCACATTCCTAGAATATCATCGAGTCAAAGCAATTGGACCCATGTATGTACCCATGTACCCATGTAGGTAATCTTCATTCTTATCTCCAGACGTTAAGATAAGCAAAACCCTAACACAACCTAATCGGACCAATCACAGCCGACATAAAACCACTCATCTCCGCGGAGATTCCACCCAACTTCTCAACCGACTTATCCGAGTTATCTCCTGATGAAATGCACTCCTGTTTCTTCCGACATGCTCTGATTAGCCTTAATTCGTACGACTCACATCGTAGTGTCACAGACGTAGTATCAGAGTGGAATGAGGTATTTATTTTTCTTAAAATTAGAATGAGTGCCGTGTTCCGTAGCCATTGCTAGTATTATACTCATCTTCACATTGTTTAGTCTCAGCCATGCCTGTGATGCCTGTGCTGGATGGATTACGATATGGGGAGCCAGTGGATGGCAGTCCTAGTCCCAACCATATCCAGCGCCAGAAGATTGTAATAGTTGGGCTTGGAATGGTGGCTATTTCACTCATGTAAGGGGATTCCAACAACGGACAGGAAAGAATTCCTCTAACAATCTTGGGAACAAACAGCGAGAAGATTATCAAACAGGATACGGAAAGAAAATACGACATCGTCGTCATCGGCGAAGAGTCCCACGTAGCATACAACCGTGTCGGACTTTCGACGTTTTTCGAACATCGCAAGATCGAGGATCTATACCTCAATCCAGCGGAATGGGTGAGTCCTCGATTATTCAAGAGCGACAGAGAAAAATAAGACCTAATAAATAACGCTCCATAGTACGACTCGTTCAAAGAACGAGCATTCAACTACCACCTCAACACACGAGTAACAGCAATCAATCCCGCGGAGAAAACAGTCCAAACATCCACCGGTGTCACAACATCTTATGACATCCTCGTCCTCGCAACAGGCTCCGATGCCACCCTCCCAACACACACACCCGGCTACGATGCCAAGGGCGTCTTTGTATATCGGACCATCTCAGATCTAGAACGCCTTATCGACTTCGCGGCCCAGCATAAAGGCCAAACGGCCGTTACAGTCGGGGGTGGACTGCTAGGCTTAGAAGCTGCGAAGGCGATGACAGATCTAGAGGACTTCGGAAATGTCAAATTGATCGATCGGAATAAATGGGTGCTGGCGCGACAACTCGATGGAGATGCCGGGACGTTGGTAACTCGCAAGATTAGGGAGTTAGGACTTGATGTTCTCCACCAGAAGCGGGTGAAGATTGTTCATACAGACGACGAAAATAATGTGATCGGAATTACATTCGAGGATGGCGAAAGGATCGACTGCTGCTGTATTTGTTTTGCGGTATGTGTCCTTCTTTCTCGCCTCCACTCTGCTGATAAATGTGCTGACTGGGTTGTAGATTGGAGTTCAACCTCGAGATGAGCTGGGTCGAGACATTGGAATCCAGTGTGGTGAGCGCGGTGGATTCGTGATCGATGAAAGGTTCGTCTATCGGTAGTCCTGGATCATCAGTTCCCAACTAACCTTCATAGTCTGCAAACCTCGATCCCAGATATATACGCCGTCGGAGAATGCGCAAGCTGGGAGAACCAGACATTCGGAATCATTGCCCCGGGAATTGAAATGGCCGATGTGCTCGCCTTCAACCTGACCAACCCGGATAAACAGCCCAAGAGTTTCACACGGCCGGATCTCAGCACAAAGCTGAAGCTGCTCGGGGTTGATGTCGCTAGTTTCGGTGACTTTTTTGCCGACAGGGACGGGCCAAAGTTCCTTCCCGGTCGTCGACCTTCCATTGCCCCTGGCTTGGGAGGGGATACTTCACGAGAGGAACCTCCTGTCAAGGCCTTGACATATAAGGACCCCTTCAGTGGAGTGTATAAGAAGTATTTGTTCACCATGGACGGCAAATTCTTGCTTGGTGGGATGATGATTGGAGATACCAAAGACTATCTGAAGCTGAATCAGATGGTTAAGCTACAGAAAGAACTCGAGGGTTCCCCCGAGTCAATTCATCCTTGGTGCACAGAATGGTGGGGAGGAAAATGCGGACGACCTGTGAGTATCGTTAGCACTGCTATTTGGAATATATTCTAACCCATTCTACAGTGATGACAGCACCCAGATCTGTTCATGCCACAATGTCACCAAGGGAGACGTGGTAGATAATGTGAAGAACGGCACATGCACAACAATTGCACAGGTCAAGTCTTGCACGAAAGCAGGAACAGGCTGTGGTGGTTGCATGCCTCTTGTTCAGTCAATTTTCAACAAGACAATGCTCGAAATGGGACAAGAGGTATCAAACAACCGTAAGTAATATCAGCTTTCCAGGACTAGCTCTTTTCACCACTAACATGTTTAGTGTGCTCACATATCCCCTACTCCCGAGCCGATCTATACAATATTGTTGCGATCAAGCAACTGAAATCCTTCGTCGATATCATGAAAGAAGTCGGGAAGAATCCAGAATCTCTCGGCTGCGAACTCTGCAAGCCCGCTATTGCATCCATTCTATCCAGTCTGTTCAATCCGCACATCATGGACAAGGGAGTCAACGACTTGCAGGAAACAAACGACAAGTTCCTTGCCAACATCCAAAGAAACGGCACATTCTCTGTGGTACCCCGAATCCCAGGTGGTGAAATCACAGCCGATAAGCTCATTGCTATTGGTTCCGTAGCCAAGAAATACGGCCTTTATTGCAAAATCACCGGTGCCCAGCGCATCGACATGTTTGGTGCGAAGAAGCAGGATCTTCTGAATATCTGGACGGAACTCGTAGATGCGGGTATGGAGAGTGGACACGCCTATGCAAAGGCTCTTCGAGCAATCAAGGTACGTTAGGTCAATTATCTTTTCAAGAGACGACCAGCTGACAGTGAACATTCAGAGTTGCGTTGGAACCACATGGTGTCGTTTCGGTGTGGGTGACAGTGTCGGCATGGCAATTCGACTGGAAGAGCGATACAAGAGTATTCGTGCGCCACACAAGTTCAAGGGAGCTGTATCTGGCTGCGTGCGAGAATGTGCCGAGGCCCAAAACAAAGAGTGAGTGCAAATGGACCCCACTGGTACAATCGCAGAACTAACGGCTGCAGCTTCGGACTTATTGCCACGGAAACCGGGTTCAACATCTTTGTTGGAGGCAACGGAGGTGCAAAACCCAGACACGCCGAACTCCTCGCTACAGATGTACCACCGGAGATGGTGATGCCTATAATCGACCGCTACTTGATCTTCTACATCCGCACCGCCGACAAACTGCAGCGAACAGCACGATGGATCGAGAATCTCCCCGGCGGGATCAAGTACCTCAAAGAAGTGATCGTGGATGACAAACTCGGAATCTGCGCCGACATGGAAAGGCAAATGCACGAACTAGTCGATAGTTACTTCTGCGAGTGGACCGAGACCGTCAAAGATCCCAAGCGCCGAAAAGTCTTCCAACAATTCTCCAACACAGACGAAACCGTCGAGACGGTAGAAGTCATCCAAGAACGATCTCAGCAACGACCCACATACTGGCCCAAGGATACTGCCGAGCGCGAGGATTTCAAAGGCCACAAGTGGTCAAGTGTCTCCTGGCAGCCGGTTGTCCGAGCAGATCATTTCTCCGACGAGCCGCCTCAAGTCTCATCGGCGAATGTCAAGCGCGGAGATACACAGCTTGCTGTCTTCAAGATCAAGGGCAAGTTCTATGCGACGCAGCAGATGTGTCCACACAAGCGAGCTTTTGTTCTTTCTGATGGTCTTGTTGGTGATGACGATGCTGGGAAATATTGGGTGTCGTGTCCGTATCACAAGCGCAACTTTGAGCTCAACGGTGAGCAGGCGGGTCGGTGCTCAAATGATGAGAGTATGAATATTGCTACGTTCCCTGTTGAGGAGAGGGATGATGGCTGGGTATATCTCAAGCTTCCGCCGATTGAGGAGTTGGATTCGGTCCTGGGGACGGAGAAGTGGAAAGTTCGTAAGGGTGAGGCGGAGGATCCTTTCCATAAGGTTGATAAGAAGTTTAAGGGTATGAAGGGGAAGAAGGTGGCTGATGGTTTCTTGACTCGTGCACCAGCGGTGCAGCCAGCTAAGTCGATTGACTGGTGATGTGCATGTCTGTTTCTTTGTCATTTTGCGGCGGGACAGGTTGGCGTATGGGAGATAATTAATGACCTTATGAGTTCACTTTAGAATGTATGTGATTTACATTTCTTTGTTTTCTCGCCTCAAAGCGATGGAAGATCATATCTTTTGTAAACATTGTCAAAGAAGCTAGTATATATTGTTAAATATCTCTTTTAATCTCGCCCTTTTAACTTGCCTTACTATGAAATTGTTCTTATTTTTTCTTCTCACTTCTCACTTCTCACTTAAGCTCTGTATAGGTTCTTACACTCTATTTTCCGAGCTATCTCTCTTATTTATATGAGTTATCAAGGATGCTGCTAAGTCCTACCTAAATTGCTCTCTATGTTGTAGAACCGGAAACTATATAATATATAGTCACGAAAGGAGAGCGTCCTTTCCACCGTTCCCTCTTGTTAAGGTGAGGTGACAGTCGCACCTTCCTCGTGAAAATGCGCCTTCCCTCTTCGTAGAGGAACTGCTATTTAAGATCCTTCGAATCTTCTTTCTTGCTTCAACATTCTCGCACATCTCCACGAGTCATACGCATCCCCATTCCAACCAGACAAGGTACCATATCCTACATATCTTTCACTCCGAGCACCAACCAGTGAGTTACGCCCCTTCATTCCATTCAATGCCTTTCAAGCATGAAGTTGGCAAGGGAAAAGTGGGTGATGGTCAGCGGCTTACGGCCAGAGCGACGACCAGCTCGAGCGTCTAGCCCAACCATGATTTCCGGGTCGTTCTCACGCACGATTTCGCCGAAGAAACTCCCAAGAGGGCTCTCGGATTATAGAATCTGTGCAGGTTTTAATTGCATCCACCTACCCATCACAGTGGCTCGCCGTGCAACTCTGGGAAATGGAGACCAGGATGCGATACCGGATGAAAGTACCGACACAATCTGGACGATTAGGGGCGGATACGAAGAAACACTGGAAAGAATAGCCGGCGCCTTTCTATTCTCGACTGCCAGAGCCGCCGAGCCCTTCTTCACAAAGGAGATTGTTAAGAGGGTTATTCAAAATGATGTTCCCAATGGGCAGTTTATAATAGGGTTTGATAAACTGACACCATGGATCGGTAAACATATCCAGATGAAACAATATTTTCGATTGATCACCTGCGAGCCGGCGAATCGGTGAAGACTGAGGTCAACGATGAGATACCGAGGAGAGTCAATGGTGGTGGACCGTATGGGATTTGTCGACACAGAATTTTCCCCAAGACACTTGCCCACTGAAGAGCGTTGGGTACAAAGATTGTTCTTTAAACCCCGGGGGTGTCTAACTGCCTATATCATCAACTATCACTTTCTTCTTACTTCTCGTTGAGATCATCTTTCACTAGCCTCTCCACTACGATCATTTTGTTAGAATATACAGGGTAGATGGGGTCAGCGCAATGGCTCGCAGGGTTCACACCATATTCAAATTATATCTAGTCAGTCCGTCTCAACGCATCAATCCCAACCTGGCACCCGAGGAATATGGCAAGTAATGATCTTGCCAATATGACGAGCAGACGCCTCCGCCAGATCCAGTCGTTCGAAACCTAGATGAGGAAAATGGAGACGACGAGGAGATGAAGATGATACAATGTGTTATTGTATTGGTGACAGATTTTTGTGGAGAACTATGTAAAAAAGGGAAGAACACCCCCCACGATCAATGGCACATATATCAGTAGTGGTCAAGGTCTTTTCGCACTACGCTCACTTGTACGGAAGTCTGAGGTATTTTGTTTCCAGGTGAGGTCTGAAATATTTGACTAGGTAGCTGGTTGTTTTGTCGCAAACCCTGGTTACAGGTCAATGTGTTATAGCTTTCGCAGTTCGAAGTCGGAACCCAGGAACTGGAACCTAACAATCTGCTACCATGAGCTCTGTTGGATGCCTGGATGCCTCAGGCATCACAATGTAGATAGAACCCATAGTCTCTGTCTCTCTCTCTCTTTCTCCTCTTCGTCCACCCCGAATACATACATTGTTTCTCATACTGATTCCACACTGTATCTGTATTCCATGAAGCTCACGTCTATATTGCTTCATGGAACAAAGAAAACAAAGACACAAAGCCTAGAAAGTTCTAGCGAAAGAGGAGACCAATGGAGGCTGAAAGAGTTCATTGCTTCTACCACCTGATGAAGTTGCATGATAGTAGCTCCAAAATATGAATTGATGTCTCGATCCAACGCTTCGATTCGACAAAATTGGTTCAAGGCGGCACGGCACGTCCAGAGGCAATATTCGTTGCCGATGCCAACTGGCTTTGTCGGCCCCTTTATCCTGCATGAGCTCGAGTCAGGCATCCTCGCCTACTGCAAAGTGCGACTGGATGGAAGAAAAGTAAATAACATAAATGACGGGACGGGACAGGTGTAATTCCGGCTGACACATCCCGAGTTTAATCCACCTGGGCATGGACCCATCCATGGATAGCACCTTGGAAAGCGGTCTGCATGACTACCAGTATATGTTGCTTTGGGCAGAAATGGATCACAGGATTGCAGTACGCGCTCGTACTGCGAGAATCATTGAACGGGTTGATTGAAGAACTATCCTGGTGATCGTTGTTGAGAGTGTCTTAGAGCCTGAGACGCCTGTATTAGCGCGTTACCGGGTATTCCGAATTGACCTGGTTTAATACAATGTATGGAGTTGGTAGTCCCTCAATCATCCAGTTCCTTTGTAGTGGGAAACTACCACCTCTCACTCGCCACGATACCCTGAAGAGCGAAGGGAGTTCACTCGAAAGAGCCAAACTCAAATATCCAGAAATGTCTTGTCTCATCCTTCTGCTTCGCCCCACTGCAGGATCCAACGGAGAATGGATATGAGGTGCTTCCGGCAGTTCCTTTTCCTTTCCTTTTTTCCCCCCCAATCTACCTTGGCCAGTGAACGCAACATGTCCTCTTTCTCATCTGTCAAATCCTTACTTCTTGCTGGATGCCTGTCGGCATCTACCGCTTTTGCCAGTCTTCAATGGTCACCCTGTTCTTCAAATCCAGCGTTGGATTGCGCAACCCTCCGAGTGCCGCTTGAGTATGCCGAGCCGTCAGATCAGAGGTCTGCCTCTATTCCGCTTGTTCGATACAAGGCCACGGTAGCCACATCCCAGCACAAAGGCTCGCTTCTCACGAATCCTGGTGGCCCTGGTGCGTCCGGTGCCTCCTTCGTCCTGAACGGCGCTGGGAAGGCAATCTCGAATATCACCGGAGGGTCTTACGATATAATTGGGTGGGACCCACGCGGCGTGGGCTCTGCTCAACCTGTCCTGCAATGTTTTGCTAGTGCGGGAGAGGAGTACAAAGCGTCCAACGAGCTTCCATCCGCGGCAGAGGTGGCATACGGCCAATTCAGCAACCAATCCTACATGCCCTCTTACAACGCTGCGATGCAGGAGTTTGACAGTAAGACTGCACCACTTGCCGCCGCATGTGCTTCTTACAATTCGACAGCTTTGTACACGTCTAGCGCGGCTTACGTCGTTCGTGACATGGCGGCTATTGTCGATGAATTGGACGGCAAAGATGCCCCTTTGAACTACTGGGGTCTCTCTTACGGGACCATCTTTGGGGTAGAATTTATTCAGACCTACCCGGAGAGGGCGGGAAAGATCGTCCTGGATGGCGTCTTTGATGCTACAGCCAATGCTGAGACCTATGTCGCCCAGCTTCCCAATGACCAACTCTCCGTGCGGGATGCTATCAACGATATGGTGTCGTTTTGCGAACAAGCCGGCGCAGCTGGCTGTGCTCTTAGTGTCCCTCCCGCAAAGGTGACTGCCGACCTGACCACACGACTTGCTAATTTACAAGACTCACTCTATGAACATCCCATTGCGGTCTCGCAAGGGTTCTCCATCACTGTTGGCATCTTCAGCTCATTCATGTGGTCCTTTTCCCGAGTGCCGACCACTTGGCCCCTTATCTCCTCCGTTATCAGCGCCCTTGAGCAAGGAGATGCGACTCCAATGGTCGCCATCCTCAATGCAACTGCTGCCAGCCCGCCAGGCAATCCCAGTGCGCCAGACACCGGGTCTCTAGCCGAATGGCCTCTGCAATGTGTAGACAATGCGCCGTCAAGTGGCATCACATTGGCGGAGGTCGCTGCGCTAGTACTCAAAGTTTCTCTCAGCGAGGGTACCCCTTGGCTGAATGCTGATGTGACTCCCCTCTCCTTCTGCCGCAACTTTCCGGACATCCGCCCGAGAATCCCGAACTTGGGAGCCTCGAAACTCAGCAACGCAAACTCCATCCTCACTCAACGAAACGCCACAGTTCTGATTGTGAATGGTGAAAATGACCCGGTGACTCCGTTGGCCTCTGCGAAGCGTTTGCAGAGTCAACTTCCTACCGCGTCCCGGTTGGTGACCAGACGAGGCCCAGGCCATACAACAATCAGCGTTGCATCGTTAGGGCTAGTAGAGACCATCCGCACCTACTTCATCGACGGTACCCTCCCAACCAGCGCTGCTTACGACCTCAGTCAGCTGGTATTCTCCTCGGCAATTGATGCCGGGAAATTGGCCCCTGCTCCGGTGTTCAATGGGACATACAGTGATGCCGAACTGACTCTATTGAACTCCACATATAATATTTTGTTGGCGTTCCTCAGCCTGGCATAAGGAGTAAGCACATTTAGTTTGGATAGTATGTACAGTACTGTGGAATATATTGGCCCATAGAAGATAGAGATATGAGTGAGAAAGAAAAAGAGTCTTTGTGAGAGGTTTCCTCGTCTCGGCTCTTGTTGGCTTGACCAGCCCTTGAGATCTTTCCGTCCTCGCTGGTTCTAGTTCTAGTTTGTGGTACCACTTTGTCTCCGTTATCAGTGTTAGGAAGTGCAACGGGATACGGTGATATGGAGGACAGTCCGCCAGTGCCTGTTTCGACTCTTTCATTGTCGCAACCTTTAGCGAACAGTCCTGGCTGACTGGGAAATGCCCGCCGCCGCAGTTGCCGACAAGGTCGTGGAGCGATCAGGAGTATGGCTACGCCACTTCAAAATGGATGACGGAGCAAATGGTATCGGCGGCGTGTTAGCGCGGAGCCAACCTTGGAAGGCGTGGGCCCTGGGGTGCCCACAGGTCCGTGGACGGGTCCACGCCGGGGCCCCGGGCCGGTAATCTTGGGGTTATGTAAGAGCCCAGCCCCCCGCAGGGGCCAGGGCCAGTTTTGCATTATATAATCTCAGGATATTTTAAACCAGCAGAATCTTCTCTGGAAAGGCGGCAAGCAAGGTCCAGCCAATAATATTAAGACGATAATAAAAGTCACGAGGGCGGTAAGCCTTCCAAAAAGCCATCTGTAATATAAGAGCACTAAGCCTAATTAGGTAGGCTTAGCGCTCTCAACTATGTATAGAGGACAAAGCCAGTATAGAGGTTTACAAAACAGTATGGCCAATTATATTGAAGTGCCCACTAGCCTCGGGACTACAGATGCATATTGCTAGTCAGATTGTTGGTTCGAATTCCCTGTTTTCGTGACATTTTATGAGATAGTTACATATCACCAAAAATACCATAATTGTGGTACTGCCAGCTTTCTGTCAGACATTAGCAAAGTCAACAGATCCGACCTGGTATCTTAATCTCGCGTATTGTTGTACATTCAGCCAGTCGATTGGTACGTAGGTATGTATCCATGGAGACCATATATGTATGTTGGTTATTCAGCGGATGTGCAAACCTTCCTTGAATATTTCTCGCACAGTCAATGTCTAAATCTCTTATCTCAGTATATTTTGGACATAGAACTTGGTACACACTAAGATTACCCAGGGAGGCAAAAAAGACCCGTGTACACTGATTGTTAAGAAGCGCTTGCGTTACTGTACTAAAAAAAAGAAGCCCTAATTCTGAAGCCGGGGACGATACTAGATCTTAGACAGAGGTTCATCCCCAGAGACCCAGAGCCAATTGACTAGAATAACAGTGAGATTTAAGTATTTCCGCGGAGCTCAGATCGACATGCTTCAACGTAAAGACCCGCCGGGCTGAGTTCGTTCTTCGGTCCCTATCGCGGTAGGCTTGGCGTCCAATGAGGAGGCTCACGTTTATCAACGATATGAATTTTTGGCCACCGTAGAGTTAAAGGCCCACCCCAGACTCGATATAATGGTACGCCGATAAGCTTTAAATCGTCAATTGAAGGTCCGCGGAGTTACATGAAGCAGATTGATTCATATCTTCGCTGTTCGCCTCCCATCTTGGCTCTGGGCATAGTATACATCCTAGACCGTTATAGGTTCTAATGCATACCTTATCTCTATCAAAATTTCATTGCCGGGTACTGCGGAAGTTCTAGGGATGAACTCTGGGACAAAGGAGTTAAGTTTAACATTCAAGGTTCGGATGATCCTTGCTGCAGCCTTGTCCTTGCGTTGTATCAAATCAGTGATCTCAGATATAATCGATGATAACCCTTGACTAACCGTTTTCAATTGACAGCACCCGGCTATCCACGCTAATTGGACAATCCGGCACGCAGCGGGGATATCAGACTGATTGTTGTTCCATGTGTCATGACAAGATGTATCTGAGATATACAACATATGCTTCAGCAACAGAGCATAGTAAACATCTATATAGATACGAAGGTCTATTCAACTTTCCAACTTCCATCGTTCTTCTAAATCTCCAAATAACTCTTGTTTACATTTAATTAACAAGACTATATCAAGTTATCTGAGCCTTTTTATAGAATATCAGATCCTGGGCCTACCTCTACCTCAACGCTCGATTGTACAAAGAGCCTGCCAAAATGGCAACAAACTTCGTTAAACACCTCTTTCTATCACCGGAAATCAACCCAAGTACTCGCAAAGCCAAATCCATTCCCGCATTAAACCCTTTCGATCAATATGGACGGGTGTTCTTCTTCTCATGGCTTGGTTTCATGGTGGCATTCCTATCATGGTACGCCTTTCCACCGCTGGTAAGTTCATGATACAATTGCAACGAGTTTGATACACGGAAAGAATAAAATCTCTAATCCCACCTTTTCTAGTTGAGCGTGACCATCAAAAAAGACTTGAATATGACTCAAGAAGATGTCGCCAACTCAAACATCGTCGCACTTTTGGCAACGTAAGTACCAGAGGATGGAACCCGATCGAAGGAATATCTCTCTGACCGCTACAGACTACTCGTCCGATTTATTGCAGGGCCACTCTGTGATCGCTATGGCCCACGCTTGGTCTTCGTGGGGCTACTCCTATGCGGGGCCATTCCTACAGCCATGGCCGGTCTGGTCACGGGCCCCAAAGGTCTGATAGCCTTACGATTTTTCGTTGGAATTCTGGGAGGAACTTTCGTCCCATGCCAGGTCTGGTGCACTGGCTTCTTCGACAAAAGTATTGTCGGTACTGCCAATTCCCTCGCTGGAGGCTGGGGTAATGCAGGTGGAGGAATCACATAGTGAGTGTCTCCCTTTTCTTCTTTCCATCCTATGAATATACTAACAGAATCAATCTAGCTTTTTGATGCCCGCCATCTACGACTCTCTCGTCCACTCCCGCGGTCTCCCTTCTCACAAAGCATGGCGTGTCGCCTACGTCGTTCCTTTCATCATCATCACCACTATTGCCTTAGGCATGTTGTTCCTCTGCGAGGATACGCCAACTGGAAAGTGGTCTGAGAGACACCTCTGGGCGAAAGAGTCAAACAACACCACCGTGGTCGCCGACGGCAACATCGTCGACGTCAACACCGGCACTTTCTCTAGCGGAATGACGACCCCCTACAACGCCGCTACAACCGACATCGAAAAGAAAGGCGCCCAGTCACCACGGGTCCTAGATGCCGATGCATCAACAATGGGCCAGATGGACATCTTCAAACAAGAGACAGTCGTGTCCCCAACTCGCCGCGAAGCACTGAGCGTGGCCCTGAGTCTGTCCACCATGGCTCTGGCAATCCCATACGCCTGCTCATTCGGCGCAGAGCTAGCAATCAACTCGATCCTGGGATCCTACTACACAAAGAACTTCCCACACATGGGGCAAACAAAATCAGGACAGTGGGCTGCCATGTTCGGCCTGTTGAACGTCGTCTTCCGACCGGCAGGTGGTCTATTCGGAGACTTGGTTTACCGTTACACAGACAAGGTCTGGTCTAAAAAGCTTCTGATCACCTTTTTGGGTGTTGCGATGGGAGCCTTCCAGCTTGCGATCGGATTATCGAACCCGTCCACCGAGGCGGCTATGTTCGGTCTCGTCGCAGGGATGGCTTTCTTCCTTGAAGCATCTAATGGTGCCAACTTTGCTCTTGTGCCTCATGTTCACCCTTCTGCTAATGGTATGTGGCCCCTTTTTTACTCTCTAAATCGCATTTTGAAGCTAACATCTTGTCACTAGGTATTGTCTCTGGGATTGTTGGTGGCTTCGGTAATCTCGGGGGGATCATCTTTGCTATCATCTTCAGATACAACGGGTCAAGTTACGAGCGATCGATGTGGATCATCGGTGCTATATGTTTGGCGGCTAATATGGCCGTCTCCTGGATCCGTCCAGTTCCTAAGAGTCAGATGCAATCATGAGCGAGATTTACGGGCGTTTATAATTACGGATACCAATTTCAGTACACTAATGATTTTCAATGCATTTCGCTTATACAAAAGTAGAGGTTAATTAGGTCTTGACAGCCTCTGCGTAAGGGTTCTGAGCAAAACCATCATCCCTTCCATAGTAGCAGCCATGCTATCAATTCGAGCTTCAAGCCTGGTGATATCTTCCTTTTTAGCCCCGGTTGAGGCCTCAAGAGCTTCTCGAGTATTGACCAGACTAAGAAACAACGCCATTTCTGTTTGTAGTTATAGTGATGGCGACGAAGGAGATGGCGAGGGAGGTAGCCTTCGTGGCCGGGCTTTTGGACGCTCATTTTCTATATTATAATCAGAAAAATATAACCTTGGAACATAAATATGTTACTTCCAACATACCTTCCCGCGGAGAATTTTCCGGACTTCTAGGCCTTTTGTCCCTTGCTCGTTGCACTAATTCATCGGCTCTATCATCCCGCACAGAGTCGGTATGTGTCTGAGCCTTAGTAACTGCACGAGCAACGAGATCCTTTCGTCGTGCCTCTGCTACTGAATGCTCTTGTAGCGCTTCGTATATCTTGCCGGCATACTCAAAAATAGAATCTTCGGTAGCGTTCCTTTTAGGACGGCTAGTTTCCGGTACAGCAAGTATAGCGGAATGCTCCTTTTAGCCTATCAGTGACGTGCTTATGAACCGTTTGATGACTGATTTTGCGCCCAGTATCGGCCCTCCATACTTTTGCAATCGCCTCATAAAGAACGTAATTACCCTTCATGGTAGTAAACCGATCTTTAAAGTCAACGGCAATGCGGAGTAGATTGAGATCATCCTCGGTGGTAAGGGGTGAAGTTCTGCTAGTAATTTCCTAGCATTTGGACTAGCAATTCGACCAGTTGGACTGGCGGTTTGACCAGGGGTTGGCCTTCCTGGGGGGGCCGAATTGCATCTGCCAGGGGGCTGGTCGGGCGTGCCAACCCCTAATCACAGGGGGCATTGAGTCTGGTTGAGATTCAAAGGCGGTGTTCTCGTGGCCGGGAGGAGCATCGCCCGAGGAAGTTGTCCACCGGGTTTCTGTTTCGTCGGCCATAGTTGGAAGTGCGGTACTGAGGCATAGAATTTCAGACAGTCCAAAAATATCCCCAGGGCCGACCTCAGCAGCATTTGGTGAAATGCTCGTTAACGCCAAGAAATATAGAGTGAATATTGAATTGCTCTCCGCCTTCCCAATTGGCTAAACAGTGGCGTAACCGAGTCATCGCGAACCGAGACGAACCGAGCATCAGAGGTCTTCTTAGGTACATTGTTCTAACGTATTCTATAAGCGAGCTGGCCAGACAAGCGAGCTGATGTGAAGGGAAAGACATTATAGAGATAGGACTAAGGATCTAGATATATATTTGACTTCTTTATACCGAGTTGCTTTATTATTTACCGAGGGACACTTATATAATTGTCCTAAGTACCTAAAAGGGGCTCAGAAGCTAGATTAATATATTATCGTGATATATACGATTTAGGGGCGAGGAGGTACGAAAATGCCTCCCTCTTAAGGACTTGGTCTTAGCAAGAATTATTGTCTGCACAAGGAATACCATTCATTTCCCCCCATTGTTCGACTCGCCTAACCAACAGGACTAGCCAGGCAAGTATTCTTTACAAAGTACTATACAGCTAAGGAAGTTTAGGGATTGTGCTTTTTACTAAAAGGATAGTATAGCAAATAGCACTCGTATTAGAAACAGAATACTAAGATAGACCTATCCTAACTAGATTTGACTATACCAATTGCAAAATCGATGTGCCAACAGTGTCTCCCTTATTAAAAAAAGACGCATGTTTGAACATGGTTGTTATTCGTCTCTTCACGTTTAATTTCCTAAGAATTTCAACGCGAGAAGTTCGCCAATTCTTCATCACTGACCTTATGCCCGCCTCCTGAACACACATATCCACCTTCTGTCCTTTTCCATGAGTAGCCTCGCTTATTTACCCATAGCTTTGAGCTTCTCCTGGTTCTTCTGCTCGTCATTTTCCTGTTCACACGGAACGGCCTTATCAAACCTATACTGGCCAGTACCGTGATTCCAGGTCTGCTGGACATCAGGTCTTCGCCCTGAGTTCTCCCATGAGATGAGAATAGTTTGCTGTCCTGTTTAGCGGACATGTAATTAGCCAATGTCCAGGACTTTTGAGAGTTATGCCTCTAATGGAAAATAGCAGCTCGCGATCAAAGTCGCATCTGACCTACCTTCTGGGATTTTGAATGTGCCATGGGACCATCCTTTCTTCATGCATTCGTTCGCATCTTTGCCACAGTCATCTTCTCCCAGGCTTAGAGAAGACGGAATGTCAGAGGTTTTTCCAAGGAGAGTGTTGACCAGATAGACTGTAAACTGCTCATATACGTGCTGGTCACCAGTGATGGTTAGGATAGTCGGGGAATCAAATGACGGGGTCAACACGTAGGACTCCGGGTTTTTAGGTTTCTTGGACTTCTCCGTCCACTCAAGCTTAAAGGACGTCCAATCTTGAACCGTAGCTAAACAGGTTTGTGATGGTGAAATTCCAGTCTCTGTCGCGGTGCTGCTTTACCATGCTGTTAGACTAAAGGTATTTGATCATATCAAGCGGTAGTACTGCATTACCTTGTCGGTGTTGCGCATGAAGGGCATGGAGTGCATGACGGGCATTCGGTGGGTGTAATTGTTGTAGTGGTTTTTGACGTCGACGTCGACGTCGACGTTGAAGTTGTAGTTGTAGTTGAAGTTGTTTTGCAGTTGATAATAGTGGTGCAATCTGCTTCTTGTGTAAGGCTGGGAACCGTATTTGCCAGCACATGTTGTAAGCTAGCAAGGCTGCCCAAGAGAAGAATAGTGTATAAAGATACCATTTTCGCAAGTACCGCCGAGTTCAGAAGATAATTGTTTATGAGCTGATAGAGGACCGTTAGGGGGGCGGGGGGGGTAGATGACCTGCTTTTTATACTAATAACTCCCTATGTATGTGAGCCGAGCACAGGCGTTAATAGATTGGCACACACATACATGTGCTCCTTTGGAAACAAGACTAGCTTGTCTGTACACTTAGTGCCCTAAGAGAGTGGTTATGTCACTATCCAGTTCTTTGCGTAAAGTAAGTTATCCTATTATTTGAGTTTTATTTTTGTTGTATGGTTACACCACTGGGAATACTACAGGAATATTTTTACTAGACCTTTCTGTTCCTCCAAGCTACCGCTTAACGTATCATCAATTAGTATTGATGAGTTGACGGTGTTATAGTGGTGACATCAACGCAGGCTTGACGAACATAACAACAGGAGTGTATTACTCCTCTTTACGGCAAAAGCCGAGGTTAGAGAACTTCTAGATCAATACAAGCTTTTGTATGATATTGTTACCCTGAATATATTACAGTCAATTTTGCTGTAACCATCTTGACATGTTCAGTGTGGCTATTGCACAAATGTTTACTTTTTCCAATTCCTAGGATATAAAGTGCTGTACGTCATAAAAGAGTGCGAATACTCTGTTCAGCACGTCATTATCTTAGATACTACTTATTTATGAAGTGTTATGAATTCCTGGATGTTTTATCCAAGAACCCTCGTTGGCTAGATAGTTGTTGGGAGCTTGCTTCCCCCTTTCCCAATACAACTCTCTCCTCTCTGCTTCTTTGGTCCCTACACCGTAGAGCCCGACATGAAGTCATAACTACATACAGAGCTCTGGAGCAAATGTAACCCAGACCTTAGGAACGGTGTGCTTAGTCTAAGAGCAATAAGCAGCTCCCAGAGTCTAGATTAAACAGCACTTTTTCCTTGAAGTTGTTGGATTAATGATATCTACACGACTGGTTTCATAGACATTGTGGGATATTCACCAAATGACATCTTCTATTTTCCTCATTTAGTTGCACAACCAAGCAAACGATAGATTAAACTTCTGGGCTAGTAGTGTTTTGCCCTGAACATTAGGATGATGATTCAATATGCTACAACAGATCGGAGAGAACCATGAAGTGGCTAATGTAACCTTCCACGAAATTCACTTGCTGGTTGCATTGAGAGCTATCAGCAGCAAACATTATAAATTTGAAGATCTCTATACTTCTTGAAGAACATCAACCTCATTTCATTTTTCTTATATTCTGCAATCAGACTTGCGTCAATTGTTAAATCATGCATTTAGCAACTCCTCAAATTCTAGGCGTGGCCGCGCTGGCTTTCCTCACCTATCCAACGTGCGTTTCAGCGGGTGGTGTTTGCGACGAGGTGGGAAATTGTCTTCCTAAGACGGTTGTAATGGACCAATGGAAGCTAGATTGTGGTATGGTTGGTGGTGAGTCTTACCTTCGCTTACACACGACCAATCTGTTAATATCATCAAAGAGGAGTGGCAGTGTAAGGTGGCAGGTGGGCCATCTCCAGGCCCGCCGATCACTGGTACCAAAACCGGAACCCAAACTGGAACCCAGACTGGAACCCAGCCAACTGGAATAACCGGAGCGTTGGCCAAAGCGGATTTCAACACAATTTGCCCAAAGTATTCTGGTGAGGTGTTTGAAACAACCAACACCGATGGCACTTCCAGTAAATGGAAGATTCATTGCAATACCGGTGTATCACTAGCGCCCGCTGGCTGGAGGTGGAACTATCATATTTGCAAACATTCCTCTGTTATCGACTATCTGAAAGAATATGGAGAAGACAGAAATGGGTATAAAGGACTTTGGTTTGACCATCATTACGGGGACAACCCGAATGTGGGCCCAGGTTGCAATCAGATCGTCGGTATTACGTCGTTTTATCAGGGAGCTGTGCCATATGTGGACGGAATTAGCCCTAAACATTTCATCGAGCGTGTTACCTAAAGTTACGAGATTGAATGTGAAATGAGACATCCTGTGACCTAACCTATTTCTGCCTATTCTATTTTCAATTCTCTTCTTATTTCACCGACACATATCCTGTTGATTTCTACTTCTACTAGTATGGCGGAATCCCATCTCCTAGAAGTGCTCTTTGTATCCCCAGGGAAAACCTATCTGCTGAACTAGAAGGAAATGGTGTTAAACGTATCGACCTATACCTGTATAAGTGGCGCTAATTGGACTCCTTAATAAGAGATATTTGGAGGGAAAAGATAATTTCGTAGGGGACGTGGTGATTTTAAGTTAAAGTTGCGGGCGGACTAAGGCGAGAGCCGGCCCGCCTACCTGGACTTCGGGACCTCAGGTGGCAGCGGTGGAGATTTGTAGCCCAGGATTGATCCGGGACTGAAGGCGGTATTCTGTGGCAGCAATCCGGGAAGTATAAGCCGGCTCTCTCCCACCGTTACCCAGCTAGAAGTTAATACTATCTCGTTAGTCAGTTGAAACCGATTCGTAGGCCTGTGTGGCCGTCTATTCTAGTAGTTGTCTTTAAGCCTTGCCGGCGGTTCAGTTGTTAGTCTGTCACAACTTCTCAAGCGACCACGGGTTCTTGATAAATATTACATAAGCGTAAAACCCAAGCACGTGACTTCCAATGTTGCCATAGCGACGCCAGCGCCGGCAACCGAAAATCCATCTGATGACACTCTTTTTGTTGTACCTTAAGATTTTTTTCGCTAATGTGGCATAGGGATGATGGCGTATAAAAAGTACAGGTGCATTTTGCCTGATACCGACTATGCCTCGGATGATTTTCGTGAGTATCCGACATCATACATCGAAATCCTCGGAAATAAAATACAGGTGAAAATGCCCCAAAATCATATATAGTCGGGCCTAAACGCCTATGTATTTCCAATTAAGACCGTTTAAGCAGCACCGCTGAACTATTATTCTGAAAACGGAGCCGATCCAATTGGGTGGCTTCCCTATCCAAAAATGCACAAGCGGGAAGATAAGTATGGTCACAGTCACCAATCCTACTAGCGGTTTGTCGGGGAGGACAGCTATTGTCTGATTGGGATACTGATCCAGTACGGTGCAGACGCGGGAGCGCAAAGCTAGGCCTTAATGAAAGCATTGTGATATGAAAAGGCTACTAAATTTCGATTCCTTGTAGAGAATGGGGCAAGTCTGTTTGCGAAATTTCGCAGGACATCTGTCGTTTCTATGGTGATGAGATTCGGGTTCCAACCAATTATCGCTATTTGTCTGGAGCAGGGAACTGCCCCTGATATGAATTCTTGATACAAAAGCCTGTCTGCTGTGATCAGGCTCTAGCTAGCTCCTTTCTTATTTTTTGGTTTTTGTCGGGCGATCTCATAGGTATCAGATGTAATGAAAGCTTGGGGAGAAAACAACAGATTTCTTCCAATTTAAGTACAGCAATCATACATCAGGTAAAGGAATCCCAGTCCGGGAGATTCAATCAAAATTGAAAAATAAAGTTTATCTCGTTCCAGAGAATCGCTGTTATATGAGAAGAGTTCGGAATATAGATAGACATGTCTTCAGGCAAGTTTCCACCATGCTTTTTCTTCTGTCACCGCTCATATAAACGGGTAAGGAAGATAAGAGCTAGGCTAGGTAGGTAAGTAAGTAACCAGCGTTACTCTACCTACCAAATGTGCGTGGTAGTCTCATAGGACGAATACCATGATGTAGGTTCCTGCCTACTCGCCTCGCGTGTTTTTTGCCGGGCCTCATAGTAAAACGACAGTGGCAGCTTCATGAACCAGACCAACACTCCAAAAACTGCTCCCGCAGCTGCTGCGGATTTGTACTCGCAGACATGGAAACCTATTACGTCCTTTCTGAGCGAAGCACTCGTTGCTGATTTGAAAAAAAAAAAGAAAGAAAAAAAAAGAAAAAGGAAAAGGCAGATAAGATGAAATTCGTTTCTCGGGGGTGCTTACTGTAGTTCTGGGCAACACGTGCGAATGTGTAACCGCTCAGTGCATCCCAGCCTACTGCTTGTATTGAAGCCACTGGCCCTGATCGAGTTATTGTGTCAACAGCTGGGTGCTGCGAGAGTGTTCGGAGAAATGAGGATCATACATACCAGAAGCATGCAGTGCCGCTGTGCCTGCTGTCAGAGGAGCCCCGGCAGCGACGGCGGCTATAAGCAACTCATCTGGTACTGGAGACAATTTACCCAAATCAGCAGGAACATATTATTGCATGTGCACAAGTTACGAATTGATAGTCGGCAACCTTACCATCTCCTAGTGATTTCATGGCTACGATCGAGGTAGCAAGGACTGCTGACCCAAAGGAAGAGCCGGCAAACGCAATCAGCACATGGAGAAAGATGTTGTTCGAAGTCAGACCCAATAAAGCGGCTGCATTGAGGATGCCAGACTTGATCAAGCCTCCAAGAGCACCAAGGCGTAGTATTTGGGCCGTGGTCGCGTTCCCGTTAACGTGGGCGCCTGTGGCTGCTGCAGCCGCTCCAGCAGCTGCACTTATCCCCAGGTCCAGCACCGAGAGTGCAAGGTGGATTGCCACTCAGGAACAATAAGCATCTGATGACTGCCAAAGACAGAACCTTGCGATGACATACCATTGGCAACTAGGGGGTACTCTAACATCTGGTTAGCCCAAGACAGGCCTAGGGGAAAAATCCACGTGTCGAACCTGGATCCATGTTGACTGACGGGCGAGCCTTGACGAGGAATAATGTTCTGCACTGCACAAGTGAGACCTGAAGGACTACTTGCGGCTCTTATACTTATACTCGCACTCGCACTATGCACTGCCTCAATTTTTGAAGGATAAATAGTGTTTGCTTTAGGGTGTGCCAAGAGCACAGCCTGACTATCACGCTACGTCTGTGCGGTGCCCTTCTCGGATTCATTTACATCTGCAGGGATCTGCTGTATGAATACGAACTAGGTTCCCCCTCCCCCCAATCTCTCCCCTTTTTTCATTGAATATTGTTGTGTACATTCAGATGAGTCAGACCTCATATTCTGTGAAGCAGACCTCTTTTCCGACCCCTTGGGGGGTACGGTACTTCAAGCGCGTAGAGGAACGGACAGGACACTACACATCCAGTCGCAGTGAGTCACGCTATGGAAGCGGGATAAACTATTCTTGGTCCTCAAAGTCAGTCACAGGTCTGTAGTGCGCTTGTTTGGCTCCCGTTTTGAGAGAGAATCGCACAGCTCACACTCACGCTCATGATATCCAGCATCGTCATATTCATGCTATAAAGCGCATTATCCGCTTCTTTACGAAAAGCTGAAATCACCCAGGGCTGCGCGCAAAAACTTCAAAGACTGGAAGGCAAGCGTCGTGCAGCTACCGCCGGAAACTCGCCCTGCGCTGCCGCCGCAAGAGCTTACCTTCACCGAGCTCAAGCCGATGACGGACAAGCGCGGAGAGCTTCTCGTCCTCTCGTGTAGCCTTCAGCCGAGCTATCCCAATTTTGCCTTGACTTGCACGACAGAGTTCACGGACCGGCGCGAGGTGCGCAACGGGACGGTCCTCTCTAATTTGCGCGGCGCAGGCGTAGTAATATCCACGACGGCAAATTCATGGAGGATTTTGATCGAGTGGATGGGGTGGAACGGTGATATGCTTCGGGATGCGCTGGGAAGTGAAACCATGGACTCGCTGGAAGAAGTGAAAGCCGTGCGAAAAGGGGACAGCGCCGTTGCTCCAACTACGGCGCAGTTTGACAAGAAGGTCACCGTGCCTAGCGAGTATGAGGTTGATCGGATATGGTCAAAGACGAAGGGGTTCTATAATGTGGAAATTTACATTCCAAAGAGGACGTACAAACATAAACTCTTGGGCACACGTTGGTGATAACTGGTTTTTCTCCACAAGATTATGGAATCTATTGTAAATACATGTCATGTCAATTATTTCTGTGCTGAGTTCTAATCTGCCATTGATAACCTTTCGGGCATGCTAAACCGTCCCCTTGCCACCGCGGCCTCGAATCCTCCCCCTCCCCCTCCCCGCCTATAAGAATTATCACTCGGCTTCATCTTCACCTTGCCCAGCAGCAGCGACACAGATTCTATCAGCGGCCCGATGAGCATCATCATGGCGAGAACCTGCCCAAAAGTCCAGTCCGCGATGTTCGGAAGCAGTTCGTTCCTCCGGATAATCAACTCCAGCATCACCATCATATAGATGCTCGCACCCAGCTGGCCAAGCATGCGTATAAACTGGCTCCAGGCATTAGCATGCGCCGCCCCGGCGTAATCATCATACAACCCGTCGTCCGCACCCAGTTCCGATTCGCGATCATCGCTGCTGCTGCGTCCGCATCCACAGTCGAGCGCCAGGCAGCATGCCGCGCCGGACATACACGCGAGCCACATGACAAGCCCCAGCGCCAGCATGGCGAAGATCGCGACGAAGATCCAGCGGATAACGGCGTTGGTCGCCTGGATGTCCACGCCGGAAAGGACGTACTTGGTTTTGTGATTGCACTCGGGCTGGTTTCCAAAGTGTGGCGCGTTTGCGAAGACGTAGATGAAATATATGAGCGAGCCGCTGACGGCGAAAACATACAGGACGAGCAATGTCGTGGTGCGGACGACGGTTGCGGGGTAGTGGCCCTTGGGGCGGATGGAGATGCCTACGAGGCCGAGCAGGTGGAGGACGCAGAGGGCGTGGAAGAGCGCGATGCTGCCGAGTGCAGTCTGGATGACGGTTGTGAGGAGGAGCGCGAGCCCTGTTACGCCTAGGGAGGATTCGATGGAGCCGGACAGCTCGGTGGAGTGAAGGAAGAAAGAGATCAGTGGGCTCGCCAGACTGAGGACATAGATGGAAATTCGGATCTAGGTAGAGCTTGTTAGCCGATCGAGTACGTACGATGGCTCCTCTGCATAAGAGGTGTTTTATCAAGTCAGGAGATGTTCTTACGCCGATTCCAATAATGTCTGGATTAGGGTCGATTAGACATCCATCGACATCCATTTTTGGAGGGAGGCAGCCACAGAAATCGAACCAGATGAATCAAAACTGTAAGTTTTGCAGCTTATAATAACTCCATAAAAAAAGATCAGAGGGGTTATTAGGTGTGGCTCTCTGCATAAAGGAATAAAAGAACAGGCCCTGTTAGTTATAAATCGCGGTCGTGGCGAAGCAACTTGGCTGTCCGCACAGCCTAAGAGTCAAGCAATGCAGATTTTCCTCAAAACCATCCCTGTAAGGATGGGATATCTTAAACGAGTTCAACTGCGCAAGACAGGGCACCGAATATCAAAAGGTCGGTTTCTATGAAAAAGTGAGGTTAAACGTATTACAATTTGGCGACGACGGCGCTATACGGAGTACTGACAAGGCATTTGTCCGGGTGACATCCTAGAGCACCCACCATGACACGGCGTCTTCAAGTGAATATGAGGATCGGCGCACTTTCGAAAAGCTACCTGTGTCAATTGGTCAAAGGCTGACAGAGCCGGCCGGCCAAGTTCAAGGCCAAGAGACAAGCTAATCTGATAGTTCGTGTAGGCGGCAATTCTTTTGTGGCTATGTCAGGGTCGTGAGGGTCACTCTTGGCGGGTCGCGGTCCGGGTCGTCAGGGTGACCCGCGGGTCGGGGCGAGGTCTTTCATCGAGATACTTCGAAGCGGCCATTGAGCCTCACATAACAAATTTTACAAGGTGTGGTTGACTTTGCCAAGGTGATGCCCATGCATGCATCGCCATTAAGAGCGCCCAGCAAACCTTGCCAAGCAAAGAGCGGCTCTGTGTACCTTGAACCGTTCTAGCTCGACAGGCAGATCCTGCATTCTGCCTCGTAGCCTTAAACAGAAAGTTGTCGCGGACGTAGCGTTCAGATATCCCTCCCCATTTCCTATCGCTCTGCCTGCCCATTGTCTTCGGTCGCGAAGGCACGAGCAACACTAGCGCACCACGATGCAAAATAAACTTCCGCCTACTAACAGGAGACCATGGCAAATCCAACCCCTTTTACTGTTGGTGTTGGCGGCTATGGCAGCGACCGTGGCAGCTAACACTCTTTATATTTATAGCTTAACAATATACCACCAAACCTCGACGAGTTTGAGTCGTGGATGGATGACCTGTTCAATTCCGGTGACAATAAAGCCAGTTAGGTGGACCGGCCTTTATATGCTACTGAGATCCTTGAGGAAAGCGCTATTCCGGCGACAGATTCAATCCATGCTAGTACCCCTTAGCCACGCCTTAGAATATCGTCACCTAAAAACATATCTACACCTGAGCTCGATGGGCGAGCTTCCTACTATCCGACACCGTCTACCATTTGTGCCGAAACTCCCCGGATGGGAGAGCCACTCACCCTCCTAGGATTTGGAGCTACTATAGTCAGCCAAGCATCTGACACGCACGGACTAACCAGCGACCTAGGGAGATAATCGAAGACTCCGTCAATTGCTAACAGCTTAACCTAGGTTATCCTTCACTTATTACGTTCTTACAGTAGCTCACTCGAAGATACTCGAATTCGGAGGACCCTGAAGCGGAGCATCATATCCTCGCGTAGGATATTAATGGAAAAGCATAGAATTATATAAGAAAAGTCTCATTTGTATACGCTCGTATATAGATCAATATGATTGGGTACCAAAAGAGAAAGTCTTGGCTAAGTGGCCCGGGGTGTTTGCAGAATTATATTATTGACTTCCATATTGACTTTTATTTCGCGAATATATTCTTTTGTCTCAAAGCCTACTGCAAGTTATCTACACTTAGTATGTACTACTAGTAGTATCCATGGATCTACAGTATTGTGACTGTATTTGTTCAAGCCTCCATGTGGATATATGCCAAGCTTCTCGGGTTAGCGCACTCCGAGTGCGGGTTGAAGCTAAAGCGAGAGTGCCATAAAAGGCAACTTAGTTTTCTCTTACATTCTGCTCTAATTCCAATATTTTATACTAAAGATCCCATCATGGCTCACACTCAACCCCGCCGCTTCGCCCAAATCGTCCACCTCAAGCCTTCCGCTGTCGCGGCATACAAAGAATGCCACGCCAATGTCTGGCCCGAGATCCTTCAAAAGATTAAGGAGTGCAACATCGTAGACTGTAAGTTTTAATGTCAAAAATACATCTATGTATAAACATAATGTATGTTTAAATTGGCTGACATGGTGTATTTCTGTCGCTGCAGACTCGATCTACTTCGATAACGATCGGACTCTATTCGCGACCTTTAAGTATATCGGAACAGACATCGAAGCTGACATGAAGAACATGGCATCGCTGCCGAAGATGAGAGAGTGGTGGGCCATGACTGATGAGATGCAGGTATGTTGAAGATGTGACGAAAATGCAGAGATATAGACACTAATCCGAAGAACCTGGTATTAGGAGAGCCCTATTCCCGGAGCCGTGAGTAGTGCTGAGGGTCCAGGGTGGTGGAAGCCCCTGGAGGAAGTGTTTCACACAGATTGAATCTTCCGGCCATGGCGAAGATAGTTGAACTTGTACATAGCTATAGACTCGTCGTTAAACGGTCGCTTATTGGAAAAACTGATCAATCCTCTTTTGTTTCGCATCATGCGCAGCGGTTCCGATGCCGCCCTTAGTACGGCGGAGATTGGCAAGGTGTTTCTTGTCGTCAATACCCAGAACAACAAATGCGAAGTTTGGCATGACAGAAGGCAGCACGGTCCTTTCTGTCAGGTTTGGGGCGATCAATATGGTCATATAGCCAGTGTTTGACCAGACAGGCCCCTTATGAAGCGTAGTCATGTTGGTGTCACAGATTCCGGGTGCAACATCAGTGTCCGCTGGATTGAAAATCTCAATAAAATATGACCACAGCTCTTGGAGGATAATGCCGTGGGCAACGACTGCGATGTTTTGTTGGCTGTGGGGGTCACGCATCAATAGTGGGAGCAGGTGCTTGTTGAAAAAGTTTTCAGCCCTCTGTCTCATCGACGCTTTTGACTCAGGCATGACCCAGTCTCGCGGCCTTGGCGATGGAGGAGAGGTGTTCCAGAAGCGGCCTTCCATCGATCCGTAACCTTTCTCTCTCAAATTCCGAGTCAATATCGGCTGTAAGGGTGTTTTATCAGAGGGTGAGACCTGAGCATGACAGACCCCCTCGGCTGTGATTCTTGCTCGGCTTAAGTCTGAAGAGAACACCGTCGTGAATTTAGTTGAATTGGAGACGAAATAATGAGCAAGGCAATTGACCTGAGCCACCCCATGGTTGGTCAGTGCCGAGTCGGTGGTACCGGCCCTATCACAAGCAGTCAGTGTGAGTCAAGTGAGAATGTCAATGCAGGAACCTGGCTCCCTACAGGACTTTCCCAACATTGTGCACTGTTTCCGCATGGCGAATGAGATATAGCTGCATTGCAATATAAGAAGCTGGTAAAGTTAAAGCAGGGGGAAGTCCGTATTCTGGGAGACTGAGGAAGACTAGGGATTGAGATGAAGAGGGGCTTATATAAGTGAGGTGCTAGAAACAAACATTGTGGCCCTGCGGCCATCAACAAAGAATGAGAGTTCCAAAGGTGAAACAAGTGGCCATGACGCAGTAAAAACGCTAGCCCGCTTTAGGAAATATCTGTCGCCTCAGGATTCAGGCCTTATTTAGCCAGGCCCTGCAACGAATAGCATTTAGTTATGCCTACCTGCCTCATATACTGTCGGCCATAATATATATGAGTGATTTAAAAGTACACAGAGACTGCCCCATCTAACAGCCTTCCAAGGAATTTGAGGGCGCTGAAATTATCCGATTACGGCCAGAATATAAGGACATGACTTGTGGAATCGTCCCCGAACATGACCATTATCCATTGAACGGATTTAGCGAGGACCTAGAGTACGATAAGCATATCAGTATTTGTATACCTATGACCCCAAAGGTTATTCTGCCTATGTATTCATACCTAGAGACGTATTCGCCTCGACGGCGATTTTTCGTTTGGAATAAGAGACATGATATTCTGTGACCTTCGTGATGCCCGTTGCATTTTGATACTGGGCTTCGTCGCCCTGGCTAGACGGGAGGATTTGGTCTGTGCTATCCTCTGAGGGACGGGTTTGGGAATTGCTGATTTGGTTCATACTGATGCTGGGCTTCGTATCGGGCTGTGCATGAACCGAGTTCCAGTCGCTTCGAGGCTGCGAGGTGACTTGAAGTCCTGAGTTCCTGGTCGCCGAGCTTCCATATCTGTCGGTGCCGTGTTCTACGGAGAAAAAGGAGGGAAAGAGCCTAGCAAGTGGCATCCACATCATCGGCAGGCAGGCACAGGTGATCGCCACGTTTTCTTCCATCATCGTCCATACTGAGGAGGCGATATCATCTGTGGGGGTATATGTGAATGCCTGAGCAAAATCAACCCTGAGGGACTATGAGGACACTTACAGGTAGTGTCAGGACTGGTTGACGAGAAGTCCAGGGTCCGCATCCGGAGAATGCTCGTAACAGCGACACTTGGAATTCCGGGTCAGTCTTGAGTTGACGCCTCGTCTGCCGCACCAAGGTATTTAGGGGCTTACAAGGCGCCGAGGGCAAACACCCCCATCAGGGCGATTTTCCGCTTCAACACTATTTTCGACTTGTAGAGCGGATACATCGGGAGCGTCAATATGACGATATCGGTAGCGATCGAGAAGCCGGCGTTGGCGTACCAGTTGGTGGTTATGTTGATGCACGATCCTGGAATGGACTTGTTCCAGGCTCGGGCCACTGGTGTGCATTGAAATATGGAGGCGAAGAAGGCGGCCACCATGTAGAAGGTGATGATAACCAAGAGCGCGTAACAGGTGATGCGGAACCAACGCTGGATAAAGATGCGCAGATATAACAACAGGATCGACATCTTTGTCATGTTCATGGTGAGCTTGTAGAAAGCTTGACTAACGAAGAAGAGCTGGCAGGACTGAGGTTAGTAGCCCACACGGACCTAAAGGGCTAGCGATCCGTGGCCACAACATATAACTGGAGGGCTACATCGAGGGCAATCCCAAACGTACCTTTAGGGTCATTAGCTTATTCGTTGCTGTGAGATTCGCGATGTGTTGGCCAAAGCCATAGGCACAGGACCCCAGCATGAGGGCCATGACGATAACCGCAAACACCTGGTGATAGCAGTATTAGGTCTGTCTGTATGAGGCAGTTCAATCTCACGCATGAAGAACTCACGGAGGAAGCCAAAATGGTCCAGTCGTCCCAGCCCAGGCCCGACTTAGACTTGACTCGGGACCAGAGTCGGATAGCCACAAAGGCTGGCGTGGTGACAAGAAAGACTATACATGGCACTTGGATTTCCAAGGCCCTGCTTGATCCTGGAATATTTTCGGACATAGCAAATTGCTAGAGGTCGCCTAGAGTAGCTAGTATGGTCTTGTGAAACCGATTGAGGCGAAGGTCGATACATATGTACTAATCTCAAGGCCATCTCAGTTGTAAATTTTCTTCTTTTTTGTCGTCCATCTTCCCTGCATAAGCACATTCCCGCATTACCGGCGGGATAGCGTGTTAGGACACGCGTGTTATGCAGCAGAGTCACATCGACACTGACAAGGGTCCCATTCGCGGAAGTTTTCGCTGGCTTGGCATCGAGTAATATCGCGTGGGCTAATCGGAGCATTGGCCTGTTTCATCCGAGACCCTTGTCAAAAGTGGATGGCTAGGCCGCGGGGGTTGGAAGATTGGACGTGATTAATTTACGCTGCATGGCGTTAAAGGCGCTAGTTTGGGAATTGTTGGGGGCCAACTTGGGTCAGGACTGGACAGTCGGTTGATGTCAGGTACATTTGCACACTGAGCCAGTGAAAACAAAAATACTTCAGACAAATTATTACCAAGAAGAAATAATTTGCCTTTTGGATTGCTCAAGGACAAGGCCGGAATCCCTCAATCAACTGACCAATTACTCAGCACAGCGTCTCCCCGGGGCCCCGGGCCCCCCCCAACGGCACCAAGTACGTGCTAGTGAAATTTGCAGATTAGAAACACCGAGTCTTTGCGAATGAAATTGCAATTAACAGGCCCCCTATCCGATCGAAAAGCAAAACAGGAAAGGCTGCACGGAATAGTCGGCCCCTAGATAACTAACCACATATAGGTAGCAACGCGGCATCTGTGCCCCTGGCTCTGTTGCAACACTGGGATCCGCCTTTATTTACACTAAAATATTTCTCAAGCTATATATATATATGTTTGCATCGGGAGACGAACAATTAGGTCTGTTCTTCTCCTATACGATCGATAGAGACCGTGCTCTTTAAACGGCAGTCACTAAGAGAACTTGGTGCTTGTGCGAACCACATCATGAAGATCTTCTCCTTCTTCACTGCCGTCTCGGCAATTCTATCATGTACGGCTGTCGTCTCCGCGCAGTCCGACCCCGATCCGATTGGCACCATCTACGATGGCCATGTGCCAGCCAATCTATATGGATCGAGCTACCCCTACCCTTGGCCGGTGAAGCTGTTCAACTTCTACAATCAGCGCCAGAACCTTACGATGGCGTTCATGGACATCCCGGCAAGGAAACACAACAAGCATACGAAGACCGCCGTCTTGCTGCACGGTGGGAACTTCTGCGGCGTCACATGGTCCGATACGGCGCGCCAACTGTCGGCCGCGGGCTACCGAGTGATCTTGCCCGACGACATCGGCTTCTGCAAATCGAGCAAGCCACAAGGCTATTCTTACAACGTACAGCAGCAGGCGTTGAACATCCACAGCCTCCTCACTGCGCTAGGCATCGACCAAGTCACCGTAATCGGCCATTCGATGGGTGGCATGATTGCCGCTCGCTACGGTCTCATGTACCCAAACAACGTTCGACAGCTTTTCCTCGTTAATCCCCTGGGCCTGGAGGACTGGGTAGCGAAGGGTGTTCCCTATCTGTCAATCGACGCGTCGTACGAGAGCGGTGTTGTGTCGAATTTCACCACTCTCAAGGCCTATGAGCACGCCAACTACTTTCCCAATGCCCCCTGGAAGCCTGAATATGATGCCTGGGTCCACATGCTAGCCGATATCTACGCCGGCGACTATGGCTCCGAGTATTCGTATGTGATGGCTCTTGTCACCGATGCCTTACTCAGTCAACCTGTCATCTACCAGCTGCCTCTCCTGCAGACACGTACCTATCTCTTGGTAGGAGACAGCGACGTCTCGGCGCTTGGCAAAGCGTGGTCATCCCCTGCTGTCGCTGCGAAACTCGGCCATTATCATGAGCTCGGTCCTGCTGCCGCTGCCATGATCCCCAACTGCAAGCTCCACATGTTCCCCGGTCTAGGACATGCGCCCTTCCTCCAGGACCCCAAAACGTTTTACGACGTGCTGCTTTCTTGGCTGGACTAGATTGGATTTGCAATTTGCATACCATAACATTTGATACAATAGTTTCAGACGAGAACGATGTTGCGAATAATTTCCCGTCTTAGCCAGGCATCTGCGGTTGCATGCCATCAGCTAGGAACCAGCAGGGCAGATGGCAAAGGTCTTCCCGTACTAAGGGTGGAAGACTTGTGTCAACCATTGTACATAGAAGCACTTTAGAATAGCCATACTAAAAGCTAGTGACTTGCGATTTTGGTGGAACCAATTTAGAGTTCTATACTTGACCCTGAAACTCCTATTTCCAGTTGCGTCTCAGGCTACTCACTGAGTGGCTAGCTGAACACGTGCATACCTGGCATTGCTTTCAAGGTTAATGGCATCAGCAATTTATTTTCGATACGAGACCTAAAATAATACACATAGTGATAGAATAAATATAACGAGTAAGCCATCTAATGGGGAAAAGGGAAGGTCGGTCGACTGTTAACTCGCTATTTCCGCGCTCGGAAGAACCAGTATCAGTGAGCTTCTAGAGCGGAAAGATCCCTCCGAACTGTGTAAAGCTAACTTGTTATATCGTTTGCTTCGCACCGCTTCAGCAAATCAGTGGACAAAATACATTGGGCCTACACGCGATATGTCATGCCCCTTTTGCGGCGGCAGTGGCTGGCCGAGATATCCGAAGTAAGCAAGACGTTGTAGTTCGGATCCTCCAGGGGTACAAGACAGGGAAAGATGAGGTCCTTTTACTTATTAAACTGAGCCAAGGTTGCCTGAGACATGAGCCTTGAATGTGCTGAACCTAGGTTATTATGAAGGAACCTTACGAAAACGGATTCAGTCGAGGGACTTCGTTCTCGGGTTTTGCTGGTATATAGGGATCGTCTACCTCTAATTTCCTCTAGGTGCTCGTCGTATAGTTTATAGAAGTTATAAAGCTAATAACTAAAACAATTTAGCTTTTATTCTTTATATCGTCAAGTTTCCTTTCCCCCAAAGTGAGAAGTTCATATTTGAACAAAGGCATTGATATTTTGCAACACAGCTGCCGGGAGTATCAGGGCACCTGCAACTTGTAATGGGCTGTTCTCCATCAGGCCATCTACTAAATCGACATCTATGGATGGTATAGTTGTGAATTCGCCGTGAGTTTCCAGTCAATTATTCCACAGCATTTCTCTAATTTCTCTAACTCGGTCATTAATCAGTCACTTCGATGTTGTGGGATTGTTCGGCCGCAGTTTGTCAGATCTTCATCATCTTGCCTCTCATATACTTTAGATCTCAGCGACAATTCTACAGCGTTCCCGTCAAAGATCATCTATCCACTTGACTTTTTCCCCACAGCAGCCCCCAGCATCAAGCCATGGTGGATGAATTTGTTGGAGTTCTCGAGAGCTTTTTGGGGACTAAGCGGGTGAATATTAGTCTCGCTGAGAGATGGGAACAGTGCCCCCCGTCGGAGGCGAACGGAAAGCCACTGAAGCAATACCTGTCCAAGGTTTGTATTCAATTCACTCACTAATTTGGAGCAGAAACTAACTTTGTACCACGCAGAGTGCGTTCTGGTCTATGTGCTATGACTACTATCACGGATTTGACGACTTCCGATCAATATATAGCTCCAAATATGGGAAGCTTCCTTTCGAGGGTCCAGTCTTGCATTATAGATGGTAAGGTTTGATTATTATCAAGCAAAAAGAAAATCTAACACTCCATGTCTTAGGGAAATCGGCAAAGAGGTTACTCCCGACGAGTACAATACATACCGTGAAGAACTGAAAGTATTCCAGAGATGGTTTGACGAAAACATCTTCTCACAAGATCCAAACACCCTATCTGAGGCCATCATGATCATGCCATATGGCTCTGCTAACCCGAAATATCGGGATACCCCTAATGAGTCGTTCCCCGCTCCCTTGAACTTTCCATAATTTACCTGAAAACTGACTAGATGACCTAGGAGCCCATCAAGTGCTGGAACCATTGGTGAAAAGTTCATCTCTCCTGTTCTCGGAATCCCTCAGCTTGTGCTACCTTGTGAGTACTTTCAGCGCTTATCTCTTATTCTCGCTCTTCTCATTCTTGTAAATTACTCACAATCGTCGTCTTCAGTTGGACAAATGCCCTATCAATCACGAATCTCAGGCAGACTTGAGCACAGGCCGATCGGGAGCACTATTCTTGGTGTAAAAGGAAGCGATCTAATGCTCATAAAGCTAGCCGAAGCTGCATTCCGGGCAGCGTCGTGGCCTACAAGCGTCGACGTCGGAAGAGATATGTTTCCTTTAGCAGACAACGTCCGTAATGTTGCTCCCGTCGACGGGAATTCCAAGGAGCAAGGCTTGCTGCAACTGCAAGCACTGAATAGCAAGTTTTAAGGCTACTAGGAAGCGGGATTCGCACGGGTAATTCTTTAGCTCTTCCGGGTTGGAATCCTACATGATGCTTTCTATGGTCCTCTAGTTTTACATTAATTTGCAGCCCGGGAGCAAATGTCCGCATACATAGGCGATAGGCGATGCTGAGACCGAACATGCCCAGAGTCTGGATAATATTTTTCACACAACTGCCCAAGAGAAATTACCCTCATTGCCTCGCCTTGTTGATACGCATCTCACCCGCTCGCCCCCAGTCGCGCGGCGAACGGCGATCACCCGTTCCTCTGCCCGGCTAGTCGGCACTTTTCGAACTCAGGCAGAGCCCACTTCACCATCCATTCTGAATCAAGGATTTGCCTTGCAGTTGGACGACTTTCGGGCCTGAATACAAGCATTGACCGCAGCATCGAAAAAATGGCATCCCGCTCCGCCGGTTCAATAGGTGGCATGCCTTCTTCCTGCCGAGGCCCCTGCACACTGTCTTCGAATCGGTCTTCCCACGATCGATAAGACTTTCGATTTATCGGCTTCCCATCCTCAGTGAACCTACCATGTCGTCCCTCCCATTGGCACCACCATTCCGGAGGCAATATGCCAAGCGCCTCGACTTGCTCACAGGTTAAATCATCCTCACTTATAATGTACTGGTCGAAAAGTGGACTCTGGGCAATGATATTCCATATAGCGCAACCGAGTGACCATACATCCGACGGAAAGGAAATAGACTTGTGTGGTTCGAATCGAACCTCCGGTGGACGGTTTATAAGTGGGGTGTGAGACTCGTAAATTTGTTGCTTAGTAGGGGAGAAAGCCTCGCCAAAATCACCGAGCAAAATTTTAGCTTCCGGAAGACTAAGCTTATCGCTTGCTTCTCCAAACCATATAGGTATAACAGCATGCGACGGGATAGTTAGTGGGAGGGGTTTCCCATCAAAGCGTCTTATCGCCTCGGCTTGCGGCTCGCCGCACTTTTGATATAGCTCCTCGATAGTCAATGGATCCAAGTTATACGGTAGCCGGAGCAGAACGTTTCCATAGTGAAGGTCCCCGTGAACAAACCCTTGGGAATGCACATATTCGACCGCGATCACTAGTTGTGCCACTAAAGCGCGGGCAACCTCCAGTTGAAAAAGGCGATTATATGATTCATCCTTTGCCTCTGACAGGCTCATCCTGGCTGGGGTAGTCACATAGCAGACGTGCGTCCCGTTTGGGCCATGGATATTGAATGCGTCCAATACCGAAGGAATCATCGCCCTTCCTGAGACTGATACCCTGGGTCTGTTGCGAAGGAATCACCGCCCTTCCTGGGCTGGTACCCTGGCTTTGTTGCGGGCTGGAAAGTTCGGAAAGTACGTCAGGTTCGCGTGGATTCGAATCTGCAGTGCACACTTTGACTGCGACGTATCTATTGAATTTTCGGTCTTGAGCCAGCCAGACCGTTGAGTATGTACCGTGGCCGAGCTTGTGAACTACCCGATAGCGATCGTGAAATTGGTCCCCGATTGCTATGGGGTGATAGCCACCCACCCTGTAGCTTTCCAATTTCTCTACTGCCTCGATGGGCTCATAAAGATGGCAGAATGAAGCATCTTTCCCTGGCGTTTGAGACATGGAACGCAGAGTGCGGAAAAGGCCACGGGTTTGATTATGGTTATGCAGGGGCCTCGGGGCTTTGCTGGAAGCAGGATAAACGAGAGAGAAGAATAAAGGCGAGCGAAAAGGGTTAAGGGGCAATAAGGTCAGATTTTTCATGCTTTAACCAGCTCAATGCCCGTATTTGATTTCGAAATGAATATCACAAAGGTGTTATCGGGGGGTTTGTCCGAGGTTGCTCCTCAGCGCGTAAATTACTGGCCCTCGTTGGAGGTTGGAAGGAGGCGGGACCTGAGTGAGGCTGAGCATGAACCTTTTCCCGAGCGAGTTGATCACCACGGCGCCAAGTGTAACATCGCGGCTCAACAACGCTTCGAATAAGTGGGCCCAATTCTTTCGCCTTCCCTCAGCGGAGCTGCATATCCAATGAATAGAATGGGGAAATGGCTCCCAGTTTTTGCTTGGCTAGCAGCCCTTTTAATTGGGCGCATATGTGCAGTCACAGCGGTTTTATTCGATGAATGTCTACTTGCGAGGCGCCTTACCACAGGTCTGTGCCACGGCAATAGCTAGTAAACCAATGATGGATGGCAGTCTTGATCAGACTAGCCTTGGAATGTTGCTTGGATAAACCGTGTACTCCACGAAAGACATAAAAGCTGCTGGCATCCGGCTTTTATTTTTCTAATTTTCTGTCTTTCACGGGAAGACGCCAGGTTGAATTTCTACAAGTTATATATACCAACTCCAACAAGCAAGATGTCCACCGTCAACATGGTCAGATATTATTTCTACAAGGGCATGCTTCCCAAGACTGAAGAACGTACCACTAGCATCAACGGCATACGACAGAAAGATCCGTTGGGGCAGCACGTCACGCTCTGCTATAAAGATGAGAATCAGCTTCTACAGGGTACTCATGTGGCTAGCCATGGCTACGTTAAGGACGAAGTCAGCGTGGAGTTTGTTCAAGCAACGCATCACCCAGAGAAGCCCGATTCGGCAAAGAGGCAAAGAGGAACGAAAACCGTATGGCCATCGGAAGACCAGCTTGTCGCTGCTCCTGAGATTGGCTATGGACATCTTCCGAGTGAATAGAGGTGAAAGCATCTGGCATTCTCATTACCCTGGGGTGACGAATTTCTTGGGAGGATATTATGTTTCTTTTTGCCAGACAACTCATGTAAATGAACTATGTTTCCTTGGGGGCATGGATGTCAAATGAGCCCACATCCATGGATGTCGACTATCCATGCATCACCCAAATTCCCAGCCTAGAATAGAACAACAATCACATCGCCATGTCGTTAAGAGCCGGCTTTTCATGATGCCAAAATAAATAAACACAGTGAGAGTTTCGGGGGCCTCTCGCTCTGTACGGAATCTGGAAAAGGTCATTACCGCTTACTGGCGACCGCAGACTGACTGTCTTGGTGATCGTGACGGTGGCTGTGACAGCCAGATCGAGGCGTCCACAGGTATGGTTCAGGAAAAATAATCCAGAGGGTAAGCCGGGCAGATGCACCGGAGATGTTGTGGCCGGTGAGCCACTGGATGATGACGAGGTGGGTGTTGAAACTGATACCAATACCAGTGGAGCTACCAACAGGCAGCCGGTTCAGCCCAGTCAGCCCTGGCCGCCCGGTAAGATCGGGCAGCATTCCCCTGGCGCGTAGCACACCGATGGCAGCAAGAGGGCCGACGCTGAGGGAGGTCGAGGCATTCTCGGTGATACCAACTGAGCAGGAAGAGAACCGCCAGCAATATTGGAATACGTAGGTAGGTCTATGAAGTAGCGACCAGGGAAATTTATTATATAAGCTTATGGTTTAGAGAAGAATGAAGAGCGAAAAGGGTGAAAGAGCGAAAAGATTGGATTTTTCATGCTTTCCAGTTCCCATCCCTGGAGCCTGTATTTGATGAAATCAATTATCACGATTCATGGATGTTATTGTAGACGAGTCTCAGGTCGCGTAAATTCCAGGCGTGATCGGATCTTGCCACGGAGTACGCACCTTATCGTAACTTAACTTAACCACCCATTATATCTGCAATGGATACTCCTATTCCAAGGTCTGGCTTCCTTTTAGAGGTTAATTAGTAATTTGATACGTACCTAGGTATAATTTATATAGATCTAGTGTTGTTGCCGTGTTCCGTATAAATATATCTCAACTCCGAGCTTGGCCTCGTTTAGGCTTCCACCGGGAGGCCCCGACTTTACTATTGTTAACCCACTTCGCCGCGTGGAGCCCGGCCTTAACATACTTATATCGGAACGGATAATATACTATCCTAGCTCTTAAAGTAGCCTGCTAGTATCATAGCGTTAAGGCCACTTGTATAGGGAAATCTGACGCCCCAGCCGGACTTAGCGGACTTTGCGGTTCGAACTTTGTGTTATGACCGAATAACTGATAAACTCGTCTATTGCTTTTGTATAACAGTTATTTAGTCACTAGTAAATCCCATCAAACTGGGGTTCTTTCCTCTTTCCTGGATTAATTTGTCGACCATGGCTCCGTACGGTGCTGACACCACGGCCACCCAGTTGGTCAACGACTACGCCGACCTTATCAAAGACAAAGTCGTTCTGGCAACTGGTATCTCTGCAGGTTCTCTGGGCGGGTATTTCATCCAAGCCATCGCCAAGGCAGGCCCATCATGCCTTATTCTCGCCGCCCGCAACCCAGACAAAGCCCAGCAGACGGCCAACGAGGTCAGCGCTGCACAACCAAATGTGAAGACTCGCATCCTCCAATTGGATCTCGGTTTATTCAAGAACGTCCGCCAGGCGGCAGCTGAAGTCAACTCCTGGGATGATGTCCCGGTTATTGACGTGCTGGTCAACAATGCAGGCATCATGGCTCCGGAGTACAAGGTCACTGACGACGGCTTTGAATCCCAGCTGGCGACTAACCATCTTGGCCCTTTTCTGTTTACCAATCTCATTATGAAGAAGATCCTGGCCTCCGAGAGCCCCCGTGTGGTCATGGTGAGCAGCGATGGCCATCGCCTTAATCCCTTCCGGTTTGACGACTACAATTTCGATGTAAGACATGGAGCTTGAACTCCTTCTCAAGTGTACGGGTCACTAACTAAAAATACTCAGGACGGGAAGAGTTACAACAAATGGTATGCTTATGGCCAGTCAAAAACTGCCAACATGTTGATGTCCATCTCACTCGCGGAAAAACTTGGCATCAAGCATAATCTTCTCGCCTTCAGTCTTCATCCTGGTGTGATCTGGACCAATATCGCCAACCACTTGGATATGGAAACGGATTTTGATGGACTGCGTAAGTATCAATATACTCATTTCCCAATTGGAAAAATTACTTACTGGCGTAGGTGACGCCGATAAAGCTTTAGGAAACCGTGAAGGCTGGGGGGAACTCAAAGTGAAAACTCCAGATCAAGGTGTGGCGACTCACGTATACGCAGCGTTTGATCCGGGTCTGAATGGTAAAGTGAATTCCTTGTTGATGGACTGGATAAGAAGCTAAGTACTTGGATAGCCCATAACGGTGCGTATCTGATAGATTGTCGGATCGGTAATCCTCTAGCAGACACGATCAAGTCCTGGGCAACCAGCAGCCTGGAAGCGAAGAGACTTTGGCATTTGAGCAAAAAGCTTGTTGGCCAGGAGTTTGCCTACTAGCCATTCTGTAGTGGTGCAAGTCCTGGTATGAACGAAGTCTAAATGGAATGGTTGTCAAATGGCTATAAATAGTGGTCACCTACGTACTCTACTGTTCATGTACGGTAGCTTAGTGAGATATGAGGATGCATGTGTATCACCCACAACCTTTCTCCTTAGAAAAGAAACATTGGTAGGGACAATGCTTTGTTCATTTCTACTTTTCCATACTTAGTTTCACTCATTGGGGTAGCAGTTCACTAAATGTGGACCGAAAGGGCTAAGAATTATCTCCGGATTAAGATGATAAATGTTCCCAGGAGCTAGCTAAAGCATGGTCTTATAGCACTTTAGATAAATACCTCGCTTTTGCTCAAGTTATAACCTACGTAGTATACAAGAATAGTAAGCCGCTTATACAGCCTCGTTATATCTGTTTTGGTTGTCTTTTTACATGCCCGTTTTCGCTATGGATTTCCTTAGGTATCTTATGTATTTATAGGTTTCCTTCGCTTGATTAGTGCTATATCTATATGGGCAAGAAGAATTAACCGCCACGATTTGCATATCATATACTTTCCAAGTCATATGCCAGAGACCGGTTAGGACTAGTAGCTTTACATTGAACCCAAGCAATTTATAAAGTCATATGGAAATAACTAAACTTATGTCCGGGTACATTACTATTTTCTGCAGAGCAGAAACCGGTTGTCTGTACGGAGTGGACATGGACGGGATCGTCCAGCCCCAAAACGCGTCGCGTCGCGTATCTCCCCACATTTCAATTAAGTTTTGCTTCCACCTGCATCATCTTTATGACAGCCGAATGACCTATCATAGAAATATTCCTTGATGCTATACATGCTAGTGACAGTCATTCGAGGATTGAAACAAAAAGACCCGGAGATATCAGAACTGTATGCATATGCGCCCTCCAGTGCTTATATCCAGTCCACTTCGATCTGGACTTCTATGAGCCTCTAAGTATATCCCAGTTCCGATGTATGAGAAATGTCATATTATCGTTTCACCTTTTGTACCTAGCTAATCACCAATTTTGTAAGACGCGACACGTTCTCCAACTTTGCTCGCTTCGCCTTTCTTCCACAGCCTATCTTATATCTCATACCTCTTCAATATGTCGGACCAGGTCATAGACTTAACGGGTATGCCAATTATCAGAATATTCCATATGGTGTCATATGCTAATCCTCGACTCGCTAGGCCCTCACCCTGGCCCGTCACTGATCCCAACATTCCCCGAGCCATCTGCCACCACGAGCCCACCAATCCAGCATGGATTGGATGATTTGACCACCATCCATCATGGGTGTTAAACCTGTCTCAGCAGCTAGATCTTCTGCGAATCTGCGTCGCGCACAAACACTTGTACACAGAGCGGCGAGGCAATAATGCTTATTTGCGCCATGTTACTTCTGAGTTTGACAACTCGGGCTGGAACTTGAATCATGCAGGAAGTACGTGCAAGAGAAGATCCGACAATTTCCTACGATTCCTCGCAAAGTTCCTAATGGTCAAATGAGACAACTCTTGCAGGAACTTATCTCCCAGATAGAGCTTGTCGACGCGACGCTCTCTATTAGCTCCCGTCGCCCACGACCACGCCCATCCTTTCCCTTTGGGCCCCTGCATACCATCTCTGGTAGTTCTTCTGTGGACACGTGCCCTCAACATCCTTTTACGCACTCTCGTCCTGCTTCGACGGAACACTCAGACGAAGAACTCATCGCGATGAGCGAGGAGGCAGCAATGCAGTTTGACTATGATGAAGCCAAGTCTCGGTTGCTTCAGGTCTCAGACAAGACAGTTCGTGATCAGCGCTTCGAGGAATTGGACGCGGCTCGCCATGCTCGAATCCAACTCAACAGAGAATTGGAAAGGCAGGCCAAAGAAGCCGAGCTGGAAGAGGACTGGGAAACGGCCAAGTCCCTATTATCTCGCATTGAGGGCAAGGAAGGCCCTTTCCTTCTCCTGGCGTTGGAGTACAGTCGAAGACGGCCGGACTGGGGCTTGAGTGAACCGGAGGAAGTGATGGAGCAGCTTAAAAAGGAATACCCCGATCCACGCCTCGAGCAAGTTGAGCTTGATGAAAATTACGAGAATGCGAGAATGACCGGCCACCCGCAGAGGATCGGTCATTATCGTGGGCTGCTTCGTGCCAACAGACGGAAGATTGGCACCTTCTGGGAAGCACCTGATGACTATCGCAAGGTATTCCAGATGATGGCTGAAGACATGCGCGAGGCTAGTGACAAGGCCTGGTACGCAGCCCCAGCTCCACCTGGGGAGATAGAGCTTCGAGCCCAATCGCAATCTGAACCTCAACGACGGAATGTCGCCGAAGGACTCCGCCTGCTACAAAGGGCGCGAGAACAAACCGAACCTCAGCCGGATATTGACGAAGAACTCCGCTTGTTAGACAAGGCACGGGAAGAGATAGTCAAGGGGCATGACAAGGCTAAAGCTATCCTACGCCAGGGATCGACCGAAGACTCCCAAGAAGCCCTCAAAGCAGTGGAGAGAGGTGGATGGATGATGCTCGCCGACTTGGAGGAGACTGAGACTTCACTCGTGGCCCAGGCTGATGATGTGTCTGAGGAATGGACACTCGAAGCTCAAATGACATTGCTGTTTCTCATGGAAGAAGAGTCGAGAGCCAGGCTTGAGAGGGCCAGGTCCCTACTGGCTCCATACTCGCATAGCAGCCAAGCCAGGAGCCTCCGCAAGAAAATTGACCAAGCGCAGGCTAAGAAGAAACGCTATTTTCAGAGATGCAGGGATACGCTTCTCGCAGGTAGAAGACTCGAAGATGTAGAGGAAGAACAGTGACTCAAATCGTGCATCAGAGACGCTGATGACGATAGATAATGGGAATGACTGGAGTCAGAATGGATCGATGAAATACTATGTTCAATGGAAACTTGAGCAGAGCAAAATCGTGAGATCTGTAGTCTAATGTGAATGTTTTGACTCGATCTATTTCAACCAAGTCTTTCTCAAGACTGCTATAACTCCCTCACATTCAACTCCGGAGAGCCAATCTTTTCATCGCCGGGGATTCCAGACACCCCAGGCGTACCTAGCTGAGAGCGCCAATCTTCCATGGGTGGTGGGCTCCATTCCGCAGCACTATACAACCCCCGTCAGCACAAGGACGAACCGGCCATAACCAAAGCCATCAACTAGAAACGCCTACCCATGCTCCCGATCCTCAACCTCCTTCGTCCACTGCTCAGGAAGCGGCGGACGCGGCGGATCTGACGCTGTATTCAAGCCATCATGCCCAGCAGTCCTTCCCATATTGTACCGCGCATAATTTGAATCGGATTGCGGCCCTGGATTCTCTTCGTCGTTCGCGTCCGGAGCTGAATCTGGAGTCTGTGACTCGAGCGGGGTACCGGCAGCCTGGTCTTCGATGGGAACGTCAGAGCTCTCGTGAGCTATCCGACGGCCGACTGGTGTCGATGTAGCGTTTGCTCTGCTGGTTCTACCATTGTCTGAGCCCTTTGCGGAGTGCTTGCTGCTGTGCTGGTTCTGGTGGTTCTGAGGTGTTGTGCTTTCTGGTCGGTGAGGGGTTTGGCACCAAGGGCAATCGAATTTATCTGCGTAGGCGCGGTGCCAGCTTGCGTGGGTATGTTGTTGATATCTTCTCATGATGGATATGTGGATATGGCTATGTAGATGGGGGGAATATATATGTACAAGGGGTGAAATTATTATGATCTCATGATTTCGGGGACCAAAAGGCTTTTTAAAAGCGGGGATTGATGGATTGATGGTAAACAATGGAACTATCTAGTTCCCCTTTCTTTTTTTCTTTTCTTTTCTTTTTCTGCATCCTTGCTGGTTGAACAGCCAGTTGCTGTGCTGGCAATGCACTGGGGCTGGGGGCCACTTATCACAATAGTACTGGCGCTTGTGCATGGCGTCGATCTAATTTTAATTAGGCTAGTTTTTTTTTTTGGGTCTCGCACTAGCACAATGGCATGATGCAATTACAATCATACTCAACATATACTCAGGTTAAACTACGCTTTACAGATCCCAGCTACAGGCAGATGCACATGAGACAAATGAGGGAACAAGACAGATGTGGACATTGGCAGGGGAGCAGTTAGAACTGAGTAAAGAAAATTGCCTTAAATGAACACCGAACTAATTGCTCCCAAGGAAAAACCCCTTCCGATAATAAAAATAAAAAGTGGTATGTGCCATGATCCGTCAAAAAACTACATCACATGAATAAAACGCCGGCAGTAGCCCATTCCCTCAATTGAAATATTGGTAGGAACTTTTGGTCGAAAAGATAAGAAGCGAGACGCTTAAGCAGCAAGCTGGCGGATCTTCTCCTCGACGCGAGCCTTGCGCTGCTCGCGGGTGAGACGGGCGACCTTGTACTTCTTGGACTCGGCCTTCCACTCCTCCTTGGTCTTCTTGGGGCCAGCGTTCTCATCGGCCTTGAAGGGGTCCTCGCGGATGGCCTTGTGGGCATCAGCGTAGATCTCCTCGAGGTCACCAGCATCAATCTCGTTCTCGATGTACTTGACGAACTGGGACTTGTAGCGCTCCTCATCCTCATCGGCGAGGGTCTCCATGTACTCGGAGACGTGAGAGCCGTGGATGTAACCCTTGAGGGTCTCGGCGTCGAGCTCCTCGGACTCGATGTCGTAACCGGGGAAACGGCGCTCGGAGTGGGGGATGAAGATACCACCGTCGGAGGCACCCTTCATGGCAGCGAAGACGCGGTTACCGGTGGAGGTGCGGACAAGACCGACATCGAGGAAGGCCTTGAAGGGGCGGCGCTCGCCATCCTCGGTCTCGATGGCCTCGGTGAGAGTGTGCTCACCGTCAGCCTCCTCGACACCCTTGAACTGCTCGTCAAGGTTGAGCTTCTTGAGGACACGGCGGGCAAGGAGCAGACCGGTAGCGTAAGCGGCAGCCCAGTTGGTAAGACCCTGGTCGATACCGTAGCGGGGGGAGCTCGTGGGCGTAGGCAGCGGCGAGGACCTTGTCACCGGTGACCTCAGAGTAGACAATCTGGGTGACGATGTCGCGGTTGGTGAAGCGAACGACCATGCGGTACTTGGGCGCATTGTACTTGTTCTTGGCCTGGGTGATCAGGCGCTTGCGAGCATAGTAGTCGGTCTTACCCTCGCGGCGGCGACGGTACTTAGTCTGGAAGCGACTATAATTGGAAAAGTCAGCAAACGTAGGTCCCAAAAGATTTTCAAGGAATTAGAATATTTTTAACTCACCTGAAGTAGGCGTTGTTCTTGACGGTCTTGGTGAAAGGCTGTAAAGCAAGATCGCGAGTCAGCAATTAACGCTTCAGAAATTACGCCGAAGCAACTTGCAGGGACCCGGCTCCGATATGGATCGGAGAGAGAATAAAATGCAAAGGGAATACATAATGACTTTTTTTTAGCCATCAGCGATACTCACCATTTTGACGGGGTGTCGAGGGGCGCTGGGGATGGACGAAGAAGAGGAAGTGAGAAATTTCGTGGGTCGACTTTGTGCGGGATTTCGCTTAGCGTGGCTGCATCCCCCTCCAGAAAGTGAGGTCGGCGACGAGTGGGAACATCAATTTTCTTGACTATGGGGGGAAAAAAAGAGAAAAAGAACAATAAATTCGGAAAAATTGAGAAAAATTAAGAAAGTCTTCTGAATTCTTATTCTCCATCCTTTCTACATATAATACTGATATTCATCTCGAAATAACCAACTTTCTATGTACAACATACAACGCCTCACAATCGTGCCTTGTCCTCGTCCAGCAACTGAAGGCCTGTGATCTTCTCCAGCTCTTTAACCGCATCTTGGGTCTTTCCAAGTGTGACTTTGACCGTGCGCATGCCAGCTTTCTTCGCCCCCTTCAAGTTCTCGCCAATGTCATCGAAGAAAACAACGTCGTCGGGATTAGATCCGGCCAATCCTCGTCTCTTAGCTAAAGTGTCCATCTCCTGTAACGCCACCTGGTAGATTTTCGGGTCGGGCTTTCGAAGGCCTGTGTGCGCAGACGAGATAAAGAAATCAAATTGGTTCTTAACGTCAGATGCATTATTGTATTCATGTCCGTCGGGGAATATAACGGTGTTGGATAGAGCGCCCATCAGGAACTGTCCCGATTCTCTCAGTTTCTTCAGAGCTGGGTACATATATCTGTCTGGTGTGCGAGATATCCGCATCATCTCCCAGAATAGCCATTCTGCATCCACCGTCGGTAGTGGAGGGATGGTAGAACCACCTGTGCCTTGTTTCTTTTGAAGTTGTTGGTGGAATTGTTTCCATAGCTCGGGGTTTCTTAGGTCCGCGTTGAACCCCGCAAAGAAGTCGGCGTCCAGCTTGATGTCGCCTCGCTCGAGCTTGTGCCAGCTACCGTTCGGCGATGTTCGCGAGATACTGAAATTGACCCATCCTGGTGGGATGTTGTGGGCAATTTCATAGTCAAGAATAGCCTGGAACGGAGATACAACCTAGAGAATTGTCAGAAATATATGTCTTCAATGGTCCGGGTCAAGTGGTCGACTTACACACACTCCTCCAATGTCAAACAGTAGGCCCACTGGCCGCTTGATCTCTGCCATCTTGGGGCGATAATGAGGCTGCTGGCGATAATAGGGCTCACTATAAGATATACTGTATGTAAGGTCTGACTCGTAAGCCAAAGGAGTTGCGATGACCTTGGAATCGCGACGAATTGAATTACTTGGAAGGCGATCTGGGCCTACAACATAAAAGACGGTCAGATTGCCGAGGTACATACATCTCTAGACCGAGGATATACTCCACACCAAAAGACTTCATTAAATAATTATCATTTTAGAGCCATATTTAAATGATTATACTATTGTTTAACCTGTATTCTTTAAATCATTTCCCTCATTTTTCATGGTGGTTTATTACTCAAATCGGTATTGGCCATCCCGCGAAATCACATTCGTGGAGAGGCACGTGATGTCTTATCGATAAGGATGCGCTCAGAGAAGATCGCGGGACTTTTGGAGATTCAACAATGGTTCTTCTCTAACACCATTTGAATTGTGTTCGAGATGGATTCAACTCGAACTATATCTGAATTGAAATCTGCATTTATCTGGAGTCAAGTCCGCATCTTCTCCGAGAACCTTGATTTACCCGAAGACTGGCGAAACTATGCTCCTGAAACCACGGAAGGTGATCTGAGTGACAAGGTGATTGAAGAGGTTCTACACAAAGGTCAGAGCACGAATTGCAATTAAACAGCATAGTTATCTACGCATTTGTGCCCATATATACGAGATGAATATGATACTCATAGTCCTATAGTAAATGCAGCTGCTAAGCAGCACAATCGCGTTGTTTATTCCTCCCAAGCGATACACCATGTCGCCCCAACAGATTGCGAACCTGTACTGGTCGTCGGTCAGTCAAGAGGCACGTCGTGGAGATGCTTTTTCTCGAGGTATCGAAAAAACAACGGATTTGTCAAGGGAGATGTAAGATTTCATCAGCTCTATAGTAGAAGTTATGACAACACTGACTATATGGTTTAGGAACATCGCAAAGATGCCTGTTGACTTGGAAAACCAGGAAGCAAGCGAAGAGGAGCATGCAAGGTCAGTTTACAGACACATCCGGATTTTTTCCGATTGAGGTTCCACCTGCCTTACACCAGTCGCACAGATACCGGGAGCTCCGTGAGCGGCTCCTGAGCCTCGACAGTCAACGGCAGCAACGGCAACGGCGCCTTGATCAGTTGCAGCATCTTCGACGATTACTCGAGCCATTTGAAGATCCCCAAAAGGATATTCAGCCTAATCTTATTACGAATGATGGAGAACTTGTTAAGGAATTGGAGAAAATGCGCATGCTCGTAGCCAGAGTTGGGGATCGGATTGCACAGCAGAAAAAAAGCAGCGGTGTCCCTGAAACTTATAATTACTCACTTCCAGGCTCTGATCAGAGATTGGAAGCCCTGTTGGATATGCCTTGACGAAACCAAAATACCCCATGCCCCCCCATGTGCATACAATGAAGTTACTTGCGATACGACATAAATACACACTTTCGATGCCTCTAATTTATCTTATAGATGGTAGTTTCCTTGATTTTATACTTGGATTTCGAGCACGTTGCCCCGGCTACAATGTTCCAATGTCTATGTACCTTCCATCAAGGGTAAGACATAGTATAGCCTCATAGATGTCAACAAAGGGCCATAAGAAAGGCAAGTACGTGTCAATTATGACTTGCAGACCTTCAATTATAGACTTCATAGAGCACGTGCCATTGCACCGAAGATTGAAGATTTCATACTGGGCGAGGGCCAACTTTCTCTCCAAATCTCGACCGTCATTGATCCATTACACTTACACACTCGTCCTCCGCCGGTCGGAAAAAAATAGCCTTCGCCCCACCGGTATGTTGGAAAACCGACTCCCCTAGATGACCGTTTTCTGTCGATCTTCCTTGCAGCTACATAGTCGTTATTTTCTATCTGAATGAGTGCCCTCAAGAAGATGAGGGAGCTTGTTGGAATGGGGCCGTCACGTGAATCCCCCCAATCACGTGTTGACCCAACACTAGCCCCACCTGCTAGCGTGAGCTCCCAGCACAACACGATTGTCAACTGCCTAGTAGAGACCTGTGATTCTGATCAGAGCTCCTTGGACGAGATTGCCATTGTTTCAGACTCGAGTGACAGTGACGATACTGTCCCTGGTTTGAGTGCACCCGCCACCATCGAGGGCGACACTTCCCCCTCCCCTTCCAAGGCTTTCACGCGTGGGCATCGCCGTCGCTCCACGCACGTTACTCGCCGTGACCTTGAGAAGTTTCAATCGGAGGTCCTAGGCGTTCAAAACCACGCCTCTTGGTTCGACGAAGATAACGGCACAAGCACTCCGCGATCCTTCACCCCTGACGACCCTCAACTAGAGGAACTGAACCGCGCTTTTGCCGACGCCGACGTGTCTATGAACAACTCTAGTATGACTACCAACGGTACCGGATCCGGCAATTTCTCGGGTTATGCCGAAAACAGTACTAGCGCAATGAACATGCCCAACATACCTCCCCGCCAGACTCCATCCCCTTCTCCCTCTCACACTTCGGTCACCACCCAGATCAATGGCGGCGGAATGGGCGCCATGGGTGCGGCAATTCCGATGAACGCTGGCCACCAGATGGATTTGCACCACCTCTACGAGATGGTTGTGGAATTGAGCGATGTGTTGAAGAACAACCGGGATGTGACCAAAAACATCGTCGCGAATGCAGAGGAGATTGTGGTATGTGGGAACGAAGAACATTCATTGATATTGGATATTCAGCTAACACACATGTAGAAGAACGGCATTGTCGATAGCTCTAGTGCGAATGGCCAGCATGGCGACAATCTCAGTATGTTGACCCGGGGAATATTGCTTCACATCGTTTACTAACGTCTAGAACAGCCGCCCGGATTGCCGAACTCGAGCGTGCCCTGGCCAAGAAAAGCTTGTGAGTGCTGATCACAAGCACCATCGTGAGGAAAACATGAAGATGGTCCGGGAGTTTGAGAGCGCCGTGGGTATCATGGTCGAGCAAATCCGCAACTACTGCCAGAACAACAACATGCACTACCTTGCCCAGAAGAAGCATTATAATAATCTCCTCCAAGCTGAGCGCGACGCCCATCTGGAAAGCAGACTCGACCGGGACTACTGGCATGCCCAAACCATGAAATGTGCCGAAATGATCCGCACCGCCTACCGTCTCAAATGCGAAGAAGATGATGTCCCTACCCGTGTCATCACTGGTCTGCAGAATGAAGTTCGTGCCTATCGCTTTGCGCTTGGTATGGAACCCGAGAAACCTGAAGAGGAGTATGGCTGGGAATACCTCAAGAATATTCCCGGTCTGGAGTAAATAGGCGCTTGGGTGCGGAAGGACTGCGGAATGTCCCCCGATTCCCGAGGTCCGCTTGACGCCGTGATGACTATTTCTTTTTCATCGCATACCCCTCGGAGGCGTTCGTGATTTGTTTTTCTTTTCCTTTTTTTGTGTCTGCTCGGCCCTTCTCTCTCTCTTTTTTTTCCCACAGGACATGGTGTGGCGTCTTTAGGTGTTTTCATAGCGGATACCCGTAGTTATTGAGCGTTATGGTGTTCGGCACCAGTATCCTCCATTTTTTTTTAGGTCGAAACTAAAGTCCTCTTGAACATTCCCGCTCCCCCACCTCATCCACTGAAAACTCCACGATGTACAAGTGTATGTAGCCATGTATGTGTGTGTTCCGCCACCGGAGAACCGAACATTCTCCGGGACCCAATTCCCCTATTAACTTCCCCAATGAAAATACACTTCTCAACAGTTATTAGCCGTAAATTAGGTTACATACTCACGTGCCCCGATTATGTCACCCCAGTATGCTTAATTGAGGTGCATCCGGAAAGTCTCTCAATGTCACTTTTCCTATCCCCTTTTAGTAACCTCTTGCATGATTTCGCTATGCATTTCTTGCTAAAAGAAGCAATGACGTTGTGTCATTTACTGTAGTGTACTTTTAACGCATCTGGAGAGCTCTCGGTCGCAGATCATACGGCATATTCCACCATTTCCCAGCATTTCCACCTTATTCGTTGGCATCGGGCCTCTAGTGTTGAAAAGTTGTCCACCTGATTCTCCTTTGGAAACGTTTTGCGATCATCAGTGGAAAGTGGGGGACCAGCCAATTATGCGTCGTTCGATCTAGTTCTATCCAGTCTTTGCGCTCTTGATACGACGCCACACCGCTGATAAACCTTCGACGACTATCTGGGCACTGCGAAGTTACTTCATTTTGTTTCTGACTTCCGAGGGATTTTCAAAATGGAAGGAGTTCAGTCTGTGGACGTGAGCTGGCTTCATCATTCACAAAAAGGCGAGTCCCACTTTTTATGCTAGCACCTCTCCCCAGGTTATGGCAGGGTTGTTGGAGATCCGAAATCGGGACAGCTTCTGACACTCCCGAGTCTCTCCAGATCATTTGTCTCGCACCAAGTCAGTATCTGCGAGCGATAAGCCTGGCACTGAGGCCGAGCCAACGACTTCTCAATCTAAGTCGCACCGGAGATCTCGTTCCAACAGTAACCCGACACGCCCAACACCGGCCCCCTCCACATCAGAACCAAAGCAAGCTCCCCGGAACGATACAGCGCCAGTACAGGCGAAACCACCACCAGTTGAGAAGAATGAGGAGTCAAAGCCATCTACGCCATCACCAGTATCGCGGAAGACGGACCCCAAACCCATCGGACGACGAAACTCATGGATTACTAGTCTAAGCTCAAAGTTTTCGTCTGGATCTACCCCACCATCACAACCTAGTCTGAAGGCCAGTCCCGCGAGCCCGAAAACAACTTCACCCCTCGACACGCATAATCCATTTGGCGCCGCCTACTCCCCGAGGGACAAGGAGGAAGAGAGGAAAGATGACTCAAATCCCTTTACTGCGTCATCACCTAAGGGGCCCTCGTTTATCCACAATGCACTGCGCAAGTTCTCGTCCAACTCCGGTGGGTTGCCCAAGTTGAACCCCAATGACTCGATCTGTCCACGTCGCGTGATGAACATCGACCAACATCGCCACCGATGCAAGATTGCGGACTTGAACCAGGCCAAACTCAACCGAGTAGCGTTCTGTGTGGATGTTGAAATCGCGGGTATATCCCACCGGGATGACGACGAGGAGGCTCCCCCGACCAATCAATTACGGCAGCCTTTACCTGAGTCTAATAGCCACAAGTCTAAGAAGGCCGATCTCAAATTGAAGGAACAAGATGAAGCTGGAGCTTTGAAGCACCCCCAGGCTACATTGGCTGAGAAGGACAGCGCATCTCCGGCTCCTGCTCCGGCCACCGGTGATGCGAAGGACCAGTCTAGCTCTCCGACAAATACCACCAGCAAGCCATCTACTGAATCCACACCCGGCGGGGAAGGGACTGATCCAACAAGGAAACAAGAGAAGAAAAAAAGGTCTGAGGCAGAGCGGAAAGAACGGAAGGAGAGAAAGCGAAGACAGGCAGTCGCAAATGGTTCTGTTCCATTGCAACTCGATGCAGAGAATGACGAAGAGTATCCCCGAGGCCCAGCACCAGGTATCTCTCGGACCAAAACGCAAAGTCACCCGACGACCGATCCTGTCCGTATCTATCGCCGCTGTTGCCAGCTACGTGAGACGCCTGTTCTAAAAAGAGTGGTCGATGAGATCTCCAAGCCTTCATCAACACTGGCCGAGTCACCTGGCACGGTAGCAGCTTTGGATCTGAGCAATTTCCCAATGACCTCACAGGATTTGGCAACGTTCAGCGACTGGCTCGCGGTCGTTCCTGTCCGTAAACTCATTCTTGAAAATTGTGCATTGACAGATACTTCTGTGCGATCCATCCTTTCAGCCCTACTCGCCACCAAGACGATAGAGCAGATGCGCTATCGACGGAGACGATCGCGAAGGCCAGATTCTCCAGACTCATACGATCATGAACGATACGGTGTTGTGGAAAAGCTTTCTCTGAAGGACAATCCGAAGATCGGACGGGAAGGATGGCGCCACATCAGCCTTTTTATTCACCTGGCGAAATCCTTGAAAGCTATCGATTTGTCGGGCATTCCTTTCCCCCAAGGCCAGGTTGCGATCGATGGTTCTGGGACAACAGGCCAACCCCAGTCGCCTATGGCCGACGTGAGCATTGTTTTCGCGAGTGCACTAGCAGAGCGCTTTGCTGGAGATCATCTTGAAGAACTGCTTATGAGCGAGTGTTATCCTTCGGTCAACGCTGTAAAGCAGATCTGCCAGGCGACCACCAAAATGGGTCTGCGAAGACTCGGCTTTGCGAATAATGGTCTGACGAGAGACGGTCTGGAGCATGTGGCTGAGTACCTCAATGCCGGGCAGTGCGAAGGGCTGGATCTAGGTGGCAACGCTATAAAGGATGATCTCGATCTCATCACGGACGCGATTGAACCTGAAACACCGCTTTACGCGCTGAGTCTGGCGGATTGTTCCCTCAACCCGTCAGTAATTTGCCCATTGCTCCAATCGCTTGCGCAGATTCATAACCTCCGGTTCATCGATTTCTCTCACAATCGTGAATTATTCTCGTCGCGGCCCAACGCGTTGGGGGCTTTCCGTCGCTTCCTGCCGAAAATGCCGTCTTTGAAGCGCTTTCATCTCGCTGATGTCAACTTGTCACCGGATCATGTCATTGGCCTTGCTGAGGTATTACCGGAGTGCCCCAGTCTGTGTCATCTGAACATTCTGGAGAATCAGCAAATTATGGATTTGGCGTCTACCACAGACTCGGTTGCTCAGGAAGAAGCATGTGCTGTGTATGCGTCTATGATGGCAGCTGTCCGTGTTTCACGGACAATCATTGCAGTGGATATCGATGTTCCCAGCGCCGAAAACAACGAAGTTGTCAAAGCTCTAGGGTCGCAGATTGTGGCCTACTCGCTGCGGAACCTTGAAGGCGGCGCCATTGCAGAAGAGCTTTCTGACTCTACTTCTCCACTTGTGGATATCCCTGTACCAGACATCCTACAGCATATTGTCGGACACTCTGGTATTTCTGAGGAGCTTCATGATGATGAAGATGAGGCAGCTCCCGATGAGGATTATGTTATTGGTGGCACAGGTGTTGTCAAAGCATTGGGTGTTTGTCTCGGGAATTTGGACCAGCACGGTCTCGATGTTCTTGGGGAGCAATCTTTACCAGCAAGTGGTACCACAACACCCCGACGCCGCAAGTCTCGAGGTGTTCCTACCAAGCGGCCTCGCGACATGTCGAAGAATCTGCTGGAATCTGCCCGCAATATCAGAGTCCGGATCCAGTCGGCTCTTATTCGCGAAGATCGTGCTGGTAATGACGCGAATTATCGCCGCCTGCAATTTTTGGACGTGACCTTGCATAGGATGATCCAACGCTTCGAGGATGAATACCCAGAAACTCGTATTGTTCCTCAACTCCCGCCCGCTGCCCTGTCCCCGACACTATCTCCCAACACTCTGGTGATGATGATGGAAGCGGGTCTATCGCTGCTGGCGGTAATCTAAACAGCAGTCAGCTTGATGAGACTGGCGGTGATGAGGAAGACACCGACCAATATGCCGTTCGCCTTTCTCGCACTAGCTCCATGACTTCCCTCCACTCTCGGGCCATGACCTCCCAAGAAGGACACATCCACCGCATTGGCCAGAACCTCCGCCGCGATTTCCTCAAGCCGTCTCTAGTTCCTGGCGACCGTGACGAAGATTTCGACCACGAGGACAATAATTCGCATATTGCCGCTCTCCGGCAAAAGCTTGACCTTCTTCACGATGAGCAGTCTCTGTCTCAATTCGATGACTTTGACGCCGACATGGCCTTTAACCATCTCGGGACCACCGTCGATGAGCTCTATGCTGCTCAGCAGCAAGACGCTGAAGGATTCGAGCGCTTCAAGCAGTCTCAGATTGCCGCCCAGATCAACAGCGGTCTTCGTCCCAGGGATAAGGTAGAACCCAGGACCGGCTGCGACGAATCCGAGAGCAAGACCTCATCTTAAGTTTTCTTATTTTCATTTATTATCATATTGAGTCATGATCTTGGTCCCTTATGTATTCTTTTGCGAGCTTGCTTCTTATTATACCTGTACATACTCCATGTGCGCATGTCTCTCTAGGGGTATTATCTACATACTCAGCCCGGTTTTTTGTATATACGTGGCGGGCACGAGAAGGGCGGAATCCTGTTACCATTAGCATCGTTGCCACTACCTTGTTTCTGCATGACTATGTATCTACATGTGGTTATTTCAGGGCTGTATCAATCTCTATAATTAAATTCCCCCGTCTCTATATATGTTTTTTCCTTGTTAAATTGGTTATTGCGAGTACATCTAAATAATATGGTGTTGCTGCCTTAGGCCAGTAAGGTTACTTGAAAGTGGGTTCCTCGGCTGGACATCCCCAGTTTCCTGGGGTATCACATGTCACTCCGTCATGGCAATGGCCTTCTCCTCAACTCTCTCCACTCCTTCAACTCCCTCAACTCACTCAACAGCGGACATGTTTGCGGCCGAATCTGGCTGATTAGCATCTAACAGCTCCGCCATGGCCGCTCAGTCCAAACTACTACCGCCCGAACGCTCCATAAAGCAGATCCTCTCCAGCCTAACATCCCTCTACCTACGAAACCGCACCCGCATCTCACGCGCCGTATATCTCGCCCTCTTTGCTGCGCTCGCCAAACGAATCCACAATGCCATCTCCGAACAGAAAGCCGCGTCGCAACAAGTAGAGCTGCGCCGACGGCCTGGCACCAGCAGTCTAGGCGATGAGGAACAACCCCGTAAGAAGCGCGTGGAGATCAACCGAGAATTCTTCAGGAACCTGCTTCGTTTACTGAAGATTGTCATACCCGGATGGCGAAGCAAGGAGCTAAGGCTGCTGGTGAGCCACAGCGTCTTCCTGGTGCTGCGGACCGTACTTAGTTTATACGTCGCCGAGCTGGACGGAAGACTTGTGAGCAACTTAGTCCGCGGTAAAGGGAAGGATTTCTTGCTCGGTCTTGTCTGGTGGATGATCGTGGCTGTCCCCGCTACTTTCACGAATTCTATGGTAAGTCCCCGGTGATGGGACCGAGGTTTTCGGTCTCCGGTGCTGGCATGCGACCGTTCAATACATTTGCTGACTCGATGATTTACTGCGTTAGCTCTCATACCATCAATGCAAGCTTGCTCTCAGCTACCGCAAGCGTCTTACGGACTATATCCACGACAAGTACCTGTCTAACATGACTTTCTATGCCATCTCCGCCTTGGACGATCGAATAAAGAATCCCGACCAGCTCGTCACAGTCGATGTCTCTCGCTTCTCGGACAGTCTGGCAGAACTGTATTCCAATCTAGCTAAGCCCATCCTCGATATGGCTATTTATAACTACTCGCTCTCCAAGAACGTGGGAGGTGAAGGGTTATTCATCATGAGTCTGCTAGTGCAGTTGTCCGCCAACGTCATGCGTATGCTGACTCCGCCATTTGGCAAATATGTTGCCGATGAGGCCCGGCTGGAGGGCGAGTTCCGTTTCCTCCATTCACGGCTTATTGATTACAGCGAAGAAGTCGCGCTTTACCATGGCCATGAGGCCGAGAAGGACACCCTGGACAAGGGTTATTTCACCTTGATCAAGCACGTGAACCGCATTCTGCGACGGCGTCTTTACCATGGATTTATGGAGGACTTTGTGATCAAGTATTTCTGGGGAGCTTTGGGCTTAGTACTCTGTAGTGTTCCTGTCTTCTTCAAGATTCCCGGCCAGGCTACTCACAGCATGGGAGATCGCACTGAAAGTAAGTTTTTGTCCTTCGATGTCGAAGTTTATATTCTGATTACTCTCAGGCTTCGTCACAAATCGTCGAATGTTGCTTTCCTCCTCGGATGCTTTTGGCCGATTGATGTTCTCCTACAAAGAGATCTCGGAGCTGGCTGGCTACACTTCGCGTGTCTCCTCATTACTGGAGGTGATGGACGACCTCCTCGCTGGGAGGTTCGAGAAGAAGTTGGTGTCTTCCGCTTCTACAGAGGAAAATGCGGAGGTGCTGTCTGGTCGGGTACAGTCATAGAAAGTGACTCAATTGAGTTTACCGACGTACCGATCGTATCCCCAAACGGTGACGTATTGATCCGTAAGCTTTCTTTCACCGTTAACCCCGGTGATCATCTTCTGATCGTCGGACCCAACGGGTGCGGCAAGTCATCTCTCTTCCGGATCCTGGGCGGGCTCTGGCCGGTATACGGAGGCACGGTGAAGAAACCCCCTTTCCAGGATATTTTCTACATTCCCCAGCGACCATATCTGTCCCGCGGGACCCTACGACAGCAAGTGATCTACCCAGATGGAGTGCGCGAGATGCGCGCCAAGGGTGTCACTGACGCCGATCTCTACGAGGTCCTATCAGTGGTTGAGATCGCGTCCGTCGTAGACCGTCCTGGAGGCTGGGATGCAGAGGAAGAATGGCGCGATGTTCTATCCGGTGGTTTGCAGCAGCGCATTGCTATGGCTCGGTTATTCTACCACCGACCCAAGTTTGCCATTTTGGACGAGTGCACATCGTCGGTGACGCTGGAGATTGAGAAGGTCATGTATGAGACGGCCAAGAAGCTTGGCACCACACTCATGACTGTCTCGCACCGACGGAGTCTCTGGAAGTATCACCAGAAAATATTACAGTTTGACGGACAGGGCGGCTACATCTTCACCGGTCTAGACTGGGAGCGACGCTTGAAACTCGAAGAGTAAGTTTCCCCAGTTCCCGATTTCCCCGACCTTTCCGATTATCCGAATTTTCCATGCGGAACGCCTATTAACTATCTCGCAGTGAGAAGGAAGAGTTGGACTTGCAGTTACGGGCTGTTCCGGAATTGCAACGCCGAGTTGCCGAGTTAACGGCTTAGTTTCCTCAATACCATTTCATATACCATTTCATATACCATTTGACTGTTAGCGTTGAAATGTATGATGCCTCGTGAAGTCCAAGATCCACTTTCAATGATATTGGCCAATCCGATCAAAGACTTGGCCTCAGCATTCCATGGTTCCACCATTCGGCTTTTTTATATGTGGACCCTTAATGACAGCCAATCAGCGTCTGTTATATCACCATTCGAATTCTCACGATGTTCAAATGAGCCCCCTCAACGCGGCCCACACTGATGTCGTTAGATGTCCCTACGTCATATTCCTCATCTATCTTGTTTGCCACGATGCCTCGGAAGTTCGTGAATACTTAGGATCGTGACTTTGCTCTTTTGCTTCATTTTCTTTTTTAACTTGTACTCTGTATTACACTCTCTCAATATATCCGCCGTATAACACAAACCCTAAGGTCTATACCAAAATGGCTATATCGCAGACACCCCCGAACAGTCAAAAGAGAAAGATTATCATCTTCTCTGGTATGAAGCCTCCATTCGTATATGTCCCAATTCCCAGTCTAATCCCTCCAACCCCAACCACCAAGCCCTAAACTCACATAACATAACCAAAGAACACACCCAAACTAACAAACCCCAGACTTCGACGGCACAATCTTCCTACAGGATACCGGCCACATCCTAGTAGACCATCTCGGCTGCGGCGCCGCCTACCGCAACAAACTCGAAGAACAATTCAAATCCGGCGAGCGAACCTTCCGCGACATCTCAGACGACATGTGGGGATCCCTCAGCATCCCCTTCGGCGACGGCTTCGACATAATGGAAAAGAACCTCAAAATGGACCCCGGCTTCCGCGAATTCCACCAGTACTGCGTTCGGGAAGGCTTCCCCTTCAACGTGATCAGCGCAGGCCTAAAGCCCGTTCTCCAGCGCACGCTGGATATGTTCCTAGGCGAGAAAGAGGGTATGTTCCCCTTATTCGAAAAGATCTCCACCCAAACCAGCAAACCACGAATGAACCAATGCTACATCCACATCCATATCCCATTACCATCACAATATACTAATACCATTGCAGGCCTCCTCAATCGAAATCGTCGCAAACGACCTCAAAGCACCCGGCGGCATCCCCTGGAAACCCGTCTGGCGCGACAACACGGCCTCAGGCCACGACAAGGCCGCGAGCGTGAACCTAGCGCGCGTAAAAGCACAGGAAGAATGCGAGCCGGATGAGATCCCGTTGATTGTATTTATCGGCGACGGCGTCTCCGATCTCGCCGCCGCCCGTGAGGCAGATGTCCTCTTTGCTCGCCGTGGTCTCCGTCTTGAGGAGTACTGTATCGAACACGGGATCCCGTATATCCCGTTCGACAGCTTTGCTGATGTTAAGAGGGAGGTTGAGGCGATTAGTCTTGAGGACCAGAAGAAGACTGGTGGGGTTGGGAAGCCGGTGCGGTATAACCCGCGTGCGAATATGTGGAGGCGGATTTCTAGTAAGGAGGCTGTATGTGTTGACATCTTTATTTATTTATTTCTTTTTCTTTTAAAAAATGGAAGGCCGTCTCGCGGGGCCTTTCGCTAACGGTCATTGCAGGTTCCGACGCTTATGGCTACGGCTACGCCTACGCGCGATGAGAAGATGGCGCTTTGGCCGGATTATTTCTCCGAGCCTAAACAACATACTGAGCCGACGATTCAGGAGTGAGATTGCTTTCGGATTTTGACGGATTTATGGCTTGACGTTGTCATGTTTGGATATCATTTTGGTTTCGCGTTGCTTTGGCATGGAGTGGGTGTTCCAAGGTTGGTTCGATATTTTCAGTCATTACTGCCTCGAGGGTCTTCTCTTTTGGGTTTGTACACTGCTGTATATCGAGATTGGGTTGTATATATACCTAGTTCTGTCTAGACCAATTGCATATAAATTCTTATCGAATGGACTGAATACCAGATGTGGATGACTTACTCAATTAAACTTATAAAGAAATTGATATACTATTAGTGCTAAGGATATTGAACAAACCAATGCGTGGAAGCTCGCAGAACCAATGAAAAGTGCATGTGGATAACCAAACCAAATGAAGAGTGTCTTAGCACTGATGTCAAACCGCAGTCTGTTTAGTCCGTAACATCCAGAGGCTCGACATTCCAGATACTATCAGCGTACTCATTAGTAACACGATCCATAGAGAAGAATCCCATGCGCGCGACAGAGGTAATCGACTTGGCCAGCCACTCCTCCTGATTCTGGAAGGCCTCGTCGACCATCTCGTGCGTGGTGATGTAGGAGTTGAAATCGTCCGAGACGAGGTAGTAGTCACCGTGCTCTTCGATGGAGCTTGTGAGCGCAGAGAAGTCGGTCTTGTCGCCGAACATGTTGTCTTTGATTGCGTCGAAGACACGCTCCAGCTGTGGGTCCAGCTTGAAGCCCCCGTAGAAGTGTCGGTGGCGCAGGTCCTCGACGTCTTCGGCGAGATTGCCGAAGAGGAAGATGTTCTGCTCGCCGATTTCGCGGGTGATTTCGATCTGTCAGTTGTGTTAGTATTACTGGGATGGAAGCAGGTCATACAGGTGAAAAATGACTTACGTTGGCTCCATCGCAGGTGCCGATGATCAGACCGCCGTTCAGGACGAACTTCATGTTACTCGTGCCACTGCCTTCGGTGCCGGCAGTTGAGATGTGCTCGCTGATATCCGAAGCAGGACAGATAATCTCCGCCTTGCTGACGTTGTAATCCGCGATGAAGATAACCTTCAAAAGGTCGCCAACCTCCGGGTCCTTGTTCACTACATCGGCCACATTGTTGATGAGATGGATGATGGTCTTCGCCATCCAGTAACCAGGGGCTGCCTTGCCTCCGAAAATGGAAACCCGAGGCACCACCTTTTCTTCTCTTCGGCTGACATGGCTTTGATGCTCAAGTAGCGGTGGATGACTCCAAAGATGTTCAGCTGCTGGCGCTTGTACTCATGGATACGCTTTACCTGCACATCAAAGAGGGCATTGGGATTAACATCGTATCCTGTGGTGGCCTTGATGTGTCTGGCTAGGCGGAGTTTGTTCTCCCGCTTGATGACCGCCCACTCCTCGCGGAAGGCTTTGTCGTCGACAAAGACTTCTATCTTGTCAAGAAGCGTGAGGTCCTTCAAGAAGTCATAACCTCCAAGCTTCTCTGCAATCAATGCAGACAACCTGGGGTTGGCCTGGTGGAGCCAGCGTCTCGGGGTGATACCATTGGTAACATTGGTGAAACGGTCCGGTCCGTAAATCTTCACAAAGTCTTTGAAGAGAGTGCTCTTGAGCAGGTCTGAATGCAGCTCGGCCACACCGTTGACTTTGTGAGAACCAATGATGGCCAGATAGGCCATGCGCACCATCTTTGGATGCGACTCTTCAATGATAGAGACACGCGACAGGATATCCCGATCATTGGGGAATCGCTTTTCAACAGATTGCAGGAAGAACAGATTCACCTCGTAGATAATTTGCAAGTGTCGCGGAAGCAGGTTCTGCATTAGTGGGACAGACCATTTCTCCAGCGCTTCGGGAAGGACAGTGTGATTAGTATATCCAAATGTCTTTGTCACGATACTCCACGCCTCATCCCATTCCAAACCCTCTATATCAATCAAAATGCGCTGCAACTCAACGATTGCAAGGGTTGGGTGGGTGTCGTTAAGCTGGATGGCGATTTGATCAGGGAACTCGGCCCAGGCCCGTTTTGTCTTCTTGAACCGCCGAACGATGTCAAACAGCGAGGCAGCACACCAGAAGTACTGCTGCTTTAGACGCAGTTCTTTACCTTGCTCGAGGTTATCATTGGGATATAGAACAGCGGAGATTGTTTCCGCCCTCTGCTGGTCCGCCACTGCGCTTTCATAGTCTCCAGCATTGAACTTCTGGAAGTCGAACTCCCCGCTACTGGCCTTGCTAGACCATAGACGAAGGTTGTTGGTGGTCTTCGTGCCGTACCCCGGAATGGGGACATCGTACGCGATGGCTTGAACAATCTCACCATCCTCCCACGAGTTCAAGATCCTGCCATTCTCGTCCTGGTATTTTTTGACGTTACCGTAGAACTGGATGTCGACTGTGATTTCGTGTCGCGGGAATTCCCAAGGGTTGTTATCCAGCCAGTAGTCTGGAATCTCCACCTGGTAGCCGTTGATAATCTCCTGCTTGAAGATACCATAGCGGTATCGCAGGCCGTACCCCCAGGCTGGGTAGTTCAGCGTGGCCATACTGTCCATAAAGCACGCCGCTAGACGTCCCAGACCGCCGTTGCCCAACGCTGCATCGTGCTCCTGGTTGATGACGTCCTCGATGCGGAACCCAAGATCGCTCAATCCATCTGATATCATCAGCGATAATCCAGATCACAGATCATCTTGGCGCTTACCTCGAGCAACATCCTTCAAGCCAACATTCAGCATGGCATTGTCCAAAGTACGTCCCATGAGGAACTCAAGCGACAAATCTACACCAGCGGTTAGCTATTGTCTTCTGCCACGGGGCTGGACACATACAGTAGACTCGCTTCTGATCGGTGAATGTCTGACGCTGCTGAGTCCTGTTCCACTCGATGATCAACCGGTCTCTAAAAGCAAGCGCGGTGCCCGAGTACGCGGCCCTATAGAAAGCCCCCGGTCAGCAGGAATCGCTGAGGTCGAATCAAGGCCACGAAGCACATACAACTCATCGCAATTATAAAGCGAGCGAGCGAGAGTGGTTTCGACATGGCGCACGAAATATTTCTGCGAGAGGCGTTAAACCCGAAGTATCAAATGCGAATACAGGTCGGACTCACCTCGAAATCTTCCTTACTGGTGAATTCAGTAGCCGACTAAATTGGCTCGAACCATTAGTACTCCAGTCTCGAATTCCGGGTTTTGTTTCAACATACGTGCTTTCTCCAGCTGCGAGAATTGTGGTCAGTCTAGACTATAAAGTACTAAGGCAGGTGCAGGTACTCACGCCTCTCGCAGTGGCTCAGGAATGCTAGCTTCAACATTCTTAATCTCGGCAGGTCCGAATCCGGTGAATGTGCGCTTGTGCTTGGGACGACTAAATCCCGGGCCGACTGGTCCCTGGAGATCGGCGATAGGAGCTCCTACGGAAGGTCTTCGCTCCCGACGAGGTTGGGTCTCGGTCGGTGCAACCGAATCTGGGTTGGTTGTTGGCATGGTGAGAAGAGAAGGAAATGAAATTTGGAGAGAAAGTCCAGTACAGAAGGGAAACAAGGACTGAAAGTATACTTAAAAAGAGAAAAGAGGGGAAGTTCATGTAGTCATGACTTTTGAAGTGACACCGGACATTCTTTTTTTAGTTTTTCTTTTTATTATAATTGTTATAATTATTATTATACTACCTAGCTACCTACATATGTAGGTAGTTAGTACTTTTTTTAGCCTGTTTTTGGAGTACTACTGCATATAGAAATACGTCATCTATTATATCCTTGATTCTACTAACAACATACATAGGATACATAGGATGGTCCAAGCTATGTACATATGTAGGTATGTACATGTGACTATTTAAGACACATCATGCCATTTCTATTTCTCTTGCATTAAAAGACCCCAGTACCTCCAAAGTCAATATAAATCCCAGGGCACTCGAAGCCCAGCTCTTCCGGCTTCAGTTGATTGGCCAGCTATCTCTCCCGAAACCATCCACTTAGGTACCAACTACTACAACTACTAACCATTCAGCCCATATGTACATCTGTAGCCATTTCTCATTACTGTTCGATAATTATAAGCCAACCTGCGAGCTCAATGCCTACAAACCTAGATACCCCGCGAACGCCAACGCACAGACGCATTGCATGAAACGCGTACCGTGCGCCGAGGCCCCAGTGCCTGCCTGCATTACACGACGATATAGGCTTGTGGGAGGTTCTAGCCCAGACCTTGGAGACTCTATTATCAGGAAGATCAGTAGTGGGGGTTGTTGCTGTGATGTGGGTGGCTGTGTGGTGAGACGGGGGTGTTTTAGTCTACACGGGGATTGGATTTGGTTCCAAAGAGGGGTGTTGTAAGGTTTATGGGAGATATATTGGTATATTCTCTCATTCCTCGTAGATATGTAGAGCTGTAGAGCTGTAGAGCTGTAGAGCTGCTTCTTCTACCCTTTTTACCTCTCCGAACTAAATATCGACCCATAGGAGCTACAGTCTGGCTATCCAAACATAAGAACTTACGTCTGCCATCTATGCTAAGCGAAATATTACAGAATAAACCTTGCTGAGATCTCCTTACTGCAATTCCTGCTCAGTTTCTGTCCGCGGCGCGTGTCTGGTTAACAAGACCGTGCTATGCAAACGTAGAGTAATTTTCAGACATTAATAACGACAGTGCCACTGAGATCGAAAATGGGTATTCATACAGTTGAGGCTGGAAAAGAACTTAAAGGAAGTAGAACGTAAGCTAGGTATGTTGCCCAGGCCCTGCGCAAGTTGAATACTATTCCATCTATCCACAAGGTATGCATACGCCCTTGGGAGTTTTGGTCTGGAAGAACCAGCAGAATTTGCAGGTATATCTAGGTACAAAGGTTTAGCCCAATATTTCGGAGGTCCCACTGCACCCCAAGGGACTTGTCATGTTCAATTGGATGTAAGAGTTTGATGAGATTCAGAGAGACATGAGAAAGTGCTTTTGCATCCGTTGGATCCTCAACTACCGCCCCGAACAGCGTAATGCAAGCGGATAGAAGGTAGCATAGAATAGTCTTGATTCACAAGATTAAACAAATTAAACAAGCAGAAAATGAAAGGCGTCCAAATAGCGGCCAGATCCCAACTTGGAAGGTTTCCGCCAGATCCGGTCCAACCAGAATAATCCTTGGCATCGTTTTGTTTCTAAATATCTATGAATTCTGATATCATAGTCTTGCAATATAAATAATGGGCTCGCAGTTGTAGATTAAATCGTCCTTCGCTTCATCAAGACTATCTCAGCATCTCAATCACAATGGCCATCATCGCAGTCGCCGGTGATACAGGCAAGCTCGGACGGGCAATCGTGGAGGCTCTGAAAACCACCAGCAACACCATCTATATTCTGGCTAGACAGGTGTGGTATTCGATTCGGAGGTTTTGGCCATTTCACTGAGTCATTGAACTTCTCTAGGAAAACAAGGTTCTCTCCGACGAACTCGGTATCACCATCATACCGGCTCAGTATTCAAACATAGAGTCCCTCACCAAGCTCCCAGAAGACAACAAGATAGACACTATTGTTTCTGCCATTATAGTCGTCGATTATGATGCTAGCAGCTCGCAGCTGAACCTTATCGCGGCAGCTGATCAATCCTCGAGCACAAAGCGTTTCATTCCCAGCGAGTACGGCATTGCTTACACTGAAGAGTAAGCACGGTCCCGAGGCTGGCATCAACAAGCTGATATCTGACCTTTTATATAGACATGCAACCTTGTTCCCTATCATGAAGGGCAAAGGTGACTAACGGCTTCTTCATGGACTACTACGGTCTACCGCGTGTAAAAAGCTACCTCCAACCCTTCGTTTTCGCTCTCGACATGGCACAGAACGGGGCTGCTATCCCAGGCTCGGGCAACACTCCCGTAGTGTTCACTCATACTTTCGATGCGGCGAGGTTCGTTACTACCCTGACCAGCCAAGCTAATTGGCCTAAGCAGAGCGTCATCATTGGAGACAAAAAGACATGGAACGAGGCTCTCGCCATTGCGGAAGAAATCAAAGGTTCGTCACTCCAATACAGGCGTGCTTGATGGCGTTCTCACCGTGAATTCAGGCACCAAATTCAACGTCGCGTACGATGACGTGGGAAAACTGAGCACTTTCCAAGTTACCGAGCTTCCATCGCATTCTGCTTTGTACCCATTCTTGCCCAAGGAGCAGCTCCAATATATCCTGGCTGTTTTTGGCCGCTGGATGGATGCGGGAGATTTCGATCTGCCCGAAATTGACACGCTTAATAGCCGGTTCCCGGAGATTCAACCACGCACCCTTCGCCAGGTTATGGAGGAGGGTTGGAAGGCCTGATCCTCGTTTTGCTTTGGATATTCTGGCAAGCTGAGAATTTCCCAAGCGGGGAGATTGCATCGATATGGTTGTGTGCGGCCAAAGTATCTTAATCTATGACATGTTGACATTGATATAATACGTTCCTTGTCCTACCGCTCACACCTGCCAGGCATCTGTGTTTATGTTCCTTGGGCAATTTACTTGGGCAAAAAGAAGGAATAAAAGCAGTCTCGAATGGAAGAATCGATATATCGAGGCTCAGCTATACATAAATAAGCCCGGGCCACGTCCCAATCCCAACTCCGTTCAACCCGACAAGGGCTCCGGAGAATCGCGACCTGACACAGGGCCCATGCTCAGCAATCCCGGTGTCGGTCTATGCAGAAAGATAGATAAGAGTCCTCGGGAGGTTGAAACAAGAACGCTGAACCACAACCTGGTAACAAAGAACAAAAGCAAAAGAAATCGAAAAGCATCAGACGTGGAAGCGCTTGGAATCGCGGGTTAGCAGTGAGTTGTAATGGGAGAAAAGAAGAAGAGAAGACACACAAGACAAACAGAGAGGAATTAGCGGGAGTAGATGTAGATATCAGAGTAGGACATGGCAATGTTGAAAATAGGAAAACCACCATGGGATGCATGAGGAACTGGAAACAGACCTCGGGGCAAGGCAAAGAAAAGATATAACATATAGTGAAGGCAACCAAGGGAAAGGCCCATTGGGCTGGAGCGTACCCATGAGGATTATCGAGGACATGAAAATTGGGAAGTCCCGGAAAGTATTCAATCCCACTACCGGGGTTGTTGCCCGGTGGTATTGTCGGGTCATACGCTCATTCCGGGACTTTATCAAGACAAGGCACATGAAACAGAAACAGTAGCATAGTTGACTGCCCGAACATGCTACTGACACCTTTATGGAACATATACCCATGTTTAATAGAGGAAAACCACATTAAGTACCAAATGGGATACACCCAGACCAGAGCCAGCGCCTGGAAAAATCAGCCGAGAAAGCCATAAAGGCGCCATCAACGCCTGCAGCTGGTCAAAAGCAAAAGAGAAAAGAAAAGACGAAAAGGGTATGGTACGAGTGGTCGTTGGAGAACTGTTCAGGCAGTCTCCTAAAGAGGGGAATCAAGGAACACCGAGAGCGACGTTGAGAAAAGAGACGGTGTTTGGTCGTGGGGTTAAATTGAGAGGGAAATTGCGTAAGCGCACTTGAGGACACGGTATGTCTGGGTCCTCGGGGTATATTCCAGCGGCTATAGAATACCCGAGTCTTTCAAGGCGTTCTGCAGGATAGTCTCTTTGACTGCTGCGAAGACCAACCGGATATTCGAGGTATCAGTCGCTTGGGTGAGACTAAAAGGGAAGGGGAAAAAGTCAAAAATCACGGTGCGTGGGAAGTGGCAATGTTAGGATCATGTAAACTCACTGTGGGTACAGGTTCAAGTGTGCTCGATTCACCTGGTTGAATCGCCAGAGCAGGTACTTGGCAGCACGGTGCACATCGTTGCCGCCAGAGTAATCGGGGAAGTAGTTGCTCAATGGTGATCGAGGCAGCTTCAAGCGGAACAAATCAACTTTGTTCAGGAAAAGGATGATACTTGTCCGCATGAACCACCGAGAGTTGACCACGGAGTCGAAGAGAACCAAACTTTCCATCATACGATTCTGCAAGGTTTGTCAGCTCCGGTATTAGGATACCCGTGTCTTGAGAGCTCATACCTGATTGCTTTCTTCCAGGAGTACTTGATCATATTCACTAAGCGCAACGCAAAAGATAATGGACGTCACGTTTTCGAAGCAATGGATCCACTTCTTCCGCTCACTGCGCTGGCCGCCCACATCAAACATGCTGTGGCTGGTTAGAGATATTCCAAATCGTGAGTGTCGAAGACTGTTTTGACGTACTGTATGCTCAATTGGCCCATTGTGAAGCGTGTCTCATAGATACCGGTGGTCTTCGTTCTCGCTCGGAGCACATCTGAAACATCCGGGACGTAATCGGGGGCCGTTATTCGTTTCGCTTCCTCGAAGAAACTGGTCGCGGGTTAAGACTTGGCCTTGGCCTTGGGTCAGGGGAAAGGATGGAACTTACTATGGTGCCGAGTCCATAAGATAAAACTCATTCTGATGTTCCAAAACTGTTGATGTACACGGATCATTCCAGAGATATGTAATGGCATCCCCGATTTTCGAATCGAGCGGAGTGGTGGGATCCGGATCCACGTTGTACTCTTCCAGAAATGAGATGTAGTCCTGTACCTTCTGGCTGGACGGTTCGAGTTGGAGGTAATGATATGCTCCGATGAGGGCCTTTGCGCAATCCAGAAGATTCTTGTAAACGGTCAATCGATACAGTTGAAGTTCTTCCATAGTGTAACCATTTTGGTGGATGATCTTCATCTGTTTTACGATCGTTGATTTGCCGCTTTCTCCAGATCCTACGTGAGTTTGAAGTCAGCCAACCATCGTTTCTCTTCTCCAAGCGAACAGCAGAATACATACCCAAAAGAAGGATCTTGCATTCTCTCCGTAGCCGCCTAGAATCCTCTTCTAGCTTGCGATCGATCTGTTGGCTTCGCTTCTTCTGTTCCGCGTCCCCTGTGGACTCAGAGCTGAAACACATCCCCATTGTGGAATCTTTAGTGACCCAGACCAGCAGGGATAAGATTCATCAACCACGCGCAGGAGCAAAATGTGCCGGTCAAGACGGCCGGAGCCTTCGCTTGCGAAGACTGCCAAGCGCCACGCACGGGGAAGGATCAGCGCAACCAGGGATCAAATGTAGAAATTGCGACGAGCGATATCGGAACCAATGTCAGTGGGATCAAGGTCGGAGAAGATGTCAAGGCGAAAGGTTGAGGTTGAAGGAGTTGCGACGAGGAAGGAGAGCGTTGAGTTCGGGTATAGCGGTTCGGACGGGGAGGGCGGGAGATGGGTAAACGCGGAGTATCAGGGGGTGAGTTCGGATGAGATATAGAGCTTCAAAGAGGAATAAAGAGAAAGTGTAAGAGTAGAGTGATAATCAAAGTGTCAAGAGGTTAAAGAATCAGTCAGTGCGACCATCGTCATGCTGGGGGGAGTGGAGATGACTTGGGGGAGAAAGGGTAAGAAATGTAAGAAACATGTACGGAGCTTACATTTGGTAATTAATGTTATTTTATTTTTTTTTCTTTTCCCCCTTCTTTTTGTTATATACAATAATACGGAGTACATATGTAGGTCATTATATCCTATTTTGCATTTTGAGCTTATTATATTTGTCGTTATATTTGTGCATTTACCTTATATACCTTAGTACATAATGTAGCTAGCTAGCTATGTACCGTATAGGTATAACCGGGGCAGTTTGGGGCACGTTCTGTCAGATTTCTGTAGGGTATAGATTTCTGTACAATATAGGGTATGACCTAGTATTAAATTCCCTATAATTTTAGCCCGATATAACCACGAATTTTAATACTCCTATACGGAGTTAGAGAACGTTAAGCGACAGAAAACAGCCCCGGGGGTTCTAATTTAACGGGGCGCCACAAGATGACCGTCTGTGCGATCATGCATTTTTATCATATATCAATTGCTTAGAGGTTCGATCTTTTTTTTCTATATTTAAAGATATATAGACTCACTGCAAATCTTTGATTCAAATCTCTGATCAGGAGTTCTGTACTCCGTTTCATACTCTTTCAACCCACTTCTGGAGCTTTAAAGTGGAGAGTGACGCAAAATTGGGGCGCCTCAGGCAGGGCGGGGTTGTGCTCTCGGTGTGTATCTGAATCTGACATCTACATTTGTACGTACTACACCTGGGTACTGCCCCATTATATATCCATAATATATGGATTATTATGTTTAAATATGCTATTAATTTGCTTACAGCATAGATGAACTGGTGCTGCTTTCCGGGATCGTCCACTTCTCTCCGATATGCGGTGAAGGGCACTGACCCTCTCCCCTTATAGCAAAGTCAATTCAGCCTTGTGAATAGATGTACAGGGGGGCAAGACTCAAGGCTCAGTACGGAGTAAAGGGCTTATTGATTTTGATTTTATTAATAGGTATCATGAAGTAGGGGTAATCGTCAAGCCACGGAGAGTCATTACATATATATATATTCGGGATTTCGTGTGTACGAACGTGCACTCCCCTATTAGATACATACAAAACCGTGAAAGGTATCTCTAGAGTTTAAAATGAGCTGCATTCCTGTCCAACCATAACCACACCATTCAAAGGTCTTTGTTGCATGTCTTTGTTGCGTATCTGCAGTTGCATTTCCGCAGTAGCGTGGCAGAGGCATTGTCTCACATGTCCCAGCCGCCGAATTCACACATCAGACGATGACAGAATCCAAGTAACCCCGTTGAAACTAATATCCAAGCCAAGGTCTTGGTCCAATTTCCTCCCGGGTTGTATTATACATGGTCATTACGGTTGGGTGCAGATCTTGGGTCATTGATATAGTATGTACGATGTAGTGGGGATTTGGGAGATAGCGTTAAGCTAACAAAACCACATCATGAAATATCAGAACTGGCTTAATTCGGAGGAGGGACATTTTATATACTGGAGGGATGTGCTCTAGTTCTAGACCTCCAGGGCAGCAGGCCCTCTTGTACAGTAATGTCATCGGGAAAGTCTACCGGACCTATAAGAGCATCAGAGAGGAAGCTATGGTAGAGCTTGTATAAATGTAGACTTGATAAATCTCAATGTTTATCACGTTTATCATGTTTACCATGTTTATCATGTCTGCTTTAAGAAGATTGAAGGTGAGGGGCTGTACTCTGACCTGCCAAGGTTCTAAATAGAGGCCCAAGATCTCTTCCTATACTGGCCTCACAAGCGAGTTAAGCGCAGATTTAAAGAATTAAAAATGTGTATAGTAGATAAAACCTTATCGGATTCATCTGTATACACAAGTTCTACAGTCCATATCGACAATATCAAAGAGCAATGCTGTTCAAGGGAAACCTCTTCCGGGATAAGACCGGGGTCTGGGCCGCGTG